CCCCACCCCCCCCCCCCCCCCCCCCCCAAACCTCCACCACGGGTACTCTCCGGTAGTAACTGCATCTTGATCCATCCTGAGGTTGCAGCAACACCAGACCAGGCCAGACCAGACCAGACCAGACTGAACCGATGGCAAACTGCTCGACTGACTGCCGTTCCAGTGCCAGCGCATTGCATGTGTGCATCTGGGCAGGTTGGCAGGGTGCGTGTGGTGCGCAAGCAAGCTTGCAGCGATTTGGACAAGGTACTCCGCATGCTCTTCAAGATTGATGCCCAAAATCTTGTAGATCTCTCTCCATCTCGCCAGGGATTGCATTCGCAATCACGAACAATCCCGGGCATGGTCCTTCGCGCCCCGCAAACAGTCGATGATCAGCCTCAGTGGCTCTCAATCAGGGAAACAATTCAAGATGGATTGCCCAGACCAGCAGGGGGGGCAAAGGCTCATCAACGTTTCCCCACCACCTCCGACCAACGGGCAAAGAGCCACTGGCTGGACCGTTCGCGGCATGTGCATCTGCAGCAGCGTTGAGCTTGGTCAATAGCTGGCATCGACGTGCTCCGGTCGAGTCGACCTCACGGATCGATGCCTCTCCCCGTTCCACGCTTCAGCGAGCACCGGGTAATTCTTCAAGAAGGACCATGCAGTACACTGTCAACAGGCGTGAAGATAACAGCAGCCTGTGTTCCCCGAACTCACCCGTCAGCATTCGTTGGGAGGACAACATGTCAAGCCATCGTGTTCCCTGAATGCTTGCTTTTTATTCTTCTTCTTGTGCGTATTTCCCTCTGGGCCGTGTCCAATAAGAAGCATCGACTGCTTGGAAAGGCCGGAAGGATTTAGAGGGTCGATAAAGGTTATTGCTCCCTCTCCCAGGGGCCAGGGTGATTGCGGCAAGGCCCCCCATCGGCAGGTCAAGCTCAGGACTCCTGTCTGCAGCAAGGTAGGTCTCTTGCCGTCTCTTCTGTTCATCCAGGATTGTTATTTTCTTCCATTCTGGGCACTCTGGGGAAGGTCGAGTGTGTGGCGGCCAGACCCAGCTGCCGAGATGCGACTTGACCGCGACATGCTCTTTCTGCCAGATTGGCAATCGTCTGGCTGCAGAAGGCCAAGATGGTGCTGGTGCAGCCATGCCATGCCATCAGCGCCGGATGGCTGGGAAAAGGATCTCTGCAAGGGTTCAAACTTTACTTCGTAGGCATGGATGCCTGCCTCTGGCCTCTGTGAAGTGAAATGTTGCCTCTCAGTGGTCTACATACCCCAGTCGCCACCGCTGCCTCCACAACGGTCCCCATCGTCTGCGCAATTTGCCAGGGCCTGGTTGGCCTTTTACTCCGTAACCAATCCCCGTACCAGGGACACCATCCTGATCAAGCAACATGAACGCCCATTTGCCAATGTTGCCCGGCAAAAGCAATGTCAAGAGAAAGGCGACACAAATCGCCGGCGTTTTGCGAGCAGCGGCCGTCCGTCTAGACTTGCCTGTAATTGAGGACGGCATGGCGAGAGGAGCTCCTTGTGCTTGCTTTTTGTTCCCTCCTCGTCTAATTCCCGTGCTTTCGCGTCTCGTCCGGAGCTTGCCCTAAGCTGGACCTGGTTGGGAGAGGAAGTGTACTTTTACTTGTAAAAAGCCACTGTTCTTCACCCCTCCACCAAGTACCATCTATGCAACCCTACCATACCAGGGGCGGGACAAAAGGGCTGTATCCTATTCGACAATCGCACTCCGGGATACTCAGATGGGGATAAATTGGCAAACGCAAACGAACCACTGTTCAACGGCTTGCCTGTTGTTGTTCATTTCGTCACCAAAGCGACACTTTTCTTTTTCGTTTTCGAGAGAACGGGGAGTGCGGCTAAAATGCAAAGCTTTGTCCAACGCCCAAGCTCGTTTCTCGGGAAAGCTGTGCAGGTCGAGTATCAGCAAGTCGAAAGTTCTCGTACTCCCAGGCCGGATGGGAACTCGTGCAACACTGGTCCTGGGAGAAGAAGAAAAAGATGGGCTCGGAGTGGAATCGGATCATGGCCAAAAGTGCGCTTTGCGACGAACTATTCCTTTACCTGCAGCTCGAGCGACGACCGACCCGCGCTCACTCTGTGGTCAAGCATTCATGGATGCCCGAGGACGATGAACAGTGAAGCGAATGACTTGTAGGAGGTACCTCAACTGCCCGTGCTGCCCTCGGGACGGGTACGCACTGACAAGACGGTTTGGGGGAGACCCCGCCCACCCACTTCTTTATTGGGCGAGAGTAGACTTGCTGCTAAGTCTCTTTTGGCTCTCTCTCCTTCCCCTTGCAGATCGAACCCCGGTTCGCGCAAAGCACCAGGGCAGGAGAGGGCAGGAGACGAACGGAAGCATGTGAACGCATGGATGGACACAGGCACCAATTGCACCCAGCCCAGCACTGATGTGGCCCTGCAGCTGCAATGGCCGATGTTCGTCTCTCTGAAGGCGAGGACGATAACGACGCACTCAATTGGCGGTGGCGCGGGTGCACAATAGAAATGCCGTGCTGACTTCCACGCACGCATTATCTGCCTCTTCATATTGCTTGGACTTGATGTCCCATGGCTCGGAGCTTCACTGCGTGCAAGATCGCCCGTTTCAATGCAGTCCAAGGTTGGGTGCTACGCTGGACCGTTGGGTCCGGATTGAAACAGCTTGACCAGGAAGAGATTGTCAAAAATAGCCACAAAAGTATTTGTGGTAGTAGAGACGACGTAAAGCCTGGTTGTGCCGCGACTTGACCCGGGAAAAGAGGATGATCATCGGCATAGGTAAACACCCATCCTCATCATCATCATCAACAACATCATATTGGTGCTGCTGGCCAGCGTGTACCGATGCAATGCAAACCCTGGTTCAACGGCGAGACGAGCCGTGGCACGTCCTCATCATCACCACTTTTTGCACTTTGGGAGTAGGCAATGACCCGATTTGCCCTCTGTTGCCATTGATTGTCGTGAATTGCCATCAATTGACATGCTGGCCTCTTTTGCGCGCGCATCCTCTCCTGCACTGACGATCAATTGATCCCTCTGGCAAGAAAAGCGCCGAGTATCTTCAGCCCTGCGTGTCCAAAGCAGCTGGGAATGTCGACTGTTCTTGTTCTCCCTCACACCCCTTGGCTCCATCCAGTGACTCCCTTGGGCCTCTGCAGTGGTGATTTGACGACCCATCGATCCGTGCCTGCCCGTTGCTGGCACTTTCGACTGGCGTTCGTGCCTTCTACTCCACAGTTGCATTGCTTTTTCAATATTTTGACAACAAGAACTTGACGCTTGCGACTTTGGCTCCTCACGGCGAAACCTACCTAGGTACCTAGGTAGGTAATTTGCTCGACCAACCTGCTCCAAACTCGCAAGCCAGCTTGCTGTCTATCCTCCCTCCGCCCTGGCACCATTCCGACGGACGATAAGAGCCCAATTCCCAAGGTACAACACGCGTGCGCATCCAAGCTTCTGGCAGCTAGCGACTAGTGGCCGCAAGCCGTCTCCGCGACTTTCGTACTCGAACCCGAGCTTGTGGCAGTCTAACTGATCCGATCGGATAACCCCTCTTCAATCGTTCGAGGAGAAAAAAAAAAAAGAGGTACCATCGATGCCGCACCGTACCTGGCCTTAGCTTTACGCACAAGGTAAGTTACGCGAGAGAAAAAAGAAAAGAAGAAAAGAGTCTACTCCAAACGGACAGGTTGGCTGTTCGTTCTGCTCCCTGCTCGCTGTCTTCCCACTCGATCCCGCTTCCCCAGATGACGAACAGCCTCTCTTTCCCACTTCCCGCACACCCCCTCTCCCCTCTCCACTCTCCCAGCCCAACCGTGTGCTGCGCAAGCAGTGTGTGCGTGTGCGTGGTGTGTGCCCTCGAGGGATGATGCTTGAGCAAGGGAGTCTGTGTCTGTGTGCGTGTGCGCGCGTGTGTGTGTGTGTGATGGACAATGGATGGGGCGTGTGTGCAAGTGGCTTTTCTGGTACCTACCTCCCCCCCTGCCTATCTACGGAGCAGGTAGCAGTCAAGCAAGCACCAAGCCAGGGTCATCCATTGTCTTGTTATGGGGGGTGAGGGTCTCTGGAGGGTCGTGAGGGTCGTGCGTGGTGGCTCCGAAACCCACACGATCAAGGGGCCCTCCCTGGTATGCAGCCATCCAAGCCAGGGTCAGGATTCTCCTACCACCACAGACGCACTAGTTAATCCATGGCATTCCTGCCTCGCCCCTCCCCGTCATTCTCTCTACCTACTCCGTACATTCCTCGACGGTCCCGACCGTGTCACTCCCTCTGCTCACCAAAACAAGCCTCGAGCTCCGGGTTCGAGTGTCGAGTCTGTTTCGGCATCCTGCTAACCGTCGAAACCAGGCAGAGATCCGAGCTTGGACATGACCACCACCTACAACATCCAAATCCTGACGACGATTTTCACAAACGCATTAAACTACTTGCACGCAAACGGAGCAATCCGAGGGAAATCGCCCCAAAAGCACCGACGACAGCTCCAATTGCGTACTTGAAGCAACTTGGGCCCGCTATCTGACAACACCATCCGGCCACCAGAACCACCCTGCGCACGCAAACTGACCTGACGATCCCGCCAAAACAACACAGCTTTCGTATCTTCTGCTGCCGGGACGGGAGGAGGCATTCCCATGTGCCATTGGGTCATTGAACAGCCTTGGGAGTAGGAAAAAAAGAGAGAGATATCCACCTGGGACGAAGGAGACCTGATCGGACACCAGCGCATCGCGAGTCGAACCGGATCACCCTCCCAGCGGCGTGATCCGCCTTCCATGGTCTGCCAGCGCAGTTGCCAACAGCGATGGGCATGCTGAAAGACCAACAAATGCGATCGAGCCTCCAAGTGGCTCCTCTCACCATCCAAAAGGCCGTACGCCCGGCTGAGTCCTCGAGCTATGGCTCCTCTACAGACCACAACCACACCAATTCCACCTCGCAATCAGAAATGACTCCGCCGGCCACCCCCAACGGCTCGCGGGAAGACCTCAACATACAGCAGCAGGCCAATGCGCCGCCTGTATTCCACAACTTCCTGCGAGCCTTCTACCCGTTCCACCCGAGCTATGCCATGAGCGACTCGACCGTGACCGTACCGCTGAACGAAGGAGACGTCATCATGGTTCATTCGATCCACACCAATGGCTGGGCCGACGGTACCCTGCTCATCTCTGGCGCACGAGGCTGGCTCCCCACTAACTACTGCGAGCCGTACGAGCCGGACGAGATGAGGAATCTGCTCAAGGCCCTCTTGAACTTTTGGGACTTGCTGCGGAGCACTGCAGTCAACGACAATGAGATTTTCGGCAATCAGGAGTTTATGAAAGGCATTATTGCTGGCGTCCGCTATCTCTTGGTAGGCCGCCTCGCCTCAAGTCGCGCTGCGATGGCTTGCTAACTATGGATACAGGAGCGCACAAATTGCTTGACGAGGGAGTCGGCCCTTATCCAGAGGCACGATGGTCTCCGGCGGGGCAGGAAATCCCTCCTGTCAGAGCTATCATCCCTGGTCAAGTCTGCTAAGCGTCTACAGGAGCACCAGAAGACCCTGCTGCCCAGCGAAGATGTCAATGACATTGTGGACGAGATGATTCTCAAGGCTTTCAAGATCGTCACCAAGGGCGTGAGATTTCTAGACGTGCTGGACGATGACAGGAGATCGAGGGCACCTGCGGTGACGGTGATGGCGACTGTGCTCGAGGAGGCGATCCCGCCGACCCCACCCGCCGATGCCACCACCTTCGAGGACAACCGGGACCAGGGCGAGGATGCAGCTGCCCGCTCCCAACCCAGCACTGTGGTCGCTGTGTCAGAAGCAAGCGATGCGACACAGACGGAGGCTCCCGTGAACAAACATTTGTCAGCTGTCTACTCGCCCGCGGCGACCAACTCCAACCGGCTGTCTCAAAACAGCCCACTTCTGGTCAACCGCCTCTCGGCCAGCATCTCGCACCGGGTCTCCCTAGCTGGTCCATCGCCCCTCTCTCGACCGCAGAATCTTGTCTCACAACGATTGAACGACAGCCATGACACCTTCCTGTCTTACCTTGGTTCGTTCATCGGGCGCCTCCACCTCCAATCCCAATCTCGGCCTCACCTGGCGCTGGCCATTAAACAGTCTGCAACATCGGGCGGTCGCCTGCTGGTGGTTGTGGACGTTGTGTGCGCGCACAACGACCTGAGCAGAGAGATGCTTGGCCGGTCCCGTGCCGCAATGTACGACCGCATCGTCGACCTCGTGCACGCTGCACGAGACATCCTGACGAATGTTGGGCCCGAGGTTGCCGACGTGATCATGGCCGAGGAGACCAGCCGCTTATTATATGCTGCGACTGGCTGCGTCAAGGCCACCGGCGAGTGTGTTGCCAAGACAAAGTGGGTGATCGAAAGGATAGGCGACTTCGAGTACGAGTTTAGCGATCAGGATCTCGATGTCGATCTCGGTCTCGAGGCCCTGGATGTTGTGCCGGAGAAGGAACGATCCAACAGCGTCTGCGAGGCTTCCAGCATCTCGGACTCGGTCGTATCATCGGCCGTCTCGGAGGTCCCTCTCCAAGTATCTGTGTCTGCAGCGGCACAAACAATGGCTGCGCCGATCGCGCCCACCATCATCCCAGTTCGTCCTCCGGTTCTGGCGATCGACAAGCCTCTTCCCGATGTCCCCCAGGTCCAGTCACTTTTGGAGGACAAGCGTGCTTCGCAACACTCTCTTCCTGCCTCCCGACCCCCGTCACAGGTTGTGGATGATAATGCCGACAGCATGGCCTCATCGGTATCCTCGCTTCGTCCTTCCCTGCCCCCCCTACCCAAACTGGCGACTAGCCTGGCAATCCAGGATGAGTACAGCCCCTCGGAGCAGTCTGCCGGCCACGATAGCGAATTCCACAGCTCTTTCCGTTCTGAGAGCTCGACTGCCACGAGCTCGGGCACAGACAACTCCTACAACAGCCGGATCTCAGAGTCTAGCCTTGTGTCTCAGACCTCCACCCGGGCCACCACTCCTGACCACACGCTAGTGCCGAAATACCAGACTTCGTTTTCTGAGCTCAGCTCTGCTGGTGGCGAGTCTCAGGAGGGTGTCGAAGACGTCGAGTCCAAGCTTCTGGAGAAGACTTACGCCCATGAGCTGATGTTCAATAAGGAGGGGCAGGTGACTGGTGGTTCGCTCTCGGCCCTGGTCGAGCGCCTCACTACGCACGAGTCAACTCCTGACGCCATGTTTGTGTCCACTTTCTATCTGACATTCCGCTTGTTCTCCACGCCCCTCGAGCTGGCCGACGCCCTTATCGACCGCTTCGACTACGTCGGCGACGCTCCGCACATGGCCAGCCCTGTCCGCCTCCGGGTCTACAACGTCTTCAAGGGCTGGCTGGAGTCACACTGGCGTGATGAGACCGACCGCGAGGCCATCCCTACCATCCAACAGTTTGCCGACTACAAGCTTGGCTCCATCCTCCCCTCTGCAGCTCGCCGTCTTCTCGAACTCGCCGAGAGGGTGTCATCAATCGACGGTGCTGTTGTCCCTCGTCTCGTCTCTTCCATGGGCAAGACCAACACATCGATCTCCCAATACATCCCTGCAGACACGCCCATCCCGCCATCGATCATCACCAAGAGTCAGATGCACGCATTGTCCAACTGGAAGAACGGCGGCAGCTGCCCAACCATCATGGAATTTGACCCTCTCGAGGTCGCCCGCCAGCTCACCATTAAGCAGATGAACATCTTCTGCTCGATCATGCCCGAGGAGCTTCTCGGTTCGCAGTGGATGAAGAAGGGTGGCCTCGGCGCCCCCAATGTCAAGGCCATGTCTTCGCTGTCGACTGACCTGTCCAACTTTGTCGCCGACACCATTCTCTACTACCAGGACGTCAAGAAACGTGCTGCCTGCATGAAGCAGTGGATCAAGATTGCCCACCAGTGCCTCGAGCTCCACAACTACGACGCTCTCATGGCTATCATCTGCAGTCTCAACAGCTCCACCATCACTCGTCTGCGTCGCACCTGGGAGTTCGTGTCCGTCAAGCGTCGCGAGATGCTGAAGACGCTTCAGGCCATCGTCGAGCCTTCCCAGAACAACAAGGTTCTCCGTGGCCGTCTGCACGACCATGTCCCGCCTTGCCTACCCTTCCTCGGCATGTTTCTGACCGATCTGACTTTTGTCGACATGGGCAACCCGGCCACGAAGCAGCTTCCCGGCTCTGACGGGACGGAGCAGAGCGGCATGACGGTCATCAACTATGACAAGCACACGAGGACTGCGAAGATCATTGGCGAGCTGCAGCGGTTCCAGATCCCGTACCGACTGAACGAGATCCCTGACATGCAGGAGTGGATCCAGAAGCAGGTTGAACGGGTCCGCGAGCTCGAGAAGCCCGGGGACAACGTTCAGGTCAACTACTACCGCAAGAGCTTGCTCCTGGAGCCTCGCGAGACTCAGATGCTCAAGACGCCCATCGAAGGGCCGGCTGCTTCATCTGCCAAGGACACGTCGTCATCCAAGACCGATCTGTTTGGCTGGATGCGGAGCAATGGCAACAACACCACCACGGCAAATGTTGTCTAAACTTATTACCATACTACCATCATCACCCTTCATCTCTATCAACCACAGATATCACCTACCTACCTGTTCTGTGGGTTATCGACTTATACAACGACCCGTTATCCAAAATAGCGCATCTACACTACTCTCGGTTGCTCCGTTCTTATGATACCCCCAATTTTCTATTTAAGCTTTGGTTTTTCTTTCACGAAGATATCGCACGCGGCCATTTTTTCTCGAATTGCAGAGACTGGACTGCTTCCTCATGCCGTCCACGTATCTCACGAATCTTATACATCACGGCCGCTTCTCCCTCCTTGCACATCTACTAGACGCGATTACAGGGATATTGTCTACATCTTTCCACCTAGGTGTCCCGGCGTTTCGCAGAGATCAGACGAGTTTGCTCTCAATACACGACGCCACCAGATACCCCTCAAGACAGTGTGCAGAAGAAGGCAGGGTCACTGGGTGCAGAATTCACACCAGTTCCGACGCCATCATCCGGTTACATCCTCATTCGGATCGCTTGGGACAAAAATACACAGACTCGCATCGCCTTCAGAGGCTGGAACTTCGTTTCTTTCTTCACTTGATGTCGTTTTTTGAATGATTGGTGTCTTCATTGCAGTTCTTGGAGACATCGATACCTTGCGGGAACTAGGGCACATTTTCTACAGGGACAGGCTCCATGACCAGGAAGTCTTTGATCATCAGACATTATGAGCGGGCGCTTGGGGACTGTGTTCCTTTTATATCCTGGGGAAGTGAGCAGCCTGGGGCACATTTCGAATCAGGGAGCGCACACACAGACTTGGAGTTTGCGCAATGGACGGACTACTTTTTTGATATTCCTACGGGAGGCATTCTCACATTGCAGTCACTCGCTAAGCCAACACACAATCGCCCCGTGATTTCCACACGGGGCTCGGGCAGGAAGGGGAGGGCACACAATTGTATATACATTGTATAATGCAGACTTGGGCCATGCAGGAGAACTCCCTCCTTTCTCAGGGATGCATGACTGGGCCTAGAGTTGCGAGATTCTGACGGAGAGGGTGCAATCTCGCCCCCTCGCCGAGAAGTTCTCGACACTTTGATGAATTCAAACTAGTGAAAGCAATGTTTCTTTCTGGTATCGATGTGTGACTTTGCTCTACTACTATGACTTGTATCCCAGCCTGCCCTGTGCTTGTTTGAGCTCAGAGATGGCTCGGTCGAGTTGAGAGGAGGCAGTTAGGGGGCCTACGATGTTGTGGGTATCGGTACGATCCTCGATCGATCGGAATGCTGAGAGAGATCTCTAGCGCGACGATTTGGCGTTGTTGTCGTTGGCTTGTTTTGTGGGGCATCCTGTCATCATCGATCTCGATCGAGTTTAGTAAACGCTAGTTGATATTTTCGTCTTGATGGACTGGACTTTTCCTTCTGTGCGTATGTGCTGTGGGGAACACTTGTGGCGTGCATTCCAACGCGGTTGCACTCGGAAGCAGAGTGGGAATCTAGGTAGCTTTCGGGCTGAAAGCTGAGTTTCTGGCCAGGCTGGCGGAGCGGGGCGGGGCGTCGCGAGGAGGGACGGAAGGGAGGGAGGGGCGCATGTGTGCGAGCTCTTGTTTGTGTGTGTTGGAATGTTTGGGTGGGGATTGTTTCTATTTTGGTGTCCGGCGGTCGGTTCTTTGTTTGTTTGGACATCGTGTGTTTTGTGTTTGTTATGCAGTGGAGTGTTGTTGTAGTCGTGGTGGGTATCAACTGGGGTTGCCTTGTGAAGCGGAAGGGAAACCATGGCTGTGATGGTTGAGCAGTGTGTTGATGATGTTATTGAGAATGATATAGAGTTGAAGCAAAGAGCCTCGGACTTGTCATGGAAGATGAACAACTTTGAATATTTGAAACTGCTGTCGTTACCTGGAAACCGACTTCTAAATGTAATATACGATCATTTCAACTCGATGCACCTGTCGCACAACTCCTTTGTACCAACAAGACTGCATGTACATCTTGTTTACAAGGTAGCTATTGCCCTAGAAGAAAGACCCCTTAAACTCCTCAAACACCGCCTCGGCAACGAGCTCGTTGATCCTCACGCCCGGGTGATAGTCGTTGAACCACAGACACGACACGCCGTCGGCGTTGTAGCACGTGGCGTTGGGCGCACCGTACTTTGCCGGGTCGGCCAGCGCCGCGTTGAACGGCGCCTGCGTGTCGACGATCTTGGCGTCGATGATCCCCGCGTTGGCCTGCGTGAAGCTGGCGAGACGCGCCGCGAGCAGGGCGTTGTACTCGCCGATGACGCGCGCTTCGGTCTCGGTGCTCCAGTCGGAGCCCTGGGCGAGCTGGGCGGGGGTCTTTTCGATGGCTTTGAGAGTCCAAGACATTCGGGTGTTAGAAAAAAGGGTTTGGATAAATAAAGTGGAAAGAAGCGAACATAACATATCCGGATGAAGGAAACACAGGACTTACGTGGGACACTGAGGATGGCGAACCGCCTCGCCCCGGCGTCGTACAGGGTCTGCAGCTGCGCAAAGTAGACGTCCATGATCTTGAGGTTGGTCTCGCTGACGTTGCCGAGCCAAAAGGTGTTGCCGACGTCGTTGACGCCGATCCACACGCCGAAGAGCGCGTCGTCGGCCGTCCAGGGGGCGTAGTCGGGCTTCGCGGCGACGCTGGCGCTGAACTCCCTGACCTGGTCCACGAAGCTCAGGACCGTCGGCTCGTAGGGCTTCACGAGGTCGGCCGATGTGGTGGCGCCGCCGTAGGCAAAGTTGTAGGCCAGGAGCAGGCTCGTGTTGAGCCTCGAGGCCAGGAAGCCGACCCAGTTCAGGCCGCCGCTGGCGGTCCAGCCCGGCAGCGGGGGGTTGCCGATGGGGTTGGCGGCGGAGGGCTTGGTCGAGTTGATGTTGAAGCCTGTCTGGGAGTAGGAATCGCCGCTATTTGGAGTTGGAAAGGGTCAGTACCAACGCGTTGGGGGGGGTTGAACAGGTGGTGGTACGTACAATGTGATCAGGTACTTGGTCCCTGTTGGAGCCGTGGTCGGTGCCGAAGTAGTGGACGTGCCGAGGGTCGCCGATTGACCTGTCGAGCAACTTGCGCTGGCGAGGCCAAGCAGTGCGGCGCCGACGATTGCTCTTGAGGTCTTCATCTTGACAGATCGTGAAGCGAGTGCCCGCTGTTTGTAGAGCTCATCCCGTACCACAACTTTGGAAAGCAAGCTCGTGATGTGCAAAACCAGACCCATAAGTACCATGATAACTCGCATCTACAACAAAACCTCACCAAGCTTCCATCCGTGTGGAGGCACTTCCGCAGGACCGGGTCAGATCGCCTCCGGGGCATGGTCACCCGCAGTAAACTCTTGGGGTCGCCTGCAGCCCACTATTGGCGGGATTTCACTCTGTCCAAGCATCTCGCGGCGGCGGTGCGGCCCCCGGTGGAGACTTTTGCCAAAAGGCACGGAGGAAGAGGATGGGAAGCCAATTGGGGTTTAGCGAAGGGCGGGATGGATATCGAGGGCAGTGCAGCTTGGTTGATATTAACCGTATCGGCATCGACAGGGGTAAGGACATGACAAAGTGTTAGGGCTTGTGGAGTAGAGTGAACCAAAATGAATACGTCTCATTGCAATGTACTAAAAGGTGTGACTCGATTCACCAGCGTGCAGAAAGTCGTACCAAAAAAAAATAAATAAATAAAGGAGCAAAAAGCTCACAGACTCGCCCGGAGGGGAGCCTGCTGCGAAAATCGCTAAATAGAGATTTTACTGCCGTGGTCGTCGAGGTTCATCGAGGTGGTGGTGTGTTGTCGTGTGGTTTTTTTTATCGGAAGGTATTACTTCGTCAGGGGATCCAAACCTTTTTATCGGAAGGTATTACTTCGTCAGGGGATCCAAACCTTTTTATCAGAAGGTATTACTTCGTCAGGGAATTGAAACCCGAACCACCTCGGAACAAACTCGCGTTCTTCCTGCTTGACCATATCGGTCTTTTCCTCCCCGACGACTGACTGCGTTAACCTCGCCTATAAGGGCTTTGGAAGGGGGGGTCCGGGCGTCCCTCCTGGGTGCAGGGACCCTCTACAACTTGTTCAATAGATTAGACTTTAAGCTCAACACTTTTTAGGCCTCATTATAAAGAATGAGAAGTAACTCTTCATGCTTAATTCCATCTCGCTTAGGTTCTTGAGAAAGTGATCTCTACAGTCTCTCACGCAGGCAGGAAGGCAGTTTCTAGAGGTTGTAGTGATCAGTGGAAATACAGCCATCAACAATTTACATACAATATCAATTGAGAGAGCTAGCTAGTTGCGCTGCAAATAATGCAAATAAGAGCACAGTTAATACTGTATAGAAGCCTTCAAGTGAATTGGTGATTCTCTCAGCTCGCAATAACAGCCTGAAGTTCCTTGACCTCCGACCTCTTCTTTGCACGTATGAAAGACATCGAGAAGCACCAGTCTTTCAAGGCTATGAAGATTACAAATGATACAATGAATGATATGAATAACGCCACCATTATCATGACCACTAGAGAAATCCAGCGTCTGGCCAGGATGGTTCGAGGCTTTCGGCAGCCAGTCCCACCTGGATTAAGTTTAGAACGAGAGAGGTCACTCCGAACACCGTTATCATAGGCGTGATGAACGATGAGATGTAGTCGGTCCACTGCGACTGGACATGGAGATATGCCAACTTGTTCATCAGAAATGGCGCCATGTAATTGAGTCTTGTCAAGCGTAGCGTGCCGTATGAAAACCTTGGAGACACCTGATAGTTGTTCAGAGAATTGAACTGAGATATGAAATGGACAAAAGAATCGAATGAAAGGGCCTGTCCGTCAACGAATGGTATCAGAGCCATCTCTGGGCTGGTGGCTTTGCTGAAGTCGACCTCATAACGTATCAGGTAGCAATAAGTCCTCATAAAACCAGCCGCAGCTTGGTAAACCTGGGAATCCTCTTCTCTGATGAAGTCCCAGAATTCGCGACAGAATAGATAAGGGGGTATTGGCTTGATGAATATCCTGTCGTAGTAAGATATCAGATGCAGGCCAGGTTCCTCCGTGATCTGAAACTTGCGTCCTCTGATAGTCTGATGATGTAACGGAGAAACGTGGGTTTCAATTGGAGTGCCAGCCTGAGAATTTACATTAGGCCATCTTCAGCACTCTGTGATTCATGGTCTACTCACTATCCATAAATGTGTGACAAGTGAGACACCACTCATGCTTGCAGCCGCAGGGGCGAATATGGACAAACTTGCTTGCCTGCTCGAAGCCGGTTTAGACCCGAATTCGAAGTCTAAAGAAGGGAGAACGGCGTTGCACTACATCTGTCGTATAGAGAGCTTTGAAGGATTTGTCGGTACTTTCGGAGCAGACATGATGTGGATTCTAATCGAGAAGGGAGCAGATGTTAATGCCCAGGACCACGAAGGTAATGCTCCTCTGCACGATCATTGCAACCTATGCATCAGCGGACTTGAGATTCTAGCTCTACAATCTCGAAATGCTATCATCAGTTCAGTGAAGCTGTTGATATCAGCTGGAGCCAATATCAACATCACTAATGGGGCAGGGATGAGTCCGGCAGACAGGCTGCTCATACAATATCTCAGAGATCGAGACTATGAGACTGAGAAGGAAAGGCAATATTTGGAAACGGTACTCCAAATATTGAGAGACAGCTGACATCTGCCTCGCCACATCTGACGATCACAAACAATGGTATTGGTGAGCCAGTCCCATTGGCAAGACTGTATGTACTGGAGGTCATCGCTTCAGGTGAGCTTTCTCAACCACAGCATGTTTAAGTTTGGGCATAGCCTCTCTGACAAAAGAAAACAAAAAAACTTAAGTACGGCCGTGGTGCCTGCCTACGAGCCGCTAACAGACAGCGTTGGTATCTAATGTCACTGCGGGAAACCAAAGTCAATAGCGGCCGCCGGCCTGTTAGATTCTAGGACAGTGAAAGAAGGACCCATCCCGCATGTACACTTGAAAGACCATTCAAAACTAAAGAGCGGCTATACACTCTCACTTAGATAAAGAGAATGTCAATGGCTAATACATCTCATCGTCTATTGATTGTCCAGCTCATGATCCTTGGAAGGCGAGACTGTCAGGATCGGGACTTGTGATTGTGGGAAACCCAAGTCCGAGGATCACCGAAGCTCAGTCCGAATCTTCACCGCACCCAACTAGGTGGGCCCAGTAAGCCGAGCAGGATGGATTACCAAGTGATGGTCAGATTAGTTGACGGACTGCTAACAGAAGTACTTGACTACCTATCAAGCCCATCGGATTTAGGTAGTGGGATAGCCCTTCCGAGTTCTTAGGGCAAGGATGTGACAGGGATATTGATTGTTAAGATTGAGGTAGCTCCTGATGAACTTCTGTCAACCATTCAGACACCCACTTGGATTACCAAACACCTCTTAAATGTTTTCAAGGTTCATCATCCTTCTTCTATTTGTACAGCTCGAAGCGATTGGTTGGTTTGCAAAGCTAGCGGTAAAAAGGGTTGGGTGATGGTGACCAAATCCCGCGACTATCTCACCTATTTTCCAGACACTTCAAACATTCCACTGTCTTTCCGTTGAGCCATACTTGTTTCTTTGAGTTTGAGAGGCGATTCATCGCTCGAACACAGTCATTCTATTCAACACAAGATGCCCGGAGCAACGCAGGCAGACCAGGACAAAGCGCAAGCAGTCGCTATCATTAAGGACTTTCATGACTACTTCAGCAGCCCACTCCCTTTCACAGAGGGGCCACGCTTCGTCATTCCGCATGGCCTGATGATAGTTCCCCTTCCGGAGGAGCTAGGCGGTCTCACAATTGAGACCTTCAATCACATGTACGAACGCGTCACCGGGATCCTCCGCGCTCAATACGCCTCCGGTGTGAAACTCTTCGCGCACCGGCTCGTGAAACCTGGACCAGAAGTCCGGGTATCCGGCAACACTGCCGCTGTACTCACCGGATTCTGCGGCAAGGTTGATGATCATGATATTCTGCACGCGGTCAGCCTCTGCTTGCTCCACCGGAGGGCGGGCGAATCTGGAAACCCATGGCGCATCTCGGGAATTGTCGACTCGCAGCACACGCTGCCCGATATGCCGTTGCCGCCGGTGGAGGCCGGCTCCGTGTCGGAGATCATGGCTCCATTCGATGCCCTACTCAAACATATCAGAGCGCAGGAGTGGGACGCGATTACACCACTGCTGCTACCTAACGCTGGGGCCATGATAGCGGAGGGCTCTCAGGACCCAGTCACGCTCATGTGGCCGGAGTTTATCAAGCGGCTGCAAGCCGAAGCCGAGACTGGCCCTGTGGCCGAGAAGAAGCTCTTCGATTGTGGGGCGCGGCGGTGTGGGAATCTGGCTTTTGTATGGGCGCCGTTCAGGCTCATAGTTGAGCGCAAGGAGACGGCGCAGGGAGTCACGATCTGCGCGTTCAGATTGGAAGGGGAGAAGTGGCTTATTGCCAGCTTCCAGGAGACAACTTTTGCCTAGTCCTTGAATATTCAACTAGGGGGGCCGGGTGTTAAAGAGAACTTTTAGATAGAATAATAATCTTTTCTGGTCTCGTACTATATCTATGCTAATAAGTTGGTATCAAGACTTCCAACTCTTCTGAAGCTTCCGTGCAAGATGTTTGGATGTATTTCTATTTACATGTAGACAGTGCTAGTCCCAGGCCACACGGCTTCGTGGTGCGCTGCCTGTACATGCAAGTACACGCTGTGTCTGAGGGCTAAGCAATCACTGGCCATACGCCAGCCTGTAAATGTCTTGAGACGTAGAGATCATTGCTGCGCTCGCGCTTATGTGCGAGCACGACCCTGAGGTGGCGGCGGTGGTGTACATTCTGCAAACGACCATCATCCGAAGATATCGCCAGCAGTATGAGACAAAGACCTTGACGTAGTCGTGCGCCCTGAGGAACATGGTGGCCTGCTGCGGCATGGGCGGGAGCACTTCCGGGAGGATGATGAGGGCGGCGATGGCAGCCATCCAGATGGGGCCACGATATGGGCTGTCCATGATGTCCATGATTATTTTGGCGTGTGAATTAGTGTCGCTGCTTCGGTTCGTGAATGTGTGGGATATGGAAAGGTCTGGCGATGTTATGTTAGCCTCTTCGATGCTCAACTGGTGGTGTAACACGCGCGTACGTACCTAGCACTGATTAGGATGGATTGTTTGTATTGTAGAATAGCATGAAAAGACGATACGGAGTGTAGCCCAAGGCATCAGGTCAACAGTCTTATAAATGCATTTGGTGATGCGAGGTGAAGATCATTTGTGGGGAGACCTGGACAGGTGGTGGCGATGATAGGCCTGCGCCTCAACCAGGCAGCAGAATAAATTCTGAAGCAAGCGACTGGATGTCCCGGGTCTTTTAGGCTTGCTTGGCGCCGTCCAGACAGTGTTTTCCTTCAGGGAAATGGTTCAAGACTTCACACTGGGCTGAAAAGGGGCACGATGCGCGGTACATGGCACTTGAAAGACGCCTCGCCTTGTGAAGACATACCTCCAGTCTAGAAAACACTGATAATCCGCTTTCTGAATAAGCTACAATCTTATCCAATATTTTCAAAACCAGTAAGGTCATAGTTCGACAGGTCAGCGCCTCTCCGTAAATTGTCAAAGAATGCGGCATCAACCCCCTGAAACGCCCATTCCTCCGCATCAGCAATGAGGTAAGGGTCAGAGGCATTCTGATAGCTCAGCTGTTGTCCAGGCTGATGAAGTGATGGTAAGCTTGGTGCTAGCCCTTGAGCGTGGACTGGTGCAACCCAGGTGTCGCCTGGCTCATGCCGGCCGCCAGGCGCTGAGCCCACAGCTAGAGACTCCGCCAATGTCGTACCAGTGGTCTCAACGCCGCCGCTGTGATGTCCTGCTGTCTCATTTGCAGGCCCTTCTGTAGCCATGCATATTGTGCCCTCTCGTGAGATGCGCACAGTGCCAAAATACGGAACGTGTATGTGTAGCGTATCGTCATCTCCAGCACCGTCCCCGTCCGCCGGCGGCGCAGGCGAGCTGGGTATGCTCTCGGCTCGCCAGCTCGGCCCATCCGCTTCGATGTAGAGCAGCCTGCGAAGTACGTCTGCACTGCACCTGGACAGCATGTCCTTGGACCGCTGGCTGAGCTCGGCCATGCAGTCGAGGGCTTCTTCCACAAGACCTCTGTCAGAGAGCCTCTGGTGCGCGAGGAAGTTGACGCTCGGATCCAGACGGCGGCTGTCGATGTGAGCGATGAGCAGGGTGATGGCCGCTAGTAGGGCGAAGAAGTCGGCGGTGCGGCAGCAGAAACCGATGCGGGAAACCCTGCGGAACCGGATGAAACGTGTGAGCAGCTCACGGCTTGCAGTCACGCAGATGACGCGGCGGCACTGGTATGCGTCTGTCGGGACAGAACGGAGAATATAAGGGAGGTGAAGCTGGTTCAGGAGGTGGAAGTGAAAGAACTGCGTCGTCATACGGAGCACTGTCCAGAATAGCTCCTTGTCCGACATGGTGTCGGAGATGTTAGGGATCTGCCACCAACGAGGCGGCATTATTGAAGCGGCCTTTTGAATATCGATATCGATCTCCTGCGTCATGGCCAGGTTTTGGAAAAAGGGATCGGCAGTATTGCGATTGAGTATCCGTAAGGTGATGCAGGAGTGCAGATAACCGTAGTGTTCGATGGGGTGGTGCTCTGTCGCCCACTTCGCCTCCGTGATAGAGCCACCTCCTTCCCAGGCGCCTTGCGGGAGTCCAAGCAGCAAGCTAATGAAGTGGTGTATGTAGATTATCCGGAACCACATGATCTGAGGGACTGCCTTGTTGTTTGGATCAAGGGCCTTTGCAGCGCAACGATTGGGAACGTGCAGGTTAAGTAACTGTGCAACGGCAATGCAGCGACGAAGATCAAGCCAGGCCCGCCGCAAGCTGCCATTGTTGGACAAGAAGACGGCTTTGTGGATGAGACACTGTAGGCCTTCGAGGGTCCCCACGAGCTCGTCGTCTCCACAGACCGAAATGCCCACGGCTTCAACCATCTGTTCCATCATCTTGGCAGGATCCATGGATAATTTCTCGGCCCCTTCCCTATCATCTTCCCGATATGTTTGGAGATGCATTGCTAACGTCAACATTCTCGTGGCAATCAGCACAGGGTGAGCCGAGGGCTCAGGGCTTTGGTTGAACTCTTCAAGGGTTGGCAACTCTTCGTCTTCCAGAAGCTTACAAGGCATGACCATCATGCGGTTGAAGTATGCGGTGATTCTGTTGCTTCTATGATAGATAAGACGTGCATCAGCTGGCGTAGGAAGTAGGGAATGGAGTTTCTTGGATAGAGCAATGTGCTTCTCACCGACTGCGAGAGCGCTGCCGTTTGTAGAAGCCGGAGCCGAGGGCTAACGAGCAGCGGAATCAGCATTTTGTCTAGCACCTTGAAATAATCCACAAGGTCGACATACAATAACCCGTGAAGACAACCCTCCCCCCTCAAACTTTGCGGGAGTCGCAATACTAGTAGGTGTGACCGTCGGTGTTGCAGACTTGCCGACTTGTCCTTCCGGATGGCCAATGGCGCACAGGTCTGCAACGTCTGGGGTCTTGGAGGCGTCAATCTTTTCGATCAGCTGCTCAACAAGAGCTTCCACTCGACCGATGCGTTGGCTTGCACGGCCACGGCGCTTGACGACCGGTGGTGATGCTTCTTCGGGGAGGTCTTGGCTGATGCATGCTGTGCCGCGAAGCTTGCATCCCGCGCAGACCGCGTCGGCCGGGTCTCGATACACGCATCGGACCTTGCGGTGTCGACACTGCCAACAGCTTCGCGTGCCCTTTCGGACCCTCCTGGCTGACACGGAAGACATGGTTATCAAGATGCTGTAGGTGGTGGCGCTGCTCGGTTGATTCTCAACCTCAAACCTTCCTACTTCTTCCCCCTCAGTCGAATGAATCCGTGACTCGGGTTTCGGTGAATACCGAAAGGACAAGCAATCCGGTGCCTGCGGTACTGATCTGCTCTCAGGAGAAGGTTCGTCCGAAATTGGAGCCCTTTCGGTCGGACGAAATCTCCAAGTGGCCCGTGCATGGCCGAGACTCGGCCAAGTTTGTCATCTTACGACTTATGGACCATCCCAAGACACTTGGCGGGTAGGCTAGGCAGCCATATTGTGTTGCTGTGACAAACGGCATTGGACTGGAATCATAACCCGGGCGAGGAAAATGTCTGAAATAATAAAAGCAGGACCTGCCTGTTTTCTGTCCGGGGAACATGGTAAAAAGCTATGGACTACTATGCCGAGCTCACCTCAAACTTCCGCAAGACACTCCGCAAGACACTATCGCTAGTTTGATCTGTGACGATGCGTGAGATCGTAAGCTAACATGGCCACAAACACTGTATCCAATGCACCATATGCTAACAAATCAAAGATTCACTTGCAGACTGGCCAATGTGTACGAGGTCTATCGGGCTGGGCTGTTTGCACGTATTCAAACTAATGATGATGCTAGGGCAATCAAATCGGATCGGCTTTCTGGTATGTCTTGATGAGGCGCACTGTAGACGCTCGTGTCTCTGGCCATGCTGCATTGAACTTTACTAAATATATAACTAGGAATGATATCTCCAGGGAGCATGGCCTCGACGGCAATGGAGTGTAAGATGCTCTCGGACCCGACGATGCTAGACCGTTACTCACTTCCATTTCCCTACAGATTCCAAGGAACATCTGACTTGCAGTCAGCCCGTCTTGGCGTGTACTTCAGCGAGGTTCGAGGCCCTTAGCTGCTGCTGCTGTAATGGCTGTTGCTTCTGACGCATGGCATACTGCTAACTACTTTGACACTTCTAGGCTTCCGGACACAAGCATGTCCCACGCGCAGTCCTTGTCGACCTCGAACCCGGAACGATGGATGCAGTGCGTTCCGGCCCGCTCGGGGATTTCTTCCGTCCAGACAACTTCGTATTCGGTCAATCGGGCGCCGGGAACAATTGGGCGAAGGGCCACTATACTGAAGGGGCAGAGTTGATCGACCAAGTGCTCGAAGTCGTGCGCCGCGAGGCCGAATCGTGCGAGTGCCTGCAGGGTTTCCAGATTACACACTCGATTGGCGGTGGCACGGGAGCGGGTATGGGGACGCTTCTCATCTCCAAGATCCGAGAAGAGTTCCCGGACCGGATGATGGCAACGTTCTCCGTGCTGCCGTCGCCCAAAGTCTCCGAGGTGGTGGTCGAGCCGTACAACGCCACCTTGTCGCTGCAGCAGCTGGTCGAGAACTCGGACGAGACCTTCTGTATCGACAATGAGGCCTTGTATGATATCTGCATGAGGACTCTCAAGATCCCGAATCCGACCTACGGCGAGCTCAACCATCTCGTGTCGGCAGTCATGTCTGGTGTGACAACATGTCTTCGGTTCCCGGGCCAGCTCAATTCCGACCTCAGGAAAATGGCAGTCAATTTAGTCCCCTTCCCGCGGCTGCATTTCTTTACCATAGGCTTTGCACCTCTCACAAGCCGCGACGCTTCGGCATTTAGGGCTATCAGCGTACCGGAACTTACCCAGCAGCTCTTTGACCCAAGAAACATGATGGCCGCTTCAGACTTTAGAAATGGACGGTTCCTGACCTGTGCAACAATCTTGTAAGTCCACCATATCCAAGGGATCCATCCATATTAGTGTTGTTCCACTTACTGAACTTATGTCCAGCCGTGGCAAGTTGTCCATGCAGGAAGTTGAGGATCAAATTCGCAACCTACAAAGCAGGAATTCCTCGTACTTTGTCGACTGGATCCCGAATAACGTGCAAACAGCCGTGTGTTCTATCCCGCCTCGGAAGCTTCGCATGTCGTCAACTTTTGTTGGCAATACCACTGCCGTGCAAGAGCTATTCCGACGCATTGGCGAGCAATTCTCTGTGATGTTCCGACGCAAGGCCTTCCTGCACTGGTACACTGGGGAAGGCATGGACGAGATGGAGTTTACGGAAGCCGAGTCCAACATGAATGATCTTATCTCTGAATACCAGCAGTATCAAGAGGCTCGGGCTGATGATGAAGACGAGGAATATCAGGAAGAGGGGGTGGAGGAGGAGGCAGACGAGTAAGCAGTGGAGGACGAAATCCAGACCTCATATCAGATTCATCTTCTAGATAGACCTAACTCCCTCTAATCAGCATCGACGCTTGAAGGTGATGCACTCACAACCTCAAGGATCCGCACTTACCTACCTGGACCGTAGAAAGAACATTGGCTTGGCGATGCTCCGTGCCTATGTTAAGAATGATCTAAGTCGCTACCTGAATTGCACGTCATAGTCGCCAAGACCGATGGTGTGTTTCCTTTGGTCTCCGGAGGGAGTAAAAAAACCAATATCAAAGGTAGTTACTTGTGCTCTCCAGTGACAGGAAAAACTAACGAGCCGCCACGTACCAGTCCTCACGATAGATGCATGTAGAGTTGAGAGACTGTCTGAAAGGGACACATAACCATATTCTCTACCCATTCATTTGTTGATAGTAGTTTCAAGAGTGGCATATCCGTCTCAGCTGCCTTCATCTACATTTGTCACGACTGTACCTTCCAACATATTAATCATCACCCAATGGCAAAGACTTGCATCTGTTGGTGTCATTTAAAGAATCAAAGGCACTTCTCTGGATCGGTATTGATCAAAGACTGTCTTCATATTGGTATTCTGTGCATGAATCTTCTTGCATTGATAGCACTATTTTGAGTATTCAATCAAGTCACGTCATACCATCGGCTGCAGCATCGGAACCAGCATTGACTGTGTCATACCCCACGGCTGCTGTACCGCATTGTTATCTTGGACGGGCCAACAGCGGTGTCGACTGCTTGGGGGTGGGAAGCCCGTCCAATCACAGTGCATCACACATGCTGTCAGACCGCCCAGATGATTAGCGTGTCCACGGAATGATCAGCTGAAGTGCTGACCAGAGGCAGCACATGCACGTAAAGCATTAGGCAGGCCTGCAGGCATCTAAATGCCCCGTCGATCGTAGCCCACCCACCCAGGATTATCTCGTCTCTCCCTGAGGCGGCGTGGGCGGCACCTGAGAGGCTTAGCCGTCTCCACTGCTGGCCCCTGTCCGCTGTTCTTGGTTGGTCCATGCGGCATCCGTTGCCTATTTGGGCCTTGCGAATGGCTTCAGTTCATGCGGCGATGACGGTCAGCAAGAGGGATTAAAAAGCTCAAAGCTCTCGTCTTGGTTTTGCACTGCTCTTCTCTCTTTCCCATAGCCCTTCGCCACTCCTCTTGCCTACATCACCCATACAAGCTCTTCCAACTGGCCCTTCCAAGCGGAACCACCTCTTCACATTATGGATTCCTCCTGCCCAGAAGGCAACTTGAAAAATCAAGGCCTGTTCGCAGGGCTCATCGATATTATTTTCCCGGGACTGTCCTATCTACCGCATGCTGCCATAGCTCTCATGTTCGTGAAATACATCGCTGAGTCCTGGGGCCATGTGCTGAGCACTCGGCTGCTGTCTACGGTCGAGATCCGGGCTCACGATGACACGTATAATTATCTCATGACCTGGGTTGCCAAAAACAGTCTCTCGAGGGAGAATCATCGCCTCCTCGCATCTTCGACCATCACCAACGAAGAGTTTGCATGGAACGACGGGACTACCAACAACGACGACCGAGAGTTCGAGAGCGCTGCCGGTGAGGAAGACATCCAGGCAGGCGACATCGCGGGTCTGCGCTCCAAGATATCCTTGTATAATGCTCGACCCCTACGCTGGACCCCGGCCATGGGGCTCCATTTCTTCCGTTTTGAAAACCGCATCGTCGCTTTCACGAGGGCATTTGAGGACAGGGAGACCCTTCCATATGCGCGACGTGCCGAGAGGCTCTTTATTTCTTGCCTGGGCACCGACGCCGGAATCCTCAAGCGAATCGTGAACATCGCTCGCCTGGAGTACTTGGAGAGCGAGAGGGGCAAGATTAGCATTTACCGCGGCACCAAAATCAGCAATTTTGACATGACTTGGACCAAAGCCATGTCTAGGGCAGCCCGGCCCATGTCAACCATTGCCCTCGATGAGTCGATCAAGGAGCACTTCGTGCAAGACCTGCAGCGCTATCTCAACCCCAAGACCAAGACTTGGTATGCCACCAGGGGCATCCCGTACCGGCGCGGCTATCTCTTCTCCGGTCCGCCAGGCACAGGCAAGACTAGCTTGACATTGGCAGCAGCGGGGTTGATGGGTCTCGATATCTACATGATCAACCTCAACTCTCCAAGTCTCACAGAGGACAGCCTTTCCAACTTGTTTCAGAGCCTACCGCGCACCTGCGTCGTCTTGCTCGAGGACGTAGACGCGGCGGGCATAACGCACAAACGCGCTCAAGAGCCCGAGGACGGCGGCGATGCAGAGCCGAGCCAAGGCCAGCAGCGCCGCGAACGCATCTCGCTCTCGGCGCTCCTCAATGTCATTGACGGTGTGGCTGCCCAGGAGGGCCGAGTACTCGTAATGACTTCAAATCACACAGACAAGATCGACCCTGCCCTGCTGCGGCCCGGGAGAGTAGACTTCTCTATCAGATTTGGCCTAGCAACGTCTGGCACCGTCCACAAGATTTTCAAACAAATGTTTGATGCTTTAGACATTATTTCCGAACCGTGTTCAATTCGCAAGAATATCTCGGCGGACTCGGACCAGCATGTAAGCAGTGAGAAACTAGAGCTGTTGAGCCAGCAGCAGAATGCCGTTGAAGAACTCGAGGTTGGGAGCACCACTCTGGACGCACTGGCGGAAGAGTTCGTGAGCAAAGTTCCAGAACTCGAGTTCAGCCCTGCAGCAATTCAAGGATTTCTCCTCACTCATCAAAACGATCCGATGGGCGCTGTTTCTAGTGTAGAGGAGTGGGTACAAAGACAACGGATTGGGAACGCGGACGCCGGAGTGAACTCTCCTCGAGATGTTCAGGATTCAGATGCAAACACAACACTTGTGCATACCGAAGATGATGCCGAAAGAGACACCAGCAACAGATCTCAGTGAGTTAGATACATGGCTGGTAGCAGGAAAACATGAGGACACATCTCTTTTACGGCAGCTTGGTTTTCGAGTGCTTAGCATAACACGAGGCACAAAATCTGCAACTGGGAGATGTATCTACTTCAGCCGGAGTTATGTGGACAATTCATGAGCAAACGAACCCAATACTTCTGTGTATACAAGGCGGCAAAACCTGTTTCTTCTTGGCCGTGAGGTATTGATAGGATTGAAGGCGCCGGACGTGCCAAGCACTCCTAAAATCGGTGTCATGAGACCCACGTTTTGACTATTTAGGAAAGTAATCTCTTACAGTAGTGGCAAGCCTTAAAGCCTGCTTGTGATAGGACACTCGGAGGAACTTAACTCAACCGTCGGGTTGAAGATGTTGACTGTCGAGAAGTCGCGAAGGGTTTTGCTTTAGTACATAAAGGTGATATCCTCACCTCGGCACGGACGTCGCGGATTGTTCCAAAGCCAATTTCTTTTATCAGCAAGGTCGAATTCCCCATGATGACCGCTTCCATTGATATGACGCCAAACTACGGCGGTAGCGGCAACATCTTCTTCAAGTCCCAGATTCGCGCAAAGCAGCCCAAGTTCCCAAACGACCTCGACCTGTCTGGCCAGGTAGCAATCGTAACGGGATCGTATGGAGGGATCGGATTTCACTGCGCGCACCAACTCCTCAACTTAAAGCTGTCACGGTTGATCATCGCAGTCCGCTCGGTGGACAAGGGCCAGGCGGCCGCAGCTGAGCTGGTGAGGGAGTTTCCGGATGCCACGATAGATGCCTGGGCTCTCGACATGACTTCTTACGGATCATGCCAGTCCTTTGCTGCCAAGGCGGAGGCGGAACTTCCGCGTCTCGACATCGTTATCCTCAACGCCGGCGTGTTCAAGGCTGACCACAGTATTGTGCCGTCCACCGGTCACGAAGAGTCGGTTCAGGTCAACTACCTATCAACATTCATGCTGGCCATCATGTTCTTGCCTCTCCTGAAGGCCAAGTCACCCCCTGGAAAGCCCGGAAGGCTGACGATGGTTGGCTCCAGCGTCGCCCTCTATGCGAAACTCGAAGAACGGAATAAGAGGCCGTTCCTCAAAGCCATGGACGCTCCGGAAGAAGGCCAGAGGTGGAGGCCCGACGAGCACTACCCAAAAACGAAGCTTCTGGGCCACCTGGGCCTTGTAAAGCTCAAAGACTGCATATCGGCCGACGATGTCGTTGTCAACATCGTAGATCCCGCACTCGTCAGGGGCACAAGCCTGCACCGCGGCTTCTCCGGAGCCTTAGGAGCCGGGTTCGCCTGGGTCAAGTCTCTGGCCGGGAGGACACTCGAAAGCGGCGCGTCGACACTCGTGGACGCTGCGGTGGTGAAGGGCAAGGAGTCGCATGGCTGCTATGTCATGGACTGGAAGATCAGTCCGTAAGTACATGTGCCTGACTTTTGTCCGTGGAGTCCTCTGTATTGTAATATTTGAGCATGTTTCGAAGAGACTTGATGACTAACGTGCGATTCGCAGATTTGCGGCCATTGTCTACTCCCTCGAGGGCAAGGAGCTCACAGACGTGCTGTGGGACGAAACGCTGACTGAGCTTGATTTCATCAACCCACAGGGCATCCTAGCTTCGCTCAGAGATTAAGTGCGGCACCAGCTTGTTTCCAAATTGACCCCACCAGCGTCGTTTTCATTTTGGAGATGGAATATCCTGTCCAAATGAGGAGATACATGGTCTTTTCAACGTTTCATGTCATTTATCAAGAAAACTTCCTCGAGTCGAGGACAAGGGCGACTTCAAATCAAGTCCCTGCTCTATGCGAGCGAATAGGGAATGGCGTAACGGGGAAGTCCTTCCCCTAGTGCAGCATGCAGGGTCCAGGGTAGGTAGGAAGTGGTTGAATCGCACAAATCTCGGCTTATTTCGAACAAGCTCATATTAAGGGCCAACAAGAAGTGGATATATACTTCGTATATCTTGTAGAATTCACCGAGTCTACTTGTACTCGTTGGAAAAGCAGATTGCTTGTGGTCGGAGGTTCTTGAAGGTCCAACATCTCCACAACGATGACACAGTAGTGCCAAACCTCATGTTCGAAATCAATGTGTAATACAGAAAGCAATAACCGCTGCATCGACAATATGCAACTAATGCCAAGTCTTTCCCTCCCCCGTACACGGGAGCGGCCGAATCATGGCGTCGTCAGCCGTTCGGGAGCCCCATTCAGGGCCCGCTGCAAAAGGACCGTATCAACCCATTGCCCATGCTTGAAGCCCACCGCGCTGAGTGTTCCCACCACCTAGAACCCAGCCTTGCGATGCACCGCGATGGAGGCCGTGTTGCTGCTGTTGCCAACCACCGCCAGCATCTGACGCCAAGTCCCTGCCGCCTCGCACTGCCTGACCAACTCCCCGAGTAGCCGCGAGCCCACCCCCTGGCTTGCCATCCCCTGGCGCAGGTAAATGGCGTCCTCGACCGTGAAGAGGTATGCGCTGCGCGGTCGGTAGGTTGAGACGTAGGCGTAGCCGATGATCTCTCCGCCGCCGCCGCCGCCGCCGTCGCCGTCATGGCGCTCGGCAACGATGTACGGGTACCCGGCCGTGGTGATAGCCTGGAAGCGCGCCAGCATCTCGGGGCCGTCTGGCGCCGCCTCTTCAAAGGTTGCGATGCTGTGTTGCACGTACCAGGCGTAGATCTGCTGAATGGAATCAATATCTCTGGGCTCCGCCTTTCGTATGACACATGGGGCTGCCATCTTGTTAGACGATGTTCCACGTCGGGGAGATAGCCCGTAACTGACTCGTGTTGCGAACCCCCACCAGCATTTACCTTGTAGAAACTAGCTCCACCAGCGTCCGGGGTTGCATGCCTCGAAACGGGGTTGTAGACGGATAAGGTACACTGGCGTGCGGATGCAGCACCACTAGCTCCCGTCAAGCTGGCATGGGGGCATGAACCGTCCTCCCCCGGATTACGACGTATCTTGATCGTTCTGGGGTCTGGGTTGGCTCGCTGGTCGAGAGCAGTCATTGAAGCACGAAAAGCGTTCAATCCTTTCGGAGAGGCAGGTAATTTTGCGATTTCTTTGGGATTCTGGTGCTAGAACAAGGGGATGGTATCTCGCCAACAACACATCTCGGTTGGACCGCAACTTTGCTATTGCATCCGCTCCTGTCCGACCTTGGCCGCATGCTCTACTCCATCGGCGACCTCGGCAGGTTTCGAGAGGAAGGGCGAATGGGAGGCCTTGACATGGAAGCTGGCAGCGTTTGGTCCCAGTAGTCCGGCCATGCCCTCCTGTACCTGAAGAGGCAGCGCCTTGTCGTCATCACAGAAGAAGTACATGCACTCGATGTCGTGCCAGGGCTCGTATTTGACACCGTCAGAGAAGACAGGAGCTGATTGATGTTTCAGCGCCGCAATTGCCTTCTTTTGACCGTCTTCGTCAACGTCGTGGTAGAAAACGACCTCGGGCGTTTCCGCATAGACATGATTGCCCTAAAAGCATCCGTGTGTCAGGAGTGTCATCTTGTTTTGAAGCCCAGGATGTCCGCCGTGAAATGCAGAAGTTGAACAAGTACTTACTTGGAAGTTCATCCAGGGCAAAGGCTGACCACCCAGCATCTCGATAATGCTCTTGCCCAGTGGCGTAACGAATGCCGCCAGATACACAAACATGATCACACCTCCGGTCTTCCCCTGCTTGGCGCGTTGCTTGTAACCCAGGCCCTCGACGGCATTGGCACCAACTAGGCCACCGTACGAGTGTACGACAAGCACAATGGGCTTGCCCTCATCGGCGAGCCGTTGAAGAGTCTCGCGAACAGCTGCCGCATCGTCCGAGAGCCCCTTGGTGGGCGGTTCGGCACCGACAGAGGGATATTCGACAACTTCGACCGTCCAGCCGCGTGCTGTAAGTGCATCCCGGGCAGGATCAAAGCAGTTTGCAGTGTGCCATGCGCCAGGGGCAAATACAATGGTGGGTTTGACGGAGGACATGGTGCTATGGTGTGATAGCTTTTCTATGAAAATGCTGTGAAAGGTCGAGTATCAGGGTATAAGTTGAGAACGATCGAGGTTACGAAGTCCATATCCAAAGCGGTACTCGGCGTTGTTATTATGTGTTCGACCTACAGTGATATATGGCTGCCACGAGTCGCGGCCACAACGCCTTGTGACCCTCGCGCTTGTGGGATTCCTTACCCTAGTGCCTTGCAGACAGTACTAACCAGCTTCTTTCTAGATTCTCCATTAGGTGCGTTAGTCCATCACGGACCGTTCCAAGTAACTTTTAATTTTTTCCATAAAAGTGGGAATTCTGATACGTACGCATTGCGTCAAGGTTTGATGGACTTGCCAGGGGCCTGGACCAACATGTGTCTCGTGAGATTTTTCGGCATACATCAGCCCTGTCAGCAGGGGTGCGAGTCAGGAAGACCGGAAAAAAGGAATAGACAGATAAATATGCCATGAATAGGGGCACAGATATGTCCTGACCTTGTACGGAGAGAACTCCTCTTCCGGGTTGACAACGGAGAGTTACAAATCTCTCCTCACGAATGACCAAGAGAAGAAACGTTCCGCCCTCTGGGCTCTCCAGATATTCAGCTGCACGACGCACAAGAAATAGCTCGAGAAGTTGCTTAAGGGCGGCATCGCCTCATCGAATGCCTCCCTGTTGTGAGTGACTCCATTCTCTCGACCAGCGCGACAGTTCAATGGATACGGCGACGATCTATCCGCGTGTTGGCCCGCTCGTCAATGATCGGGCCAGAGAGCTCAACGGCACCACCACGGCACTCCTCGTGCTTGCGACTGTTTTCGTCGGCTTGCGTTTCTGGGCTAGGCATATGCGACTCGGCATTGGTCCCGATGACTGGATGACGGTGGCCGCCTTGGTAAGTAGCAATAACGAAGCGAGGAAGGCCAGACAGCTCCTGACGGTCTGTAGGTGGTTGTTTACATAACGGGTGCGATAAATTATGCCAGTGAGTCTATTCCTTTCCTGATACTCACTTAAGCGCCGTCGTCCTGACCTTCGTGACGCAGTGATTGCTCACGGACTCGGAGCTCCCGCCGCGACTGTGCCGCAAGACGACCTCATCATCTTCTTCAAGCTTCTCCTCGCCTTCGAATGCATATACGTTACCGCGGTGCTGTTGGTCAAGCTGGCTCTGCTGCAGATGTACATACGGATCTTCCCGTCGCGCGGCTTCAAGATCGCGGCCTGGATCATCGGCGCAACCGTGGTCGCTTGGTGGATCTCCATCAACGCTGTTTGCATCTTCCAGTGCAACCCTATCAAGAGAGCATGGATGCCCTGGTTGCAGGAAGGGTCATGCATCAACCTAAAGGCATCTTTCATCGGCAATGCCATTCCCAATATCCTGTCGGATGTGGCTATCTTGTGTCTGCCGATAAGACAGGTCTGGAAGTTGAACGCCAACCTGACCCAGCGAGTGTCTCTGTGCCTCATGTTCTTGACTGGTAGCTTGTAAGCTATGGGGCTAACCCCAGTCTCCCTCGTCCCTGGCACTGACAAGACACCAGCGTCATGTTTGCCAGCATATATCGATTCACGACCATTATGCAGTTTGATCCCATCGATACGACAGGTTAGTCATCCAGGATCCAGCTTCGAGGCCAAGGATTTGGTTACTCACATCTCAAGCAGGTACTCTTGCCACAGCTTGTACCTGGTGCGTGGTTGAGGTGGCTTGCGGCACCATTGCCGTCTGCTTACCGACCCTCCGGCCCCTCATGCTTAAAATCTCCAGCCAGTTCGAAAGCCGATCTACCAGCAAGGCGGCAAAGAGTGGCAGATCCGCCGGGGCCACGGAGCTTGTTACCATTGGTGGAGCAGGAGGCCCAAAGTCGGGACCGAAACATTTTCAACGACTCGAGAATGACTACAGGTTCGATACCGACACACAACGTGTGGAAAAGCATCACGGCAATAGTGACTCGGGATCGGGAGACGAGCTTCCACTGAACGGCACAAGAAATACCTGAGTTTCGCGAGGTCCAGTAGCTTTCAATGTGCTTATGCGCAAGCTAAGAGGGCTTGTGACAGATGTCTACCTCTGGTCCATTTACAAGCTTCTAGAATTGCTGTAGATGCTCCTGTCGCTAGAGGGCTGTAAGAACTTGGATGGAACGCTTAGCATTCAAGGGCGTCGGGATCTGTTCTCAGACTGATATACACCATCGACCGGCTTATCAAGACAGCCAAGACTTAAACTCGCTCGGGAGAAGAATTGAGGCAATATCAAAGCGCGACTATGCTAGGAAATGTCGCTCAATAAGCTCTGCCAGACAATTCAGAACCCTGGTTCGCGGAACTGCCCGGCCAAGGCCGGCATATGCACGCCCCGGAAGTAAACACAACAGTTGATAATGGACTAAATAGCTACAGTTCCTTCGTCTTCACGATACCACAGACTCCAAGTCGATTTTTACTGTTGCGTTATGGCGTGATAGGAATCAAAGACCTATGGAATCGCCTCTTCCTCTTCATCCTTTTGATAATACGGCCTTACAGCGATCCCGTTGTGTGCAAGTTTGTCTCTAACTATCCGTAACAATGTCCACAGCAGTTGCTGCTTTACAGGAGTCAAGTCTCTCTGGGGAACCGGATCAAGGACATGTGGCCAAAAAGGTACAGGCCCTGTCTCGATTGCCCAATACTATGAGGAGGTCTGACATTTTGACCCAGGAGACAAGTCACAGCTTAGCTGATCGACCCACGGACGAGAGGGTGGAAAAGTACGAACGGTCAATCAAGCCTATTATGTCTAGCAAGATACTGATGTGGGTCAACAGCGCTCTTAATGTCACTGAGGGAGACCTCAATGAGGCCAAGGCTACGGCGAATGCAATGTCACTCGAAGAGGTGAAGGCAGTATGTCAGCATCCCCCTTTTCTTGCTTACCTCAGTGCTAAAGCTTCATCTTACAGCTGATGACGAATGTGCTGAAAATGCACAACAACGACCCCAACTTCCCGTATCCAGTTTTGGAAAAGATCAAGGGTTTCCTGGGTAGGTCTGTATCTGGCAATGGCCATTGGGCAGCATAAAAGCTGATGGCGGGACCATAGGAAACGACAACGTCTTTGCAGAGCCGGAGAAGCATGAGGACTTGATCTATGAGATGAAGCTCGAAGCAGCCCTGATTACCAATAACAGCCCTTACTCCGAGGTGCGTTCCGTCGTCGATAATCACGACGACCCGTCTACGCCCTGCTCCACCATCCGTGCGTGGATCATCGGACTCGTCTTCTCGGTCATACTCGGTTTCATCAACCAGCTGTTCTCGATTCGACTACCTGCCATCTCTGTGACTGCCAACGTGGCACAGCTTCTATCATATCCTCTCGGTAAGGCCATGGAGTGGATGCTGCCCGATTGGGGTGTCACCATGTTCGGCAGCCGCATCAGTCTGAACCCAGGACCGTTCAGCCGTAAGGAGCATATGCTTATCACCATCATGGCGAATGTTGCATATCAGACGCCTTACACAAGTTCTATCATTTGGACACAGTATTTACCTCAGTGTGAGCATCATCCCTTCTAACCGAGAAAAAGACTCTTTCAGAGATACACGCTGACCATTAGACATCATGTAGACTTCAACCAGTCCTACGCTGGACAGTTTAGTTACCAAATACTCATCGCTCTCGGCACAAGCCTCATCGGATATGGCCTGGCTGGTCTGACGCGTCGCTTCTTAGTCTACCCAGCATACTGTGTATGGCCAGCGTCACTCGTCACCATCGCACTGAACGCTGCCTTCCACACAGACAGGAACTTGCCGATACGGGGACCATGGAACATAGTCTGGAGAGCCTCCCGTCTCAAGTTCTTCCTTGTTGCCTTCGCCGCAATGTTTGTGTACTTTTGGTTCCCCAATTACATCTTCCAGGCGCTTTCGATATTCAGCTGGATGTCATGGATCGCCCCGGACAATGTTAAGCTGAACTCCATCGTCGGATTTCAGAACGGCTTGGGCCTCAACCCGTGGCCGACATTTGACTGGAACATTCTCCTCTTTGACGGTACGGATCCGCTCATGGTACCATTCTTCGCCACGGCCAACAAGACCCTGGGCATGTTCATTGCCGGGTTCCTGGTGCTCGGCCTGTGGTACTCCAACGCGTACGGAACGGGACACCTGCCCATGATCAGCAACCGGATCTATGACAACACGGCCAAGCCCTACAATGTCTCGCGGGCCATCGATGACCGAGCCATCTTTGACAAGACCAAGTACGAGGCTTACTCGCCGGCCTACCTGACTGCTGGTAGCGTCACCACATACGCGTGCTTCTTCGCGATCTATCCTGCAACGCTCATGACCATCCTCCTGTTTCACCGTTACGAGATACGCATGGGATGGAACAGCCTCGTCAACAGCTTTCGCAGGAAGAAGAAGGCGGAGGCCGGGCAGTATCAAGACGTCCACAATCGCCTGATGGCCAAATACCCGGAAGGTTGGTGCTTGCGCTCTCCGAGGGCTAGTCCTCGCAGAGTCTTCCAGTGCTAACATGCATGCTTACGACGCAGTCCCGGAATGGTGGTACGCCATCGTCCTCCTCGCCGCCATCGGCTTCAGCATCGGCGGCATAGCCGGCTGGCAGACCTACACGACGCCGGGCGTCGTCTTCTACGGCATCGCGCTGTGCCTCCTCTTCGTGATCCCGGTCGGCATCATCAAGTCGATGACGGGCATCGAGGTCACGCTCAACGTGCTGGCCGAGTTCATCGGCGGGTCGTGGGTCGAGGGCAACGCGCTGGCCATGAACTACTTCAAGTCGTTCGGCTACGTGACCTGCGCCCACGCCGTCTGGTTCGCCAACGACCTCAAGCTCGCGCACTACCTCAAGATCCCGCCGCGGCACACCTTCTGGGCCCAGGTCGCCGCCACCGTCGTCTCGACCTTTGTCTGCACGGGCGTGCTCAACTTCCAGATGAACCAGATCCCCGGGGTGTGCACGCCCAACGCGCCGAACCGGTACGTCTGCCCGGGCATCAACACCTTCTTCACGGCGTCGGTGCTGTGGGGCACCATCGGCCCGAAGAAGGTCTTTGGCGCGGGGGGCCAGTACACGGCGACGCTGATCGGGTTCCCCCTGGGGCTCGCGTTGCCCCTGGTCTTCTGGCTCGTGCAGCGCCGGTTCAAGCAGCGGTGGATGCGGCAGATCCACCCGATCGCCATGCTGTACGGCGGGATCGTGTGGGCGCCCTACAACATGAGCTACACCTGGCCGGCTGTGCCGATCGCGTGGCTGTCGTGGATCTACATGAAGACCCGGTTCTTGGGGCTCTGGGCCAAGTACAACTTTGTCCTGTCGGCGAGCCTGTCGTCGGGGATCGCTATTGCGGCCATCGTTCTGTTCTTCACGCTGCAGTGGAAGCAGATCACCTTGGATTGGTGGGGGAACAACGTGGTCAATCAGGGCTGCGAGGGAGAGGCTTGCGTCTTGTATCCTCTGGCAAACGGCACTCATTTCGGTCCTGGACCGGGGGAGTTTCATTGAGTTGATGGACGGGATTGGGTATCGGCACGAGGTGTGCGATGATTGCTGGAGGAGGGAGGGAAGGTATTGGTCCTAGTATCGTCTATTTTGGTATCTTTCGTTATTCATCTCTTTGCATTACAGCTCAGCCCTAACCAACTCCGAATCGCCTGCTTTGTAGTGTCGCCCAGGCCATCTCGTGCCATTGAGACTTTCTCGTTCCCACAATCTTAGAATGGACGACCCTGCACCGGTACCTTCATTTCCCTCTTCCATACTTGATCGCAAGCTCGAAGGCTTGAGCGAGGTGCTCATCAGCGGCGCCCTGTGACTCCGAGACCCATTGGCTGAGAGCTTCCCTATGGAGTCAAGACTCTGTTCGATGGACGAGATCTCTCCTGGGCCATGCATGGACGATCTGCCGGTGGTCATCTTGCCTGAAAAGGGCGAGTTCTCCCGGCAGCAGTCACCCCAGCCTCGAGTCGAATCATGCGGTCCTGGACAAGTGCGACCTTGGTGATGGCAACACGCCTCCTTCAGCCCTTCTTAACATTATCTAGGTACTCCTTGCCGGCCTTTGTACCATCGTGCGCCTTGCGGAAGAGCTGTCTTTCCCACTCGTCCAGCCCTCGTAGGAACTCCTCTCCAGCACCACCAACGCCGAGGTTGCTGCCCTCCTCTTTCCCCCGGCCAACTCCACCACCAGCCTTGCGAGCGTGTAGCCCAACATCGTTCGCGCGTACGACAAAGGTCTTGCGTACCACGGCGCCCAGCTCGGGCTCCTCGAACAGGTCCAGCATACGCGTCGCGAGGCCGTAGAAGTGCGGGCTTTGATCGCGGAGAGTGACGGCGCGGGGATCGGCCTTGAGAGCCTGGACGACATCGTTGGACAGAGCCGGAGGGAGGTTCAGGGAGACAAAGGAGCGGCCCTCGTCTGGGTCGTCTGCCCTAGAGGTGTTGGCGAGGGCAAGCATCTCGGCGAGCCAGAGGGGGAGGCCGATCTTGGTGCCGGCCTTGAGAGCATGAGCGGGGTTGTTGTCGAGGTATCCTAGCTCTGGCACATCAAGGTTGAACTCGCAGGGGACTTTCTATCGAGGGGAGAAGTGAGTGTCAGCATGGTGTTGTCTGGGTTGGACTGAGAACCAAAGGTCATGTCTGTACCTCAGCATCAGTGAGAATGGCATCTATGTCGTAATAGGACATCTTGGAGGGCGGTTCCTTGAAACGACAGGACAAACACACACACAGGCCTCTTTCAATCCAAGTTGGCACCGCCTTCACAGAAAGACAATGGCAAGTACACCTCCACAAGCTATCACCACCTGTGCAGTCCTCCAAATGCAACGCGACGTGGACTTGTTTTTGGTGGAGTGAATCGCCCAAAGGCGCGACTGTGGCTCTCTCCACTCGCTATCGTTATCGCCTAGACAAGCCAACCAGCACTTTGCAGCAGCATCATGCAGGCGGAGATAGTGGGAGCCACAGCGGCACAGAGTGTCTGCTTAGTGAGCAAAACTACAAAACTGGAGTCTGTCCAGGGGGGTCCTCAGAATGACGACACTGTGACTGAGGGAGCATTGGAGCATTTGGAGCTCGGGCCAACCGCCCTCGGATTTTCGAGGCCTGCCAGTCGTGATTCGGCCTGGTTTGACATCATTAGCCGAGCTTCCATCAGTCATCGCTGCGACTCAAGAACCTCCAAGAACCTTCAAAGCTCCACTGCCGCTCTCTCGATCCCCCGGCCCAATTCCTTCCAAAGAGTCGTCCGTTCCTCCGGTTAGAAGAGTAAGTCAAAGTCTACATCATCAGCAAACACTGCATCGTCTTCCAATTCTATCATAAACCGCGCCTTCGCTTCCGCGACTTGAATTGACCAGCCACAGCTTCACAGCTCTTTTGAACGCAACAGATCAACCACAATGGCCTCGACCCTCATGCGAACCACTCCGGCCCTGCGGGGAGCCCTTCGATCCCGCGCCATGAAGCCCGCTGCTGCCATGGCCAGCACCACCTTTGTCCGTGGCAAGGCCACCCTGCCCGACATGCCCTGTACGTGTGCAGAACTCGTCCATTGACCAAGTGTCGCCGCACTGGACAGCGCCCGAGATTCACGTCCCCGAAGTTATCGCCGCGGAGCTAACCACAATGCCCTTTCTGCAGACGACTATGGCGCGCTCGAGCCTCACATCTCCGGCCAGATCATGGAGCTGCACCACAGCAAGCACCACCAGACCTACGTCAATGGCCTGAACAGCGCCCTCGACTCGATCGCCGAGGCCGAGGGCAAGGGCGACTACACCAAGGCCGCCTCCCTGGCTCCTCTCCTCAACTTCCACGGCGGTGGTCACCTGAACCACTCCCTCTTCTGGGAGAACCTGGCCCCCGCCAGCCGTGACGGTGGCGGCGAGCCCGACGGTGCTCTCAAGGTACGTGTCCTTCTTTAGTTTTCCATCTTTTCCCAGCCACCTTCTACGATATTTCTCGCGAGCTCTGCTAACCAATAACTTGCCTTGCTGTAGAAAGCGATCGACGCCGACTTTGGCAGCTTCGACACCTTCCGCAAGCAGATGAACACCGCCCTCGCCGGCATCCAGGGCAGCGGCTGGGCCTGGCTCGCCAAGGACAAGTCGGCCGGCAACCTGCAGCTCGTCACCCGCGCCAACCAGGACCCCGTCACCGGCAATCTCGTCCCCCTGCTCGGCATCGACGCCTGGGAGCACGCCTACTACCTGCAGTACCAGAACCGCAAGGCCGAGTACTTTGACGCCATCTGGAACGTCGTCAACTGGAAGACCGTCGCCGAGCGCTTCGGCAAGGCTTAAGCCGACCCATGGCTCGGAGCGTGTAAGCGAATCTGGTGTGTCGGGAGAGGTTCTTCCTCCTGAATCAAGAGTCTACCGCAAGGGCCGAATGGCGTGCGATAGACTTCATGTATAGCAAGTAGTTTGGCAATACAAAGTCACTGAAGTGTGCAAATACTGTATTGGACTCCCTCTCGTGTTTATTGGCTGGCCCGGGGCGCGCCCCGGGTCCGATGGCTTAAAGTGAGCTTGTCTGGCAACACTCGCTGGCATCAGGAATATCGGGTTCCGCACCTAATACGGCCAACAGTCTGGTCCCCAGCCCACGCGGAGGGCAACCAAGGACTTAATCCCACAAACGCCCCGCCGACCTTCCCGAACGGCTCCGAACTCTCACTCCGCCTCGTTGAAATCCAGTAACCTTTCCACGCTGCCGTTTTTATTTCTTTTGGCATGCCAGACTGGACTTCCGCAGCCTTTGTGCAAGCTCATCGGTGGAGGTCCCTTAAGAAAAGCCTCGAGCGGGTCGGTGTCCGAGTGAGCTACCTGATTTAGCTCAAAGATGTGGCCATTGGAATCCTACGGGCACGACATACATGTAGTCAGGACCAGACCCAATTCAAGAGTCCGAGTTCAACTTGGGCGGGAGAAGGTCTTGGATCTCATTGCTCACCATTCTTGTATTAGAAGACTTGTGATGAAGCACAGGCTACGGACCTGGGTCAGGAATCAGCGGTCTCGAGTCACTGATGTTCAACTCAAGTCCCACCGAGATATCAATATCAAACGGCCTCTATAACAGCCCGTAGCACCAGTCCATTGTTTCCGCGTTTGCATAGAGGCTGAGGAAGTGGTAAGCGGGGAGAGTGGCCCGTCTGTCCGCCTCCTCGTAACTCGCCGTCTCAACGCTAAACGATAACGAAAGCGAAGACTCAACCCACCTTACCGAACCAGGGGGGTTTCCGCAGACGGGGACTACTTGTACCTGTATTAATTTGATCCATGAACGATTCAAGCTGGTTCCTAGTCAATAACTAGCCTCGTGGCAACGGTCGGGCAAGCGAGATGGTGGCGGTCATTCTGCGTGGAGGATCGTTGTTGGTTGAGGTGGACCGACCTCGGGGGGATATAAAGCTGCATTCTTGGCGCCTGTCATTCAAAAGATCCTGGAGATTGACATCTCACTCTCTGTCCGACTCCCAAAGCTTGGCACTTGCCTCTTCAGACGCCCAAGATGCATCTCAAGCAAGCACTGCTCCCAGCGAGCTGCCTCCTGGCCAGCTCGGTTAGTTCCACTTTGCCTTACCCTCCTTGACTTACCTTTCTACTAACAACATTGTCTCTGGCGTCCAGCTCGCGGCGACCAACAGTACCTCCAACAGCACGGCGCCCATGTTCGCCCAGTCCTCTGACCCCCAGTTCGCCTTCTACTTCCAGGAACTGCTGGCCCTCGCTAATGGCGCCGCCGGCTCCAACACGGGCGAGGTCCTCCGAGCCGCCTCGCAGATTGTCCCCGGCGACTTCGAGTCCTTCTACTCCGAGTTCAAGTTCCTCGCCGACGCCATCCACGAGCAGGGAGTCCAGGCCGAGGCCAAGGGGTATAACATCTCGGCCAGCTCGGCCTACTTCCGCTCGGCGTCCTATTACCGCGCCGCCGACTTCTTCATCCACGGCAACGTCAGCGACCCGAGGCTCTACACGCTGTGGGATAAGCAGATGGCCGACTTTGACAAGGCCACCGCCCAGCTGCCCGCCCCCGCCGAGCGCGTTACCGTCCAGGCGTCCAACTTTACTATCCCGGTCATCTTCTACCCGGCCCATCCACACACGCGGCGGAGGAGCGGTAGCAAGAAGAGTTGCTCGCCCGAGCGCCGCATCCCGACCCTCCTCGTCGGCAGCGGCTACGACGGCGCCCAGGAGGCCCTGTACCACAGCATCTGCTACGCCGTACTCGCCCGCGGCTGGAACTGCGCCACCTACGAGGGGCCCGGCCAGCCCACCGTGCGCCGGCAGCAGGGGCTCGGCTTCCGGCCGGACTGGTGGTCCGTCGTGACCCCCGTCGTCGACTACCTGCACACGCGGCCCGACGTCGACACGCGCCGCGTGGCCCTCGGCGGCTGGTCGTTCGGCGGCACGCTGGCGCCCCTCGCCGCGAGCAGGGAGCGCCGCCTCGCGGCCGTGCTGGCAGTCGACGGGCTCTGGGACCTGCTCGACGCGCAGCTGCCGGGCATGCCGGGGTTCATGCGCGCCGCCTTCGAGTCCGGCAACGGCACCGCCTTCGACGCCGTCGCGTGGGCCGTGTACAGGTCCCCCGAGGCGCCGAGCTTGTTCCGCTGGGCCATGGACCAGGGCCTGTGGGCCTTCAAGACCGACAGCCCGTACGACTGGCTGCGCCAGCTGGGCATGTACAACCTCGAGGGCGGCGTGCTGGACGCGGTCGAGGCGCCGCTGTTCGTGGCCTCCGGGCAGCACGACACCATGGCGCCGGGCCAGGCGGAGATCGTGGCCAAACACCTGAAGCCGGAGAAGGGCGATGCGTACGTGCTGTTCAAGACGGAGCTGGGCGCCGGCGAGCACTGCCAGCTCGGCGCTGAGGGGCAGCTGGCGCTTCAGGCGCTGGACTGGCTTGCGGGCGTGTTTGACAGGGTCGGGTCGGCGACGAAGGGGATGTAGGGAGGCAGCTGATCTGGTCAAATTGAGCTTGAAGGGGAGGCATTGTTATGATCGAGCAGACTTGTTATCCTCGGGTTGTTGGAGTTTGGTTCGCGTTATTCGGGACCTGCTGAACTCTAGAGCCTGGTCAGCTGTGAACCTTGCCGCGAGCAACTTCTCTCGCCGTGGCGACCAATCCTGTGCAGCCAGGCACCTGTGGATAGCACATACCTTCTTGCCTAGATAGATATGATTCATGATGAGCCTAGAGCCATGACAATAGACACACATTCTTCAGAGGCCTGGCAGGCGAGCTCTGTTGTGAACTGAAAGGTTCCGCTGTCGCGTCTAGCTTGCGCCATGGCTTGACGCTGAAAGGAAGCTCCTGTGGATCTTTAGCGGATCTCTCAGCCTTCAAACAGTGGGCTCAGGTCCTGCGCTAGCCAGGGGTGTCAGATCATCTCCAGCCGAATGGGTACAGCTTCAGAGCTCATCGCGGATCTCTCCTTTGCGGATCGACGGACGAAGTCTATCTGGCTTTCTTCCAGAGGCAAAGATAGAAGATGCTGGATATGATCTCGGGAATATTGTCATAGATTCTCGCCCAGTAGCGCGTGTTCCTGGCACCACCTCGGAGGCCGTGCTGTGGCGTGGGGGAACTCCCTCCCCCGAGAGACTCTCCCACAACTCGCGGTCAGTCAACGCAACTTCGTAATGCCCTCGCGGGATGCCTCTCCCGCGGCAGCGCCCCCATGGCCAGTAGGATATCGCATTGGCGGTCTGCATATCGGATGGAAAATTTCGATACGACACATGACACCCTCGCGGCGTGGCCTTCACACCACCAGCTCGCCCCAACTGCCGCCTGTGTTCCATTACGATCCCACCAATGTTTCTCCTCCGCGGATGGTGTCCGAGGCGTCGGGATGCAGGCCTGTTCGCCACGGAATGGAGGAGACCACGTTTTGTCGCAAAGTCCGCAAGAGGACCGACCGACTTTTGCTGAGTGCCCAATATCCGGCCCTGGTTCTTGGGTCCTTTTGGCGCCGGAAACAGGGTAAAACGTTGCTCGTCATCGCTTCAAAATCATATGATTTTTGCAAGAGAGCCAAGTACCCCCAAGTGCCCAAGTGGGACAGCACAGCGTCATCGAATGCTTTGACCAGGGCGTGCATTCTGCCAGCGAAGCTGAAGCTCCTCACAAAGAATAAAATTAAAAGCTCGTGAAGATTGTAGTCTAGCACGATCTTTTTGATGCAATGGGCCCATACCCGATGGCCATGTCCCCCCCCTTCTCTGTCCGGCCGCCTCAAAGAACCCTTCTTTCTTCCCACACCCACTGTAATGCCAACAACCACCAAGAGATTCCAAGGGGTGTGCCCGTGCTCCAACACTAGCGACCCTCTTCTGCATGTTTGCGGTGGGGTCACCTGCATGGCTGCTGCGGAAGCTAACGAGCAGACCGCAGGGATATCATCTCGAGCCCTGGTAACGGGCTGGGGTGGTGTCCAACAGCTCACAAGGGAGGCCTGTCGAAACCCAGACCGTTTTGACGCGGGGTTCCCGTGTCGGTCGGAGTGCCTGCAGCTGGCCCATCTCAGGCCACAGAGCCGAGAGAGTTACAAATAGAACGAGTGACACGATGCATATTGTTTTTGGATGAGGACAGGTGATCTGTCCACTCCATATCTGGGAAACTGCACGAGTCCAATCGGTGCATTTATGAGCTGGCAGAGGCCAAAAATTGCCGATGGAGATAGGCAGGTAGCTCTCGATGGGACGGCCGCGGTTCACACACAGTCCCTCTCGTAGCTCGCCCTTGGAAGGCCTGGCAAGTCAAGATGGATCCCTGGATACCCTCCACTACCCAAACGTGCAGCTGGTAGCATGCAAAGTGGGCGTCTGGATAGCTGACGGAAGTTCGTCAGGAGCTACCTCAATCTTAACAATCAATATCCTTGTCACATCCTTGCCCTGGAACTCGGAAGGGCTATCCCACTACCTAAATCCGGGCTTGATGGATAGCCAAGTACTTCTGTTGGCAGTCCGTCAACTAATCTGACCATCACTTGCATGCATTGGCCACTTGGGTGGGAAGCTGAGGAGCGATCAGTGGGGGGTGAGGCCTGAACAGTCCCCTCCATGGCTCTGATGGTGGCCGGACACTTCGGGCGTCAGCCTCGTTTTCTCACGTCATAGAAATTGGAATCTGCTGACAGTAGACATTCGAAGCCCTGACACTCTTTCCTTAATAATAGGTGTAGTGTGTCCGATTTCTCGTCCCTCCGAAGGGTATGACAAAGGCAGAACTCCATATCTCTTCGAGCTGAGCAAAGATCCAGTACGGGAACACGACATTTACATTCTGGAGGCGATACAACCGTCAGAGCCGTCTCCACACTACCTTGTAAGTCAGCGTCCCAAATTCTCATCGCAGTTACCTATCTCTGGACCGGGCCCCCTTCCACCTCCCTGGCTTCCTGCATCACCACGCCTAGTACCCTGTACACCGGACGAACTTGACATGCACCGGAGAGGTAGCTACTGCACTGTTTGCACTGCTTGATGAGCCAAGTCGCGTTCACCGCTAGGTTTCATCCAGCCTTCACCGACTCTTCCGTCAGGCCAATCCAATGGTCTGTGACACGAGCAAAGGCTGCTTGCTGTCCGGGCGTGCGTGTGTACGTGCTTCGCGGGGTAGCAGCTGCTCAGCTTGCCATTCCAAAAAGCAAATCCCACGCGTCCTGTTCCCTCTTCCCCATCCATGCCCACGATGCTACTCTCTGTTTCCAGAAGCTCTCAATGTCTCAGAGCTCCTCCGTCCCTGACTCGCAGATGGACGAAGGAGAAAGGTGGGCCTGTATCTTGGTGACTTCTTGCCGGGGGCGCCCCCATCTTCACTTTGCTCCATTGGGACAGAGGGTGGGAGTAGGTAGACATCTATCTCATGGGCATCGCATCGCAAGGCAGCTGCTCGTTCCTTTTCCTCCCCAACGCCGACTCAAGGAGCTGGCGAGATTGAGACACCAGTCCCTGCCGATAGCGGATCTCGTCGTCTACACAAGTCGGCAAGGGTCCTTCTTCCCGGTGGCTTGTCACACAGCACGCCGATGAGAATTGGCGTCTCATTAGCTAGGAGCTCCTCAAGCTTCGACCCATGGCAAGCCCCCAATCCCATCCCACACCCGTGATCAGTCTGCTAGTCAGACTAGCCTGGCTGTCGCCGTCGCGCCGTTGGGGGGTGGGGACCTTCCCCTCCAAAACGAGGGGGCCAGCTCTTGTAGGAATTGGAGAAGCAAGATGTTCCGGATCTACATTGTCGTCATCAAAATCTACCCTTTCCCTATCTCTGAGTTCCTGGCAGCAGAATTTATCACCACCTAGTTCTGACCGGACAAGGGAGGCACTGGCAGACCAAGCTCGACACTGACACACCACAAGATAGCAGTCACCGCCACCGCACGCCGCCATCCGTAGATCCCTGTAGATCAGACGAGAAGCAAGAGAAGAACTCTGGGTCGAGTTACCTCACCGGGTCCCATCCGACTGTTGCCCACCGCCTTCCGTCCAGAATACTCTACACACCTAGGCTGCTGCCCGCGTGGACCCCCCTGATACCATGTCCGAGCAAGGTCCAGACGCACGAAAACGGGAGGGCAACGGCAGTCCTGGCCAGCCTCCCCGGCACGAGATGCAGTCTGCTCATGCAGAGCCTGCAGAAGCAAATCCTGGTAAGCAGAACATCGCAGAGGCCTTCCTTCCTCACTCTTGCTCTGCCCCCATGTAAAGTACTTTGCGTTCGTACCAGACATCACAAGTCTCTCTCTTCCCCCCCCTTCGACTTCTCTCCCTGCAGTGTCACCAGGCTTGGGGCCCTGCGTCACCGCCTCGCCTTGACCAACCTTGAAGGTACAAAGGGAGAGGCGAGGCCAGCCTGCGAAGGGGTGGGAGCCTAGGATTGGGGGAGCTCTGTGGTTGTACCTTATGACTGCCTTTCCCAGCTCAGGAGCTCCGTACCTGTCAAAGCTCCTGCCATCGCATCTTTTCCCTCCCATCCAGACCTCTCCTTCCTTATTGACATCGACCAAGAACAACAACCATACCTTGCCCTTATCCCACAAACTCTTCCTTTTCCCACAAAACATTTCTTCAATCTCTCCCATCTCATCTTCCCTCTAACATATCCTCCTCTCTTCCTCTTCTCTTTTCTCTCCTCCATCCTTGTCATCACCAATCACCATTCTACCCTTCAACACTGCACATTGCAGTCTTCTTTGTCCCACTTTGAGCCCCAAGCATCGTCTTGTCTGTTCATACATCTCACACATCAACACCAGAAGTCAAAAGTCCATTTGCAGCCTTCCTCAGCAAACACCACCATCAATTTTCACCATCAGCCAGTGGCACTTCAACACCAAGTGACGGAGACCACCACCATCACCGGCTTCGACCATTCATCCGCGCAGTCATGGCGTTCCAGAATGGCCGCAAGTTCTCAACGGGCACTTCGGTGCACCGCAAGCGTCAGATGAGTACTCTCATCGAGAAGGAGGGCCACTTCGGTCCAGCTCTTACTGTGAGTTGTCCTTGAAATCCTCTCACCTTCACCCCCAGACGTTTCTCAGCTGGGTCGCAATTGTGAATTACTGCTCTGTTCTTTCATGAATGCCCATTCTCTCTCTGAACTGGGTTCATCTTTTTGTATCCTTGTGAGAATTTTTGTCCGTCAATCATGCTATGTTATGTGGTTCAGTCAACTAGTTGAATTGTCCATTGACTGCACCGGGCTCAGGGGTGCAAGGCACCGACCCATTGATCTTCGCTCACTGTCGCTTCACCGCAACACCCCTCCAATCCGGTCAGGCAATGTGACTAACACGTCCACCAGACTCTTTTCCTTGGTATATCTGCTGTCTTCTCTGATGACCACACTGCGGTTGTCGCCATTGCCATCCATGACACAGTGTACCTCACCGACTTCTCTGTCCGAAGCATTGTCCTCGACGATGCCATGAGGATGGACACTGACCTCATTGCCGACTATGTCATTGCCGAGGTCGAGCGATATGAGCATGAGAACTTCTCCAAGTTCATTGGAGCTGGCCTCCCCACGACTCTCAAGTACATGAGTCCCAAGCTCTGCTCTCGCCTTTGGCTCGAGCTTGACATTGTTCCCATTGTCATGCGCCCGGACGATGAGCACAAGGATAGGAACTTCTGGGACGCTAAGAACGTTGATGAGCAGGCCGACTCGATGGCGCGCAAGTGCATCATGTAAGTGCTTCTTCTCCCTTTGTTAGCTCTCGACAATTGTCTGACCCGTTTGCCCTCTTTCTCCGCAGGAACTTTGGCCCCTCTCTCGTTCCTCTCCTGCAGGTTGGATGGCGTGGTATCGTCCAGACCGATGCCGGCTTCCGCGCCCACCTCAACACGGTCCAGAACCACCGCGATACCTGCGGCCAGAGCACCTGGGATGCCACTCTGAAGTTCACGCAGACTCTGCGCGAGAACAAGACCAAGATTGCCTTCTTCAGCAGCACCCCTCAGGGCGGTGGTGTCGCTCTGATGCGACACGCCCTCGTCCGCTTCTCGCGGCTCATGGGTGTTGACCTGACTTGGTATGGTAAGTACATGACTTCTCTATCCTCGTTGCAGCCAACACCTGCTCATCACACCAAAACAGTCCCCAAGCCTCGCCCAGGAGTCTTCCGCGTCACCAAGAACATCCACAACATCTTGCAGGGTGTCAGCCACCCTGACCAGCGCATCTCCGCCGAGGAGAAGGAGTCCATCATCGACTGGATCACCGAGAATGCCCAGCGTTACTGGCTGTCCGAGGGTGGTCCCCTGCGACCTGCCTCTGAGGGTGGTGCGGATGTCATTGTGGTAAGTCGTTCTCTACCTTATTCTTGTCTACCGTTGTACCATGTCGACCTGAGCTGACAGGATGTTCTCAGATCGACGATCCGCAGATGCCGGGTCTCATCCCGCTCATCAAGAAGATCACCCCTGATCGCCCTATTCTCTACCGCTCCCACATCCAGATCCGCAGCGACCTCGTTGCCGTTCCGGGCTCCCCCCAGGAGGATATCTGGAACTTCCTCTGGAGCAACATCCAGCAGGCCGACATGTTTATCAGCCACCCCATTCCCATCTTTGTCCCTCACACTGTTCCTCGTGAGAAGGTCTGCTACTTCCCTGCGACCACTGACTGGCTCGACGGCCTCAACAAGCACCTCAACCAGTGGGACAGCGGCTACTACGGCCATCTCTACAATACTGCTTGCCACTCTCAGCGCATGACTGAGCTGCACTACCCTGCGCGCAAGTACATCGTCCAGGTCGCACGCTTTGACCCGGCCAAGGGTATCCCCACGGTCATCGACTCGTATGCTGAGTTCCGCCGTCTTTGCGACCGCCAGGGCATCTCCGATGTTCCCCAGCTCGTCGTCTGTGGCAACGGCTCCGTTGACGATCCTGATGCCTCGATGATCTTCGATCAGACCATGCACCAGCTCGAGACTCACTACGCTCACCTGATGCAAGACATTAGTGTCATGCGCCTTGAGCCCAATGACCAGCTCCTCAACACCATGATTGCCAACGCTCATGTCGTCCTCCAACTCTCGACCCGTGAGGGTTTCGAGGTCAAGGTCTCGGAGGCACTCCACGCCGGCCGCCCTGTCATTGCCACCCTGGCTGGTGGCATTCCCCTTCAGGTCAAGGACAAGGTCAATGGCTACCTTGTCAAGCCTGGTGACTGGCAGCAAGTTGCCAAGCACCTTTTGGACCTCTTCACTGACGATGAGCTCCATGCCAAGATGAGCCATGCTGCCGCCACCGGCGTCTCGGACGAGGTTGGTACAGTCGGCAACGCCCTCGGCTGGTACTACCTGGCTGCCAAATGGCATGAGGTCGGTGTCAAGAAGAACGGTAAGGGTGGCCTCGACGGCAATGAGCAGTGGGTCAACGACATGGCCCGCGAGGAGGCCGGCTTTCCCTACAAGGAGGGCGAGAACCGCCTTCCGCGCCACTTCACCCAGAAGAAGGAACTTCCCATCGTCCCTCCTCCTCAGATTCCCGAGAACGCCTAGAGTGCCTCAACTGCACACCTCAGCGTCCGGTTTTCTGAAGCACCCGGAATATGTAACTTGGCCCCCTGTGCCGCAACGCGAGCACATGGCATCCTCCCTACACTGTGCACTCCTAGTCTCGGCGCTGGAACATCTTGGCGTTCAAAGGTTTTCAAACATTGCTCTTTGGTCTGCGGCTCGTTGCTTTTCATTTTTACTCTCCAGCTGGCTCGGGGCGGTTTGGTTCCACACCAACCATCAACCAAATTTGCGCGAAGACTCATCGATGATATTTCGTTCTATTTCTTGTTGCTGTCAATCTGCTTCCTAATTTCATTCTTCTTCTCTTAGTCTAGAATCCACATCCCTCCAGGGATCGGTTATATAGACGTGGGCAAGGACTGATGAAGCTGGCATCGCGAAGGTATTTGGTCTCTGAAAAACAAGACAAAATGGGCGTAGCTTTCAGATAGCACAAAACAATTCAAGACCCGACTTTTTGGCACCTTTTCGTTCTCCAAACATGTCGCATGTGATGTTCATATATCGTCTTGCGGTGAGCCAAACTTGCCTGCTTCTCTCCGCAATGCAAAGCCTGGTAAGTCGAGTGAGGTGTGTGGCACTACAGCGACGGCCAATCTTGAAAGCGCGGCATCTGTGCCTTTCGCTCACTGTTTACAATGAATGAGGGAGATACTTTGCACTTTTTCTTGAATTCAAGTCTGATCAGTAATCTATCAGTGTATCGACAATGTAGAAACGCCTATCATGAATGCCCGTGGAATGCGGTGGTCTTGTTGTACAGTTCTTCCCCGTCCTCTCCTCCATTCTTCCGTCCATCTCTGTTAAAACACACCGCAGGAAGTCTTTTGTGTTTCCTCTAATCTAGCTCTTCTCTTTTCTTCTCCTCCCAGTCTCTATGCGGTCATTTCTCTTACTGAATATCGCCGGTAGCAAACAGCTCGAGGTGGGTCCTCTCCTTCTCGACGCCCATGTTCTCGAGCTCCTGCCGGATGTCGATCATGAACTGCTCCGGGCCGCACAGGTAGTACTCTGCCTTGGTGTTGTCAACAAACAGGTCCTTGGCCTTGTCGACCTTGCTCAGGTCCATGCCCAGGCCGCCAAAGTCGTAGTCGGTGCCGGCGACGTCGCCCTCGGCGACCGAGTTGAGGAAGACGCGCGACGAGACGCGGCTCGAGTTGGCGTCGCGGATGGAGCGCACGGCGGCGGCGAAGGGCTGCAGCTGCTTGGAGCGCGAGGCGTGCAGCCAGCTGATGGGCCGCTGGCTGGCGACGCCGGGCTGCGTCATGGTGTCGAGGATGGACATGATGGGCGTGGCGCCGACGCCGCCCGAGATGAGGACGAGGGGCGCGCCGGCCTTGGCGGCGTCGGCCGGGTCGACGAAGAACTCGCCCTGGGGGTGCGTGAGCTCGACGACGTCGCCCTCCTTGAGGTCGCGGTGCAGCATGTTGGAGATGAGGCCGGGGACGTCGGACGCCGTCGCGCCCTCCTCGCGCTTCACGCTGATGCGGTAGTAGTCGCCCTCCTTGCGCGGCGCCTGCGAGAGCGAGTACTGGCGCGACTGGAAGTGGCCGAGCTCGGGGACCTTGACCTGCAGGGAGATGTACTGGCCGGGGAGGTAGGTGGGCAGGGGCACGCCGTCGACGGGCGCGAGGTAGAAGGACTCGATGTTGTCGGCCTCCTTGACGCGCTTGGCGATCTTGAACTTGCGCCAGCCCGTCCACTTCTCGTGGGCCTTGTACATGGAGCCCTCGAGGCCGATGAAGACGTTGGCCAGGACGCCGTAGGCGTTGGTCCAGGCGTCGACGATCTCGGGCGTGGCGGCGTCGCCGAGGACGGCGCCGATGGCCTCCATGAGGTACTTGCCGACGATGGGGTAGTGCTCGGGCTGGACGGTCAGCGAGACGTGCTTGTGGGCGATGCGCTCGACGGCGTGCTGCAGCTTGGGCAGGTCGTCGATGTAGGTGGCGTAGGCGAGGACCGAGGCCGCCAGCGCGCGCGGCTGCCGGCCCGTCGCCTGCGACGACATGGAGAAGATGTTGCGCAGCTCCGGGTGCGCGTCGAGCATGTTCTTGTAGAACAGGCTCGTGATGGTGACGCCGTGCTCCTTGAGCACGGGCGCCGTGGCCTTGACGATGGCGATCTGCTCCGGCGTGACCGAGGGCGCGGGCGCGGCGGCCTTCTTCTCGGCGGAGCCGTTGGCGTGCGGTTGTTGCTGGGCTACGGAGGCCATTGTGCGGGTGAAGATGGAGGATGGGGCGACGGGGTAGCGCGGGACGATGGACTTGGCGATGCGCGAGAGCATGTCCTCTGTGGTTTTACGAGGTCTGGCGGTGAGGTCGGGGATCTCTCCGGGTATATATATAGATCTGTTCAGGGAAGACGGGGTGAAACCTTTGTGAACTCGGGAAACGTGATACTGTTGATTACTGATGGCTTGTTGGTCCCTTTGTGGTCTGGTGGGCCGTGATGTGGATGAGGATGCTGGATGCTGATGATGCATTTCCGAGAACATCGGGGTTGAGAGCGGGCTCGTGGGTATTTATCCATCTTGCAAGTGTCGAGGAGCCAAGGAGGTCCATCTTGAAAGTTGTTTCTCCTCATCTCCGCCGTCTTCATCATGCCATATGCCATCCCGAGTTGTCGAGAGTGGGCCGACGGGCAGCGGTGTCATTGGGGTAGGCATATTTTTTCGCGGGTACCTGAGCAGCAACTAGCCTCGAACCTCCAAGAGGGCAGAAAATCATCAGTTTTTTGTTTGGCCTGGTCAATTTGGAAATGCTTTAGTCATGATTTGCTGCCTAGGGCCCGGCTCAAGTGTGGCATCGAAAAGCCAGGAACATCGGGCGAAGAATTTCGATGAACATCAGTCCATCTCGCGGGTCCGCAGGAACGGTTCTCGCGAATCTTGCATCTCCGCGGCGGTTGTCTCCGCAGATCCCGGCAGGTGTTTGCGGCCGAAGTGACCTAGTAGTTCCCACGGGCGGAGGAGGGCCTACCGCAGGAACCACTCCCGCCGTAAGGAGCATGTGTCGCCCGCCATGTGGGAATCCATGATGGTACCTGATGTGGCTTTGAAGCCTGCCGGCGATCTGGACCCTGGCCCTCCACATACTGGAACGCGATCCATCCCTCCCAGAGACCTAGCCCGGCAGCCTCAGCCTGTAACCTTAATTGCGCGACACTTTACAGGCCGCATGCGAACGAACGAATGCCGCGCCGGCAAGCCGTGCCATCCCGTCCATCCATCCGAGATGACGGGTCTCACAAGTCTCTGTCAAGGCATGCCGCCCATCATCATCACGAAGGCCTCCATACAGGAGGCTGCGTCTGAGAGGAGAGGCAACAGACATGGCAAACCTCCATGGCTTCGGGGAACGCAGGAGCCTGAAACGGGCCTACTCCTCGGCACAGGTCTTTTACACAAAACATTTGATCCAAACAGGACGAGAAATACCGCAGCACACAAACGCCAAGCTGCTGTTCCCCGTTTCGCCCGTCCAACCGCGGACCTGGGCCTGTCAAATCGAGTACCTTCCCCAATACGGACTCCGGGGGGGGCCATATATTTCCCTGGGCAGACCGAGATCATGGGGATGATCCGCGGTCGAAATGCTCGTTCACTAGCTGAAAGGGAAAACGAGAGCGATGCGGGTGGACTGACTGGCCGTCAAAAACGTGTGATGTCCAGTGGCATTGCAAATTCCAGGCCTCTGGCTGGACCGCCAGCTCGCTTAATTCCGCCCCTGAACAGCCCACTATCCAGAAAATATTAGTCACTAGCTTCAGTGGTTTCACCGCCCACATCCAGGTGAATACCCTTCTGCACGCGCGCTAACTGATTCTCACCGCGGTTTGGTGGAATTTTGTTAAGGATCCGGAGATGCATCGATCATGGTGTGAAAATACGTACCAGACGCTTGTGTGCATAGTGAGTGAACAGTACTCTTTGAAGCATGGCCTTTTGACTCTGGCAGTTGATTGACAGTTGCAGTTCACCCAACTGCTAGTGAAATGCCAGCGCTTCTCGGCTAGGTGGATCTCCCGCTAGCCAGAGAGTCAGGAATCAGATCATATCATGGCAAACAAATGACGTTTGCCATGACTTTGCCTTCATCACTGCCACGTTTTTTTTTTTTTTTTTTTTTTTTTTTTGAAGAATACCTGAATCCTGACTGGCAGGCCCGCTAGCTCCGAGTTGCAAAGACGAATCAATCTCGATTAATTGAATCCATCCAGCATGGCAGACCTTGCTCGGCTTTCCGAATATTCCATTTCGGGCCTAGCCCGTGTCGACCGGCGCTTCCGGGTTTTAGTGGGTCCTTGCCCGGGCCGTGGTCGCATGGCAGGGCCGGCTTGAGCGGTGCTGGACATTCCTTGTATTCTTCTGGCGGTCTCGTTGCTTCAGGCTCATGATGTTTATTCGATCTCTCGGTTTAAACGTACCCTATCAACTCGAGTGTAAATAATATGATTGTCTCGTCACTATTCGAAAGGGGTGTGAAAATATATATGAAGAATGATTGGACATTAACCTCGATTCCAATCATGTCTAAAGCCGCTCGCATCTCCGGAGCAAATGTAGCTCCGGCCCTGGCGAGTTCAATGACTACCTGGCACTGGGAAACTATACGGTCATCGCTACTGGTCTCAACCTGGGGAAGTCCGACTCCTTCATGATTTCATGACCGACGCTCCCAAGAAACTGGCTTCAAGTATCAAAAAGAGGGGAGAATAGACAGGTTTCAGATGAACCTTTAAATGTCTAGTATAATGCGTAGATAATCGATACGTGTAAATAGTGCCATATCATGTCGGCGATCGATTATTTTACTGAAGTCTGGCTCAACTCATCACGTACCTGTGAATTCTTCTTCTAGTATGACGTGCTGCTTAATTAACAACCTCTATATTGCAATTTTTTTTGGTTCCAACGTTCTATGTCTTATGAGTTGGCTGGTTTCACTACTTCTGTATGCCCGCACAGCACCAAGGTTTGATGCATGTCCCAGTCCATCAAATGCCGCAACGCCTCCGTGCCAAAGAAAACCATGTGTGCTCCGTATTCCCCTCTCACCCCTCGCAACCTGACTGGGGAACCAAGCCTCAGAATATGCAGTTTTAACGAGGCAATACAGCAGTATGCTGTGTTGCGCCAATCAGCTCGGTCAGTGCATGCGCAATGGAGCTAGACAGTCTCGGAAAGCAGCATTCACAGCATGATTCAGCAGTCATCACCCCAGATACCGGGGCCATGGGGCATTCCTCGGTACTTCGTGTTGGAATCGTGAGGCAAGTTTGATGTCGTACTATCGTGATTGTGTCTCGCTCGCTGCATCATCACGAGAATGCCGGCAGTTGTGCCTACGCTGTGAACTATGTTCTCTGAAACAAAGGAGGAAAAAGCATAGATAAGCTTAATATGCGGATGCCAGCCGCCAGTACCACTCTTGGTATTTTTGCTCCCCTTTGAGTCATGAATGCTCCCAGCCGAAACATCTCAGGAATCTTTGTTATGATTTATCGATTTCGTGCCCACCTAATCGCGATTCGGTTCCAGGTCGTCTCACATAACATGCAGATGTCCGACCGTGCCTTAGTTCGCTGCCTGGACGGAACTGTCCGGTGGGCAAGGGAGGATTCGAGTGACGGTCACTGACGCCAAGTCGAATCGGCTGCCCTGTCAAGAGTACCGCCGACCATTAGGATGAGAAACCCCAAGGCTGTCGGCTCGCGTCATCTAGTATTGGCTCACTACCAGCGGCACCTGGCTGACCCCGGCTTGCTTCCCATGGGCTGGGCCAGATGAGCTAGACGTTTTCCAGCTTGTCGAAGCGACGGCCCGTCTGCGTGGTGTTGTCTCGAGGCCGGCTTGTGGTGGAGAGACACGATTTGCGGGACATGAGTAGTTCGGAACACAGAACAAACTCCATTTTCAATGTGACCAAGACATACTTGTACAATATTCTGGATTCTCGGAATCGGGCCCGTACTGGGTAAGGCGTCGACCAAGTTAGTTGTACTCCCCACTTCACTTGCAGACGAGTACGTCACTTCAGCTGAGAGTTGCTGAGGGCGACATTCATTATCAAGTAGAGGTAGACTGAAGAGGCAAAGCTGCACACGGGAATCCATCCACAGCCTGCAACTCAGTCGTGGCAGCGTTGGGGGCGGCCTTTGCAAATCAGTCATCATATCAACGCAGGTGTTCGGCATCGCGACAATTGCCTGGTCGCCATGGGCTCTCAGCTTTCATATGCGCCGGCTCAGCCAATAGAAGGCAGCTAGCTCAGAACCCGCACAACTCTGCAAGCTCAAGTGATATTAATCTGTAACGATCTGCCTCGACCAATCTTCACAAAGGTACGATCTAGGTGAGACCCTCACAGTTGCTAGCTTCATGTATGAAGATTAGTTGAGTGGCCCCGCCGAGCAGATGTGCATATGCAAGCCAACCAAGATCCCAGTAGTTATGACACCCGATTACTTCGTCGTCCTCGAGTTAAGCTGCTGTCCATTGCATGGTCGCAATTTCAGCCGCCCCGTTCCGCCGGACCCACCCCAAACGACGTAACCCGACCATGTGGCGAGCGGGCTTTCTCGTACTGCGGACTGGGACGTACAGATTTGACTCTCATTACAGAATTGAGGCGAGACATACTTGTTGTACATGATCTAGAAACCCTGCACCTTCTGGTCCACCCACACCCTTCCCGAGAATCAGTGTCACTCCTGCAAGCTCCTGCAATGCGATAATATTGCTTACTTGTGGCGCTCACTCCTCATCAGTGAGAGAACCAAGCTCAAGAGACGAGCACCAACAATCTATTAAGATATTGGTTTGATGGATACCACATGTGTTAGCTTGGTCATCCTTCAAGGCAGCCGACATGTTCAAAATCCAGCCTCGATCCTGAAACGGGAATGTAAGCAGGCCAAGGCGGTTAGGGCATGATATGACTGTGGGAAGCGGCCGCCAGGATCTGTTGTTCTGCGAAGCGGGCCCCGAAAGGACCAACTGCTTAAGGAATGGATGGGATCAGGGACATCTCTCAAGCCCATTCTCAGGGACCATGGCCATGGTAATTGGAGGGTCTGGAACCTATGGTGCATGCCACAAGGGGTGACATGAAATCTTTGAAATGCTGAGATAATCACTGTAAGTCCTTGTGACGTTAGGAGTGGGAGACATCAGGCATCCTCCGCTGTCCACACACACCTCTGGCAGGGTCGTTTCTCTCCCATCTCATCATCAAGACGGGCTTGACGACCACATCCGAAGAGTTCTGCCAGATGATGCTGGAAAGAAATGGCAGATGCGTCTTTCCGGAGAGCGTGTGATCGATGCCGTGCACAAAAGCTCAGCTGCAGGCGCATGGGCTGCGAGCCATGCGAGCGTTGCATTAGGCTCAGAGTCGACTGCAAGTCCAGCCCATCACTGCGCTTCCGGAAGCATAGGATGAATCATATTAAGACAAACAATACTTGCTGGTCAATATCACGACGAGACAATGCCGATACCGAGGATGCAGCACCCTGGCCAGGTTGGAATGAACCAGGCTCCATGCATGGCCTAGGAACGAGATCTGCTGCCTGGGACTTGGCGTTCCCGGAAAACGGTTTGAACTCCGAGTATTGGTGCGATCCAGTCTTGGACTCTCATTTCAACATGGCAGCAATCCGACTCTTGATGCAGCAAGCTCCGTCATGTGACATCTTCTCCGGATTCAGCCCGGAGGTTAGCACTGGGTATTCGCCTGCAGTGCGGATGGGAGAGGCCCAGACGCAGTCGAACTTCATGCAACAAGCATCAAAAGAGCTTCCAGATGCAGGAAGCACCCCGCGATTCTTGCTCTCTCCCGTCTCAGACAGCAATGTTCTCGCGACTACACCACCACACATCCCCGCCCCGGTGTCAACAATCACGGGACGAGCACCAATGAGCCAGCCAGAGCCATCAGCTAGAGGGTCCGAAGCTACGACCACCCTGCCGATATCACTGCAGTTACCTCCAGAGAACAGGCCTTTCCCCCAAGGTCACCTACTCTTGGAACTTTCCACCATTCACAACCAGTTATGTGAGCTACACGTATCTAGCCCTACTCTTTCTGGCAGAGAAAGAGAGGGGGCTATGTGCGCTGGTGCTCATCCCCAATTAAGCGGGTGTACAAATGCGGACACTCGCTTCTCGATGGACAGCATGTTCCAGCTGTCCAAGCATCTGGTTCAGGTACTACAAGGCTTATGCTGGATCGACCCACCATCACAGTACCCTGGTCCATATTGCAGTGACCAGGATTCCGTAAATCCTTGCCTCGATGCGGCTACCATCCTTTTGATCCTGTCGTGTTGCACTCGTCTTGTGGAGGTTTACCGAGATGTGGTACATATCGAGACGACACAGGACCATTCGCATGGGAACTTGCGATTATGGTCACTACCTCCTGTCTCACTGGGAAGTTTCCAGCTGGCCGCAGACAATTCAATAGAATTGATCGTTACGCTTCGCCTTGTCAAAGACTTCTGCTCGAGTCTCATAAGTACAATTGTCTTTCTTCAAAGGCACCCTCCCCAAGGATTGCCAGGTGCTATTGGTGCTATTCTGACACACTCCCTGGCAATGATGATGGAAACCTCAAAGGAAATCAAGGACACAACAGACAGCTTGATAAAAGAAGTAGCTACAGAAATGTATCACAGTGACTGAAGGCTATTCCACATTGGGGAGCCTCATAGTTACATTTGATCTAGGGTAGACTTACTGTGAATAGTGTTGGAAGGGGCTGGCTGGATGGTGGTCATGGTAGGCACAATGCGAAGAAAGGGGTAAAGAGGTCTTGCACTTTTCACCAGATCATGCAGGAGAAGGCACAAAGAGTAATTTTACACATTGTCACTGATGTATCAGCTTGGAAGGGACGATACTGTGACCACTGATCCCTACCAGACAGCTTTGCTGTCATCCATTCTACCAACCCCAGGTGAGAGAAGGAGGTCTCAGACCCAGGTTGCTTTTGGCCATTCAAAGTGTGGCAGCATGAAGGGGGTGAGCACCACTGCTTTTCTTCCTGCACAAACGGATTTCCGAACCACTCCCCTGGGTCCAGCTCGAAGAGGGACTGAGGTCACTCTCACTTTGCGCTCAAAACTTAAGACAGGTGAGGGTCAATTTTATTTCACAATCTCGAGTTCACATTCTAATTCGCTCGTTACAGATTTCTCACCTTGAAATCAGTCTTTGGTTGGTTGCACATATCGACCTCTTATCAAACCTAGGTTCCGACCCTCCCAAACATCACTCAAAACCGCCAATCTCAAGCAACTCTCACTCCTGTTGTACTTCACCTCTAGTTTTGTCCTCCCACCCTCCGGTAAGCACTATAAACCCTCCCTGAGTCCTCACTTGAGACAGCCGCTTACGCCTGTTTATTCACAGATCTTGCATTGATGTGCTCAAGCCATGTCGTACAAAAAGCCTCCTCTGGAGCCCATTGCCATTGTGGGAACGGGCTGCAGGTTTGCAGGTGGTGTGAACAGCCCTTCACAGCTCTGGGCACTACTCTCTGAACCGGATGACTTGGCAAAGGAGGTTCCTGAAGACCGCTTCAGCGCCAAGGGATTCTACCATCCTGATGGAGAGTATCATGGCACCACCAACTCCATCAAAGCGTACTGGCTGGAGCAAGACTTTCGAGTCTTTGACGCCGCTTTCTTCAAAATCACCCCCAAGGAAGCAGAGGCAATGGACCCACAGCAGAGAATGATACTTGAAGTTGTGTATGAGGCCCTAGAGTCGGCTGGATACACTCTCAACCAGCTGTCTGGACAGAAAGTGGCCGTCTTTGCCGGTCTCATGACCTCTGACTACGACAGCATGTCCCAGAGAGACGAGCTCACTGCGTCTCAATACTATGCCACAGGAAATGCCCGGTCCATCCTATCCAACCGCATCAGCTACTTCTTCAACTGGCGCGGCCCCTCGATGACCCTCGACACTGCATGCTCGTCGAGTCTTGTCGCGTTGCACCAGGCAGTCCTCAGTCTGCGCGCCGGCGAGAGCACAATGGCGTGTGTGGCTGGCGCTAACCTGATGCTCACCCCTGAGCAATTCATTGTCGAGTCCAATCTGCACATGCTGAGTCCCACCGGCCACTCTCGAATGTGGGATGCCGACGCCGACGGCTACGCCCGTGGCGAGGGTATTGCGGCCATTTTCATCAAGCCCCTGTCGCAGGCGCTGAAGGATGGCGACGTCATACAGGCAGTGATCCGAGAGACAGGCGTCAACTCAGACGGCCGTACTCAGGGCATCACGATGCCGAACCCTGAGGCCCAGACAGCTCTGATTCGGGAGACTTACCGGCGCACGGGTCTTGACTCTCGAGACCCCGAGGATAGGTGCCAGTACTTTGAAGCACATGGTACTGGAACACAGGCCGTAAGTTACACTCTTATCTCCATCTTGTTAACTTTGGAGATGGCTTGTCACTAACTCAGAGGTCAGGGGGATCCCAGGGAGGCGGCGGCCATTGAAGACGCATTTTTCGGTGAGGTGGCACAACTAAGCAAGACTGAGGGAGCTTCCAACAACGACAAAGAACATGAGAAGCTCCTTGTTGGCTCAGTAAAGACGATCATTGGTCACGTTGAAGGCGCTGCTGGACTAGCGGGCTTGTTGAAAGTAGTGCAGTCCATGCAAAAGGGACATGTTCCTCCCAACCTGCACCTTGAGAAGCTCAACCCGAGTGTGCAACCGTTCTGCGCAAAGCTGAAAGTGCCCACGACCCTTGTCCCGTGGCCTTCGGCCCCAAGTGGCCAGCCACGACGAGCGAGCGTCAACTCGTTCGGCTTCGGAGGCACCAACTCGCATGCCGTACGTACACAACAGCCTCATGCCCCAAAGCTTGACCACTAACATTCTCTTTTTTTGTGCCAGATTGTGGAGTATTATGTTCCTGAGATTCATGATGAGGTCGCCAAGCTCTTTGCAACAGAACTTGTCTTGCCGGTCCAGCTAGTGACTTCCACTGCATCTTATGAGAAGCAACTTCAAGTCCCGATCTTCCTTTCCGCCAACTCACCAGCCTCGCTGCGAGGCATTGCCGGAAAGTACCTGAAATACATCGAAGCTCACATGGATGTCAACCTTGGACAGCTCGCACTGAACATGCTTACCCGAAGGACTGCCCATCCTTACCGGGTTGCTGTCTCGGGCGGCTCAAAATACCACACCATCATGTCGTTGAGGTCTTTGTGCAACGACACTCAGCAGACCAGGGCAAGGATCGGCCACCGTGCCCGTCAGATCATAGGAAAGCCCCGCATCCTTGGAATCTTCACCGGCCAGGGAGCTCAGTATGCTATGATGTCCAAGGACCTCTTTCAGACCAACCAGATTTATAGGAACGCGATCCAGAGTCTCGATTCCATCCTGGAAGAGTGCCCAGATCCACCTATATGGTCCCTCGAAGGCGAAATCATGGCCGGTGCAGAGTTTTCTCAAGTTGGTGTGGCAGCCATATCTCAGCCGTTGTGCACAGCCTTGCAGATTGGCTTGGTCGAGATTGCACGGAGTCTCGGTGTAGAGTTCGCCTGTGTCGTCGGTCACTCCTCGGGTGAGATTGCGGCAGCTTACGCTGCAGGCCGGCTCACCGCCAAGGAAGCCATCCTCATCGCCTACTACCGTGGAGCTTGTGCTCACTTGGGTGCTGGCTCTCAAGGCGAGAAGGGAGGTATGTGTGCCGTCGGCATGTCCAAGGCCGAGGCCGAAGAGCTTTGTGCGCAACCGGAATACAGCGGTAGGCTGTGTGTTGCCGCCAGCAACTCGCCATCCAACGTTACCATCTCAGGAGATGCTGACGTGCTGCGGGACATGGAAGAAGAACTTAGGGGAAAGTGGTTTGTCCGTCAGCTCCAGGTTCAGAATGCTTACCACTCGCACCACATGCAAGTCCCTGCCGAAGAGTACATTAAGTCTCTTGAGGCATGCATGATCTCCCCACAGCCAGGCAACAAGACCATCTGGGTGTCAAGCCTGGATCCCGAGTCGGCCACGAACGACCTCACAACTTTGCAAGGCCAGTACTGGGCGGACAACATGTTGAAGCCCGTTCTCTTCAATGAGGCGGTGAGCCAAGCCTTGAGAGATCTTGATCCTTTCGATTGTGTCTTGGAGATTGGACCCCATCCGGCTCTCAAAGGCCCAACTCGGCAGATCATCGAAGCCCACCAAGGCACTTTTCTGCCATACAGTGGAATGCTAGATCGCAAGCATGATGATCACACTGCGCTCGCAGACTTTATAGGTTTTCTTTGGACTCACTTCGGCCCGGATTCAATTGATGTGCCTCGACTTCTTGAGACATCGGGTCATCCCGGTCTGCTTGCCCTACCACCCTTGCCGGACCTCCCGACGTACCTGTGGGACCATTCACAGGTCCACCATCGCGAATCCAGGGTCTCTCAACAATACCAAGCAAGACAGGATCCGCCCCACGAGCTGCTCGGAGTTCGGACCAGAGATGACACAGACCAAGAACTGCGGTGGCGCAATGTCTTGAAGATCGACAAGCTGCCGTGGCTCGAAGGCCACAAGTTTCAGGGCCAGGTTCTCTTGCCGGCCTCGGCGTACTGTGTCCTTGCGATCGACGCTGCCAAGGTCCTTCTCAAAGATCGGAAGGCCTCTCTGATCGACCTGGAGGACCTAGAGTTCTTGAGCGGTATCACCATCGAGCCGGAATCCGAGGGTGTGGAGATATTGTTTACACTGCAGCCACAGACGAACTTGGCTAAGGACCAAGGAGAGATCAAGGCGTCGTTTACACTATCCCATGCCCCAGTGGGAGGCACGTCCCCGATGAAGCTGAGTTTCACGGGAAAGTGCACTGTCTACCTCGGCTCAGAGGATGCTCTTCCCGCGAGAAAGATGGTCCAGCCCGAGACACTGGCAGTCAGCACCGAGGCCTTCTACCAGACAATGGCTCGTATTGGTCTAGACTACTCAGGCCCCTTCAAGTCTATGACTTCTTTGGAGCGACGGCTTGGCTATGCAAAGTGTGAGCTGCAGAGGTTCCACAAGGAGGACACCACAACCCTGTCCACTAGCCCTGCCACATTGGACAGCTGTCTGCAGGCATGCTTCGCAACCTTCTCCTCTCCGGGAGACAAGTAAGTCATCTGCCATTTCCTTGTCTGTATTGAAATACACTAATCCAAGCCCAGTGCTTTATGGACCTCATTCCTCCCAAAGTCCATCCGGAGACTTCACTTCAATGTGGCAGCTACCAAAGTCTTCCCTGTTTCCAAGCAACTTGTCGTTGAGGCAGTTCAGACAAAGCTTACTCCGATCTCCCCGGCCGCATCAACAAGCATCACCGGTGATGTCCATATCTATGGCAAGCGTGGCACGCTGGAGATCTTGGTGGAGGATCTCACGGTGAGCTCCTTTGTCTCCACGAAGCCACGGGATGACTACGAGTTGTATCTGCACACGGTGATGCAAATGGACCCGGAAGATGGAATGTCCTCCATCTTGACTCTGTTCGAAGAACACGTTCGTCAACAGTTCGTGGAGACCTTTCAACGAGTCTGTCGCTTCTACTTGCACCAGAATCACCCAGCCTCCGTCGTCGATTCCTTGGGGATGGACCCAGTCACGGACACGCTGCCGCTAGACGATGAGGCTACAGTCCAGCGCATCATGCTGGAATCGCCGTTCTTTCCTGTCTTGGAGTCGTCCCGGAAGTTGGCACTGAATGCTCCATACGTGCTGGGCCGTAAGATATCCCTCATGTACGCTCCAGCCCTGAGCCACCACCTCTATCAGCAGCGCGTCATGGACAAAATCTCCCAGGTCGCGCACAAGTATCCTCAGATGAATGTGTTGAGCTTCACGGACCCGAACATGGGCCTGACCGAGTGGATTCTCAAGTCCCTGGGGACTTCCTTCAAGTCTTGCACCATAGGCTCTCGCCTGGAGAAGAACCTCTGGCACCGTGTGGAGAAGACAGAAGTACTTGAGCGAAAGCTCAAGTTCACCGAGTTGGACCTGGACAAGAAGTTGGCGGACCAACTGGATCCCGGCTTCAAGTTTGATCTTGTCATCTTGTCGGGCACGGTCATCGAGGGTCGCGACATGTCTGAATTCCTCTACGAGGTCAAAGATGCAATGGCTCCTGGAGGCTTCTTCTTCGTTTCGCACGTTGGGGGTCTGCCGCTTAAGGAGCGGCTGGAGATATGTGAGGAGGATCCGCCTCTTATGGATGGAATCTTGACCCCTCCAGAGTGGCCAGACCGCTTTCGCCAAGTTGGGTTTGTTGACGAGCCGGAGAAAGGCTATTTCGACGTGACCGGCCTAGCCAATATGGGCTTCTCTCTCACCATTGTCCAGACACCTTGTCCATTCAAAGCAGCCATGCGTGAGCCACTCGACGGTCTGCAACCGACACCACAGTCCAAGGATGTCATCATCATCGGTGGTGGCACTACGCAGACAAGGAACCTGATTCGGCATTTGGAGAAAGTGCTGCGGCCGTCCTGCGGAAAACTCCAATCTCTTCCATCACTCGCAGCTGCTGAGACGCTGAGTGCATGCACGGCTGTCATCATTCTTGGTGATCTCGATGGCCCGTTGTTGTCGTCCATGGACGAACATCACCTCGAGGCGCTCAAGTCCATATTGAAGCCCGACATGGTCATCCTCTGGGTGACCGACGGAGCCACCAGCAGAAACCCGGAATCGGCTGCTTCGTTTGGTTTTGCCAGGACTGTGCTGGCAGAGACACCAGGACTGGTTTTGCAGATGCTCGACTTTGACGAGCTGACAGTTTATTCCCGCGATATCATCGCCGAGAGCTTTGCTCGTCTCATGAGGCTCTCGGAACAAAACCAGCAAAGCACTCTATGGACGTTCGAGCCTGAGGTCTATATCTGCCGTGAGAAGCGATTCGTCGCTCGCGTGATGCCTTACGATCTGGCCAACATGAGAGTCAACGCCGTGAGGCGAGTTGTTGAGGCTGAGGTGAACACTCTGGCTAATGTTTTTGCCATCAAGGCCCAGAAGAATGCTGGCGTCTTTAAGTGCTATACCAGTGCCATTATTGAGCCTCTTCAAGGCCATGCCTCTGGTGTTGGCGTTCTGCAGCTGCGTGTTATGTACAGCACTGCGCACCAATTCGTTGTTAGTACCGACAACTCGTTCTTCATCTGCCTGGGAACAGACGCAAACAAGCCCAACGATGTTGGCCTTTACATCGCAATGTCGACCAGGAACGCCTCTTACATTGAGGTCCCCGCTTCTCTGGCAGTCTCTGTGAAGGCGGATCTGTCCAAAGGCCGCTTCGATTGCTTCAAGTTTATGAACCTCGTGCTGCGAGCGCTCCAGGCCGCGGTGGTCGCCGGCAGCCGCAATACGAAACACGTCATTATTGTGCTGGATGATGAGATGCTCGCAAGGACTATTCCAGAGTTGGCGCAGTCGATGGGTATGACCCTGCCGATGCTGTTTGTTTCCTCTGAACACCCTCACGCTCTCCACCAGGGTTACGTCCACCCCAACGCCTCGGCTCGCGAGCTACGGTCGTTTATCTCCCAGCCCAACACCCGCGTGTACGACTTTTGTGAGCAGAAGCGGGTGAAGAATCTGGCCGATGCCGTGGCCCACTGTAAGCTCTCCGAGCTCCGACGGCCTTTTGATCTGCAAGCGCCCACTGCGCAAGAACAGCTCGATATTTCCATATTTGAACAAGGGCTGTTCGAAAACATCGTTGATCTTGCGCTACAGGAGGTCAACAACGCGTGCAAGACTGCCTCTACTTCACTAGTCTCAGTCCCACATCTGCTTGACGCCACGCAGCCGGTGAGCCAGTACACCCTCATCAACTGGAAGGATGAGCGGATGGTCGGGACCCGTATCAACTACTCCATTGGACACAATCTCCTCGAGGGAAATTGCACCTATGTGCTCGTCGGCATCACCAAGGACCTCGGCCAGAGCTTGTGCACTCTCCTGGTCCAGCAGGGCGCTCGCAACATCGTTCTGGCGAGCCGCAATCCGAACAAGAACCCGCGGTGGGCACGCGAGCTGAAGCTGCAGGGAGTGAGGGTCGAGATCGAGGCGCTGGATGTCACGGACCTCTATGCCGTTGAGAAGTTCAGAGATCATCTTAAGGAGACCATGCCCCCCGTCGACGGGGTGGTCAATGGTGCAATGATCCTGGACGACCGGGTGTTCTCGCAGATGACGCTCGAGACCTGGCACCGCGTGATGCGGCCCAAGACGGTGGGGTCCAAGAACCTGAGCAAGGTGTTTGACCATCCCAGCATGAGCTTCTTCGTCATGACATCTTCGTTTGCGGCGATTGGTGGTCACGCCGGACAGTCCAACTACGCTGCGGCCAACATGGTAAGTTGATCCCCCACAGCGAAATCTCTCCAGTTCAGTTGCGGAAACTAATTACTGGTGATAATGTTACAGTACATGAATGGCCTCGCCGCCGAGCGGCGCCGACGCGGCCTGCGCGCCTCGGTCCTCAACATCGGCGTCATCTACGGCCTGGGCTTCCTTCACCGTGAGAAGGACAACCTCTACGACGGACTGGAGCGCGAGGGCTACCCGCCGATTTCCGAGCGCGACCTACATCACATGTTTCTGGAAGCCATCGTCAGTGGCCTAGACCTGACCACCGGCCTGCGGCGCTTTCGGGTCGACGACCCGAACCCGCTGCACTGGCACCGAGACCCGCGCTTCTCGCACTTTACGGTCGAGGGAGACGACACCAGCTCAGCGGGACAAGTCGGAGGGCAGGACGTGAAGAGCGTAGCCGATCGGATCAAGGGTGCGAGGGGCAAGCAGGATATCTTGGATGTGGTCGTCGCGGCTCTGTCGCAACGACTGGAGACCTTACTGCGTCTGTCAACCACAACGGTCATGGAGAGCAGCTTCGCCGAGATCGGCATCGACTCGCTGGTGGCGGTGGAGATCCGCTCGTGGATCTGGAAGACACTCGGCAAGGACATGCCAGTGATGAAGATCCTGAGTGCCCCGAGCATTCTGTCACGTAAGTCCTGCCTACTCCGGGAATGATGCCATCTACCCATGGTGATGTGCTAATGGATTTTGGAAACCAGTCTGTTCCGATCTTGCTGATCAATTAATGACATCTACCGACAAGGACGGAGATGTCAACATGGCGTCTTAGAGGGCACGAGGGACCCGGACGGACAAGAGATACACTGTTTTGTCCATCCTTTTCCCCTGCCTTAGTGCGAGTCATTCTGATAGGAATAGTCCCTCGTTTCTCTCATGGTTTGCGATGAATTTACCAGCTCTTAAGAGGATTATCAAAGTTCAAGGATCGAGTCGTTATATCTGGTAGATGGAGGGACTGGTCTCCTTGAGATTTCTCAACAGGTTTCTTACCGGTTTATCTCGCTCTAACGAACTTGGTCAAAAAGTCTCCGAAGTAGTAATTGAAATGTTTCCGTCTCTGACTATGTGTTTTGGGGTATTTAAAACAAGTAAATGCCAGTTCATTCGAGGTGTTTGAGATCGATGGGAAGTGAACATAAGTCTCCGAGCCAAAGATATCTCGCCCGCAAAAAGTTTCCGATTGCCTGCCATGTCGATGCAGCCCCAGCACACATTGTACCTCTGGATCGAGGGCATGTTCCCTCGTCGAATTGTCTATAGCTTATTTCTAAAGGGCATTGTCAGTTCCGCGACGCAACTTCGTCGCGGGGAGACGAACCACTCCTTTTTTCGCGTCGCACCCATTACGATCACGGAAAAGGGGTTCGTTGGAGGCAAGCCCGATGGCAAGTCTCTGCCGTGCCTCAAAGTGGAAAACGAAGAAGACAACACGGTTGAGTGGATTCACGAAAGCGGTGCAATCCTTCAGTATCTCGAAGATCTCTTCCCCGACTCGACCCGGTTAACCCCTGCAACCATTCTTCAGAAAGCGCAAACGATGGACCTGTTCCTCAAGGTGGACAGCGCGACGGCCAACGGAGGTTTCTACCTCAAGAACGCAGCTGCCGTGACAGGCTCGTGGTCTGGCCTACCCGGGGAGCACCGGAGTCTGGACATTGCTCGGTATTGCAAGTCGCTGATGATGAACGACCTGCGAGCTCTGTTGGAATGGGCCGGCCCAACACTGAGCAAGACCGGCTGGTTGACGCCGGGCCTGTCACGGCCCGGGATGGTCGACGTGTCGCTGATGGCCACCGCGCGCTACATGTGGATATCGTACGCTTGGGACATCTTTGAGGACGAGTCACTTGCGCCCTTGAAGAGATGGCTCGGGAGATTCAAGGAGCTGGAGTGGTGGGATGAGCTTGAGGAGGACCCGGAGCACCAGCACCCTGCATTCCTGGCGTATTCTGCAGACTGTCGAGAGGTCTAGTAGGTTCTTCTGTACTTCCGGAAGTACCTACATAACAATAAAGTCTAGTTTATTAATCATGCTTTCTTAAGTGCTTCTGCCTGGTGTTGAAAGTTGAAAGAGTGGCTTGATGTCGGTTCGTCTTATCATTGCAGCCCTGGAAGTGCTCCAATATCCACTTCAGGCGGCATGGCGATCTTGTTCACTAAAAGTGGGCGCTGAAGAGGGCCAGCTCCAGTGGAGTTGGTCCCTGAAAGCTGCGCTAACAAAACAGTCCGGGCGTCGATACCTTGGATGTAGGTGCACATCTATGAATGGATGACCACATGTCGACTTCAAAATGAGTCGACATTCCATGAAAAGTCCAGCTCCCTATTGTCACTCTTCGACTTGAACTTTATCTTGGAGTGCCAGGGGTGGGAAGGTCAAGACCGAGATGTGACGTGTCCCGGCAGAACACTTGCGTTCAAATCTGTTCCAAGACAATGGTTTCAAAACAAGGGAGCCGAAGCCAAAGAAACCTGCCGTCTTCACTTAATTTCCCACCGCAGACAGTCTCATCTCCTTCGGCTGCTTCGGCTGAAGTACTGATATGATAGATCGCCCCGGTGGCAGCTCGGTCTTCTGCCTCGAGCAAGTCGCGGAGAACGCCAACCACCTTGCAAGAGATCACATCGTTGTTGGGATGGTCCCTATGCATCTCCAGCGATTCGACAATACTCTCCATCAAAGCCCTGTCGCCAGGCGTCTGATGGGCAAAGATGTCAAAGGCATTATCGTCGCCGGCCACGGCCTGATGCTGCTGGTGGCGTTCGGCCATGTGTGCGATGCACATGACGGCGCTCCCGAATAAGGAGAAGAAGTGCGTGCCCCTGCAGGGCGGAATGATGGAATAGCATCGCCTGTATGCCTGTATGCTTGTGAGGAGCCCTCGACTAGCGTTCATGGCGGCAACTCGGCTGTACTGATCCGCTTGACTGACCGAGGGGCGGAGAAGGGACGGCAGATGAAGCTGGACCAAGAGGTAAAAGTGGGTGAGCTGGTCTGCATACTGAATGAATCGATGGAAATGGTCCATAGCCGTGATCTCATCTGTTTTAGAGATGGCATCCGTTGCCTGCCACCAACTCGGGGGCATAGAGGAGGCCGCCTTTTGAAGCAGCGCGTCGATCTCGCGGGTTGACTTCGGGTCCAGCGTAGGGCTACTGCGGTCGCGCCTCAGAAGCTTCCCGGCGACGACACAGTGTATCCTTTCCATGGCATCTATGCTTGAGCAAGATTGCAGCATGCCCTGCGAGGCAAAGTTGTCATCGAAGAACATGGGTGTGAGGCCGAGCAAGAGCGACAGATGGAGCTCACTGTGACACATGAGGAACCACATGTACGTCGGGTCACACCGTTCGCGTGTTTGATCCGTAAGAATTCGGACCCAGGGAGATGCGATGCTGGAGCCGTGGTTGAGGCGCATCATCTGGGCCACCGAGATGGCCCGGCGGTTGATCAACCACGCGCGGCGCAGGTTTCCGGCATAAGCCTGGTATGTGCTTTCGATCAGGAGACATTCGATCCCTTCCACACAGGAGCCTATAAGCTCGTCATTGCTTGTCACTAGGCGATTCGCCGCTTGCACTGCGCGGTTTTCGATTTCGCGGCAGCTAAAGCCGGGGTTCTGGGCACGGATCACTTCCGCAGCAGAAGGCGGTATGACTTGGAGGAAAAGGCCGAGAGTCAAAAGCTTGCGTGCCAAGAGAATCGGGTGCGAGCCTGGCTGGGGAAGCTGCAGAATGTCTCTAGCAGATGGCGTCTCGGGCGGGAGGTCACTAGAATAAGGTGCCAGGACAATCCGGTGCGACAGGCCCGAAAACGTCGTGGGCAGGTTCAGCAAGAGGTCGAGGTCTCGGGAGCTTGGCCACGCAGCATAAAGGCCGCGACCTAGGTTGTCGTACTTAGATGTAGTGTCACTGTGGTTGAATGGACGGTGGGCCGAGTTGGAAGGCACTGGTAGTAAGCTTCGGGGACACTGCGGCGAGGGAACGGAGGCCTTCGGTTTCGTGGAGACCCGCCGCTCATCTCTCACCGGCGGAGATTGCAAGTCAGAGACGAACAGAGGCCTCTCTTCCTGACCCATGCTGCTCTCTGCCTCGGGGTCGATTTTCCGGATCAGCTTCTCCATGAGTACCTCTACCCGCGCCATCCGGTCTCCGATGCTCTTCCCACCCTTCTCTGTTCGCGCCTTGCCCCGGCCAAGGGCTGCGGTGTGGTACTCCTCAGGCCACTCCTGGCTGACACACGAGGTTCCACGTCGCCTGCAGCTGATGCAGCTGAGGTCCTCAGGTGTAGCGAACGAGCATCGCATCTTGCGGCGTTTGCACTCCCAGCAGCTCTGCGTCCCTTTGCGAAGTTTGCGCCGGGAGGAATGCGGCTCAGCAGGAGGCATGGATCCGAGACAGGGACTGACAGAGGGCGAATACTAGAGCTCAACTGCAACATACATTCCATAGAAATGGTAAGGGAGGGACGTTTCACGGTGACTTTTGTCGGTAGGCGGCTCACTTTGTGATTTAAAGCTGGAAAGTAAGACGACACCAGATCTCCGCCGCGTAAAAAAAAACACGGCGGAAAAGACGGGATTTGAGCGGGACCCACCAGCACCGGGACTTCACATGATTCGCCGCCAGTCATTTCCGCTGTCTAAGTTGCGGCGGAGGAACACGTAAAGGTGTATGTTTCGCCTCTTCATGGGTCATCGAAGACGCCGGTAGCGGATTTGTCAGAGGTATTTTTGACCAAGATGTTACGGGGAGACAGTTTGCTTCCTCACATATAAATAAAGCCTTTGGCTCTCCTGGGAATGGACGTGCACAGTTGTCCACTTGTGATATTCATCTCTCCATCTCGAGTCTCGATCACCTACAGACATTGAATCACGATGGTCCGTATTGTAATCGCCGGTGGTACAAGCAGTCTAGCCTCGGAAGTCATCGATGGCCTGGCTGCTACTGGCAGACATGAGATCATCCTCTTTTCGAGGCAGGTACGGCTTACTCAGGAGATGCGACTCGTCACTCAGATACATCGTACTTTGACAATTCTACTAATCATGCACATTGACCATAGGACACCTCGACTGAGGGCCTTCCTTCTAGTCTCGAGTGGCGTAAGGTCGACTATGAGAACCTTGATCAACTCACCGAAGCACTGCAAGGGGTCAACACTGTGTTGAGCTTCATCGTGGCGCACTTAGATCCCGGCAACGCGTCTCAGAAGAATCTCATCACGGCTTCAATCAAGGCTGGCGTGAAGCGTTTCGCGCCCAGCGAATGGATGACGTGAGTAACCGAAGCACGTCTCATATTTGTAACTGGTCCTCACGGATACGTGCTTTTCACAGGTCCAAGCTTGACCACATGTCCTGGTATGCCAACAAAGCGGAGCTTCGCGAATACCTGGAGGAGATTAACAAAGACAAGAAGGTCAGTTATACGATGTAATGTATCTGCGGTCTTTCACTCCATTTTAAAAGTGCTGACATCTGGCAAGGCTATTGAGTATTGCCTTTTCCAGCCAGGGTATTTTATGGATTATCTCGCCGCTCCACACCAGATCACGAAGCACATCCATCAGCAGGAGACCTACGTCAACTTTGAGAGGTGCCAGGCCCTTTTGGTAGATGGCGACGACAACGCTCGCGTGGTATTTACTTCCGTGAAAGATATTGTCAACGTCGTGGTGCTGGCTGTGGACTACATAGGTGAGTGGCCTGTTACCGGGGGCATTCAGGGCCAAGAGATCTCCATTGCCGACGTTTTGGCACTGGGAAAGAAGATCCGAGGTGCGTCTGTCGGTACCAGCATTATATACATCACGGTGGCACATGCTAATGGCCGATCAACCTTAACAGGGCGTGAATTTGCTGTCGAGAGGCTCTCAGCCGCCGAGCTCAAGGCAGGAGAGTTCAACGCCAAAGGATGGTCTCCCAGGATTGATCATCCTTCCATCCCTCCAGAGCAGCTTGAAGTCATGGCTAAGGCGGTGAACTCTGCCGTCTTGCTTGCCACGGGAGCGGGTGCATTCCAGGTATCGGACGAGTGGAACCGTTTGCTCCCAGACTACAGGTTTACGACAATCGAGGAATTGATGAACGGTGTGTTCAAGCACAAGTCCTAGCATGCTGACTCTTGTGCATTTCCCTGGCCCATGGGTTTCATCGCAGCGGGGAGTTCGAAACAGACCGCGGGATAATCTCAGGCAACCCAAACAACGAACACCTCAGACCTCTGTTGTGCTTAGTATGCTCCTGTCCTGTAGCTGGAATTACGACTCTACAATGCACTCATGCAACACCACTTCTCAATAAGACCACTTCGTACGTTGCTTACGTCTCGATGCTAACTACAAGCATTACCTGCCATGCCTGCACTTATGACGTAGTTTGATCTGGGGCGCATGCGAAACCCCCTGCCAGTGGTCGCGATGCATTGGTAATAAAAGAAACCCCCTCAGCTTTGCAGGTCTGGCCGCGCAAGTGCGTGCTGCATGTGCAGGACGGCCGGTAGCGACAGGAGACAGCGGCGGGATCATGCAGCATCCGCAATTTCAGCGATGCTTCTAGTGCAGCAGCAGTCCAGTTTGGCACCCGTCATTTGCGGCTTAGAAGGAAGTATGTGCGTCGTAGGCTTGGACTGTTCCTGGCGTGGACGAATGGCGATGCCCCACGACACATGCCCAACGATGCCCGACCAGACAGGGGGTCAGGAGACTAAGCAAGGGTCACGTAGGGAGAAATATGACTCGCCGACGTCACTGGCCGCCTTGGATTCAAAGACTGGAGCAGCACTCAAAGTGCCAGATGGTGGTGGCTGGCTCAAATCCCCGGCGTGGGCCGACTGCAAAACAAGACATAGTGCTGAGCCCGGATGCAGCACCTCACAGCAGGCGATTGGACACGAGACATGACACATCAGCAACAGAGATGACCCAGGCACAGCAGACCGCGTACTGAAATAAACACGGGAGCGGGATTCACTCTGCGAGTCTGCCTTCTCTGTGAGTCATGGGCTACTGTTATGTAAGACCAGCCGGTCTTGCTCTGCTTTCGTCGGCAGGGCAGTGAGTGACACCAAATATTTGCTGTCAGATTTTCTCTGGAGGATGTTGTGGATCAATCGGTCCGTGCCGAACGACAAATGCCCAGCATTTCTCTCCGTAAACCCTTGTCAGCCTGCCCGCGTCACCAAACTGCCAAACGTGGGAAGCTTGCAAGTTGGGTAGGAAGTAGATGGAAAGTCTGCCGGCCACCGTAGGTGTATGTACGGCAGAGTTCTACTCATCCGCGTCTTCGTCCTTCGTGGTTCTATCCCCAGCACATTGAGGGCTAGTGGTAGAGAGCCACCGTGTTGGCTCCGCTGTGATTCCGCTTGGATGCAGGATGCAGGAAAGGAAGCGGGAGCTGCAGTAGATGACGATAATATTGTCGAATAAAATTGTGAGGTGTCGTCTGGAGCATCTAGTTGGCTCAAAGCAGACATTCTCGACTCCAGGAATGCCTGTCTCGGATGCATGCCTAATACCTCCGTTGAGGCCTTATCCACCTCGTAACCTGTTGTCACCCTGGCCTCCAGCCCCTTCATGGTGGATCCGAACCATACAATTGGGTATCCGCAGTCAGGGTTAGGCGCCCTGTTGTTGCCCGAACAGTCGACACCATCCCGGCAGTGAGCCTCACATAGATCTCACGGCTCCGAAACAGGTTTCCCTGGGCCTGTCGGGTGGTCTCTTTTAAGCCCTCATACGCCCTCTTGCTGTCTGATCACTCCAGTCAGTCTTCTCATCTCGAATCATTCAAATACTCCAGCACCCAGGAACTCACACACCTCGAACCCTTTCACGACTTATAACGATATCATGAGTGACTCTACACGACGGCCTTACACCGCAAGCAACCCAACGCCACACGCACAACATCCACATCGCTGAATGAAGCACACGAAAACGAACGGCATTAAAAGACACCAAAACCCAACGACGACAGATATCAATACTATAAGGATGGACTCCATCCACGGCACCAGCCAAATCACTGGAACAATGTCCAGGCAGAGCACAGGCCCTTCACGGGCCCCGAGCCTGAGGAGCAGATTCTCCCGTCCCTCCACTCGACGGAACAGCTTGTCAGACATCTCGGAGGTCTCGACCTCATCGATGGAGCCGAACGTCGGTGGAAATGCGCGGCCGACCTTTTCTCCACCTTCCCACTCGCCGCCAGCACCTCCTCATCGCCAGCAGTACCAAGAGCAGGAGCAGCGTCCGCGGCAACAACAATACCAAGAGCCGCCGCTACGGCAGCCGCAGTATCAAGAGCCACCACCGCGGCAACAGTATCAGGAGCCGCCGCCGCGGCAGCAGCAGTATCAGGAGCCTCCTCGGCAGCAGCAGTACCCGCCAGTGCCGCAGTACCAAGCTCCTCCTCCTCCGCCACCGCCTCAGCAACTACCACCGCCGCCACCCAGGACGGTCCTCAAGCCCAGTCGGCCAGTAGAGCCGGCGCCCGTCTACCAGGCCCAGCCGCGGTACTACGACGTCCCGGCCCCGCCGCCCAGAGCCTTCCCGGAGCCTAGGGAGCCAGACTTCTTCAGAGACCACGAGTACCAATCCGACACCAGCTCGCTGAACCTCTCGGACAACACAGACGCTACGAGCGTCGTCTCCGACGCCACCTACAAGGCCGGCACCAAGCCCTCGTCAGGACCTCAGGCGGGCGAGTCCAGCAGGACCACGACCGGTAAGCACGTCGCCCTCTCCGGCCGGCGCGTCGGGCTCCGCTCGCGGCCCAAGACGCGCTCCCTCGTCGGCGTCGCCACCGGCTCCACCATCTCGGCGGCTCCGTCCCTGCACAAGTCGTCGTCCAACGGCGGCAAGAGCAGGGGCGGCGGCCGCACGCTGCAGATCGAGGTCCTCGCTAACCAGGCCACGCTCGAAGACATCCGGCAGCGGCAAAAGATTGAAAAGGTGCTCGTCGACCGCATCCAGGAGCTCGAGAAGGAGACGCAGAGCCTGCACGAGGAGCAGACGACGTCCACCAAGGCCATGGACGAGGCGCTCGAGAAGATGTCGGTGCTGTCCATGGGCCGCGAGGACGTCGAGCGCGAGCGCAACCAGGAGCGGGAGCTGCGCGAGGCGCTCACCAAGGAGGTCTCCGACCACGTGCGCATGCTCGGCGAGCAGCGCGAGATCATCGACGAGCTGCGCAAGACGATCGAGGACCAGGGCAAGAAGCTAGAGCTCGCGGAGAAGGAGCGCGATATCCTTACCGACAACAAGACCGAGCTCGAGATCAAGGTCGCAGCTCTGGAGAAGACCATCGACCAGTTGAAAGACGACAGGGGCGATAGCGAAAAGCTCATGATTGCTCAAATCGCTGCCCTCGAGCTGGCCAAGGAGGCCCTCACCATTCGTGTTGACGGCCTCGACACGGAGCGATCCACCTTGCAGATGAAGCTTGATGACATGAAGTCCAAGTACGACGCTCTTCAGGCTGACTCCGAGAAGGCACAGACCGACATGAAGACCCTAACCGACGAAAAGACTGCCCTCGAGGAAGAGAAAAACAGCGCACAGAAGCGCGTCGAGGAGGTTGAGGCCGAAAAGACCGAATTAACCACTAAGGTGGAAGGTCTTACAACTGAAAAGGCCGAAGTCCAAACCAAGCTCGATGCGGCCGAGGGTGACAAAGAAGGCCTGAAGAAGCAGATCGAGGAGCTTGAGGCTGCCAAGACAGAGCAGGAGACTCAGATCACCGATCTGACCGCTGCACGAGACGGCCTCCAGGAAGAGACCGCGACGCTCAAGACGCAGATCGCCGATAAAGAGGCCGAGATCAAAAAGATTGAGGAGGAATCCGATGCCGAAGCCAACGGCCTCGAGGAGAAGATCAAGAAGCTCGAGGCCGACAACGAGTCCCTCAAAGCGGGAATAGACCCGGCCGCTGCCGAGGCCGCCGCACTGGAGGAGCTTCGAAAGAAGCACGCCGAGGAGCTCGAGGCCAAGCAGAATGAGCTTCAAGAGCAAGTCGACAAGGCTGCCGCACTCGAGGGCGAGAAGGGAGAGCTAGAAGCGGCCAAGACAGCCCTTGAAGGTGAAAAGGCGACCCTCGAAACAGACAAGTCGGCGCTCGAGGAGGGCAAGTCGGCCCTGGAAGCCAAAGTCGCTGAGCTGGAGAAGGAGACGAGTGAGGTTGGTGTGCTGCGCGACCAGAACGGCAGCCTCGGCGAGCAGCTCAAGGCCGTCAACGCGCAACTTGCCGACGCCAACGCCGGATTCCAGGCCTCTTCCAACGAGTTGCAAGCACTGCAGATGCGCGTAGCGCAGCTTAAGGCGCGCCTGCAGGCGAACGACTCCAAGAAGCATGATGGCGGTATCCGGAAGAAAGCCGGGTCCAAGGGCCGAGGGGAGGAATTTGTCTTTGTGCGCAGCAGCAAGGACCGTGGCTCTATGTCAGTACCCATTCCTATTTTCCCCTGGGTCGACTGGGATGAGGATAGCGACGATGATGACAAGGGGCTAACCGTTCGCAGGCAAGTCATGCCCAAGGCTGAATACCGCGCCTCCCGCAGCCCGTCCCGGGTCCGGCCGCCGACCGAGGCTGGAAGCGAGTAGAGATCCCGACCTGACCGGCAACGGCGAACGAATACCGTGAGTTTAATGAGTTGGTTAACGTAACGAGATATGGGTGGCACGATATGTTATGATGGAGTTGGTTTTTGTTTTTCTTTTCCCTTCAGACTTTCCATCCTTTACACATTCCTACCTTACTCGCATCAGACGCATGTCGGACTCGGATTAGACTGTTGTTGTACTCTAGCACTAGAAGGGCAGCATACGCATGCGGGTTCATTTTCTATATTCTTCATGGTTGGGGGTAAAATTCGGATGGCACATATGGAACAGGACTATGGCTAGGAAACTTGGGCCTGTAAACAACGATGTTGTAACCTGTAGGACAATCATCAAAAGCGTTGCATTTTATACATATTTCCCCTGTGAAAACACTTGTAGAAGAAACTCTTTTGCTAGAGTATTGACCGACTGCTTCCCATCGGATTTAGGTCGTTGACCAACCCATCTATGTGTTAAGGTCCTGAGAAGGCGGGCTCACTCACACCCTTTCCGGCTGAGTGTCAGCCTCGGCCTGCTCCGAGTGATGGGCCGTCGCCACCTTTAACTCTGGCACGATATGTCCCGTACCAGCTTCCGCAGCGACTTTCCCAAACTGTCTCGGGGGGACCTTCAGCGCATACAGTTCGTCCATCTTCTCGAACGACAAGCCCTTCGTCTCGGGAAAGAGGTACCAGCCGCCAACACTAGCAATCAAGCCAGTACCCAGGAAGATGAATCCGACTTTGCCGCCCAAGTCGCCGGCATCGGGATTGATCATGTACGGGACCGTGAACTGCATGATCAGTCCCCAGGCGGAATTCGTTATCGTGATTAGGCCCTGGGTCGCGGCGCGCAGGCGCATCGTGGCGATCTCCGAGGCTAGCACGAAGCCTGTCGCGCCGATGGAGAGCTGGTAAATTACCGCCCAAACGTACAAGATGGCCACAATGCCCCAGCTTGCGCGGGCTTTGTCGGGCACGCAGCCGAGGATGCCGATGATGAGAAGCATCAGACACAGCATGAACTGCGGGCCGACAATCAGGAACCGCCGGCCGAACATCTCGGTCAGGGGGAAGGCGGCGGTGCTGGCGCAGAGCATGACGACGTAGAGCGCTACGGAGGCGGCAAAGTAGTTTTGGATGCCGATGAGCTCGAAAAAGTAGGTAGCGTAGCCGATGACAAACGTCGCGCCAATCATCTGCTGCGCCGAAGCGGCAAAAATGGCTGTAAATGTGCGCTTGCGATTGGTCGCTCCGAAGCACTCGAGCTCCAGCTCGACATCCATGCCGAGGAACCGCCTCGGCGGTCTCTGCTCGATGTGTCCGTGCAAGTCACTGGTAATGCGGATCTCTTCTTCCATGCGTGTCACCTCAATGTCGTAGAACTCGGTCTCTTTGAACCCGTAGATTCTGCGTAGTGCCTTCTTTGCATCTGTAGGACGGTTGTGGCGGACGAGCCAATATGGCGACTCTGGGAAGATGGGCCAGATCAACGTCAAGAGCACTGCCACCAGCAATTTGATCAGCTTTGTAATTATTGGTGTCATAACAGAAATGTAATGAACATACGGGGAAAGAAGTACATGGCTACAACGGGCAACCACCATTGCCACACTCCGGTTATGTGACTGCTGCCCTGAGACACCACAACTATGGCGAACTGACCAAAGACGATACTTGTGTTGAAGAAGCAGAGGAAGAACCCGCGCAGTTCTGGTCGACAGGTTTCGCCGATCCATAATGGAGAGATTGTAAACATCATCCCAATCGCAAAGCCGTTGACTCCGCGGCCAGCCAGGTGCATACGCCAGTCAGGCGCCAGCTGCTGCAGTAGAACTCCAGCAACGGAGATGAGCGAGGCTGCGAGGATGCCCCATTTGCGGCCGAATCTTTCGAGGAGCGGGACAAAGATGAATGTGGCGACGATCTCGGTGGCTGGGGCGATAGAGTTCCACGCAGATAGGTATCGGGCAGGAATTAGGTAGGTGCCGTCGGGCTGCAGCACGCCGAACTTCTCTCTAAAAGCAGGGAGAGCGGCGAGTTGGCCGCCAGCGACGATGTCAAAGCCTTGCATCACCACGCCCGAAGATATCAACAGAGCTGAACTCCCAAACAACCATTAGTATTTCAACCGCAGAGATTACCGGAGATCTTGTTTTTGCTCACCCCAAAACGCAAACCGGGCTTGAGACTTGAGAATCTTCCATTTGTTTGCCGGATCGACGACACTATAATCCACGCTGAATGCAACCTGTGAGTCAACAGTGTGACGAGGAAAATGCTCTTGGAGATAGCCCTACCCGTGTATCAAAGTCATGTTGAAGGCTAGCAATAAGTCCGAGACGGCTACTGATGAGTTGCTTTGAAGTCAAAGAAATGGCTGGGATATGATCCCAAGTTGCAGGTCTGTTTCTCCGAAGACGAGAGAGATATTTATACGCCAATTTCAGTCAGTCATCCCCGGCGGATTGCTGATTGGCGCTAATCAAGGCGGAGGAATCATGGGGTGATGCATGGGGTGCGTGGCCTGGGGTCTGGAGCACATGAGAGCCCACGAGAAGCCTCAGAATGAGAGTTCAACTTCTGGACGCATGGACGAAACCCCCAGAATGTGAAGATAGTAAATGTTCCAAAGTGGGCGTGATGGGGCAAGAATTTTAGCCTCGCGCCACGTACGTTTCCAAGTGCATCGACTCTCTAACTAAGCCCATATCCACACGTCGCGGAGTTCGTCTTAGCTCCGCACGCTCGCGGCCTCGGTATTTTCGCCGAGTCCGTAAAGTCACTCATTCCTGCAGCCATGCTGTTAGTTGAGAATATGTCACAAAAAAGGCGGTGATTAATATATGTTGATCTAAATGCTCTATCCTGGTGCTCTGTTTATAGGATGTGCGTTTACGCGGACACGAAGATTGTTGAGTCAGACAGGAACGAAGGAAGAAGATGGTCAGAAAGCCTAGATTTCATTTCACTGCTGATTGCTGGATCAATGACCCTTGTGCACCTTTCTACAACCACTCGACGAGGAAGTACCATCTCTTTTACCAATGTATAGCCCAAACTCGAAGCTCTTATCAAACTCTCGATCCGCGACGCTGATATTGAACAGGCAACCCCTCAAGCTGCGAGTGGGGGAACATGTCTTGGGGACACATTGAATCTGATGATTTGGTAGTGTGGAAGCCAGCAGAGATTTCGCCAGCACTCCTCCCAGACGAGCCTTATGACCAGGAGGGTGTCTTCACAGGCTGCTGGATTCCGAATGTCAACGAGAGCGACGAGACCATACGAATTGCTTACTCTTCGGTAAAGCAGCTGCCTTTCCATTGGAGTACGCCCCCTTACCCACGCAATGCGGCCGGTATCTCGGTTGCGTCGTCCAGCGACGGTGGTGTGACTTGGAAGAAGTCGCCTCGGAACCCGATCTTGCTTGGCGAGCCAGCTGGCGTACAAGTGACCGGCTTCCGCGACCCGTACGTGATGCAGTCCTCAGAGCTCGACAGAATTCTTGGCGCAGATACGAAAGGATTGTATGGACTCGTTTCCGGAGGCGTCGAAGGCTCTGGTCCAACCACATGGTTATACACTATATCACCCGACGACCTTGAGAGCTGGGCCTATGTCTGCCCTCTGGTTGATATTCTAGCGAGACATCAGCCATTCGAGCCGTGGGGTGGTAATTACGGCGTGAATTGGGAGTGTACGAATCTGCTTTCTCTATCCTTCGGCAAGATCACGCGACAATTCCTCATTCTCGGCGCTGAAGGAGACGTTGAGAAGGCACATGTCAAACACTTCATCGGGAGCCCAGAATCTCCATCGCGCACTGTGAGAGCACAGTTGTGGATGTCAGGACCTTTGAGTGCAACCAAAAATGGCCCAAGGCTCCAATACAAGCATGGAGGTTATCTTGACCATGGGCCTTTCTATGCAGCAAATTCGCTGCTTGATCTCACAAATGAAAGGCATATTGTGCACGGTTGGATTCCTGAGGAAGATATAACTTTGAATCATGCGAAGAGAAAAGGATGGAACGGCTCAATGGCTCTACCCCGAGAGATCTTCCTGCTCTATATACCTATGGTTGTAGGGGCACTGCGCACTAAATTAGGAGACATTACATCCTTTGAAATCTACGAAGAGCTCGATGGTTCGTGTTCGGTACTCACACTCGGAGTCAAACCAATTGCCGAGATGGCAGAGCTTCGAGGATCATGCGGTTGGACTTGCACTCTCGGCAGCCCTCTCAATATGAATCGAAAAGACAAGAATCTTTTCGATCTACGGTCTACGTCCTGGGAGTTGGAGATGGTTGTGTCATTGCACGAAAGCTGTGAGACGTTGGGCTTCCACATTTACCTTGGCGAGAATCGGTCCTGTCGGACGACAGTCACTTTCTCCGTTGTGGAAGAGATGCTCATTGTTGACCGTCATGAATCAAATGGAGATATCACCATCAACAAATGTCCCGATGCAGGACCCTTCACGCTACTCTGGATGAAGCAGAGTGATACTCGAGATGCTTTGGTTCTGGAGGCTTTGAGACTGCGCATCTTCTCAGACGGGGATATTCTAGAGGTCTTTGCAAACGATCGCTTTGCACTTACGACAATGGTGTACGCGGAACACCAAGATTCGACAGCTGGGACGATCTGCGCATTTGCAACTGGACGGGGCGAATACGGTGCGACTTTAGAGTCGGCAAGACTCTGGGATGGCCTGGGATGGGATAAGCATGTGCAGGGTTGACACGCATTCAGTTGCTGAAGGGCAGCTCTCATAACTAGATTATTCTCACATCCTGGTTGCACTTCACCTCAATCGCAGATCTAAAACGGATGATTTGTGCTGCGATACTTAGATCAATGTATCAACATTAGTGCTGCAACTTCCTCAACCGGTTGACAAGAACTTCGTGCAGTAATAGCAGTGATGGACTAGATCGTACAATACAGTCATCAACAGCCTCTGCCGACCTGAGGCACACCCATAGGTTTGGCCAATCGATTGTGCAGCCCTCCCGTATGCAAGGAGTCTCCATTGCTAACATTACTGCCATGGATGTCATGAACACGGTGGAATACAGTGTCCATCGGTTGACGATGCAATTTCGCATGGACTGTAGCATAGTAGGCATGACTTGAATGTATGCGTGAAAGAATCTCTCACAATGTCTCAACAACTCTGGACTGGCAGCGCCGTCTTGAATGCTCTGGTAAACCGCCGGCCAATATATCGATATCTTGCAGCAGAAGTATTGTACCCGGAGAAAAGTGCTCAGCGGTTCGATACTTGTGATATCATCGTGAGATGAGATGGCACTCTCCAAGTCTTGACTCTTGAACTGAACAGAAGGCGGAAGGTATCCATACCATTCCTCGAGCTGCAATTCGAGCTCCTTTGCGATATTGGGAGCGTACACTATTTCACCGTCGATGGCTCTACGGATCGCAGTATTGCATCGGTGCAGCATCCGCCTCATGGAGATCTCTGCGAGGAAGTAGGCTTGGGTTGTATCTGCATGTCGATTCATCGCAGAGAAGTCACTCCCTGGAGTTGTGATTGTAGTTGCCGGTGACCCCGTGGCAACGTCAAACTGCCACGTACGACGACTGTCGGGCAGAGGGATGTCGTCATCATGATTCCAGATACCACTCTCGACCACATCAAACTGCACGCGGAGCTCGCTCTCCAGAAGGAGCACTGCCCAATATGCTCGCTTTATATGTTCAAAAAGCTCATTGTCTCTTTCCTTTGTGCATCGAAGAAGATTCTGCACCTTGAAAGACGCTATCATGACGTAGTCGTACGCTTGACAAGGCCTTTCGAGGGAGCAGTAGTAAACCGCTAAGAGGATAAGGGACTGAACGCTTTCGATGCCTCCATCCACAAGGACAGTGGGTAGCGACGCCATGGCTAGATCGAAATATTGCTCGCTACTCCCGTCGCTGGGAGACACGCCCAGGATAGGGTCCTGTTGCGCCAACGTACCGATGGCGGCCACGAGCAAGACCAGACATGACTCTGGACTCGGTGCCAGCACGCCTGAGATGATACCAAAGTATCGTTCCGAGAAGCCAGGGCGCAGTATGGGGTACCAACAATGCACGTAGGTGGAGAAAGATGCTAATGCCATTATGGCATGTTCCTGTTGCATTATCCGCATGCGAGGGGCATGGTTCGAGCCTGAGAGCGGAGTAGCTCGTTCAAGCTTGAGCAGGTTGTGGGCAAAGCCTGGCCCAAGCCCCAGAATATCCATGATGCAGTCGCTCCCAAGCAACTGAAAGGGGGACTTCTCTTCTCCGGTGAACATATCGCCCGCTCGTATCTGCTTGGCGAGTGGTCCCTGTTCAGGGCTTGTTGAGGGTCTGGCCTGGACAAGGTTGGTAATCTGATCAAGACGTTGGTTGATGGCAGCCAGCTCCGCTTCGACCCGCGGTGCATGACCCTGAAGGCTTTGCTCATAGTGGCAGTCTATTCCGCGAGCGCGACAGTAGCCGCAGGCGGGCTTGCGATTGTCGCATCTTGTTCGCCTGGCACGGCAGGCGTCACAGGCGGTCGTCCTTCGACTACGCGATTTCTTGCTCCGTGTGGGCTCCGGATGCGGAGACTGAGCATCGACCCCGGCAGGAGTCACATCGGAGACATAGGGCTGCATGCCGAACAGTGGATGATGGTTTTGATTTCAAACAACTTACTGGAAGGTTGGAATGAATGTAAGGAAAAAGATGCCGCGAAGATAAAGCCAGGTCCGCGACTGAGATTCATCACCTTGGGGGGCTCGCGACTGTGACGCTAATTCCGCGGCCATCACCATCAGTCTAGGGCGGAGTGGTCAAACTTCCCAAGTCTCGCGGTGCAAACTCTAACTCCGCGAGCCATTCCCCGCAATCACTTAGCATTAGTGGCTGTTAGCTCTGGGTGATGGTCAGCGTGCATGTAACTGATTTTATTGTGTTCATGGGACGGACTACTGAGTTGAGTTCCCCTCAATCTTCTTGGAGCGCAATGTTTGATGAATACTTCTCTTGCTTGGCTTTTCAACTTATAAAGCACGGCATTCTGTTCTTGCTGTCGTTCCTGAGAGCCTACAACGTAACAACCAGATCTTGACGAATCCAGCAGAGTACCCAACTCTATCGAATCATCATGACAACCTCGGTATTTGGAGGAGACCTGTTGTCGTCTGTTGCGCAACGGAAACAGGGTCGCTCTGCTCGAATTTCGAGCTTTGACCAGTCTGGCCTCAACGAGGATGCGTTTGTCGTTTTGCCAGGCGAGACTGCGACTCTGGCAGATATTGAGGGCCCAGGCAAGATCACTCACCTGTGGTTCGTTCAGACCTGCCGTCGCATCTTAGGGCCAGGTCTTATTCCATACTCCAAATCTGGCGTTGCGATGCTCGAAGTTCATAACGCACTGGGCCTAAGCTACGAGGACAGCGACCCGGACTATTATCGAAAGGTTCTGATCAAGATGTACTGGGATGACTCCGAGACACCCAACGTCATCGCGCCTATCGGGGACTTTTTCTGCTTGGGCCATTCCATGGCAGCCAACTTCCAGTCTCTGCCCTTCACCGTGTCCGTGAAGCCGTCGGAGGAGAAGAAGTACGGAGGGTCGGCAGCATTCAACTGCTACCTCACGATGCCTTTCAACAAGCGAGCTCGCATCGAGATCGAGAACCAAGGTGAAGACGCCTACTTCCAGTATTTCTACATCGACTACGAGCTCTGTCCGAGACCATTTGACCCGAAAGAGATCCTCTATTTCCACGCCCACTGGCGCCGGGAGAACCCTACCAACGGCTGGGCCCCCAACGCTATGCAGACCAACAGTCTCGAGACCCAAGTCCCTAACCTCGCAGGTGACGGTTACACCATTCTCGAGACTACCGGCGCCGGTACCTACATCGGATGCAACCATTCGGTGCTGCATCACCAGGGCACGTGGTGGGGAGAGGGCGATGATATGATCTTCATTGATGACGACACCTGGCCGCCGAGCATGCACGGCACTGGCGGCGAAGACTACTTCAGCCAGGGATGGGGCATGCAGAAGAATGCATACCCATTCTGCGGCACAATTATTCATGAGGAGGACGTGCCCGGGCATCAGGTGTCGTATCGGTGGCATCTGGCGGACCCCGTGCGCTTCGACAAGAAGATCAAGGTCAAGCTCGAGCATGGGCACGCCAATCATCTCCGCGACGACTGGTCCACCACAGCCTACTGGTACCAGACGCTGCCGGGGCCACAACTAGAGATCCAGCCCGTCGAGGAGCGGCTGCCGAATCGACCGACAATCAATGCCCTACCTGAGCCAGCCGCGGCAAGGCCCTTGACGGACTTGCAAAAGAAGAATATCTCCCAACGGGAGGAAAGGTTCAAGGTTTTTGTGAACGACCGGAACAGCTGGCTCGAGCGTCGGGCCAAAGCATCTCGAGAGAGGGCTCGCAACAATGTCGAAATTGCCAAGGATATCCGGAAGCGATATCTCGCGTCTGTTGAGTGATGGGGTTGTCGACAGTTCTAAGCTATCGTTGCAGACCTCCCAGTGGTGCTCTTATCATCTTGGCACACTGTGATAGATCCTGTTGCTACTACTTCGACTGACTCTTTAGATACATCGTACAGGATGGGCTTGAGGAATAATTGTCAGACATTGACACCCCTCTCAGTTGAATTATTGTAACAGAGAAACATGAATGTTCGTCAGGTCGTGTATCATCTAGTCCTGCCATAGATAGGAAGTTATAAAACAAAACCTAGGCAGAGCATCACTCGACGCGCACATCACCTATCCCTGTTCCCTCCGATCTTTCTCCGCTCTCCTTCAACATCTCCCACCCGCGATTCCTATAGCTCTTAGGCCAGATCCCGCACCTCCCCGGCGCCAGGATCCCGTTCGGATCAAGTGCGTCCTTGAGCTTCTCGTTAAACTTCATCAGCGCGCCATCGTTCCAGTTGTACGTGCTAGCAACCTGATCCATCAGCACGAGATGCGTCCTGTATTCGCCATAGCCTAATGCCGCAGCGTCGTCCACCATGGCCCGCATGCAGTCCATCGCCGCCTTGCGCCGCTTAGGGTCGTCCCGGTCAAAGATGATCTCGATGATCAGGTGCATCTCCCGCAGTCCCACGCAGAACGCGGGGAACAGGTCGATGCCGAACTCGTCGTGCCGCCGCTTGGCCAGCTCCCACAGGCGCATTGCGTCGGCGCCGCGGATCGGACTCACGGGTGAGAAGGCGATGTGCGACCCGTTGGGCATCCAGTTGCACCACCGCAGCTCGTGCAGGTCCGGCACGCCCGCCGCGACCCTGTCGCGCGACCAAAAGTACTCGTCCTCGGGCAGGACGGCCGGGTCGACGCGCCTGCAGCCCGGGATGCGGCGGAACTCGGCGTCGACGAGCGCGAGCTTGTGCTGCCTGATGTTGGGCGGGCCGTAGGACATGCCGTAGTAGACCCAGGCGCAGTCGCCCGTGGGCGTCTTGGCGGCCTCGCGCCGGATGACATCCTGCGGGATGGGGCCGTCGCCCGTGTAAAAGTCTGTGCGGGGCCGGCCGCTGACGGCCACGGTCTGGGTGACGTGGCGGAGCTGAGCGACGTTCTCCAGGATGTTGCTGATGCGTAGAGGCCGGATGATTTCAATCTGCAGATGAATGGATGTATGAGCCCATGTACACGTCCTGTTCCTGACTAAATCTGAAGGGTTACTTACCAAAGCCTCTAAGTCCTCCTCGTTGGGGAAGGTGTACATCTTGTGAACCTATAAGCTGAGTCCAGTCCGATGGAGCGGGAAGTTTCACGCACAAAGCTCTCGTATCCACCCGGATTGGGCATCAGCGTCATGCCCATCTTCGTAACAATTCCGTAGTTTGATTGCGAGAAGATGCCACTGGGGCCAATGTCAGACAAAGACAACTTGCACTAGTCCAAGCCGCAAGGCACTTTCACACTTACTCGGAGTAAGGGCCAAAACCATAGGGAAATGTCTGCCAAGTATTGTTGCCAGGCATCGCACCCATACCGGTCCGCAATAGCTCGCCTGTGGGGAGGACGACTTCAAGTCCCGAATGGCAAGCCCAGTGGTCCCCGTAGGGCGTGTACCCGACACCTCTGTCGAGAGTGTTGCCGATGACAGATCCACCGCCGAGATCCGGGGTGTCGACCCAGAGGTGGTCGTAGCCCCTCCGCTTGATCTCCTCGTAGAGAGCGTAAAAACTGACCCCTGGCTCTACTAGGCAGGTAAAATCATCCGGATTGATGTCTAGAATCTTGTTCATGCGCCGGCCAAGATCCAAGACGACGGAGCCACGTACCCTGGGAGCAGCACCGCCGTAACCCACTGGTATTGGCTGGTCAGCGCAGCTCCAGGATTTGATCTTAAACTGGCCACTCACAATTTCGGCCCATCGATATTGGGAATATGGGAATGAGGTGCTTATTAGCCCATTCGACAATATCCTGCACTTCGGCCGGGCTTCCTGGATAGACAACCGCTGATGCAACTAGCTCCTCTTCGTCCAGCACCGCCATGCAATCATGGGTGTTTGGATCTTACGAGGTGCATTAGAACGGTCCAGAATCCTGGGATACAACGGGACTCGCTTGCTTACGTTCCATGTACCTACGAGACGTTGTCAATAACTGGGGGATGAAAAAAAGAGAGACTAGCATTGTGTCAGGCTTACCACCCATCTCGAAGAGGCTTGTCGTTAACCTCGACGTATTCTGCTCCAAGTCGTTTTCGCAGGTCATCTAGTGCTTCAAAGAATTTGTCTCGTTCAATTCCTTGCGGAATCACGGGCAGCCTCTGTCTATCGTTGGTGGGTTTCGTCCTGGTCTGAAATATGGCTTCTTTGGCGCGCTCGGCCTTGGCCAGTAGATAGGTTGGAATCCCTGAATGGGTCTCGGGAAGGACAGGGATCCTAGCTTTGGCTTCTTCGTGTGCCATGATGGTTGCTTAAGCCCTTCGTCGACTGGGCAAGTCTGCTATCGTGACAACTAACCTGTGGCTTGAACGAACAGCATCAAGCGAGGTCCAGAGTAATTTACCTCTTATTAGTCGACCATGCTGGTGGATTTACCCCGCGATGTGACGCTCAAGTTGACCATCTGCCGGATCGGTGTCTGCGATTGGGTGTGTTAAAGAAATGCCGAGCGGCCGATGGCTCCGGTCCGCTTACTCAGTTCTTTGTACAGATTTAGCTTCCGACCCCGCATCAATAGCCTACGCCGCCTTGACATTCCTCCCGGTTCCACGGACATCGTCCCATCATCCCCTGCATAAAGAAGCCTAAAAGAGGCATGCAGGTAGACATCTTGAAACTTCGTTTTAAACTTCCTAGACGCCCTTTTCCTGACAGCTTGCACTTTCTCTATCTCTCGGAACGCAAAGACAAGTCCAACTAGTTAACCCCCACTTTCGGAAGAACGGGCACGATGAGCCAAGCAGCGTCGGAACGGCAACATGTCTCCGTCGACCACCCAACTTTGGGCAAGGTCACCGGTCTCCAGGTCGAGCCGACAGTAACGCAATTCCGCGGCATCAAGTATGCCACCGTGAACGAGCGATTTGCTGAGTGCGTCATTCACGAACAGAAGGACATCGATGCTACAAATTGGGGGTAAGTTCGCAATACTGTAGTAGAAGCAAGGTATTTGCATAGGTTGCGCATAAGCTGACTTGTTACAACCAGACCGTCTTGTCCACAGCCCGCAGATGGATTCCCGAATGAGCAGATGTTTATTCAGCAGGGTTTGCCAGCAGACTCAGTCCCTGATGACGAACTCAATTGCTTGAATTTGAACATCACGACGCCTAAAGGCGCAGCGGGATCCGCGAACCCACTGCCAGTACTGGTATTTGTTCACGGAGGAGGCCTGTTTGTTGGTGCAGATAGCTGGCCACACTATGACCAGGCCAAACTCGTCGCATTGGCAGCTTCTCGGGGGCGTCCCATCGTTGCCGTCAACCTCAAGTATGGCCCCCACGAGAGATGCCCGAACAGATCCGCGGTAGTGCTGACATGTGCAATAGCTATCGACTTGGTGCCGTGGGATGGCTTGCCAGTCCCAAGGAAGGGCTCAAGGGCAACTTTGGCGCCAATGACGTGATCACGGCCTTTGAATGGATACATAAGCACATCTCTGGGTTTGGAGGCGATCCCAACAACATCACCGCGCTTGGCAACAGCGCCGGGTCGTCGATCGTCACTGCGCTCCTGTATCAGGATAAACCACTCTTCAAAAAGATCATTCCCGCTGGTGGTACGGCTCTTCTGGGTCCTTTCGCAGACGCCAAGACGCAAGAAGAAAAGTTCAAGTAAGTTATGTCTCGTAGTCTTTACATGTTGAACAGCCCCCTAACTTGTTTCCAGTGCTCTTGCTGGCATGCTTGGCATCGACGCGACCCGCAAAGCTTTCGAGAAAGTTTCTGTCGAAGATCTCACCCAGAAAACCCCGATGATGTATCTCGGACTTGGTGTAGACGGTGATCTCTTTAAGGAAGCCCAGACATCAACCCTTGTTGCACAGAAAAAGGAGTCCTGGTGTGAGGAGATCTTCATCGGAAACAATGAGCACGATGTGAGTGATTGATTCTCAGCCTTGGGAGGCTAGTGTTGCTAACACATGACCAGGCCTCGATTATGATCATGGGACTACTAGGTAAACTCGACAAAGTCAGCAAGCAGCTCCCAGGCTACCTCAAGCAGGCTTTGCCCGAGTTTGCAGACGACATCATAAATACCTACAAAGTCTCCGAGGACATGTCACAAGCGGAGGCGTTAGAGGCCATTACTTCCTTGGCCACCGATGTATTCGCCGTGGCTACTCAGAAATATTTGATCGGCTGGCCAAACGAAAAGCGCTATTTCTACCGCTTCGCCGTGCCAAACCCATGGGACGGCCCGCTGAAGGGGTTCGCGACTCACATCTTGGAGGTTGCCTTCTTGTTCCAGAATTACAATCATGTGTTGAGTGAGGAGAACCGCCAGATCGCAGAGAAGCTAGCGGAGTCCATAATTGGATTCATGTACGATGTTCCTCCCTGTAAGCCTTGGACGGAGAACCCCGAGGGACGTGAGGATCTAGCATTTGGATCTTTGCGTTCTGGCGACGCACGAAAGGAGAAAATACTGGAGATTGCCGACAAGGTTGGATATGAGAAGCTCTCCGGCGTCATGATGGGTTTCTACTTTGGTCCTTAGGAACCTGTCACATGATGAAACACCGGTACTCGAGCCAAGTAGTACTTATTATTAGATCAATGGTAAACCTGTTGTAGAGTAGTAAAGTCCAATCCAACGTGGGAATAACCATAAAACTATCCATCACAAACAATAACAGACCGTGAATCCGAAAGGAGCTGTGGCGCCTTCCCGAAGAGAAAAGGTTAGACTGGGAGCTCAAGTCTCAATGGCGATGTATGTAGCTCCAGCAGCATACAAAGTGGTGTCGCCCCAGCTGTCGATGTGCCACTCCATCTGCTCGCCGGAGATGCTACTGCCTGACAGACGGACACGGGTCTGAGTGCCCCTGTCAATGTCCAGCATGCTCAGAGCCATGAACAGCTTCGGCGGCTTATCAAATCCAGGGCTAAAAGCCACCATGCTTTGATTGTTGGGCTGTGGTTCAGTGGGAGGCCTGACATCTTCAGTGCTGAACGTTCCTGTGATGACACCCTTCTTGTCGGCGGGAAGGGCGATCCAAGAGACTCCGGCCTCAGACAATTTGGTGTTGGACCAAGTCTCAATGTTGAGCTGGAAGCTCTGGTTGGTCACCTCGGAGGCGTATGTCTTGACGCGGCAGTTGGCGGACTTGTCAATGTCTAGAGCCGTGAAGAAGACGAGCACCTTGGGAACAGAAGAATACTCCTGCTCAAATGTGATGGTCTTCTGTGTGTGAGCGTCTTTGGTGGCGACAGAGCCATGCTGGAAGTCCTTGTCGTCGGCTGGGAAAGCGAACCAGGAGACGCCAGAAGCGTACTGAATAGTGTCATCCCAGGACTGGAGGTTGAGCACCGCCTGGCTTGGATGAACCTCCTCGACAAGGGACCTGATGCGAAGGTTGTGAGAGTTGTCAAAGTCGAGAAAGTTAAGGCCAACGACAAACTCGGGAGCCGAGGTGCGTGACTTAGCAAAGCTGACAGTGGTGCGATGGTCCATTGCAGTCGCTCCTGGGGAGAGGTCGGACATGGTGTTGAAAACGCCGATCTCCAAATCGCTGGCTGGATCGCCAGCTTGCCTAGGCCTCTTGGGATACATCCTGCCGATGAAGGCGATGTCGGTCGAGTCCAGACGGGTGTTCCAGCCCACGGAGAAACCATTGGTAGTGAACTCCTTGGGGATGGGATACTCCATGATGGAGGTTGGGTCGAATGCAGTCGAGGTCACATCGGCCCTGTTATACCGAAAGAAGACGTTGGAATCAACCTGCTCCTTGGACCAGCCTTGCTTGCGGTAGGCCTCATACACAACAGGCTTGTTCCACTGGATAGTGGCATTGGGCTGGGACTGCTCGTGGATGCATCCGATGGCGTGTCCGAACTCGTGCGTGACGGTGCGCGAGAACTCCTCGTCGGTAGTGTTGTCATTGAACCAGCCGTAGTTCATGGTCGCGCTGTTTGCCGACACGAGGGTGGAGTCAGTGCCGATGTAGGACCAGGATCCGTCGGCGACGAAGCTGATGCGGATATCGGCAGGTCCGGACTCGACAAACTGGAAGTAGATATGGGCGTATTGCGACCAGACGTTGGCGTACTGCTTGACCTTCTGGCGGACGAAGGCGCTTCCGCCAGCCAGGAAACGCACGCGCAGGGTCTTGCCGTTGGCCCACATCTTGCGGACGAACAAGCCGAGACGGGCTTGGGTAAGCCCTGGCATGCCCATGCCACTCTCTGGGACGACGCCGCCGGCAGGGGCGACGGCCATGTCGGGAGAGTAGATGATGTTCTCTGGGTTCTCATGGAGGGCTTTCTGGATGGCCTCCTCGGCGAGTTCCGCAGGCAAGAACATCTGCGCACAGTAGTGCGGGACGTCGGTAAGGGAATCCATGCTGTAGATTTATAAGAGGGAATATCAGAGTTGTTTGGAGATGTGTACTAGCAAGAACAAAGTACGTACAGCCGTGTTCAGGGACGCGGCATGAGGATCTATCACAAGCGATGCTCCTCCATGGGCGTCTGCATGGCTATTTATCTACCTCTTTCATCCTCAAGGCCCTTGCTGTGATCAACACTTCGCAGGCAGCTGCTTCTCAAAAGACAACCATACTGACTAAAATATGGCTTGATCTAGAACTTGAAGCAGCCGCCACGGTTCTTGGCGCAAGCGGGCTCCTCGCTTTCCACTGGCCGCTTAAGCAACCCAGGAAGCCAAAATGCCAAGAGGAGCAATTGAGTGACAACCACCCCATGCCACCCCGTGCCTTAGTGCCCAATCTCAGCTCCCTCTTTGCACGCTGTGGCGGCTGATAGTGTCAGCAGGACTGCATTTGTCCAAACCTCATCACGACGCTTTCTCAGCCTCACAACTCCGAAAGATATTCTGTTGATCTCTGCAAGCCACGCAATCATTCCTCGTCAAATATATCCTGAAATGGTCTTGAATACGCTGAAAGGAGCGCCGAGCACCTCAAGGGCGTGATCTAGAGGCGATAGTCTGTTCAGGCACTGGGCTGTCATCTGTGATATGTCGCAAACGACTGGAAAGCGAATCACATTCTCAATGACGGGCCTTGGCAGCTATTTGGCCCTTGCCTGCAATAGCAATGGGTACTCTGATTGGACCGTCTTACTGCGGTACTGATGTTCAGCACTGCCCATGTGCCTTGAACGGAGTCCAACCATGAAGTTCAGACCAACTACCTACTGATCCATGTCCGCCCAGAAGGTCGATCGTCGTGAAAGCCTAGACTCGTGAGCTCAGCACACAGGAAGATGGCTTGAGCTCGTGGCCCTGGGACTCCCCCCGAAGCAATAATAACAAGTGCGTTGCTGCAAGGCGCAGCAAGTTTACAGGAAGGATGTGACCATTGAGGAGTCCGAAGATGGTAGCGCCCGGAGAGATATCGCAGAGATGGCTGCCTCGCCACAGCCCGTTACGTAACCGGTAATGTCGAGATGGTGACGCTCCCTACCAAGGACGCACTCCCAACAGACCATTCCTGGAGTGCCCGAGCTGGCTTTTCTACATACCGGTAAGTAGATATGAGGCAGAACCGAGCTGGTAATGATTGTTGCATTCTTCTTGGCCTGACAACCGAGAAACGAATCCGTATAAGCTATGGACTTATGATAGTAAAGAAAAGAAGCGTACTAGTACTGGCTCTAGAGAAGAGAGACGTGATATTTCAGCACATAGTACGCCGGGATTGCTTTCCAGCTTGCAAATGTGCTCGCTTTTTTTTCGGCTTTTATTCGCGTCTTGACAGAATCCATGCGCTTTTTAGTCTCCTTGCTCTGACAATTTGTAGTTCACAAGGCCATTTGGGGTTTAGAATCCTGGTCATTCCATTACTAGACTAGACCGTCTTAGGTACCCGTTCTGATGTCGTTCTTTGCTCAAAACCGGAGATCAAAGCCATCTTCGACCCTGCCGGAAGAGGGAACACAGGTGTCATTGGCCGCGCGGCAACGCTAAATTCTGACGGCTGCACGGAGCATCACCATGAAGGATTGTAATGGGACTGCTTGGCAATCATCCATTTAGACTGCTTCACCGGCGGAAAATGTATTCCGTAGATGTGTTTATATATGGCAGAAAGTCGCTGCTAAAGTTCATGTCGACAATAGGTAAATACATAATAAAGAGTACTACATGCCTAGAGCCCAAATATCACATCATAAACTACTGAGTTACACCATCCGCGATGCCCTATACACTTGATCAACAATGGTTCGCAGAGGTTCTGCCTCACCTGTCTCGGCTGCCAGTAGACAGGATGAAGAGAGGGAACCCTGACTACAAGTTGGAAGCGCTTCGTCACGACTTCCCTCTCATGTTTAACCTCTTCAATGAGAACTGGCCTGCCCCTGAAGGTGTCAAGGAAATCAAGCACGACATCACTGCCTGGGATGGGACGACCATCTCGGTGTACCAGTTCAGCCCGCCGGCAGGAAGCACACCTGCGGCCCAGCCCACTGCAGCAGGTTTGCATTTTCACGCGGGCGCCCTGGTCACCTGTGCCGTAGAGCACCAGAGCAGGTACGTCGCCTGGCTGGCCAAGGAGAGCGGCATCCCAATGTTCAGCGTCGAGTACCGCCTCGCGCCCGAGATCCCGGGGGTCAGCATTATCAAGGATGCCTACTCTGCCCTGACATGGCTGCAATCGAAGTCGGCCGATTTGAACATCGACCCCGCACGCATCGCGGTGCTCGGCGAGAGCGCTGGCGGCGGCATCTCTGCGGGCCTGTGCCTCTACGCTCGCGACCAGGGGCTCAAGCCCCCGATCAAGAAGCAGATTCTGATCTATCCCTCACTGGATCACCGGACGCCCAAATGCGACCCAGAGATGAAGCCAATGCTCGGGTGGCACCCGGAGGAGAGCCTCGAGGCCTGGACCCACGTCCTGGGGCGCGACCCGAATGGTCCTGTGGACGACATCGACGGCTTACAGTACATATCGGCTTCGCGGGCCAAGAGTGTCGAAGGCGTCCCAGATGCCTATGTTGAGGTCGGGAGCCTAGACATTCTCTTACCGGAGGATGTTGACTATGCCACAAGGCTGCTGAGGGAGGCCAAAGTTCAGGTTGAGCTGCACGTGTGGCCTGGGGTCGCGCACGGCTGGGATTTAGTCGATCCCACTCCCACGGTAACGCGGACTGCACTTGCAAGGAGGGTCGCTGCGCTGAAAAGTGTCTGAGAAGAGTTCCATGTCCTCATATACGGCTGTGTTTGAGCGCAAGTGGCTTTTCTAGCTAGTTCATAATGATCAATCTTCTCTCAGGCCCGAGACTCCACCAAATTTCCATGAAAGTCGACGTCAGATATGAATTCTTCCAAATTTCCTTTTGGTCTTCAGACCTGAGTAACTTCCTGTCCTGCCCGAGCCACACCTAAGCCGCACCTGAGCCTCACTCGAGCCCGCCTCGTGCTGGGGTCCTCTGCGCCGAAATCGGACGTACTTGGGAACAGATACGCACTTATTCAATAGCTCAACTATACAGTCATTCGCTGCTGTTATACAGAGACTAGCGAAAACGCATTCCGTTCCATATATATTCAAAGATTGCTCTTCTTCGATGTTCTACCATTGTGATTTGGATCCAAGAAACATCGGCAATCCTACATGTAGTATAAACAGCTCTATTAGGATCATTGGCTGGGAGACTACTGGCTATATCCTAAAAGGTTGGATCTATATATTTCATTGTGTTATATAACTTTAATATAATATAATAACTTCTCCCTTGCACTCATCCTGTTCAATTTACTGGAGAATCGCTTCATAGCGAGAATAGAGCAATTCACATAGTTGCTTCGAGGAGAAGTTGTCAGCCACCATCAGTTATTAGTTTACAAGCAACGCCAGTCATGTATATAGTACTTACTGCGTTTCTGGACGACACATTCCGTGATAGCTAATCATTTTGGCTGCAGCGAGCGCGCCGTGCGTAGAATAGAGGCGAGGCTTCGACGATTTGGAACCACAACGTCCCCTCCCACCCGCGTTGGTCGCTATGGCAAGATCGACCCCTTCATGCGAGCAATGCTCCGTGAGGAGCTGTTCAAGAATCTCTCTGTGTACCGAGATGAGATGTATTTTATCCACGAGAAGTTTGGAGTCGAAGTTTCTCCAACTACGATGTCTAGAACCCCGAAGTCAATGGGATGGTTGAGAAGGGTCAATGGCCGCGTAGGCCAACAACGAGATCCAGACCTTCGAGACTCTATATGCATAGAGTATCTGAGTTTAAGTCGTATTAGTTGGTTATTTATCGACGAGTCGGGCTGTGATAAATGGACCGGCCACCGTCGATACGGATTGGCGTCTGAGAGTGTAACACCGGTCTAAACAGCTAGCAATTGATTGTCAGTTAGAGTGTACTGGTACTCCCAAGTACTCTATGTATGCTGTCCTGACAAAGAAATTAGCCGCAATACAGTTGTGAATATAAGTTTCTTCCTTTTAATAAAAAAAGCTCGTCTCTTTTACCTCTTGATCGGAACTTATGGATACTTTTAGGAACTTTGTACCCAAATTTCAGGCCAGCAAATTGTTAGCAGTAGCCAAGAGTGCTGACTTTCAAAGGTAATATCTAGTACCTTCAAGAAAAGATGGAGCACAAAGGGGACCGGCCCACAAGGATAGAGTGCGTTTATGCGATTGTTACTTTATCGGATGGGCCAAGATACAAGCACCACCCCCAATCGATCGATCCCCGGACGTCTATGTGGACATTGATGCCTGTTTCCGCTCTAGCCTCTCAATTTCGGATTGTTACGCCCCATCATCACAAGACACAATGCCAGTGTTGCGGTGTTGCCGTCTAGCTCACATGAATTGAATCTTGAAACTCATGGAAGGTGGGCAAATTTAAAGGGTCCAGAATTAATATATTATGAAAATTGATACAGTATTTGATGAGTGTCTGTATTATATACTACTATATAACCGATACCGTATAATACTTGTCTCTTTCCTTGGCTTCGTAATAGGCAGGTTCAATATCGTCCGATAAGCAATGAATACTTGTCGCCCTATCTTGACTCGTCGTGAAAAAAAGGCCTACCCTTCGAAATTGACCCCGATTTGTATTAGTTGGCATTAGTGATACCCCAACTGTGACGAACTTGCCTGGACAACTTGATTAGTAGATGGCCAGTCAGAAGGTGCTTCGACTTGACATATGAACTGGCAATTGGGAATGGATCTTGCTTAGACCCTTCCAATTCTGGAACACTTTCCCGAGGTAGTTTTGAACTCATAACTTATTTACAATCCTTAAGTAGTCGAAGGCTAGCGACTGCTTAGCTCCAATGATGGTAATCCGGAATGTCTTCATATCCTAAAAGCTAGGCATACGGTGTCTGAAGACTTATCCACTAGCACTGCGTGAAGTCTAGGTAAAGATAGAATGATGTTTAAAACACATGAAGAAACTTAGGCTCATAACTATATCTTAAGCCCACACCAATCTCGTGATAACGCCATTGGATTGCAATTCCAGTGGCGGCTGAACGAATCTAGTATTGGACCGAGCCCAACCCCGCCGGCCCCAGACCAGGATGGGCCATCGTTTGTGGAACGCTAGGGATCAGGGCGGTACGACGGCCAAAGAGATGTCTCCAGTCCGCATAATCCGGCCATCACGTCTGCAGGCTGACCACCACATGAGCACCTGCACTGCCTCCGCCCTCTTCGAGTTCCTGAAATAATGTCGACGCCGGCACGCCTTTCTTGCGAGCCAAGCCTGGGCACGCACCTGGTGGTCCCTAGATTGAAAGTCGATTTTAGTATCGCTTGGCAACGCGCATCTCCCTCGGCGCTGTCAGCCTTGTATGAAACCCTACTATCCATGTACAGTTGGATGGTGGCACCGAAATGATGCAAGCCACTCCCTCTCTCGGGCTTAGGCAACCGCCGTAAGATTGGCACAGCCTTCTCTCCCGCGGCAGGTAGGTAATAAAGCCACCATCATGTGGCATCGCGACCAGACCGAGATGCGTCATTGATCGCGACACTCTCCCAGCCCGTCAACGTGAAAACGAGTTAAACACCACCCGTAAACATCCAGTCGGACGTGTATAGTCACTCATACCTCCATCGTGTAACCCATATCTTTCCGACGGTCTGGCCGATCCAAACTATCACGGACAAGATCCCGCACCGTTAACCGTGCCCATGATCCCCGAGCCCGTCACGACCATCCTGTCGCTCGTCAACGGCAGCGTCACCTTCGCCCAGTCCATCTCGGCCCTCGCCAGCGCCCCAGATGAGGTCAAGGTCGCCGTCAACACCCTCGCCACAGTGCAGGCCGAGATCCAGCGCGCCACCGACCTGCGTGACCGAGCCTTTGACGTCACCAGCGCCGACGCCGGCGAGAGCGACACCTTTGTCATGGTGCAGAAGGCGCTGCGCAACGCGCAGCAGACCGTAAAAGTCTGTGTCAAGACGCTCAACACCGAGTCCTTTGAGGACAAGGTCCCGACGACGACGATGACAGACCGCAAGAAGAAGAAGAAGCACTCGACGACCCGAGTCCGCCTCACCTGGGTCTTTGGCGGCAAGAGCACGTACGACGCCAACATGCAGAGCCTGCAGATCCACCACCACAGCCTGGTGCACGCGACGGCGGCGCTCGAGGAGAGGCTGAAGGAGATGGGCCAGAATCCGCCGCCGTTTGCCCTGCCGTTTGGCGATTTCGAGGAGGTCAGGAACAGCCGGCTTGGGCTCCCGAGCAGGGACGACATTGCCTACTGGGTCGGTCCCAGGAGGAGCGGCGAGTTGCTGGCCGCGGAAGAAGATGATCAGAGTGTTGCCAGCAGTTCAGATAGTGTAAAGTCGGTGAAGGTTCATCATAGAGACCAAGGTTCGTCTTCAGACGATGTGATAGTCACACAATCGAGGTACATTGCGCTAACATCTTGTTTTTTCACGATGTTCTAGGCTCTCAGAACTTTGGAGGAACTGGACACCAGGATATCAGTGTCTTGGTCATTAACGCGACAGATGGTTCAGAGGTCGACAACACCTTTTTGGATAAGCTCAAAGGTCAAGTCTAGAACATCGAGATCAGACTTTCTTATGCTATATATATACGCTATATGCCCCAAGATTGCCACGGAAATGAACCACATGAAGTGAATATATTCAGGGTGCTGTGTGCCTCGAATCTCGCTTTTTACGTGATGATGTGTAGTGACTGCCGAATGATCGGCTCGAGGAGGATCTATGCTTCGATACACTGTCCATGGTGGAAGTCCTCCTGATAGGTTTGATAAAGTCCTCTGGCTCTCTGAGACCAGGGGACGCGTTGCGAATCGTCGGCCTGTCGTTGCGCAAGGGATACGCATACGCACCACCTCCCTCGTATCGCAGGTCACTAGTTGCGCCGACACTCGCAGCTCTTGCTTGCGTGCAGGATTCCGAGTTCTCAAGTGCCAGAAGCGAGGACAAGCTCCGGACTCGAGACTCGAAAAGGGCCATGCCCGGGCCAAGGTCTGCGATTTGTACCACGTTGAGCGGAGTCTCTGTATCGCCGACCCCGATGGGCAACTCTATAAGTGCGGGAAACAAAACGATGGGCGGCGGACCCGCATCATAATGCGGGACACCCGTGTCTTTCCTACTTTTGCTGGTTTCCTCCATGAATATTTCCAGCGGAGGAAGTGCGCTGGCTTCTGGGTGCCACTCAAACTTCCACGTGGACGGGTGAGCAAAGATCTTTTCACCAACGTCTATCGACTTGTGTGCAATGGTGACGAGACTTGCGGTCCAAGCAGCCCTCTCGTCGTCATCTGGAATCAGCCTGAACAACGACAGAAATTGCACCAGGAGGTTCACGCAAGGGTATTCGTCGTCTCGGAGATCCTTCGAGGATGGTGCTAGGAAGAACGCTGTGATCATCCTCCAATGTGCAAGGGCGGCCTCATGCTCTGACGATACCGTAATTGGTTAGTGAGAAGATCGGCTGATATGGGAAATATCGACAAGATGGAGATTATGCACCTGGGCTTGGATTGGGCCTCAGCTGTCGGAACCGGTTGAGGAGTATGACAACGTCCCGGTCTAGAGAAGTCCCGCGGGGATGGCCGAAGAAATCGATGCTCGAGAGCATCACTCTCGTGATGCATACCCGCAGGCCCAATTTTCTGTACACGGGCGCGTACAGCAGCTCGGCAAGCTCATCAAGCTCCCGAGCCTCTTCAACGATACGGTATCGTCTCAAGTCCTTTCGTATCGACTCGCGGTCGTTTTGCAAACTGACGCCCGCATCGTAGAAGGTCTGGACGTGCGAGTCGATCAGATTGCTCAACTGCATCCATGAGCGCTTGATGGAGCTCTCGTCGGGGGCTTGAAGGAGACAGTCGGTGTCGAGCTTGGGTATAGACACGGCGAGATTGCCCGGGGACTGGACTGATCTCGTGCCAGATTCCCCTGGTAGTTCGGACTTGGATTGATATTTGCCCATACTACAGGTAGCCGAAATATGGCAGAGACCAAGAAAGAGGCTTCTGATGTCAGCCGGAAGGGCAAAATTTGCGAGATGTTTAGAAATGGTCGACAGGACAAACACAGGTAGAGTATCCTGGCCATGTCGGGCCTCGAGAAGGCAAGGCACAATGAAACGTCATCTGATGCTGCACGACGCGCGCGATGCCTAATCACCCAAGCCCTCGCTGTGCACCCACCATTTGGGCAGACCGAGTCCTCCGAGCAGGCTGATTCGGCACGGTTGTGGTGGGCTGGGCGAGTTGGGGGAAAGGGAGGGGCCGGAACGACCGACTGCATAAATGTTGCACAGCCCCAACATGATGCTGACCTCCCAAATGCCGTCACCGAGTCGAGGAGTATCACCCGGCATTGCCATTGGTCCCGGCCTGCATACATGGCTGGCCATGGCGGCCAGCTGAGCAGGCAAGCGGGATGACTGTTTTCCGACGTCGTCTGCGCCAATGTCACCGACGGAATCAGGATACTACCAGTTCATGTTGATCATGCCAATAGAAAGTCTGCCTGGCCCCTGGCGCGAATATGTCATGCAGACCGACATCTGAACCTTGCTCGCCTGGTGCCTTGCCTTGTAGTCTCCTCGTATCACACACTGCGGCAGCTCGCCAGCCCTCAATCCCGAGATCTGCCGCTCTCCCTCTCTCGTCCTTTTGTGATTGTGCTCAGTCGGGCCACTTAGTACTCCAAGGGCTCGGCACATCTCAGCCAACAGAACTCTCAAGTGTCTGGGCCAGACATCAACCAAAGTTACTGGCAGCAAGATCAGTGCGAGCATTTGATAATCGGACGCAAGCATGGCTTCCACAGAGCCGGACCTCACTGTGGGGATTGACTTTGGCATGACGTGCACTGGTAAGTCTTCTTCCTCTCAAGCTCATTCTTGTAGCTTCATGCAGTCAATATTGACATACTGACATGGGGCCCATCGCAGGTGTGGCATTTGCCAAGCGTGGACTGGACAGCCCGCGCATGGTTCAGGAGTGGCCTCTCCCACAGCGGAAACGCGGCACGCACAACAAGGTCCCGTCCACCTTGTTGTACGGCGAACACCATGCGGTCAAGGAATGGGGCTTCACCTGCCAAAACCACGATGGCACGATCGAGTGGTTCAAGCGCTATCTGGAGGAGAAGTCTCTCAACAACCTGCACGATGCCTGCAAGAAGCGAGGTGTCGAACCGCCCTTCAAGTCCCTCAAGGATGTTCGCAAAATCTATGGAGACTATATGAAGTGCTTGTATCAGCATATCAGCAAATACTTCCAGAAGAACGATCCGTGGAAGGACAAATCCGTCGAGTTCATCTTTAGTCTTCCGGCTACATTCCGGTCCTTGGAGGTGAGCAATGCGCTCATGGAACAAATAAAAAAGGCCGGCTTTGGGAGTGGCGGCAAGAGACACCACGTATCCTGGGGCCTGACGGAACCCCAGGCGTCTGCTGTCTATACAGCTTTGGAAGCCAATGTGACTTTCAGAAAGGACGATATCATCCTCGTGTGCGACGCTGGTGGAGGAACGACCGATCTGGCCCTTCTTCAACAGAACCGCGAAGACGGACTGATAGATCTCAGGGAGCTCGCCATCATCCAGGGTAACAACATCGGGTCTACGAATATCGACCTGGCTTTCAAGAAGTTGGTAGAGGGACGTCTTGCCAAGTCGACTAGGCTAAATTTCAAGAAGAATGCGGCCGCTACGATGATGCATAGCGACGAGTTTCAGACGTGGAAACACGAGTTTGGCAGCATTGAAGAGTCGCAATTTGGAACGGCCAGGGTGACGGTACCTATTGCCTCTGGAGGCAACGCGAGCACAAACGCAGGTATAAGTGACGGAAAGATGAACATTTCCCAGTGAGTGCTTCTTAGTAATGCTCTCCACAAGAAACGCCATTGCTGATATTGTCATGTTAGTAATGACCTTCGATCGTTGTTCGATCCCGAAGTCGACGGTATGATCAGCTCCATCCGCCATATGATTGACGTCGTAACCAAGAATGATCCGAGTAAGGAACCGGTAAGTAGTAATATGGTGGGCCTCGGGCATCTGATCTCAAGACGGAAGCACAAAGCTATATATATGCAACCTTGAAGAAGCTGACAAGGCTCGGCAGAATTGGCTGGTATTATCAGGCGGTCTTGGAAGCTCTGCCTATGTTAAGCAGCGGGTCAGAGCGGCTTTCCCGAGCCCACGAGTTGTCATTGCCGATGAAGATGAACCGTAAGCCTCCGCTGTCAGATGTACAGAGATGTTACGAAGACTGATCCGTTTGTCCACATAGTCAACTGGCGGTTGTAAAAGGCTTGGTGCTTGATCGTAAGCACAGGGCCAAGAGCGGCAAGTCGGCCTTGAGGTTCAGGAAAGCTCGTGCTTCATACGGCGTCATCACGGAAGAGCGCTATGACAAGCGTCTTGAAGCTCACGCAGGCAAGCATCCAGTGATATCGAAAATCGACGGCTGCGAAATGGTCGAGAATCGGGTCGTGTGGGTTATTAAAAAGGTAAGCAGATACACAACCGCCTTGCATCTTGAATTGATGCTAAAGGCCGGAGACAGGGCGACGATATAGATACGGACGCAAACGACAAAAAGAAGGGCTTTAGTAAAGTCACAAACACACTCGACGGCCCCATAGTATCGAAACGCACTCTGGTGATATGTCACAAGAGTAAAGATGAGCTTCCGCATGATGCCGACGACGGTATGATCTCCAAGTTGCCACATTCGACTTTTGTCCTCCAAAACTGACACTAATTCGGTTCTCACAGTGGATGTCATACCCTTGTGCGTTGTAGAGTCAGTTCTAGACAAGAAGCACGCCCGCTGGAGACACGTCAAGAAGTCTGGGTTTCGCAATCTGTTCAAGGCAGCTGGAGGGTTTTGGGAGATCGAGTACGAAGTAAGATTCGTCGTCGGAGCAATCGATGCCCGCTTCGAGTTGTGGATTGGGAACCGCGAGTATGCAGGGAAGAACTCGTTTAAGGTGGAGTGGGAGGACCAAGGGTTGAGGTCTGCCTCGAATTGAGAGTCTGGTATGTGTAAGAGCTTTGATATTAGGTCGGTTTCAATCGCCATCAAGTATAGGCGTTCGTGCGGTTATCGGTTGTATGAGCAATTTTCCGAGTGTAACTAACACGAGAGAGACATGGGAGTTTCTCTACCCATCACAACTGTATTTTCCAAAGATCTTTGGCGTATCAGCGACGATGGACATCTATTTGACTGTGAGGGGGGGAACTCGACGACCGAGATTGAGTGAGAAGGGAGATTTGGTTCTACTCCTAGGAAAGTCGGGCATGCCGAGTCCTACAAGGCACTTCTGCACGACGACATGGCTCAGACACTGGGCATCAGCTCGCAGATCCCCAAGGTGCCAACTCGGTTCCCCTCTCCTCGGCGGGACTCGGCTGCAAGAAGCGCTGGAGGCCAATCCCTGGCAGCAATTCAAATCGATTCTTTCGTTGGACGTGCATGCTACCCATCATACCACTGGGGCGTGCTCTGGGGTGTGACGCCCAAGATCCATATCCGGCACTCTGTGGAGCTCATGTGTAGGGTGTTTCCTGCCGGGTTCCCTCAGAAGATTCAAAACTGCATGGTTTCAGGGCTGGTCCTTGACACCTGCCACATCAATTCATTGAATGTGTGCCACCTGACCCTGCAGTAGGATGCAATCCAGAATGTACTTCAACACTCATCCGTGTCGACGTGCACCAAAGATCGACTACTGCTGCCCACCATGTCGAGCAACATGCCACATCTACATGAACGAAACCTTCACATGGCTTGATCCTTGTAGAGAAGACGAGAAATACCTAGAAGCTGTCCCCGTTAAAGAAGCTGCCCCCGGAGATGGATTTAGTAATATATATATATATATATGTAAGGTAGCCTAATACAGCTTCTAAGTGTATACAGTTTTGATTAGGACCATTTTATACTATGTAGGCTCGCAAGTAAAATATATGAATATCATTAAAGAGGAAGATACTTGTGTTCATAACTGTAAATATTAGAATCAAAAGCTTGTTACGAGAGAGTGATATCTGGATTATGTCCGGTCCCGGCGCAAAAGAATTCCACGAGACAGGCTCAGGTGAGGCTCATCCAGAACTGGAAGTTGCTCAGGTCTGAAGACCAAAATGGAATTTGGAAGGGTTTGTCGACTTTCTTGGAAGTCTCCGTCAGAAACGAACCTCTCACAATTCCTGATCAGGCTAGTAGGCCACTTTGAGATGCTCAGGTTGTCCTCTCCTGATCCACGGCCTGAGTCACCTACTCTCTCCTGAGCCTTCCTGAGCCTTCCTGACTCTCCGGTCTCGCAGAACAGCTTATGCATCCATTACAGGCTTTCCTTGGTTTGTAAGAAACTACCACCTATGCTCAACTATAAAAGAGCCGTATCTGACTTCTGCCACAATCAGACTTTTCACCCTCTTCTCTTCACCTAAATTCCTTGTATTCTAATTCCTTATACCTTCATCTTGAATTTCCTACCTTCAACTATCATGGGCAAGAAAAGAAGCCCCGAGGAGATTTTTAAGTCTCAAAGCAAAGAGTGATGGGTCAGCCCAGCTACTCGCTGGTGGGTTCATCCCATCACACCAAGTTCTTTACAGTGTCAGGTTGTCTAAACCGAGTGTCAATTTTCATGGTGTGAAAATCGAGACGCTAGATCAGAAGAAGACTGACCTCACAAAACCTCATGAACTTTACTGGGTGGTTGAAGATGGTCAATGCCTGAAGCTCTGCCAAAAATGTCGTCAGCGGCCAATTATTCTAGATCCAGATGTGGAAGTTGACATAGAGGAGGTTTTTCGGCACCACGAAGGTGAAAATAGCAATATCTACTACGCTGTCAAGTGGATAGATTGTTCTTGCCCGACATAGGAGTCCGAAGATAGCCTATATCGATGTCCACTTAATAATGATTATTGTATAGCGCTATGTACCTAGATAGAGTAGGACCAACTTAACACAAACAAGTTCTAGAGCAACAAGTCTAGCCCTATTTTATTACAGCCATCCTGAGACAGTTGTCCCGTCCTGGGGCAACAACGGTAGTACCGTCCTAGGACAACACCGTCAACTTCGTCCCGGAATAACGCCGTCCTAGGACACCAGTCCCGTCCTAGGACAAGCACCGGACAGCAGCAGCGTCCCAGGACCAACGAATGGCGCCGTCCTAGGACACTGGCCTGTCCTGGGGCAACACCGTCCTGGGACACTGGACATTCTTATGTATACCTCGACTTCTTTGCGTCTTAGCCGCTTAGACTGGACTGTGGCATACGTTTCTTGAGATTGGTCGGCGGTAGCGGTAGTAAGGGGTGTAAGACCTCGAGATTTACATAAAGCATCCCCAGGGCGAAATTAGGGTAGGCCAGCTATTGCTAGACTAGTCCGCTATTTAGATCGACCTTAAGGGGCCGACGCCCCTATTCCTCATTCCGTAGCTTTCCCTAAGAATAAGGGCCGCGAGACGCGCAGCTGCATGAACTCGGCAGCATTGCAGCACCCTCCACGACGAAGCAGCCAACTACCTGATCGCTGGTGAAGCAGTCAAGATTTGGCCACGGGACGATCCGCTGTCGGTGCCTGTGCTTGTTCGCCACGCACCGGTCGATAGCAGAGCCGAGCTCAACTATACAGAGAGACGGCGACGTGGCATCAGAAGCTCGACGGGCAAAGAGGCTAATAAAAGCGGGATGATGAAGATAGACACGACGAACTTCAATGTTAATGTTTAATATATTGTTTTTAAAGCAATACAGACGCTGATCCCTTCAATACCGCAACGATATAATGTGAGTGACTGGATATGACAATCGCAGTCACCAAGACAGGGTTTTATGAGGGAGGGTCTTTTCTGCCTCTTGTGGAAGGTGGTGTTGATAAAGCCGTTGAGATGTTCGGATAGCTAGTTCATAATGATCAATCTTCTCTCGGGTCCGAGACTCCACCAAATTTCCTCATGAATTCTCCGCCTTGGAGCCGTAACGTTTACTTTGGTGCAGATTCCATCATTGAATTCCACTAGCATGATCCTGAACGACCGATCCACGGCTGAATAAGCGATGGCGATAAACGGTTGCAATGCGTCTCTGTCTCGAAGAAAGTCCTCTGGTAGAGTCAAGCTGGTGAGAACAGCTCCAGTGATGGGACTGCACACGCTGAACTCTCGGTATTGGCCCGCGCCCAAGCCACGCGGCGCGCGAACACGGAGGTGCAGTAGGCTGGTGAAGAAGCCGATCAGGCCTCTTGAAGGAACTTCCTGGACACCATGTTCGCTCCACCAATGCTGCACCTGAGCCTCGTTAGGCTCGAAATGATCCCTGAGGTCTTCTGTGGTAGGTAGATTAGGTGAACCTTCCGACCATAGGGACCGCACTGCTTCATGTTCGAGGACGTAAAATTGAATTAGACCAACCGTGGTGCCAAGATTGGGCAGCGGCGCAATTCCAGTGTCGGCCTGCTCCGCAGCATAAATCCAGCCAGTCCACGACCACGACGAGAAACCTAGGCGTGGTCGGACACCCATGTTCCAGAACCAGCAGCCGTCGATGACATAGACAAAGTCCTTCTCCGGGATGCCGTGGTAAAGAGGCCCAGTTGCATACTCCAACATGCCGGCGATGCCAGCGAAGGCATTCTCAATGTCATCAATACGTGTAAGCACACGTTTGATGAATTGCTTGACCAAGTCCCTGAATACCGAGATTCGCTCGCTGAGTGACAGTAGTTGGCCTGTGGGGGCTGGAAGTGAGTTGAGGTAACCCGATGGTTTGGGTCCAATTTCACCCTCAAGGCGGATGTCTTCCCTCCACAAGGACTTCATACACGAGAAGAGAACAACATTGGGTAAGAAAACCACAGCTCGCCTCGAGCATAGCTCTTCTTGAAAAGTCCAGCCTCGAGTTCTCCACGGCGACGCCTCTAGGCCGTATCTTGGCTCTTGAAGCACGCGAGACAGAGTAACGTCGCCGATGGTGTATGTTGACTCCTTGTCCCATCTGTCTTCTAGGTGGCTGACACCAGAGAGTCCGTTCATACAGTCATTCCCACTTCCATCAATAATAGTGAGCTCAGCCTGGTTGTAGATGAGGTACATCTGCTGGATCTGGATGCTGCGAAGCTCCGGATCGTTCTGCACGATACACATCGCATCCACCCACAGGTATCGTAGGCCAGACTCTTGGGTAATTGCGATAGCGTCACGAATTGTCGTTGGTATATCTCTGCGCTTCAAGGAACCAGGCTGTTTCCACCTCTCGAGGTTGTGCGTCGTAAGCACTGGTTGGTGAATGGCTCCCCACACGTAGCTCAGGGCAAAGTAGCTCGGGAGCACTCCATCTCCCACATGACGCAGGCACATGTCCTCGGTGTCCAAAAGAATCATACCCTGCGGCGCGATCTGTTTAGCGTTGCGTCTGCACACATCGCCATGCCTCGCCTGACAGCTAGTCAACCAGTAGTTGAGCAGATCTACGTCAAACTTCGCTTTGACAGGGCGAGCTGAGCCGGTATGCTCCCCGTACTGCGGAATGAACGCGTCCATGTCTTTTGCGTGTTGCCTGTAAGCCTTCTCGAGCTGTTCTGGGGCCTGAATAGTTGATGGCAATCTTGGTGAGGGTATGCGTCGACTGGACCCTGATGCGACAGCCAAGCTCTCTGAAATATCTGGAGCCGTCGAAACTGGATCCAAGGAGTTTGAAGGTCTTCGTCGCCGTGGAATCAGTCCATGCTTCGCACTTCGCCTGTATTCTTCAAGGCTAAGGCCATGCCACGATCCTTTATGGATCATTCCAATTCTCACTTCTCGAATAGCATCGCGCTGGGAGAGTCTCCGAGGCGCGAACGGCAATTTGTGATTTCGGAGCAGCTCTCTGCGTCTGGGCAAGCTCAGGTCGTCGCAAGGCGATCCGAGAGCTGTGAGTTCTTCTGGATCCTGTCCATGTCCGGCGACAATCTGACAGGCCAAGCACGACTCGGAGTTCGTATGGGTGCCAAGGAAACCCCCCATGACTTGCAGTACCTTTCCGCTTTTTAGCAAGATGGGATCCGTGATTTTCTTGATCTCTGAGAAGGCATGGTAGCGCCGTGTGATCTCCATATCAAAGACCACATCCATGGCAAACTCATACGCTGTCGCGGGCTCCACATCCTCGGGTCTCTCGCTCAGCGAAGTCGTCCTGTTGGATGAGCACACGAGACAATTCTCCTTACTTTCTTCGTCCTTGTGCTCTCCTGCATCCCTGTCATCCTCGTCGTGGTGATGCTCTTTCGCCAAATTTTGCTCAAAGATTGTCTGATTGATCCAGTTCTTGAGAGCTCTATATGCCAGGGCAAATCGCCTACCATAGTTCAGTACAGAGTCTCGTTGGCAGGACCTGTCAGACATACCATATTTGCCAGACTTGAGCGCCGAACAAACCGACCCTGTCAACCTCGCTCTCCAAGAAGGAACAGAGCTCGCAGTCCTCACATCGCTCAGATCGGCGCCAGATATGTAGGACAGTGCCTTCGTCCAATTTTGATAGAGCTTCCCAATCCTTGAGACGCCTTAGAAACTCACCATGAGTATTTTCAGCGCGCGACGTCTCGCCATAGTCAGGAGCGTCCGCTCGAAGCGAGTGAAGTCGCTCGAGGAAGTCTTCGTCACTCATACTATGATCTCGAGAAGAGCTGCCCTGAGAATCGAGCCCAGCGGATGACGGTTTCAGGCAAGGTGGGCAAATGTGCGTCCTGCTCGGTGATGGCCGGCTGCAAGAAAAGTTCAGCTGCTCATGCAGCTTATGCAGCTTATGCAGCTTATGCAACTGAAGTGGGGTCAAGGTGGTGGCAATGCAAGCATCACAAGCACCATGCTTGCCAAGACCGCGCAGATGCTCATGGAATCCAATTTGTCAGAAGAAACCCTGACGCTTGACGAAAATATTTTGGACAACAGACCAAAAGCACATACGGCTCCAGATTATCTACTCGAGCAGCTAGCGAAGCGCTCTATCTCTTCATCACCTACGCTGTAGGACATCAGCAAAATGACAGATGCAGATCCAAGTCAGGCGATCTATGGGCCTTTACCTCTCTCTCCAGTCCCTCTGTCCAACGCCACCTCCTTCCTCCGCTTTATCACTATTGATCCTACAGCTGATGATAGAGAACCTATCTCATTGCAGCTTACGACAGTTCCTTTACACGATGATCTTCAATACGCCGCATTATCATATGTCTGGGGAGATCCCACCCAGACGACTCGAATCCTAGCCAATGGACACCCTCTCCATGTGACAGACAACCTAGCAGATGCATTACATCAGTTCCGCGCCATAGGCATGAGTCGTTACGCCCCCGGCCACGGCGACGGCCTTGCCTTGTGGGTCGATGCAATATGCATCAATCAGTCCGACTTGGAGGAGCGAAGCGCCGAAGTGCACAAGATAGGCGACATATATGCCAGAGCCAGTGGCGTTATATCCTGGTTGGGCAAGCCAGACTCCCGCCAGCTTCATGTTGCACTTGGAGGGGTTTGCCAAGTTGCGAAGGCCTTGGCAGATTCGCAGGAGAATGAAGTCCTTGGGAAGGGCCTCGCGTTCCTGAAACAACAATATGGCCACAGCCAGAATCCCGAAGTCGACAACTTGTGGGAGGCCATATCCTCTTTCAGCAAGGACAAGTACTGGACAAGGGTATGGATCGTGCAAGAAGTCGTCAAAGCGAGATCTAGCACTTTCGCTTGTGGATCCGTAACGGCTCGCTTCGAAGACATACTCGTTGTAGACTCTCTCCTAAGAGCTCTCGTCTACGGTCCAACCGAGCTTTACAGAAACCTGCCTGTCTCATTTGCCAATCAACTCACCCGAAACACGCCGCCTTTCCGCACAGCTTTCGTGATCAGTTCTCTACGTAGCCGGTACTACCTGCGTGATAGCACCTTATTCACGCTATCAAAGAATTACATGCAAGAGGTTTTGACGCAGTGGAGGTGTCGAGTCAAGGGCAGCCTGAAACCACCGCACGTACACCTCATGTACTGATAGGGTGTAGTCGACCTTCATGTCTTGTAAGCCGAGCAGGCTCAACATGCCATAGACACGATCCCTATCATCAGTAGCCTGCACAAGGCTCTAGCTCATTCGGGAGATGTTCCTATGCGAGAAGGTTGTGAACTTCCTACGTGGATGCCTGACCTCGGAGGTCTCTCACAATATTACTACTTCTTCCGCCATGAGCCATTCTCCCCCTATCATTGGTATAGAGATCTTGATATGACTGACCACTCGCAAGTAGAGGTAGTACTTTCCGGAGTCTTATGGTTCTCGGGGCTTGTAATGGACGAGGTCCAGGATCTGCTTGAAGCCGACACTGACTCATTCAATCTAGAGAATGTGGAAGCTCTTGCAGTAGAATTTCTCGCTATTGCAAGGCGGAGGCAGCTATTCTCACAAGGAAACACTCTGCATCAACTCTTCCATGTACTGTTCAAGACTCAATTTCCGCCTCGGGATGGCGAGGAGGCTATCACTCTTCACCCGTCGACACCTCAAGCGCGTGGTTTTCATACCATGTTGGAGGATATTTCCGTGGCTCAAGACACTGCCCTGGTTGCGGCATCGGAGAACTCGGAGATGGCAACTACCCAATGTCTTCAAAGCGAGCTTTTATGTACTTTCTATTGCGGAATGTCCCCCGAGGAGAAAGGTCAATGGGCGGAGAGGCAGACGACAGATGCTCATGCGGTCTCTGCTGTGACTAGTCGGGCATTGGGCTCTTGTCGGTATAATCGCTTCTTTTGCACTAAAGAAGGTCTGTTTGGCCGCGGTCCGCCTGGAACACGGTCAGGAGATCGAATTTGTGTGTACCGTGGCGATCTACCACCGGTTATTCTGAGGAAAACTGACGATCACTGGGTTAATATCGGCGAGGCATACGTGTATTGGGCTTCTGCAAACGCTTCAGAGAATGCCTTGAGAAGTATGGCTGGATCTCTGGAAAGATTTCAAGTACACTGAGGATTTAGTTTCAATCGTTTCTATACTTCATTTCTCGCTGGAGTTGCAGTATGTCTGTATCACGGCGGGGGCCGAAAGGGTCACACACGTGGCATTCCGAAGTAGATGGGAGGGAAAGTACTGCAAAGCAGGAAGTCATAGATCCCATTCACCGAGCAAGTACAAGCCGATAGGAGATATAAAGACACTCGATCTCCGGTATTTATCTCAATATGACGCCGTTTTGATCAACTATCTATCCCGATGTCTCCGATTCTCTCGTCATCGCTCTCGTTCTTGGTCACGTCCATGCTCTCGGCAATCGAGCCGACGAGCATTGACCATACATTGTCCTTGCACGATTTTGTATCCACGATATCGCTGTAAGTGGTTTGGCTTAGCAATGTTGTCCTGAGCTTCAAAAGGGAAATGAGGAACTTACTAGTCAGCGATCGACAAATCGTCATCCAGAAGCTGCAGGCGCTGTGCTGCTGCAGTACTGTCTCCAAACCGAATGAACTGTATCATGATATCTGTCCGGTTAAGTTTCCTCCGTTTGATCTCAGCTCCAAGCAGGTGGATAGAATTGCGGATGACGCCGGTATCAGAGTGATCCCAAACTCCATCCGTCAGGATGTACAAGCTCTTGCCTTTGGCTTTGGAGCTCTTTCGGCCTTGGTTGCTTGTACTCAAAACGTCTCCAGCCACTTTCTGTAAACAGGGACCCAATCCAAACTCCAGTCGGCCAGGGCTGAAATGCGATTGGACGTATTTCACGAGAGAACTTGTGTTCCTTGCCTGTAGTCGTGAATCAGGTCTGCTGCTTAGGAAAACTTCGATACCGTCGGAGTCAACTTGTTTCGCGAGATAGGCCAGAGCGTGAAAGGTATCGATAACTTCCCCTTTGTATGCCTGCATCGTCGTGGAATTGTCCACCAGAAAGATCTGTGATTGGTTAGCACTGTCATCGCTTCTCTGAGAGGAAGTTCGGCAGCTGAACTTACAATATCTCTGTTTGAGAGAGCCTTCAGAGCCAAGTCCTGGCCCGGTAGCGATATCTGACCCTGCCGAAAGCCTCTGACGGACCCTCGACTGGCCTTCTTCTTCTCATCAATCCACATCATCACTTGTGTTAGAGTGATATGCGGATAGAGTTGATATCCTGGCGTCCCAGCTCTACCAGCAGACAGTGCAATACCAGAGTCGATCGGCTCTGAGTTCGAACTGATACTCAATGATGACAGGGGTGCATTCCGTTCAACTCCCTGAGGAGCAAGGAATGGAAACCTTGCTTGGCTGAAGGTTGCTCCCTCCTTCTCGTGTCTGTTGAACAGCAATTGACGGCTCGGCGGGATCCCTTTCTCCTGTGATCCTACACTATAGATAGATGTTTCCCGCACGCCCTTCTGGGCGATAGAAGAAGGAGGACTCTGGGGCCTCACGGCAACAGAGTGAGAGTTGGCAACGTACTGCGCAGACACGATGGAAGTCCTTGACGAGGCGTGGGACCTTGGTCCACTAAAGTAACTCGTACTCACGCGATGTTTCATATCGAGGGTGTCCTCTCTGCAAGTTGATGATCGACGAGAGCTTGCAATACCCTCTATCTCATCGTCCAGAATCATTTGAACAGACATTTGCAACTGGCGGGCTGGAAATCGCCGGGCCGGACTGCCAGCCAAGGCGCCGCGCAAGAACACTCCAACGATTTTCGAGGTGATGTCGTCTGATCTTCTGGAATACTTCGTGGCCAGCTTGTAGACATCCCGGACAGAGTTGAGCGTGTTTTCTCCGTCGTGGAAGCAGTTGCCTAGTTGTTCCCCTAGGCTCTTGGGAAATCCATCGATCTCATGTTTTCGGGCGTTCTGAAAGTCGATGCGCCCGCGCTCACCACCAATGAGCCAGCTCGCTGTCTCGACTGCAAGGCAGCCAAGGGACCAGATATCCGCCGGAGAATCATCCTGAGAGGGTCCATCGTATGTAAACTCCGGGGCATCTGTGAACCCGGTTAGTGATGACTCATCAAACAATGCGGTCAGGAATACACACAGTATGGTCCTCGTTCGTGGTATGGAGCTGACACGGCCGCTTTGCCGGTCCGGAATCTATTTCCAGCCAGCATGTTCAGCTTCAGTCGGTATCCAGACCCACTAGAACTGTTGCTCTCTGTAAATACAAAGATGTCTGAAGGGCTCAGAAGATCACAGAATCTGTAGTCTTGTGTGAGCGACAGTTGTAAGGGCAGTTCGCTGATACCAAGGATGCACCTACCTCAAATGTAGATTTGATTGCATTTGGCGATGCACGCCATTGACAGTGCTTAGCAGTGAGAGGATAGAGTTCCAGAATATTCGCACATCCTCCTGCGTGTATGGGGGACTATTCTGACGGAACAGGTCCAAGAGGGTACCTAGCTCAGGGCGTTCAGTCACCAGTATCTTCGTCTCCCCCGAGGGAGTCTCGATATTGAAAGCATCAATGATAGATAAAATATGTTGGTCTGGTTGCTTCAGCTTTTGTATCAAAGACCAGGTGTCGAGATCATGGCGGAAAGCACGGATGTCTTTGGAATAGCTCTTCAAGATGACGGTGATCTGCAATTTGGAAGCAAGCAATTAGCGCTCTGACCATTCCCCTCGACTGTATAGTATGTACCTTTCCACTTTCACTTCGAGTTTTAGATATTACCACTTCCTCATCAGTGATCGAGACCGACTCGGGCGGTTTTCCAAGACTCTTAGCAGCAAGAATGCGACCTGTTCGAAGATCGAGATAACCCCTCGGAGCATCTCTCTGTTGTATAATGAGAGGATGAAACATCCACTGGACGGCTGAAAAGTCGGCGTAGATCTGTGAGCAATAGGGCAAGCCTACAAGAGCGCTAGGCATTGACTGGAAGGGAAGTGCGCTATCATCTTCGCCCATTGCAATGAATCGGATGATGTAGCTTGTTGCTGGGTGACCGACTTTGGAGATGTATGCGAGAATAGAAAAGACTACCATGTACGAACCCTTCAAGGGATCAATGGCGCCCTTACCCTCTCGTCGTTGGCTGTCCAGTTCCAGGGAACGTTCGATCATGTCCGTTGTCCAATATTCAGCCAAGTTCTGTGGGGACACGTACGTTGCAGGCGTGCCATCGCCGTATTCGCCCTGTTGCTGGCTATCCTGAACGAAGGTCCTGAAATCCTCGAACGCGCAAGGGAGAGAATTGTAATAAGACGGCAATTCCACTGACGCAGCCTCGAGACGTTGCTTGATGTCGCGGAAGAGTGCGTCAATGGGCACGACATAAGCCCCTCCAAAACAGTCTGCTGCGACAATATGCCCGTAAACTTCTCTTGTCTGGAGATCGACAACCCACGAGCCTGAGTCCCCATTCTCGATAGCTATATATTCGTTTAGCGGCTCAGCTATCCAATGCATGGGCGAGTGAAATACGCACCACCTAGTTCTTCTGGTTCGAAGATGAAAGTTTCGATGGACATCTTCCCGGGGCTAATACATAGCTTTGATCCTGCGAAGTGGAGACTTCCTGGGACGGGGCCGCTGGAGGCACTCAACATTTCAACTTTTCGATACAAGGCTCTTTGACGAAAATCTTTTGCAGGTTCTGTCAACGTCTGCCAGCCGTTTCCATGTCGGACTCTGTTGGGTTGCCACTCTCGAAGCTTGATGAGAGTCCAATCCCAATAATGGTCTTGGACATCCCTGCATTGAGTGCTTACAGGGGACAATATCGCCTGGCATTCGTGGAATCCCTGGAACTCCCAGGCATTCGAGGTCTCATGCGTTATTGACTGGACGCTCCCGTTGCTTCCAGAAATGCTTGAACTGTCTGAGTCGTCGGAGTCACTGCCGCTGCCAGGCTCTACTCCACTGTCTCGGTACTGTTCGAAAGGGTGACCGGCTGTGATTCCGAAGATGTCAGAACTACCATCGCTCATTATGACGCGGATGATTCCTCCGAGAGTCGACTTTCGGAACTGCCCAGTTCCCGATGAATAAATCCGAATCGGAAGTCCACAGGAGCTAGATCCAGATGATACCCAGTCTCCAGACGTTGCGATGTGAATTTTTCTGTATTCGGCGAATACAGTGAGAGTTGGTGCTTGATCACAGACGATGACCCGCAGTGGACCAGCCGTCAGATCCTCCGACTCGAGCAACTTCTTGATTCGCGTCTTCTTGAGGAAGGCTTCGGCCCTCTTGGCTTGCTTCTTGCTACAGAAGATGATCAAGTGAGGTCTGGCGTCCTGCAGAGACTTGCCAAGGATGCCGAGACGCAGTGACACCGGCGGCCCCTCGGAACGCTTGAGGCTCGACATGAGCCCTTCATCGATACGGTTTTGAACCTCGACGTAGTCCTTGATGCACACGCCTGGCTTGTCGAAGGAGTAGAGGCCGTTGAAGCCAGTGGCTCGGCGGCCCGCCAAGCCCGCCTCGGCCGGCGCGCCCCTAGCGACATGGCTCGAAGCCGGAGGAGCATGACCCGGCGCTGCGCGAGATGTACGGGAATCTCGCAGCTGAATGCTGGCTGCCTGAGATAGCAAGCTCTCGTAGCCAGAGTCCGAGCTATCGGGTGTCTTTATTGGCGTGCGAGGTCTAGGCGCGGGGGGCTCCACTAGGGACATCATGGAGGCTGTAATGGTTGAAGCCTGGATGGCCTCGAGTCTAAGCTTAAATCATAGGCAGATGTGATCCGATTTCGCGATTCTTCGCGAATATCCCTTCCACGCAACGGCGCTGGCTACATATGCAATCAAAAGGGGGGGTTCAGATGTCCGAATGCGATCATTTCTTCCGCCCAATTACCCTGCGAGAGTGTGCCTATCACCTGACCTCTGTCAGCTCAGGGAACTCAGCCAATGCCAGATGTCGGACGCAGCCATGCATGAGGAGGCAGCCTGAATAAGGCAGTCGCTGCGCTGTCACTGTGGCCGGGCGTAGCACTGCCGCCGCCACCACCTGCAGCAGGACGCGGCACTGCCCCAAGTTCCACCTTTGTGCTACTGACAGTCCACCGAAATCTATCGAGTCGTCCGAGGGCGGTGATTATATGCATGCTTGTCCAAGTTTGCTCTCAGGTACAGAAGGAATCAGCACCAATTGAATCACGATGGATCTTTACGCATCCCCATATCCGCTACGGAAGCTCGATAGACTGGAACTCAAGACACTTTGCAAGGTGCTCTGGAACTGGCAATACTGTGCCGAATGCGCGACTTCAACAGAATGCCCAACAAATGATTGCCCATGGCAGAGATCTAAGCGACTGGAGTCGTACTTCAGGTTTTATCAACATGTCACTACTTTGTATGTTCCGGAGTTTTCCACATCCGGCAGCATCGCTCTCCGAAGCCATGGCGATCTCTTCGATATCATCTCGATCATCAAGAAGAATGCCGATAGGCCTCGGGAAAGCGTGACGAAGGAGTACTTCGTCAAGAGATACGGTGATCCTCAACATTTCCCTGCAGTGGCAGACCAGAAGCGTTCTTTCGATATGGCAGTCAAGGTCATGACCATGGTCGAGTGCTCATCTGAGAACCAGAGCCTCGGAAACTTGGAGAAGGGGGTTCAGCCCATTATCTGGCGAGACGATACTTCGCTGGCCCAGTTCCTGTCGTCCGCGTTTCCGAAAACGAACTGTCCCAGCCTCAACCAGGCCCCATCTTCAGCAAGGACGATGAATGTCAGAGACGCTCTGAAAGTCACAGAGTTGAAAAAGATAGCTGGGCTGAGGTTCAGACCCACGGATGACTTGCGACACCATCTCAGACTGGATCCCAAGACCGGCTGGGTCGGCATATTCCACCATACAAGGGCGCTTAAGGAGCATCTCATTGCCACGCTGGCGGAGCCAAACCCTAGAACTGACGGTGAGGCAATCGAGCGGTAGGGATGCCTCGAAGAATCCAAGTGAGAACGACTTTGCTGACAGCCAACTGACTCATAAGGGGCAACTTGCCACGCCAACTAGCTCTCGAGATCCTTGATAGTGTCCAGAAAGTTCTCTTCCCGTTTGAGTCCGAGAAAGATGCGCTGCACCTGGAGACTCTTGTGACAAAGTCATCCTTTGACGAGGACTGCCTGGACTTTCACAGCAGTTCGTACCGCCGGGCCGATGAGTCCAGCATCGCGTACGAACACATGGCGTCGCGGCTCATGGACCTGCACGAAGAGCTGTTGAACCCGACACCGCGCGGCGCATTGTTTGACTGGATCGAGCGAAAGAGCGGAGCGAGGTACGTGATGATGGCGACGCTCGGTGGAGTCGTTATTGCCGTTATTCTCGGTATCTTCGGGCTTGCAGTCGGCATATTCCAGGCTTGGGTCGCGTATGAGGCGTGGAAGCACCCTGTGCCGAACGCTACATAGACAGATCAGCTCACCGAGGACGCTTCTCGTGAGCGATATCTTCTCCCTAGCTACGCAACTAATTCGGAGTCGTCATTTGCATACTCGTCCGTTTTCCACAGAAGCCAATGACGGAAAGACCCGCAGCACGCGTCTCGAGGCCGAGTCCGGGGATGTTATCGCGTAATAGTTTCCATCTTGTCAGACCAGAGCAGTCCGGGGTAAAGGACACACGAATCGTGGTCATTCCCGCGGACCTTTTGTAATGAAGGTAGACTCTGCTGCTAGTCCGCGAATCTGTTGTGTGGGATGTTGGTGAAGTGGTAGTTGGGTTCAGTGGGCAGATATTGGCACAAAGGTGTCAACCGCCAAGTCGGCATAAGTCTCCATATCGGTAGATAAGCTCTTCTCGTCGTATTGGGGTCGATGTAATAGAGAACTCCGATTCGGACCTACGGGACTCGATATTGCGGTCTCAACCATGTTTCTGCCGATGCACCTATGATCGTCTGTCGTATCAAATGGGCCACAATCTGGGGCCCAGCCTTGCGGTCATCCATGTGGAACAACCCCGTACTATCCATCACAGCATCCATGTGTTGCTGGGTACTGGATGTGTTTTTTTACGTAAATGCTCTGGGGAAGGTCTGGAGTCGAGGAAGCGCTATGCAGCCTCCACCTCCGCAGTGGCCCAGGTGGTGGAGGGTTTGGAGAGGCGACTGGAAGGACGACATTGCACTGGCACATGGCATGGCATGATTCGGAGGCAATGTGTGGAAGCAGAAACCATGGCCTGGAAGTGCTTGGCAGGCTGGGCATTTTTATCTACGCCCAATCGTCTCGAGTCCATAAAGCGCGCACATGCCGCACTCTCACGTGTACACCTGGTGTACTAATTTCGCCTTATCACATGGAAATACTGCGACGCGCCGGACTCGATCGGGAAGGCAGAAAACGTCCTTGGAGGCGTGGTAGATACCCGACTGGGCGGCCGAGGCCAGCCCCCAATGCGACAACAGGGACACACATAGGAAGGAGGACCCCTAGGAACCCTGTGCTTCTCAGAACCCAGGGATCAGAGAATTACGGGAGTACAAGTAAGCTGGAGGCATCCAGTGCTAGGAACAGGGTGTGTGAGCGCGATCGGATTTTTGCGTGGGCTCGTGTTGCAGTCTCAAAATGTGTACATATCCGGAGATTGAAAGTGCAGAGACTTCCAAGGTTGGTGGTGGTGGGTCTGTCTCCAACTCACAACACCAGGCCATGCCAGACCTTGTTGCACCATGTTTTGGAGGCTCGGTGTCTCCTTTGGGGAAAAGTGTACGGGGTAGGCACCACTCTCAACTGAGTGAGGGCTCTCGATAAGCGTCGATTGCAGTCAGTGGTAAGTTGGGGCTCTGCCAAGTCCGCTATGTGAGGACTTGTAGCGGCCTAGACCAGATCCCGATAGGGTTCACTTCGGCACTATGGACTGATGGAGCAGGTGGTTGAGTGTGGTGGGGCCGGTTCGGTAATGCGGGCTTCACAGGCTCATACCCGCGCTCTCCTCCTTGTCAGAGTCGGGGAAGGTCGCTGTGTTACTGGCACGCTCGTATATTGCAGTCACTACGATATTGGAGGTGCTGGAGTGGAAATAGTCGCTACGAAGTGGGAGATCAGCCATGCGAATATTTACCCTGCTCGAGTTGAACAAGCACATAGCCTGGAGCCTGGTTACCTCTTGAAAATGCCTTGGGACGGGCACCAACAATACAAGGGCAGTCCCAAGAACGAAGACAGGCCGAGCTGGGAAGGTGTATGCATTTGTGCCCTTCCAACGAGATGCAAAATTAGATCCCGTCACAGTGGGTAGCCGCAGGCTCCCCGGTAGCATCGCTTTTGGGGATGCAACAGAACCAGCCTGCTGCTGTGCCCTACAGGTGGCTGGCCTTTCGATTCCAAGGGTCCGTACTCGGGCAAGTCAGGTCTGTACGCACGTACAAGTACATGCCCAGATCTTGCTCTAAAATCTCGCATCAGCACTCAGTGTCGCACTCCAGGATTTGGAAGGCAGACCCAGCGCGCGTGCGCCCGACCAGCCGCCCGCTCTGGACAGGGTTCCCAACCACAGTGGAGAGAGTGCAGGAATGTCCCTTTCCTGTCACCACCTTGCAAGAAGGCAGATATCTCTTCGATGACTCTGCCAAGACAGCTACTATCTCGCCTTCGCTTTGTTCAAACCGTTTGCCCAATTGCTTTGCTTTGTCGTCGATTTTGAGCATCACGCAGATGGCGCCTCTGACGTCAATCCATCGCCGTAAAGGAGCATTAGCAGTTTTAAAGGCGAGGGCAACCAGTGCTTATCCGGCAATAGCGGCATATTTTAGCGAGCAAGAATGCACTGAAACTGGTCATGGGAGACGGGAGCCCGCTGGCACCACTGTCGCGCGAGCTAAATGACTTCATTGGCTGTGATTGGCGGCCTGAATTGCCATCCTTGGGCGTCGAAGTCCCGGCGCCACTGCCCTTAGGGGGTCACTAGCCGATTTAGCTCCCCTGCTTAGCATACCCCACACGCCACTCTAGGGGGTTTTGCAAGCGGCTCCACTGGAAAACACTCCGTTTGCAGGGAGTGAGTGTGATTGCGCAGGAGGCAGGTACGGAGCAAGAACAAATAGCTAAACCACTGACATGCTTCCTCCAAGGACCGTAGATCAATGAGCTCAGGACAGATCGTGCATCGCGGAGGGAAGATCGATGTGACAAGAGATCGACCGCTTCTGTTCTCTAAAAATATCGACTCTCCGTAAAGTACCTAGGTAGGTACTTTACTTCCAAACACGGACCATGTAGGCCTACTGGTAAGTACGATGGGGGGATTGGACATCAGACGGTGGATGAATTGAAGGAGCGAGGTTGGGCGGCGCCCAGCGCCACTGGCGAGCCGCGAGGCGTCTCGTGGCAGGAACCCCGCACATGCGCACCCGCCCATTGAAACATTGAAACCTTGGGAAGCCGCCACAGAGGCAGAGCTTACGAGGGAAGGAAGGTATGCGCCCGGAAGAGGCGTTTTGAAGCGAGACATTCATTGATGACCAACAACCGAATGAACCTCGACCACATCCTCGCTCTACCTCGCCGTCCAAGGCAACACGCCATCCATCCGGCCTCGGTCGGACAGCCGAGGTTCACTCACCCGTCCACACGAAGATTCTTTCTGCTTGGTGGCCTTCCGTCTGCAGTGTCGTTGATTCAAGGACGGGCTAGGTACCCTAAAGTACATTATGCTTACTTGGGTTGGCGTCTTCGTTAGCCTCCTCGGACTGTTGGACTGCCTGGGGGCGCGTCCTTTTGACGACGGCCAGCCCGCACGCGTCGTATCCCCCCTTGGGACTAGCAACCATCCTTGCCATCCTCAGGTTTCTGTGTATGACGGTTTGCCAAGGCGCTTTCTTCTTTCTCTCGCTCTGTTTTGCTCGGTATCGAGGCACCCGCCAGTCTCGACATTCGTGGTGGCGCTCGTGCGATGGACTGACCTGACTGACTTGTCATACCAGTTATCAATGCTATCTTTCAGGTGGGCGCATGCCCACCGGCCGCCGCCATTGAACTGAACCAGGATCGACAGCTTTTCTCCACCTGTCTTGGATAATTAACGTACACAGACTTGACAGGCTTGATACGCACATACTTGTATGTACGGAGTCAGTACGGACCAGGACCAGGAGGCTAATCGCAAGCGCGCCCAAACGCCACGGCTGGCTTCAGACCCCCGGGCCATTCAGTGGCCAGTGGCATGTTATTTCCCAGCACACACATGGACTCCTCGTGTGTCTTGGGAAGAAATCGAGGGCCCCTGGTCAGCCTATCCCGGAATATCGCCTGTTGCTTCCTTATCAGCTCGGTCAGCTCATTACTTGTATGTCCCAGCCCTGTTTCCGAGCGATGGGGCCACAGGCTCCTACGCAAGCCCTTGGGCCCCCGCCTGGACTCACTTGGCGGTGCATGGTGACAGTCGCCGAGAAAAGTCAAGCTTCCTCTGCCGCCACGGCAAAGGCTTGTAAACACATCGCACCGTCAGTGGCACACATTCCTCTGCGCATTGCCCTCTGTTTGCCTCTCGGTTTGCGACGGCCAGACCTGCGGAACTGAAACGGAAGGCTTCTGATTTGCTCACCCATCTGGCAAACCTGGGGTAATGTGGAAATAGCTGAAGCCGACAGGCTCATTTCATGACACATAGAAATGGTGTCAACGGCGCTTCCTCCACACCCTCTCCAAACCATCCCCAGGCCCTCCACTCGGTCGGCGACACCTCCATTGGGGAGAGCCCCCCGGTCGGGCCAAGATCAGCACTGTGCCGCAATTGGAGGGTGATTGCCTTGGCGGTCATCTCGAGATTGCCCTCAACCGCCCATTTGCGCCGCGTGCCCGCCGACAGGACAGCCCCCAAAACGAGAAATCACAGACTGTTCTGCGTCTACTTGTAATATCAGCGACGCATAATTATCCTACCTACCTGTCCATGTAGACCGTAAGTACCGGTCCAAGCTGTCTTGGCGACCTGCCCACCGAGCCACACAAGCTGCTACCTGCCTGGCCTAGTCCGAGACCTCGTTTTTTTGCCTCCTCACTGCATCACACCCATTGACACCCAACTGCTCCTATCAATAACTCGCAGTCTCCATTCCTTTGCATTGTCTCCATCGTCTCCGCTCTCCTTGATAGACGTTGGCCGAATGGCGCTAGGGTATCGCTTGAGTCTCCTGGCCACCGTTATTGGACCGCGGAAAGCGTCCATCACGCACATCGTTGCCATCCTCGTGTGTTCTACAAGCCTTCCATTGCTTCTACCGCACCAGCTGGCCTCCTTCCATGCATGAGTAGATTACCTAGACCCGCTCCTACCGTGACAGCGTCATCTGCACAGTCTTGGTACATCCATGTCCGGAATAGACACAGCTATGTACCCGCCGCACCGCACACCTCATGGGGTACCGCGACTGTACCCCCCTTCTCTCAGACAACCCCAGTGGTGCCGTCGATCTCGCTCCCGTCGAACTCAAACCATAACATTCGACCGAGGACAACCCCTTTGTACTTGTACCCTACCCATGGACTCGAGGAGAGCTTTGACCCTCCTCTATCCACTCACTTTACCCTCAGCGCTCTGCTCTCCTCAGGGTTACTGCTCTCACTCCCCCCTCTTCTGGTACCTCACTCCCGCCATACACCCCAGAGCTCCCAAGGCGAGCATCCTTTTTAAATACCCAGGTTTCCCGTCCTCTTCTTGCCTGAGCTTGGTCCTCTTTCTGTTCCGTCCCCCTCTTTGCGACAATCATCGACACCTGCCCTGACAAAGCCCGGATTGGGAAATAAGCGTGTCGCACAACCACAACAACAATGTCTGAAAAGGACGTTGAGACTGCGCCCAAGGGCACAGAGCCGACCGGCGCAGGCGTCAAGTCTGAGCTCCCAGGCTACGACGATAATGGCCTCGGCCAGCATGAGACGCGCAACATTGCCGACTCGGTCCGCCAGGAGGACTTCATGACGCGCAACGGCCTGAACCTCAAGTCGTTCCAGAAGCGCGAGTATGGCAAGGGCATCGTCGAGCTCGACCGCAGCATGCGCGGTCGCCACCTGCAGATGATTGCTATCGGTATGTCTTTGTTGTTGACTCGGGCGGGAGGCTGACGTTGCACGACGTGCCCTGCCTCCCTCTTTTGACACGTTTGCGGTCTGCATACTGATGGTCGCGTCTGTACAGGTGGTTCCATTGGTGCTGGTTTCTTCGTCGGCTCTGGCAGCGCTTTCTACAAGGGCGTAAGTCTTGGTGCACCCTCCTCATGCGCACATGCGGTCGTCGCTTGGCGACGATCCTGTGACGCGGCACACCTTTTGCGATCCATTCGTTTGACTTTATGCTGACCGGGATGCGGACGCTAGGGCCCTGGTTCTGTCTTGATCGACTTCATGATCATCGGCATCATGATGTTCAACGTCGTCTACGCTCTTGGTGAGCTGGCTTGCATGTTCCCTGTCTCTGGTGGCTTCTACACGTACTCGGTCCGCTTCATTGACCCCACCTGGGGCTTCGCCATGGGCTGGAACTACGTTATGCAATGGGCTGTCGTCCTTCCGCTTGAACTTACGGTCTGTGGTCTCACTGTCGGGTATTGGAATCCTGATATATCAGTCGGTAAGTCGCGTTGTACCTCCAATGTACCCCAGATTTGCTTCGTGAGGCTCGTACTGATCCGACCTCTTCTCTTTCGTCTAGCCGTATGGATCACTGTATTCTTGGTCACCATTGTCATCGTCAACATCTTTGGCACGCTCGGATACGCAGAAGAGGAGTTCTGGGCGTCTGTGATCAAGCTGATTGCCATTGTCGTCTTCATGATTATTGCCTTCGTTCTTGTCCTCGGTGGTGGCCCCAGCAACGGCCAGTACAACCACTACTGGGGCGCTCGCCTCTGGTACGAGCCCGGTGCTTTCAAGAACGGGTTCCGTGGATTCTGCGCCATCTTCGTGACGGCTGCCTTCTCCTTCAGCGGTACTGAGCTTGTCGGTCTCGCGGCTGCCGAGGCGCGCAACCCCGTCAAATCGCTCCCCGGTGCCATCAAGCAGGTGTTCTGGCGTATCACCCTGTAAGTCGCGTTACTTGTCAAATCGTGGTTTGCTCCCGCATTCGGGTAGACGTACTGACGCGCAACTGTCTAGCTTCTACATTCTGGGTCTCTTCTTCGTCGGTCTGCTTATCAACTCCAACGATGATGCTCTCCTCGGTGCCAACCCGTATGCCGATGTTCACGCCTCTCCCTTCGTCTTGGTTGGTAAATACGCCGGCCTGAAGGGTTTCGACTCGTTCATGAACGTCATCATTCTCATCTCTGTCCTGTCGATCGGTGTGTCCGCCGTGTACGGTGGTTCCCGTACCCTCACTGCCCTCGCCCAGCAGGGTTACGCTCCCAAGATCTTCACCTATGTCGATCGCTCGGGTCGCCCGCTGTTTTCCGTGATCATCCTGCTGCTGTTTGGATGCCTCGGCTATGTCAACGTCAACAACAACGGTCCCGAGGTGTTCGACTGGCTCCAGGCTCTGTCTGGTCTGGCCGCTCTCTTCACCTGGGGCTCCATCTGCCTGGCCCATATCCGCTTCCGCTCTGCCTGGAAGTACCACGGCCACACCCTCGATGAGCTCCCCTTCCGCGCCATCTTTGGTGTTTGGGGCTCTTGGGTTGGACTGATTCTGTGTGTTCTGGTGCTCCTCGCCAGTGTATGTTGCCCCTCCTGCTCTACTTTGCGTCTCATTAGATGCTGACGATTGATCTCTCTAGCTCTTCACCGCCATCGCCCCGGCTGCCGGCGGCGTCAACGACGCCAAGGGCTTCTTCAAGCAGTACCTGGCGCTGCCCGTCGTCATCTTCTTCTACATCTGCGGCTACATCTGGAAGCGCCAGGGCTGGGTCAAGATTGCCGACATCGACGTCGACACGGGCCGCCGCGAGCTGCCGTGGGACGAGATCAACGCCTACCGCGCGGAGCAGGCTGCCATGCCTCCCTTGAAGAGGTGGTTCCACCACGTCTTTGTCTAAAGAAGGCGATCTTCTCGAGCAATACTGCAGCGTTGTGGTGTTTGCACTTGCGTGCAGAGATCGGTGTTTTTTTCGCGCCGCCTCTGACGTTGTGCGTGCGACAGGCCTTGCGTTTGTGAGACTTGCTTGTTTTTTGTCGTCACTAGACGGGTTTCTATGTTTCGCTGCATTGTCTCGAGGTCTTGATTTGGGGGATGTGTCGATGTAAGGAGAGCGAGTGATGTATCAGGGGTAGATGATGCGATGGAACTATTGTGGATGTTTTGATGATGTGGTCTGTTGCATGTGTGCATGCGGAATTCTGAGAGGGCGCGAAGATACATTTTCGTTGCAGATGAAAGTAGTTTTCGCAGCACCTACCTATACCCAACTCTTTTCAGCATTGTGATGTGTCAGTTTGAGAGGACGATGTCTCCCATCTTCGATCTCTTGTGATATGTGCTCGCTTTACTTGAATGGGGTCGAATGGTGTACAAGTCTGGGAGTCTGAAGCAGAGCCTCGTTTGCCGTTGTGGATGCGGATAGCACTCTTGTCTCATGTATGCAAGTTTAAAGCTCCTCGATCCAGTCGCCGGATGCGAGTCACACATGCCATGCAGTATCACCGGTGGCGTTTTGAAGCCATCACAGAACTTGTGCAGATTCATGCTGCACGCTGCAAGTTGCGACAGAGGCTTCCACACGGGGAGGTGCCGTGCATCCTCACGGCAGTCTGGTTGGCTACCGACGCTACTTTAGGTGCAGTGTTGCATTCTCAAGTGTTCTAGGGGTTCTGGAAGCTCATACTCGCACCATGATCAGGCATCATAGGCATAACTAGTCTGGTCATCCTCATCATCAATATTGACCTCCATTGCTGGCCGGCCGGGAGTCGGGGCCGCCCAGTGAGGCGGGGCCCGCTAGTTAGTTGAATCAAATGGTCTGGAGCTCGGCAGCATCTCCCCGATCTCCGCGAGGGCCACTGTGGGAATTCCCCGACGGCTGACTGCCTACCACAGACCTACTCCGTAACAATTGTGAAAGTCGAGGACATGGAAGGGTCTGCAATGGTCGTAATCAAGGTCAAATCTTTCGTAGTTGCTGAGGACTAGGATGGATCTGGCCATGCAGGTGTGTACCGGCCGAGATCTGATAGTGAAAGCGCCCACAGTGAAAGTCGCGGTAACGATGACGTCGGATTTACCTCTTGTGATCAAACCGCGGGGCTCTGCCTCTGGGGAGGGATGGGTTCAATTGCCCGTTTGGAATGCGCCACACCAGTGACACCACAATGAATTGGGTGGCATTCTCCGACCGAGTCCCGGGCTTCACTACCGGGCGATCGTGGTTCTCGGCAGGAGCCGGTGGGGAAATTTCCCTCCTCCCCCCCGCCAAAACATCGAACCAGACCTGGACCTGGCGCGCCTCCGTGGCGGCTGACAAAGAGCTTGCAAATAGTTGGGTAATGGCTGCGGTAGCAGTGGATAAGAGGGCATTTCGCGAGGGACCGCCACGAATTGGGAAATCTGTATCTTCTCAATCGCGACTCTTGGGACTGGCTTGACGCGTTTTGAGCACGAATCCAAACACTCTGTCTGCGTCTTTGGGGCCGGATCAGCGACCGACACATCTTTGCCTCACGTCAGATCCCCGCGATATCGAAGAGTATAGTATGGCATCACACGGCGACCTCCGGGCCCCGGCCGGAGACGGCAAGACGGCCTCGGGGCCCCTGGAGACGGAGTTCCTCGTCGTCGGCGCCGGACCGGCGGGAGCCTCGCTGGCGTGCTTCCTGGCGTCCTACGGCCTGAAGGGCATCATGATCAGCGCGGCGCCCGGCACGGCTGATACGCCGAGGGCTCACATCACGAACATGGCGGCGCAAGGTGCGTCTCTCTCGCGCTTGATGCAGTTTGACCCGCTCCGTTACGTGCTGACTCCTTGCTACAGAATGCCTCCGCGACATCGGCCTCGACCAAGAAGTCGAGCAGGTCTCGTCCCAGGGCCACTGCATGGTGCACACGCGGTGGTGCCACAGCATGGCCGGCGTCGAGTACGCGCGCCTCTTCTCGTGGGGCAACGACCCGCAGCGCAAGGGCGACTACGAGGAGGCCAGCCCCTGCTCGCCGGTCGACCTGCCGCAGACGCTCCTCGAGCCCATCCTCGTCCGCCACGCCACCCACAGCGGCTTCAAGACGCGCTTCGACACGAGCCTGACGTCCTTCTCGCGCGACGCCGCGTCCGGCGCCATCACGGCGCAGGTCCGGGACAACCTGTCGGGCGCCGAGTACGCCATCCGCACGCGCTACCTGTTCGGCGCCGACGGCGCGCAGAGCCAGGTCGTGAAGCAGCTCGGCATCCCGCTCGTCCGCAAGCCCGGCGGCGGGCTCGCCATCAACGTCCTCGTGCGCGCCGACCTGTCGCACCTCGTCGACTCGCGCCGCGGCAACCTGCACTGGGTCATGCAGCCCGACCGCGAGCACCCGGCCTTTGGCTGGATGGCGCTCGTGCGCATGGTCAAGCCCTGGCACGAGTGGATGTTCATCCTGTTCCCCGAGCAGGGCAGCGCGCCCGACATGAACGCCCCGCGCGACGAGTACCTGAAGCGGGTCAAGGAGATGATTGGCGACGACACCCCCGCCGAGATCCTCGGCGTGTCCAAGTGGTTCATCAACGAGATTGTGGCGGAGCGGTACGACGACGACGAGGGGAACATGTAAGTCTCTTGGCGTGACACTCTTTTCTTGTTGTGGGTGGCGCGAAACTGGTTACTGACGAGATCTGGTCCCCTAGTTTCTGCCTCGGCGACGCCGTGCACCGGCACCCGCCCTTCAACGGCCTGGGCTCCAACACCTGCATCCAGGACGCCTTCAACCTGGCCTGGAAGGTCGCCTACGTGCACCGCGGCCTGGCCGACCCCTCCCTGCTCAAGACCTACAGCGCCGAGCGCCAGCCCGTCGGCAAGGCCATCATCACGCAGGCCAACGACTCCTTCCGCGAGCACTTCCACGTCTGGGAGGCCCTCGGCGCCACGCCCAAGGACCTCGCGGAGCGCACGCAGATCCTGTCCCGGCTCGAGGCCGAGGGCCCCGAGGGCCGCGCCGGCCGCAAGGCCTTCCGCGAGGCCATCCACAGCACGCGCCACGAGTTCCACGCCCTGGGCATCGAGATGGGCCAGCACTACGAGAGCGCCGCCGTCGCGCAGGCCGACGAGCCGGCGCCCTACGCCGTGCCCGCCCGGGTCGCCGAGGATCCCGTGCTGCACCTCCACCGCAACACCTACCCGGGCTGCCGCCTGCCGCACGTCTGGCTCAACACGGCCGTGCCCAGCACGCCGAAGTCGACCATCGACCTCGCGGGCCACGGCAAGTTCGTGCTCTTCACGGGCATCGGCGGCGGCGCGTGGAAGGCCGCCGCCGCGACGGTGGCGGCGGAGCTCGGCGTGCCCGTCGACGCGCACTCCATCGGCTTCCGGCAGGACTGGGAGGACTTTTACTTTGACTGGGAGAGGCTGCGCGGCGTGGAGGAGTCGGGCGCCGTGCTGGTGCGGCCCGACCGGTTCGTGGCGTGGCGGTGCCAGGAGGTCGTCGGCGACGCGGACGCGTGCGCCGCGAGGCTGAAGGGGGTCATCAGGGGTGTTTTGGGGTTCAAGGAGTAGAATGACGCGCTGTAGAACGATTCTGTGTTAATGCTAAAAAAAAGAATAAATGTCTCAATACGCCGGATTCAGCATTGGAACACTCTGAAACGGGATACCGGTACTAGGGTCTGCCTTCCACACCACCTCCCTGAGCCTCCCTGAGCTCTAGGCAAGGTATCCCGCATTATCCACTATGTACAACAATTCTAGATTTTTGTTAGCTTGAAAGACGGCATAATACCTACATTCAAGTATAAAAGAGCTGTTCCCTGTTCCTAGCTCTTGCTAGCACTAGATTTCTTTGTCACTTTCTCTTTGCCTTTGGTAAGGATTTAGCCCTCACCTCTTGTCAGCTAGTAATACTAAAGAAGGTTCAATTAAGGAAGAAGGATAGCATTAGGGGCTTCCTTGTAGGAAGCCTCCTTTTTAGGGTAGACCCTTATCTTACTATGACATTCAAAGACATAGCTCGTCAAAATATGGTTCATTGGATGTAGTCGAAAGTGTAGCTATCCTGTAAGGATGCCTGAGGACTTGCGAGGCAAGGTAGATTTGTATAGACCAGCGAATCTCAAAGCGGGGTTGCACCGTCGACTGGAGGCATAGATCCATGCTCCTGTAATGACCACCGCCCTTCCAGCGCGGAAAACAAGATTCCGTCTCCTATCTTATCTCATGGCTGCAATGAACCTTTCCATGTGAGAAGAGTCCATGATAAGTATTGATTAGTGAAAACTTTAGGAAAGGCGAACTCCCGGACGGGCCATCCCAAGGTTCAACGCTAGCTTCAGACACCGCAAGCACTACAGAGATGAAATAGAGACACTGTAAACTGATCGGTGGGCTCCTCCCGACTGGAGATAGGCTGGTAAGTGTCAATGAATACCTGGCCTCTTCAAAATGTCCTCCGAGAGTTCTCTGCATATCTTCAGTTCTCTGACCACTGATGTATATCATGACCATGGATAGGAACAAGGCTGTTCTGAACTCCAGCGCTTGATGATTGTCCAATACCCTCCTTGTGCGCTCCTCTCAATTTATCTTGTTCGTGGTAAGTTCTCCAATTGTGCCTTGCCGTGCGCTCACCTGAATTGAGGCTGAGCAGTGCAACCCCATTCTGCCTTCCATAGGCAGACCACTCTCATTGGACAGGGACACTGACTTGCATGACATCAATTCTGCCTAAAACCTGCACGACAATGGAACTGCCCTTCCACCACTTCGCAGTTCACGGATCTTATTCAAATCCTGCTCAGGCTTTCCAACCTCAACAACTTCAGCGCACAACCCTTCTCTCAACAGTACGATGTGTTACCAGGTCGTCGAACTCTACAGTGCCTGCAAATGCTTGTATTACCAGCAAGCCGTGGATAGATGTGCCTCGTTCGGGCGCCCGGGACATCGTATTCAACAGAGAACAATCTATGTGGGATATGCTTGTACCATTCATTCACGTGCCGGACCAAATAGATTTAAAGTGTTCCATGAAGACACAGGACCGTCAACCGCATCGAAGCACACGACGACTCAAAGCTCGGTCAAATTCCTCGGAAGCCAGAGAGAATCAGCTCAAACGGCCGTAAGAGCCCCAATAACCAAGGATCAACTTAGTAAACCCCATCAGACCGGAGCTAGACTAGACACAGGCCTCGCCAAGGACCAGAATCCAAGATCGATAGCCCAAAATGATGGTCGCTCTAGCACTGACAGCGATTTTGCAAATGCTGAACCTACAATCAATCTGGAAGAGGACACATCATCTGACGATTCGTCTTTTGACCTTGGCACACCACCCGAGCCGGTCTCTTCGGCGTCGTCATATTCCCAATTGGGTTCTGATGTCCTGGAACTCTTACTCAGCGAACTTCTAGCCTTTCAGGATCTCTGGTACCTGTGGCCTCAGCTAGTAGCGAGCTTCAAGTCCCGCAAGGACTTCCATATCCTGATTGCGCGGTTCATAGAGCTCTATGCCGACGACCTGGAGAACCTCGCAATTGGACGGGAATCCGGAGACGACCCGAGATATATAACGAAAGGACTCCAGGAGATCACTGCTGCACGTTTCGTCAGGAAGTCGAGGCTAGCCATCGCACAGAGAGTCTGGGCAGTCCACAAGCCGGTAGCTACTGGCGTGGCGGGAGTGTGGGCGTCGGAGGAAGGCGACTTCGTTGAAAAGCCCGACGACAGCGTCGATGACTATATACCGTTCGCGTTCTCTGAAGCGAAAGACTTCCTTTTCGAGACTCTGCCAATTATTGCTCTTCAGTCCCGCGTCAAGAGATTCGTTTCAGAGCGCCATGAGACATCCATTCTCTCTGCAGTCACCGAGTTTCTGACGATTCGAGTGGAGAATGTGTTTCATCAAGTTGCACCTCCCGAGTCGGGTAACTATCGTATCTTTTGGAAATGTGTAAGGGTCTGTGCTTTGGTTCTCTATGAATAGTTCACTGACCGCTTCGTCTATCCAGCGTTGTGGAAAGAGGTCTTACGACGACTTCAAGCAACTCGAGAGTGGAGGCGTGAACGATCTCACAGAAACCTTCCGCACTTACGCGAACGAAGACCATCTGTCGGAGGGGTGTAAGCAAGAGATGCGATCCTCACCAGGATGGAGGCGCTGGATAGGCAAATCATCCGCATCCAGCTCGGCGCAACTGCCCTTCTCTCAAAAGTCCAGTGTGGCCGAATCCGCCATCGGGTCGTGTCACAAGACGAGCCAGATACAGCGCAATACTCACAATTATGTACTATTATGTGTTCCTTTCATGAAGAAGGCACTTAAGCTCCACAATGCCGAAGTCTGCAAGATCAACTCGGACAGAGAGTTCTTCAGAATGTTGCGCTATTACTACACCCAGCACTGTCCTCGAAAACGGTTCTCGATTCCGAAAAGGGTCCAGGCACTCAACTTTGTACATGTACGTTTCTCTTACCTGACTTGAAGGCTTCAGTACACAACGTGAACTAACACCCTCTCCAGTTTGAGGTCTACAGAAGCAAGCTAGTCGACATCCTGTCCACTCCATCACTGCCGCCGAATGACCAACCCGGCACTGACTATATGTACGAGCCAATGCCACCGGCAACCAACCCACCTGTTGGTCCGAACCTCCTGATGCACTTGTTCGAGCACCCAGACCACGCTGAAGTGACCCCCGTACTGTACAAAAGAATTCCTCGGAAACTTCGGGCCAAGCTGGAGGCCTGCCCTATCCAAGGTAGCTCAGCGGGATGGGGCATACATTATGTGGAGGGGCTTGATCGGCTGACCATGTACATCTATGGTTGTGTGGGATTCGCTATTGCGTTGGTCATGGCTGTCATCTGGGCGTCGATTCGAGATGACGTACAAGGAGGCTTTGCGATTGCCGGATTTCTCATCGCATTTCTTGCATTCTGTGGATCACTGGTGCAGTCCGAGTTTGGAGGGTTCTAGGGTAGTTGAGGTCAACCATCAGCAATACCGACAGGCAACCAATGCTCTATGTCCTCGAAGTTCCCCTCACACATCCCAAAATCCTGGCAGACCCTGAGCTGCTGAAACATGAGCTCTGTGGCGGCTAGTCGCCCGTTCTGTGCCCCAAGCCGTAGAGGGTTGGGAAACAAGAGGCCAATCTGAAAGCAAGTCAGTGTACCTGTCTCGGATTCAATCATTGTGTGGCATATCTTGAAGCACACGCACTTTGTGAGATCAGGGGACTGTAGTCAAATGCGAGGAAATGGACGATCCAGTATGCAGATGATATTATTACTGCATCATACTGCGTATTGTTCCAAAGTAGTTCATGAAATCTTAGGCTGTTTGGTGTGTTCGGGGCGAGGATTTGGCCAAAGTTCTCTTCAAAACCCAAGTAACGCCCGTCAACAGTGCAGCTACCAGGCGATATATCCAAAATTGTCGAGCTACTACAAAATCGTTCTTATCATTGACCTGTATCAAGTTTGAGCTGAAGATAGTCTTGTTCTTGTCAGATGCAACGGAATATAGACTTGGATAGCTTTCATGGGACTTACCGCTACAAGTGATGCAGGCATGTAGATCGTAGCAATAATCGTCAAAATAGTAATGGTCCTTGAGTCCTGACGACCGTCTTTGAACGAATTGGTCAAGCCCTCGTGTATGCCCCGACTTTGTGTAGAGATTGAATTCGACAAACTGAGATTGTTCTCGATCCGTCTGTTATAAAGCGATGACTGTTCATTGCTGCGGAACTCGAGTATCTGCCAGATCTGACCATCTATGGTTAGTGCCATGACAAATAACGGGAGAGTCGTAATCAATCTACCAGCCGAAAGGTCCCTTCGGATTGCGCAAGCAGTGTCTGCACGTTCTGATGGCGCATCCGGACTTGCGCGACTAGAAACTTGAGTTCGGCCACCCGAACGCCTTTTCTACTCATATGAAGGCCCATGCTGAGGGAGTCAAAGTTGCTGAAGACGGAAATCCAGGTCTTGAGAATGTTCGAAACTCTGTACGTATTTTCCCGAACAAGTTGTAACTTTTGACGTGGGTAGGGTTAGGCTAAGACCGTATCGACTGACTTATGCACGAGGAAGGAAATTGCCAAGGGGAATCTTCAGGTGTAACATTTATCTGTTATATATGCGTTTCTGCTTCAGCTAATGGGGTAGAGTAGTAGAAACTCGAATGAATCTAATCACAGTCACATTAAGTAAATTTAATCGGTCTATGGCACACAAATGAAACTGATGGAACCATCCTACATGCAGTCTTAAATCGGGGCCCTGCGTCAAATCGCGCCGGGCTCGTTGGTGTACAGCAAATATGAATCATACAATGTGTCTCTGCGTGCTGGCGCTGCTCCCGCTGGCCAGCTCGATGTTGGCCTCGACCCTTTTCCCACCGTACAGCTGGCTCGGGTACCTGAGCGCGAAGAAAGCCATGGTGAAGAACATGAGAGTGCCGTCGAAGACGTATACTGGCCACTCATTCGACAGCAGGTAGCCCTGGTGACCCATGGCGTACTCGACTACACGGAAGACGTTGCGGGCCATGATCAGCAGGGAGGTGACATAGAGCATGACCAGCACAGACTGCCAGGGCTTGTGCCGGTACGTCTCGGAGTGGTGGTGGCGACGGAAGCGCATGTTGAAGACCAGGGCTGTGGCACAGAACACGCCGAAGATGAGGATCTGGAAGATGAGACCGCCGACAATGATGTACTCGCCACGCTTGGAGTCGTCCTGGCTTTTGGCCTGGGTGAGCAAGCCGGCACCACCGCCCTGGATAAAGAAGCTGACTACATCGCCGGTCACGAAGATGGCTGTCAGCCATCTGGGCCGGATAATGGAGCAGCTGGCGCCGTCGACGGCGAGGATGACGCGACTGAGTGTCATGTATAGCGTGGCGGCGAAGAGAACGGGAGCGAGAAGGAGGAAGATGGATTGCAGGAGGTAGGGGATCAGCTCTCCGGTTTTGTCGTACGCCAGGATGCGCCCTAGATATCCGATGACCTCGACTGGGAAAAGAAGAGAGTTAGCTCCAAAGCTCGCGTTTTGCAGTCTCCATGGAGGGGCAACCTACAATATCCACCAACAACAAATGGAATGACAAACCAAAGGCGTCTACGGAACAGCAGATAGGTATGATACCCGGTGATGATAACGAAAATGATGGTGAATATCACGGCTGCTGGGCGGTTCGGGATGTACAGCCAGAGGGGATAACCATTATGGGTCTCGAGAGTGGGCATTTTGATAAACAGAGGGAATTAACGGCCGAATTTCGACACTGGTGATAGTTTATGTGGTCTAGGAGGTTGTTTCGTGATATTCGTGGTTGAAAGTGTTGAGTGAGGTGTGTCGTTACGGGCGAAGCCAAGGAGGAGTAGACCAAGATCAAAGACTTGAAGAGAATACAGACAAGAGAAAATCTGGCATTATTGAGACACAGGTTTCTCAGCAGACTTTATTGGAAAACCCCTACCTGGATTCTCAAGAATGATCCAGGGGGTTCTACCGAAGCTGAAGAGGAGCGGAGGCATTCATCGGGACCGGTCCGAGTTGAGCCTCGTACGCTCGTACTCTCGTACCTGAGTTATCCGAGACCGAGTCCTGGCCCCACACGACGGAATGTCTACGAAGTATACGCGCGTCGGGGTATGATTGAAGCCCTCTCTTTATGGACATTTGTATGCGGCATCCGTCATCATTTCTGCATTGACTGCATTGGGCTGTGGGAATACTGTCAACTTCAATGCAGTCGATATTGACGGAGCACCAGACTGCGGAGGCTGTGTTATAGCATCATGAGACCTCACTACGCCTGGATAGGGAGAGACATGAGCTCGTATGACGGCGTATGATATGCACCATGTTTCCATCTGTGTCAGGGACAACTTCTCGTCTCGGACCAAAGACTCATCCCAGACCTCCGCAATACATAGCAACCAACCAAGAATCACAAGCTAGATACGCAGATAACTTCATAAGTCCAAAGCCCTAGGTAACAAAACGTAAAATGCAACGCTTTCATTCCTGATTCATATACGCGTCGTCCAAATCAGAATCACAATGGCAACAGCACAAGTAGTGACAAAGTAGCCCAATGAGCCCCATCGCTCGCCCCAGCCTCACCGCTTGGGCCTCCACCCAATCTCCTCGATAGGCCAACGTATCCACACCCGGTGCTCCTCGTCCAGCAGGTCCCAGATCTCCTGCAGGAGGTGCGTCGACCAGCCCTGCATCCACCACCAGTTCTCGAGGGAGTTGAGCACGACGCAAAAGTGGGCAAAGATGACGAGGGCCAGCGGGTCCCGCCGCTTGAGCATCTCGATGAAGGGCTCGCCCATCTTGAGCAGCCACGAGTAGACGTTGGACGTCAGCGCCCACGGCGCGCCGGGGTTCCGCAGCGCGCCACCGCCCGGGCTGCCGCCGCCGGCGCCGCCCGTGCCCGGAGACGCGCCGGCGCCGCGGCCGCCCGCGGCCAGGGCGCAGAAGGAGTCCTCCAGGTCGTCGATGCTCCTGCGCAGGGCCTCGGCGTCTTCCCTCGTTGCGGCGGCCTGCGCCACGAGGGCGGCGAGGTGCACCAGCTGCGCGTGCTCGGCGGTGGCCAGCCAGTCGGGCGTGGACCGCAGCTCGGCGGCGCCGGCGAGGTAGCGGACCCCGGACTGGAACATGGTGCTGAAGGGCCCGCGCAGCAGCTCGGCGCGCCAGGTCTCGATGATGCTGCGGACGCCGCGGAGCAGGGAAACCCAGTCGCCGGTGCCGAGGCTGCCGACGAGGAAGAGGTCGCCGGGCTGGCGCGGCGTGGCCCAGGCGTAGATGAAGGTCAGGCTGGCCGAGATGTACAGGGCGGAGCAGTTGTCGGCGGTGGCGCGGCCGAGGGCGCGGGCGATCTGGGGCAGGGCGGCGCCGTGCTCGGACCGGGCGACGCGCAGGTACGAGTCGCGGCGGCGGTCGGCCGAGAAGAAGGACATGTGCAGGGCCGAGAGGGCGAGCACGCTGCGCATGACGTAGTCGTGGCGGAAGCCGACCTGGGGCACGTTGAGGCGCCAGACGTTGCGCATCATGGGGTCGCCCGAGAGCGTGTGGCAGGTGAGCGTGGTGAAGTTGTGCAGGAGCTCGAGGTGGGTCGAGTTGAGGGCCGGCGGCAAGTCGCCTGCCGAGCCGTCGGACGGCTGGAAGGACGGGTTCCCGTATTCCGAGGAGGCGCCGGGGGTCGGCTCCGAGATGGAGTCGAGTACCGACACCGGCGCCGGGACCGCCAAGGCGGTAGGGGTGGAGGGTGCGGTGCCACGATCCCGGTGTGTCAGCCGGTGCTCGCCATAGCCGCACTGGACGCCATACTTGAGGCAATTGGCGCAGACCGGCTTCCCCTCGTCACACTGGTTGCATCGTAGTAATCAACATATTGTAAAGCTACCTAGCATGGAAGAAAGTTTGCAGTAGTATCACTCACCTTGACTTTGCGGCGCTTGCAAGTGATGCAGCCCGTCCGCACCTTGCGGTGCCCTTTCCGGACCCTGGGCTCGTAGGGTACTGCAGCTGATTGCTCGGGCATGAGACAGACAGGGCCGTCTGGCGTAAATACGTCAGCCTGGGGTGGCGTCTCGTTTCCAGTTAGGGGGTTCGACGACAGAGGGTGCCGGCGTAAGTGTGCGTGAGCGAACGAGGCGCCGCCAATTTTTAAAGTACGAGGGAGGATCGCGTACGAACGAGCGAGCGTACGATCGTGGAGGAGTCGGTAACTAAGCCCTAGGGCCAATGACGGTGGTCTCGACTCGCTCCCCGACGCGAATTAAGCTTCCAAGAAGGTTCCAATCGAGGTTGCGTAATAAGGGGGAGAGGTATGTGGAGAGGCTCAGTTACGGCGGTCTCAGTGCTAAGCTAGCGGGGCGATCCACTAACTCGGCTCCGCACGCACGCTCGCTAGCTCTAGGCGCCTCCCCCTGAAGAGCTCTATCTGTAGAAGCATTTTGACAGTATACGATGCGAGTCGGATCGCGAGCCTGTCTAAGAGATCGGTCCGGTAGGGCTGCAGTTACACGTATCAATTAATTCTTCCATATTCCAAGAATAGACCGATGGAGCCCAGTCTCGACCCCATCCATGCTCTCATGATCAAAGCAACGGAACTATCCGTCTGGTGGTGCTCTTAGTGTTCCATGTCCCTACTTGCAAAGTTCCCTTACACACCCCTATCGCTTGCTCAGTCTCCTCATATTGGACCGACTTAATTGTGTATTGTTCTGTGTCCCTCTTCTGTTTTCTAAGGGGGCCAGTTTTGCAGGATATCTAGGGGGATCTAGTCTACTTTAAATCAGGCCTTGTGTCTCTTTGAACCTCATATCTCAGGAATGAGGTTCGTTCTGTAGAAACACTGCTCTGGGTCCTTGGGAAGGGAGACCTGCATAGTTCTGACAGCGGCCCACGCACGCACCTCACCTTGGGCAAGTTGATTGGGTACAACTCCTGGGGAGATGCAGGCCCGCCATCAGAGACCAACTTCCACAGCGCGTACACTCACACTTCTCCGTCCCAAAGTCTATTCTGCCAGCCGCAGCACGGTATCGCTGAGCCCCTTGGGCAATTTTATTGTCTCGCGCTCCAGGCCCTCCCAGGCTCTGATATTCCAGCTCGGCGCACCATCCAGTTCTCAACAGCTCCTGTCCGATCACGCCTTCTCAAGTAGTCATGCTGCACAGCCGCCATTTGCATCCAGAGCAACCTCCTTACCGATCCGCGGCCATCTCCTATCGCCTCAACGCCGCTTCTCTGCAATGATTGCCCCTCAAGAAAGGAACACCAACGTCCGGCTTCTCGCATGTCTCGTCGACGACGACGACACGGACGATAGCGATTACCGCTTCCTCGTCGACGAGCAACATGTGAAGTACATATCCACTGCGCCAGGCACGTTTCGCGGGGCCGAGGACGACCGTACTTTCGAGCCCATCCTGCTTGGCGAGCTCCTCCCACCGTTTCCAACTGGAGATTGGAACCGCGGCTACGTAGCTAGGGACCCCGAGACGGGGAAGGCTACCTTCGTCAGGACCGAGACAGTACAACTTGCCGGGGTGAAGAACTGTTGGCATCCTGTAAAGCTCAACGAGCTGGAATTCACGCGACAAGAGCGAGTGAGGCAACGAGTCCACGTCTCAACACATCCCGAAGTTCAAGGTGGCAAACCCGTGCTCATCAAACTCGCGGTCTGGCCCTGGGAAATCCCCTCCATGGAGGTTGAGACGGCCGCCTATCAATGGATTAGTGACAGCGGAGTCGGCCCTAGTTTTCTGGGACATCTCACCGAGGGCAAAGATGGGCGCGTGGTTGGCTTCGTCGCTGAGTGGGTGGAAGGCGCGAGAGCCGCCGGGCCAGCGGACATCGACGACTGCAAGAAGGCTTTGGGCCGGTTGCATGAGCTCGGTATCAAGCTTGGCGATATCAACAAACATAACTTTCTTGTGCGGGATGGGCATGACGTGGTTCTGGTAGACTTTGAGACGGCGAAGCGAGACTGTTCGCCTCTAGAACTCGAGGACGAGATGAGCACCCTCAAGAGCAGCCTTGAAGACACGAGTTTCCGGGGTGGGGTGGAACCCGCTTATGAATGACAGAACTAGGTAGCGTGATAATCTTAAGCTGGCTAGGTATCTCAACCTGCTGTACATCTCAACTTGGCTGCACATCTCACCACTAAGTGCTTTGAGACTAATCTTAGGCGTGAGAGAAGTACGCTGCAGCGCATGAATGGCCTGGCCACCTGACAGGGCACGTTTCATGGGTCATGTAGGATCTGTCCGTGGGGACACACGCCCTTGCCTCAGCCCGGACAGCCAGATTCTCACACTACCCCCTCCAAGCCTCAGCCATCGTGAAACGATGGCTGTGGCTTTTTGATGGTCGGCCTACTTGTGCCTTCTTGGTTGTTTTCCCCCTTTCCCCCGACTGTCATTGCCGTCGACCACCACTTGGTTCCACACTTCATTTGGGACCGGCAGAGGATGGAGTAAACCCGGAGTCTTGTCGTGGCGGGTCTTGTTTCTCTGGCAGCTTCGACAGTTCTTGATATACCTTTTGGTGTCTTGTCTGAGAGTATCCCATCAGTAGTCTCTTTTCAGGAACTCAATGGTCTTGCTCTGTCCTGGGTGAGCGAAGATTGGCGGTTCATGAGCTTCTCGAATCAAAGCTGTTCTCAGGTAGATGGTTCCGTCAGTAGTAACCTCAGGCACCACCAGTCGACCGTTGTCTTGTCCCAAGTTCTGTTCTTTGTTTTCCAGCGTGAGGAGGTCTACCAGGTCGGCACCATGAGGAGTATCTGGAGCCTGCTGCTCGAGAGACAGAAGCGCCAAGAACGGTTGGATTGTCTCTGGGGGAATCAAGGGGAAGGTTCGGTCCGCTTGTTCCCTTGCTTTGACTGTAGGGGGGTCCACTGTCTTTATGGACAGGGCGTCTGCTACCACATTCTCTTGTCATGGGCGATACTGGAATGTGATATCAAACTGTCCCAAGAATTCTGTCGGGGAAACTTCCCTCCATCAATTTCCAAGGACAACCGTACCAAGTGGGTGGACTTTTCTGAGGGGATCTTGTTGAAATCGTTGAGATGGATGGTTTTCGGCAACCTTTCCATGGTCGCGCCCAACTTCTTGAATACATTATCAATTCGGTCTAACAGAAGGAAGTTGCTGAGCGGATCTTTTAGATGCGACATTTATCTGTACTTCTACCCGCCGGCGCGTCTTAGACATCACCTCGAACACCCGGATGTCTGTCCTTCGGCTACACATCATCATCACTCCATAGTAGGGATGCGCTTTGGGGACCAACTGAAAACACAATAATTAGTGCGTTGTCACTCTGTGGGGTGTAAGCCCGCTGTGCCGCTCCTGGTCAGATTTTACCTCGAATAATAATAATACCCCGCCTCATGTTCGAGGCAGGGCGCGTGTGATATCCAGGCAGCCATCTTACTGACATCCTGTTTCTTTCCTCATCCGTTTCCGGGTGTCGCACAATAATTCTTCGATCTCATCCAGCCCTGTCGTCGAGCGACTCGACTGCAACTCGAGTCTAAACCTCAGACCCCTCCGTTCAATTGCGCAATGGCTCTCTGCGAGTTTTGCGCGCGGATCCCCTTTGATGACCTTCCCCAGTTCCCTCGACATGACTCAAGGTATCGAATCGCGGATAAAACTGCCCTTGCGAAATTCGGTCAGGATGATGGCAAAGGCGAGCCTGAGCATGCCCTTGGGTTCTCGTGGCAAGAGAGCCTAGCTGCTGTCGAGCAGTCGGCCAAGGCGGGTTGCCCCCTCTGCACCCTGGTGCAGGCCGGCGCTGAGAGGTGGATGAGACACTACAAAGACGCCGAGGAGAACGACGATTTCTTCATCGAGTACGGCCTAGACAGGCAGCCAATACCTCATGACCAGGTCCTTTGGGTCTCGAAGCGTTACGGGGGAGGCGATGGTCTGTCCGTGACTGTGCGGAACGCGGACAGTAAACAATCGTTTGTCGTGATCACCTCGATCAGCATCAGCGTCCCGGAAGATCACCCTCTCTCGCATAGGTTCAAGCTCAGGCCCATCGAGCAAGACTCCGGGTCGAAAGAGAGCCTCGACGTCGCGGCTGGGTGGCAGGAGCAATGCCACCAAACACACGAGGATTGTGCACTCGTCGAGACCTTGTTGCCGTCACGCGTCCTGGAGGTGCCTGAGAGTGGCGATATCATCAGGTTGATAGAGCCAAAACCTGGAACGGTTGGCAGATATGCATCCCTATCTCATTGCTGGGGATCCGCAAAATTCCTCACGACCACCCGAGAGACACGCGAGGCCCGGATGGCTGGGATCTCAGTACCGGCGCTCCCCAAGACCTTTCGCGACGCTGTCGCAATCGCAAGGCGTTTGAGCATTCGCTATCTATGGATTGATAGCCTGTGCATCTGCCAAGACGATCGAGCGGACTGGGCGCGCGAGTCGGCAAGGATGACTGCGGTCTATTCTGGTGCTCACCTGGTCATTGCGGCAACTCATGCGGCAGACAGCAGCAAAGGCTGCTTCCACAGCCGAGTGCCTCGTCCTACATCCAAGTTCACCATTCCAGGTGTCGGCGAGGTGTACTCACAGCTCGTCTATAACGAGTCCGAGTTCCCCTGGTCCCACGATTTCGAAGGCGAGCCGCTCACCACCCGAGGCTGGACCCTCCAGGAGTGCGAGCTGGCTCCGCGGATCCTGCACTACGCCTCTACGCAGATGCACTTTCAGTGCTGCCGGGGACGGGTTGGCGAGGATGGATCCCGCCCGGAAATCGCCGATACTCGCCTGCGGAACGTGAGAGGACGAGATCTTTCTACTGAAGTGAAGGTGGAAGAAGACCGAGCCCTGTGGGGTCGCCTGCTGTGGAACTATGGCCAGAGAAAGCTGTCGCATGCCACCGACAAACTGCCCGCCTTGAGCGGCCTGGCCAGCCTCTTCGCCCGACGCTTTGGCGCGCAGTACGTCGCCGGACTGTGGAGCGACGCACTCATCGAGTGCCTGTGCTGGCAGAGCATCGGAGACGCAGCCCCGATGTCGCTGAGTGAATACACCGGGCCGAGCTGGAGCTGGGCAAGCTACGCCGGGGTCGCGGCGACGACGGCGTTCGGTCTCGATGGCGAACTCTGGAGCGACGTTTCCCGGGTAGAAGACTGGCATGTCGAGCTCCAGAACCAGGAGAACCCCTACGGATGCGTGACGAGCGCCTGGCTGCGGCTGCACGGGCCCACGGCCAGGCTGACGCCCAGTAACTGGACCGATGAGACCGACGGCGGGAAGCGCGAACGCGCGGGCCTCCCTCCGGACGCGCGGGTGTGCACCAAATGGTCCGAGACGGACAAGGGAGACCACGTGTCGATCGACCACGACAGCCTCAGGCGGTCGGAGGAGTGGCGGCAGTGGCACCTGAAGGTCATCCTGCTGGCGGGGAAAAAGTACTCTGCGGAGCTGAGCTCCAGATGGGGCGTGCCCGACGACGAGGGCGACGCCGAGGAGCCCCCGCAGGAAGGAGACATTACGCTGTGCTACGGCCTGGTCGTCGTGCCGGGGACGGTGGGTGAGGGCGAAAGCACCTGTTGGAAACGGATCGGTTGGCTGTTTCTGGAGGGGAAAGAGGCGAAGAAGATTCTAGAGGACAAGGAGGCTTGGGAGACGGTAACCCTGATCTGATGTCGAATCCGGGGAGGTATGTAGTCTATCCCTTTGCCTGAAGGCCAACTCTGTTTCGCGCTTGTTATTGACTGGAGTTGGTCGGGTTGGAAACGTGTGTTCTCTCCTGGATGTTTTCTCCTGAACTACAATGGCGGTGCTCTTCTAGATTCAAGCTCCTAAAAGGACCTAGGTATATATATGGGCAGTTGAGTTGAAAATCTGGATGGATTGAATTCCTAAGGTGAAGGCTTCATCAATAAGTCTCAAGTGACTGGCCTAATTCGTGACCTCGAATCGCACTCACGGTGAGTGTCTTGAGCATTGCTCCCAGTACTTAGGCACAGTCGTAAGCGGGCGGCGCAATCTTGGTCCGTTTTCTGATGACGATACATGTAATACACCAAACCAATTGAACCACCAGAGCTTAATGCCCAATGGCGGCCTCTCCGCATTTCGCAGCCAATCCAGCCAATCCTAACCAGCCCGTTTTCCGAGTCCGAGTTAGTTGACCTCCAAGCTGTTCGCTAGCTGCCACGCCACGCGCAATTGGCCGCGCGTCCAACCTTACGGAGTCCAGAGGTTTTGGGGGGCTGAAAGCGCACTAGCAACGGGCTGAACCAGCCCATTTCATGGCATGGATGTCCTGATGCATAAGTAGTTATATCTGGGTCAGGCCTCTCATCACACCACACCACGATGGTGCTTGCAATCCAATACTTATCGCCTTATTAGCTTATTAGAAGAGACTCGGTCGCCTCGAGTCACAGGTCGCAAAGCGAATCTCACTATCGACATCGACACATTTGAGGCCGCACACAGTCAGAAACCATGAAGCCGGACCCTTTGCAGACGCTACAAGCGTCCTCCTACTCCGCGCGCTCCACCAGCAGCCAGCAGCAGACAGTCCCAATCGAAGATGACACCACAGCGCCTCCGCCTCCGTATGTCGAGAGCCGGCACGAGGATGGCCGCTCGGCACAGGCCGCAAGGGCCCTAGCTGCATCCCCGAGCGCGGGAGGGAGCAGGGCAAATGCTCCCCGAAGCAGTCATCCCGACTGGACGCCCATCGAGCTCCAGGACAGAATGTCTGCAGAGCCTGCCAGACGAACGATGAGCTCGAGTACATCATCGGGCTACACAGCCCAGGACCCCATGATGATGAAGGCGAGGGGACAGCCCACCAAGGACTACAGCGGAGAACCGGGGTGCTGCTTCTCAGACACGGGCGGTTGTTGCTTCTCCTCGACTGGCGGATGCTGCTTCTCCTCGCAGGAGGCGTGCTGCTTCTCCACCACCAAGGGATGCTGCTTCTCTTCGAGCGAGGGGTGCTGTTTCTCCGACAATGGGGCGTGCTGTTGCAACAAGACGGGCGATGCGGAGGCCGACCGAGAGTGGGAAAGGCGACTTGCGAAGAACAACCGATGCAATTCTCGCAGGTGAATTGCCAGTGTACACGACGAAGGCGGTGGTGGTGGTGGTGGAAATGGCGACGAGATCATGATTAAATGTACGGTGGCCACCAGACCACTGATGCTTTATGTGTTTTACGCGCTTTTGGGAGGAGAATTGCGAGAGGCGCAGCGGCACGAAGAGATACCCATATAATTATTCCTTTCAATTCACACACGTTTCATGACATTCTTGAGATCAAAAGAAGTTCGCAGCCTGGAGGAGCAGTGTCATTTTGAATGACATCGTCTTGTATCATTCATCGGCATAAATTCTGGGGAATTGTCCTGCATAACTTTATGACATGTTGTGCCCCTGACAGATCACGTGGCGATAAGAAGGCAGCTGTGCAATCGCCAAAACCGCTAAGAAAGTTCGCCTGCAAGTCAACAACGGCTGCTTCTTCGCAGATCGCCACAACACGCGACACAATTCCTGTCCGCTCCCGGCCATGGCTTCGTTCCAGGGCTTCTCCGGGAGCTTCAAGCTGTCCAAGGCAGAGGCTGAAGACATGTCCTCATCCGACTCGGACAACGACTCGGACGAGTTCCAGCTCCCCTCGACCGATCCCAACGCTGACGAATTCGCCGATTACAACCCGCGCAAAAGGCGCAGGACCGGCCGCGACGCCAAAGAGAGCGCTGCTCTGGGAATTTTCGGATCGGAAAGCGAAGACGACCGCGGTCCCCGTCGCTGGAAGAAGAAGACCCTGCGCAACAAGGGCGTGAGCTTTGTTTCGGGCGGGCAACAGGCAGCCACCGGCTCAGACCAAGAAAACGAAGACGATGAGGAGAGCGAAGAGGATGGCAAGTTTTACGCGCCGGGCCTCGGAGCCTATCCACAAGACAAAGATGAACTAGACGATGAGGACGAAGAGGAAAGCACTCGTGGCGTCGGCTTGGGCTTTAGCAGCTCGGCAGCCCAGGGCTTGGGTGCTGCGCCGTCCGCGCAACGGCAGCTCTTCGCGAACTTTACCCGTCCGAATAGTAGTAAACCTGCTTTCAGCAAGTCGAAAAAGCCAAAGTATGACGCAAACAATCCCCTCGGACGGGGGTTCATGCCTTCGTCAGCCAACGAGCCCGTTCTCAAAGTCACCGAGGACCAAGACGATGCGCCCAAGGTCGCCCGTCCCTCCGCGTTTTCGTCTTCGGCCGCGAAGAAGGGCAAGACCAAGGTCAACCCGAACTCCTTCGGCGCCCGGATGATGGCCAAGATGGGATACGTCGCGGGAGAAGGTCTTGGTAAGGAAGGGCAGGGTCGCAACATCGTTATCGAGGCGAATCTTCGACCACAGGGCGCCGGTCTCGGCGCGGTCAAAGAGAAGAGCGAACAGGAGAAGCAGGAAGAGAAGCGACAAGCGCGCTTGCGAGGAGAGGTCGTCATCGACTCGGACGAGGAGGAGAAGAAGCGGAAAGCAGCGCGGTGGAAGAAGGCTCTGGCTGGTGGCGTCGGCAGCGGCGGGGTCAGCAGCGGCACGAGTACCCCGAAGCGACAGAAGGCCAAGTACATGACGATGGACGAAGTAAAGAAGGCGGCCCCGGGACTCAACATTCCCGACGCTTTCACGCCCATCCTGGATCTCACTGGCCCCGGCAAGAAGATGCTGACCTCCTCCTCGGGCCTGATGACACCGACAAGCGGCACCCCTACTTCAGAGTCGACGGAACAGGCCGAGTCGCGCAAGCTAGCGAGGCGTGCACAAAACGATTTCTTGGCCATCCTGGAGGAGTGGCAAAGCTTGCAGAACCGCAAAGCGTATGCCGACCTCCAGATGCAGCAAGAGAAGCAGGAGCTCGAAGAGCTGGAGCTTGCTCTTAACGGGCACCAATCTACCGTCAACGCCTTCAAAGAGTTGACCATACAAGACGGGGAACAAGGCTGGGAAGAGCGCTGGAACAAGGCTCTATCGCAGCTCCGGACGGTGCTGGACTCGGTGCCAGAGGACTCGATCCACGCCATGAGGGACGAACTCCCCATCATCACAGTCGCAGCGCTTCATCCGCTCTTCAAGGAAGCTATGCAGACATGGGAGCCTCTGGAGGACCCTAAACCTCGCTTGGTGGAAGACCTGGTCTCTATCAAGCAGTTCCTGGGATTGCAAGATGGTGTCAAATCTCACCGCAAGTCAATCGCAACGCCGTACGAGACGATGATGTACAAAATCTGGCTACCACATGTTGCACGAGCGGTCAGAGAGTGGAATGTTCGTGAGGTGGATCAGCTTCTTGTTCTGTTCGAGGCCTGGCAGGGCTTGCTCCCTGAGTTCGTTCGAGGACAACTCCTGGAGCAGGACATTCTGCGCAAGCTTGATGACGCTCTTGCGAAATGGGAGCCGAAGCGGAAGAAGCATCACAATCTACCCCATCTGTGGCTCTTCCCCTGGCTTCAGTATCTACCTACATATCACCTGGACCCCAAGAGCTCCACCGGTCTCGTGGCCGAGGTAAAGAGGAAGTTCAGGCAGCTGATCGATGTCTGGGAGTTCTACCGTGGCGTCATCCCCGGCCTGAAGCAGTGGAAGGAAGTCCTGCGACCGAGCAGAGATAATGACCAATGGCGCCCACTGGTCATGAACAACATTTTACCTAGCATGGCCCGTTACGTCAAGGCGCAGTTTCAGGTCGATGCTCGTGACCAAGAGCCGTTTCTGGAGGTGCTGACCGGGGAGTGGCAGTGGCTCGAGCTCATGAGTCCCAGCATGATCGGGGAGGTCATGGTGGCGGAGATGTTTCCCATGTGGCATGAGGCCCTGTACCGCATGCTCACTGCCGAAAATCCCAACTACGACGAGATTATCCAGTGGTACTCGTGGTGGGTCGAAGAGGTCTTCCCCGAGGAGCTGCGATCTCTCCCCTCCATTTCCGCCGAGTTCGAAAAGGGTACTGTCCTCATCAACGAAGCTCTGGACCTCGGTTCCCGCGCCCGATCCGAGCTCGAGCACCCGCAGAAAGGACCTGCGCTGGGCACGAAAACCGAGCGCGAGAGCCGCAGCAAGGGCCACTCTTCTTCCTCCCACGGCCAGCACCGCCGGCATCACCACCACGAGCAGCAGCCAGCGGCCAAGACAGCTACGCATTCCAAGGACGAGCCGGAGGAGATGTCGATCCGGCACTTTGTGGAGGAGTGGTGCGAGAACAACGACCTGCAGTTCATCCCCGAGCGCAAAAAGGTGCACGAGCAGGGCCCGCTGTACAGGATCACGTCGCGCGGCGACGGCAGGGGAGGCGTGCTTACGTATTTCAAGGGCATCCGGCTCTACGCTGAGACGAAGAAGGGCCCCCTAGAGATAAGGGTGGACAGGGAGGAGGATTGGATGCGGCTGTTGGAGTTGGCGCAGTGAGCAAAGAGCCACGCGACCAGCCCTTTCAAAATAATGATATCCCACAAGCAGTAGACTTTGGCTAATCAGACAGTCATGAGATCATACAATTAATTTACTCGTGTATCTAGTCCTGACCTGAATCTCTTCCCTCCCAAGACCCAAACACTGAGCACACATTTACAAAAAGAAACGTCCAGGCTGACAATCGCAGGACGATTCTCAGCGCTCGACCTGGTCGATCTCGTCACCGACCGCGTCCAGCTCCTGCTCAAAGGCCATCTGGATGTCCATGACCTGTTGAAGTTGAGCGTGGTCGAGCCGCCGCTTCTTGTGCGCGGCCAGGCTCTTGGCGGTGCGCACGACGTTCTTGATCTGGCGGCCGTTGAGCCTGCCCTCGGCCAGGCGGTCGTAGCCGTCGTCGTCGATGTCGACGCCGCCCTCGACGCCGCCGAGGAAGTTGCGCCAGATGCGCTTGCGGCTCGGGGCGGGCAGCTCCTCGTACTTGAGGGGCACGTGGATGCGCGACTTGAAGGCGTCGTCAAAGGTGCGTACGCGGTTGGTGGTCATGAAGAGGATGCCCGAGTAGTACTCGAGGGTGCGCAGGAAGATGGACACGAGGCCGTTGCGGGCCATGTCGTGCAGGGAGCGGCGCTCGAGGAAGACGTCGGCCTCGTCGATGAGCAGCACGGCCTTCCACGTGCTGGCCAGGTCGAGCGCGCGGCCGAGCTTGTGGTCGAGCTCGCCGCTCGTCGTGCCCAGGTCGCCCGACGAGACGATGTACAGCGGCCGCCGGGAGAACTCGGCGACGCACTCGGCCGTCAGCGTCTTGCCCACGCCGGGCGGGCCGTGCAGTACCAGTATGAGGCCCCGCCCCTTGCCCTTGACGATGTCGTCGAACCCCTTGCTGTTGGGGTCGGTCGTGCGCTGCGTGTGCTCGGCGACGAGGGCCTGGACGAGCTCCTTCTGGCTGTCGGGCAGGACGAGCTGCTCGAAGCAGGCCGTGTTCCACTCGATGTCGGACAGGCGGTCGATGAAGAACTCGAGGAAGCGCTTCTCGGTGAAGGAGAAGCCGCGCACGGTCGGGCTCGCGAGCAGGCACTGCTCGTCCGTCAGCGGCTCCCAGGCGCCGACGCCGTAGTCCTGCGGCAGGAGGTCCTTGTCGTCGGCGCGCAGGGCCTTCTTGCCGCCGCGACTATTGTTGTCGCCCGCACGGCGCGGGAACGGGTTCACGCGGAAGGCCGTGTTGGCCTCGAGGCGGTGGTGCGTCGCCGTGTCGACCATGACGCGCCCGTCGATGTTGTACCGCAGGCCGAGGCCGTCGAGCGCCACGCCCTTGTACTCGCGGAAGTTCTGGCCCGCGTGGGCCTCCCACCGGCGGCCGCGGGCGGTGAGCAGGCGCTCTAGGTCGCCCTTGTCCGGGTGCATGTCGAGTGGCAGGGCGCTGAGCTCGGCGATCGGGGCGACGCCGCCGAACTGCGGGATGGTGACGCACGTGGTGCGCGTGCCGAAGCTGGCGCCGTCGAAGTCGACGAAGGAGACGGAGAGCCGCAGGCCCGGATGGTCGCCGCAGACGTAGTCGTACGACTCGAGCTTGAAGACGCGGGCCTGGCTGAGGCGGTGGGCGTAGACGAGGGAGCCCGGGCGGAAGAGGGTCCAGAGGTGCTCGTAGGTGACGAGCCCCTTCTCGCGGAGGTTGTCGCCCTCCTTGATGGTGTCGGCGAAGTGCTCGCTGATGAAGTCGAGCAGGATGGGCAGGTGGGCCGCCTTGTCCGAGCCGGGCTCCTCCTTCTGCAGCCTGGCGAGCAGGCCGGCGAGCTCGGCGCGGTAGTGGTAGAGGCAGCGGGCGGGGAAGGTGACGGAGACGTCGTTGGTGTAGAACGAGTCGCCGGGGAAGCTGCCGATGACGTCGCGCAGGACCTCCTTGAGGGCCGGCGAGTTGACCTGCAGGGCGGTGCGGACGACGTACTTGTTGTCGTCGTCGTACTGGCGGGTGACGCACAGGGCGAACTTCTCGTACCAGTTGAACCTCTGCTCGGGGATCTCCTCGTCCTCCTTGGGCTCGCAGATGTAGCCGCGGCCCTTCTTGGTCCAGCGCTTCTCGAGGTGCTTGAGCTCGGCGCGCATGGGGCTGTTCTCGAGCTCCTCGCGCAGGCGGCGCTCCTCGTCGGTCAGGCCGCCGTTGATCTCGTTGTGCTCGTCCTCGTCGGGCGGCCCCATCTCGACGTCGCTTCCCTCCTCGTTGGAGTCGTAGTCTTTGCAGCTGTACTCATCCTCGTCCTCGTCGCGGGGTGCCGGACGGGGTGCCTTCCGCGGTTGGCCGGGGACCTGCCGCGGGGCCTGCTGCGGAGCACACTGCTGCACGGTGCGGGCCATGATGTTGTGTATGTGTGTATCTTTGATGAGGAGGGGAAGATATGTCAGCCTCAGGCTACTAGATGCCTGGTTGCCTGGATGCCTTGTACGGACGACAAGGCTGCATACCTGTGACTGGGTAGTGGTCGAGTGAGACGAGAGAAGCAAGGAAGAGTGCAGCCTTGTTTTGATTCTCCTACCTAGTCTCATCCTGATGGAGTGAAGAATCAAGAAGAGAGATGTCTGATGGAATGGAGGTCAGAAGCTCACCTTTATATATCCCTGAGCCTCATTGTTTGCTCCCCCCTGTCATCAATGAGGCAGTGGTGCATGAGAAAAAGAGTAGCACAAAAGGAGGCGCCTGCCAGGCAGCCGACCTGGCCCACTTTTCCGGTGTTTGTACAGAGAAGGCCCGGCCAGGGATCCGAGGCAAGCATCACCCCGGAAAGCGAGAAGCCGTTCGTTTGTGCAATCATTTCCGCGTGTGAGTCATAGGCCTGAGCCGAGCCGGATTCCGCTTCGTTCTGAAACTGGCTGGTGCCTGTAGACATAGCATATCACTGACCAAAGCGGAGGATATTGAAAGGACTGGAGTGAGAGTCGGCCCCACCCCTTTTCCGGTGGGCTCGCCGTGCCGCGCACCGACTCCATCCATCAATTATCCCTTATGCCTTGGTAATGGGAAGGCAAAAGTACCGGCACAACACATCTGATTGGGGAGTCTATTGCATCACCCTTCCTGCGACCCGTGTTACTTGATTGGCTGCACTGCTCGGGGCCCCTCCCGGAACACCCCTGCATGCATCCAGGTCTTGGACTGTGTTGGCAGTTGCTGCCTGGAGTTTGGATTTTCACTCCAGATCGGGTGTGGACGCATCACGGAGATTTTCAAGATGCCGCCGCGGACGGACAGGTCTAAGATGTGTTAGTTGGAACGCCCATCTATGGCCGTCGGGCCCGTAGCAGATACCGTCGATCCTAGCACCCTGATGCTGCTTGGCCGTCCAGACATGGCGGCGATGGCTCGTCCTTGGCTTCTCCCGCCTTCAATATTGATCTGTGTTCAAGACACCGCGGACTGCGACCTGAGTCGTATGTGCTTGTATTGGTATCTTCAATGGCCTGACAGACGGTTCTAACCCCTCGCTCGCTGTCCTGCACCACTATGAACGGGCCGCTCCCATGCAAACCCTGCGAGTCCGGACGTTGACATATGTGAGCTAGCGAAGGGAAATGTGCGAGGTAATTATGCGAAGGTTTCGGACAAAACCTAATCGTCGCGCTAAAAGGTTCCTGGCGATGGGTAATTCTCTTTTCCATGCCGAGATGCTGGTACCGACGGCTCCATTCCGTTTTCCATACAAACGCAGGTCTGCCCTCTTCCCTGTAATCTTCTATCTTGAATCCTCATCATCGAATCAAACCCAACCTACAAAGTCATCGGCCATTGGTCGGCCACGCCATCTTTCTTCATCATATCCAGTTCTAATTTGATCACATCCACGCCATGCTCTCCGAGTACATACGGCCAAGACCATAGAGATGGATAGCGGCTTATTCCGTCTCAACAAGCGCATGAATCAGGAAACAGGCGGCCAAATTTTCGGAGCACCTACGACCATGGGAAAAGAAAACCAGGTCTTGGCCCTCGAAGAGCCGGCACTTCAAGCTCGCACGAATGCTCATATTCACAAGATGATCAAGATCAACTTTGTCAAAATCATCCTTTTCCCATACCACGTCATCCGCCAAGCACGCAGGGATTATGACCATGGGCGCTCATCTCGCAAAGCACAACAATCCAGAGCGAAGGAAGCTCAAGAGAGTCGTCCACAGAGTCTGGAAGGGGATAAGGCGACCATTCCCACTTCACAGGACAAAGCGACTACTCCCCCTTCCACGAACAAAACATCTACTACCCCTCCCCAGGACAAAGCGACTGCTCCCCCTTCACAGGATAAAGCGACTACTCCTCCTTCACAGGTCCCGATACCAAACAAGAGCTCGAATACCACCGAAGAGTGCCCGCGTCCCAAGCAACAACCAAAGGTCAGAACATCATACCCCAAAGGGTGTTGGAACTATCGTCATGGCAAAGAGTATCCATGGAGCATCGAGCGTGTGGTGCAACAGAACCCCGATTGGCGTGGTACATGGGTGTTGGAGGCTAAAGACATGTGGTCAATAGACTGGCAACAGGGCTTAACACCACAAGGGAAGCGGCAACCTCAACCCCATTGGCCCTTTGCGGTGCCTTATGAGACAGGATCGGACGAACTTCTGGAAATGCTACGGAGGCCTTCACGGGCGAGGGACTGTTGAAGCTAGGAATGCTCTGGTATCCAGCCTGTCCGGACCTGATCAAGAGCAGTGGGCCATGTTGGAAGAGTCCTCAGGGTACATTGAGATACAGACAGACCATCGCAATAAAAAGAAAAAGACTTTGGCCACTGACTGAATGTGATTCAATACAAACGACCCTGACAGTCAGAGGACAGTCGATTCAACGTCCAAATTATCGTACATAACTCTGAACCAATGCTAGCCACGATCTCTGATAGCTTTGCGTACAAAGGTGTGTCAACTGGAGACGAATATTTGATTTTGCGAAAGGCATTCTCGATAAGAGGCACCTCATTGCGCGGAAATAATGCTAGCCACTACCACTCTCAAGTCGTGCTTCCCCGACTTCAAGTCAGATGGCTGTGTGAAGTCGGATTTGAGATACTTGAGCGGATCGACAGTGAATCCGACCTTTAATTGTGTATGCCGAGATAAGGTTTAAGGCGCAGATGAGATCCTCGGTGAGATATATCGTGCTCTCTTTAAAAGATCGTTTTGTAAATCGACTTGGTAAGATGGCTATGATAGTCGTTATCGAAGTCTGTCCATGCTGAGCCTGATTGCCAAGTGCTATGATGCCTTTCGAGGAATATGAAGAAAGTTGAGCAGGCGAGAAACATGACAATTCTGTTTGTATGCGTCTTTGAAGTCGAAACAGGCGAAGCCAGTAAGACAGAGTCGTTTTCCGACGAGATATATGAAGCAAGTACGCCAAATTTCGGAGGATGAATGTTGAGTACTGAATAGAAACGGCGTTAGTCTTTTTCTCCAAGTGTCAGAGGGTGAGAGTGACATACCGGTAGGTAAAACCTTGCGTGTCCAGGGAGTGAGAGGAGTGCACAGCCGATGAGCTTGCAGTGGCGAAAGCGCTGCCAGCAAACCGGAGGTTCGGAACTGGACCACGTATATGATACAATTGCTTCCACAAGCCATTGCTTACGCAAGGCATTGCTTCATGGCTACTCTTGAGCCGATTCCGCCCCGGATTGTTGACGTTTGCGTGAGGAGTACCTCCATGCTTGGCGAGCACCGTAAAATGGGAAATGCCAACTTTGATGAGTCCGGGCTTCATTTTGCTGACAACCAATGGAAGAACCGCATGTCGAGACGCATCGGAAATTTGTGCCGAGCGGAATCATTGGCAGCCAAATTCTTCCGAAACCTCCTCCCATAGCTCCGAACCGCCCTAAGGTCTGATCTGGGTCAACCAGTTAGCATGAGAACTGAGGAGCTGAAGTTTGACCACTTACAGTGACAGGTTTTCCACGAGACATCTCGTCCACGAGCCACCACCTCCACGAGACACCAAGTTCCGGAGACAAAGCTTCCAAGAGACACCGCTTCCAAGAGACACCGCTTCCATGAGACACCTCTTCAAAAAGACGGCGCTCAAACCACAACGCTCAAAACGAAAGCAACGCTCAAACAACAGCGCTCAAACACCAACGCTCAAAACGAAAGCAACGCTCAACAAAAGGCAACGCTTACACAAAAACAACGCTGACAAAAACCAAAAAGAAAACGCAACCAGATCGCTTATATACAACGCTAGAGGATGGGGCGGCCTCTGTGAGGGGAGTTGGGGGTGGCGGCCCTACTCAGAGTCATCGGTAAGGTAGATGGGGAGACCGTCCGACGAGTCGGCCTCGGAAACGTAAGGAGGAAGTGGGGTCCCGGGCGGCGGAGTCATGTCGGCGAAGGCGTCGGGAGAAGGCTCCGCCGGAGGAGGGGGGGGAGGGCCGAGGGGTGGCGGCTCGGCCGGAGGCGGAGTGTGATGGCCGAGGGGTGGCGGCTCGACCGGAGGAGGGGTGGTGGTGGCGGGAGGTGGTTGGCGGTGGAGGAGGGCACGCAGCCGGGCCCGGACACGGCGGAAGGATTTTCGAATTTTTTTAAACATTATTACTATTGAATTCTACCGCAGGTTAGCAGGCTGTTCCAAAAGCATTTTGCTCCATCAAGAGCCACAATGATAGGGGGAGGTCTTGGGGGTATGGATGAGACTGGTAGCGAATCATCCACTGGTGATAGTTTGAGATTAAAGGAGACAAAAGGCCAAGCCAGGGGAGAAAGTGAACAATACATACCGATGCTCCAATGTATGATGCCGAGGAGAGGAGGAGGGAAATCAGAGAACTGGACGACTCACCAGTATTTCTACCATCTCTTCGAGGAGATTCGAGTTGGGAAGAACAACTTTGATGTGGCTGCTTCTTTGTGTCTGCACACAGTAGGTGCTTAGTTCCTCGACTTTCAAAGCCCTGGAAATCACGTCTAAGCATTTTGCATGATCGAACCGCACACAGTCTCTTCCTTCTCCATTGTAAGCCATTGCGCAGGTAGGCGTTGTCGACCTCAGGAACACCTGCGAGGAAAGTGTTGCTGTAGTAAAATCCGCTGTGTTGGCAGGTGCTATATACATGCTGGGCTGGAGTAGCAAATTTCTTCCATTAGCTGTCTAGGTAGTCTTCACATATTTGAGTTGCACCCGTTCAGTATGTCCTGAATTACCTTCTGCTCAGTGAAGTTCAGGTCTGGACTGCGTATGCCTCATTCCAATGTTGACGGTTAGACTCAACGAAATGAAGAGTGGCCAAGATTGATCAAGCAGCGTTGATTCCTAAATGCAGGAGTACGCAGGGGTGTATATCTCATGGGGGCTTTCAGGAGGGTTGGCAGCTCTGACACTCAAAGATTTCGCAAGTCCGTCAGTACTGTGAAAGCAAGAAGAAAACACTGGCATTTGAGAACTCTATGAACTAAGGCATGGTGAGGGGACGAAAAAAAGATCTCTAATTGTATATTCGGATTCGACCTCGTGAATCAATGAGATCATTAAGACCAGTTAAAACGATGACAGAATCTTTAAGTGACAATTTTGCATCTATTTCCCCTCTTCATTTCAAAGTGACGGCCTGGTTTGAATTGAAGCCTTCCGGCATTTCTTACATGTTCTCGTCTTCTCCTTTCTGCATTTTTATTTTCCCTTTGAGAGAGCTGCATACACCTGTACTCCTCTTAACTGGTTGGGAGACATCTCCTCTATCAGAACGGCCAGCGAACAAGATTGCAATGGCAGATCAGTGGCTGGATCGTGGCGGTGAGGATGTCAAGTTGTGGGGGCTCTTCAGCTGTGGCTTGGCAGGCGTAACTAGCGTGCCTCCATGAAGGCGCTGTGTTCCGACTTCATGAATACGTACAAAGGACGTCTCAGACTCGACAGCAATGTTGAAAAAAAGACCGTGAGGTGATGGTGTACATGTAACAGTCCCTCGCCGACTGGATATGGAGCAAACATACAGCTATTCGAGTCTCAAAGAAGGTCAGATCCGCGTCCTGGTACTCGAACCTGGCAGCGAGGATGCGCCTCTGGCGGGGAATCTCATTCCCGTTGGGCTGAGTGAGCTACGAGCCGGCGCAGATGCTGTAGCAGCTGGCGACACATCCATTCTTCGCCTTGAGGATGGCAAACCTAGAACGTTTGAGGCCCTCTCCTATGTCTGGCAGTCGAGTCAGGCGGCCGCCATCCTCACCACGTCCCATGGCAGCCTGCCCATTACCACATCTCTCTCTTCCAGTCTTCGCCGACTCCGCCTGCCAGACTCACCCCGAGTGCTATGGGCCGATGCCATCTGCATCCACCAGGCCAACTTGAAGGAGAAGTCCTGCCAGGTCGCCCTGATGGGCGAGATATACGGCACCGCGACCCGCGTTGTCTGCGACCTGGGTGACGCCACCGACGACAGCGACTTGGCCCTTGACATCATGGACCGCTACTGGAGAAAGTACCTGCGCACAGGCATCGCCACATCAGAGTACAGCGTATTCAAGGGCGAGGACTCAGCAGACATGTTGGGCCTACCTCTCTTGACCGCGGAGGAAGCCGCCGCGATCCAAGATGTCCCCGACCCCGAAAGTCCAGGGCTGATCGCCGTCCGCAGCTTCCACAAGCGGCCCTGGTTTGGCCGCCTCTGGGTTGTGCAGGAGTTTATCCTTGCGCGCAGCGTCGTCATGATGTGCGGCAAGCGCGAGATCCCCTGGCAACAGGTACTGGCAGCCTTTCTGCCGTACCAAGGCCGGGGATTCCCCTTCTCGGACCCTTCAAAATCACTCGAGGACATTCTCACAGGTTTCTTGAAGTTCATCCTCATGGGGCTCATGCGCCTCGACCGCACGCTACCTAGCGGAACCCCGGGCCGCAGGCGCCTCGACCATTACATCCACCATTTCTCCAACGGCCAAATCTCGAACTGGAGCTCTCTCTCGTTTGCGCTTCTCAGCTTCACGTCATCCGAGACGGCGGTCGAGCGCGACCGGTATTTTGCCGTGCTGTCCATGACCGACTCCGCCAAGGAGCCCTGTCTCTTCCCAGACTACCAATCACCCATCGAGGAGATCATTTTGCGATATGGCAGATACCTCATGGAGAAGTCCACCATGCGAGAAGAGATGCTCCTGTGCACAGGCTTGCCCGGGCGGATCAGGAAACATCCATCGTGGATCCGCGACTTCACAACGGGCAACCTCTGGGATTCTCTCTGGTTGATCGGCCCCCTGTCAACTATAAGCTATTGCGCAGCAGGCAAGACGCAGTGGTGGCAGAAGTTGGACGACAAGGACCCGAACCTGCTATACATCATTGGCTACAAGCTCGACACGATCACGCGACGAGAGGAGAGCACAAGGCGGAACAAGGCCCTCTCCTCCGACGACATGATCCCGCATCTTCGGAACCAGCTGCAGTTCTTCCTAGCGGGCCATCACACCCGCACCTTCCACCATGCCGAGACCGACGGCCGGTACCCGGCCACGGGCGAGACGCTGGTCGACGCACTGTGGCAGACAGTCACGTCGGCCTCGGCGAGGGACTGGGACGACGCCCTGATGAAGCGCGCGAGCGACGGGTACGACGTCGCGCAGCTGTTCGTCCTCGGCACCGAGATGGGCCGCGGGCTCCAGGCGGTGCTGGACGCCTTTGCCAGGCAGCGCGGGCTCGAGGGGGACGGCGAGCCGCTGGCGCTCTTCTCCGAGCTGGGCGGCCTGCTCATGCGGACGTGGGGCATGGCGTACGCGGTGACGGCACGGGGTTACTTTGGCGTCGTCGAGACGGCGTCCGAGGTCGGCGACGAGGTGTGGGTGCTCAAGGGCCTGCGGATTCCCGTCGTGCTGCGGCCGAGCCGGACACGGCCGGGCATGTACGAGATGGTGGCCGGGTGCTACGTGCACGGGTTCATGTACGGCGCCGCGCTGGAGCGGCCTGATTTCAAGTGGAGGGCCATAACACTGCACTAGATGAGAGTTGAGCTATACGGGTGCAACTTGTATATAGACATGATGATAGTTACGTGATACATGACATGAGGACTAGTCTCTTGAGAAATGTCTGGGTGTATCTGAGGAACGGGTCTAGACGCCTCCGCTAGCTCCAAGTCAAGATCGAGTAAGCAAATTTACAAACCCGATACTGGCAAGAGAGGCGGGCAAACTCCGGCTGTTCTAACCTATTCCCACAAAGTGTGGTGGTATTGCCCAGCCTGCCAAGCGAAGTAGTCCTGCCAAGATGAGAGTTGAGCACGATCCTTCCTATTGATCTTCATTTTAATTGAGTAACAGAACTAGTGCCGATACTACGTCCGTTGAGGGGGTCAATGTGGACTTTGCCATATCAAGGTCTGATATTCAACCCATACGATTCATGCCCTTCTTGCTGGGGTAAGACTGAAGATCATGAAACCCTCCCAACGTCGAGATTCTTTCTTGACAGAATCATCACCCTAGACGCAAGTTCCTCACGCCAGAAAAGTCGCAAAGGTACCGTTGAATTCTGCTGTCATATCTTGGCGTTGCAGTGCGGTTTCTCCTGTGTTGATGCGAACTGGGCGCTGTAGAGTACAGCAAGCTAGGTTGGAGTTGTTCGTCTGGTCTACAAGACACACCGGGCACGCCGACCATCGACAACGACATACTACCTTGACCATTACCCGATCCGCTTTATCCCGATGCTTCGACGGAGATATTACCTAAGTAATTGTCGCACGAACGTTGAACTCTCGTGGAGCAGCCGTGGCACTATCCCCGGTCTCGAGCGCCGTACAGGCATGTTGTGTGGAGAAACGAAGTGCGTAGTTTGCGGAGATGGGTTCTGGATCCACCTGTAGAAGGATTGGCCATATATAAGACGGTGATGGGGATGGGTGAAGGGCCTGCAGTGGAACGTCACACGTCGTCCGCCATCACAGCCCTTTCTCCAACTCATCTCGTTGTTCCCATCTCAGTTCATTTCTCTGCTGCAAACCTTGTACTTGATATACCTCCCCGGGCTACACTCAAGCGCAATCATGGCTGGCGGGGTGAAGAAACCCGTCAATATCTTCAGGCTGAAGAATTTGGGAGAACCCAAGGAGGTCTTCAACTGGAGACTATGGTTCGCCGTCTTCTCGTTTGGCCTGCTAGGAGCAGCGCGTGGTGTCGACGAAGGATTGATCTCCGGTGCTTTCAACAGCAAAGACTTCCAGAAGACAATCAACTTTGATTCGTACAACACCGTGGATCGAGCCAACATCAAGGCCAACGTCAGTGCAATGGTTCAGATCGGCTCTGTTGGAGGTGCTTTGTTGTATGTGCTGACCATCCCCCCTGTCCAACAAATTATTTATTAACTCATCCTCTAGTGCCTTCCTCATCTGCGACCGTATTGGTCGTATCTGGGCCACTCGACAGCTCTGCCTTGTTTGGATCGTGGGCATTTCCATCTTCATGGGTGCGAATGGCAATCTGGGTGCCGTCTATGCCGGCCGGTTCATCGCTGGCCTGGGTGTTGGTCAAACACCTGTTGTGGGCCCTGTGTATATCGCAGAGATCGCCCCAGCATCCGTTCGCGGCCTCTGCACCTGCATCTTTACGGGCTTCGTCTATCTCGGTATTGTCCTGGCCTACTTTACCAATTATGGGTGTCAAGTCAATATTGGAGATACTACACATGCCCGATGGCAGGTGCCGACGAGTCTTCATATCATCTTCTCCGGCCTCATCTTTATCTTGATGTTCTTCCAATATGAGTCGCCGCGCTATCTGATCAAGATGGGCAAGAACGAGCAGGCTCTTACGACCATGGCTCGTTTGCGCCAGCTTCCCGAGGATCATGAGTATGTGGTGCGAGAGATTGCTGCGGTTCGGATGCAGCATGAGGAAGAGCTCGAGAGCACTAGAGGCATTGGGTTTATGGGCATTCTCAAAGAGACTTTCCTCATACCCAGCAACCTCTACCGCTTTTACCTTACCTCGATGGTGCAATTCCTCAGCCAGTGGTCGGGAGCAGGATCTATCACCCTATATGCCCCTGATCTTTTCAGCTTGCTGGGTGTCAAGGGCACAAACGAGTCCTTGCTTATCAGTGGAGTTTTCGGGATCGTCAAGCTCTGTGCAGCAATCATTTGCTCTCTATTCCTGGTCGATGTAATCGGGAGAAAGCGATCTCTTCTCATCGGAATTACGCTCCAGAGTATCTCTATGATCTATGTGGCTGGATTTCTCACAGCGGTTCCTCATCTGGGCATAGCCGGCTACACACTCGAACCACATCTGACAGGGCCATCCAAGGGTGCCATCTTCATGATCTACGTATCTGGCTTCGGTTGGGCTCTCGGTTGGAACAGTATGCAGTACTTATTGACTGCCGAACTGTTCCCACTCCGAATCCGAGCCACAAGCACATCGTTCGCTATGATGTTGCACTTTGTCAACCAATATGGCAATGCCAGGGCGGTCCCTAATATGCTTCTAGAGACCCAGCACGGTGGTATCACTCCCAAGGGGACTTTCTGGTGCTTTGCAGCCGTCACGATACTAGGCGGCATTTGGGTGTACTTCAGTGTTCCCGAGACCGCGGGCCGATCGTTGGAGAGCATCGATCGTCTTTTCGCTCTGCCCTGGTACAAGATTGGTCTGCATGGCAATGAGGATGCGGAACGCCGGGATGCAGCCTACGACGAGAAGGTACAAGGCGAGGGCGAAAGGGCTGCTGTTACCGAGGCTGAGCAATCAGTTGAATCCCGGCCTCGGGTTTAGAATCGGCTGCGGGAAATTATTTGGGCATTGCCATGGAGAGATGGCATCATCCAGACCTCGGACTCTTTTGATTTTCATGTAGATTCTGCGGAGGGTAGGAGATCATCCTCTCTCCAGAGACTCTTTGCCGATATAGGAAGGTAGTGACAATATCTCATCTTCTTTTCTCACCTGAAGCAGAAAACCGCTCAACTGCTGTCGTGCTCCCATACCTTGTAAGGCGTGACCGAGCCTTTTCTGTTCATGGGAAGCCTGGAAGGTCAGCAGGATCTGCTCCATCCTGTTCCGCACTGATGACCGCCCATCAGAGTGCAAGCTTGGGGTTTGGTCACTGGTTTGGTACGCAGCAGCTTGCAGTCCAGACCGCCTAACTCTGGAGGAACTGTTCTTGGTCAGATAGAAATAGCAAAGGATCTTAGGTGTTGCTAGAAATGCCGAACTATGCGTAATGTGGACCCAACGTCTGGCGCTCATCTTGATTATTCCAATGACTAGAGGGTCATATAAGAGCTATGGCCTTTTCACCTATACCGCATACCCCATCAGTATCGGGTCATCGCCTATTTCTCGCACCAGCTGGAGGCCAAGTAAGCAGTGCAGCTGACGGCACTCCACTCACGAACAGCGGCCGCCAGCTTGCGTGGCCAAAGCAATTCAGCGCTCAGCCTTCGGGCTACACAGCCGTCGGGCTTTCATACAATTGCCCAGAGCCACAAAGACCGACTGGACATTATTGACACTGTTGATCAATGCGTATGGCACGAGGAGTGGGATGACATCTCCCCACCCAATCCCGTCTATCTCCTGTTGCCCCGGGACCCATCATTCCCTTTGACGATATGATGTTATCATCCCTGAATCATTCGCACGGCAGAGGCGGCAAGAAGATCACGTTCTCATCACTGCTTGCTCGTCGGTCAGTGAATACGTCGATATATTTCTCGTTCGGTATGCTTAGCGTACGTAGGGAACACGGCGTGGTACGAAAAGGGCCTGACAGCGGCATATGCCGTGGAGAATCTGGTAGAAAGAAATGCGGGGAGCAGGTCATCAGGGTCTTGAAGGATACGGGCTCACCAAAATAAGCTTCGTGATACGTGACATGGCCCCGGATTCTCGGATTGCCCGTGTTTGCACTAGACCGCACGCACCAGAGACAGAGACACGGACGGCACATAGGCCGCTAGCAATGGCTCTAGTATTTTTAGCAACAGAGTGGCGCCCGCCGTTGCTTCCTACTCGTACCAGGGAGCATGGCTATTGGTTGCTGGGCGTCAGTAGGGCTGAGCATCAGAGCGCCGATCACGTCGTGTTGTCTCCACCAGGGCCTCTTAGGCGATGGGCCACCGGGGAAGACGACAGGGGATAGACAACGCACGAGGTCATGGCATGGCCATTGGTAGAGACATGGGATATCCCGTGGCACTGCACCCTCGGGTTGAGAAGGCTAACAGCATGGATGACGCCCGGTCCTCCAGGAACCATTTATTACGTTACAGCATGGCGTTTGCCGCCAACCAGAATCCCAGAGTCGACCTTTAGACTGGGTACTTCCATACCGTCCTGCCGCGTGGGGAAGAGAGCCAGCACGAGTCAGCCCCAGCCTCAGCCCAAGGATGTGAACAACATCATTTTACCTCATTCGACTTGGCCGTAATGGCAGAGCTTCGTACAACTTCCAGGTTTCTCTATGGAGCCCAGTGACTACGAAGAAAGGCCGAATCCGGGCATGGTCCAATGAACTCTAACCTCCCGATGTGCATACGACTATGAAGATGTTGGAGATGCTGGCGATGGAGAACGGGCTTCCTCTCAAGTATAAAACGGCCTCGCATCTCCTCCTCAGATGCTATCATTTCCCTCATCGATAACATCATACTCAACATCCTCAAAGCATCTCAAGCAGCCCAATCAACTTTCACCCATACACACATCCTTCTTTCTGTTCCTTAAGGAAACCTCAAACTATTCAAAATGAAGTTCATCGTCGCCGCCGTTGCCCTCGCCGCCACCGCCCTCGCCGCCCCGAGCGTCGAGGCCCGCGACACGGCCGCCTGCAAGTTTGGCCAGTACCGGTGCAGCGCCGACGGCAAGGCCATCGTGCAGTGCGACGTCCAGGGCCACTGGGTCACCATCGGCGACTGCCCCAACGGCAGCTCCTGCCACCCCATCCAGGGCATCCCCTACTGCACCAAGAAGGTTGCCAAGCGCCAGGACTCGGGCTACTGCGCCAACCCAGGCACCTACTCCTGCAGCTCTGATGGCCAGGGCATCGACGTCTGCGACAGCCAGAACCAGATCCAGGTAAGCTATCTTCATTCTCAGCTCGGGAGATTCCGTTTCCCTACACCACAATGATACTAACAGTGAGATCACCTAGTTCAACGGCCCTTGCCTGGATGGCTCCCACTGCGGCTACCTCAACGGCCAGCCTTACTGCCTCGACTCCTCGGTCTAAATTTGGTTTTCATCTGGGGTTCTTGACTTTTAGAGGTATTACCCTCCGTCTTGTCAGCCTGCATTGGGTCGGAGTAGGATCGGGTTTCGCGCTATGGAGCATTCATTCCTTTAAACACTTAGATCGGGTCGTTCTCTGCTTCTTGGGTATGTAATACATTAAGATTGCTTTGTCACAACTGTTGAATCTACGGAGTCCAGCCGGTCTCTTTCCATATAAAGTCTGCCATGTCTCGTAGCATGTTGGGTGAGTACCAGTGACCAAGAGCTTCGTACTCGACACAAGTGACGTCTGCCCCAAGGTCAGACAAGCATTGGCCCGCCGTGCGACCCAAGATGATATTGACCCTCGCGTCTTGCACGCCATGCCCGAGGAAGACAGGGATGCTCTTGGTCAGGGCGGATTTCGGCCCGGACGTTGTACCCAGCTGAAGCTCTTCCCTGAGCCACGTAATCGCCACAGTCATAGGGTCCTTGCTCCGATGCCTCGGGCGGTCGTCCTCGCCCCTCTCAAAGATGTCATCCTCGCCCTCACCATTAGAAGCCAAGGCGTCCTTAACCTCCTCGCTCATACGCGCCGCATAGGGCAGCCATCCGCACATGCCCACCACGGCGCCCAGCCTGCCGCCCTCCCACAGCAGCGTCGCGACCAGCGCCGCCGCGCACCCCTGGCTCAGGCCGCCGAGGACCACGCTGGCCGCGCCGCCGGGCACGCTAGCGATCTCGGACTCGAGCAGGGCGTGGAGGCGGCGCGTCGTGTCCCCCAACCCCGGCGCCTGCAGGTACTCCCTCTCGGTGGCAGGCGGGTCGAGCTTCCAGCTGTCGAACCACTGGTGCGTCGCGCGGCCGCGGTAGAGCGCGACGCTGGTCCTTGGAGCGGTGGGGAAGACGAAGCGCGCGTGGGGGAAGGCGGTGCGGAGCGTCTCGGCCGCAGCAGCAGCCGTGGCGTGCGGCTCGCTCTTTGCGCTTGCCTTCGTCGGCGGTGCGAGGGGCGAGTTGACTAGGCCGCTTCCAAAGCTCTGGCCGTTGGAGCCGCGGCCGTGGAGGAGAATGAAGGTGTGCCGATGGGGCTGTTGGAGCGGTGGGACACTGTAGGTATCCTTGTCGCCCATGCTGATCGGGCACAGTATGGCGACAGTATTAATTAAATCTGTATACCTCGATGCAGGAAATGAGTCCAGTGTTACGCTGTGGGTTCACTGGGAAAAAGCTGCGGTAGATCTTCCCTACGTGCCAGGATGCAGATGGCAGCCTAAAATGTGACTCTGACGTTGGTGGGCACTTCGACACAATCACCGAGCAAATAGTCTTTATGCTCCAGAAATGCTCTTCTGAATAGTGGCTGCTTCCTACAGTATATCAATAAAGAAATCAGTGGATTCATCGCCCTTGTCACGGATACAGGAAAATCTCGCATCTTCTCTGTTCGCGATGCAGTCCGTAGGCTGGAAAAGTTCTTTTGAGCCCCTGTAATCAAAGCCCTCAATCCAGGACGGGGGCATCCCATCCTCCTCCTCGGGCGGGTAGACATGGAAGTCCATGTGACGATCATCGACCTCGTAGTATCCGACACGTTCATACTGACCATTCTCCGAGCGCGGCCGAAGCACCAAACCCTTGGATGACGATTCATCGCAACCCCGTACGTTACGCGACATGAGAGGGAAGAGATATACTTCCACGCCGCCCGAGTTGCTTTCTGGGGAGAAGTCGGCGAGGTCCCATGTAACATCAAGAGTCCGCGGTGTGTGCCCTTTATCCCTAGCACCCTGAAAGTTGTATAGATAATCCCAATTGTACTTTGACGTGAAAGGCTGGAGGATACCGTGGTACAAGTACTCGCATCGCAGGCGAAGAACTGCGGAAGTAACTGATGCAAATTCGTCACTGGGCGACGTATACTGGACCTCAATACTTTCCACTGTAACCGCGCGATATCTGCTCCTCCTTTGTGGAAATTCCAGATAGAGGTGGTCGCCGTCTCCATGAAAATAAGCCTTGATGATAGCATCAACTGAAGCCCAGGACCATGACGGCGCGCTGATGGCCGTATTTCGTTCCCCTGGGTTCTGAGCCGTCCAGGAGAGCTGGCCCAATAAGCCTTCCTCCCACATACCAGCAATGTATCTCTTTGATCGTTTCAACGACTGCTGCACGGCCCTGGCGAAGCCGGCGATGGCTGCAAGCTTGTCGGTCTGTTTAGTCATCTGACATTCAGTATAAGTCTGCACGACGTTGCACCAGGTGTGCATGTTCAAAAACCGTCTCTCCATCCTGAAGGTCTCGATGCTGTATTTTGCGTGCCACTCGCCAGCCATAACAGAGCTCCCATACCCCGTGGGGTTTGATTCGCAGTAGTGGCCGCCGTTGCATTCCCAAAACACCTGCCGCTTGGTAAAATGAATCGTTCGGTGAGAGAGGCAACGCTCTTGAACAACCCAAGCCCGTTTAGTTAGGGGCAGCGATGTGGCTACATCCCAGCCAGTTGGAAAACAATAATAAACCTCGATGTCGTCTCCGTAATCGTTCCTCAGTTGGATCTGCCAGCGCCAGTTCGAGGGACGGTTGAAGAACAACCCGTCCCTCCCGTCAACTGCCGCCGTAGCGGCGATGTTGACAGTGGCATTACCATAGACGCCTGCCATCAGCGCGGACTCCTCTTGCCAGTCTTGATGGCTGTCCTGCACGATGCAGAGGGAGTCGATCCAAATGTAATCAAGACCCAAATACCGAGTTGTCTCGATGGCTTCCTGGAATGTCTTTGTGAGGTCTTGCATTGGGATACCCCGGAGAAAGAGAGACAGGTTTTGCTTGGTGAGGGTCATGAAATTGTGGCCTCCCCAGCAATGACTCAGTGTTGCATAACTCGTGCTTTGATCTTTGAGTTCGACCCCTAGGCATAACTTGACAGTCGAGCCTCGCACATCCACAAGGCGGGTAGGAAGGCCTGCCGACCTCTTACGGCAATGCTCATGGTGCTGTAGACAATGTTCTAGCCAGGTCTTGCAAAAGGGGAGACCATCCCTTGTGCTGCGATATATGTGGTTGTTCAACCCTAAGAGATATGGTTAGGCCCTTCTCCTTCTCGTTGGCGGTAGGTAGACATGCTTCGAAATGACGTCTTGGACAATTACACACGCTTTTCATGTGAGCAGGGAACACCAAACTGTTCTTCGGTTGAGAGGTCAGGCTCTGGTAGCTCTGTCTCAAGTGTTTCGAAGAACGTAGGTTCTTCATCGGCGTCGCCTTCAGGATTTTCGTACTTGTACCTTAGATCGCTACTGTCGTCGTCAATGCAGACGACCCCAGGCGGGCCTATATTATAGCAAGGGTCTAGGTCGGCACAGGTAAAGGCAGCACAAAGCGCACATCCATGCTGCGCTGCCCGTTGCACCTCGCCGAACGTCAGAAAGTGCTTTGCGTTGAAACTTCTCCACCCTGCGTCTGGTCCGTCTCGCTGACTCTCCCTGAAAGTTGCCATGACGTTGATGCATTTCCCGCAAAGCTTGCTTCCGGCGTTGGTTTGTGGTTTGATGCCCAACTCGGCGTACATCTGGTTCAGACTGGTCTTCAATGCCGCTCGATCGTTTCGGCGTCTCTTCTGATCCTCATCACTTATGGTGGTGCTGATGCTGTCGCTGAATCCCATAGTAATTCGAGTAATTAATTTGCAAGGCACCCAAATGCGACTTCATGGATTCGACAGAGTTTGGCATTGAGATGTTTCAGGGATGATTATTTTATTTCGCTGGGGAATCCATGCATCTTGGTCCTTGTGTCTGTGTGGGGGGTTCTGCATGCATAAGGCCACTTATGCAGCCGATGCGAACAAGGGGGTGTGGCCCAGTTGGTTAAGGCGTGAGTCTCATAAGTATTCACAAGACATCTCAAGATCGCGAGTTCGACTCTCGCCATCCCCAGAATTATTCTTTTTTGCCATTTTCCGGGGCCAAGGAATCCACCGTTTCCATGAATCTTAGGGAGTGGGTCGAAATCTTTTTGGTTTGTGTGAGTGCATAACTTGTTCCAACTTGTGCGTTGTCCGGATCAGCCGAGTACCTTTTTTGGCTTAGTCGGTAAGATTCAGACTGAGGGCAAGAAACGTAGCTGACTCAGCGGAACCCCGAGTCCGCCACGGACAACTTCGAGGCATGAATGTTGACAAGCCGGATGTCCGTGCAGAATTCATAACTTGTCCAAGACTAGTTAGTTAGTGCTGCACATGAGTTGCACAAGCCTAATCTTGCGCTTGCACAATATGAAATCCTCACATCTGGACATAGCACTGTTTCACTCTCTGTTCGGATCCTGCCGGGGTTCTTCCCTGCATGCTCCCATCCAACGCTTCGTTTCTTGTTCTTGTGAACATAGTTGCATATGATTACAGCTTCTTGTGCCCTCAAGCCGATTAGGGGCTTGCAGGCACGGACTTGACATCTCGCGAAAAACTCACGACGCCATCAATCAGACTACCGGCGAGCCGAGGCTTGGCTCAATATTTTACCCTGCAGCCACTGACATTACGAGCGTGGATGCCAAGTCGTCCGCCCTCACTAGGGGGTTGATGTGGTCATCTAATCTAATCTGATCAATCAGATTAACTGGATTGAATCTCCCACATCTGATCCCTGGTACGTGGAGTTGCAGCTACAGTGGAGGCAAGATCTGAGCCATTTTTTTCGCCTCTTTCGTTCTCAGCACGGGCACGGTTACCTAGGCTAGATACTCTTGGCCGTGAGTCGTAGAAAAGGCATAGTCTTGGTGCCAACAAGCTTATTAAGCGGCTCTTCCCAGCCATCAAGAGCCATCTTGGCAGACATCGTCTTTGACGATGATCTTGGCAAACTGGTGCTCCGAGACGCGCTGGCTGGGTCTCTCCCACAAGTAGTGATGCCTTCCCATCTACACTGCTTTCCATCATGACATGCCGCTCGATCCCCAACCCGAAGCTGAGGTCGCACATCGCAACATGGCCTTCGTACTACGCCTCGCCTTTCTGACGGCCACAATCTCGGGGGTACTGTCACAGTCGTCGCAGCTGACTATCCCTCAGAATGAGATATGTGCTACTGCCATCTAGAAAGTCTACAGCGACCTTTCCTTCGTGGGCAATGTCTCGGCAGCTCCTGCCATCTCTGCATGCCGTAACCCTCTCAAGGTTGCCTCCATCTATGCTGCCACTAGGACGTACTGCAAACCGCAAGACTTCGATGCCTCTGTACAATACTACGCTGGGAAGTGCGCGGGGTTTGGCGGTGTCACGATGATCCCGGAGTCCGAGGTTGCTGACAACCTCACGGCGGCTGCACTCCAGAGCATGCGTGTTGTTAGCAAAGGAGAGGTTCCTTCATACTCCAAGCTATCCGCCCCGGTGCTGGTATCGAGGTCGTGGTTCGACGTAGCTTTCAAGACCATTGTAAGTCTCATAACGTCAAAGCCAGCCAAGGGACTTGTTTTCTGACCCTCAATACCGTTAGGATGCATTTCAATTCGAGAAGCGAATCAGACCAATATATGGGTAACAGTCCCTCTCCAAATGCCGCCGGGCACGATGATCGAGGATCGTGGCATCAAATTTGGACAAGGAGCTGACAGTAATGGACATTAGCTTTGCTATGTACGGGTTTTGGGGTGGCGTTATCGTCATTGGCATCGTACATCGCTTGTTCCTACACTTTTGGGTGCATAGATGCTCGTCTTCGGCTTCGGAGCGTTCTGCCTCGGATCCTGTTTCAACCGCTTACTTGTGGCTCCGCAAACACTTTCTAGTGAGAAGCTTGGTTCCGCCATACCACAGACGTGCACTATTATGGTGCACCATACCTACTCGCAGCAAGGCTTTTGTGGTTTTTGCCTATTGGGCCATCAGCATCATTCTTTGCAGTGTAAATTACAGAGCCTTCGAGGGTATCCTAAGGTTTGGACCTCCATGAATAACCCATATTGACTTCTTGACTCTATAGGTACTGATCTAGACTATAGCTGGCCAAAGGTCTCCATCCAACTTTGGCGGTACATTGCCGACAGGATGGCCACGATGTGCTTGTCCAACCTCCCAATCCTGTGGCTATTCAGCGGCCGGAACAATATCTTCATTTGGGCAACGGGCTGGCACTTTTCGACGTTCAACTTGTTCCACAGGCATATCGCGAGGGTGTCGATGCTGCAGGCAGCTATCCATGGAATCAGCAATACGGTCTTCATTTTCAAGACTGGTACCAGTAAGTGCCCGCCAGGGTTATAATCTCAACACGCAGCCTTGATCGGAATGCTGCTAACGGGCCCTGTCACAGAGCTTTTCTACAAGCTGAGATGGAAAGAGTTGTGGTTCCGTTACGGTGTTGTTGTACGTGGTCGCAGGCTCCCTCGTCCCTTAGTGAGAACCACTAACATGAAAAACAGGCCGTAGTTGCCTTGGGACTAATGATGCTGTTTTCCAATCACTGGTTCCGACACAGGTTCTACGACTCTTTTCTTCTCATCCACATCAGCCTTGCGATCGTGGCAATTGTTGGCATCTTTTAGTATGTTCAACCTGGTTTGGTTGTGTTGAATGGCATGGACATGGCTGACCAAAGGATCAGTCACACTTCTATCTACATGGGGAGGTTTGACCCTTATCTTTGGCCCATAGTTGCTCTCTGGTCTTTTGAGCGCGGTGTGAGGCTCGTTCGCATCGTCTACTGCAATCTGCATGTGCGCTTCGGCAAGGGAGGATCACTGCAGCGAACTCGCGCGACAGTCGCATACAACGAGGAGGCAGACATCATCAGCGTGAAGGTGCTGCCCGCAACGACTCTAATCAAGCCGGCGCCAGGTCAGCACTACTTTCTGTATCAGCCGTTCAGACTGAAGGGATGGGAAAGCCACCCTTTTACTCTGGCGTATTGGGAGAAATCTTCCGCGTCAGTCCACGACGACATCTCGCTCTGCTTCTGGATCAGGCCTCGTGATGGATGGACTCGCTCACTCAAGAAGCGATGTCTGCGTTCCGGCGAGCCCAGTATTTCTACCACGATACTCCTTGAGGGGCCGTATGGCAAGCAAGAGCCGCTGTGGGTGTACGATGAAGTCCTCTTGATCGCGGGTGGATCCGGCATCTCAGCCATTGTCTCCTACCTCCTCGATCATGCCAGACGAGCCACCGCTATGACAGAGGATGCTGGCGGCAGGGCACAAGAAAGGTTACGAACGCGCCGCATTACTCTAGTGTGGGCCAACAGGAGCGCAAACTACATGCAGCAAGTTGCCGCGAACGAGCTCACTGAAGTCCTTGCACGGGAGGATGTCAATGTCCAATTTCACTACACCACCGTTTCGGACTCTGGATCAGATTCCCCCATCGGGTGTGACAACCCCCCCAAGGCTACAGATGAGACTGAGAAGGAAGACGATCCTAGAGAGAGGAAGGGATTGGAGGGAGACACCGAAAAACAGACAGTGCCCAACAATCAGCACATTAACGACCCGGAGATCACTATGAAGCCCGGACGGCCGGATCTTCACTTCATTATGAATCAGGCTGCTGCTAGAGCTCATGATGGTGGCATCAGGCTTGCCATAATGGCTTGCGGTCCAGCGAAGATGGTCGACGAGACTAGAGAGATCTCCTATCGCTGTATGAGGGAGCACGGTGGCGCTGTACAATATTTCGAGGAGGCTTTTGGCTGGTAGGAATTTCACCTCTAATGTTCGATCACGTCGAATAGATCCGACGGTCCAACTCCCACGCACCGACATCGGATAGCCTGAATTGAAATAGACACACTTCACCTCTGTCAACCATGCAAGATCTGCTTCATTGTCCAGGTTAGAGCTCAGATTTCTAAGGAGGTGTGGACACAGGTACGCATACCTTTGATTGAAGTACAACCAGATCAGAGTACAGAACTTTCGCTGTCTTAGCTTGGACTGTGCCGCCCCGGAAACAGCTAGACAGCAACGCTCCACGGGCTCTAGGCTTGCCGGGGAGGGCCATTTGGGTCGGAACCTTGACCCACCTGACCCCGCCTGCTCGCGAAAGCTAGCTCCGAGTGGACATGATTCTCCGACTTCACTCCGGACGGGAGGGACGTTTCCCAAATAAGCACAGCACATAGCCACTAACCTTTTGTGTCAGCATGACGAGCAGTAAACTCCTCTGGTTGGCATCCTTTGCTTCAGACAGCGAGCAGAGGTGCAGGAGTACTGACATCACGGCACAAGATGAGTAACAAAGATGGCATGAACTACGCCCCGAAGGGCAAACCCCAGCCAGTGGTCGAAGCGGGCACGTTCGTCATCGCGGCAGCAGCACTAGACCATTCACATGTCTACGGCATGTGCAACGGGCTCGTTGAGGCGGGCGCGACCCTGAAGTGGGTGTGGGACTCTGATCCGGCCAAGGCCGAAGCATTCGTTCGTCAATACCCAGAGCACAAGGTTCAAATCGCCGACTCGCTGGACACAATTCTCAACGACAGCACGGTGAAGCTCGTGGCAAGCGCGGCCGTCCCCTCGGAGCGCTGTGCACTTGGCCTGAAGGTGATGGACGCCGGAAAGGACTACTTCACCGACAAAGCCCCGCTGACCACACTGGCGCAACTGGAGGCGGCGAAGCGGAAAGCGGCGGAGACCGGCCGGAAGTATGCCGTCTACTACAGCGAGCGACTTCACAACGAGAGCGCGGTCTTTGCCGGGCAGCTCGTCGAGCAAGGGGCTATCGGCCGCGTGATACAAACGCTCGGTACAGGCCCGCATCGCGAAGGCGCGCAGGGCCGTCCCGGCTGGTTCTACGAGAAGGAGCTCTTTGGCGGCATCCTCTGCGACATTGGCAGCCACCAGGTCGAGCAGTTCCTGTACTTCACCGGCAACGCCGACGCGCAGGTGGTGGCGAGCCAGACGCGCAACTTTGCGCACCCGCAGCACCCGCGGTTCGAGGACTTTGGCGACGCGGTGCTGGCGGGCGAGAACGGCGCGACGGGCTACTTCCGATGCGACTGGTTCACGCCCGACGGGCTGAGCAGCTGGGGCGACGGGCGCCTGACGATCCTGGGCACCGAGGGCTACATCGAGGTCCGCAAGTATGTCGACATCACGCGCGGCGAGCAGGACGTCGTCTACCTGGTCAACAAGGACGGCGAGGTCCGTCACCCAGTGGCCGGCAAAGTGGGCTTCCCCTTCTTTGGCGAGCTGGTTCTGGACTGCGTCAACCGCACGGAGAACGCGATGTCCCAGGCGCACGCATTCAAGGCCGCGGAGCTTTGCATCAAGGCGCAGATGTTGGCCAACGCACGTCCCTGAGGCGGAGTGGTATTAACTCACAGAGGGCATTGCCAACTACAATGGGAAGATGCATCACGCTTTCGCCAACACTTGATTAATAATGGATAATCTACTGTGAAACTTGAGTGTGACATTGTGGAAGTAATAAAATATGTTAGAGAGCTCAAAAGAGTGTGAATGGCCGTGAAGCAATCATCACTGCTCCGACACCGCCCCTCCAGATCTATCCCGTTACCAGCTTCGATTGATTTTTCAGTTTGTGTATTTGACGCGCTTGGTACGCGGTCGTAGTCCTGGCCTCCCAAGACCATGCCTTGTCATCGTCTTACCCAGCCACTCAGCAATGTCATCCGCCTCGGCATGACAACAGAGCTTGATGTTCTTTTCAAGACATTCCTTCGTGAAGCATTCCTTGACACTCAACTGCAGGATTTTCTCGAGCAGAGGGTCGGTGTACTCCTTATTTTGCCTGTATGATTTCGAGTGACGGGCCCACCTGTATCTCCGGTTGATCGAGTCCATGACAATTCTCGTCAGGGAATCAAGACAGAGCTTGTCGTTTAAGTACACGGGCTTCGGATCGTATAGCGGCGCCCCTCGCGAGACCAACATTCCCGCCAAGCTATACATTTTCTCGTTTCTTACGATCCCCCTTTGGAGAAGGTTCCCCATCACGCCTAAGCCTTCGCCGGTCCGTACGTCAACAGCCGCTCCGCCGTCAAGTAGTAAGGCTACCGACTCAGAAGGGATGCCTTCTGAGATTCTCTCCGGCCTTCCGTCGAGGGACCTAGAGATGGCAATCTGCAGCGGTGTCATCCCGTTTCGAGTGACGGTATTAACGCTTATGCCGCTCTTGACTAGCACTTTCAGCAGCGGTGGATTCTTCAGAATGCTGGTATGAGATATCGTAGTATTGCCTAGCCGCGCTCCAGCTCCAAGCAAGGCATTGACGATATCAAGTCGTGGATGGAAGTGGCAGTAGAATTGACAATCTAGGAGTGTTGCCTGCCCTCCATTCGACCGCTGAATGTCTGCTTTAGCTCCAAGCTGCAGCATCAGCTCAACAACCCTGAGATCGCCCGACTGGCAAGCTCCCCACAGTGGTGTCCATCCATGCCACGAACAGCAGGTATGTGTATGCTGTGTAGCAGACTGGTGGCCTGTTATCTCAACCCGCGCTTCGAGGTCCAGGCCCGCTTTCACCAGCTTGGATAGCATGTTCAAAGGATTGTACTCGCGCCCGGCCAGCTTCTCTATATTGCGGTCGCGGTCGAGGCACATGTGAAGGAGGGTGGCGCCCGGAAGGAGCGTAAGAGTGCATGAACTGAGACTTGCGCCCATATCCATCAGATACGCCGCAACTTTGAACTGCCCCGTCATGCATGCGACGGCGAGAGGGGTGGTGTACCATCGGCCTCCGCGGTGGTTGATGTTGGCACCCAACTTCAATAGAGCTTCAATGACCAGATGGGTAGGCTCCTCCTTGAGCTCGAGAGCTTCTAGCGCCCAGAGTATAGGTGGCGATAAGCTCTGGCACCGGTCGTTGACGTATTCCAGTCCGCCGTACTGTGCGATCAACGTGATCATGTCGGCATTCCCATGCCCTGCAGCAGACTGCACAGCCGAAACTCCCTGCTCGGGTGAGGCCAGCAGGCTGGCACCCCTTTGCAGCAACAGTCGAGCGACTGACAGTTGATTGTGACAGATTGCAAGGTGTAAAGGAGCCCAGACCGGCATCGGTGAATGATCGTCGATCAAAGGCAAATTACCCGCGTACAATCTGCCGTATTGAGCGCCGGTGATGTATTGTTCCCGTCGAGCCAGGCAAGTACACGTCATTTGAGACGGAGCGTTGATATCGGCACCGTAGTCGAGCAGTTTGTCGACCACCTCAGGGTGGCCGGACACGACAGCCAAGTGCAGCGGAGTCTGGAACACCGACGAGCTAGGCCAGTCTCCTGCATGTGTGGAAGACGGATCCCATTTTGGCACAGTCTTGGTCGCAAACTCCTTCCACGGTCGTACGCTCGTGCCATAGATGTTGACGTCGCGAGCGTGTCCTTGCGCTGCCAATGCCTCCTCCAACAGATCTAGGTTGCCGATTTCCGCTGCCCAGAACAATAAGATGTTCTTGTGTTCGATCGCGCTTTTGTTGTAGACTAGGGGCATAAAGCCCCCGTAGAATGCTCGCTTGCTCTGGGCCAGCCGGTCCAGCGAGCCCAAGTCCAGATACTCTGCAATCAGGTATAGGAGTTCGTTAGGTAGTTGATCAAGTCTGGCCATTGATTGCGCGAGGGTTGTGGGCAGGTGATGACGTTCCTCGGTGGAACCACTTGGTCCGGCCATGATCATGATGGTATTCTCGTCGATGGAAGGAACCCGGATGATTGATATTGGACAGAATAGATGACGCTCGATTCGATGTTTGACGGAGATCGTGTATGGTGAGATAGGAGCCTTCCAAAGAGGCCTGCAAGCCAGGTCTTGGGGCAGGTATTTATAGGTTCGAGGGCCACGACAAGATGTGTATCTACGTGAATCACAGCATGCACTAGGGAGTTTGATACGTACCATGGAACCGCCCCTCGTGCCATGGTTGAGGTCGTTTTTTAGTGTCGTCCATTGCTTAGGGGCTCGCAAATGCACTCACCGTGGGAGCTTGGCCCAAGATAACTTGCTCGCGCAGGATAGAGATACAAGGAGCGATGCTGGGCGACATTTTCCATGTGCTCAGAGGACAGATGAGTTTAAGTGCGAGACTTCCAGAGGACTGGCTATATTTGAAAGACCAGACGGACTAGCTCGTCACTGGGTTCCCGGAACCAGGGATTAAGTATGAGGTCTTCCTGACTGATAAGTCTTTTGATATGGAACGCGAGCAAAATATTCCGGTACCTCGATATCCATGTCACGCTTGCTCGTCGCCACAACCACGGGTGCATACTTGATTTGCGGACTTTGGCTTCGGACTGAATTTCACAACTCTGGTTTCCATGTTCTCAAAAGGCTCCTCCAGGGCCTCCGACCACCGCCGCCGGAGAAAAAAACACATAAACCTCTCAAAACAACGTACCGTGTCCCAAGTTATGCGGTCCTAGTCATCTGATGGACCGGTATCTGTCTGGTTTGGGTTGACGGGCCGACGGTTCATGGGTTAATACTTGTCACTTGCCTCATGCGCTCTGGTCAAACCTCGGCAGTGGATCCTTTTCCGTTGCTCGAATGTCACGGCGCATATCCGACAAGCCTTTCACCTATCTAAGCAAAAGGGTTGCAAGCCTAGTGGACGGCGCAGATTGATCAGGACATCGTGTTCCCTTGAGCATTAGCATGCCACTTTCTACCGCCGCAAGAGAACAAGATGCTCTTGGTTGAAAGTTGGAGGCAAAGGCATGGCATATCTGACCACGCTGGACCACTCAGTGTTGTCCTTCCTTTCTTTGTGTGATTGGAAGGAAGAGAGTCAGGGAGCCAAGTCTAGATGTACCTCGAGTCCCAATGACCAATGAAATGACGCATAATATCGCGGTTATGCTGCGAGAGTATACATCCGCCTTGGTCAATGCATAAACAAATCACAAGTCTTCTATCTGGATCTCCATATAGTTTAATGATCTGGTTTCTTTTTAAAGCTCTAGCTACCTGACGCTCACTACATTTTGAAAGCTTCTTGTCTCGTACTCCTCTATTCTACCAGCGCCATATATCAACTTTCCATTGTACGTTTGACCTTTCATCCAACAGCTTAGATGCTAGAAAACATCTAGGTTGATCTCCTCTGCTCTCCTGCGGTACTGTACTTGAAAAGACGGTTTGATGCGCCTCACGGTCTCGTCGAAGGTATACTCTGCGGGATCCGCGCCAGGTACGAATCTCCAGTCATACTTCAAAAGCATATGGCAGAGAGATATCTTGATATGGTGCACAGCAAAGAACCTCCCAGGGCATGCATGTCGGCCAAGACCAAACCCCATATTGCTAGCCTGGACCGTGGCAAGCTGCCACCTCGTCGAGCTTCCAGGTTCCTGTCGCAGTTTTCGGTATCGGGCTGCATCGAACTTTTCAGGTTCTGGGTAGACTTTGCAAAACCAAGGATCAGTACTGCGATGTTCAGAAGCCACGGGAACTCAAAATGGAGCTGCATACTATCTGGGTTTAAGGAGTCCGCGCACACAACGATGCGGCTGCCTTTTGGCAGAACCGAGCCATCGGAGAGATGGATGTTCTTGTTGGCATATCGGCTCATAGAAACTATTTCGTCGTCAGCTAGAGGGCAAATAAGACGACCAATTGATCTGGGTGAGACATGCCGGCATTCGCTGGATACAGTCTCTGGATCTCCTTGATGTAACTGTCCATCAACTCGAGCTTGTGTAAGCCTGCATTCTGGAAGCCATACTCCCCAATCACATCGATGATTTCTTTTCGCAATTGCTCTAATAGCTTTGGACGGGCGCAGACGTTCACAATTGCCTGCGCGTGAAGCGCGCTCTGAGCTCCCATAGCAACCTGGAAGAGTCAACTATTGATCGAAAGTTATGTGAAGAGGGCGTGGAGTAGAAGCGCGTACGAGTGTGAAAGCGAGCTGCGCTGCCGTGTAGTCCACTTTACGGCCTTTCGCAATTTCATACATCCAACGAAGTGTGTTCACAAATTTCGGTGGTTTCTTGCCTTCTTGCAGGGCTTCATCCACTTGTCTGGCTTGCTTTGCAACTTCTGTGTCAATGAGTGTACGGGCTTCATTCACTGTTTTGCGCAATCTTGTGAGCTCCGGAATGAACCAGTATGCGATCGGTCGTAGGAGGGTGGGGCATTTCCGGAGAGCAAATGCCCCAGTGAAGGAGTTGACAGTGTAACTGTTGGCGATGGTAACCCATCTCTCGTTCCGGCACAGGTCTTTGCCAAGGAAGACCCTTGATGACGTGCGCGCGACGAGGTCCAGAGTGCTATCCTTGATGGAAATTGTCCGCCACTCATCGTTATCGCCATAAATCTTGTGCAGGTCATGAATCGTCTCATCAACGAGGTCGTCCGTTACAAGACCGAGATGAGAAGTCAACTTTGTCCGGATAGCTTCCATGGATACGCTGTCTGGCTCTAGGCCCTCTTTGAAGGGCTCAAAGCCAGGATAGTTCGGGAAGAAGTCCTATTTTATCAGTACTGTGCATAATTGTCACGAGATGAAAGACTTACCTGCTTGATGCCCTTGCTGAACTCGAGCCATGGCTCGTTTCGGATCTCGTCAGCAAAGCGGTTTGGCAAAACGATGATGGGACCTGACCCGCTCATCACTTGGAATGGACCGGAACACTTCACAATAATTAGCTTGGTCAAGGCCGGTCCGAGATCTCCTACCCACCTCTTGTAGACCTTTAGCGAGTGCTTCCCGTCCATGCAGAGCATAACTCGCCTTCGGACTGTTGTCCCTCACTGTGATGAGCTTGAATCCGGGCCATGGTTGCTCCCTACGAGAATTACTAAAAACTTGGTATGCTGCTGCAATTACCACTGCAGCGGCCCCCAGAAATGCCAAAACAGGTGCAGAAAGGTATTGAGGCGAAGTCATTGCCAATTTTAGTGGTCCGAGTTTTGCAAGTGAAAAAACGGTTATCCAGACAACTTGGAGTCGACGAAGAGGCGATAAAATAAACTCACAACAAGAGTCGCTATCGGGCCTTTCTCACGCTCTTTGCCCCATGAGTTAAATGTCCAGCCGAACATGAGGTGTTATCTGCGTGAGAGGATTGCCGATCAATTTGACTGAGCCGCCTACGCGCTCAGGATGAATCCTGCAATGCAAGTACAGTTGTGTCCGGGTAAATAGCCATGCGGGAACTAGCCAATACAACAACACCGAAGTGCTGACCCAACGGCACTTCGGAAGTCTGGACCGACAGCTAACCCACCCGCAACCCGTTTCTATGAAAATTGTTGGAGCTATCCTTAGAGTCGCTCAAGCATTGGATCTGAATATCCGTGAATTATCTACGTGATATCTCGGCGGAAACCAAAACCGTCATTTTGAGAGTGACGAGGCCCCGCTTATCCCCCGCATATAAGCAGTTCAAACCAGGTTCAAAGAGTCTTGGCAGCTTTCAAACACTCTACTCGTGACATCGATGGTTGGGCGCTGTCAGACGTGGGCAAGGGCTGACATGATGCGTCGGAAGGAAGGCATGCATGCAACTACAGAAATTCCAAATGCAGCGGGTAATATGATGATATGACAAAGTATATCATTGGCCATGGGAAGTCTGACAACTTCAACATCGTTTCACCTCCAGTTTCCTCTCATCAAGTGTTCCACATCTAGCTTTACCTCTAAGAATGGCTTCCATAACCCCTATTGCCGTTATCGGCATCGGATGCAGACTTCCAGGAGGTGTCGGAAGCCCGGAAGATCTCTGGGATCTCCTCAGCGAAGGCCGGACAGGTCTTTCGGAGATCCCCGCTGACCGTTGGAACGTCGACGCCTTCTATCACCCCGATCCAGAGGCAAGGGAAGCCCTCAACACTAGGAAAGGATATTTCCTGAAACAGAATGTTGCAGAATTCGACGCCAGATTCTTTGGCTTCTCTACGGCGGAAGCCGAGCAAACTGATCCGCAACAGCGCCTTGTGCTTGAGACTACATATGAAGCGCTCGAGAATGCCGGAATCCCGTTGGAGACCCTCAAAGGCTCAGACACTTCTGTTTTCATTTCAGTATTTGCTCGAGACTACGACCGTATGACGTGGAAAGACCTGCCTAACGTTCAGAAACACGCTATCACCGGCAATGGCGAGGCGATCCTAGCCGCTAGGATTTCTTATGTTTTTGATCTAAGGGGAGGCGCGATGACTATCGACACCGGTTGCGTAAGTTATTTTCGGGCACTCTTTCGATGATCAGCACTGACATCCCATTCAGTCCGGGAGCTTGGTAGCAGTGCACCAAGCGTGTCTTTCCTTGAGAAGCGGAGAGTCACGCATGGCTATTGCTGGAGGGACCGAGTTGTTACTCCACCCCGATCAGTTTGTTCCCTGGAGTTATAACGGGTAAGTGCAAGTAGCCGTTCTGAGGATGAGTTGGACAACCTAACAATCCTACTAGGATGGCGAATCCGGAAGGACAATGCTTTGCCTTTGATAGCCGAGGTGCTGGGTATGGGCGCGGCGAGGGTGTGGGCACTGTTATCCTCAAGCGTCTAAGTGACGCTATCCAGGACGGAGACCCAATCCATTCGGTAATCCTAAACTCGGGCATAAATCAAGACGGGAAGACTGCTGGAATTCTTCTCCCCAATGCCGAGGCTCAGTCTGCATTGGTAAAGCATGTCTACCAGTCCGCAGGGCTTGATCCAGCGAATACTCTGTATGTTGAGGCTCACGGGACAGTAAGTAACCCCCACAAATCTAAAGCAGCATGAGCCATACATGCTAATCAGTCCCCAGGGCACACAAGCGGGTGAGTTAGTCGATGACAACCTGTCTACACAGTAAATCGGTTCTACCAATTACGGACACTGATGTTGCTTACCCAAACCACAGGCGATAAGGCGGAGATCCACTCAATAGCGGAGGCCATCTCGAAGGAAAGACCAAGCCAGGATCTCTATGTTGGCTCTGTGAAAGCAAATATCGGACATCTGGAGGCGTCTAGTGGTATTGCGGGCTTTATCAAGGCTGTTATGGTGCTGAAGAAGGGCCAGATCCCACCTCAGCCAAACTTCGAAAATGAGAAGCCAGGCCTGAATTTGAAAGCGAGAGGAATCAAGGTAAGCACGTTTTTTGATCCATGTGCAGGCTTTTCATTAATCGTGGATGATACACAGATACCCACTGAGCTTACGCCCTTGTTACCAAGGGGCTATGCCGGCCCCCAACGAGTGTCTGTCTCCTCGTATGGCTATGGTGGAACCAATGCGCACGTCGTGCTGGAGTCCATTCACACGATGCTGGATCGGGAAATGTCCGTTCGCCGTTCTCTCGTTGAACCCTTACATAATGGCGTAGCAAATGGATACACAGAGCGTCACACAAATGGCGTTACTAACGACAGTATTTCCCTCGTCAACAAAAGCCAGAGGGCGTTCCTTTTCCCTCTAACAGCCCACGCCGAAGCGGCGCTAAAGGCCCTTCCCTCCAATATGATGCAATGGATGGCAACCGGTAAAAGGACTCAAGAGGACCTTGGGAGTCTTTCATACACCCTGTGTTGTCGACGATCTTTGTTTCGATGGAGAAGTGCCATTGTTGCCTCAACAGTCCAGGAGTTACAAGACACACTGGCTGCACCACTGCAGAAGTCACGAGCGGCTACCTCGACTACGCTAAGTTTTGTCTTCACGGGGCAAGGGGCTCAGTGGCATGCTATGGGCAGAGAGCTTATCTCAACGTCATCCATATTCCGAACCTCATTGGAGGATTCCAATACCATTTTGAAGGAGCATGGCTGCTCTTGGGACCTCTTGGCTGAACTTCAAAGGGACGAGCAAAAGTCTCGTGTTGGAACAGGGGAGCTTGCACAGCCGATAACAACAGCTATTCAGATCGCCTTGGTGGACCTGTTCGCCATTGCTGATATTATCCCGGATAAGGTCGTTGGTCATAGCTCTGGCGAGATTGCTGCCGCCTACGCCGCCGGACGGTTAGATCGGTGCGCTGCCATTCAAGTGTAAGTCTTCCTAAAAGTGGGCTTCATCTTTCATTGATTGACCTGATCCTATAGTGCTTTTTTCCGGGGACAGTACTCAGCCCAAGCGAGGACTGCCAATGAAGTGCCTGGGGCCATGCTTGCCGTTGCAGGTGGGGAGAAGACTGTTGCCCCATTACTCGACATAGTGTCCGCGAGTGGCAAGGGGCGGCTCTCAGTCGCTTGCGTCAACAGTCCAGACAGTGTGACTGTTTCAGGAGATGCCACTGCAATCCGAGAGCTAGAGAGAATGATGGAGGTTGAAGTTCGCTTGCAGACTCGAGCTCTCAAGGTTGACACTGCCTACCACTCCTATCATATGGAAAAGGTCGCCTCCGCCTATCTTTCCTCCCTTCAAGGGGTGAAGTGGATCGAGAAGCCTGCATCGGAAGTCACTTTCTACTCGGCCGTCACGGGAGGCATCAAGAATTCTAACTTTGGTGCGGAGTATTGGACTGAGAATTTGGTGTCTCAAGTTCGGTTCAGCCAAGCACTCGAAACTATGGCTTCTGACCTCATCAAGCATGGACCGACAACGAAAGATCAGGCCAATGTGTTGATTGAGATCGGTCCACATTCAGCGCTCCAAGGACCGATCCGACAGACCTTATCCCAGTTTCCTGGTCTTACGTACACTTACTGCCCGTCGCTCGTCAGGAAGAAGGAGGCAGATAGGACTGTTCTGTCAACTGCTGCTCGGCTATTTGAACTCGGGCTTCCGGTCAGACTGGAGCGTCTTGTTAGTCTACAGGATGATGATACTCCCAGGCGCTGCCTCAGCGATCTACCACCGTATCCCTGGGATCATTCTCGACAGTATTGGCGGGAGTCGAGGTTGAGCCGAGATCACCGATTGCGCCAATTCCCTTATCACGATCTCCTCGGGCTTCTAGATGTCATGAGTCCACTCAAGGAACCACGCTGGAGGTACCACATTGGTGTGGCGCGCCTCCCATGGCTGAACCACCATGTGGTCGAGCGACAGGTCATTTGGCCTGGGACTGGATATATGTGTATGGCCATTGAGGCCATGAAGCAGCTTGTGCGACTGCGCAGCCCGGAAAGCACGGTTGTAAACCTTACTATGAAGGACTTTGAGGTTGCGAAAGCAGTCATCGTCCCCAGCGAGCAATTTGACGGGCACAGCTCTGAGGTCGAGGTCCAGCTCATCCTGTCATCTGCCGAGAATGCCAGTGAAGACAGTGGCTGGGAATCTCTCCGAATCATGTCCGCACTGCCCGACGGCTCATGGGCGCAAAACTTCTCGGGGATGATCCGCGCCGATTTATCGTCTATTGGCAACCTAGGAGAGACTGAATGGGCTGCAGACGACAGCATCACTCACTTAGCACAGTCTCTCGAGGACCTCAAGAGGATCCGTTCACAGGCCACCACCCAGGTCGATCCAAACACTCTGTATTCAGCCATGGCAGCAGCGGGCAATGAATTTGGCCCGAGCTTCATGTCACTGAAGGAAGTCAGCATTGGTAAGCGAGTCGGCTTTGCAAAGATGATTGTGCCAGACATCGGTCTCTACATGCCCCGGTCTGTGTACCAACCACATACCATTCACCCAGCCGTCCTCGATGTTCCAAATCACGTCATGGGTCTGTTATTCTACGAAGAGTGCTGCAAGGCAGCGGTCATGCCTACCACTACATCAGAGTTCAGTATCTCAACCGAAGTTACCATCAACCCCAGCGATGAATTGCTCATCGCTTGTGAGATCATGCCTGAGGGCAAAAGGTCTGCTCAAGGCAAAACATGGCTTTTCAAGGAACTTGACAACGGCCAAAGGATTGGCCTTATCTGTGCTACCGACTCGATACGGTTGCGTGCTGTCGGCGAAGAGGCCAACAACGAGTCCGACAAGCCTTTCAGCCGAAAAAAGAATTATCGCGTGGCCTGGGGCGATCATATCGATTGTCTCACAGAGTCAGCATATCACGGATTAGTGACCTCAGCATATGTCAATCCAGAGGGTCGGCTCAGCATTGGCGACCAGCTTAAGCTCAACGATCAGGCTGCATCGATCTACCTCGAAAGAGCTCTGACCGAGCCAATCTCTAGACCCAAATCGGCAGCCCCGCATCTTGACATCTTTCATGATTGGATTACAGACTACTTGGGCTCGTCTCGTCAGAAAACCTTGCTAGCAGGTATAGAGACTGAGATCGACAAAGACGAGCTGCTCCAGAGGTCTGTCGCGTCGGGTATCGAAGGCCAAATGCTGGCCCGGGTAGGCAAGCATCTCCCAGCTATCCTTCGCGGCGAACTACACTCTCTCAATGTAATGATCGAAGACGACTTGTTGAACAAGTTCTACATGGACGGGCCTTTGGAAGCTTCCAACGTGCAGGCAGCCGAATTTGTGCGACTGCTTGCCCATAACAAGCCGCATATGGCTGTGCTTGAAATTGGAGCGGGTACTGGCGGTACCACTGCCTCAATACTTCGAAGCCTGGACGCTTACGGCGAGTCCCTTCTCGAGAAGTACTGCTACACCGATATCTCTGCCGGGTTCTTCGAGCATGCGGAGAAGAAGTTTGCCAAATGGAGGCGGTTTCTCGACTTGAGAACTCTTGACATCTCAAGAAATCCGCTTGACCAAGGGTTTGAACCTAACACATACGACCTTATTGTGGCTTCCAATGTCATCCACGCGACTCCGCGTATTTCTGCAACACTGGCACATGTCAGATCGCTACTAAGAACTGGGGGACGTTTTGTATTAGTGGAGATGACAAGACCTACTGTTGCAGAGGGGATGATCTTTGGAACACTCTCCGGGTAAGTTGGGATATCTACGTTGGTGTCTTATTATTACTAAGTCGTATTACAGGTGGTGGGCGTCTGAAGATGGGCGCACAGGCTCTCCCTTACTGGCTCGAGAGGGCTGGCATGATGCGCTCCAGAAGGCCTCTTTTGATGGTATCGAGTTCGCTTCCTACGATCACGATGGCCCGTACCCAAGAACATCAGTCATCATTTCAAAGGCGGTGGATATTGAACTCAGGGGCGAGCCAGATGCTGAACTCTCGGAGGCTATCGTGATAGAAGGTCCTTCAAGCACACAGTCAGCTCCCTTCACCACCGCTGTTATCTCCAAGCTAAAACAGCACGGGCTTCACTGCTCGATTGAGAGATGGGACCGGCTGGAGGTGCCGGTATCCAACGCAGACAGCAAGATCGTCATCATCTTGGACCACCTCGAAAATCCCCTACTGGCTAGTCCAAATGATGCTGTGTTTGAAAAGATCAGGAGGCTTCTCATGACCAGTCAAAGAGTCTGCTGGGTTACATATCACGAATCGACCGACGCGAACATCTCCGCCATGGGCGGCCTGGCTGTCGGCATGGCACGGTCCATACGGCGCGAGAATGAACAGATGCGGCTTATAACGCTCAACATCGAAGACGCCGTAGCGGAAGGCACCCTGTCTGGTCCGTCGGGCTCTGTCGCAAAGGTTGTGAGCATCTGTCTCAACCCTGACCCCAAGACTGGCATAGTGGACGACTCTGAGTTCGCACTTCGCCAAGGTCGCTTGATGATCCCGAGACTGCACGCAGATGTGGAGTTCAATACTTGGGCTAATCGTGTGAATTGCCACGGAAGAGTCGAGCCTGGATCATTCCAGGGCAGTGGTCCGCTCAAACTGGAGGTGCAGGTTCCGGGCCTACTCAGCAGCCTTTGCTTCACACATGACCACGCTCCGACGCTAGCTCTGGCTGATGACGAGATTCAGCTGGACACAAGGGCGTTTGGTGTCAATTTCCGGGATGTCTTCATAGCGCTCGGCCAGATGCCGCCGGGAACACCTATGGCAGGCGAGGTTGCTGGAGTCGTCACCGCCGTCGGGTCAGGATATTTCGTCCAAAGGACGTACAAAGTGGGCGATCGAGTCATCGGCCTCCTTGGAGTGCCATATTCGAGCCAAACAAGGGTCAAAGGAGTTCACTGTCAGCTACTGCCAGACTCAATCAGCCTTACAGACGGTGCTTCCATATACACAGTCTATTTGACGACCTTCTACAGCTTAGTGGAGGTTGCAAGGCTGGAGATGGGACAGATTGTTCTTATCCACTCAGCGTCTGGAGGTGTTGGCCAGGCTGCGATACAAATTGCACAGCTCATAGGCGCCGAGGTGATCGCCACTGTGGGCAGCGTCGAGAAGCGCAACTTCATCACAAAGGAATACGGCATTCCGAAAAGTCATATTTTGTCGTCCCGCTGGTCTCCTAACACCATGAGGCGCAAGATCATGCAGTTGACTGAGAACAAGGGAGTCAATGTGGTGCTCAATTCATTGGCTGGAGAGGTGCTGGCTGAAAGCTGGGACTGCCTAGCTCCCCTCGGTGTCCATATTGAGCTCGGGAAGACAGATATCTACAGGAAGAGCAGTTTGAGCATGGCCCCATTCGACAGAAACCTGACTTTTGCCGCAGTCGATCTCACGGTGCTCCTTGCGACGATCCCGATGAAGATGTTTACGCTCCTTGGGAGGATACTGCAGTTATTTGACCAACAAAAGCTGACGCCTGTACGGCCATTGAACGTCCTTCCGATCAACCGAATTGAGTCGGCTTTCAGACTCATTGCGGAGAGGAAGCACATGGGCAAAGTGATCCTCGAGGTACCGCAGAATCAAGAATCACTGGTAAACGTCGTCCTCCAACCTCCGCCTATTTCCCAACTATCGGCAAGCGGAACCTACCTCGTTGCTGGAGGTCTTGGTGACCTTGGCCAGAGGATCTGCAAGCTGCTCGCTAGCTTCGGGGCGGGACACATCGTGACACTGTCACGTAGGTCACTTGACAAGACTTCTCTCCACGATCTGGAGGATCAAGTCAGCAGGCTAGGTGGCAAGTTGTACGTAGTTCAATGTGATATTACCGACAAAGACAGCATCTCTCGGGTACAGGAATATTGTCGGATGTCTTCATTACCTCCAGTCCGGGGCATCATACACGGCGGAATGGTCTTGAAAGATCGGCCGTTCGCTAGTATGAGGCTTGAGGACTGGGCTGCAGCTCTCGGACCAAAGGTTACAGGTACGATCAACCTGAACGACACGTTCCAGTCTCCAGAGCTGGACTTCTTCATTACTCTGTCTTCAGTCAGCGGCATAGCAGGCAGGCTTGCCCAAGCCAACTACTCTGCCGGAAACTGTTTCCAAGACGCCTTCGTGCATGCACAAAACGGCAGAACGCGCACGCGATACTTCACCATCAACATTGGCGCGGTGACAGGTTCAAAGTCTATCGCCTCCATGACGGCAAGCGCAGCACAGCAAGAGCTGATGCAATCGGCAAGCATGACCTTTACGGAGCTCTTCCAAGTTCTACAGTACGCCATGGACCCTAGCACTGCCTTCGATGGCTGCGCTCAGTCAGCCATGGGCTTTGATCGACTATCGCTGCTGTCACAGGACCACTTCGCAGCCGCGAACCCCTTCTTCGGCATGTTACCATACACGGAAGACGCAAGCTTGAGTAAGTCTCAGGAGTCGAACCCTACGCGTGACATCGGCAGCGCCCTACGGAATGCTTCCTCGATGGATGAGGCCGTCGAGGTGATTTCGCAAGCTATCGGCGAGAAGTTCGTCGCTTTTATCAACAGAGACCTTGAAGACATCAGTTTCGATATGCCTCTGTCGTCTTTTGGCATGGATTCTTTGGTCTCTATTGAACTGAAAAATTGGAGTAAGTTCTCTTTTGTAAAACGTTGTCAGACTGAATACGGTTATTCTCTCAGTATTAGCGCTAACGTATCGTACTTCAAAGTGATGCGCACCTTCAGCGTGGCCCTTCAAGCCTCGGAGCTCAATGGGCCAGCCAGCATCTTGGCTCTTTCTCGAACTCTCGCCACTAGGTCCACACTTCTCAATCCTGCTGTCCGAAACAAGTCAACTCCCGACGAGCGAGCGGAAGAGCAAAACTCTGCCCCAGTTGAAGAGCCGATAAAGCAGGATCAAGGTCACGGGTATGACTGTTGTCGTCAATTCGAACAGCTTCCCAAGCAGCCTATTCCCGACTTCGACGAAGCTATGCAAGACCATCTCGAAAATGCAGGACACTTTGCTGCTGACTCAGAAGAGCTCGAGTCATTCCGCCAGATCCTGAACGAGTTCACTACCCACGGGAGTGTTGGCCGTCGTGTCTACGAGCAGCTTGTCAGGGAGGCTCAGGATCCGTCTATAGAAAATTGGTCAGCCGACTACGTCCTCAACTCCATTCATGTTAACTTTCGCCACGGACTCCCTTATTCAAGCTTTCTGCTTCTCCAGCCCGACGGAAAGTTTCCGCACTCTCAGGCTGAGCGGGCGGCCCTGCTAGCTACAGCAGCATATGACTGTAAGGAGGCTCTGGAGACAACAGGCCAGGTTCCTGGAAAGTGGATGTTTGGAACGCCCCAGTGCAACCACCAGCAGGAATGGATGTTCGACGCTGTTCGGGAGCCTGCTATGGGTTGCGACATCAGCCGGAAGTATTCAAGCAATCATCTTGCTGTGTTGCGGAACGGCCATGTCTTTCGCATTCCTTTTGTTGAGAATGGCGTCCGGGTATCATACAGTCGACTCAAGAACGCCCTAGAACACATCCTACAAACGGCAGGCGAGAAGTCCTGGGCAGGCATACTTACCGTTGACAACAGGGACTCTTGGGCTAAGGTAGGGTATTTTCCATTATACTGATCTGAGAAAATTAGGCTAACCAGGTTATTATGGCGCAGAGACGGCAGGAACTGTTAGCATTCGACGTCCGGAACGTTGCATTCTTCAAAGCGATTGAGGAAGCCACCCTGGTCCTCAATTTAGACAACGGCACACCTACAAATCTCACTGAGCATCTCACACAATCCATGCTCCATGCCGGGTTCAATCGCTGGTGGGATAAGGCGATGCAATTTGTGGTCACGGAGAATGGCAAGTCTGCTGCCATCTTCGAACATTCTCGTATTGATGGCGTCACGCCACTTGGCTTGTTATACCATCTCCGCGATGCGATCAGTTCTCACAGGCCCTCAACTACCAATGGCGTGGAAAGCTCAGAGAGCGGAGTGAGCATGGTGGAAGAATTGCAGCTTTTCACGAACGAGGATGTTGAGTCGCATATCAGCAACCTCCGCAGCCGATACACAAACATGCTGTCGCAGCGTGAATTCATAACCCACACCACGAGCGAGTTTGGTAAGACCTTCCTCGTCAGTCATAGCATCCCTATCAAGGGTGTGGTAGAGGCAACAATCCAGCTAGCGAGCCGTCTTTACCACGGTGGTTGGAACCCGGAGAGCTGGGAGGGCGTGTCCCTTGCCCACTATCACAAGGGCCGTCATGACATGATCCAGACCGTGTCCAAAGTGGTCGACGACTTCTGCTCAGTTGCTACAGATGATTCCGTCCCAGCCTCGCAGCGCAAAGCGCTCATGCTCAGTGCCGCGAACGACATGAGCGCAGGTGTAAAGAAGGCAATGGAGGGCAAGGGATACTTCCGACTTTTCAACATCATCAACGCAATATGGCCCAAGGACGAGCCGCGGCCAGATTATTTCAACCATCCGGTCAGCCGCCGTATCGAGTCTTTTACTCTTGTCGTTACCATGTTGGACGCTGTGGCTCCTGGAGCAGCCGCTATGCCCGCGAATCCTGGGTCGATGAGAATCAGGTACGCCGTTGGCGACGACGAGTAAGTATATTACCCACCGTGGCTGTAGGATATCTTGAATGCTAATCAAGACCAGCATTACCTTTGGAGTTCTTGGACCGAAGGGCAAAGTTCGCGAGTGGAGCAGGTGTTTTGATACTGCCGCTACAATCATTAAAACCCTCATTCTATCCGGATGAGGATACGGTGGGTATGGGGAGGGGCATAATGTGTGAACTTGAACTAGAGAGTAGCTTGAGAAGCACAACCGATGGAAGTGTCTTAAATTACCTTCTGTTCTGTACGTTATACTTGCAATTATTCCTCAGTTGCAGCCGCATGACAGACTGTGCATTTGAGTAACACTAGGTGAAATGAGTAGAATAGATTCAAGTCCGAAAGAAGAGTTACAGACCAATCATATCTTAAAGCATCTTGTTGGCAAAACTACCGCAATTGAGCCCCCACTCCAAACGGATGAAGAACCCGAGGGGGAGCTAGCCTCTGCTGCATACATTGGAGTGCTACATCTTCAGGGTCCAGCAAGTTGTTCAATTCAGTTTTTCTCGCCGCGTACCTTTGGCAACAAGGTTATGGTTTGACACAGAAGAGGACAACCAAATACTTCAGGCCGCTTGTTCAAAACTGGAGGTGATGAAGAAGTTTTCTGACGAAAGAGCGAAACCATCCCGATGATCCAGAGAGCCGGCGAAGCTATGGTGTGCTAGCTCGGGATGCCAAGTGGGCGTCTGAATAGTTGACGGAAGTTCATCAGAAGCTACCTCGATTTTAACAATCAATATCCTTGTCACATCCTTGCCTTGGAACTCGGAAGGGCTATCCCACCACCTAAATCCGATGGGCTTGATGGGTAGACAAGTACTTCTGTTAGCAGTCCGTCAACTAATCTGACCCTCACTTGGATGCGCAATTTGTATCATGTTCAGCCAGAGCGACTTGTTCAATGTAAGAAATAAACCATACACCTCGACACCAATGACGCATGACGAGTCCCACGATCCTGGTCCACAAGATCCTGCCCATACCGGGAGCTCAGTCGGATCGCGGGGAACCAGGTCGCGGAGCGGCCCCACTTTACGGAGCCTCGGCCAAAATTCAAAGGGGTGAATTTCGTGAAGCGAGAACGTCGAAAACCCATCACATTTTGCTTTCCGGCATCCATCATTCGCGCCCCGAGCTTTCCAGTTGCTTCCCGATCCGGACGGCAGTACTTCGAAGCCATCCCTACCCCGCGTCTTGAGACGACCAATTGTTGTAGCCATGGCATCATCGCTCCCGCTGCGATCCTTACGGCCCACCCTTGTGAGGTGGCGCGTCTCCAGCCGGAGGCCCGCCAGCACCAGCGCCGCCGATGCAACCAAACAGATGCTGGATGCCTTTGAGGGCAAAGGCATCACCAAGACCCAGGTCCTGGACGGGCCGCAGCTACAGAAGCTGAGCCTGACGCTGAACCGGCCCCAGCTGCACCGCAGCCTGGACGTCTCCTCCCAGGCCCCACCCGCCGGGACGCCGTTGCCGCCCGGGTACCATCTGGTGTACTTCTCGCCCGCGTCCGTCGAGTCTGAGCTCGGCACCGATGGCACGGACAGGACGTTCAATGCGCCGGCGCCCTTCTCGCGGCGCATGTGGGCGGGCGGGCGCATGTACTGGCCCAAGCCGAGGCTGTGCAAGCTGAAGGTCGGGGACGAGGTCGAGGAGCGGACGCGGCTGGTGGGTGCGACGCCCAAGAAGGCTCGAGACGGGTCTGAGATGGTGCTTGTGGATGTAGAGAAGGAATTCTGGGTCGATAATGGGCTGGCCTTGGTCGATCAGAGGTAAGTAGATCTCGCACACGCAACATACCCTGACCGTGCCACCGCTCCATCACCATGCTGATAGGTCTCCTCAAGATCATGGATCTTCCGACCACCACCTGTAATAGGGAAGGGTCAAGCAGCCAGGAGGGAGCCATTGACGGCTCCTTTTACACCTTCCTCCATAAGCGATGTGCTCCCAAAAGACGCAGGTTTGTTTATCCACTTGAGACTACGCAGATATACCTCGAATTGAAGCTAAGGAGAAACGATAAACCTGCAGAATATCCAGAGAGGAAACTGAGTTGGTCGCCAGTAGCGCTCTTCCGGTTCTCGGCTCTGACGTTCAATGCGCATCTCATTCACTACAATGAGACTGCCACCAGAGAGACTGAGGGACACCCAAACGTGGTCGTCCATGGACCGCTAAACCTGATCAACATCCTGGACTACTGGCGGGACATGTATAGCGGCGAGAAACAGCTGAGAGAGATCAGCTACCGAGCCATGTCGCCGCTGTATGCCGGGGACGAGTATCTCATCCGTACCGACTACTCGAGGGACTTTGACGACGAGCAAACATGGGATATCGTGGTGGAGAAGGAGGGAGTGACGTGCATGAAGGCCGAGATTGTGGCTGCATGATGTACCAGGATTTTGATAGCTACAGGTATAGGTCCAAGATAGCAAAGGATAGCAAAAGACTCTATGGTTGTCGTCACATTTGTATCATCTTCAATCGTTCTGGTTGAGTGATGCTTTAAACTCACTGGCAAATCCAGGCTTGGATTAGCGTGATTATTGCACCTTGATGTTGTTTATCTTATCTGGATGAAATCGGCGCTAGGAAAAAAAGTTGGCACACCGCCCGGCAATTTTTGCATGCTCCCGCCCCCCCACTGCCCCAGCGTCGACCAGGACCATCGCCAGAAATCTCTGTGATCGACTCAAGGCTACATTCACATCCGGTCGCCGACCTCAGCGAAGCACACATAAGCTACCAAAGATGCCGGCCCGGACGAAAAAGGCGGCGCCTCCGAGGCAACACCACTCGAAGACTGAGGCAAGGACGTTGAAGCGGAAGAGAAACCAGGAAGACCTCTCCAAGCTGAATGCCTCCGTCGACGAACTCGACCCCAAGGCCTTCTCGTCCAAGAACTTCGCGGATCTTCCCCTCTCTCAGGCTACCTCGGACGGCCTGCGCGACTCGCATTTCGAAACCCTCACCGATGTTCAAGCCCGTGCTATTCCACTCGCCCTCAAAGGCTCCGACATTCTCGGCGCTGCAAAGACGGGCAGCGGCAAGACCTTGGCCTTCCTAGTCCCCGTCCTCGAGAAGTTGTTCCGTGCACAATGGACGGAGCTCGACGGCCTCGGAGCTCTCATCATCTCGCCGACTCGTGAGCTTGCCGTGCAGATCTTCGAAGTGCTGCGCAAGATTGGTCGACACCACACATTCTCTGCCGGCTTGGTCATTGGTGGGAAGAGCCTGAAAGAGGAGGCTGAAAGGTTGATCAGGATGAACATTCTCGTGTGCACACCCGGTAGAATGCTGCAGCATCTCGACCAGACGGCCGGCTTCAATGGCGACAATCTGCAGATCCTGGTCCTCGACGAGGCGGACCGCATCATGGACATGGGCTTCCAGGCTGCTGTCGACGCGCTGGTCGAGCACCTGCCTACGAGTCGACAGACCCTTCTCTTCAGTGCTACGCAGAGCAAACGAGTATCAGACCTCGCCCGATTGAGCTTGAAAGAGCCCGAGTACGTCTCCGTCCATGAGGCCGCGACTTCGGCAACACCCAGCAATCTACAACAGCACTACATCGTCACCCCACTCCCCGAAAAGCTCGACACACTTTACAGTTTCCTCCGCGCAAACCTCAAGAGCAAGATGATCGTCTTCTTTTCGTCGGGAAAGCAGGTCCGATTCGCCTACGAAAGTTTCCGACATTTACAACCTGGTATCTCACTTCTGCACCTTCACGGAAGGCAGAAGCAACTAGCCCGACTGGAGATTACGTCCAGGTTCTCTTCCTCGAAGCATGCCTGCCTGTTCGCGACCGACGTCGTCGCCCGCGGAGTTGATTTCCCTGCTGTCGACTGGGTTGTCCAGCTCGACTGTCCCGAAGATGCAGACACCTACATTCACCGTGTCGGCAGAACGGCCCGATACGAGCGCAACGGTCGCGCGGTTCTATTCCTCGACCCGAGCGAGGAGGAGGGCATGATCAAGAGGCTGGAGCAGAAGAAGGTCCCTATACAAAAGCTCAACGTCCGCGAGCAGAAGAAGAAGAGCATAAAGGACCAGCTGCAGAACATGTGTTGGAAGCAGCACGACGTCAAGTACCTGGCCCAAAAGGCTTTCATCAGCTACACGCGATCAATCCATCTCCAGAAGGACAAGGAGGTCTTCAAGTTCAACAAGCTGGATCTTGAGGGCTTTGCCAAGAGTCTTGGTCTTGCCGGCGCGCCGCAGATCAAGTTTCACAAGGGCGAGGATGTCAAGAGGATCAAGAATGCCTCGCGTGCCGCAGCGGCCATCTCAAGCGGCTCCGACTCGGAGGACGAGGAAGGCACTAAAGCTACAAAGAAGAAGAGCAAGGATGAAGTACGCACAAAGGCTCAGAAGATGCTGGAGCGGACGAACCAGGACGTCCTGTCCAAACACTACCGCAACCTCGTCGACGACGGCGCCGATGACGGCGAGGACCAAGACTTCTTCAACGCCAAGCGCGTCCTACGCGACGACGACTTTGACGAGGCCGCCGGCGACGGGCCCAAAGCGCAGCCCAAGACGGTCAGCCTCGGCTCCTCGGGCCAGGAGCTGGTCATCGACTCGAAGCGCCGCGAGAAGCTGCTCAAGTCCAAGAAGCAGCTGCTGCGCTTCAAGGACCGCGGCCAGAAGCTCGTCTTTGACGACGACGGCAACGCGCGCCCCATCTACGAGCTCAAGGACGAGGAGGAGTTCCGCGACGAAGGCCCCGCCGAGGCCCTGCGGCAGCAGTTCGTCGACGCCGAGGCCGGGCGCGTGCGCGACGCCGACGTCGAGGACAAGGCGCTGGCGCGCGAGAAGCGCAAGGAGAAGCGGGCCAAGCGCAAGGCGCGCGAGCGCGAGGAGCTCGGCCTCGCTCCCACCAGTGGCGGTGCTGCCGCGGACGTGCAGCTCGGCGGGGCGGACGACTACGATCCCGAGGAAGGGCTGGCGCTGCTGCGGTCGCTGCCCCTCCCCGGCGAGGAGAGCGGCGGCGAGGACGAGGGCGACAGCGGCCCGCCCAAGAAGAAGGTCAAGAAGTGGTTCCAGAATGACTCGGACGTCGAGGACACGGACGGGGCGCCGGCGCGGAAGAAGGCCAAGAAGGGCGGCAAGGTCATCGAGATGGCGGAGGAGCCCGAGACGTTGGAGGACCTCGAGGCGCTGGCCACGGGGCTGCTGGATGGGTAAAGGTGGGAACTTTGGTGATGGGGAGTGGCATTATTGCATGTAGCGACTTTTTTAGTTATACCCAACGGAAAGAAAAGTACTTCTTCTGCTGTCAGCATGACTGGAGCCCGTGCCAGTTTCTCGCATCATCGTGATTGCATGCTGGCCGGCGGTACCGTAGCTAAGGGCAGGAGTCGGAACAGCCGATCTAGACTCTACCTATCTCCACACCAAGGATTCGCCTGCGTGCCAAGTAGGTAATATCTCTGATCACGATGACAATCAAGGAACAGACGGGTGCTCGTAACACCATACGAATTAAAGTCATCAAAGCAGCATCTAAGTAATCTGCAACTCCATTGAGAAGGGGGTATTCTTCCAGGCGATGAAAAAAAAGAGAAGATCGCAGAAACGCCCCTGCCCTGCCCTGCCCTGCCTACTCCTTGACCGTGAGAACAACACAACCACAAAACTCAAGAAAAAAAAACGCCTGCTTTCAAAACCCCATGCAAATGCTTTGTTTGCCCCTGTTTTCAACTCCACCCGAACCATGAAGACCCTTTCTCCTTCTCCGCTCTACTGCCACCACCACCACCACCACCGACAACAGTCTCGCCACCATGCGGGACCACATCCTCGTCCCTCCGCTCCCCGTACAGCCTCAGCCTGTAGAAGCAGGTATGGTCGTCGGACCCGGCATTCGTCACGGCCCGCACGAGCACGCTCTCGGTCGACGCGCCCAGGCTCGCCAGCTCCTGCGAGAAGCGGTAGACCTGCAGCCCGCCGCGCGACACGACGTTCTCGTACGCGAACTCGCCAATCTTGACGTAGCCCCGGGCGGCGAGGCGGTTCAGCCGCGACGCGCCGCCGCCGCTACCGCCACTGCTACTGCCACTGCTGCCGCCCTCGTGGTAGCCGCGCGACGCGAGGCCCTCGGCGCCAAACTGCGCCAGGGACCAGTCCTCGAGGACCCGCCGCAGGCGCACCTCCTGGACCTCGGCCCAGACCTCCACGTCGCGCGGCGCCGACCCGGGGTCGAGCGTGGCGGCCGGGTCGATGTGCTCGACGACAAAGTGCGTCGGCACGACGGGCACGCCGAGGTCGACGACGAGGTCGGCGGGGCCCGTGCGCTCGGGCCCCTCGCGGATGCCCGCGCACCAGCAGTCGCCGTCCTCCTGCCAGCCCTCGAGCGCCGCGCGCTTGTACGGCAGACCCGGCCCGGGGCGGCGCTCCCTGTACTCGTCCGTGCCCATGCGCGGCTGCTTGGTCACGAACGTCGGGCTCGAGTAGCGCTCGTTGACGACGGCGCCCGAGGCGAAGGAGAAGAAGTTGACCTGGTGGCTGAGCTCCTCGGCGTAGTTGGCCCGGATCTTGCCCTGCGCTACGGCCTCAAGGTGCGTGTCGCCGAGGACTTTGCGGACCGTCCTTTCGACGAGCGCGACGATTTCCTTTTCTGAGAAGCCCGAGGGTGAGGGGGTAGTCGTGTCTGTGTGGGCCTTGGTCGCGTTGCGGACAACCTCCTGCAGCTTCTCGTTTAGTTCGGCAAGCTCGGCCTTGATCTCATGCCGGTGAGGGATCATCTCCTCCCGTAGTTGTCGGAGGAACTCGTCCTTTGTGACGAGCACGTCCGAGAGCTCCTGCGACCCGCTTTTGGACTTGAGGAAGCGCATCAGCTTGTCGGCGGCCTCCTGGTCAGTGTCGCCAGGCTTAATGGCGTCGACTCCCAGGATTTCCTTTACCCTGTTGCTGTTGCTCCGAATGTAGGACTCCCACGATTTGGCCATCGCGTCCTGGGCAATCTTTCCCACCTCGCCTGCGGACAGTGCGTCGTTATCCTGCGTACGAAACCCGCTCCTCTCCAGCCGCCCCTTCAAGGTCGCCCATTGCAGATCTGAAATGTCGTATTTGCCATCCTTTGCCCTTTTCAGCGTGAAGAACTCCTTGTCTGCGCTGATGAGGTCTCGCAAGGCATACCAGAAGTCCTGCGGGATGATCTTGTTGCCTTTGCTGTCCTTCTCCAGGCGCACGACGGAGGGGATGATTTTCCTCAAATTTTCCACAGCAGTGTCGTGCCCACTCGCTCTATCCTTCAGCTTGGCGATCTGGTTATCGTGGCTGCCAAAAGCGCTTTGCAAATTATTAAACTCCTCGTCGCTAATGGCGCCTAGTGGGTGTAGTAGGCTGTATGGGACGAATTGCTGTATGTTCTTCCGCCAGTCGCTCCCGTACCAGTGTAGGCGGTTGTCAAGACGGTAACTCCCGTATTGCTCGGGAGTCATCGTGCTGATAACAATGACGCGTATTGCTATCCAGCTGAGGACTAGGAATGTAATCGCTGTGGCCATCTTGTTCCACATATCCCCCAGCTTCCTCATGCTCTTGCCTGCTCCCTGGATAAAGGTTGGGTCGTCAGGTATCCTAGAATTTGCTGCCTGGTGTTGATGAGCCTCATTGACACGGGATCTAAGTTGTGATTGTCGTTGGAGAGGATCTTCCTCCTCCTCTCTTTCGATAATTTGCGTGCTGGGTTTCCTGCGACCGTCCCTCCTCTTAGGAGTCGCCTGGTTCTGGTCGTCATCCTCCACAGCCCGAGCGGGCTTGCTCCTAGCCGACCGCTTGCTGAAGCTGCCTGACGCTGCCTCTGCCCCCACAATCTTGCGCGCCGGTCGCTTAAGCCGGACGCCGCCTCTCTCCTTGCCACCGCCGCGCTGATTCCTGGAAATGGGAGGCATGGCGTCTTCTCCCTCACTCAAGTCCGACTCTCCCACTGGCGATAAATCTCGTGGATTGCTACGTTTGCTAGGCCCTGGGTTTCGAAATTGTGGCGGCGACGACTGGAGCTCGTCCTCGTCGCTCAGATTTGCGTTTGCGAACAACCGCCGGCTTGCTTTGCGCGCGCTGTTGCGTAACCTGCTGGATATGGATTCTTGCGGAGAGGAAGCTTCTTCTTGTTCCTCCCTGTTCCGATTTGGTGTTGGCTGTAGCTGTTCAACGGGTTGCGATTGCCTGCTCTTCTCTGACCGGTCTATCGTTTGGCGGGATGATCCTGCCTGGTTTGGCAGCGACGACCCGCTGTCCTTGCTCAGGTTCGTCGGCCGAAGCTGATTTCTACCTGCCACTAGGTCGGCGCGCCGTGACAGAGCTTCGACATTCGGTGACGGGCCTGGCGTAAAAACCTTGGCATTTCCAAACACGTTGCTCTCTTCTATAAAGCTCCGCGTTGACATGGGTGGATTTGGTGTGAATTTGTGGTGAGAGGGCGGCTCCGAGAACAACCTGCGAACACTACTCGACAGGTGAAGGGCCGTACTCCGGGGTTGTATAGCCGACGAAGGCGGCTGTACTGATGATGATCTGGGGAGGTTTGTCCTCTGGGGGCGGGGTGTGATTTGTTCCCGCTCTTCGACGGTCTCTATTAGCTCGACAATGTCGTCATCGTCGTCCTCCTGGGACTCGCGCTCCTCGGCAATCCGCCGCAGCCTGTCGGCCTCGTTCTTCCTGCTGGCCTCCTGGGCCTCCCGTTCGGCGCGCTGTCTAGCGTCCCTCCGGTTGTCCTCCTGGACCGCGCTGAGCACGGATCCGAACGCGCCGGCGAGATCGGTGCCGTGGGCGCCGACGACCTGCCTCTCGGGAGCGGCAGTCGGCGGCGAGCCGTACGACGTGCTGTATTTCGCGGGGCTTGCCTCCATGGCCGCCGTCACAGCTGCGTTGCGGAGCCGCGCCGTGGACGAGGTGCGAGGTACCGATGCGCGACTGCGCTGGTCGGCGACGACCGGGTCGGGGCCGCGGGTGGAGGCCCGGGTGCTACGCTTGGGCGGCATGATGGGGAATGTACGCTGCCCAAGGAAGGTCTCGAGTCTTGTGGTGTAGGTGAAGTCCCTTGAACAGAGAGTGAATGGGGTGTGAGAGCGGTGATGACTTGCCAGGCAGAGATGAGATGAAGGTGAGGGCTTAGGTCACAATGAGAGGAAAGTAAATCTTCGCGACGGCGACTTGGTTATGGTGGGACAGTGGCAGGACTAAGCGGTGATCGTGCAAAAAAGCAAGTTTGCGATTTGCATGCCAGCAATATCACCAAGTGAAGCTCTGGCGACGTTCGTGAGAGTAAGGTGACAGGATGGTGGTGAGCAGGAAGTCCAGTGGTGAAATGTCCACGGCTCCTGTCCGAAGTGGATTGACGAGAACAAAGAGCTTCGTCGAGCTTCACTGCCCTCACTGGGCCGAGGTGATAAAATTTGGGCTTGTCCGGTCCGTAGATGCTGCTGAGCGTGGTGATGCTTGTGCTCGATTCTGATGGGTTTGGGCGCCGCGGCGGTGGCTGGTCAGTCGCGCTGGCGGTTGAATGGGCTGCATGGGGGGGTGAACAAAGAAAGCTCTTTGTTCTCGTGGCCCGGTCGCAAACGGAGAAGTGCGCTCAAACAATTTAATTATCGGGTGCCCATCGTGCTTCCATCCCTCTACCCGTCGTCATCGTAATCATCAGTCGTTTTCCGAATGCGGGTGTGTTGAAGCCGGTGATCGATGGCTGGGTCCCAAGCTTCGCCTTTGATGGATCGAACGCGTCTTTCAGGTGCAGCGCTGTGGTTTTTGGTGGAGCCCAGCCTAAGAGCGTGTTGGAGCTATGGCCGCCGCGCCCAGACGTCCAGCCTCCAGGCCTGTGGCTCCCCGCCAAAATAACGGCCTCGCTGTTAGGTTCCGTGGCTCCACGTGATCAGAACTGCTCCTTTTTGAATTTCGAAAGTATCTTGACAATCAATCTCGAGGAACAACAAGCCGAACGCGCTGCTCAACATTGAAGTGCAAGGACATTCATGTCTGGAAAGGAAGAGATCCTAGGTCTTATCGCGAAGGCTCTCATAGAACAGGCGAGCATTCAATACAATCTCCGCTTCCGGCCCTTCAGACTTGTCCCTCTGCTCGAGTCCATCGACACCCTGATTCCTGATTGCAGATCTCAACGCACTTCAAGCAGGCCAATGACATTCGCAGTTCAAGTCATTAATTGCGATTCGCTTACTCTATCAACTTCCAAGGTTGACCATGAAACGTAGCGTCATCGGACCCTCCATCTCCAGATAGCGTGATGGAGCCTACCTAAGCCTGTGCCCGAGACAGCGGACGGGAATCACAAGCACACACTCGCACTCTGGATGCCAAAACCCTTCCGCTTCATTGCCCCACGTTGCGAGCTTCGGTGGATCCGTGGCCCTAGCGAGATTCGATGTGCGCTCATCCATCCCACTTCTGTCGCGCCGGCGACCTCTAAATGGAATGGATGCGGTGAGGGCAAGTTTCTGCCTGCCATCATTAAGCCGCAGTCTGTCCTTTTCACAGGTTCTGCTCCTGAAGGACTCGACTTGATATCTCCTCCTGTGCCCAGCAGCAACTACAGCATATTCTACGGTCAAGATGGTTGTCGGAACTGTTCTCGTCACCGGGTAAGCCACATCAATCAATCCCCAGTCGCAATTGCTTGGAACCCCTCCACATCACGTCAATTCAACCCCACCACCGCAAGGTAGGTAGGTATCTACAGCAAAACAATAGGGTCTCGCGATCACAAAGACGCCATGCCATGCCACGGAAAATCACATCGCACAACACTGACCGCGCACGCGTAGTGGCACGGGCTACATCGGCTCCTTCACCTCGCTGACCCTGCTCGAGAACGATTACCAAGTCGTCATTGTCGACAACCTCTACAACTCGTCCGAGGTCGCCCTCGACCGCATCGAGCTCATCTGCGGCAAGCGGCCCATCTTCCACAAGGTCGACATCACCGATGAGGCCGCTCTCGACAAGGTCTTCGAGGCTCACCCGGAGATTGACAGCGTCATCCACTTTGCTGCGCTCAAGGCAAGCTTCTTTCCCGCGCCCCTGTTGTCTCTCTCTCTCCTGGCGACGCATCAAGCCCCCTTTGAATCAGCTCGACTAACACAGGGCCCCAATCAAACGCATAGGCCGTCGGCGAGTCTGGCGAGATCCCCCTCGAGTACTACCGCGTCAATGTCGGCGGCAGCATCAGCCTCCTCCGCTCCATGGAGCGCCACAACGTCACCAACGTCGTCTTCTCCTCCTCGGCCACCGTCTACGGCGACGCCACCCGCTACCCTAACATGATTCCCATCCCCGAGCACTGCCCCATCGGCCCGACCAACACCTACGGCCGCACAAAGTCCATGATCGAGACCGTCATCACCGACCACGTCAACGCCCAGCGCAACAACCTCCAGAAGGCCGGCAAGGCCTTTGAGCAGTGGAACGGCGCCCTGCTGCGCTACTTCAACCCCTGCGGCGCCCACCCCTCCGGCCTCATGGGCGAGGATCCCCAGGGCGTCCCCTACAACCTGCTGCCCCTGCTCGGCAGGGTCGCTACGGGTGACCGCCCCAAGCTCCTCGTCTTTGGTGACGGTAAGCAAAGAGACACTCACTGAACCTCCGGGTCAGCTGCACGCCGCGCATAGGACACAATCAGTCTAACACATGCCGCGACTCTACCCAGACTACCCCTCCAGGGACGGCACCGCCATCCGCGACTACATCCACGTCGTCGACCTGGCCAAGGGCCACCTGTCGGCGCTCAAGTACCTGCGCGAGAAGAAGCCCGGCCTGCTGGCCTGCAACCTCGGCTCCGGCCGCGGCAGCACCGTCTTCGAGATGATCAAGGCCTTCAGCAAGGTCGTCGGCCGCGACCTGCCCTACGACGTCGTGCCCCGGCGCCAGGGCGACGTGCTCGACCTGACGGCCAACCCGAGCATGGCCAACGAGCTGCTCCACTGGAAGACGGAGCTCGCCATGGAGGACGCCTGCGCCGACCTGTGGAAGTGGGTCAGCAACAACCCCAAGGGCTACCGGCAGGACCCGCCTGCCGAGCTGCTCGAGGCCCTCAAGAAGAGCAAGGCCTGAGCGAGCTTGGTTGAGAAGTCGGGGCATTTGAAGAAGATAGTAAACAATGGGAAGAGTCTGGACGATTCGTAGGGTCGTTGTGTTGTTGCCAGCGTTACAATGGAGAGAAAAGGAAACCTTATGGGTCACAGTAATGGGTCGTAGATTATTATCATTTTTGTCTCTCTCACATACATCCGGAAAAGCAAGCATCGCGCCCATATCATAGCCGATAACAAACACGCATAACTTTAATGAATAGACATATCATATGACCGCTCCATCATGCTTTTATGCTTTCCCTACTACAGCTTGAGCAGGAGCTTACCCGTCGTCTTCCTGCCCTCGAGGTCCGAGTGGGCGCGCGCCACCTCCTTGAGCGGGTACGTGTCGTGGACCCTGACCTCGACCTTGCCCGTCATGATGAGGTCGAACAGCTCCTTGCTGTACTTTTCGATCTCGTCGCGCGTGACGAGGTAGTTGAACAGGACGGGCCGCATGAGCTTGATGTTCTTGGGCCCGAGGCGCAGGATGTCGACGGGCGGCACGGGGCCGGACTAAGGAAGGGGGGGAGACACACATCAACATTAGCAAATTGTCACTCCTCCTACTTCTCCCCCTCCCATTTCAGCCTCTGAATAAAAGACTCACCGCGTTGCCAAAGCTGATCAGCGTCCCCTTGCGCGCAATCATCTGCAGGTCCGCCTCGAACGTCGCCTTGCCGACGCCGTCAAAGACGACGTCGGCGCCGTGCCCGCCCGTGATCTCGAGCACCTTGGCCGCGAGCCCGTCCTCGCGGCTGTTGACGACCCACTGCGCGCCGTGCCGGCGCGCGAGCTCGCACTTGTCGGCGCTGCCCGCCGTGCCGATGACGCGCGCCCCGCTGGCCGCGAGCATCTGCACGAGCTGCAGGCCGACGCCGCCGGCGGCCGCGTGCACGAGCGTCCAGGGGCCCTGGCCGACGCCGAGCGTGGCCCCCGCGCCGCCGCCGGCGTGGAGGCCCGCGGCCTCGCGGACAAAGGTCAGGGCCGTGAGGCCCTGCAGCAGGGAGGCGGCGGCCTGGGCGGTCGTGATGCCCTCGGGCAGGCGGAGGACCTTGGCGGCCGGGACGGCGGTGTAGGCCGCGTAGGCGTGGTCGTGGAGGTAGCCTACGCGGTCGCCGACTTTGAGGTCCGAGCCCGAGAGGGCCGGACCCAGGGCCGCGACGGTGCCGGCTGCTTCCTTGCCGGTGACGAGCGGGAGGGGCGCTTTGTAGAGGCCTGTGCGGAAGTAGCTTTTTATGCCGAAGATTGAATTGTTAGTGTCAAGTGTGCATTGGTGCCAATACGATTGTACGAGACAGAGGGAGAGAGCGTGGGCGAGACTTGGTGTAGTCGCCTTCGCGTTTGGGTGAGAAGCATGATGGATGCATGAGAGGCGGTCACTCACGTATCGATGTAGTTGACGCCGATGAGCTCGTTCTTGACGAGGACCTCGCCCTCCTTGAGCTCAGGGACGGGCAGGTCCGTCTTCCACTTCAGGACCTCGACGCCGCCGTTCTCCTCGATGAGGACGCCGGGCATGGTCTTGGGGACGTCGGCCATGATGTCGTTTGCTGTGCTTGTGGGGTGCGAATGCGGGGTAGCTTGCTTGTGAGAGTGGTGAGCCTCCGAGTAGCTTCTTTGGAGAAGACGGGGTTTAATTCGAATTGGGTTCCAGTGCTCCGGTCGACGGAGTCGTGGGGTGATATACAAGCTTCCTGATATGATGATGCTCGGGGAAGTAGGGTGGCGCGGAGAGCTGGTACTAAAAGCTCTTCGAAAGATGTGTAGTCGTACGGCGGCATTCATGGTCAACGTGATGTAATCAAGCAATCAAAGCGATTCCCCTCATCATGCTCAAGCTTCGGCAGTCGTCTGAGTGGTAATTCGTTAGATTTCCAAAGTCTGGAGCCTAGTCATTTCTAATCCATCTCCGTGTATAACACTACTCTTGAGAACAGCCTGGGTCAATGATCGCCCAAGCTGCCCATAAGCTCAGTTACTCTACCTTGACCAAGCAGTGACCAAGCATTGCTTAAGCTTCAGTAACACTCCGAGCTATGAAAGGACTGCGAACTCGGCGCGACCGCTGTTGTCCACCCCACCACAACAGCGACGAGAGCCGATGTCAACCGCCACGAACTGATTCCGCCCGCCTGGTCGGCTTTTCCGACAAGATATCGGGAGGGACGACAGCGTCGACATGCATCACATACCAGGACAGTTGCAGAAGGTGGCTTGCATTCAACAAGTAGCTGTCTTCCTCGGTGTCAAATTACTTTCTAGCGCGCTGGTCTGTTGAAGTAATTGGCTTCAGTTATCGTACGAGACAGTACCGAGAACGAAGAGCCGGCGCCGGACCCGCATAATTGTACCTGCAACTTAAAATACGGGTTCGCCGCTCCGGGATTGTCTTCTCACATCCATCAACTCCATGTATTCGAAGGGGGGTTTCAAATATTGATAAGCAGCTTACAGAGCAAGGGAGACCGCAACCATGCCCAACATTGTCGTAATCGGGTGAGACAAGCCTCGCTTCCGGACGATCTCCCGGACGAGCTTAACTTGCTGACCGCATATCACTCAGCGCCGGCGTCACGGGTCTCACGACAGCACTGCTGCTGGCGAGGCGAGACGGCCACAATGTCACCGTGGTGGCCAAGCACATGCCCGGCGACTATGACATAGAGTACACCTCGCCGTGGGCCGGCGCAAATGTGCTACCGTGAGTTGCTAGAGCGGCGTGCCGGGGTGTGACACACATGGAGGCATCTAACGAAGCGCGAGCAGGATGGCCGAAGCCAGCAACGACAGGTGGGAGCGCCGCTCATGGCCCGAGCTGAAGCGCCTGGCCGAGGAGGTCCCCGAATCGGGCATTCACATCCAGAGTGAGAAAGACCCTACCCTGTTACCTGCCGCGAGGCGGACAAGCGCATGAGAAGTCTAGTCTAACACGAGTTGAAACCATAGGGTCCGTCGTCCTCCGGCGCAACAAGGACCTCGCACTCCACGGCACGGCCGGCCGGCGGCTGCCCGACCCCCTCTTCGCCGCCAAGCCTTGGTACGCCGACATGTTCGACGACTACCGCGAGCTGCGCCCGGACGAGCTGCCCGAGGCCGCCGACTCGGGCTCCGCCTGGACCTGCGTGTGCATCAACACGGCGCTCTACCTGCCCTACCTGGTCGGCCAGTGCCGCAAGGCCGGCGTCGTCTTCCGCCGCGCCAGCCTCAAGCACGTCAGCGAGGCGCGCGGGATGAGCCACACGGGCGCGCCGCGGGCCGACGTCGTGGTCAACGCCTCGGGCCTGCTGGCCTGCCGGCTGGGCGGCGTGATGGACGCCAAGGTGCAGCCGGCGCGGGGCCAGATCGTGCTCGTGCGCAACGAGATCGCGCCCATGATGACCATCTCGGGCACCGACGACGCCGAGGACGAGCTCTTCTACCTGATGCAGCGGGCCTCGGGCGGCGGCACCATCATCGGCGGCACCTACGCCGTGGGCAACTGGGACCCCAACCCGGACCCCAACATCGCGAACCGCATCCTCGAGAGGGCGCTCAAGATCCACCCGGCGCTCAAGGGCAAGACGGTCAAGGACCTCGACGTCGTCCGCCACGGCGTGGGCCTGCGGCCGTACCGCGAGGGCGGGCTGCGGCTGGAGAGGGAGAAGATTGACGGGACGTGGGTGGTGCACAACTATGGGCATGCGGGCTGGGGATACCAGGGGTCGTATGGCTGCGCCGAGGGGGCGGTCGAGATTGTGGATGACATTCTTGTTAACGAGCTGTCAAGGGTGTCGTCTAAGCTGTGAGGTGAAAGCTAGACAATGGACCTGGGCAGCTATCTCATCCAATAACGTTTACTCGACAGAGGCAGCCTGGACGTGATTGTCAAGGCGACGCCAATGTGCCAATGTGAGGGGACCTGTGGATGCTTACAGCGAGGCCATGCCAAACACCACCGCCGATTAATCATCACGGCAAAACACCCCGGGAACCACGAGTCACACATGAACAGTCCTAACTCTCTACCTTGTGGATTCTGCAAAACAACGACATCCACTCTGGGCATCCTCTGGGCACTATGGAACATCTAGACCTCTCAAACAGTCATCTCGACAACAGCAAGTTCCCGGCTGTGCACCAGCCCATACCTTCCCACACTCATCAACCCCACCGTCAGAGGTTCCGAGTCCCTCTTCCCAGGGCCTTGAACCCCTACGGCTCGATCCTAGGCTTTCAGCGCGATGTGATCACTCTCGCCTTGGCGCCGCCGACGCAGGTGACCGGCCTCATCGTGCTCCGAATCCCACTGCGGCACATCTTCCAAGGCTACCTGGACCAGGCGGTGTGTGTTGGCGCCGTCATCCGAGATATCTAGTATCTCGGTGCGTATTCTGTAGCCCCGCCATCGCGGGAGAATCCACATCCACAATGCGTAGTAGATGAAGCACAGCACGATACTGTCACGGATCATATTAGTCACATCAGAACGTTGAAAAAAAAAAAAAGGGGGGGGGGGGGGGGGGGGGGGGGGGGGGGGGGTGTGAAGCTACCTACGGTACTTTGGGCGATCTGACGAGATGTGTAGCATTGAAACTATCTAGTGATGTGAAATGAGGGATTCAAGCATATCCTTGTGACTCTTTCCAGATCCGTAAGTCCATTTTCAGCAGCCTATACCATACCATTAATACTGGTCGAGATAATTCTCCTCTTTAGAACATGCAAGGCATCTCGCGCCATCCGTGCTTAGGGGCTGTCGGTGTTTCTCCCGGAGCGTATATGACCACGTTCGTCGCGGGCGATGGTTCACGCCCCTTGTCTTTCTCACCACTTGCTAGTACCAAGCCTTTTACCTTGCGGTTCAGGAGGTCGCCGAGTATCGAGTGTCCGTACGGGGTAGTCGTTCCAGGAAGAACCGGAGGTGGCACCACACCGGGGCGCGGTTGGTAGTGGAATAGCCTGTGGTAGATGCCCTCTGCTTTGCGTTCGATCTCGTAGTGGCGGGCCCAGCCTGCCGCATTATCAAATGGGTAGTACTGATGCTCATAAACGCGGATCCTTACGGTTGCGTTAGCACGATTATTCTGCGAGGAGGTAGGATTGCTACCTTGGATAGGGATACAGCTTACCGATAAGTGCTGTCAAACGACACAAGATCCCTGATGTCGGCTTGCTGCACCCACGCCTTGCTTGTACCCCAGAGGTACGCGACTACTAGCCAGTTGCCAGTGAGCCAGTAAGGATATCCGATCTCCCGCTCCGAGAAGACACACCGTCTGCCCCAGATCAGATTAGAGCCAAGGGAATATCGTCTGAACACCTTGCCCCCTTTGACAGCGCGGTCCCTCCAGCTCTTCACCCCGCTACTGTCTTCGCTCAGTTGCTCAGGCAGGTTGGTCATCAGGAACCGCAGGTGAAGATACCAGGGTGCCTTTCCACGCAGTTTCTTGGTCTGGAACTCGGCGGGGACGTGGTGAGTCTCGGTAACCCATTTGAATGACCTGGGTTTGGGGATAGGTGAAGGCAACAGGCTTGTAGAAAGCTCTCGATCCTCGGCGACTTTCGTGGGCGAAAACTGGTTCCTGTTTTTGGCCTGATGACGCTTGTATCGTTTCGCAATGGCCTTGTTGTCGTCCTCGTTGTTGATATCCCGGAAATAATTCTCGGGTGGCTGACTGTCGAACATTTTGTGTATCGTTATGGTGAGAGGTCTCGAGATAGAGTATGTGAATAGATAGTTTAATGTGAGTATCAGGATAAGATTGTGGATGCACGAACAAGAACGTTGAAGAGATGGCAAGCAAGCCAGCCAGGTTGATATATTAATCAATATTTTCAAGAGGATGCAGTGGCTTTAAGGAAAATTGGTTCGGGCTTTGTGCAAACCAAGGACTGCCAAATATTACGGGAGTAAGAGCAAGTTTGTATTCCATGTTTGAGCCTCGCTAGGTCCAATCGCTCCATCGTGTGCCCTTCCAGTAGGCATAACCGTGTTTCTCAAACTGCGGGCCTTCAGCTTCGACGATGTAACCTGGTTCACATCGAGAGTATTTGATCGAGGGTTGCTGTTTGTAAAAAGCATCGAATCTGGGCGACAGCGCATCTCTGAGCGAACCAACATTCCCCTGGGGATGGAGGGCTTGCCAGGGTCGAGTACAGGTGCTGCCCTTGCAAGACTTGGTCACAAACAACAACGCATCTAGCCTCGAGACAATGGTGTCGACAGAATGACCCAAGAGCGTAGAAGGGCTCTTGGTATCTGGGTGGAGCAGGTTGTTCAGTTGCCCTGGGTCGGTCTGTATAGTCGTCTCGGTTAGCTTTTTGCCTTATATTGTAAAGGCTGACCAGGATGGCTACCCACATTCAGATCGTACAGCTCGTGCTCATTGCTGCACCATACAGAGTAGTAGAGGTTGTACTCTTTGGATATCACTCGGAGCGATTTGTAGGTGTTGTTGGTGATCCAGAATGTTTCGTTTGAGCCAAACTGACCCCACGCGCCTTCAGAGAGAGAAATGCCCCAGTATTCTACAGTGACGTGCTCGTGTCTCGTCTCTTTCGCGTCCTCCAGACCTTGCTCCGTGAGCGGGACGAAGACTCCATCGAATTCAGAAGAGGGATGATCTGCTTGGGCCAGATTGAGAAAGGTCGGAAGCAAGTCTGTGTGCGTCGTGACAATCTCAGAGACTTGGCCAGCCGGCACACCAGGGCCACGCACGATGAGCGGAATGTTCACGTCTTCTTCGTACCCACACTCCTTTCCGGGCTGCAGCCGGTGCTGACCAATGTGGTAACCGTTGTCTGCGGAATAAAAGACGTAGGTGTTGTCCAGGATGCCAGCAGCCTCCAGCTTCTCGAAGACGCTGTCGACGAGCTCATCCACGGCCTGTAGCGCCCGCAGACGCTGACGGTAGAAGTGGTCATTGAACGCAACGTTGGCCTCGGGCTGCTTGGGCTGTTGCCGGATCCAGCTTGCCCCCGACTCCTTGTCCGGGTTGAAATTCTCGGTGCGAGGCACAACAACATCCTGGAACAGATGCTTATGCCGCTCAGCTGCGATGGGCGGCTTCATAACAGACTTGCCATCGGCACCACCGATCATGAAAGTAGCAGCTTCGCCTCGTGCTTTTAACTCTCCGGGACCCAAGTCGATAGGGAAAGGGTCCACATGGGCGTGCGGTGCCGTCACGCCCACACCAAGGAAGAACGGCTTGTCGCTGCCAAGCGCCTCGTCCAAGAGCCCAAGGGCCTTGCCGGCGAGAACGTCGGTGGTATACTCGCCCTCGTGGTTGATTGGAGGGTCCCGGTTGCGCTGGAAAGTGGCGTTCAAGTACTGGTAGGTATAAGGATCCAGGAGAAAGTCAGAGGACGTCCAGCCCCTGGGGTAGGGATCCGCATAGTTGTCCACCGTGTGAGCATTGAAGAGCTTCCCGGTGTAATACGTATTGTAACCGGCCTCCTGGAGGAAGACGGGAAGGTATGCGTCGTTATGGCCCTCTGAGACGAACTTGGGAAAGCCACCTGATTCAATGATGTAAGCTCACGCCCTTTCATTCAACATGGATCGACGGATTGACTCACCGTACGGAGGGGTGACATCGGTCACATTTGTGTTATGTGCCAATTTCCCAGTGAGCAGAGATACCCGTGAAGGACAGCAGACAGCTGTGGTGCAGAAATGGCGCTTGAAGAATGTCCCCTGTTCGGTGATATGCTTCTTGGTGAGCGGCATATAGTCGAGTGAGCCCATGTGGAGGTCCTGATCGTCAGTCAAGATGAAGACCACGTTGGGTCTTCTCTGTCCGGACTTCCCGCCAGCAATACCGTCATCTTTACCGGATCGAATCAAATCTCCTAGATGTTGCAGGGGTTTCTGAAGAAAGTTATCCAGTGAAGAAGCAGCTGCTAGCCCAGAGAGGAGCACAAAGGCCCGAGGTACAGCTCCAGATAGGCGGACCATGATCTCAAATCTTTGTCTATCTCACTCCTGCATCCACTGAAGAGAAGATAGACACATCGAGATATATTCTGGTGCAACTTTCCGTGAATTAGCTGCATGAGCTCATCCGTCGTCGACTGGCGTGCGAATTCGCCATCGTGGGGCTTGATGATGAACGGAGGTCGGAGTGAATCGGACATCGGTCACAGCACCGAGAGCCGACCACCTCCAGATTAGCTTCTTTGCCCCAAAGTTGGTCCCTCTACTAGCCACTGGTAGCTTGCATTGGCATTCGGTAATTCTTTTATCACCAAGAATCTCAAGAAGACCTTGGGCCCTGCGGTTCTCCTCTCCTGTGCAGTGGTAGCAAGACGTGGGGTGCACGTCTCCATTGCATCTTGGTTTCCTTCTCAAGACCTTGCGCGTTCTTCCCAAGATTGGACTCTAGCCACCAATCATGGCTTTAAAAGCGAAATCAACATCTAGCCAGCCTGACGAGCGGACACCACTGGTGGCTGGGCGGAGCAGGACGAGCAGCACTGCATCGTCGACCTCGGAATCCCAATCTCTTCTCTCCGCAGAAGCCATCTCTCAGGATGCCTCACAAGCACCCGTACCGTGGTTCAGGATCCTCATCCCTCGTTTCTCTTTGCGGTCGTCCCACAAAACGGGTACGGATGAGGAACAGCAACCGCAGCCCGATGCACCATCAAAATTCTCAAAGGCTTTCGTTCTCAGGGTTGTGACAGTCTTGATCATTGGGAACCTGATCGCCAATGCGGATGCATCCCTTGTTCTTGCAACGCATCCTACTATCGCGTCAGAGTTCAACGACTTGGAAGATTCGGCATGGCTGTTCACTGCCTTTACGCTGGCGGGCTGTGCCACGCAAAGCATCGTAAGTCGCTGCTTGGACGGCGATGACCATAATCGTCCAAAGACATTGGTGCTGACTCGACAATGATTGATTAGTTTGCGGAACTAAGTGACATATATGGAAGGCAAGCGTTGCTAGTAGTGGCGTATTTCACCTTGGCTCTCGGATGGTAAGAAACTATCTTTCGTGGTGTTTCCAAAGCGGATACTTACGAGACGCTCTCAACCCTCAGCTTTGTTGTGGGAATTGGATCTTCGATGGGGCAAGTCATTCTAGGGAGAGTTGTATCAGGAAGTGGAGGTGCTGGTATGGGCGTGCTCTCAATGCTGCTTGTCACGGGTAAGCTCGTCTTGCCGTTTGCTTCCCTTTCCAGGTTACGGTTGCTTACTTTTCGTCCAGATCTTGTGCCTCTGCGAGATATCGCGGCGTGGCAAGCCGGCATGAATCTTTTGGCAACCCTCGGCCGAAGCCTTGGTGGCCCCGTCGGAGGGTGGCTTGCAGATACTATCGGTTGGCGGTGGTCATTTCTCGGCCAAGCCCCAATATTCTTACTGACTTTGGTTTTGAGTGTCATTCTCATACCATCTCACATAGGCCGACGCAACCGCACTGTTGAAGTGCCACCTACGTTGGCCGCGGATTCGTTACCTGAACAGAGCGGTACGAGTCAGCAACAAAGCAAGCTCTCTTTACTAGCAAGAGTCGACTGGACCGGCTCAGTCTTGCTATCGCTGGTTATCCTGACTCTGCTTCTTCCAATTGAAGTTGGCGGCACCAAGATCCCCTGGACTCACCCGTTGATGTTCATCCTCCTCGGCTCAAGCGTTCTACTTGCCGGACTATTCTCGATCAACGAGAGTCGTTGGGCCAGGCATCCCGTTTTCCCCATTTCTCTTCTCACAGATCAAACCGTTGTCCTGTCATACCTCATTGCAGGGTCACAGACTGCTGCGCAACTTGGCCTGATGTATTCCGTCCCACTCTATTTTCAGATCACACAAGGAGTCTCGAATACTGCAGCTGGAGCGTACTTGTTTCCTGGCGTTGCTGGCAATGCAATCGGCGGTATTCTGTCGGGGATCATCATCAAAAAGTGAGTATCATTTGTCAATTTGGAACCGGATGCGCGAACAAGGATTAACAAACTCTCAATGCAGAACGGGTCAATACAAGACGACTATGATCTTGGGGGCTCTCGCCTCATCTATTGCGTATCTTGTACTTCTGGTCCGATGGCATGGCCACACCAATGCCTGGGAGGCGCTCTTTATCTTGCCTGGCGGTTTTGGACTTGGTATGGTAGCATCTGCCACATTTATCAGCGTCCAGGCCGCCGTGAGCCGCTCCACCAAGGCTGCCGCCACATCGGGCATGTACCTTATGATGTCCATCGGCATGATCATCGGCCTTGCGGGAGTTGGAGCCGTAGTGACCGAAGTCATGACAACTTCTCTGGCATCACGGCTTGCTGAGATGGGCCTCGACGAGAATACGAGACAGGAGGTGAGTTTGTCACTCATTCCACGAACAAGTCCCTTGTTTCCGGAGAGCGCTAACATTTCCTCCCAAGATTGTCCGAAAAGCAGCGTCAACAGTGGACTACATCCGGCACACAGACCCTACGATCTCCAAAGAGATCGTCGCCGCTTACGTCAAAGGCTTGTCGTATGGCCATGCTCTCTCTTTGGGTCTCTCTGTGTTCGCCCTGTTGGCTTCTTTTGTTGTAAGAGAGCGGCGAATTTAAGAAACGATAGAAACATACATGTTCGAGGGTTATCGATAGAGATTCCTCAGCTAAGGTTGGTAATACGACTTTCAAGCTATCACATTTGACTTAGCATCAAGGGTAGCGGGTGCAGTAAATGCGGGCTTGAATTTTGGTATAGAATATTCAGATTAAGTTGAGCCAGGCTAGTAAATCCAATATTTTCATACTGTTCATGTAGCTCCGATACCCCGATGTTGAGTAAGGAGTGGACTGCGCGGCGTGCCAGCAGCAGAACGTCGATGTGGAGCCGAATATAAATAGCCCCGAACCCCCACATCTTTCCACAGCCCGGCATTTGCATCATCGCCACAACAATTCATCAACACTTCACAGACATGGCAGGCGAGGGTAGGAGAATGGATCCTCGCTGGCCTAACGGGGCCAGAGCGGCCATCAGCTTCACCATGGACAATCTAGGCGAGGCGCAAGACGTCAACAAGGGAGTGTGGCCGGCGGACCAGCCAGTCGGAAACCACTTCTCGGTCCGGGAAAATCTGCCCCGCATGCTGGATATGCTGGACAAGCACGGCATCAAGGCGACCTATTTTGCCGAGTCCTGGAGCCTCGATGTCTACCCGCAGGTTATCAAAGAACTCCAGACCCGGGGACACGAAGTGGCCTGGCACGGCTTCCAGCACGAGGTGTGGAGCAGTCTCTCGCAAGCCGACGAGGAGCTCAACTTCAAGAAGAGCTGGGCTAAAGCGTCGGAAGCCGGCATCCAGTACAAGGGCTTCAGGCCGCCCGGAGGCTCGATCAACGATAGGACATATGGCCTGTTCCAGCAGTACGGCATCAAGTACGTGTCTCCTCTCGACAAAGGAGCAAGCAAGGTGCGCGGGGTCACGGTCTTGCCATTTGACTGGAGGGAGGTTGATGCATTCTACTACATGGAGAAGTTTGCATCTATCAGAAAGAATTATGGGGAGTCGGAGGCTCCATTGTCTCCGAGGGCCTTCCGGGATCATCTACTAGCTGAGATGAAGTCATTGGTCGAAGCTGGCGGATACATGTCCATTCTCTTTCACCCTTTCTTGCAAACATCTGAGGAAAAGTTTGCAGTTCTTGAGGAGGTCCTGGGATATCTGTCCAAGCAAAAGGGGATCTGGTGTGCACCCTGTGAGCAAGTAGAGGAATGGCTGGCCGATCACCCGGAGTCGATGAAGACCGAGAAATAAAACACCTCCGTTTGATGTAATAACTCGAGGAGCGACAAGTCTAGTCGATGCCATGATCCTATAGCCAACGCCAATCCCCCCACGACGTTTATAGCCTGTTTCCGAAAGCGGCGATGAAAGCTTCTTGCCACCATGTGTCGATATTTCATAGCTTCAAACAAAATACACATCATCGGCCCGCCTATTGCATCATCGGGATCCGGATATAACTTGCCGCCCGCCAGGGCCATAATATGGCTCGAGCACCACCGGTTAATCACCTATGTCTCCGAGGGGGACATCATGACGCTTGATCAGGTGTAAAAGGAGGTAGCAGTCTTCATATTTTGCAACATATTCCTGTTGTTCCATGAACGTGCGGGGTCGGAAGTGAGATAATACCTCTGGAGACGGCTCAAGACTTCCACGTGAGAAAACTGGTCTGATCGCCTGGGTAAGGCAAATACCGGGATCCCTGTCAATGGAGATCGATCGTCGGGCCATGCAGGAGAACTGCTCATCGACTGCTAGCTGCCCTGCATGATTGCATGGTCATGATTCGTCAAGCAGTATAGCCGTTGACGTTTCATCTATGTATGTCCCAGGAACGGACACATAATGAATCCTTATTTGCGGGAGCTCTGATGGCTTTATCAGGCAGGTCCAAGCGCCAAGCCTTTTGCGGTTCCCTGAATATGAGCATCTGCCTTTGTTGACTTGAGTATCACCATAGCCTTATCGAAGAACATTCCTAATCAACAACAGATCTGAACTCGGTCAAACATGCTGCGGTATCCAAGACGATGAACACTGGAGATTCAATGCAAACAGACTACTTCCGTTCAATGCAGATCCAGGAAAGGAAATAATACACAAACACGGCCTGGCTATCATACTCATTACCCCGTTAATTATTGGGACGGGTCTGGCACTTATCATCTAATCAAATACCGGTGCGGATTAGATAGTTAACGGGGTCGATATAATGACACAAACCGGGGAACACCCTGCTGGGCGTCACCAAATGACGGACTTACCCGGGCACTGTGCGGTGGTCATTTATGCCGGGAAAAAAGAGGTAGTTCCCGATCAAACTGCCGTGCTCTTGGCGGCGGCGTTTAAAGGCTCGCCTATAGCATTAGCATTCATTCATAAAGTCAACGGAATCAAAGGAAATGAGACGTCACGTTGCAGAGCAAGGACTACCCTGGATGAGGCTGATGCTACCTTGCTTATCGTGAGAGAGAACGCCTTGAATCACTGCAGATCTGCTATTGAGCGGGACATGGAGGTCCGATGGTGGAATCATGGCTCCGGGAATTAACGCCAACAGGCCTTGCGTTCAACACTTGAATTGCATCATTCGAGCAGTATAAAGGAAGCCGTTCCTCCCCTGCTCGAGTCTCAAAACTCAGGTCTCAGTAGCCAGGCAGCATCAGCCATCAGAGCAACAAGAGCAGACGAAATCTTCCGACTCCTAAACCCGCCAACGAATTCCTAGTCTCGCCAAGATGACTCGCTTCCTCCTCGTTCTCCTCGCCGCCGTCGCCGTGCAGCAGGCCGCAGCTGCCCCGGTCACCACCACGGCGCTCGCGCCTCCCCCTCCCAAGCCCACGGCCCCGGCTGCCATGCCCCCTCAACCCTCTCAGGCGGCTCCTAAGGCTCCTAAGCCGGATCCTAAGGGTCCCGCTAAGCCCGCCCCCAAGGCTCCCGCTAAGCCAGCTCCCGAGAGCCCTGCCAAGCCAGCTCCGGAGTCTCCTGCCAAGCCCGCTCCGGAGAGCCCTGCTAAGCCCGCTCCGGAGAGCCCCGCCAAACCGGCTCCCGAGTCTCCGGCGAAGCCCGCACCCGAGTCTCCTGCCAAACCCGCTCCAGAGTCTCCGGCTAAGCCTGCCCCTGAGTCTCCCGCTAAGCCTGCCCCGGAGAGCCCCGCCAAACCGGCTCCCGAGTCTCCGGCCAAGCCCGCACCTGAGAGCCCAGCGAAGCCTGCTCCGGAGTCTCCCGCTAAGCCTGCCCCCGAGTCTCCCGCCAAGCCTGCTCCGGAGTCTCCTGCTAAGCCTGCTCCCGAGAGCCCCGCCAAACCCGCTCCCGAGACTCCTGCTAAGCCCGCTCCCGAGACTCCTGCTAAGCCCGCTCCCAAGACGCCGGCTAAGCCCAACTAGGTCTGCTCCTCCCGGCCTGGCCGGCATGGGTCACCCTACTCGGCCCACTCCGTTACTCCCCGGCGGAAGCGGTCTTCCAGCCTGAACTCACCGTTCGGTGCCCATCCCGGCCTCTCGCGCTCCCTCTGTTGCTCTGCCCCTTGCTACGACTAAGATGAAGGAGTGAAGGAAGATGTATGAAAAAGAAAATTCTGAATGTTGGAGGAATAGGCGGTCCACGCCCGAGTCCTGTCGTTACATACTACTGTTGGATTCTTCTAGCCATACTTTTGAAATGTAGTGGTACTTGATGATGCTAAATCAATCCGTGCCATTTGAAATCCATCCGCTCATCGGTTCCTTGAAGTTGTGACATTTCTCACCCATCATGACTAGATAAATGGCTGGTTTGCTTGCTCTTATTAGAACCATGTAGAGTGTCTAGAGTAATCCCTATAGACTTTTTACTCGTGGATTTGCCTCGATACTCCTATTGAGCGAAAGGTGAGGCCCTTGTAGTGCAGGTCCCTGTAGGGAAGGACTTATTCGGAAACCAGCATCTGGTTATCAAACCAGGATCACGACTGGACGTCTCGGATTAGTCGCGTCTACCAATTGCCCTTGCAGTGTCAAACCAGCATCGCAAAAAGGTCTTGGGGTTGGTCAAGGACCTGGGATGCCCAATCGCACCTGCCTCCTTCTGTTCCGCAATCATCAAAGGTCACCTTTTTGCCCTGATACTCAATATCTGATCACTTCTCTCCATCATCTCATGTAGCATATCCTTTTGACTTCTCCAGCCCTCCCAGCCTCATTCTCTTCAGCTACATAGATGATTCTCTCATCGCTATTTCTTTCCCACTTCCAGGATTCTTCCTTTCCTACTACATCTTCCTAGTATCACCACCATAGATCGTGATCACAGCTCGCTCAAGAGTGTGAACGATTTCCTCGTTTATTTTGGGGAATACTCCTTCAGAACCCCTCCATCAAACCTGCTTTGAGAAGTTTGAATTCTGATCCTCTTCCCTTGGCTTTCCTCTTCTTCCTAGCTTAGTCTTTCTTCTCGTCATCAGGCGTCTGCTGTCTTCTACAAACGTGCATCTGAGCATTCATATAGAGGTCAACGATTAGTAGATCTTCCTCTGCCCCTTGGAGCACAGCTACCATCAGATTGCTTATTCTCCTTCACCTATCATCATCTTTCTCTAGACTCGTCATTTCCCTAGAAATCATGCCACACCATCAGTCCTGCATATGATACACGGGTGAAAGTCCTTCACTCATTGCATTTTGTTTCAACACTGGCCTCTTACCCTATCATTTCCTCATCGCAGGTTTGATTCAGACGACGGATCACCAGAACGTGATGCAACACCCACCAGAGCTTCACTCTGATCTGACATCAGTCTAGACATGGCTTCCGAAAAGGAAGTCGAGTCTCGAGTGGGACCTGGAGATGGGCCAGAACAACCCAATAATTCTGCCACGGCACCCATCATCATCATCTCAGATGATGAGGCCGAAGATGATCACGCCGACACAGCAGGCAGTGTTCAGCACTCTCAGCAGCGCGCTGACATGGCGTCTGATGTCACGGCGCCGGCGGCCGAGAGTCAGCAGCCTTTACATGCTGCAACGAAGGCACAGAAGGGCTCTCCGTGTCCCCCAACGAAGCAGAAACAAGACCCGGGATTGGAGAAACCCGTCAAGATGAACGACATCCCAGCTTACAGCGGCAGCGCCGAGCTCCAGAAGCGATCGTCGCCCACTGATTCGGCGAAGATTAAGGTAGAGGAGCCCCAGGAGACACCCATTTCGAACGTGGACCAAGCACCACAGAGCAAGAAGGCCCAGCAGACAACGCCCAAGAAGAAAGATAGGGGAGTGGCAAGAAAAACTGCCCAAGAGTACTGGCAACGCGAGGATAAGGAGTTTACTCAAAAACTCCTGAATCTATGCGCCAGGGCAATAAAGAAGCCCGATGACTCCCAGAACGACTCTCAAGTGAGTGATTCAAAACGTCGGAAGGGAGAGAACGGTGTTGCCACTCCCGTCTCCACGTCCAAAGCCGGCATCATCCTTCAGAGCCGCGACCAGATTACCGCACGAGCATCGATGGCGGGCATGTCTTTTCTAGACCCTATCGCCGCAACCACAAAGACGGACCTGATGCAGGCGGACGTGCCTGGTACAGAACTCCTGATCATGGCCAGTAGAGGTTTCGGACATAATAAATGCACACTCAACAATGTCAGCCAAGAGTGGCAAGTCCCAGGCATGAAGTGCCACCTTCGCCCACACCAAGTCATCGGAGTTTGCTGGATGCTCGCCCGAGAGCTTATGGGAGAGAAACCGCTCGGCGGCATCCTGGCCGACCAGATGGGGCTGGGAAAGACTATACAGATGCTCGCCTGTATGGCCAGCAATCCGCCAAGCAAGCGCGACAAGAGGAAGATGGGATCAACATTGATCGTGACTACGGCTGTGGATCAATGGATCAGTGAGATCAAGCAACACACCGAGGTTGACGAACCGTTGCGTATCCGAGGCAACGAGAAACGCGGGCTCCCATTGCAGAACGTCAGACCGAGTGAGATTGTGTAAGAAATATGCCCGCTAACCTCCTCGCCCCCATATTGCCATTTGCTGATCTCTTCACGCAGGGTCACAAGCTACGAGGAGGTGATGCGTAGTTTCCCACGGGGTACAAAGAACGATTCAGGTCAAGAGGCAATGGATGACTTTGAGAAGATGAAGCGTGCCGAATGGATTGAGAAGTACAAGAAGGAACTGAGAAAGAGCGGGACGATCTTCCTGATGGATTGGCACAGGGTGGTTCTGGACGAAGCTCACAAGATCAAGAATGCCAACACAAGGAGTAAGTCTCGTCTTTGGTCTGTCAATGACAGATGGCTAATATCTCACACTTCCAGCATCCATTGCCTGCCGAGCTCTCAAGTCCAAGTATCGGTGGGCATTGACAGGCACTCCTATCCAGAACTATTGCAAGGGTATGTTTCCCTCATCGTCCCTGAGCCCCGACAAACAGAACTGATTGATAAACACTAGAGATCTATCCATACCTTCATTTCCTCGGAACCGAATGGCCAAAGAACAGAGAAGACTTCACGAAAGCACTCCAGCGTCGAGCAGAGGTGGGTGAAAAAAAAAATGCTATTGAAAGACTCCAGTGTACTGATACAAACCAGATGGAGAAGACCAGACTTGTCCACGAATACATCTCCTATTTCTTCTTGAAACGGTAAAATATTAAAATGCAAGAATATGGTACCAGCCAGAGCTAACAAACGAGCAGGGAATGTGACGACATGTTTCTGGGCCGGCCTCTTCTGGACATCCCGACTCCATACCCGATACAGACATGGTGGCTTGATATGCCTGTCGACGAGCAAATCATTTACAAGTGAGTATAGCGAAATCAAGGTTGTGAATGGACACTCATTCCTCTTAGGACGATCATGCGCGCTCTCTCCGAATGCCTCCAGAGAGAAAAATGCAGTGAAGAGGCCGAGGGCAAAGAGAAGAAGGAGAATGCACTCGTGGTCTTTCGGCGTGCCTGTCAAATGATATCTCATGCATTCGCCGCTGAGGGCTTCTACCTCAGATGGTTCGACGAACCCGGCCTTTGTTTGCTCGCAGACGATCTTCGGGAACACCAGTGCTCAACGCGACTCCTGGATTTGATACACCGCGTTGTTCTGAACCGGCCCTTGCCTCAGGATACCGAGGCCTCGAATATATCCCAGGCTGACAACGCTCAGAAGCAAGTCGAACGAGCGGCTGCCATTCTCAAGGAAGATGTCAGTCTATTACGATGCCTGAATGCGCACTGCAACACGCCAGGGCTTCAGCTCCATATCGGTCAGGTGAGTCGCTGATATGTCCGACCTCATACACTTTGTGGAACTCTCTCTACTCACTCTTCAATCTATAGTGCAAACACGCGCTCTGTCGGCATTGCTTCGAGGACTTCACAAAGGAAATCGTCGACGATAGATACCCGTGTCCAAGTTGCAACCGTCCCGGAAGGTGGACAGCTCCCGAAGAACTCAACAAGCCCACGATGACGGGCGAGGCCGGATTCACCGCAGTGCCGTTTACTCCCAAGGGCAGCGCCCGCAGAGGCAAGAAGCAGAGAAGGGCAGCGCAGCGTGAACTCCGGCCTGGTGTTGATCTCAACGGCGTGGTTGCCAAGCCACAAGGAAAAGCTCTGTTCCTCAAGCTCTCAGACGACCGTTCACTGGAGCCAACCAAGGAGCCGATCAAGCATAGTGCCAAGACGGCGGCCACTATGTACATCATCGAGAAATGGCAATCTGAAGCACCGGAGGACAAAATCATTGGTAGGGCAGCAAAAGGACTGCCACTCTTACTTCTCATTGCTGACATTCATCATAGTCTTTACCCAGTCCAGATACGTCATGGGCATCTTGGCTCGCAGTCTGTCGGCAAAGAAACTCGGTTTCCTCTACTTCGAGGGCGGGATGAATCCCGAGCAGAAAGGGATGGCTTTGGAGGAGTTCCGCACTAACCCAAAGTGCAAGGTCTTGGTAAGTCTTTCAAGGATCAGATAGACTCAAGGCACGACGTCTGATTGAAGGACCCAGATCGCCGGCCTGATGTCGGGTGGACAGGCCTACAATATGACATGTGCGAACCGAGTCATCCTTGTTGACCCCTGGTGGAACGCCTCGATCGAGCGCCAAGCATTTGGTCGTGTTCATCGTCTGGGGCAGAAGAAGACTTGCCACTTTGTCCGCCTGATGATGAGGGATTCTATCGACGAGGGCATCCATCGAATGCACCATGAGAAAGATGCTGTCGTCGAAGGCGTTACGGAGGGAAGCACCTTGAGCCTTAAGCTCATCTCAAAAGTGCTCGACGGCATGCTTGAGAAGCTCGAGGTCGACTGGACACAAGCGCAGACGGCCGAGGACATGGATTTCAGCAAGCTGGTACTGACCCCGTCTGTTGACAACACCGCATCTGGAGAGCACAAGAAGAGTACGCAGAAGCGGAAACACGGCGACATCAACGCCAGCGAGGAGTCGAACGAGGGCGGCGGTTCTGACATTGAGGAAGAGCACGACTCGAGCGAGAATGCCTCCGGTGACGATGACAGCAGCTATGAGGAGGACACCAACGATGAATAAACGGCAAGGATGCCTCCACGCGCGACAATGCTGGCGCGAGCGAGTCTTTGAACCACACACTCAGTACCAGTTCTCCTCTTTTCTTCATTCGTTTCCAAGATTTTCACTGGCGGTGCCTCTTCCTCTGATGGGCTTTCCCAACTCCTTCAGCCACATTCGACAGCATCGGGGAGAAGCGACAGAGATTCCAGACACGAGGGGTCGCATTTCATATCCACAAACTCTGATCCTTTCTTAGCTTACGCGTGAGATTTACAACAAGGAAGGGCGGAGGGGGACACTGGTACCTTGGCGAAGGTGTCTCGTCGCAGGAGTATTCATTAGCTAACAACATCGATTGCCTTTACTCGATAGATTTTAATACATCCCGCTCTCGCCATGATGCTCTTCTGTGATGCTTATACTTGGCAAGTGATGGACAGATTAGTCGACGGACTGCTAACAGAAGTACTTGTCTATCCATCAAACCCATCGGTTTCAGGTAGCGGAATAGCCCTTCCGAGTTCCAGGGCAAGGATATGACAAGGGTGTTGGTTGTTAAGATTGATGTAGCTTGGGCCGTTGTGTTAGCCACGGGGCATCGTGCCGTGAGACACAGTAGCCCTGGTTTAGTTGGAGATAGCAGACCGATGCTTCAGTCTGTCAGAGTGGCTAATGAGCAGACTGATATGATTCTTCGAGAAAAGGGGGCGGCCATACATATCACTCAAGCAGGAACCTCCACAGTACCATACCCTGGACCGATGCTTTTTTCTTCCCCACGAAATAACGAGCCCATGGTCAGAAGTTCCGAGAGATACTGTGGTCTTTGAACAAAGAGCGGGCAACGACATTGGGCGGACGCCCTAGCTCCGTGATCCCGGATGAATCTGGCCCGGCATTTACCGCCTTGGAGAGACCTCCGGATCTCCACTGTTCCCGGTCGCAAGGGGTCACCTCGGAAGCACGATAATTGAGTCATAAGATTGAGTATTCATTTGTATTTCACTACATATGCCGGGTCTACTGCGAACAGTTAAGTGCAAAAGATCAAGAACCTGCCAATGAGAACACTCTGGCCTGCGCAATGCACAAATCAACAAGTACAATTCCACAATCTGAGACGAGGACACAGAACCTTGACGTTGGTTAAAATCAGCTAAGGCGATGACCAAAATGTATAGTGTGTGGCGAGGCCACGTTGTAGTCGATACAGACAAAGATGCAGCCTCCTAGGTCAGTGTAATTTGGCCGCTAACATGCTTGATTAGCCTTGTACGTCCAGGCCGAGATTGTGTACCCATAATCCATGCTGGACCACTGGGTCCTACAAGGAGCTATGGCCTCGAATGGAAGGAAAAGGATCTCACTTGGTGTCATTGGCGGCTTGAAGCCGGACCACCAAGTCTGTCAGCTTGTCAATCTTGGACGACAGCTCCGCGATGCGGACCTCGACATCCGTGGGGGCTTCACCCGTGTCCTCGTCGACATTGCCGGTGCGTCCAGGCCGCACAAACCTTGGCGAAAAGTCAGACACGCTCGTGAAGCGCGACCGGCGATACGAGGTATCCGAGTTCCGCTTTGGTTGCTGAGATTTGAGAGACGGGCGGACGGGGGTTCCCAGGGTGGTAGTCTCTTGTCTAGGCCCCTTGAAGAAGCCAGCAAATTCGTCCGGATCCTTCAATTTGCCGCGTACCAGCTCGTAGAACATGATGGCCCCGACGATGGGAAGATGTGTTGCCTTGAGAAGCAGAATGCGCGCAGCTCGGAACTTGTTGTCCGAAGGGAGGAAGATGCGCAAGGGCCGGAATATGACGAGAGCGAGCAGATTGAAGGGTGGATAAAAGTGCGTGAGTCGGTTGCTGGTCGATGCCTCTAGGACGTAGACGCTGTAGACGTAGAGATACTCTTCCCGAGCGTGGCTGATAACACGCGAGAAACTGTTGGAGAGCATACCGGTAAGGGAGCCCATGAGGAGGATTGAGCTCAGCGTAATGAAGATGAGCATGAGAGGAGGGCCAAAGATGGGGTCGATCTGCTTCATGTGGTCAAAACCGACGTAGCTCGACCCGAAGAAGATCTTGGTCAAGATCATGGTCATGTCGGGGAGACTGAAGCGATCGCGGCCGACAAGGGAGAAGGTGGTGAGGAACCCGAGATAGATAATAACAACAAGGACCATGAATTTGATGAAGTCCTTTCCCATCTCCTTAAGACACGGGATCAGGGTACCCCAGTATGGGCTGAGACTGAGGATGGAACAGATCCGTGGCACCATGAAGAGGGCTTCCAGAGAGAGGATGTCAAAGGCAAGATCGACAATCATACGATCGTTCCTCGACAACCCGATGATCCCTTTGGTTGATTGAATTAGATCGGACACTGCAAAGAGGGCCAGGGAATTAACTTACTCATGATCGCAAACATGATTCCGATGGACATCATTATCACATCGAACAGGTTCCAGACATCTGCCGCATAGAAGATGGACCCTGCGTCGATCCATTCGCTCAGCTCATCGTAGATGAAAGCCCCAAACCAGATGTACAGCAGAACCTCAATCGGCGTGATCCGGGTGGGGTTCCTCTCAACGAGGACAGAGTAGTACAACGCCAGGAAGCTGGCAAAGAAGAGAACCTCGAAAGATTTGAGGTACTTGGGAACACGCAGCCGCGAGAACGGGTCGGCTGTGTGGGCGTTGTAGAATCTTGGCTTCTTCTCTGCATGCACAGACAGGCTGTCCCAAAAGACAATATCGCCGTTCCAGATACCAGTAATGATCTTTTGCACGACGTTCTGGCTGAGGAAGCGCTTTGCATCAGCGATAGCGGCGATCTCGAGAGCATTCAGGCCGATGAAAGATGAAGTCGGGTCATCCTCCTCGTCGTCGCTGCCGCCATCGAACGTCATGCTCATGGTGAGCCTGGAGATGGACTGGAAGAGACGAGACCGCCTGCTGGTGCCCGTCTGCTCCAAGACCTTTCGAGCATTCTCGGCAGTGTTGGTCCAGGCCTGAGACAAGAGCGCGGTCGTCTCAGTGGCACGCTCTTCATCCTGCTGGTTGGTGTCGTCTTCGCTGGTCGAGTCATCTGTGACTGCCGGGATCTCATAGAGGCAGTAATCCACAGCCTCGCGTTCCGAGAGGCGCGTCAGCAGACGCCATGCAACAATCTCACAAGCGCTAGCACGCGCTTCTCCAAGTCCCTTATCCTCGCTCGACGCATTGTAGTGCCATTTGAGAGCCCTGCGTAGGCGTTAGCATCAAGTGAGCACTTTGTGGTTATCTATCATCTCGATTGAGATCAAACATACAATAGAGCGTTGACAATCGCTGGGTTGGTACACTCGAGACTCAGGTGCTCTACCAGGTCTCTGAGAGAGTCTCCAGCAATGGTCGTTCTCAGCTGCTCAAAAGTGCTTGGCAAAGTCACAACTTCGGTGATGAATCTTTTATGCGGATAGTCAGCGTACGATTCCGTGCATCGCCTTTGAAAAAAAAGGAAAGCATTGATCGTAACATACTCAGACAGCTTCTTAACCACGTCACGGAAGACGTCATCCTCGTTGATTTCAGGGAGATGCCCCTCAGCACCCCCTGTGAAGGGAGACGGCGTTCTGGGCTCCTCGGCGTGTCTCTGCGCGAAAGATTTCACGCGCATGGGAGCCATGGCTGCTCCAGTCTCACCTTGCGGCAATGCTGAGAATGAGATAGCCGGGCTGACTGTCTTCCAAGAGGTCGAGTCCAGGCTGGGATGGCGGGGGGTGGTGGTTGTCAGCTCGGTGCTTGGCTCTGAAGCGGGGAATTCCAAGATTCGGGTCAGGGCTCTCCAGTGCTACGCGGTAGCACCCGCACGGGGACGAAGGAACCCACTGTTGGCGCTAAATCTTGCCGATCCACCGCCTGTTTCAGAGCTCGGTTCAGCACGTGCATGTGAGTTCACAAGTAAAGTACCGAAATCAAGCTTGCTTCCCCAGGTTATCCTTGATCCTTGATCTCGACGGGTGGATCAATGCCATTCCCCTTCATTGTGTGTTGGGCACTTGGGTGTCTGAGAAGAAATCTTTCCATAGAGGCTACAAACACAGTTCGAGTCAGTCACTCATCTCGTATCTCTACGGCTGTGCATAGAAGACTGAAGAGTGGACGAAAGAGAAGGAGGTTAAGGAAACAAGGCAGGTAGGAAAAAGAACGTTGTTGCGAAGAGTTCAGTAAGCCGGGGCAAAGGCACAAAAGAGTCGCGGAGCGCCCCCCTCCGCGCGGCTCTGCCCATCCCGCCGTCCTGGGTGGATTCTGATATTAGCCTTCAACCTCTCCATGTGATGGACGGATGGATGTGATTACTGCACTGAGATGACCATCACTTAGACACTGAGCTCGAGTAACATCAAGTTCCTATGTTGGAAAGTTCCACCGCAGTCGAGTTAACTTGGCAAGCATGTTGTCTTTCCAGGACTGGCCGCCAGCAAGGTCCGGGTGATGTATATAACACGAGGCTCCCTTTCCCCTTTCCTCGCTGCCATGCTCGCTAGGCCAGTAGATATCCCTTTGGATTGACATTCCATCATGAAGTCGCTTGCTTGCTTCCTGCTAGGCGCCCTGTCCCTGACGGGGGCAGCCCTCTCCGCGCCGCTCCAGGCCGCCGCGGCCGCCGACCCCAGCAGCTTCCCCTCGGTCGACGGCCTCCGGTTCAAGATCGACGGGCAGACCAAGTATGCCGCCGGCACCAACTCGTACTGGATCAGCTTCCTGACCAACAACGCCGACGTCGACCTCGTCATGGACCACCTGGCCCAGTCCGGGCTCAAGATCCTGCGCGTCTGGGGCTTCAACGACGTCACCCAGCGGCCCGCCGGCAGCACGGTGTGGTACCAGTACCTCTCGGCCTCGGGCTCGCAGATCAACACGGGCGCCAACGGCCTGCAGCGGCTCGACTACGTCGTCGCGGCGGCCGAGAGGCGCGGCGTCAAGCTCATCGTCAACTTTGTCAACAACTGGGGCGACTACGGCGGCATGCCGGCCTACGTGGCGGCCTTTGGCGGCTCCAAGGAAGGCTGGTACACCAACGCCCGGGCCCAGGACCAGTACCGCAAGTACGTCGCCGCCGTGGTCGGCCGGTACCGCAACTCGTCCGCCGTGTTCGCGTGGGAGCTGGCCAACGAGCCGCGGTGCAAGGGGTGCAGCAGCGACGTCATCTACAAGTGGGCGTCGGACGTCTCCAAGCACATCAAGTCGCTCGACCCGAACCACATGGTGACGCTCGGAGACGAAGGGTTCGGCCTCCCCGGCGGAGACGGCTCGACGAGCTACCCGTACGGGACGTCTGAGGGTGTCGACTTTGTCAAGAATCTCGGTATTAAGACTCTTGACTTTGGTGTTTTCCACATGTATCCCAAGAGCTGTAAGTTTTGCCCTCTTAGGCCCCTTCCCGTGATGAGGGGGGTTCAAACACGATACTGACTACCGAAATCAGGGGGTGTCTCTAACAGCTTCGGTCCCGGGTGGGTCAGGGACCACGGCGCTGCCTGCAAGAAGGCAGGGAAGCCGTGCCTGTTTGAAGAATGTAAGTGAAGCAGCATACATACAAACAAACATATGCAGGAAGACAGAGGCTGACTTTTGATAGATGGCACCGAAAGCGATCACTGCAACGTAGAGAAGCCCTGGCAGCAGGCATCCCTAACCACCGAGGGCGTCGCCGGAGATCTGTTCTGGCAATGGGGTGACATCTTGAGCACGGGACAAACCCACAACGACGGCAACACCATCTACTACGGCTCCGCAGACGCGAAGTGCCTCGTCACGGACCATGTGAAGGCTATCAACTCTTGATGCAAACTCATGTATCTCTCACAAGTAGTCAGGGATGGGTACCCGATTAATAGTCGGCAGAGAGGCAGTGTGTTCTAAGAAAAAAAAGTCAAATGCTATTCATGATTGTTGCTAGTTATCCTTGTTATTGCCATTCATATATCCCATAAATCTTCCCTTCCCTTCCCTTTATTTCTTCAGCGCCGCCAAGATGGCCTCGCCGACGGCCTTCGCGCTGGCCGGGTTCTGCCCCGTGATCAGGTTGCCGTCGACGACGACCTTCTCGCCCCACGGCTCGGCGGCCTTGACGTACTTGCCCCCGCTGGCCTCGTTCATCTTGTCCTCGAGCATGAAGGGCATCCACTTGCTGTAGTCCATCTGGTCCTCCTCGACGTTGCTGAAGCCCGTGACCTCCCGGCCCTTGAGCAGCGAGTGCCCGTCCAGCGGCACCTTGACGTTGACCAGCGCCGCGGGGCCGTGGCACACGGCGGCGACGGGCTTGCCCTTGGCGGCGAACTCGGAGCACACGCGCTGCGAGGTGACGTCGCCGGCGAGGTCGAACATGGGGCCGTGGCCGCCCGGGTAGAAGAGGGCGTCGTAGTCGTCGGCGGCCGTGGCGGCGATGGTCGACAGCTTGGTCGTCGACTCCCAGAGGGGCTTCTGGTCGGCGAAGAAGGCGCTGGCCGAGGGGTCCTGCTTGAACATCTCGACCGACGCCGGGTCCAGGGGCGCCTTGCCGCCGTTGGGCGAGGCGATGGTGATCTCGCAGCCGGCCTCCTTGAGGACGTCGTACGGGTGGGAGAGCTCGGGCTGTTTTCAGGGCAGATTTTGTGTTAATGGACCAACTCGCTGTTATTGACGCGGTTTGCGACTGGGCTATTTTCTTACCAGGAACCAGCCGGTGGGCTTGCCGGACTCGCCCAGCTTATCGTGGGAGGTGAGGATGATGAGAACCTTGGGCGCCATTGTAGCTTTTGTTTTGTACTGTTCAGTTGGACTCGGTCGTCTGGGAGAAAGTGATATGATCAATTGAAGAAAGCAAGTCTGTTCTGGTAGGAATGCAGCTCGAAATAATGGTGTGTCTCTGTGTCTCTGTGTATCTGTGTATTGCGAGAAACGTCCTCGACAGCTCATTTATACAGATCCAGAAAGCTTAAGATTGCCCCTCCAACTCACCTCTCTCCACGGAGACCCCGTTGACTAATCCTATGTGAAACCGCACATGTTGCAGCTGCTGGGCAAAACAAAGTTTGACTGTCTTTTTTCGGTGGGCTCCAGAGACAATGCGGTAAACGACCCTCGAGTCGAGACAGCTATCCACTGACGTCAGCGGCGGACTAGGCCCTATCCAGGTAACAGCACCGTGGGCACCCACATGTACTTTGTGTGATCAACCGAGAGCAAAAGTACATGTGGGAAACTTTGCAACATTGCCCACCCATGGCACTCCCCGGGGGTTCTCTCTCCGTGGACGTCCGTGGAGGCCTTGCTTATGATGAACAAATGCCAGACATCTTCCTGCTCCACAGAACGCAAGAAAACGTTGTCCGGGCACGGCACTTGAGCGGCAGTTACGGCGCAAATCTTTGCTAGCGCTCCCGGCGAGAAGCTTCTGTGGAGCCCGGTGATGCCCGTCAGGACATCCGTTTCGGTCAAGCAGAGGATCTGAAGGTTCGCCGTGCTGTGTAGGCCAAATTGAGACATCGGACATAAGCTTAGATCACATCGGACATCAGTTTAGATCAAAGGTTTGTTTGGACACATGTTTGATAATCATCTACCTCCGGTATCTCCCTTCTTCTGATTAACTGCTACCATGGTGCTTGCGGCGGCCCTTTCTTCTTCGATAAGTAGGCCCATCCGCTCCCATCAAACCCAGTCCTCGTACCCAAGAAATCTATCAACCTCGCGGTCTGAAATATCTCAAACGCCGGGGATCTATGATCCATGTGTATGCTTTCCCCAAGATACTCAAAGGAAGGTATCATGCCACCTATGCTCCCCAAAGAACGCCATCGTGTGTCTTGAGAATTAGAAAAAAAAAACACAAGTCATTGCCAGAACTCGTATCGAAAAGGACCGCCGCGTCGAATTCGTTCCCAATCATGCTCTATTACATCCACATCGGACTGCGGCTGTACCTTCTGTTCTGCTGCCAGAGCGGCCGGCCCGGTGATCCAAAGGGGCTCGTCGGCTGCTCCGCTTGCGTATCGTGGTAGGGCTCGTGAGGCGCATCGGCGGCGTCAAGACCCGGGCTACCTATGCTTCCGTAGCCCTGGCCGCTGTAGTGTGTATGCGCCACCCCGATCCCACCGCCGGCGGGACCTCCGCCGTTGTTGGCGCTCATAGTGCCATTAACATGCTCGCCGCTACTGCTCGAATACTCTCCCAGGTCGCCACTCTCGGGGACGTGCTCGTCGATGCGCTCGAGGGCGTGATTGAAGCCCGCTGAGAAGTCGTCGATTTCCCGGGTGAGGGGTACTTGATCCCCTTCGTACCCAAGCGGCTGGCTGTGAGAGCCATCGTGCGAGTAGGCACCGTATGCGCCGGCAGCCGCGGCGCCCGTTGCAGCACCGGCAGCCGCGGTTGTGTACGGCGACATCTGGTGATACTCCTGCATTGCAGGCGGTATATGAGGGGGCACTTGAACACCGTCCCCACCCCTGATTTCAGTCGTCGTGCCGTGGGGGTACATGCCCGTTTCGTAGGTGTCTTGGTTTGAGTGGAGCGCCTGGAAGCCTTGGTTGCCAGACATCGGACTGAAGCTTTATGTTAGCTGTGTTGCTCCATAGCAGATTAGAAGAGTCCACCACATACCTAATGTACTGTGTGTCGCTTCCCGGGCCGGGACCGTTTCGGACATTACCCTTGCGGCGCCGCCAGAGGTAGAGGCCCAGTACGAAGAAAAGCACGAGACCTGCAAGTCCACCAATGACTCCTCCCACGATAGCACCCGTATTCTTGCCATTTCCACTACTTTCTGTAGCACCACTTGCCGGTGCGCTCGTAGCTTCGTTTGTGGCGGTACTGCTTGTCTGCGACGTTGAGCTGGGCTTTGTCGAGCTAGATGTCGTGCTCGAAGTCGAAGTCGAACTCGAACCGCTGGTGCTCGATACGGAGGAACTGCTGGTGCTGCTTGCCGAACTTCTCGTGAAGCTCCTTGTCCCCGTGCTCGGGTCAATGCTCGTGGGCGTCGCCAGGCTCGTCGGGCTCTCCGTCAACTGCACACTAACGCTGGTAATAGGCAGCGTCGACGTGATCCCGGACGCGGTCGCCACCACCGAGGTAGCCAGGTCGCTAGCCGTGCCGCACCCGTACTGGAAGAACCCCCCCGCGAACTCGTTGCGGTAGCAGACGTCGCTGCCGGCGCAGGTGAAGACGTACGGGTCGACGACGCTCTGCGCGCCGCTGTTGAAGTCGACGCAGCCCGTGAAGATGCCCGTCGTGCACGAGGCCGCGCCGTTGGGGCAGCAGCCGATCGCGCCGTGCTCCGAGTCCAGCACGCAGTGGCTGCCCGCCGAGCAGGTCGCCGGCAGGGCCGAGTCGCCGCCAATGTACCCGCATACCGTGTTGAAGATGTCTTCGGCGGCGGCGGCGGCGGCCTGTGGGCGCCTGCGCGACGCTCGATATCGGATCTGTCGTGGAGAGGGAGCAGCCGTTGGCGGTGGCGGTATGGCTACCACGTTGAGGGCATGGTGAGGGAGGGTCGTCGTCGCTTGTGGGAGCAGGTGTGCTTGGGAGGTGTCGAGGAGTTGTGCGAGGAAGACGAGAGCCGCCAGAGAAGGCGGCCTGAGTATGATATGCGAATTGGTCATGATGATCGATGCATGAGGAGGATATGGGTTCTCTGGGTAGAGCTGAAAGCTGCTGAAGAGTATATGGATGGCTGGTTGTGAAAGTTGTAGCGAGTGTCAAGCGAACGAGTGTTGGTTTGGGGTTGCCGAGGAGGCTGGAAAAGAGAAAGGTAAAGATCGAAGTTGAGGGATCAGAACCAGGAAGTTTCGAAGAACACAAATGCGCCCGGATGCGAGCGCAGTTCCTTGTGCCGGCCGGGAGAGAGGTGTGGGTGTGATGGTGTGTGATGGGCAGGGCTGACGAAAGCTGGTTCAGTTACACGGGCGAGACAGGCACGACAGACTTGACAAGTCCGTCGAGGAAGGGCATCCTTGATAATGAGCAAGTAAGACAAGGGCAATGGTCCGTCCCTGGGGAATGAAGCGACGATCAAGGGTCCTAGCACTGAATAGAAGCAGGGGCAACTCGGCAAGGGAGGCGAAAATGGATGCTGGGACCTGTGAACAATCCCGGTAGCATTATGAGAGTACGAAATAAGATGATGCCACTACCTATTTTGCATCTGATGCAGCAAGCAACGTACCCCTCCGCCGGCCTCCTCCGCTTTGCCTCGTGGTGGCCTGCTGCACTGGCATTCGATCAAGACTGACAAAAGTGCCCTGGATGTGTGTCGTTGGAATGCGGGAGACGATAAATCTGGGTGGCTGAGAAACAGAAGCTTGGATTCCTCGCCACCACAGCCTAGGCTATATCGGGTAGCCGCTGCCCAAGAATTGTTACAGCGCCAACACGCAGAGTTCAGCCTAGAAGCCCCGTAAGCATCTTTTTTTATATTCCTCTAGCGGTCCGAGCCAGTGAGAATGCGCGGCGCCCCTGCCCGAGATACAGGGGGCTGGATGCAGATCGGTGGCTGTGCCTGCAGCCAGCATTTACGCAGTCAAATGTGTGAGAGCTGCTGCTTCACGCGCACAGATATCTCGTAATCTTCGGCTCTAGTCAGACCCGGAGAAAGCTTGTTGAAAAAGCATAAGATCAAACAACGCCCTCTCCGACGGCGCTTTTGCCCCTAGAAGAACACAAGTCGAGAACGGTGTGGCTGAAGTGCGATGTTGTTGGGCGCAGAGAACCTTAGGTCGGGACCTCCAAGGAACACCAGCCACAGTGACTACTTGTACGTATTGGATGAAGATCTTAGCCCAGGACCCCGATTTCGTGCAGCGACGCCATTGGCTACTTCTGTCAATCATGACATCGCCATGTTGCCATCACCCGTCCAGCCCACCATCGGCCGACGTCAAAACGATGCTCAATTGTCACTCTGGTGATTCAATGGCCCGGTTCTTGGCGCAGAAACCTGCTGCTGTCGGCTATCTCTGTTCCGTGACGCCGTTGAGGTTATCGCCACTGTGCTGGAGGCCGTCCAGGTCTCGCACCGTTCCCCAAGTCAAGTGTTGCTGATCGACTGAAAGTGTTTTGCTGAGTAACGTCTTGGTGCTTTCCGGACAGTGGCTCGTGCAAACTCACAACATTGATCTTGCAGCTTTAGATTTGTGTTTGAGAGCCGGAACAGAGCTACCAAAAACTAAATAAATTTGCTAGAGAATGTTTAAACAATGAGGCCGGACATGTGTTGCTTATTACCGTACCACTAACTCCTCCCAGATGTCAGCATAACACGCGCGGGCATCACAGACTCAAGTCGACCAGCTGTTCCGTCACCTGGCTGGCTGTCCCCTTTTCCCTCTCCGCTGCGACACCCGAGTACTTGTTGATCCAGTCAAAGATGGTCTTGTGCCACAGGAGCGAGTTGTCCGGCTTCTGCACAAAGTGATTCTCGTCCGGGAACGTCAGGAACCGGCTCGGCACCCCCATCAGCTGCAGGGTCCGGAAGGTAGCCAGGCCCTCGGTGATGGCGCACCGGTAGTCCTTGTCGCTGTGTATCACCAGCGTCGGCGACGCGTGCTTCCAGTTCCTCAGCAGCTCCGGGCGAGAAGGATCCCACTTGCTGAGCTCCTTGAAGTTGGCCCAGGGGAACCCGTTGCCCTTGAAGTCGGCCAGGCCGCTCGACTCGTCCGAGAACAAGGTTATGTTGGGAGTCGTAAAGACCGAGTCGTGGCAGACTGTTGCTCTGAACTGTCAAATGGTCAGCGATTGGGCGAGTCTCTCTCACACATGTTGTCCGCAACTCACCCTTCGGCCCAGCGCGTGGCCGTTGATCCAGTTGATCATGTATCCGCCATAACTACCGCCAGCGGCAATTGCTCTGTCTGTGTCAATGTACGGGATATTCTTCAGATATTCCATGCAGCTGACAAGATCCTCGTACGGATATCCGCCCCAGCTGCCGTAAATTCCTTTGCAAATATTGGATTAGCACACTTATGCAAACTTGATTGGATTTCGCTGGACTCACTTGCGGCATGCTCAATGCCAAAGGTTGTGCTTCCCGAAATATTAGGAAGCACAACAACATAGCCTTGCTCTGCCCAGACCATCGCATTCCACTATTTTCACGTCAAAAACCTTCTACAAAGAATGTTTCAAGGATTGTTGAACTCACCCTTGCATGCCACGAGTCTAGCCAAGCGGAAGCAGGTCCACCGTGGATCATGAGCACCATGGGGTATTGCTTATCGTCGTTGAACTTGCTGGGCTTGACCACCCAGGCTTGCACAACATAGTCGCCGTCGCCCTCGAAGTAGATCTCGGATACCTGAGACCGGCTGAGGCCGAAGTTGGGGTCCAGACGCTTGGTCGGGATGGAGAAGATCATCTTGTCCTCGGCGTGACCACCAATGCCAATCATCTCGTACCAGCTTGGTTCCGTCAAGCTGGATCCGGACACCAGGACTCCCTCTTTGCCTCGGGGTGGGTTGAGGACCGGGTAGTAGGCAGACACAGATCCGTGGTCAGTGAGCTTGAGCGGCTTGGCCTTGTTCTTCATCTCGACGTGGAACAGTGACTCTCTTCCGCAATCGCCGGCCGCGATGAAGAGAGACTGGCCAGAGAGGCCGAATGCGAAACTCGAAGGCACGAGTGACCATTTCTCCTGGATGATAAACTCAAAGACGTCGAGTGTCCCCACCGTCGAGCCTTGCGCGTCGGGGTTCTCGACAAACGTCATGTGCAGTCGGACGTCGGCAGGGCGCTCGAGCGTCGCATGAAGGAAGCACAGCATGTCCCCATCGGGCGAGAAACGAAGATTCGAAAAGATGCCGGGCGTATGCTCCTGCCGCAAGAGAATCTTGGTGGGTTTGCTCATGGACGCCTGGGAGAAAGAGTCTAGAGGCACAAAGTAGAGATTGTTGCTGCCAAAGTCATCGGCTGACCTGAGAGTGTGGTCCTTGGCCGCGAAGGTGATGCCCTTGGGGCCAATATCGTAGTAGTCCTCGGTATCTTCTGGCTCGTAGACATTATCAGGGGCTTCCATGTCCGTGCCCGCCAGCGCGTTCTTCAAAGGGGCATCCACAGCCCATTTGTCGTCCTTTACTACAAGCGTCGAGAAGAAGATTGAATTCTTCTGTGGTTTGACGTATGAATCCCACTTGCAACCCCGTCAGCTGTGATCTGGTACATGAAATGCATAGCAGAAAACACGGAGAGCAACCTACCTCGCGAACATGCAGTGTGTCGTAAATCAAGCCACTGCTAGCCTTCTTTTCGACAGCCTCTTCGTTGTACAACTCGCCGTCCTCGCCTGCAAGCCCAACACAGGCAAAGGCGAGAGTTCCATCTTTAAGGCTCACAAGCTTCAACGCCTCGACAGGCCCAGGGAGCGTTCCGGCAACGTAGGACTGTGATTCTGCAGAGGTGTTTGCCTTTGCACCAACATCAGGCGTGACAACTATCTCCGTCTCGCCCTTGTCGGCAGACCGCAGCCAGAGGAGGGCGTGCTGGTCCTTGAAAGGAAGCCAATTGATGTCATGAAGCTTGTCACCGTCAGAGATGGTCCAGGTATCGCCATTCGAGAGGTCAATGATGTTGACTTCTTTCTTTGTGCCCTCGCCAAAGGTATGCGTCGATGTGGTAAAGAAGCCGAGCTTGCCATCGAGAGTCGGAACAGCAGCGCCACGCCGCGGCGCGCTGAGGAAGGCCTCGGGCGTCAAGCTGTATTTGAGGACCATACTATATACGCAGCCGGGTTGCAATAACCTCAAATTCTTGGAAGTCAAGAGTTCAAGAGACTGTGCTCGCTCAGCGATGGGGTGAAATGCCAGGTGAGAGTGAGACGAGGCGGGGTAGATCGACGACAGGGAGGCTCGCCACACAATGCCGGCTGATCTATGCACTTAAGAAAGGCAACTTCAATCAAGAGCGTAAGCAGATGAGGAATCGGATTACGACGAGACAAGACAAGATTGGAATATTTTCATGGGCATGGCCGCGCAGCCTTGCCCGTTCTTACGTACCATGGGAGATGCCACGCGTACCATCTCGGACTGTGGTGTTAGTGGCGACCTGCCTAAAACAGCACGCCGAGGGCGGCGCCATCTTGTCACTAAGCCTAGTGCTTGAAATGTTGAAAGTAAGCTTAACAACTTTAGACCCTTTGCATCAGGGCAACGGGCTCTGCCGCCCGTCAGTCTGTATTTCTGAATCGACTACATCGGTAATATTTAGATATGAAAGAAGCAGAATGAATGTCTGAACCCTGTTCCATGCAGCTGAGAAGCAAGAGGCCATGCCTGAAATCCATGTAATACAAAACGCCGGCAATGAGAGACCAGAGTCCTTCCAAGGTTCGTTCTACACCACTTGCACTTTTCTTTTGCGCCTCCCCACAGTCGTCACGCTCATGCGGACGTCTTCTCGGCGTCACGAGCCGCAGGCTGTGCCATCTCCACGTCCTGGCTGGCATCGGTGGCCGCGGCGCCGTCGGTGGAGCTCTTGTCGCCCTTCTTGCCCTTCTTGCTGCGGTGCAGGTCCATCTTGGCGGCCATCTGAGGGAAGAAAATGCCTGGCGGGAAGCCAGAGAGGAGCCCGACGGCGATGAGGACCATGCTGCAAGGCTCTGTGGTCAGCATTCATCTTTGGAACCAGAGTTCCGACATTTCTGTTTGGAAAAAAAAAAAGGACTCACAATCCGTCGAGGACGATGAAGGACGGCTCATCCTGCATGATGTGGTTGCCCCAACCACCAGCCATCTCAATGATACTGTAACACATAACATGCCCGGTCAGCCTCCCAGTTTCCCAGCGTCAGGCGAAGCTTTGCTCCCAGCCACTTACCGGTAGATACACCGGATCATCAAGCAGCTGTACGCCCCCGTGATGGCGTACACAAACATCCGCACCTTGCGGTCCGACCACAGCGCGACGGCGTGCTCGTCGGCCTCGCCGGAGCGCACCCACCGGCGCAGGCGGACCCAGTAGTCGGCGCCCGTGGCGCCGAAGAAGAGCAGCACAAAGACCTGCAGCGCGACGCCGGCGATGATGGCGCTGTTGCCGCCGTTGACGAGCTTCTGGTTCGGGTGCGCCGAGTTGCCGCCCGAGGCGGCCAGCGCGCCGCCGATGGCCTGCACGAGCAGGCAGGTGACGTCGGCGGGGACGAAGATGAAGGGGTACAGGTTCGGCCGCACGCGCGACAGGGCCGGGCTGAAGGCCAGCGAGACGTGCTTGAGCGTCAGGTAGATGGAGATGCAGATGAGCGTCGGCGCCAGGATGATGGCGCAGATCTGCAGCTGGAAGGCGTCCTTGTTCCACGGGTTGTCGGCCATGAGGATGCGGCCGATGTAGCCTGTTTCCCCAACAAAAGGGTCAGCGAACGGGACGGGGCACACACACACACACACAAGGAGACGGGGTGTTAATTGATTGTCCAGTTCCCCAAGGGCCAAATTGAAACCCCCCTCCCTTTTCCCAGCAACCCGGGTTTGCGTACGGCGGGACGGGGTAATTCAAGACTCGACCCTGGGGAGACAACTTTGAACGGGGGAAGGCATACCGGCAACCTCCAATATCAATCCAGCGACAATGAATGTCATGAAGCTCCAGGTCTTCTTTCGAATGCCCACCACCAAAGTCGCGATCATTGCGATCGCAAAGGCGATGGTGAAGAAGATGTTGATGCCCCGGTTGGGGTAATAACCTTGAGTCGATGCCTTGACAGGGCAGTACGGTCCAACTTCCGTACATATCTCCCACGGCCTCCCCTGCGGGGGACCCGTCGTGTTTGTTCCAGACATTGTGTTGCTAGGTCGAGTCCGGCCGCTTTCCCCCAATATCTCCTATGCTTCGGTCGCGTTCGTTTAGATCGCCAGGCGAGAGGCGCAACTCCGTCTCACACAACTGTCCAGTCGGTCCCCGTCTAAGATAAAATATTACAATCGGTTGGGATTCCAGAGACAGAAAAAAAAGAAAGTCGAGAATATGTTACAAAGGAGATAGCATTCAGCCTCGGGACGACCAATGTAACAGTCAGCTTATCCGCTGAAACGTGTGCAGACGAAAGGACATGCAGAGAGCACCTGCGTCAGGCACAACATGGGAAGGTCTGTATAAGTAAGAACCCAGGCAAAATCCCGCCCAAGTGGTATGCGAGTACGCGGACCCCGTACATGCCCCGTTGTCAAAGCCAAGCAAACAAGTGGGAAAATAGGATTCCATGATTCAATACGGAGTACACTAAAGTCCGGGCGAAATAACGTGAGATGGGGTCCCCTTCGGCTTTGACTCCACCACAAGAGAGAATCCCTCCAAGAGAAACATCGCTTGGCCGAGGTGCCAAAAGGGCTGCACCTGGTCGGAGAGAGAGCTATCCGGCGCGGCCTCCTTGCCGATTGGAAAGAAGATTGGAGGTAGAGACTCGTCCAGAACAATGCCACCGGCGAAAGGTGGAGCAGGAAGAGACAAGGGACCACCGATTTTACCATCCATCGCCGGCGCGGCGGGCCTAGAAAGATGCTACCTAGACTGGTTGGTTCTCTGGTTCTCCTGTATCAAACTAGGACGGGAGAACACGCTGATGCTGCAGCTCATTGACCGTCCGAGACAAGACCACAAGGCTGAGAATACCACGTAGTTGGACCCTTGAGGCCCGGATCAAGGTAGTAGTTCTTCGAGAACACGCGAATGCAGACAACGCCCTGACTATCTTCACATGGCAATCATACTGCAGAGGGCATGAAGGAAGTAGGTACTACGGCTTGGAGATGGAAGATCGAAGGCAATGTGGAGATCGGAGGGATTCAGTGGTCCGGAAGCCACCCCTACACTACGAAGGACTTTCCTCTTTGGTTTAGCGTCTCTTGATGACGGCCAGAAGCACCGGGTTCGTCGCCTGGGGTCAATGGATAGGTTCTTTGACATGTCTTAGCTCTGCCGAGACGCCTAAGAAACCCCATCGCGCACATCCACGGATGTCACCCCGGTCGGCACGATTCCATATCGGGGATAAAGTGCGAGATACTCGCATCGCAAATCAAACATCAACCTTATTGGCCCACTGCCGTATAATAATTTACCCACGTCGGGTGCACACAGATTGGTCCGCAGCTGAACTGAACAAGCTACACAAAAGAGGTAATCCAAAGTCGCTTTTGTATATTAAAGAGATCTACTCCTTTCTACTCCTTGCCGCCTAGATATCTGTACACAACACTAAAGTCTCTGCCCTTGCAGTTCTCAACTTTCTCGGCAGTCTCGTATACGTTTTTAGCAGCGTCCGCGAGCTCCAGCTTTGCGTTCGCCTCCTTGGCCGCAGCGATCGCGAGATTGAGATCCTTTCGCATCAGGCTGATGCCAAACCCGCCGCTGTAATCGCGGTTGGCCGGCGCCGTCTCTACAACACCCTTCACAGGGTTGTTCACCTCGCTGGGCCAGCACTTGCCCGTGCTTACGTTGATCACGCCGGCGAGGACCTTGGGGTCCAGACCCCACTTGATACCAAGGTTCATAGCCTCGGCCGTACCAATGTTGTTGATGGCGAGGAGGTAGTTGTTGGCAAGCTTGGCCGCCAGTCCAGCACCAGGGTTACCGCAGTGCAACACTCGCTTACCCATACGGAGTAGAATGGGCTCGATTCGCTCGACCAGGGAAGAGGGCGCGCCCAACATGAAAGTCAGGGTACCTGCAGTGGCTCCAACGACACCGCCGGACATGGGCGCATCGACGAACTGTGCGTCGTGCTTCGCAACAGAGCCGGCAACTTCTAGAGACGAAGACGGGTCAATCGTCGAGCAGTCGATGAAGATGCGCGGCTTTGAACGGGCCGAGAGACCACCCTCTAGGATCGAGGCGTAGACCGACTTGACGTGCGACGGCTCCGGGAGCACAGTGATGACAGTATCCTAGATAGCGAGCTCATCAGCAACATGGACCAACGGTGAGTGGTCATCGTGATCAGGGCGCAATTCCTTCCAGGCCAAGGGAAGATGTTTTCAGAGGATTGGCTTTATTGTATAATGGATAATCACGGGAGAACCGGCAAGCCGGTTCCAACTTAGATCATAGATAGAACAAACTCATCATTTAGGGGAGGTGAAGGAGGAATGCGCCCAAGAGACGAATGCAGAACAGAGATGAAAATTGTGACTTACCGCATCCTTGGAAGCCTCGGAAACATCTTGCGCAACCTCGACAACAGCTCCACCGGCCTGCGACGACTTCATCTCGCCCGCCAGCTTCTCCGCCGCGGCCTTGTTGATATCAAAGATACGAATCGTATCACTCGGCGGCAGCTTTGCCTGGAGGTTCTTGGCCATTTGGTAGCCCTGCGCGGTTCGTCAACGTTAGCGACCTGGTTGTAGGAGAGAGCAGGAGTAATGCATACCATCTGGCCCAGTCCAATGAAGCCGTAGTTGTCGAGCCTCCGCGCCGAGGACGAGAACGCCCGCCGCTGCAGCGAAACCTGCTTCCACGCCCGGACGCCGGCCCTCATCTTCGTGTCTCTGTGTGGTTAATGGCGGGTGCAGGTCACAAAAGAAATGAAATTGGTTCGAGAACCACCAGGAATGTCACAATTGAGGCTTCTCGAGATTCTTGAGCTGGCGTTGTTTGGAGGAGTGACGTTTCGTGGAGAGAAAGCAGCATTGAAAGCTCCGGCTTAGGAGGGTGCATAGCGACGGCTCGCGAGGGGTACAGTTACCCGAATGCCGGTCATTGCCGCTCAAACTCCACGGATGACTTACCTGCCCATTGGCTTGACCGCAGTTACTCCATGATGTGCTGTCCCAGCATGATGACACAGCCAGGGAGTCCCGGAGAACATGGTTCAATCTGTTTGAACCCCAAACCAGTGGTTAGGCATGGCTAAAGAGCAACTTTCCATGAGGGTGAGAAGTGTTGGAAAGGTTTTGGACCTCTTAATTGAAGCTCGGTAAATTTTGTGGGTGGTAGTACACGAGAAAGCGGTGAGGCGCGGCACATGGCATCTGCTCTGTGCTCAGTTCTGAGCACTGGCCTCACTTGAGCTGGTTGATAAAGGAGCTATATCAGGAGGCACCGTTGGTAAGAGATAAAACATTATTGATGAAGACGGTTCAACTTCGTCCAGAAACGAAGGCGTCGATTTCGCAGGCATCCTAAGGTGGAGCTGCATTGAACAGAAACATCATGAAGCGCCCACAACCAATACACGAGATCTCCAAGGCTGGAGTCGTTTCTCCCATGGCTTAAGACGGCATTTCGGTTGGCGATATGATCAAAGCAGTACAAGTTATGGGCATACTCGGTACTCTTACTCATCAATTAAAAGATCAGTATAAATCCACAGTGCCCCTTTGCATCCCGGAACATAAACGGAACATAAACGGCCTCCCTTAACAGCATCAGCTCCAGCCACCGCACTCAAACAAAGGCGAGTACAAGGCCCTCCAAGGCAAACTACTCGCATCTACTCCAGACAAGAAGGGGGTATGTTGTATAAAAGCAACCGTGAAGGGGTGTTGTGAAATCAATCTCCGGCAAAACTCCCGTCCTGATGACCGATGCCGCCCACGCATTTTCCATTTTTCTGCACTACAAAGCGGTGATCCAACAGCATCTAGCGCTTTACAGCATGCCCATAACATAGGGAACCAAGGCCCTGATGAAAAGTCAGTAAACGGTGTCCCAAAAGTCTAGATAGTGAGGTCCGAGGCAATCCGCTACTCACCCCACTGCCAGAGTTGCACTAATGCCCAGCAACGCCCGCTTCCGGACGCGCTCCTTTTTCAGTTCAACTTCCGTCTTGACCTTCTTCGCCCGCGGCTCCTCGGGGGCGTTTTCTGCCGCATTCTCCTTGGTCTCCTCGTCCTTGTCTCCGACCGTAATGTCATCGGCCTTGCGCTTGCTCTTCTTGGCTGTGGGTGTGTTGCTGCTCGCTGCCTCTATGGCCGGCTGCACCATTTCCCTCGCCTCGGCGAGCATGCGAGCCATCTCCTCAGCTGAGGGAGGCTCGCCCGCCATAGGGACCTCAACCTCGACATTGGTGACCGTGGTCTCAACGCCATCTGTGTCGACCTTGACGTTCTGATCCACGTTGATCTTGACTTTGGGATCTTCCTCGACTGGCGCAAGCAGTGCTGGAGGTTCTACGGCCGCGTTCTCGGCTACGGGCTTCTCGGAATCCTCGGTCATTGGAGTGTCAGGCTGAGCAGCAGATTCTCCGTTCACGAGACTCGGAGATGCTGAGGCCTTGGAGCTGGGAGCAGGAGTCTCGGAGGCTGCCTGCTGAGCAGCCGCGGCGGCCTTTGAGGAGCGCTTGCGCGGGCTTGCTGCAGCCTTCTTGGTGCCGGTAGACTTGGACGGGCTAGCAGATCGCCTTGCGCGAGAGCTCCGCGGAAGCGACGTTGGCGTCGGGGGTGCAAGGTTGGGCTGGCCGTGGAAGAACTTTGGCGGAGCCGAGATCTTCTTGGGCGGGCTCGCTCCTTCATTTCCACCAGAGACCTGGATGTCGGATGGATCAAGCAAAGCCCGGATCCAGGGCACAATACCATATTCCTCAGCCAGGCCAAGTGCCTGCTCTGGGGGGATCCAGATGTTTCCAGCCGTCTCCTCGGGACTAGTAGTCTCGATCGCCTTGATGAACTTGCGCTCGGCCTCCTCTTCATGCGCCTCGGCGTAGGGGAAGGTGGCCTTGAACATGCCGGTCGCGGAGACGAAGCCGTCGTGGCTGCGGCGCATCAGGAAGTAACTGCTGGGGCTGGACTTGAAGATGCCTGAAGCAATGCCCTTGGGGAGAGGTGCGCGCAAGTGCGCGTAGTCGAAGGCGCCCAGGCTGGAGGGGTCAATCTCTGTCCCCGGGATCGTAGCAACCATGCGCGGAGTGAGCTGAGTCTGTCCGAGGCGTCGGCGGGAGATAAGCTCGGCATCTGTGAAGTCTGGTTTAGCTGACAGTGGCAGCCGACGAGGAGCGAGGGGGACGAACACTCGGGCACACCCTCGGTCATCAGCGGGTTCCGCTTCTCTGGGAGGGTCCTTGATGAGGCCATCTCGAGTTCGAATGTATTCGAAGGGATTAAAGGTCTATACTGGTGAATTTAGGAGTGCGAAGTGGATGAAGAACGAAGCGAATTTAGACGCTCCAGGTTCCGACAAGAAAGGATCGCGCGACTCGTTCCCCAAGCTGGCCGAATAGTCGAGTTCTGAGCACCTTGGAAGATCACGTTAGCGCCTATGACCCCAGCCCGACCAAGGATCATGTCCTTCCACCAAATAATCGCATACCTCTCTATGCGCGATTGACTGTCGCGAAGTCGGAAGAAAAAGAAACCAAAGGATGGGGAATTGAGGATGGTGTCTGAACCCTTGCCGATGGAGCTGAGAGATTGCTTGCTGGCTTTTGTCGCGCGCGCGCGCAGGCGGAGTGGAGTCCGGGCGGATCGAGCTACGAGGGAGGAGGCGTGGGAAGGTAGCCGTAGAAACGCCAAAAGCCACGATCCCGCCAATGGAAGAGACTAAGGGAGGAGGGTTGATACGAAGGGAACCCAATGATGCTTTTACCTAAATAATGAGAGCAGAAGGGAAAAGATCTGGAGTAATCAAGAGGACAAAAATTCTCAGGACGGCAGGTGTGGTGGATTGGATGGAACGTCTGTCCTCCGTGCCCGCCCTTGTCAGTCTGGCAGTGTGAGAAGCAGGCCGGGGAAAAGACTGGTGCTTGGGAAGGGGTCCCTGATAGCAACTCGGGGGGAGAGAGGAGAGGCTGGGTTGGCAGGCGTGGTCAGTTCGTCCGTGAGTTGGGTGGGCGGGCGATCTGTGTCTGAGGTGTCTTATCCACGGGTGTGCCAGCGAGGGCTGGGAGGGTGGTACCCTTCCATTTCTTCCTGGCGCTTCTTTGGGGGAGACAATGGAGGAAGTCCGCGAGGGGAATAGCGCCGTCCCCTTTGCTGCCAGTTCAATGTTCTTGTCTCCTTTGGGGCACTGTGGAGTCTACCCGCTCCACACTTACTTTAATTGGATGTCAGGGGCCAGGAGAGAGGGCGGGCTTGCAGAGCCTGCGAGCCCAAGGTCCTCTCAGAAGCTTCCAACACACACAATGGAGTCCCCAGAGACGCATTGGTGGTGAGGTGAGGGGCTCGGGCATGGCACCATAGCACCATGGCACGGCTTATTCTCGCAGAAGTCGGTGGTGTGTATTGCAGTATCTTTGTCGTTGTCGTCTGCTACAGGATGGACTTCACACGTATAGGTACCTGCAATCCATGCGGCACCCTTCTGGATGTCTTTACCGTCAGCACACAAGACCAGCTCAGGGCTAGCTAGTGGCCAACGGACGCTAACGGTCGGGGCGGCCAACGGAACGGCGGCAGCTTCCGTAGATTCTCTTCAGCGGCACCCCTCGATCAGTGATCGATCAGGCGGTGCGAGTGGTGACGATGCTTGCGGTCTGCAGAGTTTTGCTATGAGATAGCTAGTAAGCAAGCAGACCACGACGTTGAGAATCAATCATTTGATTCTTGTGGAGATCGAGAACAGAGACATAACAAGCTGGGGCAACTCCCTTCACGAAAGACTCGGTTGATGCTCGGAGAGTGTTCAGTTCGAAAAGATGTCAACTCTTTGTAAGATTCGTAAAGGACGTGGTCACTAAAGGGGTTGTTTGCTGAGGTCTCTTGTCTCGACAACCTTAGGTACCTAAGGTCGGTAGTTACGCAGTGCATTGTCGGGGCTACCAAAAGCCAATGAACCTCTTCAGGCAGGTGGGCAGCACAGATACAGCACTGTGAGACTTGGAGAAACAGAAGTCTCATCGAAAAGGGTGCCCGTCCAGTCATGATCGATCTGCATTGTTTAACCCCTGTCGTTGCGAGTCGGGGTCGAGTTTCTTAAGCGTTCCAGGCTGGGAGCGCGGCCAGAACCTGACCGCCTTGCCGCCGTACCTGACCTGCATGGATGGATCAGAAACGCTGCAGGAACCCCACCAGCAACCGGCACAACCCCTCCAACGTCGACCAAATAAATAATGCCGACCGCCATATCGTCATACCCGACACCGCACTCGTGTAGAGCCTCCTCGTGACAGAAAACTGTATCTTGTGATTATCGCCGACTACCAAGTCCCCTTTGTATCCTTTTTGAGTATTGCTTTTCTCGTCCGCAGGGAGCAATTGGCCCACCATGGCTTCTCACCATGACGACGACACGATGCCCGAGGAGACTCAGGGCTATAAGCTGTCGCAACCAAAGCAGAGCTTGGCCGAGTACCAGAATATGGGTGAGTCGCCTTTCACCTTCAACTCACCTCACTTTCACCTGTGATTCGGTTCTCTCGTTCGAGGCCAGGCATTGCTCTTTACCGGCTGTGCTGCTCCGCCCCTTGCTTTTTGGTACAAACACACCGACCTCTCAGACCGACCGTGAGGCTCGGAGCAACAGCAGCGGCGCCCATCATCGTCCAAAACCATCATCACACGTCTGCGAGCTCGAGTGCCAAGAGGCTCTGTGACAAACTTCTCTCTCGAAAATGTCTCTCACTTCGCAGAACTACCCTCCTCAGCTCCCCCCTCCACCTCCCCCGTCGCCCATCATCCTGAGTCGCAGCGATGACCACCTGTCCCGCACCGTCCCCCCGGTCGACCTCTCATTCCTCCTCTCACTCTACCACGACCAGTGCCACATCTACGATGGCTTCGACTTTGGCTTTGAGGACGCGCACCCGCTGACCACCCCAGATGCCGGCGACGAGTCCCTGCAGCGCTACAAGGAGAGCCTCGGCCTCGGCAACGGCAAGGACATTAGCGACCCCAACGACCCGCGCGTCTGCATCATCCTGAGCCTCACCATGGAGACCCCCGGCCGCGACCCCGTCACCATTGACCTCAAGACGCCCGGCAGCGAGAAGACGCTCAAGGACCACCCCTTCAGGATCAAGGAGGGCGCCAAGTTCACCATGGTCGCCAGCTTCAAGGTCCAGCACGAGATCCTGAGCGGCCTGCACTACGTCCAGGTCGTCAAGCGCAAGGGCATCAAGGTCAGCAAGGACAGCGAGATGATTGTAAGTTGTTTCTCCGGATCCATAGAGCCAATTCTTAATATGCTGACACAAGCTTCAGGGAAGCTACGCGCCAAACACGGACAAGCAGCCCATCTACACCAAGAAGTGTAAGTGATGCACGCCGTTCCCGCGCCGTTCTTTGTCGAAAGCTGACCCTTTGGGAATTTCAGTCCAGGAGGAGGAGGCCCCCTCGGGCATGCTTGCTCGAGGCCACTACAACGCCATCTCCAGCTTCGTCGACGATGACAAGAAGAAGCACCTTGAGTTTGAGTGGAGCTTCGATATCGCCAAGGACTGGTAGATGCTGGTCAACGCCGCAAAATGAACGGGAGTCCATGGCGCGATGTCAACCTTGGCAGACCTCGCCTTGATACTAGTATGGAGGTGCTGGATCTTGGGGGCACTGGCTGGATTACCTTGCTGTAAGAGCACGGCCTACTTTTACTGAGCGGATGCTGGGCGCGATAATGATTACGACACCACAAAATAAAGACTTATACATGAGGAATGCGTCATGCAGCAAAATTCACAGTATTGCAAAGACTCAAATCCATGGGAAAAGGGGGATCCGTTTCAATCGTGAATACATAACATTGCGGCCCGTCCGGCCATCCATGGTGGTGGTACAGGTGCGAACTACCCGAGTTAAGCAGCGGTACAGCTGCTGCCAAAGGCATACAATCGGCATTGTATATCCTCGCCCAATCTCTACAGAAAGTAGTCCGGTAGCGAGTTGCCGTCGACCGCCTTCTCGGGCATGTCCTTGTGCTGGTCGTTCTCGGGCGCCGCCGCGAATACGTTAAAGAAGCGCTCGCCCGTGTCGCTGACCTCGAGCACGCTGGCCATGTTGCCGCAGCGGTAGCAGTAGTTGGGCGCGCTCCAGACGGTGCTCAAGCGATCGTCGTAGAGCACCTGGAAGCCCTCCTGGCACAGCTGGTGCGCCCGCAGGATGTGGGACATGCTGTTGACGGCCAGGAACTTCTTGACGACCTGCGCGCCGAACGTGTAGCCCGCCCCGCGCGGCGAGAGGGAGAACTCGTCGCGCTCCGGGTCCGGGTCGGACCAGACGAGGTCGGCCATCGGCCCCTCGTGGGGGATCTCGCGGAACCGGTCGATGATCTTGATTTGATCGATGGAATGTATCGACGGTGATAAACCTGGAATGAAAGAAGAATGTGTGATTAGGTATGATAGATATCACGAAGCGGCCTGCTGGATTCAACTTACCTCCATGTACACAAAATATCTGGTCGTTGATGACCACGCTCAACGTCAGAAAGTCGAACATATCTGTGAAATAATGCCACACGTTGGCATTGCCGTATTTTCTCGAGCACTCGGTATAAAACCCGTAGGACTGCGTCACGCCTCGCGACTCGTGGTTGCCGCGTATCAAATGCACTCGGTTGGGGTATCTAAGCTTTAAACAGACAAGGAGAGAAATGGTTTCGACGCTGAACATGCCCCGGTCGACATAATCACCTGTAGTTGCGAGTCTGTCAGTCCCGGAGCAAGAAGAGGTATGTAGGTGTGAGCTGCTGACCGAGGAACAGATAGTTGGTATCTGGACACCATCCTCCAATCTTGAAGATCTCAATGAGGTCGAAGAACTGGCCGTGGATGTCGCCGACCACGGTGACAGGTGCCTTTACGTGCACCACATTGCTTTCGCGCATCAAAAGCTCCTTCGTTTTGGCGCATATAGCCTCGATAACCGATTCTGCTAGAAGTTCCTTTTTATACAGACGTGATATACATTCGTCGAGGTCGACGGAAGCTGTGAGAGCGGAGGCGGCAAAACGGTTAGATTCAATGACCGCGTCGCATTCGGAGCGCCTCTGCAGGGCGGGCGCGATTCACATACAGGGTAGGCTAGGCATGGTCTAATGAGAGAGGGCGCTTGGGCTCTGCGCGCCTCAGGAAGCTGGTGGAAGGCGAGGGTTCGGTAGGGGCACGGCGGTTGTGCTGGTGGTGCTGCTTCTCCCCGCGGAAGATGTGTCTGTAGAGAAGGGTCTTGAAGAAGCAAACATGATCGAGGAGCGTTCGAATGATCTACATGAGAGCTTCTGCGACAGCGCGTGTACGTGAAGAGAGGGCGTCTGGATGAAAATCACGGCAGTTGCGTCGACATGGCGAACTGCATCGTCTTCAGGTTGGAGAGAGCTTTTTCGCGATGATACAGCCAACGGCGGCGGGCGTTCTCAGTCAGCATGGCAACAGCGTGGTTGATAGCTCTTCAGCTGGCTAGAAAAGTACCTTTACGTAGTGGCCCCGCTGTGCTGTTACAAGATCTGATTAGCGCGCTTCCCAGCGAATCCTGAGTGTTTTTGTAGGCTCATAACCTGGTAAAAGTTTACTAGTACTTGGATCTGGAGTAGAAAGACCTTGTATTTCAGCACAGCGTATCACCAGAAGGCACCACTAGGTACAGAACTCTGCCTCAAATTGACATGTTAGACTTGTCCTCAGCTTTGTTCTTCCTCTCACATAGGTGTAATGAAATCAAGCATGAATCACTGAAGACACTTTCTGCATGCTAGCAGGCGCAGCCTGATCAGAATCATGGTGCAGGCTGTGTGCACCGTCGGTGCGCCTCCCTGCAAGGGTAATGGCTTACAAATTCGTCCCACCGACACGCGCCTGGAGCTGATTGGCAGAGAGCTGCCCCTGAATGTGATGCCTCCTTCGCCTGACCACCATCAGCGTCAAGCGAATTTAAAGAGGTCGCGCGCGCAATCGATTTTGTTAGATTGTCCCTCAAAGGTTTGAAATCGACCATTTTAAGCCATCGAGCTCATTCCGGACGAAGGGCAGCCGTGCTTCTGGGGATTAAGAGCTGCGGCTGTCAGAAAATGGATCAGGGCGTCTTCGGCGTGTTCAGCGTCTTCACATGCGACATGTAGATATGGCATGCTTTATAAGCACTCATCCAATAATTCCTGAGGTTGTTGACAGAACATGTACCTCAAACCTCTTTCGTTATACATAAAACTGTTCCTACTAATTATAATTCTGTTCACCTGCTAAAGCTATATTTTGGGTTTGCATTAATCCTTTCACAAATTCAATATCAAGTCGCTTGGGTCATCTGTGCATACTTTCGGCTCGCGCACATGCAGGAAACCTTTGCACAATGATACAATACACACTCTACAGCTTCTGGCGCTCGTCATGCTCGGCGCGCCTTCGGATTGCACTCAACTTCAAAGGCATTCCTTTCGACGTTGTCCCCGTCAACCTGTTGAACGACGAGCACAAGTGCTCCGCACACAAGAGTCTGAACCCTTCCGCGTCCGTCCCACTACTTGTCTGTAGCGATGGTGCAAAGGCTCCGATAAAGATAGGACAGTCTCTCGCTGCCATTGAATACTTGGAGGAAGCACATCCGCAAACGAGCCTGCTGCCCCTGCCATCAGATGTCCACGGACGGGCGATAGTCAGAGCCCTGGCGAACATTATCACCTGTGATATTCAACCTGTCACCAACGTTCGCATCCTGAAGCGCGTCGGCGTGATGGGAGGTGACCAGCAGCAGTGGAGCAGCGAGCTGATGGCTGAAGGGCTGGGTGCGTACGAGGCCGTGGCCGCGCTCCATGCCGGACAGTTCTCGTATGGAAACAGCGTGACTCTGGCTGATGTCTGTTTGCTTCCGGCCGTGTGGAATGCACGGAGGTTCGGGGTGGCGATAGACCAGTTTCCGACTATTCTCAGAGTAGCAGGGAATCTGGAGGTTCTGGATGCTGTGCAACGATCGACCTACTCGAGGCAACCCGATACCCCTGAGCAGTTCCGATCTGAATGAAGTGGGAATAATGTGTGGCGGGATCTCTTTTTTTTTCTTTGGCCCTAGGTCAAGGTAGCACGAGAACCTCGCTCTCTAGGACGGGTGAAGAAGTATTGGGACAGAATTTACACGAGTTCCAGATTCCGAAATGATGCCCCCCCAACTCTTGGTTTACACCGTCTGGCCGGGACATCTGTATGTAAATTATAGACAAGGAAAGATTTCATATGAGACGTTTAGTCCTCGATGGATTGTGACACTTTTGCGTGGGGATGTTGTCTTGCCTTGGCGACAGGTCGATTCTCACATATCTAGGACCATATTCTTCGCCTTCATCACCCCTTTCTGTTGAGTATAGAAGTGCCATCATGTTAGACATGTGCATCTACTTTTTGCCTTATGATACCATAGCCTACTTCCGTCCTAATGCTTGCTCAATCTCAGCCAAGGCTGCCAGTACTTTCTCGTCGTAGTTTCTTCGCCCAATAACCTGAAGGCTGACTGGTGCGTTGGCATACTTCTCTGGAGAGTACATATCATACACAAACTTGTCCTCCTCGTTCTTCGGCACATAGTTCTTGTCCTTGATATCCTTGACCGGATCAACCGTCGTGACCGGGAACACGGCACCCGGATAGTCGAGCAGGTTCCAGTGGGCGGTGTAGCCCCAATATCTCGACTGGTCGTGCGGCGTGGCCGCCCCAAACGATGGCGGGCAGAGGATCACGTCGATCTCGCGGCCATCCTTCTCACCGGTTTTGGTCCACGCACGGGCGTAGGCCTCGCGGTACGCGTCGCGCTCGAGGCACCGCGCCCAGAGCTCGGCCTGCGTGAGATCCTTGACGCTCTTCTGCTCGTTGATGATGAACTTGGTCAGCGGCAGGACTGGCTCCCCGCTTTCTTCCAGGCGGCCCAAGACCTCCTTCCCGCCGTCGGGCCAGTACAGCGAAGCGAGGATCTCCCATCCCTTCTGGTGGTCCAGGGCCTCGCAGTCCCAGTCAACGACCTCCATCCCGGCCTTGAGGCACGCTTCGACCACTTCGCGCAGGGCTCGGATCATGGGCGGGTGGGGCTTGACGACGCCGTCCCACCACTGCACGGCGATCTTCATGGGCCGCTCAAACTTGTATGGTGTCCAGACCTTGGGCGTCAGGGAGGGATCGAGGCGCCATGGCTTCTTGGCCAGCGCGACCTGCATGAACAGTTCCAGCGAGTCGCGGTCGACAGCCATGGGACCCAGCGTGGAGGTGATGGCCTCCTTTCCCAGCATGTGCGAGCACTGCCCTCCGACTGGCAAGCGCTTCGTTGTGGGCTTGAAGCCGTACACGCCGCAGTGAGCTGCGGGACAGCGGATGCTGCCGCCAATGTCTCCGCCGACACCGAATATGCTCCCACGCATGCCGAGGATAGCAGATTCTCCTCCGCTACTGCCGCCCGGCGTCAGGTTGCGATTGTATGGGTTGACTGTCCGGCCGTAGATATTGCTGTTGGTCTCCAAGTGCATAATGGTCTGCGGCTGTGTCGTCCTGGCGTAGAAGACGCAGCCCTCTTCCCAAAAGTTGTCGTAGATCATGATGGAGCCGTGCTTCTTGCCAACCCAGGACACGTAGCAGGCGTGGGCGGTTATGTCGTCGCCCACGAGGCCATGGTGCTCCTTTGTCGAGATGGGCAGTCCAAAGAGTGCGCCTTTGGGTTCAGGTAGGGAGTCCAGATATTTCGCGCGCGCTATGGCCTGGTACCAACGGAGCTCAGTCAAGCAGTTGGTCTAGGCGGCCACATGGTCAGTCCAGTCTTCTACACAGTATGGTAAAACATTAACATCGGCTTACCGCCGCATGGGCGAGCGCAGCTCTTCTCAGGAACGCGCGCGTCACTTCTTCAACGGAGATTTTCCTCTCACGCAAGACAACCAGGAGCTCTTTGGCAGTGTAGTTCTCTGTAATTTCAATTTCACGTGGAGTGAGAACGAGACTGGGAAGATCCTGAGAGCTGAGCGGTAACTCGGCGGGGAGGCCTTCGAGCTTGGGCTCAACTTTGGATAGGGATTTGTCACGGTAGTCCTGAGCCCAGGCGACCTTTTCCTGCCAGGTCTTCAACGTTTGTGGATCAGCCATCGGTGTTGAGTTGTGTATATCGTTGGTATTCAAATGAGAGTTTAGCAACAATGCAAATCATTTCTAATTAACTGCGGCTTTGTGTACTTATGCTTAATCAACGATAAGCAACTATCACCGACATCGGGAGACTTCGGGCCAAGTCAGCTCTTATTCCCACCACAGATCTCCATTGACCAACCAGCGATAATTCCCCTCACAACCCAGTGCTGATACCGCAAAAACCTATAAGATGCTGCCTAATAGAGATAGGGACACCCTTGGCTCCCCCACATAGTGTGGGAAGAGCTTCAAGGTTGCGGGACTAGGAGCTAGTGTAAGTGCAAGGTCTACCTACCTAACCCATACCGCTAACTCGATAACTTCATAACGAGTCCCAGGCATAGCATCCGGGGTAGAAGAGTCCCATGTACTTAAAACCCGTTTCCCCCATGCACCGAGTCCCGAACACGCCCAGCACGCCCCTGCATTCGACTGCGTCGGTCACGCTCAACACGCTTATCTGCCTTTGCCTCCTCACTTCCCCACAAGCCAACTCCAACTCGCCCGAGATCACGAAACCCATGGACCAGGCACGTAGTATCAAGCGGAGAAAGAGTTCACGTCACGAGAAGACGGGCTGTTTGACCTGCCGACGCAGGTGGGTTGTCTCTCTACTCCTTCGGTCGAAATGCAGGCTAACGGCTCCTCAATCATCCTGATATAGACACAAGAAATGCACCGAGAACACATTTCCTACCTGTGGAGCTTGTAGGCGGTTGAACCTCCAGTGTGTCCGCGAGCCTCCCCGCAACATCGTCTCACATGACAGGTCTGCGATCGACCCCTCGACGACTCCGAATTCCTCACATCTCCGCAGCAGTGACCTCCCTCCCGTTGCTCCCTCGCTCATGGGGCTAGGTTTCGGCAAGACCCAATCTCCACAGCACCGATATGCTATGAGGTACTATGTTACCGAGTTGGCGAATCACTTTACAGTTAGCACAGAGTTCAACTCATTTTTATCCGGTGAGGAGAGATCGGAAGATCTCCGAGGGTCCGCAGAGTCAAGTTTGGGACTCTAATTGCTAACCAAGGCATCAATGGCCGCAGACTTCCTACCTATGGCACTGGAATCTCCAGCACTTTGTGACGCGCTGCTGGCACTGTCATCCAGTCACATATCTCTGGTAGACCAGTCATATTCCGTGGTCGCGTTAGAAGCGCAGTCAAACGCCATCAAAAATCTCACTTTCTCGATCAAGTCACCTTCAGACCAGATCACATGGCACGAAAGCAACGCCGCAACCTGCCTAGCTTTCGCGACCTCTCTGATCAGTACGAGTGATAGCCAAGGGTGGCATGCTCATCTCCAAGGCGCCAAACATTTCATCACGTCCGCTGCAGCGAACTCCAGGCCTGGAGGACCCCTCAAAGGGGTCGACGCCTTCAAGGTGACCCCTGAAGGCCGGTGGGTCCTGCGCAACTTTGCCTATCACGACATCATTGGTAGCATCAGTACTGGAAGGCAGCCACTGCTGGACCCTAGTTATCTGCACGATATCAGTGAAGTCATTGACTCCTATCTTGGCGTCGCGACAGGTCTTCTGATCCACATTGGAGAGATTAGCTCTCTCGAGAGCGAGCCATCATTGCTAGAATACTCCTTAGTCTCTGAGATCGACAGGAGTGTTTCCTTCCGCGAGAAGTGTCTTCGATTGGAGAATGAGCTCGAGAGTTGGAGATGCCCGATTGAGACTCAAGGAAGCCTTGCTTCCATGGCTTTTGCATATAGAAGCGCCGCGCTCATTCTGCTGTACCGGCTGGTCCGGCGAGATCTCCCAGGAGCCATCGAGAACCTCGAAGAGAAAATCTCGTCGCAGGTCACCGAAGCGCTACGACACATCTCGGATGTCCCTCTGGGACACAGCCCGGAAGCAGCTCTCTTGTTCCCACTGTTCATCGCGGGCGGTGAAGCAAGGGAGGACTCTCAGATCGATTTGATCCGAACTCGACTCCGAGAGAAGGCCAACAAGCGAAACTTTCAAAATATATCGCGTGCTCTCAAGGTCTTGGAAAGTCTCTGGAATCGACGAAGGATACTTGGCATTGAGGCAGACTGGGCCCAAATTCTGAATGCATCTGGCGAGGAACTGGTACTAACGTAATTATGCCGCGGATAACAATTCAGCCACAAGGTCAAATAAAGAGATGTGTGGAGATAATGCATGATCATGACTCTCGTGCGAGGGGATCTGGTGAGGGGATTTCAAGAAGTTGTCGGGTAGGCGGACAAACCTGGACATAACTGAAAGGTCATTATTCCCATTCTCTGGAGTGGGGATTGAATCAGTCGATGGCAATGACCAGGGTATGTCGTACTATGCCGAGGACGCTGGCAAGGAATGAGTCGTGTTCCACGTGTTGGAGGATCACGTCGGCTATGGGTCGTCGTGTTCAGCGTCAAGAGCGTGTTGGGATACAGGACCAGAAAGCTGGGCGTCTTGGCAGAGGCACAGCGCATGGGCGTGGATGGCGGTGGGAATGATTCGAAGTAGGCTCAACTTGTCGAGTCTCCCTCGCTGAGCAGAGTAATGTTTGTGTGGTGATTCAAAAACACACGTATTTGGCCAGTGTTCCCTGTTCAATAGACAGTCACCGGTAATTATGAAAAGTGAGAGAACTCCCAGACGTCTTCCCTTCGCCCATTACTGAATCCTTGAGCTCCGGGCCCTCCTCTTGCCGCAACACCCTGTCATAATGGAACGGGGGTCGTTCTCATAAGCCCCACAACTTATCTTTACAACCAATAAAGTGTAATAACGCAGGGGGCCTTCCTATGCAGGCTATGTGGGTTCTCTTGATGATCTCCACGCCTAGCCTTGGGACGTGAACATGTCGGAGTTCTGCTTACCCCGGACTGGTCCCCAGATTGGCATTAGATACGACGATAACAAATGGCATCCACCGAGGTTAACCAGATAGCAGACCAACTTCGAAATTACCATTACAAGAGATACTGGCTTCTTAGCCGTCACTGAAACATGATAAATAAACCTGGGTAACCTCTGATCACAAAGAGAAATCATCTTACATGTTTCTCTACATGTTTCTTAATCTGGCGGAACGTTGAGACCTCATCCGACCATTCTTTTCAAGTAACTGATCGCCTACCAATAATGGCCTCGGAGAAAGACGATATGAAGACGCCGGGTGCCGTGATACCTCAGGGCAGCGACGCGGCCGAGGTCGGATCAAACACTCCTTACATCGATCCCGAAAAGGAAAAACGAATTGTGCGCAAGTTTGATTATCTGGTGATGCCTCAGTTTGTTATCATGATGCTTCTCGCGTGAGAACCCCCCAGTCATCTCGAGTCAAACGTCAGCCCTGTACAGCTTTCACTGACAGACAAGCCCGTCACCAGCTACCTCGACCGTAGCAACATTGGCAATGCCCGCATCTTTGGTTTCGAAAAGGATCTCGGACTCAAGGGCAACGAGTTTGCCAACTTGTCCTCGCTCTTCTATGTTACATATGTTGTCTTCGAGATCCCCTGGGTCCTCGCCCTGAAGAGGTGGGGCGCGAACTTGGTCATCGGGCTTGCCATCGTCCTCTGGAGTGCCGTTACCATAGGTTCCGGCTTCGCAAAAAACTACCACCACGCCATTGCCGGGCGACTTTGCTTGGGGTTCGCCGAGGCTGGCCTCATGCCGGCCCTCACGTTCCTCATCTCTACCATCTTCCCGCGTGAGAGTCAGGGCTTGCGTGTGGCCGTTCTATATGGCGCCATGGCTCTCTCTGGTGCCTTCGGTGGTCTCATCGCGTACGGCATCCAGAAGATGGGAGCCCAGCGCGGCCTGGAAGCTTGGAGATGGCTCTTCATCATAGAAGGGGTCATCTCGCTTGCATTTGGCATGCTCTGTTGGTTCTCGCTACCCAAGACTGCCGACAATGCCTGGTTCCTGAAGCCGGATGAGAAACAGCTGATGAGAGACCGCCGTATCAGAGACGCTGCTTACACCGGATCCGATGAGTTTTCCTGGGCCTATGTGAGGATGGCGTTCGCAGACCCCATGGTATGGGTGGCAGCTATCAGTCTCTTCTGTGCCGGGATCCCTCTGTTCGGCTACGGCATTTTCTTGCCTACGATCATCCGTGGCCTCGGGTAAGTTGTGTCATCAGAGTACTGAACTTTGTTATTTTGCTAACATTATGGTCTTAGGTTTCAATCCACTGCAGTAAACGCCTTGACCATTCCGGTGTACACTGTAGCCTGCATTCTCTTAGGTGTCATTTGCACCATCTCGGATCGCTTGAAGAAGCGCGCTATTGTCGCACTGCTCGTTCCTATCATCGTCATTACCGGTTATGCCATAGCCATTGGTACTCCATCGAACGGAGCAGGCTTCTTCGCCATGTTCCTATGCGCTGGTGGTAAGTCGATATCTATCTTTTGTTCTTGAGCGACACAGCAGAGTGACTCACATATCTCGCTACCTCATAGTCTACACCTACAACACCCTTCTAGTCGCCTGGGTTTCCAACAACATCAAACCCGACCACAAGCGGAGCGCTGCCTTGCCACTCATGATCTCCGTCGCCAACATCTCCGGTATTGCTGCTAGTCAGGTGTACCCAGACTCTAGCGCCCCGCGATTCATCATGGGCAACGCTGTAAGTCTCTCGACCGAGTTCGCTGCTGCGTGTGGCATCGTCGTGATATGGCTCATGCTCCGGCGCCGGAACAACATCAAGGCGAAGCAACGGGCTGAAGGCATTGAAGACAATGGTGAAGTGGGCGACAAGTCCCTGGATTTTGAATACATCCTGTAGTTTGGCTATAACAAATCACACTGCAGGCTAGACAAGGAGTAGACTGCATGGGTAGAGAAGCGGGTTGTTGGAGACTGGACACATCTGAATGGAAGGTGAATCCTCACTGCGGCAATACCTAGTTTAGAACAATATGAATACATGAATGCTGTCCACACTAGCAGTCCACTCAAGGAAGTATTCATTTGGATTGATAAATGATTATGCCCCAGGTGTTATAGAATTGTTTGTTATATAGTACCAAGGATTGTTGCGATACAGGTAATGGTCTAATGATCTCGATGTTTTCTCCAGTTGGTCATTTAAGAGTTTGTATAATCCTCGGGCGAGCTTACAAATAAGTCGACATTGTTCGAGTTGGCCTGGAACCCTCTGAAGTATATCCCATCCCACTCCATGTCCAAATTCCATGTTCGAGCCAAAACGTTGTTGGTTTCTTGTCCCGCTTTGTAGGAGATCGCCTTCATGACGCTGCCAGGTCCCTTCCTCAAAGTCAAGACCAGCTTCGGCAGCTCTCCGTTCAAGGTCCTTGGCGTAATACTTGTTGTGGCTGTTGTTTGCCCCAACCCACAGCGCACGGTAGAGCTTGACATGCCCAATTACCTCCTCGTATGTATCCTGGTAGTCGATCACAATACAGGCGTGGGCGACCTGTGGACGCATCTCGGGCCGCCGCCTCGCGAGCTCTGCGAGTGTCACCTCGCTTGGCCACAGGGGGTACCAGATCAGGTAGGGGAGGTCGAAGGGGGAGGCATCGATGGCGTGGGAGATGTCGTTGGTCATGATGAACCGCGCGTTGATGCCATGCGGATGCCAGTCTCGTTGCCACCCTTGGTCATATTTGCGACCTCTCGCATCCACCACTTGGCGAAGAAGCTGTTGTGGTAGATGCCGCGCTGAACGTAATAATTCTCTCCGCCAGACATGCGGACGCCAGGCCGGCGCAGGCGTGCGTAGCGGTCGATATTGCCGTGGTAGGCTGCTACGCGAATCAGCAGCTCCTTGTTTGTTGTCGGCAGGTCGTATGGGATCGGAGAGTAGAGGAGTTCGACCTTGTGAGGCTTCAGGGCTGGGTCCAGCTCTCCCATCGTCTCGGGGCCGATGTCACCCTCTTCAGTAATGTCGAATATACGATTGTAATACTCATCGCCATTGTCGATGACCCAGTCATCTATGGACATAGTCACGTCAAGCGATGACCTCACAACAGTGTCGCCGTTTAGCTGTGCCCCGGGCCGCGGCTTATCGAGGTTTACGGAACGATTATAGTCGTCCATCACCGCATACCTGACGTGGCTTGACACGATCTCAGAGTATATTTCCTTCGCGCTGGGAGCATTGTCTCGCGCCTCTTCAGCGATGGAGACATCAGGGAGAAGCTCCAGCGACCGGTACAAGTCTGTATATCCAGCAACGGCACAAGCACGTCCAACTTGATACCGCATGTCTGGATATTTCTCCACGAGCTCCTTGTAGGTGTCTGGCTTGGCCACATCTGGATGCCAGATGCAATAGGGTCGAGCCTGGGATCATCCATGACCGGGATGGCGTTGCTCATGATGAGGCGAGCATTGCGGGCGCGAGCAAAAGTTCATTCATTTTCGGAGCGGTGACAAAAGAGTCATGGTGTCTCAATCCATATATGACACAGCACCTGACGATGTTACGGTTCAGAAGGTCGGCCGGGACTGATTCTCCCTGTAGAGCCTGCCGACAACGGTCAATCGCCTCTGTGTCCCACACTTCACAGGCTCGTTTACTAACAGTCGGGTCGCTAGCGATACTGCTGCTGTCAAGGTCGTTCTCGCCCATCTCGACGGGCTGCTCCGTCTGCATTGTGCGATGTATTTCTTGACGAGAGCTGTATGACAAACCTCCGGCAGGATAAGGCAGCGGGGTCCTGCGGTTCAGAATTCGTTTAAGAGGTGCGTGAGGTGACTCAAGCTCAAGGAAATTTTGAATTCCGCCGTACACGGGTGTATCAAACCCCTAATCTCAAGACCAAGTCAAAAAGAGACTTCAAATCTGGACCGCTTGAGGATACCGCGATCCTGTTGAAATGGGAAGTGCCAAGATCTGGTAAATTATTGAGTGCAACCTCTCTTCCCAACTCGGCATGTGTTCATTCCTCGCTCGGGCCACGATCCTAAATGTGATAAAGCCTATGCAACAATATGATGTTGGTTCTAGCATCGAAGACCCCTAGAATCTGCACACCGGAGATCACTGTCGGCTTAGTTCCAGTCCATCCACTGCGGGTTGAGCAGCTAACAGCCGTTTACATTTGCTGTAGCTAATGGCTACCCTAAATACTCACAAGCTTTCATCTATTCACTGTCTTCCTTGACTAGTAGACTGGGTGTTTAGTTAGTGTATTGGGTGGCTACTCAAAGTAGGCCTCAAGTATTTGAGTAAGGCGTCAAGGCTCACAGCATGTAACATGGTTCTATGGATCTACTACAACACCAAGCATCCTTTTAGAGATACCACTAGCTAGGAGGGCAATAGACATGGATTCTACCAATGCTGCTAGTTTGCAAGAGGTGTCGCAGTGTTTCTTCGCTCATATGATTAAGCAGTTGTTGGCTTCCTATCAACCACATCACGCCAGTTCCTAATCCTTCAGTACACGCACCGAAGGCGCGCAACTGAAACGGAGTCGGAGATACCTGTGAGCAAAGGCTCGCATTCAGGCATCCTAGGTTCTATGGTATGCGAGATGAGGACCCTAAGAGCACACAAGGACTTGACCAACACGTCGGAAAGGTTTTACACAGTTTTGTTCTCCCCATACTGTGCACTGACGTCGGCCACAACGCTGCATTTATAGCCTCTCCATTTAGACATAGGCAAGCCGATGCTGTACATCTCCTCAATCTCGGCCAGCGTACGGTTTGCCGTCTCGGGGATGAAGAAGTACGTCCAGATGATGGTCACGACAAGGCAGCCAGCAAAGATGTAGGCCGTCTTGGCACCGAGATTGGCGGCATCAGGGCTCATGATCTGCGGGACGGCAAAGGTGGTGATCACGGCCGTGGTGTAGGACCAGAACGCTGCCCAGGCCATGGTAGGCTCGCGGAGGGCAGGCCTCGCGACTTCAGTCGGCAAGACAAAGCTCCTACGCGAAAGAATCGAAATGTTAATAACTTGTCCCGGTTTCACTCCACGGTGGTCGCCTTAGTGGCCCAAGATGGCAACATGAACTTACAAAGATTGGAACGAGGCCGAGTTGAAGAATGCAAAAATGATCATGACCGAGGCGAGGCCCAGCTGTCGGCTCTCGGTCGTGAGACCAGCGGCAGCCAGCGATCCGGCAGCAAGGTTGAGAATCAACAGAATGGCAAAACCCACGAGCGCCACGGGCCTGCGGCCGACCTTGTCCACGAGATACGGTCCGATGAGCGTCCCCAAGAAATTCGTGCAGCTGATGATGATAGTGATCTGGAACGGATTGCCGACTCCGCTCTGCACCAGCATGACGGTGGCGTAGGTTCCCACCAGAATCTGGCCACCGACCTGACCAGAGCTCAGGAGGGCACCTGCAGTCACGGTACGCTTGAGGTTCTGCTGGTCGAGAATGCTCCAAAAGTGCACCTGCTCGCTTCTCGCGGCATCTTCCTCAAGGGCCCTCTGGAGGATCCGCAACTCGGCGTTGACGAGGTCGAGATTGTCACCGCGAACGCTTGACAAGACGCGATGGGCGTCATCGGGCCTGTGGTGTATCATGTACCACACCGGAGACTCGGGGAGGAAGAGCGACGCCACGGCGAGTCCGCAAGGGAATGCGGCCTGGATCGCCAGAGGGATCTGGTACTGTCTGTGATCATTGATCTTTTCCGTGGCCCATACAATGGTCGTCGCGATGATGCCCACGGCCGCGATGGCGGCGACACAGAAACCGACGGCTCGCCCGCGAACATGAGCGGGCACGAGCTCTGTAAGATACAATGGCGCCACTGTAGTCATGATACTGATGCCGATGTCTGGCAATCCGGGTACGTTAGCAAGTTTTCCTCTGCGAAGCATCGTCGGACAGCCTGACGGCCGATCTTGATGCGACTGATATTATGATCTTACAGTTCCAGAATCGACCTACAACCATTGCGGCCATGTCTGGGGCAAACAATTGAAGAAACGAGCCGGGGATGCAGAGGAAAACATAGGACGCAATCAGAGTCCTCTTTCTGCCGAACTTCTTCATGGCGAAACTAGCAGCGAAGGTGCCCATGGCTGCTCCGACGAGGGGTACCGGGACGAGGAGGTCTAGATTCTTGGCCTGCTCAATCACACCTGGTTAACGCCATGACTCCAACAGTCTGCTGTTCGAGGCTTGAGCACATGCTATGGGGAGGCGTACAGTGAAAGTCAAGCCGGGGCCTTGGTATTTCTCAATGAATAGAGGCAGCTGCATGAGGGGAGACGCGAAGCTGTTGTCGTAGCCAAACAAGCACATGGAGCACCCAACAATGAGGACTGCAGTTGTTTGTCAGAACGTCATGTTCATAGCATACAGGTGTAAATGGAAGAGAGTAGGTTACTCACGACTAAAGAATAGCCTCAAATTGAGCCATCCTTTGGGGTGATGGAGCTCTTGGTCGAGGGTGTCTGGCGACGGCAATGGGGCGGACACATGTTCAGACCCGGCGGCATACTTCGAAGGAGGCTCGGAGGTAGACATTTTGAAATATTCGTTATCGGATTTGCCAGTGTTTGCAATAGAACGATGCAGTGTCGAGTATGTCAAGGAGCGACCTCTTTAATCAGACTTGAATGATCGACATCACCGAGCTGGCCCGTCCTTTTAATACCTGTCCATCCCATTTCTCATTTTCTTTTTCTGCGGACTAATCTTCATTCCCCATGGGGTTGATCAGGGGCGAGGAATGAGGCATGACAGTGTCTGAAAGCCACATAGCCTGCTGACCTTCGAGATCCGCGTCCATCCAACTCGTTGGGGAATAATACCGCATCAGGAAACGCCCGGCTCGGCTGCTGAGGCGTAACGACTCAGCGAATGGGCCTCCAGTGTGATGGGATGCTAGTCTGAAGAAGCGTTTCGCCGAACCACCAGCCTCGGACTTCCGGAGTTGGGGCTAATGAAGTGCTAAGATGTTAGCTCCCAACTCTCAATAGAGGCTCATTGATCTGGTGCACCAGCTCCGCTTCCACCATAACCTCGATTGTAGAATTCCCCAGGCTCCCTGCACAACCTTCACAAACATCTAAGCCGTTTGGGGAATTTCATCCAAAGGCAGATACTCCCCCCAAATGCATCCCAGTGCATCATGTCCGGAAGGCCCGTACTGATCAGTCAAGGCTGCCATTTTACATAAAGATGGCCATTTCTTAGTACAAGCCGAGAAGAGAAGGTCCAGAGGCTCCTTTACTGTCTATGAGTTGTTCACTAGCCTGGCCTAGCCTCACCACGCCTGCAACCTTGCCTGACCAATTTCGCTGGTCTCGTTTTTATCCCCCAATTGATGACAATATGCTTTCGACAGAAGAGGCTACAGCGAGCATCACCAATAAGAGCGATGGCTTTGTAGATCTGCATCACGGGAATGGGCTCGGGTTGACCGATCCGTTGCTGCTCGCTATTGCCGCCGACTTGGGCTTAAACCTTTCCAGTCAGCATCCTCTCCTACGACCAAACATGGACTTCGTACAGGTACGACGCGCAGCAAGATCTTGTTCAACTCTCTAGACTAATCAAACTTGTGTGACTATAACTAGGAGGTGGCAAAACTGCCGATTGATTTTGCAAGTGTGCCCTCTGGGACGGATGTGCAAGGGATGCGACGCTGGATCAAGGAGGTCTATCTAGATCCCGTCCTGATCGAGGCTCGCAACAAATGCAAATTCAATCGCAGACGTCCTCAACAGAAGGTAAACAAGACTGTCGTCTCTGTGAAGTCTTCGGATGGCAGTGGAGAGACCTTCGAGCTATGGATCTACCAGACCGATGACAAGCCCCCTGCCAGAGGCAAGCCCGCCTTGATGATGCTTCACGGTGGCGGTTGGATTCATGGAACGCCTTTGTGCGATGAAGGTAAGCTTAAAACTAGAAAGGGCCTCAAGACGTTCTTGATGCAATTGCTAAACAGTCTTGTAGTCTTCGCCGAGACATTGGCATCGGAGCTGGACATCGTGACCGTCGGAGTAGATTATCGACTTGCTCCAGAATACCCCTTTCCGACACCGCTTAATGACTGCGTCGATGCTCTGAAATGGGTAAGATGGCCCCCTGGTCGGCTATTGAGTGCATCTCGCCGTCGAACAAGTGCTTGATAGCTGACTGTAATGGTGGCCAGGTCTTGCAACATGCAGACACCCACAACATTGATACGAGCCGTATCGGGCTCTGGGGCGCTTCAGCTGGCGCGAATCTCGCCGCAGCCCTTGCCGTCAAGTACTCACAAGAAAAGGATACTCAGTTCGCAGGACTGTCGGTCAGCCTTGTCAGCCTCGTCGTGCCGGTGGCTGGACACCCAAAGGCATTTTCCCGATTCTCTAAAAACAGAAAGTTTCCAAAGAGCGATAACGAGGCCCTGTTTGAGGAAGAAAGCCCTCCTTCAGAGCATGTGATAGCCGGGGCGGAGAAATTACTGGGTATGGTCCCTCGGAGTCCATTATTGTACGCACGACTGCCATGATGAATTCATATATCTAACACAACGATTCGTTCATAGGAATGTATATTGGCGAACACGGCGACCCGTTTGATCCTCTGATTTCACCAATATTGGCAAATCCAACTCCAGCTCACCCGCGTACACACATTACCGTGGCTGCTTGCGACATCTTGAGGGATCAAGGCTTGGCTTACGGACAATTTCTTCGGTCAGGCGGTGTGCAGGCTACCGATGAGGTCCTCCCAGGCGTGCCGCATGCCTTTACATACTCAATGAACACGCCCTTGGTGGAGAGATGGGTGGAAGACGAAAGAGACAGATTTGCCCAGGCGTTTGCACTGGACGAGTAGATTGAGTTATGCACATAATTACGGCGCGGTACAGGATACTAGACAAGTTCTCTTTTTCTCTCCTGCATCTTTCGCTCTTTTGTGACAGAATCAAGACGGAATCCTCGTCCCCTGAAATTCCTCCTTGGATCCTCTCTATCCGCTCTGTGTCGACCTTCGTGAGAGATGACTGCAGTGAATCAAGATGCCATCGAGGTCTTTCCAAAGTCCTTACTCACTGCTTGCCTGGGGGATGCCGCATTAGTCAGTAAGTTGCGCCAAATGGGCTTGGTTAGCGTGGACAAGCTGAAAGTCTATCCCTTCGCTTTCCCCGCCTATGAAGCCTCTCCGCGCGACGAACAATCCATCTAAAGTAGCGTGTTACTACCACATCACCGGAGTGTTCGTGTATCCGAGCACTTCTCCTTCATCCATCCACACTCATTTGCTCTGGCAGGATGCACGAGCAAAGAGAATCCGATTCAATGCTACTTGCGAAGCCACGCCTCTGATATCGAAGTACAGCGTTCGAGAACGATCAGCAACCTCATCGAAGAAGCTGCCAGGATGTTTAGCACCTTCTCCGTCACCGACTTTCAGCCGGCGGGCCGTGCGCCCCGTGGGCGGGCTTGTGATGCCTGCCGCAGGATGAAGATCAAGGTGAGACAGTAAAGTTATCGTACATGCACGTCCAAATGCTGATCCTCGACCCAGTGCCGAATTCCTAGGCAAACCAACGGGGTTGATGGTCGTCAGGGCGTTGCTAGTCCAGGCCCGTGCAATTCGTGCCAGCAGGCTCGCGTGAAGTGCACATTCCGGGACAAGGCGGCCAAACGAGGCCGACCAAGTAAACTGTATGTTCATGGTTTCTTCCACGCATCATCTCCGAAATATCCCCTTTGGTAGCCTCCAACTAATCCCTCGACCGCAGAGATTCGCATGATACGTCAAAGGGAGGAGACAAGTCCGTTGCGCAATTTGCTCCCACTCCATTTTCCATTCTGACTGCCGACGACACCTTGGAAAGGGAGGGTGAAGAGGACTCGCCCCTATTCAGGCAGAGGTATATGTCAGAAGACACAGAGTTGCTGGCGAGCCATGGCTCCGGGTCTTATGACGGCGAGTTTGAATCTCCATCCATCGTGGATCCGGCAGCCGCGCCCAGGGACGACAACCTGACCTCAGAGCATGGGCGCCAGTTTCAGTCCAAGCTCGTCGCTGATGCCTGGGACACCATCAATGCCTATTATGACGACGGGTACCTGGTGTTTCCCATAGTCCCGTACTCGGAGCTTGCTTCACGACTTGTCACCGAGCAGGATTGGCTCTCTCAGCCGAGTCTTCGCACCCTGGTTTTGTCCCTTCGACTGCTGCTCGCCTCCGGAAGATACCGAATGGACTCTCGCGACAGCACCGTCTTACGAGATCTCATACTCCAGGTAGAGACATCGCGCCTAGGCTACGACTATGCAGACCCGGCCGCCCTGGATGAGGTCGCATGTTCACTGTTCCTATTTACGGCGTACAATGTGCTGAACGTGCACACCCGCGCATTTCTGTACCTGGACGAGGCAATTTCGTTATTCAACGAGGCTGCCTTGCTTTATGAGGAAGACAACCCAAGAGTGCTACGCATCGAGAAGGTTATTTTTAATACAGAAGCGGCGTCGCAGCTGTACGCTTCCAAGACCAGAACGCGTCGGGCTAGGAGGCCGAGCATGAACATCGACGACTATGTACCGTGTCTGGATGGCTTCGCACAAGACACTGAGACGGAGGCCATCGCAGCCCGCCTCTTGACGCGGCTGACCCGGACATACCTAGCCCAAGGCTCTGATGTCCTGGCCGAGACGGAAATGGACAGCCTCACCCTCGAGCACCACAGCCGTCATTCCTACCTGCGAATCCAAGAAGCCGACGTCATCGTCACTCAGCAATGGCAGCTGTCCTCGAAGCTCGTCACGGACCGCCAGTACGTCTCCATCGCGAACAAGAGGCCGATCATCTTCTCTCTCGGCGTCCAGGTCATGTCATGGGTCTGTCTGCTCAGGGAAGGTGAACTGCGGGTGGTTGGCCTGGGCAAGCTCGCCGAGCTGGCCCTGAACATCTGCTTCCTCACCGGCGGCATGAGGTGCCAAGACATCCTGCGCGGCCTGGCCGGGGCGGTGCTCAGGGAGGACCACGAGCAGCACTACGCTCCGAGACTGATCGGCATGATGGCTGCGGTCTCGCCCTCGATCCCGACCATGCCCAGCCTAGAAGGGCCTGTGGCGCTGTCGGGTCACTTGGCCCTTCCCGCGCCCCAGCCTGCGACATCGGATGCCGGCATTCACGATTACAGCTTGGGGCATCTGGTGGCCGGCGTCTCGGAGAGCGCAGCCCTGGGGGACGAGAACCTGTTCCAAAGCTTGGAGGGCATGGGAGACCTCGAGCTGGTGGGGCTTGACTGGCTGGGAGTCCTGGCCGAGGTACAATAGTCTCCGACAGCCACACTGGCACTCCCTCGAATCTCTTCACATGGTAACGGGAAAAGGCGATCATGATTCTGCGTCGTGAAATAATAGCCAATAGTACATTACTATAGTCTATACACCTAATGGCTAGTCATGTACATAGATCTGTCCTTCGGCTTCACTCGAGGCATGCATTTGTCCATATGCTTTCCCGGAAGAGAAGAAGATTAGATCACAGGGGTTCCATCAGAGGAGTACGGAAATGTCTTTAAAAGGTGTAATTCCCCGTATGTACTAGTGTATAAGAGTCTGGGGAACTTAGCTCGCCAGGAGGTGGAGCTAGTGCTAGTGGTGACAGACCGAGCAAGCGATAGGGACGTAAGGTTTGAAGGGAACCTTGGGGATGTACAACAGAGGATAGCAGGGCAACTCAAACACAGGGTGAGTGGTTTGTAAACTCACCTGATGGTCTGATAAAGCATGCGTTGGCCAAAGAAGGTGGTTGGGAGTATTTATATGTTTAGGGTGTGCATTATCCGACAAGCTTAGAGACCGTCAGGGAGAATAAGATAGAGACAAACTTTCTGGCAGTAATTGGAAAATTGGCATCATCGCCTGCCGTAAAGAACTCTTCCAGCTCTAAAAATAGTTAGTCATCTAGCTTCCAGCAGGAAGCTGATTGACAAGGAGTTGGTGGATCAACACAAGATGGGACTGCGTCTCGTGGCGGCACAGCAAAACGCCGCACTTAATTACAGCCAACACAGGGACGTGAGGCCCCATGCGACTATTCCCGGTGAGCTTTTCTGAGCTTGGATGGTTTCATGACCTGTTGAAAACATGTTGATCAGTACGCTTGGCACAGGCACTGGTGGGACGGCATCGCCGCTACAACCCCGACGGCGAGGACCTGATTGTGCTGGTCTGGAGATCAGCTCGTCGAATGACTTGTTACAGCTATAGTCACCTGATCCGAAATATCTCCGTGGAAACAACGTCGAGGCTCTGTCGAAAGCCCAACATCGAATCAAAATAGCATATACACGCACGAGGAAACACAGATCGCGGGCTGGACTTCTTCCTCGTATGTTTCAGTACTCTACCTTGGCCAAGAGAGAGGACTCCATAGGACCGAACCTATACATAGACACCGATGGAGCTCACGATCAATAACTATTTTGTAAGATGAATATCAATATTTAGATTTTCAGGAAGAAATCAACGGTGCCAAGTTCACGCCTGGACCAAGCTACGGAATGTGACGAGAAGAGGTTTTCTCTATAAGTATGGGCGGAAGGGCGGCGTTTGAAAGAACAATTCATATCAAGGCCAGCAACTCAGTCGTCGAATTATCATAGAAATAGTTGGTTGAATATCCAAGTTTTCGGCTTCTGGTCGAGTCGCATAGCTTCAGTGAGGCTGTTTGCCCACGATTCTTTCAAGCACTGGGATCTCCACCTCTCACATTCGTCATCATGCTCTTGACAACCCAGTTAATGGCCCTCGGCCTCTTGACCAGGGTCGTCTTGGCTGCCCCAACGGCACCGTTGGGCACCTCTCTCGCACTCGAAGAGCGGCAGCAGCTCAACGAACCACCAGCACCCAAGTGTCGCAAAATCGACATCGTGTACTCAAAAGTCAAGTTCTCCGAGCCTTACTACTTGCCCCCGGAGCGGCCCAACGCCTGGGAGTGCACGTCCAACATGAAGGAAAAGTGTACCGTCGGTACCAGCGCCACGCACTCCGTGTAAGCAACTCCTGTTCTCTGAGAGTTCCGTTCCGGCTTCTGGGTTTTCTTTTCTTTTTTCCTTTTTGCTGCGGACGTATTTCCCGAACCATATAGTAGCTAACCAAAAGGGGGGGTTGTCGCAAAACCAGGGGCGTCACCAAGAGCGTCAGCACCAAGCTGGCGCCCCAGATCGAGCTCGGGGATATCATGAAGTTGGGCGGCGAGCTCGGCTTCAGCTACTCGTGGACGACGACGGACGCAAAGTCGTCGAGCTCGACCGTGTACTGCCCCGCGGGAGGCATGACCTGCGGCATACAGGTCAAAAGCAAGGTCGTGAAGATCACGTTCCACGCGCGGGAGGTGTGGAAGGACTGTGGAACTCGGGACCCGGAGGCTGACTACACCGTCACCGCGCCTCTCATTTCCAAAAGCAAGGGCACCAACAAGGACCAGCAGGCGGAGCAGAACTTCGAGTCGTGCTTCATTGCCTGCCCGAAGAACGACGAGAAATGCAACAAGATCGCCTACGAGGCCAAGATGCCCCTCTGTCCCGGGACAAAGGCCTACGGGCCTGGCAAGACCACGGGAGACTTCCCGCCCAAGCCGCCCACCAAGCCTAAGCCCAAGCCCAAGCCTAAGGAAAAGAAGCCAAACAAGGACAAGGACAAAGGCAAGGACAAGGACAAGGGCAAGGATAAGGGCAAGGATAAGGGCAAGGATAAGGGCAAGGACAAGGATAAGGGCAAGAAACCTCCGAAAGAAAAGAAGCCCGAAAAGGACAAGGGCAAAAAGCCTGACAAGGACAAGAAGCCCAGCAAAGACCAGAAGCCTAGCAAGGATCAAGGCCAGGCTGGTGGTCCGGAGAAATGTTTGAAGTACTACAAGGTGCAGCCAGGTGACAGCTGTCCCTCGATCCAGTTCAAGTTCGCCATCAGCTTCAGCCAATTCCTCACTTGGAATCCTTCAAGTTGGTCTCCCTTCTCTGTCTCTTCTTTGTCAGATCAATGTGAATGCTGACATCTTCAACAGTTGGAAGAAACTGTGAGAACCTGTGGAAGGGCTACCCATATTGTGTTAAAGGGAAACCTTGATAAGACGGTTCCTCCTCTCCTATCTTTGATTTTGACGAGCCCATTCTTGCTCGCTCAATACATCTTGATGTTCTCGGCTCAGAAGTTTTCTCCTTGCACTCCTTCTTCCTCGTGTTTCACTCTATGGGGCGGTACTCGGTTTGAAATCAAATATCTGTAAGCACCTGATACGTCTTCTCAACATTTGACGGAGAAAAGGGGGGTCTAGGTGTAAGACAAGCGCACATTCTATGTCTATCGCTTCTAAGAAATCATTTATAAGTAACTAGGTTATTAAATCAAAAGCTGTCTGACTTATAAGTTGTCATGACAGAAGCTACTGTTGCAATACTCAACCAAGTAAATGTTGTAGCATATGAAACGCAATGACATGACTGTGGTTTTCGTTAATGGGTTTCGTTATCAGCACTTGTCGAAGGCGTAGCCTCGGGTAGCACAAGGACCAATGATTCTTCCATGGTATCTCATCCACGAATATGGATGCTCCAAGGGGTCCTGCACGGGGGGCGAGCCGCTGCCGCATCTCGGGCCGAACTACTTTGGCATCACGCTCCTGACGGGCATGACGCCCCGACATGGACATCTTCCGCGAAGAGACGTTTGGCCCCGTGGCGGTCTTCTTTCCCTCCGAGACGGAGGAGGAGGCCGTTCGGCTGGCGAACGACACCGAGCTCGGCTTGGCTGGGTACTTTTACAGCAGGGACTCGAGCAGGTGCTGGCGAGGTGCCGAGGCTTTGGAGGTGGGCATGGTCGGTGTCAATGTCGGTGAGTGCGCAGTTGAAGCCACCATCCTTAATTGCAAATTCTTGTCGCGGGAAGGCAGCAAGTATGGCATCGACGAGTTCCTGGTCACCAAGATGGTCATGACTGGAGTCGAGGCATAGGTCAATGAGACCTCTCTGGTGAAAGCTGATGTCGGGTACTGATTGCCGTGTATAATGAGCCGAGTTGCCGGCTCTTACATACTATCAAGCCTCCTACTGGGATACTGATAGATCGATAGAAAATGTGTATCTATGCATACCATACATGTTGTCACCGGGGAGCTTGTTGAGCGTATCAAAGAGGTGATGTCAGTGATTACACCAGGAGCCCATAAAGTGCGGTCAGGACTTGGATGCATCAAAGTTCTGGTTGACCATATCGTGAACAGTGCAATTATTCCGCAAGGCAAATGTTTTGACTCTTCAAAACGGGTACGTAGGCTTGAGGTTATTCCAGCCAAACATGTGCCGACCCATCAGGGTACTTCCAGAAAAAGCTATTTCGGTGGAGTTCTTGGTAGAAAAGGCTGGTGGGGGTTGTACCAGTTCGGGCAAAGAGGGGCGGAGTTGGGGATCCGTTTCCATACGAAACTGGACGTCTCGTATTGGCATTTGGTTGATGTGTACAAGCACAAACACGCGGTTGGGTGACGTAGGCCAATTCCAGCACCTCCGTCTCCGTGCGCACGTGTGGGCGCCCATGCAAGCATGAGGGAGAAGAGAGGGACATGTAGGAAATGTAGGTACAGAGTAGCGTCGCAGCAGCTACCTGACGCCAATGCAGCACTGATCGGTGGCAAGCCGTTGAAGATCCAGACTTGTTTGCCTCTTGGGCCGAATCGAAGACGCCAATCTTTGGCACGCAATGACGGACCAGTCGAGTCGCATGTGAGGCGCAACGGCTTTCTGGGACGTCTGATTAGACAGCATCTTGAGGCTCAGAGCCAAAAGCTGAAGCATTGAGCATTGTGTATCGGCAAAGAGTCAATCAATTCGACGCCCAGCCGTGCACTTCATATCTGATGCACACGAGCCCGGCTAAATCAGGTCTAGGCGGGAAAGCCCTGCAGGCGCTGAAAATATTTGCCACGGGCTGCTAAATCAGGTAGTGATTTGGGGCTGAGTGGCCCAGCGCTGGATGGAGATCGCCGCTCGTGTTTTGTATGGATGTGCCATGGCCAGTACGAGAGAGAGAAGAGCGAGGGAGCCCCCACTAAAAAGGAGGATGGGTTGGTTGGTGGAGGGAGGACTACGGACTAGGTAAGGGAGGAATGCATGGAATAATGGATGAATTGCGATCCTCTCTCCCTTTTCTCGCGCCCTCCTCGCTCACAGGCTCCAGGCTCAGCCACCCACCCGCACGCAAACATCCTTGGAAAGCCCTCCCAAGCTTCCTGTTTCTCCCTCCTCGTCCAGGCACGCACACGCAAACCACCCACCCACCCATCCGGATCTGTCCTCTCCTGAAGCCATCGCCATCGCCATCGCCATCAGCCAGACTGCTGCTCGGATACTTCTTGGAGCCAGAAGAAAGGGTGCAATGCTTACAGCGTAGTGCGTGTCCCTGTCAGCACACTTCTTGCCTACCCTCCTTTATTGCCCACCCATTTGTTTCCCTTTTTCCCACTCGCCATCTCCAGTGCCCGCTTTTTTCCTCTTTCCTCTCTTCTCTGCATCACACCAGCGACCGCGCAACCGGCTTCCCAACACTTCCGGTGCGCTCCTCTTCCTTTCGACGTCTCTCGTTCACAGTCACTCGCTACTCGCCATACAACCGGCTTCCCGCCATCTCGTTCCACAGCCGCAACCATCTGGAGGTGTTGGCAATCAGCTGGGATTGATCTTGATTCGCCCGACCGATCGAACCCTCCCTCATCAACCCCCGGGCTGTCCGCCCTCAGCTCATCGTAACACTGCGTCTGCTCCCGTGCGAACGCCGACGCACAGCGAATCGTTTTTTTTCCCTTCATCCATCTCGACGACCGACGAAGCCATCATTACATCGTCATCCCAATCGTATCGCACACAGGCCCGAGCCATGGCGCGCTCACGCATGTCTCTGAAGCACACGCTTCTCCTGACCACGCTCGTCATCCTCGGCTTCTTCTCCGCCGCTGCCATGGCCCAGAACGACAAAAGCTCCAACTCGGCGAGCGCCACCAACTCGGCCAACCAGCCCTCACAATCGGCTTCCAAGTCGGGCGACAACAAGCAGTCCAGCACCGACACCAAGGCATCTGCCACCGCCAGCTCGGGAAGCGCCAGCGCTTCGTCCTCGACAGACAGCAAGTCGACACCGACTTCCAAGCCTCCCTCCTTGACGTCGGCCACGTCCTCGTCAGGGCCCATCCGGTCCATGCCCACCCTGTCCCGGACCGTCGACCAGACCATCCCGACCTACCCCCCTCCCGCCGTCCCCGACACCAAGAACGCCCCCTTCATGCAGCACTCGACCGCCCCCGACGGCACCGTCTTCATCGCCGTCGGCGCCATCCTCGGCGCCTTCGGCATCGCCATCCTCGCCTGGCGCGGCATCGTCGCCTGCCTGCTGCACCGCTCCGTCGAGCGCGCCGCCATGGTCCAGCACGCCGCCAACGACAAGGCCGCCTTCCCCGCCCCGCCCGCGCCCTTCTACAAGTACTCGGACCGCGACTCGTCACCGCACCTCGCCGCCCGCGGCACACGGCGGACGACCCGGGGTCCCATCCCCTCGTCGACGCCCTCGCAGACCAACCTCTTCTTCTCGCCCACGGCCGCCGCGGGCGGCGGCAACGGCGGCGGCGCGGGCGGCAGCACCCGGGACTCGCGCTTCCTGCCCTCGGGCTTCTACGCCGCCGGCTCGGCCTCGCCGGGCCCCCAGCAGCACACGGCGTCCATCAGCCTGTCCAACCTGCGGCCCGACTCGCGGGGGTACGCCCGCGCCGTCGGTCCCAGCCCGCCCGAGTCGCCCAACTTTGGGCCCAGCCGCGCCACCCCCCAGCCGCGCAACGTCAGCACCAGCTCGCTCAACCTCAACCGGCCGCCTAGCGGGCGCGCCCCGAGCGCCTTCCTCGACGACCTGCTCGACGACCAGCCGCACATGTTCCCCCCGTCCTCGACGGGCCCCGTCTCGAGCTCGCACACGCGCAACTTTAGCGGGTCGACGCAGGGCCGGTTCTAGAGAGGCGGGCTGGAGCTCGGTTTGGTTGTTTGATATCTCTAGGATGCATGACGTCTCCAATTTCTGGGGAGGGGCGTTGTAGAACAAAAATACCTCTTCATTATTCTTTTTTATGGGCATGTCGGCGCAAAAAGGGTTTGGGAGGGCTTTTGTGTCTGTATTTTAAGGTTTCCAGAAACCTTGGTCAAGGAGGGGGACTGGTCTTGCGAGAGAAAAACAAAGTACGACTTGTTAATAATATTTCTACTAGGTGATTGGAGAAGAGGATGCTGCGGAGAGGACGTTAGGTCCGAGAGCATTCGCTCGCATTTGCGGGTTTTGACGTGGGCTCGAGCATTGAGTTTGTCCCCTCGGGAGACAAGGTCTGGTGGTTTTTTTCTTCTTTCTTTTCCTCTCTTCAGGCACTCGTTTTGACTACATTTCTTCCTCTTGTTATTATAGGCATTAGAGAGGAGTATCGGTGTCGTTGTAGGCTGGTCACTCGATTGACTGTCTTTACCAATACGACTATTGTGTTATTCGTTCAGCATATTGCCAATGATATGTGAAGACTGATGTGGATCCTGCGCAGGTGTTTAATGCTGCTGGTCATCATGGACACTACGCAGGTCAACAAATACTTCCAGGCGTGCAGTTCAAGGGGTGGGCTATGCAGAACAGGCAGGCTGACCGCGAGGCTGCGTGCCGAGAGGGCTGGATGCAGCCTCCTGTGGCTGCAGACTCTGACCGCCTCAATTAGCATTTCAAACCTCACATAGGTAGATCGGCAAACACCACCTAGGGAGACACCTCGAGCAAAGCTGTCATCCAGGGCAACAGGATAGATAGGCGCGGCTCTTGAAACAAGGACCTCCAAACAAAGCCATATCATGTTTCTGTTCCCGCAGCTCCGAGGCACGCTGAAGCTGCTCTTCGAGTACGCCTTCAACATCAACCTCTCCCCGCCGCCTCGGCAGGCTCGACCGCCGGCGCGAGGCGGGCCCGAGGCACCGCGTCTACTGCGATATTCCACGCTTCTCCAGTGGGACCTCTGGGCGCGCGGATGCGGTACTCTGAGCCGCGAAGAAGCGCGGGACGTACTCCTGCCCCACGAACGTCTCTTGGAAGACTTGGCGGCCGCTTTGCGCCGCGCCGGGTGGACCGAGACGGACGAGGATCTCATGAACTGGTCCCTGGACGCAGGAGATGTTCCGGATGGCGACGCAGGTGGAGAGATCGAGATACCCCTGGGCTACGTATGGGGGAACGAGCTCGAAGTTGGCTGCATCGATAGCAATGATATATGCACCGAACCCTTGGCGAGGATCCAGGCCGTGTCCAACGCTTCACCGGACACGCTCAGTTGGACTGCCTCGGCGCCGGCGGTGGCGGTCGGGAGCATGAAGGAATGAATCTGTATAATTACCGCCGTTGGTCGATCCTGGACCAGACCTGCAGCCCTTTTAGGAAAACAAATTGGATGAGTGGGAATTTCGGCTACTGACCAAGTGGATTCGGGAGCGTATCGCGAGCGCGCCGAATCATCACCAGCTCATATGTCAGACTGAGACCCCTGGCTCGACCCGATCCAAGTACGAAGGAGCCTATCACCCGATGCCAGCACACGGTTGCTCCTTTTCTTTCTTTCCTACAAATAGGATTATGATATTATATATATGATGCAATATGCAACCGCCCATGAGAAAAGTTTTTTAAAAAAAATACGTACAAGCCCTAAAGTTGGTGGTATATCGTTTTGTATATGCTCTCTCTTCCTCATCCGTCCATGCCGAACGCAGACACAGACCCGCGCCCTTGAACCATGACGATCCCAATCTTCTCTTGACACCTTCAACACCCCCAATATGATCCCATCACTCACATCTCCTCCTTCTCCTTCACCGTCTCTTTATCCTTCCCGCTCCCAATCCCCTCACCTCCCTCCCCATCATCACCACCACCACCAAACCCACCATCCCCATCCCGGCCAAGCCCGCCGAAATCCTCCCTCGCACCGCGTATGTCCTCAAACCGGATCCCGCTGCGGTCGCACATGCCGCGGAAGATGCCGCCCTCGGCGCGGCGCCACAGCTCCATCGGCTCGCCCAGCTCCGCGATGCGGCCCTGGTCCATGACGCAGATGCGGTCGTAGCCCACGATCGTGCGCAGCCGGTGCGCGATGCACAGCAGCGTGCGGCCCCGGAACGCCGACGCCATGGTCCGCTGGATCTTGTCGTCCGTCTCCATGTCGACCGACGACGTGGCCTCGTCGCAGACGATGATGCGGCTGCCCCTGACGAGCGCGCGCGCCAGCGCCATGAGCTGCCGCTGGCCCAGGGAGAAGTTGAGCCCGTCCTCCTCGACGACGCTGTCGAGGTGGATGCGGCCCGTCTCTTTGTTGTTGGTGGTGGCGGTGGTGGTGTTGCCAGCCGCTCCTGCCGTGGGTGCAGGAGCATCCTTAGACGACGCCGCAGCAGCAGCCGGCTTGTAGGTATTGCTCGCCTCGCTACTGCCCGCACCAGCACCAGTCCCACTGCCCTCCTCGCTCACCAGATCCGCCTGCCGCAGCGCAGACCACAGCTCCGCATCGGTGTGCTCGTCAAACGGGTCGAGGTTGCTGCGCACCGTGCCACGGAACAGCGTCGGGTCCTGGGGGATGATAGCGAGCCGGCTCCGCAGGTCGCCGAGGCCGATGGTCGAGATGTCGACGCCGTCGATGGTGATGTGCCCGCCGCTGAGCTCGACGAGCCGGAACAGCGTCGACATGATGCTCGACTTGCCCGCGCCCGTGCGGCCGACGATGCCGATGCGCTCCCCGCCGCGCACGTGCATGTTGAGCCCCTGCAGCACGAGCGGCAGCCCTTCGCGGTACCGCATCTCGACGTTGTCGAACACGATCTCGCCCTTCTCGGGCCACTCCTTGCGCACCTCGACCGTGTGCAGCGGCGCCTCCTCCTCGAGCTGCGTGCCGTAGTACTGGATGCGCTCGACGGCGTTCATGCCGTTCTCGACCTCGGCGAGCTGGCGCACCGTGAACTGCAGCATCTGCACGATGGCGAGGATGTACGACAGCACCAGGCCGCCGATCGAGGGCGACACGCTGAAGCGCGACGTGACGACCAGGATGCCCGTCGTGAAGACGAGCAGGTTGCCGATCATGTCGAGGCGCACGGCGAGCCAGCGCTGGTTGGAAAAGGTCAGGTAGTACGCCGCGTTCATCTCGTCGATGGCCCGGCGCAGCTCCCCGACGAAGCGGTCCTGCAGGCCGTACGCGCGGATCGACGACACGCCGCTGAGGCCCTCGCCGAACTTGGCAAACACCGTCGAGCGCAGGACGCTCTCGAAGCGCTTGACCTCGCGCGCCGAGGCGCGGTAGTAGGTCGTGGCGAACAGGAACAAAAAGAAGAGGGGCACCAGCGCGATGGCGAAGTAGTGGAAGTAGGCGATGATGAGCGCAAAGACGGCGAGGATGGCGGCGATGGAGAAGAAGTACATGCGCATCGCGTCCGACAGGTTGTTGTCCATGACGTCGACGTCGCGGCTGAAGCGGTTCGTGATGCGGCCCAGCGGCGTCGTGTCGAAGAAGGACATGGGCGCGCGCAGGACACGCGAGACGGCCTGGCGCAGGAGGGCCTTGCTGGCCGCCGTGCCGAAGATGGACAGCGAGACCATGAAGAGGAACATGAGCAGGGCCTGCACGGCGCCCAGGCCGGCATACACGCCAATGTAGATGCCCGTCGTCAGGCCGTACTTGTCCGAGGTCCACCACGAGAGCCAGAGCGAGGTGACGATGTTGGCGGCCTGGGAGATGACAAGGAGGAAGAAGACGATGACGCCATTGAATATCGAGCCCGAGGCGCGGACGTAGTCGCCGTAGACGGACCATGGTACACTAGCAACAGCGCGCTCTTCGGATTGCATCAGCGCCTTGCCCTTCTTCTTGCCGCGGCGTTCGTCCTTGCTGAGGGCGGTCTGCGTCAGTGCGGGCCCGTCCTTCTTTTCCTCCTCGACGGCCGTGGTCTCCATGAGCTGCTGGAACCCGGCGTGATCACGCATGAGGTTTTCGAAGGTATCAATCGCTTGGATCTTGCCGCCCTCCATCCAGATGATCCTGTCGCAGCGGTTGAGCACCCAGAGCTGATGCGTCGCCAGCACGCGGCACTTGTCCTTGAGCAGACCCATGATGGCATTGTCAAAGATATGGCGGCCGACGTGCGCGTCGACAGCACTGAGCGGGTCGTCCATGAGCACGATGTCGGCGTCAAAGTAGATGGCGCGCGCGATGTTGAGGCGCTGCTTCTGCCCTCCGGAGATGGTGATGCCGCGCTCGCCAATCTCGGTCAGGTCGTTGTGGGGCAGCATGTCGAGGTCGGGCTGCAGGGCGCAGGCCTTGATGACGTCGCGGTACCACTGCTTGTCCATCTCCTTGCCGAAGAGGATGTTGTCCCGCAGCGTGGCGTTCTGGATCCATGCGTACTGCGGGCAGAAGGCCCTCTGCGCTCCGAGGACGACCTCGCCGCTCGTCTTGCGCATGTCACCCGCCAAGGCTGCGAGGAGGGACGTCTTACCACTGCCTACGGTGCCGATCACGGCGACTAGCTCATTGCGGCCGATCTCGAAACTGATGTCCTGCAGCTTGAAAGGTTCTCTCTCCTCAACCAGGGTACTCGCGTCGCCAGAGCTGCCTGCTGGAGATTGCGGTCGTGGCTGTTGCGGCTGCTGCTTTACTCCGCCCTTTGGCTTGTCGCCCTTGCCGCCGTCCTCGGTATCCTGCGTCGGCGTGCGCTCCCAGGTAAAAGAGGCGTGGTGCATCTCGACGGCGTTCTCGCCGTCTGGTTTCCAGGCCAGCTCCTCCTCTTGCTCCTCGGCGAGCATGAACTCCTCGATACGCTTGACGGAGGACCAGGCGTCGGTGACCTGGCCAATGACTAGGGGCAGCAGGTTGAGCGGCATGCGCAGGCCGTTGAACAGAGCCAGAGACGAGAAGACCTCGGCCGGGTTCAGATTGTGGTGGGACAGCGAGTAAGTAATGAAAGAGAGCATGGACGCGAAGATAGGCAGCGACAGCGAGATGGCCATGATGGCGTTACGGATCGACAGCACGACTTGGATGGCCGAGATCTCGCGCGCGCGGTACTCCTCGAGGCGCTTCATGAAGGAGCTCTCCCAGCCGAAGTACTTGACAAAGCGCACGGATTGCAGGATCTCTTGGGTCAGACTGACGCGCTGGTCAGTGATCTTGTTGATGCCCTTGCGGCGCACGAACAGGCTCTTGATGGCGCGGGTCAGGATGGGCATGCCGATGACGAGCAGGCCGAAGCCGGCGAGGGCGCTATAGGTCAGGTTGACAAGGAGCAGGGCAAGAGTGATGAGCAGGGAGATGGGCGCCGTCCAGATGATGTGGAACAGACCGGAGGCCTGGTCGATACGGTAGGTGTCGACGCTCATGAGGTTGACGACACGGCCGTTGCCCCAGCCAATACCGTCTCCCGAGACGTCAGCAGCGTGCGCCGGCGGGCCCTTCTTGTCCTTCTTCTTGTTCTTCTTGTCTTTCGGCTTCTCGGCGGGCTTCTCCGCGTCCGCGCCAGCCTCTGCTCCTCCCTCGATCGCGAGACCGCCAGCCTTGGCCCTCCCGGAGATCTTCATGCTCTTCTCGTAGATCAGCCCGATCAGAGAGGCTCTAACCTGCCCACCGACCATCATACCGCGGTAGATAAAGTGATTGGTACCCAAGCTCTGCACGATCTGCATGATGGTCACGCCAAACACGAGGCCGATGCCGTTGCCGAGATGCGGCGCGGACTGGCCGCGGAGGTTGGCGATATACGCGTCTGTGGCGAACTGGATGAGGTAGCGCAGGACGAAGGGCGAGAGGACCTGGACGATGGCGGACACGAGCTGGCAGGCGCCTCCGAACCAGAACTCCCAGAAGTAGGCCTCGTGGATGGCCCACAGCAGCGGGTGCTTGTCGCCGTTTGCGACGCGGCGGTTGAAGGCCTCGCGGACCTTGGCCGACATGGGCTCGACGGCGCGGTCCGGGTTCACGTCGTAGATGTCATTTGGTTCCAGCTGGCGCTTGTAGCCGGTCTGTGATTTTCGTCGAGGTTAGCCAGCTCCCACCCACACGAAGTCCGTGATATCTCGGCGATTGATTGACTAACGTACCGACATGAGCGGGCCCTGCCAGTAAAAGATGAGCTTGTTGAAGAAGCCGGCCTTGTACTCCGGGCAGACGGTCTTCTCCTCCGGCACGTCGGGGATCCTGCCCCATCGCAGCGGGTTCGGGGTCTTGTACCACTTGCGCTGGACGGGCGGGTGCCGGCTGGTGGCCGCGGTGGTGGCGCTGGTGTTGGTGGCATAGCTGCGCAGGCGGGCGAGCTCCTCGCGCTGCTCTATGCTCTCGGCGTCGTCGCCGGCGCCGGCCTTGTCGAGGGGATCGACGTCCCGCTCGAGCTCGGCCGAGGCGATCTCCTTCTCGGCGTCGATGTCCTCGTCATGGTCCGGGCGCTGGACGTCGGTGAGCAGGTCGACGGAGGGATTGCGATCCTTCTCGTGCTCGCCGGGGTCCGTCGTCATGGTCCGCTATCAAGAGGGCCAAGATATGATCGTACAATTCTGCGGGAGAGACGAGAGGAGGGAATGCGCCGAACCTCTTTTTAAGTGGAGGGAGAGGACCGTGGTGTACAATGGCGCTTGAAGATACCAGAGGGGCCGACCTTGGTTACGTGGGCGACTACCTCGGAGCCTTTGTTCTATGCATGAAGCCTGTCTCTTCTCGAAGGGCCAAGAGAAAAGGTCCAGAAAAGGAAGAGGGAGGGGGTGGGAGAAGAAGTAGCAAAAGAGTCAGACAAGGCAGAAGCAGGGAGGCGAAAGCAATAAAGATGCATGCATGCACACGACACACACCCACAGACGCAGACGCAGACACACGGACAGATACACCGGGATCCAGACCAATGGATGGGGATTAAAAATGGTGTCGGAATGATTTGGTAGCTTTTTCAGCAGAATAAATATGGGGAAACGGACAAGATGAAGTCCGGGCCGGCGTCATGGAGAGACCAGACATCAAATCGATTGAAGCAGAGAGGACCGGGGATCAGTGATTGGGCAGATGCAAGACAAGCTTTCCAACGACCCCAACGTCAAGGTGGATTAGTGTGCTGGGATGGGGGAGGATACCAAGGTAGAATGTGATGGGGAGGGGGATCCGAATCCGAATAGCTAGACAGTTGACGGGGCTCGGATTTAAACCGAGGAGCAGCTGGCTGGGTGAGGCAACAGCAGGGAGGGCTGATGGACAGGGCAAGAGTTGCGAGAAGAAACAGCTACCTAACTTCGTACCCAGGTCGGTATCGATGACAAATGCAATCATGATCTACCTATTCGCCTGCCCTGGGAAAGGGGACAAAACATTCCCTGCCGGATTTAAACGGCAAGTTAAAGACCGGGATTGTACACTACAAGTAGAGAGATGCACAATTACACGCGTCACGCATTTTATTTTTCATAACTACAGCTGCCACCTTCTTCTGGCAGGCCTTCATCAGTGCTACGGTTTGCAAGGCTGCTTCTGTGCATCACTCTGCTCGCAGCATTATGGCTGTACTTGTAGTCGGCTCAATCTCGCCGATGCTTCATCCTTGCTGTACATTTCTGTACTGTTGAGTAAAGGTAATACTCGGAAACCGAGAAAGAAAAAGAAGAAGCCCCTTCCCAATCGGGCGCTGGGGCGGGAGGGGCTTCGGCCACGCGGTGCTTGTGGACACCGACATTCGAGACATTCTAGCGGTTCTTCGGGGAGTTTGACTCGACCACAGTAGACGGTAGTCCACGTTGTCGCAAAAGCTGTTCCCAAGGCACTGGCGTGCGTCCATTGCTTCAAATGCAGGAACGACCCCAACCATTGGCAACTGCCCCTTTCTCCCCAGATTCGTAATCCCGCCTGCAGATGAGCAAATCTCAACATTAGACTACATGTAACTCGGGCATGGGCTGCAAAGTTCGTGACAACCTGGAATGATCACCTCCACAGTCTCCACTGAAAGTTGGGCTTGAATGTGGTTGGCTATCGGCCTGAACAGGGACTTGCTTGTACCTACCTAAGGTATTGAAGCCTCCAGTCAGAGCTGTGCCGCCTTAGGTGCTTATTGACAGGTACAGGGAATGTGGGTTGGTAATCGCCATGGGGACTTTTTTCAGCATCCCTCACCTGCACAGTCCACTATCCCTCGCCCCAATCCATATTTGGTACACGAGCATCGCACTCGTGCCCTCCTTTAGGTAAGTCTCTAGAGTGCCAGTCTTGCTGGGTAATCTTGAGGGTAGGGTGTTCTTTGGCGACCAACATAGAGTGCTGACTGATCATCCAGAGGAACTATCCAATGTGACTTGCAGGCGCGTGCCACGCATGGATACACGGCAACCCGCCCACTCAGGCGCAAGGACATGCAAGATATCTCTCCGACCACCTAGTGTCGAAAAGGCGGTATGGGACTTACGAGTGCGCCATGAGTGTCACCCTCAAGCTCAGACGGGCACGGGGGTGTCGCTTGGGCAGCTTATCATCCCGATTGTATGACGCGGAGACTAGGGATTGAACCCCTACTCCGCCCTGACCTTTTGATCTGACCCGGTGCCGAGTCGGCCGCCCATGGTTGGTCAGCACATGAATGACGGTTGCGACTCCGTAGTTCGGGGTCGGAATGTGGAGAGAGGGTCGGCGTTCAACGCCAGACCATCTCTTACTACCTCCCACAGCGAACCCCATGTCGATATCATCATCACACCTCGCAGGAACTCGTTCTAGGTCATCATTCAAGTTGAAGATATGAAAGACCAGAAGCGGACCTATCAGAGGTCCGGCCAACAAGCAGCTGAGCCAAGTGTCTCTAGCTGCTTGTACTGGGCATACGTTATCATGAGTATTATGCCTGCGCCACAGTGTCGACCAGCTCTTAACTCAGATCTGGTGCTTCATTGAAGCGCTGAGATACTTGCAGCATAGGTATGCTCGACGAGTTGAAGGTTATCCTCCTTTGCATGCTCTGATCAGACCTATGCTCACCTATTCTGCCGCCCCTCAGCCGCACATGCAAGCTGGAAACGATTGGGGCAGAGATTCTGTTGGTAGGCGCCGATGCAGCAGCGAATCCGATGGCCTGATTGTTTGCCCCTCATTTGTCGTTTTCGCTTCTTCTCTTGCATGGTCAGTCCTGACACTTTGATCATCGATTGCAAACATGTCTGACTGAATTTCGACCCTTGCCACCCCCTAGTTCATTCCTTGCTGCTATCGCGATGAGAAAGGTCAAGGGCAAGTTTGCCCACCTATTCAAGCGTGACAAGGCGCCCCAAACACAACTGCAGCCGCCCAACAGCTCGAACCCGCCCAACGGAACCACCCTCGAGCCCTTCGAGGCCCCTGCTGCAGTTTTATTTCCAGAGGGAATCAAGATACTTCATGATTGCCCTGACGCTGTGGTCGATGTTTGCTTCATCCACGGCCTCACGGGTGATCGCGAGAGAACCTGGACCGCGACTGGGCAGAAGGAACCATGGCCCAAGACCCTTCTCCCAGCCAAGCTCGAGAAAACACGCATCCTCACATATGGCTACGATGCCTATGTTGTTCGCAAAGACCATGTCTCGACAAATCGGCTGATCGATCACGCGACAAATTTCCTTCATATTCTTGTTGCTGATAGAACCACGCCCAACATCTCGTCCCGCCCGATCATCTTTGTCACCCACAGCCTGGGCGGTCTTGTTTGCAAAGAAGCACTTCTCCTATCGCGAGACAACGCCGAGCATCATCTTCGCTCGATCTTCGAGTCCACAAAAGGGATCATATTCATGGGCACTCCACACAAGGGTTCCTGGATGGCTCGGTGGGCTGAAATACCGGTGTCTGCCATCGGCTTGATTATGCCCACCAACCCTTCTTTGCTTGATGTTCTACAGACAGACAATCAGTACCTCGAATCGATCCGAACCAGGTTCTCAGTGATGCTACGAGAGCAACGTGAGAGCGGGCGGCAGCTCGAAGTGACCTGCTTTTTTGAAGAGTTGCCATTGACTACCCAACCGAAAATCGGCATAGTTGTATCTAAAGACTCTGCTGTCCTTGAAGGCTATAACCCTCTCTCAATTCGTGCAGATCATCGGAATATAGTCAGGTTTGCTTCTGAAGAAGATCCTGGGTTTAAGAGGGTGCTTGGAGAATTGGCCAGATGGAGATACCAGATTGGTAACGCTTTCATGGAATGCTTCGATGTCGTCATGGGACTAATCATATCTCAGTTCATTCCGTTTCAACAGCTCTGTCACAAAGTCACCAGGACTGTCTGAAATCACTTGCCTTCCCAGAACTCAACGACCGAGCCAACGATGTTGACAAGGCAGCAAAGGGAACATGCGAATGGCTTAAGCACCACGAACTATATCAAGACTGGGCCTCGGGTGCTGGCGGTCTACTCTGGATCAAAGGAAAACCTGGTTCTGGAAAATCGACATTACTCAAACACACACTCCACCACCATGGAAACACTCTCAATGCTAGCAAGGACGACCTGCTACTGTCTTTCTTCTTTCACGACCGGGGCCACGAACTCCAAAAGTCTCCATTAGGCTTCATTCGATCGCTCCTACATCAATCTCTCATTCAGATGCCAGCTGCTCTACCAGAGCTGGTTGAGGGTTTCAACAACAAGCGTCACAGCATGAATGACTGGACTTGGCATCGGAAAGAGCTTCAATCCTTCTTTGAGATGGCTCTGCCAAGGATTTTGCGCCTCCGCCGGGTTTGGCTGTTTATCGACGCCTTAGACGAGTGTGGCGAGGACAATGCGAGAAGCCTTCTCGCGTGGTTGAAAGGTCTGATAGACTCGGTACCTTCTGCTCGCATACAGCTTCGTATATGTGTCACTTGCCGCCACTACCCAATATTGGGCCCAGTTTCTGATTTTGAGATCTGTACCGAGGCGAATAATGAGAATGATATCGTTGTCTACGTTAAAGATCGATTTCTCGAAGATGGGCGCCTGGCCAAATCTGAGATACCGAAGTTGATCACGGACCGTGCTTCCGGCATCTTCATGTGGGCACGACTGGTTGTAGAGCAGATTTTGCGACTCAGACAAGAAGGGGAAGAGCTGCAGGGGTTGATCAAGGTTATCAATTCAATTCCCAGGGAGCTGAACGACTTGTACGACAAGCTCATTCAGGACATGCGTCAGAATGAGGCTTCACTGAAGCTCATGCAGTGGATCTGCTTTGCCTGGCGACCATTGTCTCTTCACGAGTTGGCATGGGCCATGGTCGTTGACTGTGACCAGCCTTCTCAATCATTGGAGGAATATCAACGCCGGGGAAGCTTCCCACACGAGCACGACATGATCGTCTCGAGGATCAAGAAATTGAGCTGTGGCCTTGCTGAGGCAAAGGCATCCTACCAGTCTGATACTGCTTCTGACAGGTCTTCTGTCGATGACGAATCGCTGGAAGATTCCATGTCTGTCCAATTCATTCATCAATCGGTCAAGGATTATTTTCTCGCCCAAGGCCTTTCCGTTCTAGGCGGGCCCTCGACACCAATAGACGCAGCTCTCGTGGCACATTCGCGGCTGGCTAGGACTTGTGTGCATTACCTGGCTGCGGATGAGATTGCTCTAGCGGTAGCAAGGCTTAAGAAAGAGTTCGGATCTGAGCGCACTCGTCGTGGCTCTGAAGCCCTCCTCGACGAGTTCCCTTTCATAGCATATGCGACTTCGTGGGTGGACCACGCCAGTCGGAGCGACACTGAGAGTCTTCAGACCGACCTTCTCAAAGCATTAGATTGGCCATCGAACAACCGCGTTGCATTGTGGGGGAAGGTACGCGGGATGCTTGGATACAGTCTCCGATGGTTGAACGGAACAATCTTACATGTAGCATCTATGGAGGGCATCGAACAGCTTCTGAGGTGTATTATATCGCAGACACCGCCGGGCCAATATCTCGATGCAGTCGATAATTACGGCCAAACACCGCTTTCGCTGGCTGCTCTGGGGGGGCATGAGGGTGTGGTTATCCAACTACTGAATACAGGCCAAGTCGAAGTGGACTCCAATGACAATGTCGGCCGAACGCCTCTTTTATATGCTGCATCTGGCGGCGCTGAAGGTGTAATCAGACAGCTTCTAGATACCGGCCAAGTCAAGGTGGATTCAAAGGACAATGACGGCCGAACGCCTCTTTCATATGCTGCATCTAAAGGCGCTGAAGGTGTAATCAGACAGCTTCTAGAAACAGGCCAAGTCGAAGTGGACTCCAAGGACAATGACGGCCGAACGCCACTTTCACAGGCTGCATATATGGGCAAAGAGGGTGTGGTCAAGCAGCTTCTAGAAACAGGCCAAGTCGAAGTGGACTCCAAGGACAATAACGGCCGAACGCCTCTTTCATATGCTGCATCTAACGGCGCTGAAGGTGTAATCAGACAGCTTCTAGAAACAGGCCAAGTCGAAGTGGACTCCAAGGACAATAACGGCCGAACACCACTTTCGTGGGCTGCTGAGCGGGGTGAAGAGGGTGTGGTCAAGCAACTACTAGACACAGGCCAAGTCGAGGCGGACTTCAAGGACAATGACGGCCAAACGCCACTTTCATGGGCTGCAGAGGGGGGTGAAGAGGGTGTGGTCAGGCAACTACTAGATACAGGCCAAGTCGAAGTGGACTCCAAGGACAATGACGGCCAAACGCCACTTTCATGGGCTGCATATATGGGCAAAGAGGGTGTGGTCAGGCAACTACTAGATACAGGCCAAGTCGAAGTGGACTCCAAGGACAATGACGGCCAAACGCCACTTTCATGGGCTGCATATATGGGCAAAGAGGGTGTGGTCAAGCAACTACTAGACACAGGCCAAGTCGAAGCGGACTCCATGGACAATGACGGCCGAACACCACTTTCGTGGGCTGCTGAGGAGGGAGCAGGGTTTGTGGTGACTTTGCTTCTCAACTCTGCGGAAGTCGACGTCAACTCAAAGGATGGTCAGGGGCGGACAGCGCTTATGTGGGCTGCAAAGGAGGGGAGGGCGCGCGCCGTTCAGTTGCTACTCCAAACTGGTCGGGTTGATCTTGACGCAAAAGACAACGATGGTTTGACAGCGTTAGAACATGCCAGGGTGCAACACAATGAACTGATAGGCGAGCACCGCGTGGATCAGTGGATGGAAGAGCGGTTGCAGATGTTTGACCGTGTGATCCAGCTGCTTGAGTCAGTTGGATAGAGCACAATTTGAGCGTACAGGCATCTATGTTCGGGGAACAAATCAAATCTTTTCATAAGAAAATACCCAAGTCTGTTGGGTGAGACCGTTCTCACACGGCCGAATGTACCGCAGCGATTTGTGTTCAGGCTTCAGCTCTTTTCACTATCCCTCTCAACTCGGGCAGTGCACAGGAGTGTATCAGAGGCAAGTAAAACGGAAAGAGATACGAACGATCATAGATAAAGGCAAGAAAGGGCAACGAAAGGAAGACGCCCAGGAGAACGTATGCGAAACGTAACAATCACAGGTTTCCGGGAACTCATAGCCAAGTGTTCACCAAAAGAGAATCGCCCTCATCGTACCCCAGATCAACTCTTCATTCACACTAAACTCTACCCAATTTTTATCTAAACCAGACCTCTACCCCACCATCCTGTCACCTCACGACCGACTCCCACGGGCACTAGCCCCATCCAACGCCTCCAGCGCCCGGACATCAAACCCATTCTCGGGGATAGCCCTCCTGCCGGCCGCCTCAGGCCGCGGCAGGAACCCAGTCGCCGTCAGGAACGCAAGATAGTGGCCCACGGCCTCGGGCGTGACCGCCACGTCCTTCAGGTTCCTCGGGTCGAACCCGAGGGCCCGCAGCGCCCTGTCGGCGTTGGCGTCGTCCAGCTCCGGCGCCAGCGAGTCGGCGGGCAGGTTCCCGACGACGAAGTGGAACAGCGGCAGCAGCGCGAGCTCCCTGTCGCCCGTGTTGGCACCGTCGGCGACGTAGTCCCGCAGCCGGGCGCACCACTCCCTGTACGAGACGAGCGGGACCGTGTACCCGTACTCCTCGAGCGCGCCGAGGTACCCGTTGGTCGTCAGGCGCGGGTGGCTCGTGACCTGCACGACGCCGAGCGGGTCGGCGGGCGGGCTGAGCGACGCGGCGACGACGATGCGGCTGACGTGCGTGACGGGGACCTGGTTGATCGTGTTGCCGGGGATGTCCGGGCGGGCGCGGACCTGCAGGCAGCCCTTCCAGAGGCGCAGGAGGAAGTCGTCGGTGATCGAGAGCCCGGACTCGGGGTCGCCCGTGATGTAGCCGGGCCGGATCACGACGCCGACCAGGCCGCGCCGGCCGGCCTCGCGGGTCACGAACTCGCTGGCCCACTTGGACTGGCCGTACCCGGTGCCCAGGCCCTTGCGGCTGCCGTCGAGGTCGTCCTCCTCGGGCACGCCGCGGCCGCCCGCGGCGACGCTCTTCTGCGACAGCTCGACGTAGTGCGGCGTGTCGAGCGTCGACGTGGAGCTGATAAAGGTGAAGCGCTTGGGCCTGCCGCCGGCGGCGCTGCAGAGCGCGATGCACTCCATCGTGCTCAGCACGTTGGCGGCCCGCAGGCTCGAGTACGGCAGCATCCAGTTGACCTGCGCGCCGTTGTGGACGACGAGGTCGACCTCGGCGGCGCAGCGGTCCCAGTCCGCCGACGACAGGCCGAGCTGCGGCTTGGCGATGTCGCCGGGGACGACCTCGACGCGGCCGTCCCAGCCGTCCTGCCAGAGGCCGTAGGCCTTGGCGATGGTCTTGAGGCGCTGCAGGCCGGACGCGGGGTCCTTGCAGCGCACGTGGGCGATGACGCGCATGTCCTTGTTCGTCTGCAGGAGGGTGCGCAGGATGTACGAGCCCAGGAAGCCGGTAGCTCCGGTGAGGAACGCGGTGAAGGGGCCCGTGGGCACCGAGGTGCTCGCCTTGGCGATAGACTTGGGCAGCTGCTGGACGAGGTCGCGGGCGTCGGCCGAGTAGGCCTCGTCGCTGGCAGGGGTGCCGTCGGGGTTGTAGTCGAGACGCAGACCGGTGGGGTCCTGGGCGTTCTCGATCTCGGTCGAGAAGGCCTCGAGGGTCTGGGACTGGAAGATGGTGCTCATGGGGATGTCGATCTCCTTCCACTCGCTGCGGACCTTGAAGAACATCTGCTGCGCCAGGATGGAGTGGCCACCCTCCTCGAAGAAGTTGGACTTGGGCGTAAGCATCCTGGCGGAGATGTTGGGCAGGACCTCGGCCCAGATCTTGGCGACCTTCTGCTGAGTCTCGGTGAGGGTTGCCAGCGCCGAAGAAGTGCGCGAGTTCCTCCGGTTCAGGAAGGCGAGGTCAGTCTTGCTGGGGAAGGGGAGGGCAGGCTTGTCAATCTTGCCGTTGGGATCTATGGCATGTTAGCATTGCTGTAGCAAGTTTTGAGTGATTGATCATGACTTACTCAGGGGCATACGAGCAAGCGGGATGAACATGGTCGGGATGGCGTAGTGGGCCAGCTTGGTCTTGAGGAAGTTCTTGCAATCCTCCGACAGCGAACGGAACCGCTTGAGCATAGTGACCAGTGAATCCTGCTCTGTTGGGGCCTCGAGCAAGGCGCTGCTATCTTGGGCGGTGTGCTCGAGCCATCGCTTGGCCTCGGGAACGATGTAGCTCACCAGGGTCGGCTCCTCGTCCTTGTCTCTCCTCACCATGGTGACGTTCTCCCGGATGAAGGGGTGTTGTGAGAGGTAGGTGTCAATCTCGCCCAGCTCGATTCTGAATCCACGGATTTTGACCTGGTTGTCCACGCGACCAGTGCACTCAACCGTGCCGTCGGGGCGGAATCGGCCAAGGTCACCAGTCCGGTAGATGCGATCCCTGGGGCCCTTGAAGAGCTTCATCCAGGGCTTGGGGTTCGCGGCAGCAGTCTGTTCGTACTCGGAAACCCACTTCTGGGGGTCGACGAACCAGTTGGTGAGGAACTTGGTGTTGTTCAGTTCCCTGGTGCGCTCATCGTCGCCGAGATATCCCTCGGCCAGGCCTCCGGCTCGAAGGAAGAGCTCTCCCTGCTCGCCAATCTTGCAGATCTTGTTCTTGTCGTCACGGTCGACGACCAAAAGCTGAACATTGTGCATGCCCTGCCCGACGGGGATGATATCGGGAAGGTCATCGAGGTACTCGGGCTGCGCCGCCTTGCTGGGGATCTCGAAATACGAGACGGCCCTTGAAGTCTCCGTAGTGCCGTACATGTTGACGATGTAAGCGTTCGGCGCAAGCTCCTGCAGTCTCCTGCTGTCCTTCTTGGTCAACAGGTCACCCACGAAGAAGGCGTGATGCAGCGAGGGGAACTGCGCCGAGGCACCGCCGACCAGGATCTGACCCATAGCGGGCGTGAGGTGCGTGACGGTCGCGCGGTTCTCCTTCATCCACTCGGCCAGGAGCTCGTGCGCGATGCTGTCGCGGTGAGGGACGATGATGCAGGCGCCGAGGAAAAGCGGCGTGAAGATGTCGCGCTGGATGGGATCGTGGGCGATGCCCGACAGCATGGTGAACCTGTCGTTCTCCGACAGGCCGAAGCGCTCTTTCATCCAGGGAAAGTAGTAGACGAGGGAGAAGTGCCGGCCCAGAACGCCCTTGGGCTTGCCCTCGGAGCCGGAGGTGAAGCTGAGGGTGGGGTTTGAGTCCGGGCCGACGAGGACATCCGGGAACTGGCTCTTGAGGGACTCGTGCGGCTGGAGGCAGTCCTGGCCGTCGACGAGACCTCCGGCGACACTGCCGTCGGCCTGGAGCTTGAGCGCCGGAACAGACGCCTTGATCTTGAGGTTGTTGGCGATGAACTCGGCAACGGTCTCGCCCAGGGGTCCGGCCTCCTCGGTGGCCTTCTGGATCTGGACCAGGAACACCGGGTTGGCGACTTCCAATAGGACCTTCTGGCGGTCGTGAGGATACAGAGGGTCCAGCACGCTGACGGTTGCACCGGCTTTGAGGGCGCCCATGTAGGCCACGACCAGGTCGACGCCGCGATGGGCATAGATCATGACCACATCGCCGAGCTGGCAGCCCTTGGCCAGGAAGTAGTGGGCCAGCTGGTTGGAAGACTCGTTGATCTGCTTGTAAGTAAAGTTGCGCTCAGGCGACCTGGGACCCTTGGTCTCGGAGACGCAGAGCCTGTCAGGGTGAGCCTGAGCATTGCGGTTGAAGATCTCATGGATGGCTGTGATAAGTGGCGGGGTCAGTGTCAGTCACTCTTCTGCATCAAAGACCAAGCAACATCGTGATGTACCTCCTTGGTAACCGCTCCAGTCCAAGTCAGCCGTCGGATCGGGCAGAGGACTGCCCAATTGACCTTGGGACATCTTGTATCGGGTTATTGAGGCAGTGGTGGAACCTCAATTGGGCGATATGTCGTGTGAGTCTTGTCGCAACGAAGCCGAGCAAAAAAAGCTCGGGCACCTCGTTCATATGGATCCGAAGCCGGCGGGCGCCACATTGGATAATAACTATTAGTCTAACTACCGCCTACTCCTCCATACCTACAGAGTCATAGCATCTGCTCGCATGGCAGCCCTAGGTGAGTCAGGCAAATTCTAACCCACAAAAAAGCACACAAAGTATGGAGAAGGGTAAGGTAGCGTCACTAACCCCACCAACCCGAGCTGTGAGCTCGCTCATGTACGGTGCTCCGCATTCTCGTGCAGGGGATGGTTTTTTTTGACTGATTGAGACAAACATGGTTTGGCCCGGAGCTTGCTAGACGGAGGTTGTTTGTGGATAGACTGAAGCTGGCATTGAAACGTGGAGCAAGGCCAGCTCTGCCACGAGATGGCCATGTGGTGTACGTGAAACACTGCTTGCAGCTCCCTCCCAAGCTGCTCCCGGATCCAAAGGAAGAGGTTGTCTGTCGCACAGGAAGATTATCAATTACAGTCATAGTTGTCTAGTTGTACAGCCACAAGATTGACTGGTGCAGGCTCCGTGAAGAGCCGTCGGTCTATCTCTGTTTTCTTCCCCATGTCCAAAACCCCATGCCATTACTCTGGCTCGTTACCTCCTCGGCAACGGGTGCCATGATCTCTCTCTATTCATTCCACTGTCCCGCAGATCTCTCTCCCCTCCCCTATCCCTCTCACCATCTAGAACTTGCCAATGAGCAGGTTGCCAATCATCTGCTTGCCCGTGTAGTAGGCCGTGTACCAGGCGGTCGGCAGGTCGAGCACGCTGGTGAAGAGGTCGGCGTAGCCAAAGAACATCATGGGCGGGATCCAGCCGCGGGCGTACTCGAGCGCGAAGCACAGCTCGGGCATGCGGTACTGCTTGATGACGCCCTTGCGCATCAGGTGCACGTCCCCCTGCTTGTAGACCTCGCGCTCGAACTCGCCCGGCACGTAGGCCCACTGCTCGCCGCGCAGGATGTGGAAGTAGTCGTCGGCCGTGTGGCGGCCCGAGTGGCCCTCGGTGCCGACGGCCGTGCCAAAGATGATGAGGTACTCGGTGACGCCTGTCGGAGGAGGAGGAAAGGGGGGGAAGTGTCAGCAACATGAACGCAGCCTCTGGTAATGCTAATTGGCAACAGACGAAAAACTTACTGGCGTGGATGATGGTCATGCCGCCCATGGCACCGCCGGCGTTGTTGAAGAAGTACTCATTGTCGATGTTGTCGTTGACGTAGGGCGCCGTCTTGGGGTTCTCCTGCAGCTCCTTGAGGATGAAGTGGACGACGCTCTGGGTGTCGTTGCCGTGCGCCGCGATGGCGCGCTTGGCGACGTCGTGCAGGTTGGCCGGCTCGAAGATGTAGAACCGGTCGAGGTTCTGGTCGATGAGGTAGATGATCGGGCTCAGCACGCCGAGGATGATGGCGAAGAGCTTGAGCCAGCCGCCTATCCCCCCCGACGACGAGGAAGAGGACCCCTTCTTGGGAGCCATGGTACCTGGACAGAGAGGCAAGACCCAAGAGACAACGGTACAATCAATCCCCAACCAAGGAGAGAACAAGAAAGGAGCGTCTAGAAGGAGTGGACGATTGGGGAGAGCTTCTACCAAGCGAATGGCAAAAAGCAGCAGCGGGCGATGCAGTCAGTGGTTGTAGTTATATGAACACACCACTCACGGGGATCAATGGATCCATTGATCTCTGAAATTTCTGGACCCCTGACAGGAACTGGAATTGGGATTTCGGTCCCTGCTTCTTAGCGCACCCACGAGGAGATTACGGCGTACTCTACTTGCCCAGAGAGGAATGTTTTGGTGCCTCTTTACAGCGCTACAGCGCCTGTGCTTGCTCGGTCCCCGGCCTTTGCGCGTCCCGCCCTGGCCTGATGCCCCACCAAAAACCCGGCTGTCAATGTTTCCGGGAGCAGCTCTGGCCAAGCGCAGTAGACGCAGCTCCTCATTGGCTGGCTGTTTCAAGATTTCCAGGTGCTAGCTTTTTTGTGCAAAATCGCCAAATCTCATATGCCAAAGTGACCTCATTTCTGCGATTCCGATCGATCAAGAGCCTCTGAGCCTTGCCACCAAAATACCGCCATTCTCAGCACAGCGCAAGAAAGCATGGCCGCTCTCTCGATCAAGCCGCCCGCCTTCGTCCTCCCCGGCCAGCACCTAGGCCCGGCGAACATGTTCATCCCCGGGCCCGGGACGCACCTGCAGCACGCGCAGCTCTACTCGTCGCTGCTCGGCGTCGTGCACCTCCAGCAGCCCGCGAGGCCCGCGGGGCCGGCCAAGAGGCCCAACCGCATCGCGATACTGCCCGCCGCAGAGCTGCCGACCATCTCGGTCACGCGGGCGTCGGGGTCGGGGTCGGGGTCGGAGAGGCGCGAGGTGCTGCCCGAGGTCGGCAATGTCGTGCTGTGCCGGGTGACGCGCATCAACCCGCGGCAGGCGACGGTGGCGATCCTCGTCGTCGGCGAGACGGTGCTCGAGGCCGAGTGGCAGGGCTTGATCCGCGTGCAGGACGTGCGGGCGACGGAGAAGGACAGGGTCAAGATCTACGAGAGCTTCCGGCCCGGCGACATTGTGCGCGCGCGCGTGGTGAGTTTGCCGTTCTTGGAGAAGCTTGTTTGATGCCTAGGTTTCTGATTGAACCGTTTGGTCTACTAGATCTCGCTGGGTGACCAGGCCAACTACTACCTCTCGACGGCCCACAACGAGCTGGGCGTCATCATGGCCACGAGCGAGGCGGGCAACGCGATGTACCCAGTCAGTTGGAAGGAGTATAGGGATCCTGAAACGGGGTTGAGCGAGGCTCGAAAAGTGGCAAAGCCCAACTGAAGTGCTCTCCTCGGCAATGATACAAGCACACTCAAGCGATACATATATCACGTCAAGGGCTGGTCGAATTGATTGTTGGAGCAGCAGTGTCAAAGTTGGGAACACGGCAAGATTTGGGCGATGAGAAAATTCGACACTGGACGAAAACTTGCATATTCTCAAACTCTGCTCATCGCACACCGAACCAGGGCTCTCATCACACACCCTCCGATGTTCCAAATCCGGGCGCTTGGACGCGGACAACCGTTCCGCATGAAACTCGGCGGTCGATCCGGCAATGCGAAGCCGCCACCCAAACCGGGGCCTACAGTCTGTGTGCGCTGCCTTGGCTGCGCATCAGCATGCAAAGCAGTAAATAGACACTGGCCCGCGTCACTACAGATGACAATGCATTGTCAGGCGTTGAGGCCGGCGATGTAGACTACCTTTACCTAGGTCATTATCTACATACTTTACACAACGGAGACACGAGAGAATAGCGCTGCTCTAGAAGCTGCCTAGAGTACGAAGTCTCTTCACATTACAATTGACAACGACCAAGAACCTAACTAATTGACTTGCATTTCTGCCCTCCGATTCCCGATGTGTCAAAACACTACCTAGGCAGGTTTCCTTGTTGGCAGGAGGGCGGGTCCCTTGCATTCCATTAACGACCGGAGGGCTGCCCTGAATTATAGGTACCTCGGCAGTACATCCTCGCTGTTTCTAGCGCCGGGTTCAGAAACGGGGTCCGCTGTATTCTTCAGTTTGTGGCCCTTCCAAGTGTTGTATCCCCCGGGTCTCCCCACCAGCCGACAGGGATCGCGACAAGGCCCAGCCGAGATCTTCACAAGCAAGCAAAACGGAAGAGGCGCAGTCTCGTGTGTGTGATGACGGGTTCAACCCAGAAATACCACCAACCAGCCCTCCAAATACGAACAAATCAGGTGCCCTCGCCCACCACCCATATTTTCTCCCTTGCGAACGACGGGCTGTCTTTGAATGAATCAAGTTTGGCGCTGTCAAGGGCGGAAAGGCTGGCTGCTTCCTCAGCTGGTGTGAATCTCTGTGCCATTCATGAATAGGCGACTTCCTCCCTGGCCCGGCCCCGTCTCCAAGTGAGGCGCAAAAATTGGCTTCTGGCTTTCACGATCGCAAGCACGCGACCGAGTATATCGAACAACCGACGCCCGAGGTCGACTCGCACACTGCCGAGTCGCATCTCGACTGAGGAACGACTACAAATCACACATACACACACAAAAACCAGACGAGCTCTTTGACCCGTTCACTCGCCTGCCCTCTCATACATCCGGACCACGAATCGTCCTCGCTGGCGCCCAACGGGCAACCAACCCAGGCACGCACGCAGACATTGAAACCACCACACAATGTCCACGACAATGACAATGACAATGGCCTCGCCCCAGAAGAACAACCTCATCCCAGAACCCATCGCCATGTCTACCACCACAGCGACACCGCCGCACACACCATCCTGCTGCCCGAAATGCGGCTTCGACATCCCCATCCCCATCCCCACTACCACCACCGCGGACGACGACGACAACAACAACCACAGCGCGGACGACAGCCACGGCGACCAGACCGCCGCCCTCGAGGCCGCCAACCACAAGATCGCCGACCTGGAGACCCAGATCCGGCTGCTGAACCAGAAGGCCGCCGCGGCCGTCGACCGCTGGGCCGACTACGAAGACGAGCTCTCCCGCCTCCGGCGCGCCGCCAAGCAACAGGCCCAACCCCTCCCGCAACAGGCACCGCCGGCGCACCAAGGAGCGCACACCCCGCCCCAGCGCTCCTCCTTCCTCCCCGCCGGCGCAGCGACCCGCCTCTCGGCGCTGCTCTCCCCGCGCGGCCGCACCCCGCCTCCGCCCCCGCCACCCCAGCAGCACGCACAACAGACGACGGGGCCCAGCCCGCCGCCGACCCCGGGCACGGGCGACCTCCTCTCGGCGCTGGCGCGCGAGCAGGCGCTGCGCCGGCAGGCCGAGGGCCGCCTGAGCCAGACGAGCCGCGAGGTCGAGGAGCTGAGCGCGAGCCTCTTCGAGCAGGCCAACGAGATGGTCGCCACCGAGCGGCGGGCGCGCGCCGCCCTCGAGGAGCGCGTCGCCATGCTCGAGCGGCGCGACGCGGAGAAGAGGGGCCGGCTAGAAAGGTTGGAGAGCGCGGTGGGGAGGATCGAGAGGGTGCGGGCGCTGCTCGGCGATACGGCTGGGTTGGGGACGCAGGGCGGTCGTGATGGTGGTGGTGGGAAGGAGGAGAAGAGTGACGCGCTTGCCAGGGGGGAGGCGAATGGGACTGGGGATAGGGATGACGGGGATGTGTTTAGGGATTGATGGAGGTTGCGGATGGATTGTGAAGAGTGACTTGTGGATTGGGACTGATGACGCTGACATGACTGCTATGAAACGACACATACGATCTTGAGACTTCAGGTCTGGTGAGATCGAACTGCAAACATAATACAGGGACGCATATAAAGGGGGGTAATCGGTAGACGGGGTGGGCAACGGACAGCATAGGAACGGATGGATCATAGGATGGGCATCAAAAAGGTTCACATAAGGCTACAGAGGTGGGCATATATAGAAGGTTGAGTGGCAGGATGCCATTTGTATAATAGTTATATCTTGAGCGAGAAAACAAATGCACTGGACAAAGTCACTAAAGCGATTCAATCAGTCATTGTCTCAAGTGATCTTTATTCTCATGATGACTGCCCAATAATTGGCATGTTTGAGATCTGTAGAAGCCATCCCAGTCTCGTGAAAGCAAAGAAACGCCTATCGCTATGCCCGCAGCCCCCTTTTAACCGGTGCCTCCCCTGAAATGCAGTAGCTGAGTGGTTGATATGAAGTGAAATTCTAGTTGGCAAAGCCATGATGAGAGCAGAAGTATTTCATGACTCCTTGCTCTGGCTGGCAGGGGTATCAGAGAAGCCATTCCACTCGGACTCGGTCGACTTGACAGACTTGGCGTCGTCCTCCTTGGGCGTCGACAGCGGCGCCTGGTCCTCCTCATCCGGCCGGGTCTTGCGCTTGTCGCCGGCCTTGGGGCTGCCTGGCACACCCTCGCTGGGACCGGACTGCCGCTCGCTCCTCCTCGGGCTCGACCGCTCCGAGGGGGGAGACGGCGCCGCCGCCGCCGCAGCTGCTGCCGCTGACGCAGACTCCTGCTTCTTGCCATCGGGGTCCATCCACCGGGCCAGCATGGCCTCGACCTGGGGCCCCCAGACCTTCTCCCCCTGGAGCAGGTCGTCGTACTCGAGGCAGTCCTCCGTGCCGGCGCTGAAGGCGCCCTGCCTCGTCCGCGCCAGCTCGGCCATCATGGCCGCCGAGCCCACCTTCTCGCCCAGGTCGTGGCAGAAGCTCCGGACGTAGAACCCGGACGTGACGGTCATGCGGATCTTGGCCGCGGGGGGCCCCTTGCCGGCCCAGGGCGGCGGCGTGTTGGGCGGCGGCGGCGGCGGCAGCAGGTTCGACCCCTTGCCCGTGGGCCGGTTGTTCTGGAAGCTGGTCGTGGGCAGGTCACCGAGGGCGCCGGACATCATGGGCGGGGCCTTGGGCTCGTGCTTGCGCCGCTTGGAGGGCCGCTCGTAGACGAGCTCGTCCTGGCGCTGCTCGGCCCGCTTCTTGAAGTCCTCGTGGGCGGCCAGGGCCTCGATGTCGCTCTTCTCCTCCTCGGGCGACAGCTTCTTGCCCGTCGCCTGCTGCTTCTCCATGCGCCAGACCTGGTCGGCCAGCGTCTGCTCGGCCGCGCCGGCCTCCTCGGTCGGCCACCGGTGGTTGTGCTCGCCGGGCTCGTACCACTCGAGCAGCTCCAGCTCCGAGACCTCGACCTCCCTCGTCTCGATCTCGCGCGGGATGGCCTTGCCCTCGCGCGCGTACTCGTACAGCGGCTTGCCGTTCATCTTGAGCGCCGAGTAGAGCGGGGGCATCTGGCGGTACTTGCCCCGGAAGCCGTCGAGCGCCTCCTCGACGACCTTGCGCGTCACGTTCTCGTAGTCGCGCTTCTTGAGGATGCGGCCCACGCGGTCGTACGTGTCGGTGCTGGCGCCGAAGAGCACGATGGTCTCGTACGTCTTGGTGCAGTTGATGAACTCGGGCAGCGCCTTGGTGCCCCTGCCGACGCCGAGGATGAGCACGCCCGTGGCCAGGGGGTCGAGGGTGCCGCCGTGGCCCATCTTGACGCGCACGTCGCGCTTCGCCTTGCCCCGGCGCTTGCGGTTCTGGTTGGACTCGCGGGCGCGGGCGGCGGCCTCCTGCTCGATGAGGGGCCGGAACAAAGACGAGGGATTGAAGAAGGTCTGGCAATCTCTGATGACCTGGGCGGAGCTCATGCCGATGGGCTTGTTGATGGCTACATGGGAGGCTTGATTAGTCTCCAGTCCGTGAATTCGTCTCTCATCCCCGGCACCGTTGTTGCGTGCCACCGGGCTGGGCAACGGAGGGGGAGAGAGAGAGGTGTGTGTGTGTGGAGGGACAGCACATACCAAAAATGCCTTCGAGGACGGTCTCCTTGGCCATCTTGACCAGGTTCGAAAGTCTCATTCGAATTGGAGAGAAAGAGTGTAGTAGAAAGAAGGAAGGGTTTGGAAGTACCACTCTGCGAAGCGACACACTGCCAATCCTCGCGAGTTCCAACCAACGATCCGGAGGCGGAAGGGATTGAATCTCGAGGCTTGGTTCTCTCACTCGTCCAAGTCCCTCCTCGAGAATTTTGGGCTGGGGAAATTTTCTTTCTTAGTGGATTCGAGGCTGCGGGAAGGGCGAAAGATCTTATCGGATTGGCGGGAAGCGGTTGCGGATCCCCTGTGGGAACCCCCGAAACGATAAGAGCTCCAGGTGGGATCCCACTATCCCTGACGCTTTAGGGGTGCTCGTCCAGCGCTAGAACAGCACCAGTCAAGGGCGTTTCAAGGGCCACAGCAGTGGAACTCTTTCCGCTATTTTAGTCCCCTGCCAGTACTTGGACCAGCCCACCCCGTTTGCTGCCTCAAAAGCTCGCTTTTGGTCAATCGCTCCTCCAAGGGAAAATTCCCCGCTTCGCCGCGTCTCTTGACCACGCGACTTTGTCGGACCGCGTAAAGTGAGGATCGATCAATGCGACAGGGATCACCTATTATGACAAGCCAGCCGCATCGACGACCCCACGCCGCCGTTGTCGCTGTCTCGACATATGTACAATTAGATTGTTCTCAACCCCAGTCAAGGCCATTGTGCAAACCGGCACCGCAAAGACCAAAACACGACGCGGATGCTTCTGTCGACAACATCCTTCGCGAACCCGCCTTGACCTCTTACATGCATCCCTTGTCATCCACGCCGTCAATGGTGCGAGCGAGTCCCTCCCTCCAGGCCCAAAAGTAGGCTTCTGGCCCGCGCGCGCCGCGAGCATCTACATACAATACGTCACAACGCAGCACACGAACCCGCGACCAGCATGGCCGGCCGCAAGCGGAGGTCGTCCAACTCGACCGTCTCGACCGTTGACGACCGGGGCATCAAATGGACCAAGGAGTCGGCCGTCCTGAAGAAGGTGTCGCCAAACACCGACTCCAACGAGTGGCCCTGCTTTGTCCTCAGCGACGCCGTCGCCTACCATAAGGATGGCAGGCGCATAGCGAATATCCTCAAGGTCGATCTCAATGGGCCCTTCATCTTGCGCGGCAAGCTGGAGATCGACGAGAAGGACCAGCTCAAGTATCGTGAGTCGCCCACCCACCCCTAGCAGATCCAAAATGCAGTACTGACGCGCAATGATTGCGCGCTTAGTGGTCAAATCGAGTCTCAAGTCCGCCCACGTCGAGGTCCAAGGCAGCACTAGGTATTCTATTGGGATCGGCCCTTACCCTGTGGTATGGGCTTCCGGCGAGGCGGGGTGGTTTGAGATCAGGCCGGCGCGGAGATACGAAGCCACGTACAACCAGATGTGTCAGGCCATCTCGCTCTACTATGCAGTTATGGACGTATATGACGAGATATGGGCGACCAAGGGCAAGGGTAAGCGCCGGCAGGAGCTCGCCAAAGTCAAGATCAACGATGTCTTGTTCAAGGTGAGTCTGACGGCCCGGGTCTCTGGTAGACAGCCTGGCTAACATTGCGCGCGCGGAAGTACGCCGTTTCAGTAGGCGATGGCGCCGTCCTCGAAGAAGTCAAAGACCGGTGCCGCCGGCATGCGCAGTTTCTACTGGCCCACTTCCCCAAGGAGGAGAACACTGAGTGGCACTGGCGAGATACGAGCTTCTATAGATGGATGAGGGAACGACACCCAGTAGGTGCCATGGAGCCCCTTTACCTTTCGACAGGATATCTAATGCGGTGCACAGGACATCCAAAAGAAATTGGACGACGCAGCAGCGGGGAAGCCGGTTGCGCCAGAGACGATCGAGGTGGAGGACGACAGCACGACAGAAGACGAACCCGTCAGACCACCCTCTAGAAGCCGCAGCAAGTCCACCCAGCTGCCGAAGCGAGAAAGCGAAGACTTTGTCATGCTCGATGCGCCAGTGGGGCGATCATCACGACAGTCCTCAGAACTAGCCAGAAACGCAACACCAAAGTCAGACCGCAAATCCCCCAACCGGAACCGCGTCGTCCCCATCATCCCTCCCGCACAACCACCCTCAGCAACATCATCATCAGCGGCGCAGCCACCACCCGCCGTCTCCTCCACTACTACCGACGCAAACACACCATCTCAAACCGCTGCACCTGCTTCCCAGCACCAACTCCTAGCCGACGTCATCAACGACATCGGCCGCGAGTCCGGAGACTACTCCAAGCTCAAGATGGGCACCCTCAACGCGCGCATCTACTACCGGTGCCGAATCAAGGTCTATAACTCAGTCTCCGAGATCACCAGGTACTACGCGCGGCAGGTCCTGCCCCTCCTCGATCCCGAGTGGGCAGAGAGCCCCTACCGGAAGTGGCTCGAGGAGCAGGCGGCCCAGCCGCCCGCCCTGCCCCAGCTCATCGACCTCGACGACGTGCCGCGGCAGCTCGAGCGCCGCGGCAACAAGCAGCACCCTTCCAGCAACAGCAGTAACAGTAATACCGCAACGGCGGCGGCGGCGACAGCAGCGGCGGCGGCGGCGACAGCAGCGGCGGCGGCGGCGGTATCGACGCCCGGAAGCGGGACGTCTACGCCGCGCAACCGTGCCAGCAGCAACGCCTCCTCGCGCAGGGGCAGCAGGAACATGCTGCAGCTACAGCAGCAGCAACAGCAGCAGCGGCCCCGCCGCTCCGGCAAAGCCGCGGGCCTGCGCCTCGCGTCGGTCCTGACGCGCAAGCGGCCGCGCTCCGAGCTCGACGACGACGGCACGCCGGACGATAACACCGACAGCAGCGGCCGGCGCGGCAAGAAGACGGCCAAGACGTCGCACTTTTTCGGCGACGACGACTCGTCCAACGACAACGAGGAGGAGGATGAGGACGACGACGACAACGAAGAAGAAGCAGAGGAGGAGGACGGTGGTGACGAGAACGGCGAGGAGAACCTCTCGGACGTGGCCCTCGACTCGGACGAGGACCCGACCGTCGGCGGCAGGACCACCGCCAACAACAGCAAAGACCCCGTGCGCCTCGTCGTGCGCGCCTCGCCCCTGCCCAGCACGAAGCCCCAGGGCCCCGGCGGGACGTGGACGTGCGGCGAGGAAGGGTGCGGGTTCGTCGTGCGGTCGGCCGAGGACCACGAGGGCAGGGCCGCCGTCGCGCGGCACTTTGCCGAGCACGAGGAGCAGGCGAGCCGGATCGGCATCGCGCTCGACGAGGGGAGCCGGGGCCACATGCCCATCAGGTGAGTGAGGATCTTTCCCCATCCCCATCAAAAGCACCACTCACTCACTCACTCACTCACTCACTCACTCACTCACTCACTCACTCACTCACTCACTCACTCACTCACTCACTCACTCACTCGATAAATGATGCACACTGAACTGACACATGCCGCAGCCATCTGCTCGAAAAGATCCGCGCCCTGGGCGAAAAGGCCGAGGGCGGCCCGCAGCAGCGCGTCGACGGGCAAAAGGTGCCGCAGGCCATCAGGAGGCGGCTGCTCATCTAATCTAACGAGCAGTGCAGGCAGGTGGCTGGGAATAAATAGGGGTAAGATAGGGAGGGGAGGGATGCTTCCAGTAGGATAGAAGACATAAACCAGCGTTTTGGCTTTCTTGACGGGAAAACCTTGAGACTCTAAAGGGATGATGATCCTCAAGGGCCAAAAAAACGCACTTTTCAGTGCATATCGAGAGGGGAGATAGGGAGGCGATCAAGGCCCAGAAAGGTCGGTCTGGTTTGAACTTGCATACGAAGTACTGCCTCCGGCATGTCATTGGCATCGGACATCGAAGGATGGCGAACATTGCCAGCAGGAAAGATACCCTGCATCAATGGGATGTAATGATTCCAGCATTCTTGCATTGTTTTTAGAGTCAGACAAACGAGGAAAAGAAAGCACTATTTCACGACCGAGGCATCCATAATCAAGCACGAGCATGCCTGCATCCGCATCGAGCAACCACTGTACGCTCGATCACTGAAAGCCTTTCACGTCAAGTTTTCATCTATTTTGATATCTTGAAGAATTTCTGTAAGTGGGATCAGAAGCGCTAGACAAGACCTCTATCAAGTCCTGGACGCGCTTCCCGACCGAGCGGCACATCTCCCCCCTTTTGAGACGACTAGGTAGGTAACATGAACCTCCCAGACTCCTTTCAAAAGGTTCACATAGAGCTTGTTGTGCCTTGATCCTCTCCGACATTGCGCACCCCGAACGACAATCCCTCTTTTTCTATCCTTACACCTACTATAAGACTTTTTATCTAAGCATTGATAATCCCCGCCAAGAAGGGAAATTCCAACGCTACAAAAGCTTCTCTGATCTTCTCCAACGCTAAACAGGGTATTCGAGATGGGGTGGCTTGCGCTTGCCTATGACATGGGACGCTTGGACTCAGACCTCTGGCCGAAGAACCCCCCCAAGTCCCCAGCGACCTAATGACCAGGTTGAGGGCATGAGACCCCGTTCGGGCCGTTTCTATCTCCTGGCCTGGAGATACTTGCTCGTCTGCTCCCAAACCTTCTTGTCCGCCGCCGACACCAGCTTGTCGTCGAGCGAGCGGACACCAGCGAGGATGGCATCGAAGAGGGCGTAGCAAATGGTCAAGTCCTCGACAAAGTGTGTGGCAAATGGGACAAACTTGGCAGGGAAGGCCTCGATCCTCGCGGCACGCTCCTCGGCGGCTTCGTCTACCGGCAGCTCATCCAGAAGGGTCTTGACTGCGATGCTCAGGGCGACATCAGGATCCCTCAGGAACGGAAGGCTGCAGAATGGGGTTAGTACCGCGTGCAAAGTCAGTGAGGGTCAAGGTCTGAAAACTCACCGATCGTTGATCTGCCAGTTGTCGTCACGCTCGCGCTTGGTTTGGCCATACATGAACATGGATGCCACAATGGACTCGGTCAGGTCGCGGTCCGCCTCGCGCACAGCAGAGACCAGGGACCGGTAGGTCAGGTAATTCTTACTCAGGGGACCAGTGTAGCCGTTGGCCTGGTGCCTGAGCTTGAGCAGCGATGCGCATCGGCTGAGTAGCAGCAGACTGGCAATGTCTTCTTCGCTGCCGTTCATGGGCATGCCATACAGCTCCTCATGCTTGTTCCTGGCATTGAGCAGATCGAAGCGAAGCAGCTCGAATGCAACAAGAATGGCCTCGTTGAGACCTGCGACTTCCGGATATTTCTTCACAGTCGGCTCAATAGCGGTCAGTGCCTTGGAAAGTGCCTGACCCCAAGCCGTCAGCTCGTGCTCGTCGTTGACGTAGTCGCGTAGGTGGAGAAGCCTCCAGATGGAGAGGGAGACGATCGAGTCGGCCGAGTCCAGGGTGCTCTTGGAACCCTTGGCTAGAGTCGACTTTACGAATTCAGGCTTCTTGAGGGCGGCGACCTCGGCGGCAATGGATCCCGACGCTGACGAGGGAACGTGGGCCTTGATAGATGCGTCCGAAACATTCCAGCTTGCCGCACGTTGTCCAGGCGAGGGCTGGAGGTTGCGGTGGTTGACGCTGTGGGTGAATTTCTCGTCGTACCAGACACGCATAGTCACGTCGCGATGCTGGATACCGCGGTTGAGACGAGGGATGAGGAGCCCCAGAGTCATCTCCTTGACCGGCACAAGCTGGCTCGAGATGAGCTGCTTGTACTCGGGGGTGGCAACACCATCCAGAGTGGGGAGCACGAGGATTTTGCAATGTGTAATCCAGCTCATGACGCGGGGGCTGATGAGACCGGTGTTGAGGTAGTGGAATAATTCAGGTGGGAGCTGGAGTCCGAGGTATTCGTGATTGTCATTGGTGAGCCTATCGAGCTCGTTGACCTTGACCTCTCCTTTCTCAGTGATATGAATGAAATGATTGACAGCCATGCGGGCCTTGCGATACTTGTCGAGCCAGTTGGGGTCCTGAGCCTGGAGGATGTCGTTGAAAGAAGCACACGCAGTCGCGACCGACTTATCAGACGCGCGCAGCATGTTGATGGCATCCATGACGGTCGGTTGGCGAGGGTTGACGGTGCCGTCCTGGAGAGCTGGGAATACGGGCAAGAAAGAGGTGCCGGTCATGAGGAGGGCGTCGATGAACATGGGCTCGCTCACCCCGAGCGACTTGATGATCTGCTTCTTGGAGATGGCAGTGACCGTCTTGGCGGCCCAGTCAATAGATCGGATGACGCTGTCTCCAATAGGATAGAGCAGGAGCTCCTGCGATCCCATGATGCCGCCGCATTGGTCCGAGTCGATCAGATCGAAGTAGGCAACCTGTGTTCATATGTGAGTAGACAGTAAAGCTTCTTGAGCTAGGATTATAGTACCTGAGCTGCGGCACTGCAGGGCGCTACCAGAAAATGCAGGTTGCGCGACTTGAGGATGCTTTGTAGCAAGTGGTAGAGAGACTGAGGCCGAAATGCGCCTTGGAAAGGTCAGTATAGGTTCGTCGAATCGATCCAGCGAGGAGGCAAGCACTCACCACTGTTAGCACCGAAGGCGGACACAGCGCTCTCGGCCTGACCAGTGCGGTACAGCTCCCAAGCCTGGTTGGTCCGCTCGTTGGCGCGAAGACCGCGCACGAGCGAGACCTCATCCTGGCCGATCATGGTCTGTCCGTCAAACACAAACAGAGGTGTGACTTTGTTGGCCAGCCATTGGTCTATGTCACTCTCAATGTGGCTCTGGAAGCCAGTCAAGCCACCGAGGGCCGGAAGGAGGGGTTCATGAGAAGGGGACGAGTCGAGGAAATGCTGGATATAGTAGGTTGCATCGACGGCAATGGCACAATCTTCGATCTCGGAGAGCTCGTGGGTTCTGTCCGAGGATTTCCCGTTAGTGATTGCTCTGAAGGTCAGGGGATTGAGATTACTCACACGGCCTGCTGGTTGACCCAGGCATCCTCAGCGAGTGCTGTTGTTCGAATTGTCAGTCAACTTGGTTTCTGCACCTCATGACAGCCATTCTTGCACGAAAAGCTGGCCCAAGGTCCGGGCCAATGGCCGGTGGATGCAGGAAAAGGCGTTCAGCACGGCAAATATGCAAACCGGCCAGAGGACTTGAAGCTGAAGACTCCAATCCAGGCACAATTTCACATTCGGGTGTGCCAGTAGCTGCTTGGCGTATTTAGGATGGCGATGACGTGGGCGGGCCCAACATCAATTCCTTCCCACCACCTTCAGCCCTGTAGCCGGAGAGAGCTTGATCACCGCAAACTGCCCCTGGACACTGCAACCTCGGGGCTGTGAAGGATTCGCGCGCGCATGTGCATGGGCTGGCTTTGTGGTGAAGGGAGTGGGCGTGCTGCAGGTGGTCGAGTCGCGAGAAGGAAAGAAACTCACAAGGCATTTTGGAGGCAGCCGGCTGGTCTTTCGGCGCGACCAGAACTCAGGAGGCTCGAGGAATGCGATCGTTTCGAGAGTCTCTCAGAGGGCGTGAGAGACGGTGCAAGACGGGGAATAATGGGGCAGCCGAGGGCGTGGCTGGAGGGCGAAAGTCGAGTTCAAGTTCGAGAGGTTGTAGAATTTGGGAGGTCGAGTCCAAAATGGAAAGAACAGGAGGGGGGCAGGCTGTCGGGAGCAGACAGGCACGCGCGCAGGTAGCCTGCAGGGGTAAGAACGAAGCTGAAGCTGGAGTTGCTTCCGAAATAAAGAAAAAAAAAGAAAGAAGTGAAAAGGGAGAAGCTTCGAGCTTGTCAACAAAGACCGGCCGTCATCCAAAAAGCTGGATGCTCCGCCAATTGCACGCGAGAAGAGTGCGCGCAAATGTGGGATGAGGCTCGTTTGATGGGGGGAAGCTGGCTGGGAATGGCGGCGCTTGGAGATTTTGGAGAGGTGATGTAGGAGTAGGAGTGGTGAGCTTGTTCTAGACTGAACGAAATACTTGGGGGGCCCCGGCCGGGAGAGACAATTAGCTCGTGCCTGCTTTGTCTGCTTTAGGTACGAGAGTAGCACTCCCAATGGAAGGTTTGGTCGCTACGTTAGTGGGGAGCAATAACGAGACGGTACTTGTAGTGAGGTTCGGAGGAGAACTGCAGGGCCCAGCTGTTGGCAAAAAGAGGAAAGAAAGCTATGACTTCTTTTTTTTTCTCTTGGGTCGCGCACCATGACTGGCTGTTCCTCATGTCGGGGGGCGCTTGTCCCTGAAATCTTGCCCGCTTCGTTTGCCAAGCTGCAGCTCAATTGTGGCGCCTGGCAGGGGTCCCTCTGCTGTTTTTAGGGTTTAGCGCGCCGCACTTCCCGCCATGGTCACATCGAGGGTCAATCATCTTCGTTTGTTTAAAGGCGCCAAGGTCGGGCAAACTAACGAGATGAAACAGCTCTGTGCTTCTTTTCTGAAGTCCATGTGCCATTCCGATGGAAGAGAAAGAGAGGGTCTCACTCCATCGGATTTCAGGCGTTCATAACTGGCTCAGGTTGCTAAATGATGGGTGGAAAGGCATCTTTGATCAAGTAGCTACTGTAGGTGGATTCTATGCTGACGAGCTTGGAATGTCTCGATGCTTTAAAGTACCTAACCCAGGGCCATGCCGTGTCTCTTCCATGGAACCCTTATGCCAGTCCAACCCAATGCCTCCTGATAATATCCCTAAGATATGCCTTGTACCGACCCTCGGTCTCGCGGGTCTCCTCCGCAGCCTGCATGGCCTCCCGCTCCGTCAGCGGCTCCAGCATCCTCCAGTCGTAGACCTCCACAAACTCCCGCTTGCCCCTCTGCCACTCCAGTCCGACATCCTCCACCTGCTGGAAGAACTCCAGGGTCGCCTCCTTGTCTCGGGCCTGCACGAGCGCGAGCTTGACTTGAGAGTTCTGCGGCCCGTCCAGTGGCTTCCACTCCTCCGGGTCGTCGCCGACACACTTGATCCCGTGCCTGGACAGGAGCTCCTCGAGCTTGTCACGGTCCGGCACGTCGGGCGCTATGACAGCCGAGAAGTTGGAAAAGGGGCAGAAGGCGCCCGAGACGTTGCATGGGTAGCGCGGTGCATTGTTGGATGGGTCCGGAGGTTTGTCTGAGGGCAGCTGGACTTTGCTGTCGCAGAACAGGTCGGTGACCAGATTGTCGGTCTCCGGCACATCGTTGTTTTTTCCTTCTTCCATGTTGAGTTGGGGTTGGCTGTGGAAGACGGCGCCTGACCGGTGCTGGTGCTCTCCAGACAAAGTGTTAACGCGTCCAGAGGAAGCCGATATGTCCCCAAGTGGCCGACGACGCGCACGCGGAGAGCTATCAAGGGTTTGGGAAGAAGGAAGAGATGACGAGAGAGGTGTGGTTGTGACTTTTGCCATTTTGGCAGGTCGTTGTGTCGCCTTCTCTGGTGACTCAGGAGGCCCATGTTTGCGGCTCGGTTTGCTTCCAGGTGACTGTGATGCCAAGTTTTCTTGTGCTTCCCCTACAACAGCGGATGACCGTGGAGGTGTCATTGCTCCCTGCTCGGGCAACACAACCGCTCGTTGCGCTGTCTGTGGTTTGCACGTTGGAGGAGGAGGGAATGATTTGTTTGGTGACTTTGAGAGACGGGCCGATGCAGATGACGTTGAGCTTGACGTGATGATTGTTGACTGGCTTGATCGATCTCTGCGTGCCCCTTTTGGGTCTGCCTTTTTCAAGAGAGCGATACACTTTTCCAGCTCTTGACTATCAGCCACAGGCACATTCCCCTTATCAGCTTCTGCTAGCTCCTGCATTTCACCAAAGGTCATCACGTCGAGAATCGATCGATCAAGATGGAACTTGGTGACTGCGGGAAACCTCAGGCTCCAGAACCCTGTGTTGCCTTGCTTGTGAAAGGAAAAGCATCGGACATCGCAGACCGGTGGATTGGTGAAGACGTGCGTCGGCCATTTTCCATTCGCAGTACCAGGTTCGATGCGCAGCACAATTGTTCCCTCCTCTACCGGGACAGCTTCTGGGTTGGTACACCGAGCAAACGTCTCCATCAGCGGTGCGCTGAGCTCCACCACGTTGAGAACCACAAAGCGAGGTTGAACAGCCCAGCGTTGAACCTCCTCCTTGTTCTCGAGGCAGCCCAAGTAGAAATGTGTCCACTTGACGTTCGGGATTCGAAATGATTTGGCTGCAGCTGGCTCATAGCGGCCACCAACGATGGCGAGGTCTCCCACGTCGCCGAACCCCTGGAAATACTCCTTCTTGAGCTTGATGTTGCTGCAACCAAACCGGTGTTTGGTCGAACTGAAGTCAAAGTATGGGTCGTCAGGTTTGAGGACCAATCCTTCTTCGTTTGAGACAATGCATTGACCAAACGCCATGCGCAGCGTGGAGGCAGCATCACGGTCGCTAAAGTCAATGACTTGACGCTGGACGACATCGGCCACCCCTTTCTTGCATTCAATGAGCTCGGTCAAACGCCTAAAACGCTCCGAGTGCCTCAGAGGGAGGAAGGTATCGTCGTCCACCATGAGAATGTCGAAATAGATTATCATTAAGTGCTCCCAATGGTGCGGTCTGCTCTCCGTTAGCCAACCGCCCAACCCCGCTCGAAAGCCAGCCACCATCCACAGGTACTTACTGAGAGTCTTGTTCTGTACTGAGGAATGAGCCGGATCTATGCACATGTTTACGGATTTTGTCGAAGTCGAGGATCTTGCCCTCCTGATATCCCTGTCAATGCTGAAAACGGGGGTAGCAGAGGAGGGAGGCTTTACCTTTTCGCTATAGACAACCAACTCTCCCTCGAGAATTGCCCCTTTCTTAATGCGGCATGACGGCTGGCCCAGCTTCAAAGATGCACGAATGGCCCTGCCACGCTATTAGCTTACTAATTTGCATTGTCTGGGCTGTATCTCGGCTTACTCGTGCAGGTTGAATCGATCCTGAGTGCTGTCTTTTCCACTCTTTGAAAAGATCTGGATGCAGTCCTTGCCCTTGCTCAGATCGATGTGTATCTGGCAGTACTCGCCATCAATCTTCTTTTCGCAACTCATCAGGCCCCTGCCCATATCAAGACAGTGCTTGATACTGCGGCCTTTGAGCCATGGCTGTCTCCCGACCTTGATCCCCAAAGTCGGTTTGAGAAGCCTTACAAGATCGGACTTGGATGGAGAACCTTGTACGACGCGCCGGTTCTGAAGATGCTCGTGCAGGAGACGGGCTGCAGCGGCGAAGTCATCTTGGATCTTGAGCAGAGAAGGCAGTAGCGGGTGGTAGAATCGATAGACCACATAAGGGTCAAGTGCCACAGGCCGGTAATCTTTGAGGATGAGCCGAGTAAACCATTTGGCATCACGAGCCGAAAGCCGCTTGAAAATGCCGGCCAAGGCGGACTCAGGGTCGCCTAAGCCGGAGGGCACAGGGGAGGATCGGATAGCCGGAGAGCTGAATCGGCATTTTCTGGCAATGGCGTGGAGGATTATGTCAATCTCCTCAACAGTCACCCTAGAGCTGTTGGGAAAGATAGGATTGGGGGTGTCAGTGAGGATGCGCTCGACACAATCGCCCAAGTCAACACCCGAGCCCGGTGTTTTCCACCGGGAGAGCTCTGCAATCCGCGATCGACCCAAGCCAATGACACGGGCGATCTTCTTTTCCAGCCTCGGGGCTTGAATGCCGTAGACCCTGTCCGTGCGCTTGTCAGGTAATAGGGTGGAAAGGAGAGCACTTGGGTCAGTGTCTCCGCGATTCAACTGTCCCCTGTGCTGCTCAAACCATGCCTTGACGATATTGGCATCTATTTTTTGCCCAGTGCGCAGTTGCTGGTTGTCGCTTAGTTGTTGCAGAAGGTCACAGACAAAGGTGAAAGCGAAGGGCATGTTGCATCATGAGAGTTGGAGCTGTGGAGGAGAAATAGATCAAAAATGCAGAGGTAAAGACTGTCTAGAAGAGAAGAGGTAGAAATTGACAAAGGAACTTTCTATGTGGTAGGCAACAGCTCGGCTGTCGAGGTGAAGGATGATGAATATGCAGTCGAAGGCGGCATTCATTCACGAGACGCCTGAGGCTTTTGGCTGAAGAACCAGCCAACAAGCATGTTGGGCCACAGCACGCACACTCCCTTAACCTGTAGCGCGGGCGCCGGGGATTTCAAGTGAAGTAATTAGGCGGGTGTGAGCCCTGGATGATGATGTGCCAGGTCACGCGCGTCAGGGATCGATCAATCAATCGATCAATTAGACGCTTCGTAGACTCGCGGTATTGACGCGCTCTCAGATGAACAGGCACGTGAGCGGCAGTGCTGCGTTTCCCTTCCGCACCTAACCAGACTCAATCCAGGACTGTTCCGCGACTCGCTTCCCTCTCCGAGGCCGGCTATTAGTCAGGAGGGTGTGCTGGTCGGTAAGGGAAAACTTGGATTTGTCAAAAGCGCCGTGCGTGGTCGGATAAGATGAAAAAGATTGCATCTGATACGGTGCAGCCCTGTGCCCCCACCAAAACCCACTACGCCCAGCGCAGCTAAGGCCCCTCTATCCCTCTATCGTCCGCTATCACTCCCCGCTTCCGGAGATGTACAAATCGGCCCTGAGTCCCCTACTAATTCGATTAAATCTCGAGTTCGAGTCGCTCACAACCACCTCACCTCTGTCTGGCCCGCGCATGCCAAATCCCCTCAGCAGATCAATCTGAGCATTCGTACCCTCTCGCGCAACCGTCAAGATGCCTTCCGCATTCCCAGTCATGATCGACACCACGCCCGACCTGGACTTTGCTGCGCCGGTCAAGGCGGCGGGTGGCGAACGCACCCTGCTGCTGGCCACGCCCTCAGTCGCCGCCCACGAGGAGATGGTTAGAGACCTCTTCACCAAGTTCGACCGTTCCTCGACCGACCTCCATATGGTGGACCGTCTGTTGTCTGGCATGATCGACCTCCCCGCCAACACTTACGACCGCGTCGTCCTTCTCGCCGACCCCGCCGACAAGGGCCAAACCAACTGGCTGAGCCGCGACGTCTACGGCGCCCTCGTGCCCGCCATGAAGGTCGGCGCTATCCTCCAAGCACAGGATGGCGCCCTGGGCACTTCGGATGCCCGCGAAGCCATTCTCGCCGGTCTTGTTGAGAAAGATGGTGGATTCCAGAAGGCAGAGGATGAGGAGGTTGTCGTCTCCTTCAGACCCAACAAGAAGAAGGCCGCCATTGGCCAGCCCGTCCAAATCAGCTTTGACAATCCTGCCAACTACGAGAACGAGGATGATGATGAGCTCATCGACGAGGACGATCTTCTGACTGAGGAGGATTATAGCCGCCCCATTCAGCAGCGTATGTCTCCTCCCCTTCCTTCACAATTCCTACCGCTTACTAATTCCGCAATTCCGTCATTAGCCCCTGAGTGCCAGCCCAAGCCGGGCAAGAAGCGCCGCGCCTGCAAGGACTGCACCTGTGGTCTGGCCGAGCGCCTCGAGGCCCAGGACAAGGCTCGCCGCGAGAAGGCGGACCAGGAGCTCAACACCCTGCGCCTCAAGACTGACGACCTCAACGAGCTGGACTTCACCATCAAGGGCAAGACCGGATCCTGCAACTCGTGCAGCCTGGGCGATGCCTACCGATGCGCCGACTGCCCTTACATCGGCCTACCGGCTTTCAAGCCCGGCGAGGAGGTCATGGTGCTGCAGAACACAGCCCAGTTTTGAAACCGTTCGCCAAGGTTTCAAACATTTTGGACTTGTTACAGCGCAGCGAACGACGACAACGATTCTATGCAGCAATTGTCATGGAACATCTGATGAATTCCGAGCTTGCCTCCTGCGACAGAGGGAGAGATCGAGATCGGGCACCTGTAGTGCCACTTATACCCAAGAGCGAGAGAGGTTATGGACTCTCTCGATCACATCTTACTTGGGCGTCTGTCTTTAATGAGCACGCCGCCAGTGGAATTTTTGGCACCAAAGATGTCGACGGCGGATTGAAGATTTTGCACTTTTTCACAATACTCGATAACGTGCAACATGGTGTCTTCATGCCGTCTACAAATGCTGATGGATATGGGGCTTGGACTTTTGAGGAGGGTTGGGATAGATGTTGCCCAACTTGAATGACTGAGCATCTTACAGGGTTGGTTGAGGATAGAGAAATTAAACTGAATTGAGCCAGGACCTCAGGGTTCTCTACAACACTGTTTACTCTGCCACTTTTTCTCCCGTCATTGATGCAACATAGCGTACAGCCTCATGATCACACTCAAAACTTGCATCTGTAGAGACAATACAGGCGGTATCATGAGAGGGTCTAGGAGAAGGCATGCTGCTGCTAGTGCAGCACGAGTACATGTTGAATTGCGCGATAATCCTTTTAATAGCAACAAGATCAGATAGGCCGACGATGCACCATCCATATCTTCATCGGTTGATGGATGGATGCCTGCAGATATACCAAAGGGAGGGCTCGCCGCTCTACGGCGCAGCAGTCATGGCGAATCAGCATGATGCGATGTTCCGGGGGAGCCAACCTTGTAATTCTCTCCATTGATGGACTGACACCAATTGAAATACTCTTCGAAGCACATCGTCTGTTTGGGGTCTCACAGAGGAGCAATAGGGGCCAGATGAGCTGGAGAAGTCTCAAGGTACAGCCCTTGAATGGTTCTCTTTTGGGTGAACAATATGGCTATTTTTCTACTAGAAACGGCTAGCAGCTCATCCAAGCTGTCGGACTCCAGCTCCTTCTCCCCACCATCCATCCATCCATGGGCGTAAAAAGTTCGATCTCGACACGGACAGCATTGACTTCCCGTCAGCAACAAGCAGCAGAATAAATAACTAAACCACCCTTCGAAGGACTAATTCGCGATCCTCTCCCCTTTGCCACCTCCAATTCATACATGGTTTTCCAGGCAAGATGCCAACAAGCGCCCTACAAACCCGCCTAACCCACCTGTGGCGCGCGCTCTCTCCCCACAGCCAACTCCTCAGAACCGCCCTGCGCCAGCACCAGCGCCAACCACCATGCCGGAAGCCCTACAGCAACAGCAGCAACGGCGGCGGCAAGCCCCAACCCTCCTCCTCCTCCAGCTCCTCCGCAAGTAGCTCGACGACGACACACACCCGCGCCGAGCGCATCCTGTCGCGCCTCCCGCCCTCGATGCAAAAGTACACGCGGGCGCTGCGCAACGCGCCCCTGTCGCACGTCGTCTCCTTCCTCATCCTGCACGAGATGACGGCCGTCGTGCCGCTCCTCGGCCTCTTCGGCCTCTTCCACTACACAGACAAGGTCCCCGTCGACTACGTGACGGAGCACTACGGCGGGTACGTGCGGGAGGGCGCCCGCCGGTTCGAAAAGTACTTCCGGCGCAAGGGCTGGTTCGGCTTCGGTGCTGACGGTGGGGACGGTGCTGGTGCTACGATTGCTGCTTCTGCGGCGGAAGAAGCGTCAGAAGACGCGGTGCGGGACCGGTGGATGAGCGGCGATACCAAGTACAAGGTCGTGGTCGAGATTGCGCTGGCATATGCCATCACCAAGGCTCTGCTGCCGGTGCGGATAGTCGCCAGTGTATGGGCGACACCGTGGTTCGCCGGCGTTTTGGGAGGCCTTCAACGGCTCGTCCGCCGGCGGTAAACAAGCATATAGTCTTTGAAATCATAGCGTGCATATAGAATAGATTTGCGGCAGATGGTCCGAAAAGATTCCCGTTCGTGTTTTTTTTTCTCTACCTAGTATCTAGCAAGCCGCTGCTCCAGCTCGAAGTGAGCCGAGCAGATGGCTTGCCGCACACCGTTTTATAGAACTTCGGTATGGTTGCCGAACTTAGGCCTTCTCGTAGATCCAGTCGAACTGGGAAGCCTTGTAGCTGACCAGGTCGCCCTCCTTGAACCAGAGAGCAATCTCCTTCTTGGCGTTCTCGACGCTGTCGGAGCCGTGGCAGACGTTGCGGCCGACGTCGATGGCGAAGTCGCCACGGATGGTGCCAGGGGCGGAGGCGAGGGGGTTGGTGGCACCGAGGAGGGCTAGTTGAGGAGGGAGAACATTCTTAGTTGAAGAAGTTCAATCAATCAAATGTGTCACAGGAAGGGAAACTTACTGCGGCCAGTCTTGACGGCATCACGGCCCTCCCAGACCATGGCGCAGATGGGGCCGCTGAGCATGTCTGGTTGACCAATTAGCTGAGATATTAGGCCCGGGTGTCAACGAGAAGACATACACTGGATCAGGCCGGGGAAGAAGGGCTTCTCCTTGAGGTCAGCGTCTGGAAGAGCGGTCAGTGTCAGTCTCGGGCCGGCTTCCTGCGGAGCTGGCGAGGTCTTGGTGGGACGTACAGTGAGCCTCGAGGTGCTCCTTGGAGGGGCTCATCAGCTTGATGGCAACAAGCTTGTAGCTGCGGGCTGTAGTTAGTATCTGTGGGCAGCGGGTTAAGGACACAATCTACATACCCACGGTTCTCGAAGCGGCTGACGATGGGGCCGATGAGGCCACGCTGGAAACACGGTCAACATCGATGCTTGGGACGAGATTGTCCATACAAGACGGGCTCGAGCTTACCTGGACACCGTCAGGCTTGATGGCAATGAAGCTATCGGCGATGTCAGCAAGTCACTACATCGTTGCCGTCGACAATAAAGCTGCGGGAAGCGCAAAGCTCCCCGTGGCGGTGTCGGGTCGGCGGGGAGGTCGACTTACGTCTGCTCGGTAGACATCTTTGCGGTTGGTTCTGGAAGAAGTTCCTTTTGTGTTGATGAAGTCGAGGAGATGGAAGAAGAAGATTGGAAAGATTTGACAAAAGGAGTATCCTTGGGCAAATCGATCTCTTGGCTGATGTCGGGTGTTTGGAAGAAAAGTATGAGACCGACGATGAGGGCGCAGAGACAAATAAAAATTGGCGGGGTCAATTTTCGCGCTGGTGCCGGTCTACTCTGGTGGGGGGTTTCTCTAGCGCCGTGAGTTGTCTTGCTGCTGCTGTTCCTGCTGCTGGCCGCCGACGAGTCTGGTCCTGATCCCTGTCCGCCGCCGCCGTCGCCGCTCTTTGCCGCGAGCACCTTCTCAGGAACCCTGAAGGCAGGGTTGATTGGCTCGTCAGGGTCCGTCATGGTACCGTTAACTACGGGCAGTTGGGGATGGTGCAGCTAAGAAAGGCAGATGTTGTGTTCCGAATCGGCCTGCAGGTACTCATGCAGTCTGAATCGACAATTACCAAGTAAGATAAAGTTAAAGAGGTAGGTAGGTATTTGTAAGTACTTATTTAAGATGAGTAGAAGGGAGCAGGTGCGCTAATGAAACCCATCGAGGTTCACGATGCCTATCTGAGTTGGCATAGGCGCAACATGAATTGAGTCTTAGCGGTGAGTAGACTCGAGCTCCGTCCTAGAGAGTTTTTACCCGCAACAATACAGTAGTAGTCGTGCTCGATTGGTATCCTAGAGGTCCAATTCGCCGTGTCGAACGTTGGCATCACGAGCTTGCTCGAGTCTCAGCCATTGCCATACTCCCAAAACAACGCCTGAAAAAAGCTCCCCCAGCAGCCTAAACACAAACGGGTTTTAGCGGGTAATTCCAGGTTGCCAGGTGGTTTGAAACGTGGCTGATATGGTCGTTATCGCGCGTCAGAGGTGGTCCTTAGGCCAAACCCAATTGGGCCAGCTCCATACTACCTACACTACAAGTAAAGGGACAGCTTGACCTCTCCACCATACAGGTGGCACTTGTCCTATTGAATCCCACTGCATTTTGTTGTCGAGAGACCGTCGCAACAATCGGCATTGCCAGTCTTGCCCTTTGTTGGAGAGTATCTGATGATTGCCATCTAATTACCTTCTTCCTCCCCTTCATCCCCTTTCATCCACACGTTCTAGCTGGCTGGTCTTGCTTGTGTTCTTGGAAGGGAGCAGCTTCGAAGATGGTGTTCGCAGGGAAGCTGTCCTCGACATGGACAGCTTACTTTGCAGCTCTGTCAACCCTTTCAGGCCTGATTGCGCCAGCAGGTGCGTCAATCTGGACCAGTCTGTTGTACCCAAGATGTCTGAATGCTGACCTAAGTTTGTGTGTGTGCAGTTGCGGTCAAGGAGCACGACTTCAAGAAGTGCGACCAGGCGGGATTCTGCAAGCGCAACAGAGCATTCGCCGATAATGTCGTCGCCGCCGGCTCTTCATGGGAGACACCCTACAAGATCCTACCCGAGACTACCTCGTTCAAGGATGGACAGTTTCAAGCGACCGTCCTGAAGACCATCAACGCCCAGGGCGAGACTGTCAAGCTCCCTCTGACGATCTCTTTCCTCGAATCCGGCACTGCTCGAGTCACGATGGACGAGGAGAAACGACAGAAGAAGGAGATTGAACTTCGAAACGATAGCAAGGCGCGCAAGGAGCGATACAACGAAGCCGAGAACCTGGTCATTGTTGGCGGCTTGACCCTCGACAAGGACGCCCAACTCGCCAACGAGGATAAGACCGAGGCCACTGTCAAGTACGGACCGTCGTCCAACTTCGAGGCACACATCAAGTACGCCCCATTTGCTATTGACTTCAAGCGCGATGGCGTCTCCCAGATCAAGTTCAACGATCGAGGCTTCCTCAACATGGAGCACTGGCGACCCAAGATTGACAAACCCGAGCCGGAGAAGAAGGAGGGCGAAGAGAACCAGGAAGAGAAGAAGGAAGAACCGACCGGTGAGGACGAGAGCACCTGGTGGGACGAGACTTTTGGTGGCAACACCGATACAAAGCCTCGTGGCCCCGAGAGTGTTGCCCTCGATATCACCTTTGTTGGCTTTGATCACATCTATGGTATCCCTTCGCACGCAGGCCCTCTTGCGCTCAAGCAGACTCGTGGTGGAGACGGCAACTATGTCGAGCCTTACCGTCTGTACAATGCCGATGTCTTTGAGTACATCCTGGACAGCCCCATGACCCTGTACGGTGCCATCCCTCTGATGCAGGCTCACCGAAAGGATTCGCACGTTGGCGTTTTCTGGCTCAACGCAGCCGAGACCTGGGTCGATGTTACCAAAGCCAAGGACGCCACGAACCCTCTGACCCTAGGCATCGGAGCCAAGACCAACACCCAGACTCACTGGATCTCCGAGTCTGGGCTTCTGGATGCGTTCGTCTTCCTCGGACCTACCGCCCAGGATATCACCCACAAGTTTGCCGAGCTCACGGGCACCACTGCCATGCCTCAGGAGGCCTCCATCGCCTACCACCAGTGCCGCTGGAATTACATCTCGGACGATGATGTCAAGGACGTCGACCGCAAGATGGATAGGTACAAGATTCCCTACGATGTCATTTGGCTGGATCTCGAGTACACCGACGACCGGAAGTACTTCACATGGGCTGGAGACATGTTCAAGGACCCCAAGTCCATGGGCGAGAAGCTCGACGAGCATGGCCGAAAGCTTGTGGTTCTCATTGACCCTCACATCAAGAACGTCGACAACTACCATGTGTCCAGCGAGCTCAAGTCTAAGGAATTGGCGGTCAAGGACAAGACCGGCGGCATCTTTGAGGGCTGGTGCTGGCCGGGCTCCTCGCACTGGATCGACGCATTCAACCCCAAGGCAATTGACTGGTGGAAGACTCTTTTCAAGTACACCGCATTCAAGGGCACCGCCGAGAACACGTTCATCTGGAACGATATGAACGAGCCCTCTGTCTTCAACGGCCCCGAGACTACTATGCCCAAGGATAACCTGCATCACGGCGGGTGGGAGCACCGTGACGTCCACAACGTCAACGGCATGACTTTCCACAATGCTACGTACCAGGCTCTTCTGAGCCGAAAGTCTGGCGAGCTCCGACGACCCTTTGTGCTTACTCGCTCCTTCTTCGCAGGCTCTCAGCGATACGGTGCGATGTGGACTGGCGACAACCAGGCCGCCTGGGACCATCTGGGCGCTTCTATCCCCATGATCCTAAGCCAGGGAATCTCCGGCTTCCCCTTCTCCGGTGCGGACGTAGGAGGATTCTTCGGCAACCCGGACAAGGAGCTTCTGACTCGGTGGTACCAAGCTGGCGCTTTCTACCCCTTCTTCCGTGCTCACGCTCATATCGACTCTCGCCGCCGTGAGCCCTACCTCGTTGGCGAGCCGTACCTGCCTATTGTGACGGCGGCGATCCGTCTTCGGTACAGCCTCCTTCCCGCCTGGTACACCGCCTTCCACCAGGCGTACGTGGACAACACGCCGATCGTGAAGCCCATGTTCTACACGCACCCGTCGGAGGAAGCCGGCTTCGGCATCGACGACCAGCTCTTCCTCGGCGACACGGGCCTGCTCTTCAAGCCCGTCGTCGAGCAGGGCAAGGAGTCGGTCGACATCTTCATCCCCGACGACGAGGTCTACTACAACTATTTCACCTACGACGTCGCGCCCACCCACAAGGGCAAGAAGACGACGCTCGCGGCGCCGCTCGACACGATCCCGCTCCTCATGCGGGGCGGGCACATCTTCCCGCGCCGCGACCGGCCCCGCCGGTCGAGTGCCCTGCAGCGCTTCGACGACTACACGCTCGTCGTCGCCGTGCCGCGGCAGAGGGGCGGCGGCAGGGCCGAGGGCACGCTGTACGTCGACGACGGCGACTCGTTCGACTTTGAGAAGGGGCAGTACATCCACCGGAGGTTCGTGCTCCTCACAGGCGACGACAGCGCCGCCGGGCAGCGCCTGGTCTCGACCGAGGCCGAGGCCCGTCCTGATGCGGGCAAGGTCAAGGAGGGCAAGTGGCTGAAGCAGATGCGCGACGTGCACGTCGACAAGGTCATTGTCGTCGGCGCGCCGGCGTCGTGGGCTGGCAGGAAGGAGGTCACGGTCGAGTCGGAGGGCAAGACGTGGACTCTGGGCATGGAGTACGTGCCGGCTGAGGGCGGGCGGGCGGCGTATGCTACGGTCCGTGGCGTGGGCGCGAGGATCGGGGCGGACTGGACTATTGCCTTTGCATAAGGGGGGGTGTTGTTCGCGACTGGACTTTGTGCTATGCATGGGGTGGGTGTCTGGTTTGTGTTGTGCATAGAGAGATCACGATGTAGAAGTGTCCAAAATTGACGTGATGAACTTCATGATGGGGTTTTCTACTTTGTGTGCTGGTTTGATAGCTACTCATGACTCCCGGTGTTATTGTCTCTACATAGGCACGGCTTGGGACTTTGTTAGGGAAGGTAAATTGCAACGCCAATTTATGACCCCTCCAAGACAGTTGACATCCTTGAAGGTTGCGTAGGTGAAATGACCTGTTTCGGCTCTCCAGCATTCTTACGTAGTGGTGGAGCAAAATGAGGAGACTGTTGTCGATGCGATAGCGAGGTGGCGCGAGGTCTAGATCCCAGGATCGATGAGTTCTTTGTTTCTTCCCCAGATCAGCTGAGAGACTCTCTCCACAAGAGCTTTACAAGTACATGTGGAGTGGACTGAGGTTTGATATTGCAACCTTGCTACCATGAAATACATGCTCAATATCGACGACGCTCAATGTTTGGTGTCGCGGTCCTGACACTCTAGCTCCAACTGTTGTACGACAAAAGGAGGACAAGAAACAAACAGACGATCACAGTTTCTTAGGACTTTTCACATGGGATCGTCCTAAAAGTAGCCACAAATAGGCTTGCACGGCAGAGGGGATCGGGTCTGAGGGTGACACCGACAGGTCGGGATCGGGATCGGGCGTGGGGGGTCCGTACATACGCTGCCTTCAGGTTGTACCTGATCCTGGTTTCATCTGTCCACACTTGCAGATTTCGTTGAGTGGTGGCGGGAGTTGGTTGTCAGATGGTGTGAAGGTGTCAAAAGTCAAAAGGCCCAAACGAAGGGTGGTTAGTGTGTACCACATCCTACCACGAACGGTCCAAGTACCTCGATGCCAGGAGTCAAGAAGGAAAAAAAGACGGAATACGCCTAGAATGTTTTGTTTTGGGCATGCCGTCATGGTTGAGGCCAAAAGAAACGTCCAAAGTCTCGCCGACGCTGACACCATTTGGGTTAGGAAGGGCGCGAAGGGTGAAAGATAAGGTGTTGGGTGCCCCTGCAGCATGTGAAGGCCAAGAACAAGGGATGGTCGCCTCATCCCGGTTCCCAGATTATTGTTTTTTTTTTCTTCTTCTTTTGAGATAGCTAGGGCCCTGCCAAGGCGGCCATGAATCGGCATGGCGGCTGGAGATTAGGGATATCATCCTAGGTAGTTCGGAGAATCGGTGTCATTCGAGGCCAGCAGTGTTTTCTTTAGACTCGCCCTTTGAGCAGCAGTGCTTAATTTGAACATTCGCCTCATCATTACTCGAGGCATCCTTCTCGATGTCCGAGAACTGCATTAGGTCCCCGAGTGGAAAGCACATCGCCATGTCAGAGACTGCCCGAGATACAGTTGGCAGGGTACGGCCGGTCCCAAATTCACAGAAAACGCGTCTCAATAAAACATGACGTCAGGTCTGCCATGCAGGGGAGCAAGCCACCGACCCACGCAAACTCCGCTTGATGCGGAACGGGGAGGAAGCCGTTTTTTTCATGTCTAAGCCCTGAGAGCCCAACGACAGAGATGCGAAGCAATCAACTGTCCCGTAGGTAGTTCGGAATGAATCCAAGGCAGCAGTCAAATGAAAGGCTCTTCGGCTTGCTCGGAGGATCTACCAAGAAAGTAGATGTACTGTGCCAGAGCCGGAATACTGAATTCGTTCTAGCCAAGTGTAGGCTCAGGGCGCCGTCGTAACCGTTCCTCACTCTCAAGCGCTGGATTGGGAAAACGTGGGTACGGTCCCGGCGGTGCTAGCGATGCCGCCGTTCCCTGCCATGCCAGCCTCTGCGATGATCCGTTCCAGAGATGGTATGAGCCCTGGCCGTTTCCTCTGCACCCGTCGTTCTTGGGATGGAGTGTAGCTGCAGGACGAGACAGCCACTCACTCTCATCCAATGGACAGCGCATTGATAGTGTATCATTTGCTGTTTTGGGACCCTAGTGGTCTTTTCTGGTGGTGTACTGTTGAGCTGTTTGTTGTTCGTAGGCGCCACATGATCCCCCGGCCCTGACTGCTGGGAGCATCGATTTATGCTGACCCAAACGGTCTCCTACATGGTTGCAGGTCGGTCCCAAAAGGGTAGACTCATCCATCAAAGTGCTGACACGGAGTGAACCCTCCCCAGAGACGAACTGGTAAGAAACAACGGCCGAGCTTAGACTGCGGGTCTGGTCTTGCTCCATAAAAAATGACGTCCTGGCAGAGGCAATCTCGAGGAATCAGAGATTTCTGGTCTCGCCTGGGAACGCGATGGAGCCGCTGGAGCCTCGCTGCCACGCCTTGCAGAGCCTGTTACCCACAACTATCTCCACTGAAGAGGGTCCCGTAAGCCCGATTCATATTCACACATCTCGCTCGCATATGACACATCTCCCTACCTATTGTACTCCGCAAGTCTCCAATCTCTATCCTTCCCATAGTTTTGCCGTGTCTTGGTTGGTCTTGGGAGGAGATGCTGCAAAGCATGCGAATCCATCCATCCATCCCAAAGCCCACCCCTCCATCCCCAAGGATCCTCGTCTTGCCAGAGCCAGCTGTGGAAGATCCCTTGATATCTGCAGGAAAAGGTGGGTAACTCGCCTTCAGCGCGAGCTTGTGGATGAACCGGGTAGCTGCTTCGATGCAAGATCATCGATTTCTTTTTTAACACCGCATTCCCAATCGTTACACTGTGCTCTCAAGTGAGGCAGGCCCGTCTATTCTCTCCTACACTTACGACCTGGGCAGCTGGTTGCTACCTTGGACTGTACCTGTTCTTTCAGAACTCTTTACACGTCCATCTCGATTTTCTTCGTCTTCACCTTTTTGCGTGCTATCCAACAGGATAACAAGATTATTCCGACGAGATACTGTGCGGCAGCATCACTCCCCAGACTCCTCCGTTTGTGTCGGACGTGTCGATGGCGTCGCTCGGCCGGTGAACATACACTCTTGCGTTACTGGCATCAGACTTCATTCGTTCAGTCTCACAGTAGCACCTGTCTTACATTCATCCCCCATCCCGGACGAGGCCAACGCATGTCCAACAGCTCTACCGGACATATCCCCTTCTGACACCCCCAACCGACCACTGCATTGACTCCGTCACGACCGACACACCGCCCAACATGGCGTCTCCGGCAGACAGCCACGATGAGAAGAAGCCGGACCATCGCTACTTGGCCCCGGATGACCATACCGCCCAACCTCCTCCCCTGAGCCCCGCCGAGTCTAGGGAAACGGCGAGTCGACTTGTGGACGACCTGGAACTCCTGCGGGCCGAGCGAGCGGTATCCAACGAGGAGAAACTGTCAGGCCACCGGCCATCACGGTCCAGGACGCGACATCACGAGGAACCTGAGGATGCATTCAACCCGACAGCCGTGGCCAACGAGGAGACTCACACGCACAAGCCGCCGACCGCCCTGATGAAGCTATGGAAGAAGCTGAGGTCCTTCCCGCGATTCGTCCGGTACTTCATGTACATGACCCCCGTCGCCGTGCTCTTGTTGATCCCCATATTACTTGACCTGTATGCCATCAAGTACACTGCCGCCGTTGGAGGTGCTGGAGGAGTATCGCTGAAGTGGTTTGGAATCTGGCTCGAGGTTGTGTGGCTGTCTCTCTGGGCGAGTCGCCTGCTGTGTTCTATCGTGCCATATCTGATGGCCTGGTGTGCCAAGCTCGTCGGTTCCTCCACGCCCAAGAAGTGGAGGGACATCGGCTGGCAGCTCGAGTTCCATGCCGCGTTGTTTCTGTGGATGCTCGCCCTGATCATCTCCTTCCTGCCCCTGGTCAACAGCCACCGCGTCCCCGGCGGCCACTGGGATGGCGACACGCCTCCCTACCTCCACTGGGTCGATGTCGTCAACAAGGTCATCATCGCCCTGTTCGTCCTGGCGTGTCTGAACTTCTTCGAGAAGATCCTGATCCAGTGGATCGCCATGTCGTTCCACCTCCGGACCTACGCCTACCGAATCGAGAACAACAAGCAGGAGATCCGGTATCTGATCACTCTGTACGAGTACTGCAGCACCCGCACGCACAACGAGCTCCCCTGGGATCCGACCGCCCCGGATTCAAGCGGGACGAGGACGCCGCTCAAGATCATCCAGAACAACGCCCGGCAGGCCTGGGGCAAGGTCGGTAACGTTGCCAACCGGATGGCCGGCGATTTCACTGGTCGTAAAGTTCTAAACGACGACCACCCACAGAAGGTCGTTGTGGAACTTCTAAAAAGCACTGCGACGGCCAACACACTAGGCAGGATGTTGTACCGTACTTTTGTCCCGCCCGGCCGAGACACCGTGCGCCCGGCCGACTTGGAGCCGGCCTTTACCAACCCCGATGATGCCGAGGCCTGCTTCGGGGTCTTTGACAAGGACATGAACGGCGACATCTCGATGGAGGAGTTTGAGCTGGTGTGCAACGAGATCCACCTCGAGAAGAAGGCCATCAACGCGTCGCTCAAGGACCTCGACTCGGTGATCCGCAAGCTGGACAAGGTCTTCCTCTTCATCATCGTCGTCATCGCCGCCATCGTCTTCGTCTCCATCATCTCGGGCTCGGCGGCCGCGGCGCTCGGCTCGGCGGGCACGACGATCCTGGGCTTCGCGTGGATGCTGCAGGCCACGGCGCAGGAGTTCCTGCAGTCCATCATCTTCGTCTTCGTCAAGCACCCGTTCGACGTGGGCGACCGCGTCACCGTCTACGGCAACACGGGCGACATGATGCGCGGCGACGACTACTACGTGCAGGAGATCTCGCTGCTGTACACCGAGTTCAAGAAGATGCAGGGCCACGTCGTGCAGGCGCCCAACTCGCTGCTCAACAACCTGTTCATCCTGAACCAGCGGCGCAGCAACGGCCTCGCCGACGTGGTCGAGCTCAAGATGCGCTTCGGCACGCCCAACGAGGTCATCGAGGAGCTGAAAGCGCGCATGGTCGACTTCGTGACGGACAACAAGCGCGACTACGCGCCGCGCGTCATCACCGAGGTGCGCACCATCGAGGAGGTCTGGGCCATCACCGTCAATTTCGTCTTCTTCCACAAGACGAGCTTCCAGAACGAGCTGCTGCGCCTGCAGCGCCACAACAAGCTCGCCACGGAGCTCATGATCCAGATGAAGGAGCTCGGCATCGAAGGCCCGCGCAAGATGCAGCCCGGCGGCAACAGGGACTACCCCTTCTACTGGACCAACCTGCCCCCGCCGCCCTCGTACTCGGAGCTCAAGCCGGGCCACGCCGACGCCGCGGACCCGGTTCCCGTCCTCGAGCAGCAGTCGGCCGAGGCGGCGCGGCAGCGGCGCCGCCGCGCCGAGAGCCAGCCGCCGCGGGTTGTGGTTGATGACGCGCCCGACTTCCAGGACGTGTTCGACACGCGCAAGCCCGACGCGCTGCGGCGGCTGCAGAGCCTGCGGGCCGCCGGCGCCGCGCGGGCGGCGGCGGGGGAGAGCAGTCAGGACCGGCTGCCCGGCGTGGCGGAGAGGGCGGAGGAAGAAGGCAGGGCGAGCGCGAGCGGGGTCAGCATCCCGATGCAGAGCGTGCATCCGCACCGGTCGGGCGGCGGCGGCGGAGGCGGCGGAATGTTCCCGCGGCGGTCGGGGACGCTGAACCGCGGCCGGTCCGGGACGCTGGGGAGCGTTTCGGAGGGCCCGGCGCCGCAGCTGCCTCCGCTGCAGCAGATGGAGAGGAATAGCGCCGAGAGGATGGTGTGAGTGAGTGAGAGAGCCTCACTTCGACTGGCGATGATTTGTGGATTTCGACTTCTTCGACGATATGATGACCATTTTATTACTACCTTGACTACCCATTCACTCCTTCACGGAAACTCTGCATTGGTTGGAGGCATTGCATTATTAGATCTTCTTTCATTTAGAGGATAGATATCTAAATTGGATAAGCAACGAAGGTTGATGAAGGTCTATGAATCAGTCTGTGACCTGCAAGCTGTTCCTGCTGCTGCTGCCAAGATGCACGAGCGGAGGATCACCTCGGAAAGTGGGTTGTGCTGAAAGGTCAGCCCAGGCAGATTGCTGGGGATATAACCAGGGTCAGTTACACTCTCAGCAGCATCGTCCCACTTCCTGATGTTGCATCCATCATCGGGTTGACGGAAACGGACGCAGCATCACGAGAGTCGGGGAGGAAACACTATAAGTCATTCTTCGTTTCCACTAACATCTCAACGGCACCCGAAACTCAATTCCTGTTTAGGTTCCTAGGCTGCCCCTTCGCACTATTGAATCCACTAAATAGGCAATCCTACTCGCAGCTCCAGCTTTCGTGGCTTGGGGATACCATGCCTAAATGGACGCCATCCCCATTGGCGTGGACCTTCTGGGCAGAAACATGCGTCCACTTGGGGGGCCATGCTTCGTCTCAGCCGCACACTAGGTCGGGGAAGATAATTGGAGAAAAGGCGCTTCCAAGAAGCGGGCGTTCGCGCGCGTCGCTGGCTCGTCCGTAGGTCATTTCCGTATTCTTTTGCTTCTTTCTGTTGTTCTCCAAGTCGCATTTTGCTGGTTTCGCGATAGCATCGTCTCCTTTTTGTTGTTGTCGAGAGCTTGACGCAGCCCACAGAACCCTGTGGATGTATGCCGTGAGCTCGCGCTGGCCCTCAGCTGTTAGTTATGGGCTGTCTTGGTTGAGCTCGAGGAGCTCCCCGTGTGCTCCGACCACGCCAGAAGCGCAAGCTGGAGCTGCCCTCGCCAGCTGGCCTTGATTGTTCGTTTTGCGTGAACTTGGCGACCCTTTCTTCCTCGACGAGCGTCGTTACTTTGGACTTTTTTCCACATCTCATTCCCCTCCGTGCGACGACCGGTGTCAGACACGGGCGAACTTCCCCCGAAACCGACGTATCAGCCTACCAGCTGCCAGGCCGGCCGCATCTCGTCGATTTTGTTCGCGGTCCCCCCCCTTGAACCAAGACTACAACAACTCTAACACCTACCCGTGCGAACGGGCCGTGGCGGTGCTCAAGCTGGCCCTCGGGGTCCTCGCAAGATGCCCATGTCGTCCCTGCCCGACGGCTGGGAGTCCGACTACGACGGCTCCCGGTGGTTCTTCCGCTACAAGCCGACCGGCCTCGTGCAGTACCACTTCCCCCAGGCCGGCGATGAGTACTCCGAGTACTACGGCAGCTTCGGCGACGCCGCGCCGGACTTGGCGCCCGAGGAGCTGCTCGAGAGCGAGCGCCAGCTCAAGAGGAGGTCTACAACGGGCGAGCGCAGGAGCGGCCGCAAGCAAGGCCCGTCGAGGGAGCCTGTAGTGGAGGAGGAGGAGGAGGAGCCCGACGACGGCGGCGGCGGCGGCGGCGGCGGCCTGTTCTCCTTTGAGAGCTTTGCCTACCTCGGCCCGGGGAGCTATAATGACGTGTCCCCCCTGGGCGACGAGGACGACGGGCGGCCGAGCGATGTTCCCGCGCGAGGAGGCGCCGGGTCGGCGATGCTGACGCCCGCGGGCGAGACGCCGGGTGCGCAGTCGCTTTCGCCTATGACCAGCGCGGGCGCGACGCCGAACGTGGTCAGCAGCGAGCCGGTGTTGGCCGTTGACACGGGGTACGTGACGGCGACTGGAGGCTACCTACAGCAGCAGCAGCAGCAGCAGCAGCAGCCGATGTCGCCTGGCGTGCCGATGCTGGACAGCACCGAGCGGCCCTTTGAGCTGCCGGACGCGTCCAACATGGGGGCGAGCAACTCGCACGCCCTGGCCAGGACCGACCAGGCGTACTCGCCGGTAGGCTTCATGGCGGAGCTGCCCAGCGAGCTGACGGCGCAGTGTCTGGAAGAGTCGAACCCGCCGCCCATCGAGCTGCCCGGCAATGAGATTGTCTTTGGCGGTGTCCAGATGGGCGGTAGCATGATCCAGTCCGGTCCGGTCGAGCTTCCGCACGAGCCTATTGAGGTGTCGAGAATCGCGAATATGCCTGGCGTTGCGGCGCAGCAGGCGACGGCCGAGGGTGCGAAGATGATACAGTCGACCGAGGCGGTGCAGGGAGCGATAGCGCAGGGCCAAGGGCAACACGAGTCGTCCATCAGGCGGAAGCCGACCGTTACAGGAGCGCCTCTGTATCGGCCCTTTAGAGCGACGCAAATCATTGCTGAGGAGGAGGTGCCTGGTCGCCCGTCCTCGGTGCTTGGGAGTATGAGTGTCGCCGGGTCAGAGAACAACGAGCTGGGCAAGTTCAACAAGAGGCATTCTATGGCTGGCGCGATGCCGCCTCCTAACATCGACCGAGCCAGCGCCCCCCTGGCGTTGCAGCCGCCTAATAGGCCACCCAAGGAGCCACTAGGAGACCATGCAGCGGAAGCTCTGAGGCCAGGCCCCAAAGAGCCGGACCCGAGATTGCCGGGGACGGGAACGAGAGACAGGAGTATCTCAACTCCAGCGGTGCCAGCACATGCCATCCAGGGAGCTCAAGATGGGCTTCGGCATGTGCCCTCCGTTCTACGGCCACCGCAGGGGCCCAATGTTGCATCCCAGGATGCCCTGGCACCCACTACAAAGGTGCTAGCACATGTCCCTTCAATTCTCAAGCCGGGCCGTGGACAGGCTCCTGCGGTGCCCATACAAGCTGGCCAGGCAGCGCAGGATCAGCGGTTCAGGATGCCGCCCAAGGCATATATGGCCTTTGCCACAGGCCAGCACGGACCCGAGTTGTCTGCTCTGGGGATGTCCCGAGAGTCTGCTCAACCCGAGCCATCACAATCGAGGCCGAACTTGTTGAGACACACTACACTCCCTGAGCAGATGACCTCGCAGACAAAACCACTCGAGGGCATTGTAGAGCCGAGTGCTGTACCTGCGCCTCTCTCGCTGGGAAAGAAGCGGCCGGGAGCGCCGTCATCAGTGCCCATGTCTGCGAACTTTGCTAGTGCCTCCCTTCCGCCGGCCGAGGCTGCGAGACGAGAGGCGCGTGCGGAGGCTGAGAAGAAGGAGCAACAGCGAAGTGACAGCTCAGAGGCTGCCCCGATGGTTGTGAGTATCGAGGCGGGGGCCGAGGCTGCCTCAGCGCGTTCCCCACCAGCTCAGGCACAAGAGGCGTTTCCGCCCCTTGAGACTCGGCCTCCAAGGATGCAGCATTCCGACTCTATTGTTTCTGATGTATCGGCACCGACCCCTGGCTCGATGTCGTCTGGCCGCTTGAACTCGATACAGACACCCTCGCCTCTACAGACGCCGGATGCAAGCCACCGACCCTCGGTTGTTAGCCTTAATTCCTACCAATCCGACGTTGCCGCTGCTCGAGCAAACGTGGCCCCTGTTGGAGCCTATTCCCAGACCAGGACACACCATTCCGACTCCATCGTCTCCGACGTCTCAGCACCTACCCCTGGATCCGCAACCTCAAGCCGCCTCAACTCGCTTGCGGACCCCTCTCCTCTCCAGACGCCAGACGTGAGCGAGCAGCCTCCAGCTATTGAGACGGGCTCTGCACAAAATGCGCTGCCAAAGACGACCAGCCCGCCGACTTCCTTCGGCATCATCGCCTCGGAGATTGTCCCTCCGCCGGCCCAGGCGACCCTTGCGCCTCCAGAGCCGGCACATCCACAGACTTCGACTAGCCAGGGTGGCGGGTCGGTCTCCTCGCTAGGCAGGTCGTTGTCTGTTGTGTCAGCCATGAGCTCGAACGGGCCGTCGCGCAGCCAGGAGAGCGAGCAGGTGTCGCCTGTGCCGTCGACGGTGACGCCCCTCCAGGGACCCTCGAGCCCGCAGAGGGTCCCGTCATCGGAGAGCGCCGAACAGGAGCAAGAGCAGGCACCGCGCAAGGCGGAGCCGTTGGGGATCGTAGTTGAGCACAGCGTTGTTGTAGAAGCAGAAACTGTCACGGCGCCGGCTATGACTGGCGGGAATGTGGCTATTGAGGCTTCTTCCGAGGTCGTGGGTGTGTCCACCGAGCCGTTGGATGGGCAGGCTCAGGCTGAGAGACCCCAAGATAGTGCGGCCACTGCTTCTGGTCCTACGCAAACACAACCAGCCACCCCGAATTCGCCATCACAGACCCCTCCTCCTCTTGAGCAGAGAGCAAGTTTGAGTCAACCTCCCAGCTTCAGTGTCCAGGGTCAGGACTCCTTTACGCCGAGTCAACATCCTACATACAGTTATTCGCAGGCTCCTGAGCAGACAGCTACTCCAGCTCCGGGTCAGGCAGCCTCGCCGCCGCCTCAAGGTCAAACGATGCGTACTCAAACTCAACTGTCTACCGACGGGGCATCACAAGGCTTTCAGCCACCGGGTACGCCCACGCCAAATCAGGTCCACCCACCACCACCTCAACAGCAGCCGACACCTGTGCAGCAAGGTCAGCCATTCGTATACGGCCCGCCTCAGGACCCTCATCATCCGGACCAGATCCAGTCACCGCCGCCGCAACAACAGCCTACAGCTTTACAAAGCCAGCAGTCTGCGTATGGCGCGCCTCAGCGGGATCAGTCAGGTACTCCGGTGCCGTTGCGTATGCACACGGTGCCATCGCAGAGTCCGCCTGCTGTACCTCCTACCATGCCACCACATCCTCCACCCGGAGCTGGACCGGCAGTGCCACCACCCTCGCACCATGGAGGCCAAGCCGGATACCCTGTCCCAATGCATCCTCAAGGACAAGGGCAAGTAGCCTTTCCCACTCAGCAGCCACATATGAGACCTCTGTCACCAAGCGTCCCTGTTCAAGGTTCGGCATCTGTGATCAATCCATCGACAGCTCAGGTCGGCCCTTCGCTTGCGCCACCTGCCGGCTCACCACGGCCGGTACAGCCTGGCTATCCCGGCTCACCTCCAAACGCCCCGATGAATCCTCAGACCCCGGCTGGTGCACTCCAGCGACCTCCCCAGAGCCAGTTCGTCCCTCAACCTCAGGGGCAGGCACCAAATCAAAGTATGCCGCCGCAGATTCCTCAGGGGCGCATGGCAGCAACGCCACAGGCTCAACAACCGTTTCCGGCACCACAAGGCGCACCCAGGCCCGCTACCATGCCACCACAGCAGCCCAGTATCCTCACACAGATAGCCGGGCGGCCAGCAGCACAAGCTGTGATGCCTGGAACACCGCAAGCTTCTGGACCCCTTGCTCCACCGCAGACACTGGGTCAGCCGATGGGACAGCCTGGGAATGCACCACAGATGGGAGGCCGACCGGCACAGGCGTCTAATTTGGCAGCGGTCCAGAACCCTGTGGTAGCACCAGGCGGGATGGTGATGCCGCCTTCTTTTCAGAACAGCCCGAACTTGGTTAGTAGGCCTGGCGGCGTTGTATCTCCTCCACCACAGCAGGGCCAGCTGCAGGTAGGGCTGCAGGGGCCAGGTTCGATGCCGCCCCCTGTCCAGCCTCTACAGCAGCAATTACAGCCACAAATCTATGGACAGCAGCATCCGCAACAACAACAGATGCGTCCTACTCAGGGAACGCCGACAATAGGACCTCTCCCGATACAAAGCCCTGCAGTTCCTCCCCAGGCCACGCGTCCGCCGGTCATGGGAGGCCAGCAGCCGCTTCAGCAACAGTATTTCCCGAATCAGGGGCCCTGTGCTCAGGGTTCGTCTCCTCCCGTTCTGCCCATGCAACCTCCAAAGCCAATCACCCAACAAATGCCCATTCGTCCGGGGCCAGTGCAGCAGCACGCGCAGCAAGCCCCGCAGGGTCCGATGTATGGACATGCAGGGCCGCAGCCTGGACATCCTGGGCCCGTGCAACAGCCGCAACTTTCAACACAACAAGCGGGACCGCAAATTGGCCGGCAGGGTTTCCCGCAGCCGCAGATGGGCCCTCCACCTAACCCTCACCAGACTATCCAAGGGCAGCAGCAGCCGCAGACACCAGGCGGGCAACAAGTGGCGGCACAGCGCATGCCAGTGCAGGGTCAACAGCAACCTCAAATACCAGGTCGGACTCATCCAAGCGGGGCTCTAGGGCAAACTCAACCAGCTCCGCAACAGGCTCCTGGCTATGTCCAAGGGCAGCAGCCTGTCTACCAGCCCCAGTTTGGTCAGCCCATACCTCAACCCCAACCTGGTCAGCCGGTACAAGCACCTCAGCAATGTCAGTACCCTCCCAATCATGGACAGCCCGGTTCGCCCAATGCTGCGGCATACCAACAACGGTACGCTGGCCCCGGCCAGACTGGAAAGCCTCCGATGACGCCACTGCAGACGAGTGCACAAGTTCAGCAAGTTCAGGGGGCGGCCCAGAGCAATTCTCCTGCTTCTGTTCATACCCAGCATGAAAGGCCACCCTCCATTATATCCGTCATGAGTACCGCCTCTTCACATGGTCAAGCCTCGACGGCCCAATCTGCGAGCCCCCAGAGAGTTCAGTCCATGCCTCAACAGGGCCAGATGCCTCCCGGGATCCCGCCTCAGGGTGCGCCACCACAGCAATACCAGCCGCAGATGTATCCGCAGATGCCTGGAGCGCAACAGCAGGCGCAGATGCAGCCCGGAGCAGCCCCGTCTCAACCAGGCCAGTACAACCAGGCAGCCCAGCCCAACCCGGGGCTTCCAACCGTTTATTCACTCCAGAACTATCCTCAGAAGCCACCATCCCAGCAGGCGGGAAGTACCACAAGCCTAGGCCTTACAGGCACGGGGCCCACCACACCTCAACTCCACGCCGGCTCAATACCGTCAGCTCAACCTGCCAAGAAGGCTTGGTACAAGGGCTGGAAGCGCTCTGGTCTCAAGTGGACCGCTACGGTCGGCGCTGGTGCCGTAGCGGCTGATCTCGTCGGCGCTGAAGCATCTGATGGCATGACGTTGGCGGAGGGCATGTACGACGCTCGCAAGGAGCAGAATAACATGAAGCAGTCCGAACAGGAGAACCCCTCCAAGCTCCTCGGTCAGCCCCAGCCACCTTCGCAGCCTTTCGGCTCGCAGGCTGGACAACAGCAGCAGCAGCAGCAGTCTCAGCAGGGAGTAATAGCGCAATCTGCACAGCAGTACCCCCCTCAGCAACAGCCTGGCCAGCAACCATCGAGTCAACAGTCGTTTGGCCAGCAGCCCAGTCAGCAGTATCCTCCCCAGTCGCCGGGCCAATACCCGCCTCAACAGCAGTTTGGAGTGCACCTTGCTCATCAATATAACCAGCAGCAGCAAGTCCCTAAGCCAGTGGTTCAATCGGCTCCGCCCCAGATGCAAGGACTTCCAGGTCTATCTGTGCCTTCACAGTATCCTCCTGGTCACGGGCCGCCTCAGATACACAATACGATGCCAGCCCCTGCTCAACCTGATGCGCCCCAGTGGCAGATACCACAGCAGCAATACCAGAATCAGCAACCGAGCCCGATGGTGCGAGGTCAGCCGGGCCAGTACACCAACTCACATGTCCTGCAACAGCCTCCAGCACAAGCGCCGCCTGGCATGCCGAGCCAACATGACAATGACCTCAGGCCGTCAGGGAACTACGGGACCCCAACGGTTAATTCTCAGCTACTATCTCAGCAGCAGAGTTATCAGCCAGTGAACTACGGCAGTGCACCTGCGGTGCCCATGCAGCAGCAGCAGCCGAACAATCCTGCGTCAAGTACTCAACATGCTGTCCCTGTCTTGAGCAAATATCCGCCGCAGGACCAGAGCCAATCGGTAGCGCCTCAAGGACTACCTCCGACGGTCCAGGGAGGGCCACAACCAGGATACCAACAGCCGCGTCCTGCAGGGCCTAGCAGCACAGCCCCGAGCGCAACGGGCATCAGCCAGCTTCCCTCACAGAACCAACCGAGTGTGCCAGCACCAAGTACTGGTACGGCAAGCGGGAACCAAGCGGCTGGCGGGAAGGGCAGTTGGGGAACGGGCAACTACTCTGGAGATGGTTGGGGTGACAATGGATGGTGATCGGTAATGGCTTCCCATTATATTCTGCGCTCTAGATTGTATGTGTTCTCGTAATATGACACCACAAAGTACAAGTAGACAAATTGTGTTCTATCATTAATACTCCAAGGTGCACTTTACGGGAAGCGGGAGAGCGAGAACCATCATGAACATAAAAAGGATGACTCACAAGGATTTGAACAGAAGGCTGCCAGCTCCTACACATTGCTGATGTTGATGGGTCTTTATGCATCATGGGTGTATCTTGACTTGAGCAGTCCCTACAGGCTGCGAGTTTGGTATCAGCATTTGGGGGGTTAAAAAGCAAGTCAACAAGCCCATAGGAGCCATGTGTGGGTTCTACGAAGCGGTCAACAAACCATCTTTTTTTCTTGCGCACATTTGCCCATTAATCGGGTATTATGTGCGTTACGCTTGGTTCCTAATGGATGCGAATGTTGGTTCTCAGATTCTTTCTTGACCGTGGCTGGTTGCACTATGATGTCCCTTGGAATGACTGGGGAGCAAATCTCCGCGAGCACCGAATGGCAGAGCAAACGAATCATCGATCAGCGATCACGTGGGCCGCTTCAGCTCATGTGACGGTGAGATGCATGCGCCCAACCGTTGGACTATTTCTGCCTGATCCCTTTACGGGCCTGCTGATGACACAGCCTTGTGCGGGGTTGACATATTTCACCGCAAGAGCAGTCCGTGTGCCGACTCGAACTGTGACGGCCAGTTCCATACCAGGGTTGTGCATCCTGTGTACTAGCACTTGACAACACGATGCGTCTCTTGCATCTCGACGCCGACACTGGGGCCATCGTTCTGACTGGTGATCTCCACAAGAGTATCCCCAGATATGCGATCCTTTCTCACCGATGGGGCCCCGAAGAGGTCACGTTCCAGGAGCTCAACGATGGGACCGGGTTGAGCAAGAGTGGCTACAAGAAGATTCGCTTCTGCTGCCAGCAAGCGCAGTCTGACGGTATTGCTCATTTCTGGGTTGATACCTGTTGCATTGACAAGAAAGACGCTGTCGAGCTACGCGAGGCCATCAACAGTATGTTCCGATGGTACCAGGATGCTGCCCGTTGCTATGTTTATCTGGACGATGTCAGCTCTTCACCACTTCATTCAACCGAGACTTGTAGTGAGCCACCCGTCAAGAAGCAAAGGCGAGGGAGCACTACCACAACTGCTGGTCTTATTCAGTCAGCTGAGGTCCCGTGGCAAGAATCACTGCGAGAGAGTCTTTGGTTCAAGCGGGGTTGGACGTTACAAGAACTGATCGCACCGGTATCTGTGGAATTTTTCTCCGCTGAAGGCACGCGACTCGGCGACAAACACTCTCTGGAGCAGCTGATCCATGATGTGACGCGCATCCCATTACCCGCTCTGAAAAACTGCCAGCTTTCTGACTTCTCCATTGACCAACGGTTATCGTGGATGGAAAACCGAGAGACAAGCCGCGAAGAAGACCTGGCTTATGCGCTCCTCGGCATTCTCGGCGTTCGAATGCAACTGGACTATGGGGAGGGCAGAACGTCAGCATTCAATCGACTACGTAAGAAAGTCGACAAGCTCAACTCAGACCCCAGAGATCAATTGTGTCTCAGGGATTTGCGTATCACAGATCCGCGCGACGACAAGAAACGCATCGAGCAAATGAAAGGCGGCTTGCTCATGGAATCATACCATTGGGTGCTTGGCAATGAAGATTTCGAGCAGTGGCGCAGTGAGAGCGGTGGCCAAATTCTGTGGATCAGGGGAGATCCTGGAAAGGGCAAGACAATGCTTCTCTGCGGCATCATCAACGAGCTGAGCCACTCAATCGAATTGACTGGTTCCAGGGACGAACTTCTGGCTTACTTCTTCTGCCAAGCCACGGATGAGCGCATCAATAATGCTACTGCAGTGTTGAGAGGCTTGGTATATATGTTGGTTGAACAACAACCAATTCTCGTATCACACGTACGGCGGAAGTATGATTCGGCGGGGAAACAGCTGTTTGAAGACGTCAATGCCTGGACCGCCTTGACCGAGATTCTCAGCAGTATCCTAAAAGATCCGAACCTACCGAACACCATTCTTGGCACAGATGCACTCGACGAATGCGGCACCCCTGGATGCAAAGATCATGGAGACACTGCACAACTCCAGATCTCCGGACAGCGCCATGAGCAGTCTACGGACTTGTCAAGACTTATTGAATTCATCACTAATCACTCGAAACTTTCGAGAGTGAAATGGGTCATTTCAAGTCGGAATTGGCCGGAAATCGAGGAGCACCTCCTTGCTGCAACAGGGAAGGTATCACTCTCCTTGGAACTGAACTCTCAGTCTATCTCCAAGGCGGTCACGGCCTACATCTCTGACAGAGTTGAGCGGCTTGCGGATTTGAAGAGATACGGCGACGAGCTCCGTTGCACCGTTCGCGACTACTTCCAGTCTCATGCACAAGACACTTTCTTATGGGTAGCCTTAGTTTGCCAGGATCTTGCCGCAACGTCCAAACGAAATACACTCTCACGACTGCGCGCAATTCCATCGGGCCTCAATGGTCTCTACCAGCGGATGATTGACCAAATCGTGGCATCCGAGGATGCTGAGCTCTGTTGTCATATACTGGCTATTGTCTCAGCTACAAAGCGACCCATCACAATCGATGAGCTAGGCGCTCTCTATGATTTCCCGCCTGATTCCCGCGATGACGATTCATTGGCAGAGGTAATTGGTCTCTGCGCTTCGTTTCTCACACTTCGGGAACGTACAATCTTTTTCGTGCACCAGTCAGCGAAGGACTTCCTGCTCCAGGACGCCAGGGACATCATCTTTCCATCTGGAGTAACCGAGGTGCACTCTTCGATTCTGGCCAATTCTCTCAAAGCCCTGTCTCGCACACTACATCGCGACATGTATACCGTTGGTGCTCCCGGATTGCCAATTGAAAAGATCTATACACCGGACCCGGATCCTCTTGTGGCGGTACGATATTCTTGTGTTCACTGGATCGATCATCTCGACGACGGCGGCAACAAGCGTCTGAACAAGGTCTTCCAACATCACGGCATTATACATGACTTTTTCAAAAAGACGTACCTGTACTGGCTCGAGGCGCTCAGTCTTGTCGGAAGCATGGAGAGTGGAGTGCTCTCCATGGCAAAGATCGAGCGATTGGCCCTGGTAAGTTCATTGGCCTGGTGGTCAGAGCTATACTGACATCAAGTAGGAGCATGAACCTCAGCCTGCACGCTTGGTCGAGGATGCACGTCGATTTTTTCAAACCTTTAAAAACATCATCAAGACGCATCCTCTGCAAACATACGCTTCAGGTCTCATCTTCAGCCCATTTCAAAGCCTGACAAGACAAAATTTCGTGAAAGAGGCGCCCCAATGGGTCACCAACCAGCCACTAGTACCCCAACGCTGGAGTGCTTGTTTGATAACGCTGGAGGGCCATAGAGAGAATATCGTGGCAATCGCTTGGTCAAGCGATGCGGCGTGGCTTGCGTCAGCTTCTTGTGACGGCGAAATTAGACTCTGGGACTCTACCACCGGCGGATGCCAGATAGTGCTTGAGGGTCACGGTCGTTCGCTCCATTACTATTATCAACTCATCATTGCTTTTTCAAGCGATGGAAGTCAGCTCGCTGCGGTTTACCAAGACAATACCATCAAGATCTGGGATGTCATGGCTGGCAATCGTGAAACAGCACTCAAGGTTGACACGACAGGCGCTAGGGCATTGATCTGGTCAAGCGATGGTACTCAACTTGCGTTAGGGTACGCAAATGGGGCTGTGAGGCTCTGGGATCGTCTGACAGGTCAATGCAAGAAATCACTTGGACTCAGCACTGCCAACAGCGATGAGCACATCAGCTATACGACTGGACATATCGCATGGGCAAGTAACGGCGTCCAGCTGGCATCGATATCAGCTTACAAACATTGCAATATCCAAATTTGGGATATGAAAACTGGTCGATGCGAGAGAATCCTTGAGAATCCTGAATCGGTCTCATCAGTTGCATGGTCACGCGATTGTTCACGAATTGCATTAGGGTGTTATTTTGGGACTGTCAACGTCTGGGACCCATCAACAGGCCAATGCAAGATTACACTATCTCATGGTATAGGCCCGAGAGTTAGATCGATTGTGTGGTCGAGCGACGGCACCCGGCTTGCATCGGCCTCTTTAGGTGTCCCCGTGAAGATCTGGAGCACTGTGGGCGGCCGATGTGAAATGCTACTTGGCGGCTATTCTTCTGGCACACAGTCAGTAGTATGGTCAAGTGATGGTGCACGATTGGCTTCGGTTCGTGATGGTGACATCACGGTCTGGGCTGCTTCAGCTAGCCAGGACGACGATAGGCTTGAGACTCAGAATGGCTGCGCCAGTTTGGATCGTTGTTTGGATCAGTCGCCGAGCAGAGACGCCCTGCAGTCCGACAAGTTCGAGATGGCCAGTCATGAAAGTCCAGCTGAGGAGGATTCGTTCAACATCACGTCGCCGATTAGGTCGATCACATGGTCAAGCAATAACACTCAACTTGCAACACTCTCGGGCTATAAGACCGTTCAAATCTGGGATGCGACGACCGGTAAATGCCAAGCAGTATTCAAGAGCCATGAAGATTTAGCCATGCCTTTTGCATGGTCGAGTGATAGCAAGCATCTTAAATCATGTTCCGTCAATGGCAACATCAAGATCTGGAATTTAGACACCGGCCGTTGCAAAGAAACAGTTTTAGATCATAATCGCGCCCTACGGACAGTTTCATGGTCAAATGATGGGACACGGCTTGCGTCCGGAGAGGGCTGGGGCAAGATTTGGGATCTGTCGACCGGCCAATGTGAGAAGACGCGGTACGGTGATGAAGAGTTCACACGATTGTCATGGTCTGCCGATAGTACTCGGCTCGCATTAAGCTTTTATAACACTATCGGAGTCTGGGATTCTCGGACCGCGAAGTGTACGATGATTCTTGAGCATACAGGCTGGGTAACTTCCTTGGCATGGTCCAGCGATGGTGCTCGGCTTGCATCAGCCTCCGATGGGGGGATCAAGATTTGGGATCTCTCAACAAGGCGGTGCTTGGCAAGATTCGAGGGCTTATTGACTTACTGCGAGTTTCTTCAGTTTGACAATGACGTGACACAACGTCTACACACAGCCGCCGGAACTATAGATTTGGGATCTTGCGCGATGCTTGGAGAACAGCGCACTTCCTCGCCCTCTTTCCTGGGGATCGGTCTGAGTAATGATGGAAGTTGGGTAACATATGATGGACGGCATATTCTATGGCTTCCGCCGGAGTATCGGCCAGTTGAGTTGGCCATTTCTGGAGAGCGCATTGCCATCGGCTGTGAGTCTGGGTGTGTTCTTATTATCGAGGTTGCGAAAGAGTTAATCCCGATTTAGAAACATGTTTACTGAGTCTGTTTGACTCTTGTCTTCAACCTCTCCATATCATCTATAAGCACTGGGTCCTTCATTAGTCTTTCAATAACCTTCATCTGGCATATCTAGACAAGTCGAGCGTTGTTGGTTATTCATACACGGAAAGTGGCATCAAATTGTGAGCTTAAAATGCACTGCGCTAGTCGCGGGTGATATGGGTAATGCCATGAGATCCAATTTGAACCTTTCTATAGCTAGTGACTATCTTGACGATGATATACCTGGAGGACAAGCTCTGCTGAGTAAAAAAGAATAAAGACATTTGAAGACGGCAAAAAATTCCAACAGAATATATGCCAATATCGAGCAAAAACAAAAACCATGCCCGAACACAGATTTGAACTGTGGACCTCCTCATTACTAGTGAGACGCGCTGCCAATTGCGCCATTCGGGCTACGGATAGAGAGTTTTATTGCAGGGATTTCTCATACGACCATCAGTAATGCCCATCAGAATTTAGTCCACAAAAGATGCCCACAGTAACGCTGTACCTACATAATGCATGCTTAGGCAAAATCCCTCACAGACGCCCGAATGGCGCAATTGGCAGCGCGTCTCACTAGTAATGAGGAGGTCCACAGTTCAAATCTGTGTTCGGGCATCTTCTTTTGCCTCGCGTCTCATCATATTTTTTTCTCTCCTATGCCCGCCCGTCTTAGCATTTCCCTTTGCCCCTTTTTGGGCATACAAATGTCCAATGGCTGGAGCATAGACATCGTTATTCATATTCTTGAAATTGTTTCCTGTCGTTGAAGTGCAAAATAGCAAGCCGATGCTGTTGTTCAAATCGATTCTTCCTTGATCTCTCTTAACTCTACACCAAACTGTCTTAGAATGCTGAAACCTCTGAACCAAGCATTTTAGATAGGACGCTCCTCATGGCCCTCCCCCGGAAGCCGAGGTCTGTATCACTGTGCGCATTATCACGTCCTGGTCAAAGTTTCCTCCGCATAACAGAATAACACTAGTCTGGCCGACGAGCTTCTGTACGACACAATTGAAACCAGCAAGAGCAAGAGCCGCAGAACCCTCCACCATCATGCCCTCCTCCAAGGCAAGCGACCGTAGTGCCGTTGCAATCTCCTCCTCTTTACAAACCAGGACCTCGTCTACCACCTCCATAGCAAGTGGCAGCGTGATCGAGTCCTCGTCCATACCGCCAGCCACAGCATCAGCCAGCGTCTCGAGGTGCTCCGTCTCGACGACGCGACCGGCGGCCATCGACGCCGCGAGTGCCTGCGTGTTGGCCGTCGACACGCCGTAGATCTTGGTCCGCGGGTTGAACGCCTTGACGACTGACCCGATGCCGCTGATGAGCCCGCCGCCGCCCATGGAGATGAAGATGTTGTCTACCTGGGGGCACTGCTCGAGGATCTCGAGACCGGTCGTGCCCTGCCCTGCCGCGACGTCCGGGTCGTTGTACGGCGAGACGTAGACGTACTCGCCCGACGCGGCGAGGCCCCGCGCGTGCCGCTCCGACGCGCCGCACTCGGCGCCGTGCATGATCACGTCGACGCCGCCGTAGGCCCGGATCTTGGCGAGCTTGGCGGGCTGGACGTTCTCGGGCACCACGACGGTGAGCCGGCGGCCGAGCTTGCTGGCCGCCAAGGCGCAGCCGATGCCGAAGTTGCCGGTCGAGGCGGCGATCAGGGGCGTGCCGTCGGCCGGGTGCGCCGAGATCTTGGCCGTGGCGCCACGGACCTTGAAGGAGCCCGTCAGCTGGAAGTTCTCGGTCTTGAAGAGGACCGTGGCACCCTGGGCCTTGCCGGTCGTCTTTGCGGGTAGTAGGGGCGTCTGGTAGATGTGAGGGCCGATGCGGGTCCGGGCCTGGACGGCGTTGGCTGCTGTTTCGAGGACGGTTGGGCCCATGTCTATGTTGGGTATTGTGAATCAAGAAAGTGGCTTGGCGTTTTGGGGCTGGCTTGCTGGACGGAACGGGATGGAAAGGAGATCTAAGTTGGAAATCTCTAATTACATTTTCATACGAGATTTGGATGAAAATTTCACTCCGGACTTGGTAGGTTTATATCCAGGTCTGACATGGGCTTCGATGTTAGTCATAGTTTGATATTGTACGAGGGAGCGCCGATCAAAGGGCGTACAGAGGTAATTCAAGCATTACGCTGGCTGGGGAGTCAACCTGTCTCTGATTGGCCTGGACGCCATACTTGCCTGAAGCAGTTTAGGTTGTGCATGTTAGCACGCCATTGGCTGGATCGCCAACTTGGCCTGAAAGGGTTGCATTTGTTCAAGGCGGAAAAAGATGGAGATGGCTCTGTAATCAAGAGAAGGAAGTAGACAACAGGGGAAACAAAATGGGAGGACAGAGCAGTTATGTTGGGCGACGCGTGACCGGAGGGCCGACGATCAGAAATCCCTGGTGGTCTTGGCCATTGTGTTCAAGTATAAGTTGACCGCATTTCTCACCTGTGGCAAAAGAAAGAGAAATGAAATTGAAACTCTACTTGAAGTTATCGGGCATTTATCTCCATCATGTTTTCCAAAAGAGCAGTCTACACCGAGAAGGGCCCTGCGCCCCTGGCTGGAATCTACAACCAGGCGATCATCGCCAAGGACATGGTCTATTGCTCGGGCGTCATCGCGACTGACCCTGCCACTGATGACCTGGTCGAAGGCGATATCAAGGTCCACACGGTGGGTGAAACAGGATTCTCTATTCTTGCAGCCGGCGCTGATGTACGAGGGGAGATAGAAACAAGTCATCGAGAACCTCACGAGAATCTTGGAGGCGGCGGGCACCGATATCGACAATGTCGTCAAGGTGACGGTGTACCTGTCTAACATGGAGGAATTTGACGCAATGAACTCGGTCTACTCGCAATACTGGGGCAATGTCAAGCCGTGTCGCACGTAGGTCTGCCCCATTGGTATCCTGACTTGGGCTATTACGAATTACTAACCGAATCATCACTAGTTGCGTAGCGGTCAAGACTTTACCACTTGATACAGATATCGAAATTGATTGCATAGCAGTAATTCAGCATGAAATTGTGTGAAACCATCAGGGATGATAGCAATAGTGTTTCCATTAGTCTGCATGCTGAATAGGAAGCGCGGGTCTCACTCGGTGAACACCTTGCCCCAAAACAGTCGAAGTGGAAGGTCAGTTTGTTTGGAGCTCAATTTCCGCCTGTGATTGGCCACATCGCCTGGGCAGCCTAATGAGGAACTTGCTTCCACCGGAACTGACGCCGAATGAAAGCGACAATATCGATTCTTCTCCGAAATGCCTAAGTAATCAATTTCAACGTGATTCCTGCCATAAACAAACTCGACCTAAGGCGGGGAACACCCGCTTCAACTCCCCTCCCACTAGACTTGGTGCAACAAGCTGGCACGTCATCTCCTGCATCTCGGGCACTAGTAGATCACTGCCTTGAGTATGAGGGTTTGTTGATCGCGCTTAACTATCTCTTTTACTTCAAGGCCCGTGATAGACCACATATCGAAAGGGAGCGCCTACGGTCTGAAGAAGAGAGGACGATGATACAAGGAGTTGAGCGTCTCTGGAGGGACATTCAGAGGTTGTTGTAATAGCAACTTCGCATCTATACCGTTATGACCATAAATAACTAGAATAGATTTTAGACAGCGCGGCGCTCGGAAAAGAGCATTAAATCATAGCAGAACTAGTTCAAGACCGCTGCTTTCAGCAAACAGACCCCATGTAGACGGTGCACCATGGGACCAGTAGTCTGTCATGAAATTGAGAGCTTTTAGGGGGTTCCCGCAGCCGTTTGCAATCATGGCATGCAGTCTGGCGATAACAAAAGACCGTTGGGCATCGGTTATGGTCTCGCATGCGGCGGTGAATAGCGGCCACAACAGCCCGGTATTGATCATTGAACGAGGGTCGATATTTCCGAAAGACTCGATGACAGAGTCAACGGTGCGTTGGATCTTTGGATGGGATTGGGGAAGGCCGTCTACGTGCCGATAAAGACAGATGAGTGCTGCATCGGTGAACGCAGCATGGCTGAAATACAATTCTGTCTGTTGGACATTCTCATCAAGTGGGACTCCCGGAAGATCAACGATGTGCTTGAGATCATGCAGCTGCGCCTCCAAAGACCGTGCACGGAAGGTGTCTACTGTTGGAGTGGGACCTTCGCAATCTGCCGGGCGACCGTCTGTCAAGTTCTCAGGAGAAGAACGTGGCGTTGCAACACGAGAGCGCGCTTCATCCGCAAGATCGCAGATATCGTTAAGAATGGTGATCAGATCCAGGGAGAAGCCGGTGGTCAGGTCGACCTTGGAAAATTCGGGCGCAACCTTCAACAGCTGCTGCCACGCAACCGCAGAAGAGTCCCTCGAGCGGCCCGGCAGCGACAGCCTGGCGACGCGGTCCATGACGAGAAGCTGGACAAGCCATTTCATGCTTACAGACCACAGAGAGGCCGGCTCGTGCTGGATACCAGCCCACCGGGAGATCTGGATAGCACCCTCCAAGTGCTGGCGGTACGCGTTCGGATCGCCGGAGCAAAGACTCGTGGTAGCGAGCATCAGCGCCGCGGCCAGTGTGCCTGCATTGTTCTTGGCGCCGGCTTTTGTGATGGCCCTGCGCAGGCTCGAAAGGCTCTGTAGCGCCGCTGCAGCCGCGGCGCTGTGGTCGCCACTGGCGTTCTTGAGGCGTGAATGGTTGAGCGAGCCGGCGGCGACCATGGCGTCGAGCATGCAGGGCTGTTCTTCGGCCAGGGGCACGACGGTCGCGAGCACGGTGGCCGGCTGGAAGGGGAAGTAGGTGCGGGCAGTGTGGGCGACGAAGTGCTGAAAGAAGAAGCGGTGCTTGCCTGCTTGTAGTTCCGGGAACATGGTGAGTCGCGTATCGGACAGAGATGGCTGCTGTGTCGCGAACAAGAGTCCCTCGGCCCTCTTGAGTGCATGTATGTTTTGTGTGCTCGCAAGTCCGCCCTGCCCTGGCTTGATCAAGTCTCTGCGGACGGCGGCGCCCGGGGGGAGCACAGATGAAATAGATGATCCATCATCCTGGGTCTGTGGTGAGGATGAGCCGCATATGACAGCACCAGGTCGCACTTTCTGAGCCGAACTGTCGGCAAATTTGGCTTGTACGATGCTCAAGTCATACGAACATAATCTTGGGAACTTCGAGCAACGCGAGCAGACAGGCCTCTGCTCGTTGCACTGATATCGTTGTGTGAGCAACTCCATCCCGTGTCTGATTTGACTTGATCCATCCTACCTTTACTTTCTTCCTCCGGCATTCAGTGCATCCCGTTCGGCGTCTGTTCCTCGGCGTCGACATGGATGGTCATCTCGTCAAGAAGCGGAAAAGTCCCCACAGGTCCACGGCTGGGGTTTCGAGAACAGAGATTGATATCGTTGGATTTAAGTGAAGAGTGGAGCTGGTACCGAGAGCCAAGATGTCGCCGACAAACAGCTTGGCGTGGCGTTGAATTAAATTACTCAGCACAGCCGTCGCCATCATTCGGCACTGAATCCCGCTGGGCCAGAGAGAGTTTAGTGTCTGCTGGAAGCTTCCTGGGCACACAATCTGATTCAAGCAATTCAGCCGGGGCTTGGCGTTGAATCAATTCAGTACATCTGAATAAGCAAGGAAAGTCAGGAATATCACAGCGCTGGCTAACCGACAAGGAGCTTGTCTACATAAAATTCGCAGCCTCGACCCTGCTCCCGGTTGGTGTATCCCTCAAACACGCTTCAGCTCAGGAATTCTCTTCCCTGGCCGCTCTAGCTATCTGAGTGCTTGCCTTTCTCGGGTTCTTCGCCTCAAACACGAGATCTAGTTCTTCCAGAGTGCGGCCCTTCGTCTCGACGAAAAAGAAGTAGATGAAGGTAAGCTCGAACAGGTCCCAGAACACGAAGAAGACATAGAACCAGTACTTGATGTTGGCCAGTGCCCTCGGCGCCACAAACGTGTTTAAGAAGCCCGCCCCTCCGCTGCAAATGTGGAACACGCCCATCCCCTTGGCGCGCATGTCCATTGACAAGACTTCGGTTGGATAGCAAGACTGCATGGGCGTGAAGCCAAACGCAAAGATGGCGCCAAAGATGAAGATGAAGGCGATGGAGGCGCTGCTTGCCGCCTTGTCACTGTGGTCGTGCTCGTAGACGGCTGCTGTGGCGGCAACGAGGGCAAGGGCCACGGCCATGCCCAGGGTGGTAGAGAGAAACATCTTGCGTCGCCCGGAGAGGTCGTGGACTCTGGCACCGCATGTTGATGCGATCCAACCGCAAATGGCATCTGTGCGCACTTTGTGTGAGGACCAGATGCTTCAATTTTCACGAGAGGAGGAACTAGTGATCTTACAGATTGCATTGAGCAGAAGCTGCATATTGACGTTGACGATGCCGATATTCTTCAACATGATCGGTAGGTAGTATGATACAACGCTGCGTGGAATGAGTAGACTGGTCGATGTGTAGCGGCATGTGGTGTACTCACTTGTTTCCAGAGAACTGACCAAACCAGGCCATTACGCAGGCAATCATCAGTCTGTATCGTCTCGCCCGAGTACTGAAGAGAGGCTTGAGATTGTACTGTTCGCGGATGTTCGTCATGTCCTTCCCAGTGAGTGAATCTGTGATCTGGGACATTTCCAAGTTCACAAGCGGGTGATTCTCATCGCCATTGGCATGGTAATATACTAGGATTTCGCGAGCCTCGGCATACCGTTCCTTGGCTACCAGCCATCTCGGGGATTCCGGTACAAAGTAGATGCCTAGGCAGATCAAGCCAGGGCAAGCCATTTGCAGCCACAAAGGTAACCGCCAACTGAGGTGCGAGTTTGAGAGGTGCAGGTTGGTGCCGTACACTGTAAAGGTTGCCAGAATACTTCCCAGGTAGTACAGGGTGTTGTAGGTTCCGGCAACACTGGCTCGATATCGAGGAGGAGCCAGTTCGACACAGTAGAGGACAGCAGCTCCTGCACCAATTGTACCAAAGAAGGACAGGAGAAATCGGGCGGCGATGAAACTTTCGAGGGTCGGAGCAGTCGCCGTGAAAACTGAGGCCGCTACTACTCCAAAGCTACCGAGGGCGATGGACCATTTCCGACCGATAAGGTCATATAATACCACGGCGAGGGACGCGCAAATTGTGCCAATTTGGTAGATGGAGAAGACCAGCCCGGTTGAGGTTGGAGCGGAGTTCAGCCCGTAATAGTCCTGGAAATTGCCGATGGCGTTGATTGACCCCATGAGAGATGCATCGTAACCTCCCAAAGTTAGCTCAATTCGGGTACCTCTAAAGAAAGACTAACTCACCAACCATGGTGGATGCGAAGTAGATCAGCCCGCAGCACAAGTAAAGGCGGATATGGCCTTTACCCAATGGGTTTGGCAGATCGCCATGGACAGCGAGCTGCTCAGCGGCGTTCCCCTCGAAATGTGCGGTCTTACTGTCCTTCTCGTTGTCGAGATGGCTGGCCTGGCCAACAGATGGCCTCGCGTCTGGGGTCATGTTGAAAGTTTGGACAGTTGAATAGGCAAGATTGAGAAGACTGAAGCGCGGAAAACAGCAGTGTTTGAACAAGCCGGGCAAGGTCAGCTCATATGTATTATCCGATGCATGCCTGACGCATATCGACAGGATGCTAACCACCTCCCCAAACAGGAAGGGATCCTCACCCCAACTCCGCCAAAAGGTTCTGACATGTCGGAACTCTGGGGTTAAGCAAATAGCACTACTAAACGACCCTACCAACCTGGCGCCTGGGATTTGGTGCTGGAGATCTTGCACCCTCTGGGTTTAATAGTTACCTTCTTTCCCCACCGAAAGCCTTCCTCCAAAAAAACTAGTCGCGGAGCAAGGAAAGTGCCTTGTTCAGTGGTGGATATTCACTACCCACAAACCGCCGCGGGGGCGTTCTCTCTCCAAGCACATTATCTTGCCAATAGCTTCTGCCTACGGGCAAAGGATTTGGATCCCAAGCATGGCCACGAAGCTTGAACAGGAAGGCGCGCACGATTATGAGCCACCGGATGCCGTGATCAATTCTGACATCTCTTGGCGATTGGTTCGCTTGAATAGGCAATTTATGATGTTGCAGGTATGTCTGTGCGTTGTAATCCGGTGGATGCTGATGTTAGTTTGTCTCTGTCAGACTAACATCCATATGCGTGGTCGGCACCGGATGTTCGTCCTGCACAGAATCGCTTCCATGTTTTGAGCTTTACTCTTTTGTTCATCACCCAGGAAGTCTCATGGAGTCTTCCCCAGTCTTTCCCTGTGTAGTGTTAGCGCAGTTTTGCTATCCCCAGACGCCATGCTGCAAATGGATAACCCCGAACCCCCGGGACGGGGCTACTGGATAACCGGATTGGGTATCCCGTGGCCTGGACGACCCTAGAAATCCACCTTGGCGCAAAGCGTCGGTCGGTATGCTCTGTATCCCGTAAACTTCTTCTGAAGTATGTGGTGCGTTCTGGGCCCAAGCGCCATCAAGAGGCATGGGAAAGATGGAGCTAGAACGTTGCTGCATGTTTAGGTAGGTCAGAACAATGGTCATTGAATACGAAAAGAACGTGAAAAGACCAAGTGTGGCAGAACGTCATATTTTGTCTCACACTTTAAATGAAGAGAGGGAAAGGGTTTATTGTAGCTATGTAGTGTTAGGGTAAACAGTGGCGGCGCGGGCCAAGAAACAAACAGGTACTGTGTCGCGATCCAGGCAAGCGACGCAATAAACGTGGGTAGTTTTTCAGTTGGTAGTCTAGGTTGCTTTTCACCAGAGTGGACGGAACTGAGAATGACAGAGCCGTGCTCGCTGCTAGTTGGGAAATGGCCAACCATGACTCCATGAGGCCTGGAGCAGGACTTTCTGCACAAGGCATTCCGTTATTTTTGCAAAGGCCACTGCAGATGAAGACTAAACGACGTAGCCTTTGTTTTGTTTGACGCCCTTGACGTTCATATCCTTCCAGGCAAGCATTGCCACCAGCCCTATGGCCCAGACCGCCACGCCGGTTATGACCAAGTACCGCCATGCATCCCCATATGCATGCTGGATCGCCAACCGTGTAGGTGAGCCCCATTCGTAGGACAACTGTTCTTCAATGGAGCTGTAGATTGCCGTGAGATTCTCCTGGCTCTCAGGGGGGAGATAAAGGGCTAATTTCTGGGGGATCGTGCCCTGCCAGATCGCAGCAGAGATCGAGTACCCAACGGCACTGCCAATGTAACTGAAGAGGTTCAGCAAAGCGATGGTAATGGCGAAGTACTGTTGCTCTGCAGCGGCAGCGAGGATGCCGACCTCGACTGTGAGCATCAGGATGCCAAAGCCAAAGTTAAGCAAGATGCTACACATGACCAGATAGCCCACGTGTAGGTCTGGTTGACGGAAGTGGATAAGCAACCCTGTACCGAGTACAATCAGAGGTATTCCAAGGTACAGACTAATGGGCTTGTAGCGCCCAGTGTACGAGATTGTCGCTCCAGCCACAATGTTGGCTAGGATCTGCACCACAGTGCCAGATTGGACAATATAGCTAGCGTTGGCCACGCTCAGACCCTTGACAACTTGTAGAAACGAGCTGAAATATCCGTTCCAGCATGATGAGCTCACAAAGAGGGCGAAGCCCACCATGCAAGTGCCGAGAACTGTACGGTCTCGAAGAGTCGACCAGGGGGTCAGACAGATCCGGGCAAAGAACCTTTCCCATGCAACAAATGCAGCAATCAGCAAGACCCCAAAGATGAGGAAGCAGATGATGAGGGCAGAACCCCAGCCCCTGGCCTCTGTGGTGTACAGATTGAACGGCAAGAGCAAGAAGGCAAAGCCAGCAGAAATCAGCAACAGCCCTACGACGTCAAATTCGTGCATATAATGCACGATGGACTGGTGTAGCGTGTGTCCACTCTGCGGACGGGCTGGGACGATACCCTCTTTCTTGGCTTTCCTGTAGTGAAATATAAAGAGCCAAAAGAGCGGGACAGCGATGGCTGGCACGAGTATGCTCTCCATTCCAAAGGCCCAACGCCAGCCAGCATGATTGAGGAATGATGTAGAAATGGGGCCTGCAAGCCACGAAGTGATGATGTATGGAGAGTTGAGCAGGGCTTGCATGAGACCGCGGTGACGGAGAGACGACGTGTCGGCAATGAAGACGCTAAGACAGTATCCAAGACCGTTGGTTCCGATTGTGTAGAATACCTGGGAGGCAGCGTACGCCTCTACGCCATTACACGAGGCTGCCATCACCAACCCGATAGTGGCGAGGAGTGCGCACATCAAGAACCCATGGGGCCGGCCAAAGACGTCTAGGATTTTCGCAATTCCCAGGTTTGTGACGCCGCCAATGACCTGGCTCACTACACTGGTTGTCGGGATGAGAGAGTGTGCGGCAAAGTCGGAAGTGACGTAGGGAATCAAAGCGCCGCTCACGCCAGTCACAATGCCCTGGACAAAGTAGACGAGCCAGATGAAGGCATATGCCGTGACCAAGGCAGACCGCGACCAAGCAATGGTCACAGCCTCGGCCTTTTGCACGCCGGCCTGGAAGTTGGTGTCGATGGACTTCTCATTAGGCGCATTGCCATGGACTTCATCATCTGTTGCGCTCTGGACGGGAGACTTGGGACTCTGGCTCGAACTTTGAATCTTGCTGATCTCTTTAATATCGCCTTCGTGTGTAGGGTGGCTGGCTTCTGGGGCGTCTTTGGAGGCCATGGTCGTTATTTGTATCCTCTCTTAGGCTCGGAACTTTCTCATAACCACCTGTGTCGAGAGGTAGGTAGTAGGAGGGAGTCAATACTGAGAGCCATGTTTTGGTCGGGACTGCTGGGAATAAGCCATAGTTAGATGGGAAGCCAGTAGAAGAGGAAGAACATCAAGCGAGGGTTGCGGAATGTGGATTGAGCAAATATTGAAATAACCTAGACCAAATGAAAATAGTCGTCGCCACATGGTAAAGGTCTGTTACCTGATTTATGTGCGGTCAGCAGATGCTTACCTTGCAAAACTGCCTCAAACATGCTCATCGAGTCTTGTAGATTTGGCATTGCTCGTCGGAATAGCCCCGAAAGTTGCATAGCGTATTCTAAACAGGACTAGATCACGCTCCTCAGCTCAGTCAGTGATCAGTTGTGTTCCTCAACGAAAAGGTCATTGTCCCTCACTTTCTGAGAACGACGAAGGGCTGATCAGGTCCAAGGGAGATCAATGTAGCCCCGAGACCAAAATCCACTCTTTTTTCAGCTGCAAATACTTGGAGTTCATCTTCGCTACAATCTATTATAAATCGCTATATCGCACTCGCCCCATCAGGTCCGTTTTTCTCCCCCACACCACCCCCGGCCATTTCTAGTGATCTGTCCTGAAGCCGTTCATTTCTTATCAATCTGATGACCCTGATAGACCTTTCAGGGCGATTAGATTCTCTAAAGCCCTCTGGTGGTGGTTTGGGTCTGTTGAGGCGTCTCCTTGGTATGGTGTCACTGCTGTGGCCGGTCCTTTGCATCTGCCAGCCTTGTAGCGGTGACGGTTGAATATCTTATATGCCAGGGGTCAGACAGGCTGGACGACATAAGGGAAACTGTACTGGAGGCCACTAGGGAGTCCTCTTTTGGCCTAATAGATATTTTTATATACAAACCTTCTGCACACCCCCCAGCCCCAAAACATGGACAGCATCTCATCAAACCTCATAGCTTCCAGTAGTTGACATTTAATTTTGGGAAAGAGTTACAGCTATGAATGATGATCGTATTCAGGACAATGAATAAGAGCTGGATCTTCCAGCCTAGTCGTGTGAATAGGGGTGCAGCCTCGATGCCATCGTGATCAAGAAGGCAGCTACTACATGCCCGGTTCCTTGCTCTTACTCACCACCAAAACGACTGGCACACTAACGGTCGTCAAATTAAAACAAGGGGCCGGAACGTCAGCATAAGCACCCAGGATGGACCTGAGTAAGAGCCATGTCAAGGACACTAGCCTGCTGACCTGGATGGGACCAAAGGCTCGGCAACTTGCCATTCCCCGTCAATGATTCGTTTGCTTGCAACATCGGCCAGTCTAGCCATATATAATCGGTGCGATAATGACCAGTTATTAACCAAGAGCCCTCGTGTTTACTGTAAGAACGTTTGTAGGCTCTCATCAGACTTGGTGGCTGGCCAATCAATAGCGTACCTGAGCAAACCAAGGTGAGGATGAGATAGACTGACAAGTTGGATTATCCCTGAAAGGGACATTTCGATTTTTGTCGATTACTTCTACACATTGCCCTCACCGCACTAGGTTAAATAAGGGATAGCTGTCACAATATATGGGTGTCCCAGCGTCTTGCTTCTGTTGATGGACACTTGTGCAATGACAGTCGGACATTGCGAGTGGATTCGGCCCCCAGACTTCGAGGACATGCGGGGAGAACCTTTCGTAGATAATGCTTCTGGTTATGGCGCTTACTGAGACTATATGTGGTATAAAGGGCGCTCGCCTCTTCAACGCAGTCGAAATTTCAGAAGTGAGCCTGTTACTCCTAACACACTCCTAAGTTGTTCAGTAGTGATCCGAACGCGAGTCTGATAACTGTGAAAGCACCATGGAATCTAAAACCCTTCCTACGTCACCCCATGAAACCGAAGTGAAGGAATCACAGTCCGGCTCAATGGCAAAGAGCCTAGAAACAGCAGAAAATTCTCAGCCAGAATGGACGCCAGAAGAGGAGGAGCGCCTCGTGTATGTCGAAGTATGGTTCCGTTGTGCTAAGCTTTGGCTGATGCTATTTTCAGGCGCAGGGTTGATCTCCGGGTGATTCCGACATTGTGTGTCGTCATGGGACTTTCTCTTCTAGACAGAGCGAACATTTCGTCAGCGTATGTTATTGGAATGAAGAAGGATCTAAATATGGGCATCGGTAAAGTTGTTGTTCCTGAACAAGCCTTTCCGCGAGCATCTACCAACCCGCATTTTCGCAATTTATAGGAGGACGATACTCTCTGTCCCTATTGGTCTTCTTCATCGCATATGGTCTTCTCGAGATGCCTTCCAACTTGATCATTCGCCGCATCGGAGCTCGGCACTGGCTTGCGGCCAACATAACAGCGTGGGGTGCCATGGTTCTAGGCATGGGCTTCGCTCGCCACTGGGCAACCATAGCTATCTTAAGAGCCTTTCTGGGAGGGTTTGAGGCTTGCAGTTAGTTAAAGCACCTCGACTCTATGTTACATCTACTGACCGTATAGTAGCATTGCCCGGTGCCGTGTTCGTTATTACTTCATGGTACAAGACTTTTGAAACGGCTCGCCGCATCTCGACCTTCTTCATGATTGCCACAGTATTGAACGCCTTTAGCGGAATCGCAAGTGATGCCGATGGCTATTAACGATGATTATCAATGAAGCTAATTATGCACTAGCTTGCCTACGCCTTCTCCAGGATATCAGTCGGCTCTGGCATCTACGCACAAGGGTGGCGTTGGATTTATATCCTTGAGGGCCTAATAACAGTCGTGGCCGGGCTTGTGTGTTGGATATTCATGGGCGATTGTGGGTTCTGCACCAGCTTCTCACGTCAACTATTAATCAAGCAGAACTAATGCCCCAACGTTGAACTTAGTTCCTGAACAGAGCACGTGGCTCACAGATCGACAACGTTACATTGCGACAAAACGCGTGGCCATGGAGAGGGACAATCGAGAGTATGAACATGTCACTGTGAAACAGGCACTGAGATACTGGGCTGATTGGAAGATTGGTGTTTTGTAAGTCATGCCTTATGGATGAGATCCGAATCAGTCTGACCTGGTCATTAGTATGATCTGTTACTTCATCAGTTCTTCAAGCAGCTACTCAGTCGCCTTCTTCATGCCCGTGATCCTGTCAGACGGCATGGGTTTCGACTACTCTACCACCCTACTTCTGTCGACACCCCCATGGGTAGGACTCCCCAAAGGTGTGACTCCTGGGACTGGATGTGCTGATATCATGTGCAGATATTCTGTATCTTGATGTCTATTGCTGCAGCCAACTGGTCGGACCGGTATAAACTCAGATGGCCGTACGTTACAAAGTCAATCACTCAAGTCTTGACGTATGGAACTAACTTCAACTCTTAGAGTTTTAGTGTTCCAGTGTCTTAACGCGTAAGTCACGCACCTAAAACTCAAGTTCATGGACTGCTTCTTCTAACAAATCATCAGCGTCGTAGGCCTCCTGCTCATTCTTTATGTCAAGGTTGTAGGTGTAAGACTATTTGGGTGGGTCCATGTTCGAGTGATTAAATTGATTGACTTGCTGACAACAAGCAGTGTATTCCTTGCCACATACGGAGCACAATCCAATGTGTAAGTACTGTACCGAAACGCGTTCCGTGTCAACAATACTGATCTGCCAAAGCCCAACCTTGTTAACCTATGCTCAAAACAACACGGGTGATCCTTCCAGACGTGGGGTTGTGTCTGCAGCAGTCCTGACAGCTGGCGCTATCGGAGGAGTTTGTGGTAGCACGATTTTCCGCTCACAAGATGCGCCTCAGTACTTCCCCGGGATGTGGTAAGTGATATGGTCGGATATCCACCACGAGCAGAGTCTGATTATTGTGATAGGACGAGCATTGGCATGCAGTTACTTTACATAGTTCTGGTTGCCCTCATGGCATTATACTACAGGCATCAGAATAAACTATTGGATCTGGGAAAGGTGACAGCACCTCAAGGGCTGGAAAGCTTCAGGTACACACTGTAGATGGTTTGATAATTGATTTGGGAGGAATTATACTAGACAGAAGCCTAAGGAGATGAGTTTCTAAGAAGACCCGATCGGGGGGCCATCATTCTTTTCCTGACCAGAGTCTTGAGTGGTCAATGCATTTCGCTCCCTTAATTAGTCCTGCTACTTTCAAAACACTTTACCCCGTCACCTGAACCGTATCAACTCCTCAATATGTATTGATGTCGTTGGAATGTTAGATGCCTCTACTTCAGCCCCAATCCTCGTCTATATTTCTTCTCTAGTCCCTTTCTCTGAATCCTATTCTAGGCACTTTCTTTATTGATTTCTTCAATCTCCACTTCTCTGAACATGCTATGGCAGCGGCCATCGGATCCGGAGTTTTGCACTGCTCACCTAAATTAGGAACAGATTCAGGTTTTGGTACCATTGCCAGAGGTATTATGATGCGAAACTGTGGGACAAACTGCAGTATATATCCCAATCGAGCGCCAAGCTTGAAAAATATCATTAAGATAGGGATAGTGCCCATGGAGATGCCATTTAGGTAGCTTTATCTCTCCAAGTCTGTGAGCCGCGATTCGGTTGTGGTGACCACGGACCAGCCCCTCACAAGACTGACCGCATCGTCATTGTTGGGTGCTGACGTGAGGGGTTGCATGGAAAGATATATATAGAGGCCTGGGCCGGACCGAGTCTACAGTTCATGCCTTCCTGGCACCCAACGTTCTCGCCAATATGTCTGGAAACGTACTCAATCTTTTCCGCATTGGCGGCAAAACCGCCCTCATTACCGGTGCGAACGGTGGTATTGGCGGAGCGATGGCAGAGGCGCTGGCAGAGACCGGCGCCAACATTGTTATCATCCAGATCCCCGGCGACCCAAGCACATCGACAAAGGAGAGTCTCGCCAAGCTTCCGATTAAGGTCAGCGTCTACGATTGCGATCTTGTCGACGAGGCAGCCATCAAACAGACTGTCGCGGACATCATCGACCGAGACGGCCACGCCATTGACATACTCATCAACTGCGCCGGGGTCAGCGGCCATAAGTCGATCCTTGAGGTTGACGACGCCTTCCGCCACAAGATCTTCAACATCAACATGAATGCTACCTATGTCATGACCCAGGAGGTGGGTCGACGCATGATTGCTCGAGGCAAAGGCGGCAAGATCCTCAACGTTTCTTCCCTGGCCGGCATGATAGCTGGCCAGAACATCTCAGTCTATGCGGGGACCAAGGGGGCAGTGAACCAGTTCACGTCTGCTTTCGCAAATGAATGGGCACAATACGGTATCACCGTGAATTGTTTGTGTCCTGGGTAGGTCAAACTGAACCCTCCATCAAATGAATTAGTGAAGTGAGCCAAGCCAAGATATTGACTCATCGTAGATACGCGCTCACTCCTATGACGCGCGGATACTTCGAGAACGAGCCCGGTTTCAAAGAGTACATTACGTCTCGCACACCGATGGGAAGGTGGGCGGTTCCGGAAGATTTCAAGGGCATCACGCTTTTCTTTTGCAGTCCTGCATCGGACTACATCACTGGCATCAGAATGCCTGTCGACGGCGGCGTCCATGGGAAGTGAAGCCAAGAGTACGAAGGCATAAAGCCCATGCCGCGTATACAAGGATGAGATATAGCTTAGTAATATACTTTGAAGGAAATATCGCTCATTCTTGACTTCCTTGTGTTATGTCTAAAACCTTGGCCAAGGCCTGATCCCTCTTCCGGAGATCGTCTGGCCCAAGATGACCATATATCTCTTGCACCTCTTTGCTCAAGCAGGTGGCCCAAGTCTCCTTATCCGTACCGTCAGACTCTAGGCTGAGCTCGCCGGTATCATCCCAACAAGCTTGTATAGTGCTGCCAATCTTGTCAAAGAAGCCCTCAAGCCCTCGATCCTGCCCACCGCCTGCGTGATAGCTCCAGAACGGCCCGCGTACAGCCCAGCGAGGTCCTAGGCTCTGCTCCACAATCTTATCGATATCCTGAGGACTACAAACACCCCTCTGCGCCAAGTATGCTGCTTCCTTGAAAAGGGCAAAGGACAGTCTGTTGGCAATGAAGCCAGTGACTTCTTCCTTCACCACGATGGGCGTGCGTCCCAGACCCTTCCAATATTCTATGGTCTGGTCCATGATGGAAGAGTGGGGAAGAGACAAGGTCGCAGGGGATGGAACAATCTCCAGAAGCGGCATGACATGCGGTGGGTTGAAGGGATGCAAGACAATGAGGCGAGTCTTGTCCTGCATGCGGGCCATCTGGACGGAGGCGGGGATGCCCGACGTGCTGGACCAGAAGAGCGCGTGCGGCGGGGCAAGAGGCTCGATCTTGGCCCATATGTCCTGCTTGAATGCGACATCCTCCGGGCCCTGCTCCTGGATGATATCGGCTCCTTGAACGGCGTCCGCCAAGCTCGATGCTACAGCAATGCGTCCGGCGGCGCGTAGATCCCCCACATCCGGTGCCTCGGCTCGGCTCTGTTCGCTCGACCTGCTGGCAGAGTCGCTTGGCCACACCGACCGAAGGTAGTCTGCATCGGTCAGTCAAGCTGAGCGCAGATATCGTTGCTGCTCCCGGAGTTGACCGGCCTGTAACGTACCTGGTAAAGTCTTGTCAATGTAGCCTTCGAGGTCCGGCCGCGGGTCGTAGACTGTGAGCTTCACAGCGGGACCCGACCTGCGTGAAAGGTGCAGCGCAGCAAAGGACAAGCCAATGGTGCCAGTGCCGATTAGCGTGACATTGAGGGATTCCCTCGCAGATTTGGGACCATCTATCGGGCTCATGGTGTGTTGTTTATGTGAATCATTCAGGCAGCGAAAGAATTACAATTCAACATCATTCGATTGAGCAACAAACAGAATTCATATGACCCGGCCTTGACTCCACAATTTTTCTGACTACCGAGGCCATTCCACTCTCACGAATGGCCACCAAAGTCACCTTCAGACTTGATACCCAAGTGAACAAGCCCGAAACTAATTCGAACGCTGGGGTAGTATTAAGTTTAAGGCACATATATGTCAGAATTACCTCCCTCTCCTTGATTCCACTGACAGGAAAAGTCTGTCTGTTTTAAGGGCTTGCTATATAGCTTATATGCTCGTAAAACGACAGTGCACCGAGTTCTATTGATTTCTGATGGAGTCTGGTGCATATGATGCAGCTCGCCCATGTGGTTGCTTACTCTTCCAGGTGATAGCCATAGCGAAATATGATAACAGGAGTGCTCTAACTAGCTAGTGGTGGGTCTCATGCATCAATGCTGACCACCCTCTCGACCATTGGGACCAGAGAAGTGCCCATCAACAGCCTACACGCGTTTAATAACTGGAATTACTGCACCTCTCTGTTAGATGGTCCTGTCTCTCAGCAGTACGCCTCTCAGTACAAGTCCGAATCAAGACTATGTCTGAAGTCTCAATCACAGAAGCTCACCTTGGTGAACTACGGGGAAAGGTTGCAGTGATCACAGGTGCGCATACCGAAATGACTGATAATGGCCACACTGAACTAATAAGTTTGAACATGTTGGCGGTGCGAGTGGTATCGGAAAGGCAATTGTGGAGCTTATAGTCCGGAAAGGTGGCCGTGTAGCCTTTGCCGATATGGACGCAACATCCGGTGACGTTCTGGAGACGGCGTTGAAGCAAGAAGGCTTGTAAGTGATCGAGCAAGAAAAAGCATAGTATCAGGCAATGGCTGACGTGGCTTAGTAAGGTCACTTTCTATAAGGTGAATGTCGCAAGTTGGCTCGAAATGAAGGCCTTTTTTGCGGAAGTCAAAGATAGCTACGGGCGGATTGATCTTGTCTTTGCCAATGCAGGTGTGGGAGACAACAACTTGACTTTCCAGGATTTGCTGGACGCAGATGGAGAACTTGCACCGCCAGACTTGAACGTGATAGACGTCAATGTCAATGGCGTGATTTATAGTTAGCGCTTCTTCCTTACACCAAAGGCGCTTTCCGAGTTAGGGACTGACGATCCATCAGCATCCAAGCTTGCTCTTCACTACATGAGACAGAACCCGCAGCCACAGGGCGGCGGTCTCGTCCTCACCGGATCGACGTCATCATACAACGAACGTCCAAATCTGCCTCTCTACTCTATGGCAAAGCACGGTGTCATCGGCCTGATGCGGGCATTACGTCAAAACGCGCCTGCTGACAGCATAAATGTTGGTGCCATAGCACCAGGCGGAACACAAACCCGCCTATTCACTTCCGATGCTGCCAGCGCCTTCAGGAGCCTGGGTATTCCTGTGAATAAGGCTTCTTCTGTAGCGCTGGCTGCCGTCTACCTAGCCAGTATTCCGGCAACCAATGGGAAGGCCTTAACAGTCATAGGAGACAAGTTCACAGAAGTCGAGGACAGTATACTAGCCACACAACATTTATGGTATGGGCAATACAATACAGATATGGCGCGACGGGCTTCCGGTGTTAGTTTAGATACGTCAGGGGGGAACTTGTCATCGGAGATAAAAGCAATTCGAAACTAGTCGTTTATGTCAACAGTAGAAATCATGCTCCGTGGCTCGTGGAGCGACATTGATCTCCTTGTAGGTGAGGCTACATATACCGATGCAAGAGCCGACGCAAGTTCACTTGCTCGCCTGCCATTGTGGGACAAGCAGGTACCCGCCATATTAGTCGCGGAAATACAGATGCTTGAGGCTGGTTTTCAAGAGATGGCCCGTGTCGGAGGCGTAGAAGAAGTGGAGAGAACATTGGTTCTCCACCTTCAGTACTTTTGCCCATGGGGAATCCTCAGTCGAAAGACATGCTGCTAGGATGGAAAGACATACATGTCAGCGAGATGTCAGCATGCGGGACTGGCTGAAGTTTCATCAGCACAGGGCACTAATCCCACCACAAGACATACGTGGACCCTTCGAAGAAACATCTATGAGGAGCTGAAGGCAGTGAGGCCGAGGCTAGGAAAGTTGGCCCGGCATCCTAGGCCATCTCCGTGAAGAACCCACCGATATGTCGCGAATAATTGGTCGCTCCACTACGATATGATCGACGGACTGGACACGAAACTCTCCCCCATGGGTCCTCCAGGTCCATTCTCAGCCGATGTTTTGCCGGGCTCGAGACGAGGTATGCAAAGTGGATAATTACAACATCGAAGTTATATCCAGGTCAATCTCCTCGGGGAAGGGGCCTTTTTTTGTGCAGAGCAAGGGGTGAGTATAATGTGCTCTCGATTATTTAATCGTAGGGCACACCCAACTGTCACGATAATGAACCAACACGCCAGCCGAGATCATTCTGTGCTAGCTCTTTACAGCTTCGAAAAGATCGCACTTCACAGATATGACGGTCAAACCAACTCAGAAGGACCGCGATGCCAATGTCGTCGGTCAAGCTCTGGCTGAAGTCCTCCCACAGACAGATAAGTGGTGGTTTCAACAACCACACCTACTGAAGCTGAATCTCTTGCTAGCGATTCCAGTGCTGTCAAGTTCTGTCTCTGGTTTTGATGGTTTGTACCAAATTCTGATGAACACTAGGCTTGGTGATTGGCTAATCTGATATAATCCTCTCGCTTAGGCTCTCTGATGAACGGACTTCAGGCCCTTCCGCAATGGACCAGCGACTTCGGCAACCCTCAGGGGAAGATGCTAGGCCTGGTCAATGGCATCATGACCGTCGGCATGCTACTTGCACTTCCCATCACTCCCATACTCACCGACAAGTATGGAAGAAAGATCCCCATCCTCTTCGGCTGTATCGGCACCATCATCGCCACCGTGATCCAGGTTGTTTCGGTCAACTACGGCATGTTCTGCTTGGCCAGAGGAATTTTAGGCTTTGCAAGCACCTTTATGATCTCCCCCAGTGCTCTACTCATTGCTGAACTCGCCTATCCGACGCATCGTGCGAAATACACTTCAGCATTCTTCACCGTATACTACGTGGGTGCCATCGTCGCTTCATGGGTTACATTCGGCACCCAGAACATGTCGGGTTCCATGGCATGGAAGGTGCCCTCGATCTTCCAGGCGATCCTCCCGCTGATTCAGGTCCTGGCCTTTTGGTGGCTTCCTCAGTCGCCCCGTTGGCTCGTGGCCCAGGACCGCATCCAAGAGGCTACTGAGATTCTGACGAGGCTGCACGATCCTACGCCAAACAGTCCCTTGGTTGCTACCGAGATGGGCGAGATCATCGAGTCCATCCAGATGGAAAAGGAGGCGGCCAATACAACTTGGGGCTCTCTGTTTGCGACGCCGGGCAATCGTCGTCGTTGTCTCGTAGCTATTGTCGTCGGGCTTTTCGCCCAATGGAATGGCGTCGGCGTGCTTTCTTACTACCTGGCCAAGGTGCTCGCATCCGTCGGGATCACGGGGACGTTTGACCAGACACTTATCAACGGCATGCTGCAAATCTTTAATTTCTTGGCCGCCTTGCTCGGAGCCTTCCTTGTGGATCGACTTGGCCGGCGAACTCTGTTTTTGTGGTCGACCACCGGCATGCTCATCTCCTACATCATCTGGACTGCCTGCTCCGCGGTCAACAACGAGACCGGTAACTCCACTGCGGGTATTGTCGTTGTCGTCTGTGTCTTTATCGTTTTCTTCCACTACGATATAGCCTGGACGCCACTTCTCTTCGGAGTAAGTCTGAGTCTACATCACCGAACGTTGGCTCTATTAGAATCTAACACGTTTCAACGCAGTACCCCACTGAGATTTTCCCTTACTCTCTGAGAGCCAAGGGTATCACACTCGAACTATTTTTCAACTCTGGGGGCTTGATGGTTGCTCAATTCGTCAACCCAATTGGCATGGAAAGTCTCAGTTGGCGATACTATATCGTGTTCAGTTGCATTCTCGCGTTTGTCCTGGTCTTGATCTACTTCTTGTTCCCTGAGACCAAAGGCCATTCCCTTGAGGAGATCGCTGTCATTTTTGATGGACCGCGGGCCGAGACATCTGCTGCGCGAGAAAAGCATGATATCGAGGTCAGCGAAGTGTAACGAAAGCGATATGACATCTCTCGACAAGATGAAAACGAAGTAAATCATGATTGCTGAAGGCGACCTTGGTCCAGCAAGCGTGCACTTGAAGACTTCTATTGTTGGTGAAGATCGTGTACTGCTCAAAGCAAATCCGCTTCTTAAAAGGTAGACTACTAGTTGGACTGTAGTGGAACATGATGGTACAAATAATGATCATGTGCGTATTGCCTAGGCACTGTTGCTCTCTCCAGCATTGCTGCCAAGACGACTGCTCTCCGTTTCTGAAAGGCATGTTCACCGTACTACTATCCTCTCTATCCTCCCCGTAGCATCAAGTATGTCCAAAGTATTGATGTCACCGGATAGATGAGTGAAAATAGCGTCATCGACATACTCGTACCATTTCTGCTGACCATCCTCGCCTGGCCTGAGTAAGGACAGTTGTGAGTCTCCGCTCACGAGGGCAACGACCAATCCCTCCGCAGCCTCGTTGCCATTGGTGATCCCGAAGTATCCTTTGGTTGTGTAGAAAATATCTGTATCATACCGGGCACTGTTCTCCATGTCGGCATACTGCTCGAGATATTTCTCGCTCTTCTCTTCCGGGTCGTTCCAGTCCCTCACGAGGGACTCCAAGTATGGCGGGATATGCTTTGACAGCTCGGGAGTAGTGCTGTCTATAGACAACTTCCAGGCGAGAAAGGCCGCGATCCGCTTATACGAGAATGTCTGTGGAGACCCCAGCGAAGCATCTGACATGTCACCCTCTTGAGAGTCACCTTCCGACGAATTTTGGTCCAGCTCCCCATCGGGGATTGGAAGTTCGCTATTTACCGAATGATCACTAACAGTAATCCAGTCATCCACTGAGGAGGTCTCTGATGCCTTGTCCTCGTCCTCACTGAAGTTTTGGGACGTTTTCGAGTCTTCGGCAGCGGGGTCCGTGAGTCCTGGCTTCGCGATGTGAGTTCTGGTCCCCTCATCCGGCTCGTCAATACCCGATTCCGAATCTGAATCCGAATCCTGACTCAAGTCCCGTTCTTCATCGCCAATACGTAAGTTGAGCAGGCCACGTAACATTGCTGCAAAAATAGTGTCCTCCAATTTGGTCGCCGGGGCTGTCGCAAGACCATCTTGACGAGGGAGCGGATCGTAGATTCCATGTCCCTGCTCTGCCAAAACGACAGCCAGAGAGTTGACAATGTCATATATATCCTTCTCTCTCGCGATCTGAGCACTGAAAATAACATCGTCGACAATGTAGGCGCCGATGTGCAGAGACACACGGGTCATCGCGGGGGCGCGTCCCACCCTCAGGTCTGTCGAGGTCAGATTTACTTTGCCGTACAGAGCATGGTAAGTCTCAAGAGCAGTCCGCCGGGATCCGTAGTCAAAGTCTGGGACCCAGGATGGTAAACCCTCCACGACTTTCTTGCTTGGACGATTCCCGAGACCCCAGCCGGGCGATCCGCGGACGTGCACATAGTATCGAGCTGCTTCCATGTACACCTCCTGAACCGTCAGCTCGTAATCCACGGCTGGGGGTTTGAGCTGCTGTGACGTCAGCAAGGCTGAGCCCAATCTCAGCGTTGCGTACACCTTGTCTCGCGGGTCCGTGGCCTGGAACGTCGTCATGGCGGCGATCGTGGTGGTGATATCGGCTCCACCAGACTCTTTGAATGCATTGTCAATGCTCACGATCGCCTTGAAGCAGAGGTTATTTGCTCGGGATGCACATTGCTCGTAAGCCAACAGCCCAGTTCTCAGCGTGTCCCAGTTGCAGCTGTACGGACCGCAGTAGACGACACCCCTGGATCCTGCAAGAATGATCTCTTGGAAGATCCAAGCCCGTTCCCAGTATGAACTGTCGTATAATGGCTTGATGGACGCCAATGCCTCCCTTGCTTCTTCCTTCCCATCAAATGCGATATTCAGCAGTTTATGCCGCTCTGCTCTGTCGAGTGGGTAGAGGCCGGCAAGCGTTTGAACGGCGCCAAATCCTTTTTCGGTATCATCATCGTCTTCTCCAAGCCACATGATGACGTTCTTCGCCTTGCGGTAGATATCTGTGAACATGGATACTTGCTCATTGACCTCCTGGGTACGGCTCTGGTCGATGCACACCGCATCAATCCAAAGCATCCTGGATTTATCCTTGTATCGCAGGCTTTCCAAGGCCGCTTTGCAGTTCGGGGTGACATGGACACGATCTTCGCCGCATTGTACAGGAATATTCCCTTGTCTCTCCTGCCACTCGTAGGACAAAGCCTCGTAGGAAGGAACCCGGGATAGGTCCACGTCGTGCAGCTCGAACGAAATCACGTCGCCGTGCTCCCCTGGGTGCAACTCCATGATGCGTATCTGCCCGCTTTCTTGCAAGCGGCTGTACTGGTACATCGATCTCTCCGAGAGCTCCTCGTACCGCGTCCTTCTCAGAGCCCTCTCGTTCTTTTCTCTCAGCCATGCGGCATTGCAGAGATCATACAGGAGCGAGCCGTGCCTGTTCTCTTTGGCATAGGAGAGGGCTGTTCTTCCATCGTCGTCTTTGGCGTCGGCGCGAGCACCCATTTCAATCAGTTGCCGAACGACCATACCATGTCCTTCCTCAGCAGCGATCATCAGGGGTGTCCGACGTGAGTTGGATAGGTGGTCAACATCGGCTCTGTATTCGTTGAGTAATTCGATGATATCCTCATCGCCATTGTAGACCGCTAAGCATAGCGGTGAGTAGTTCGTTTTTGGCACAGGGATCATGCGGGCACCCTTCTCTAGGAGAAGCCTGGCCGTGTGGAAGTCTCGCTCGTCAACCGCCTGGCTTAGGGGAGTGAAGCCTTCGTGGTTAGCTGAGTTGATGTTTGCCCCGGCATTAACGAGCAATTCCACTATGTCTGTATGGCCAACTTGTGCAGCATGCCACAAAGGGGTCTGGCCATCGTCATCTCTGTGATCCAATTTCGAGCCGAGTTCGAGAAGCAGCGCGCTGGCATCCTTGCGGCCAGCTTCTGCCGCTAATGAAAGGGGATCTCGCTGGCTGTAGTCTTGACTGTTGATGGTTGCTCCATGCTTGTGGAGGTGCCGAATAATCTCAGTCTGGCCTTTCCACGCAGCATAATGCAGGGCTGTCCGACCCGACTCATCGCGCTTGTCGACTTGAGCTCCGTGGCTGAGAAGCATGGCCACTGCGTGGACTTGACCGTGCTTCGCAGCCAAGATCAACGGAATATCCGACTTCTCGAGCAAATTCATGTTTGTCCCTAACTTGAGCAACCTCTCAAGCTCAACAGTCCTTCCTTTTCGTGCGGCCTTTGATAATTTCAGGGCTCTCTCTTTCTCTTGTGCCGTGTACCCTGTGTCATCTGCCTTGTCGCTTGAGACAGAAGGCCCATTGCCCTCTTGGATCTTGGTTTCCAAGATCCTGACGATCTCGTCGTTCCCGTCTAACTTGGCGAGGGACAAAGCTGTCTCGCCATCGGGCTGTGCATAGTTCAGGTCGACGTTGGCATTTACAAGGAGCTCGACCACGCGCGTATGACCTTCGTTGACGGCGTAGATTAGCGGTGTCATGCCGTAGGTAACGGGCGTGTTGGGATTGGCTCCATGATCGAGCAATATCTGCACAATACCGTCGTATCCCTGCAGAGAAGCTGCCGCAAGCGGTGTCTGGTTGTCTTGATCCGCTACCTCCGTGCTCGCTCCTCGTGAAAGAAGTTGTCGCACGACCTCCTCTTCCTTCATCCAGCACGCCCACCATAGCGCTGACATACCGAAAAGATCTTGCAGATTTGGATCCGCGCCTGCCTCAAGGAGCATGAGCATCGAAGTACTCTTTCCGCGCTTGGCAGCCTCGATGAGGGCGCGGTTGCCATCCGTTGCCATCGCATTGACATCGACGCCCTCTTCAATGCTACGCTTTAGGTCGGTGGCATCACCGAAGCCAGCAGAATAGATCAAGCCCGCAATGGACCGTACTTGGACGGCTTGGGACACCTTGCCGCCTATTCGTGTATTTCTCCGAATGAGCTCTGCAATATTGGTGTGATCTTTGTCCTCGGCAAGATAGAGAGCAGTCCGTCCGTCTGCATCCTTGGCAAAACCGTCGGCACCTCTCTCCAGCAGGATTTCTACAACTGCCTCATGTCCCTTGGAAACGGCGTAATGAATCGGCCGCCACCTTTCGCAGCCCGCTTGTGTCGCCTCAGTCTCTATATCGGCACGGCTGTCGAGAAGTAGTGTGACAATTTCGCTGAATCCTTCTTCCGCCGCCAGGCTCAGAGCGCTCTGGCCCCATTTGGTCTTCGCCTCGAGGCTCACTCGGGACCGTACATAGTGACGTACTAGCCTTAGATTTCCTGTCATGACAGCCAGGTGCAGCGCAGTATAATCATCTTTGTCGACCTTGTACAGGTTTGCTCCGTACTTTTCCAGGTAGCGGTTCATGCCCAAGTCGCTGTTTCGGGCCGCAAAAAGCAATGGAGTTGCCTTTGATCCGTTCCTCGCTTCAATATCGGCGTTATGCTTCATCAAAAAGTCAATCACCTCAAAAGAGTAGCCGCGAGTGGCGTTGTGCAGGAGTGAGTTGCTTCGGTTGTCGACGCAGTCTAGAGCCGCTCCTCTCTGAACAAGCAGGCTAACAACAGCCGTGTTACCGCGGTACGCTGCGAGCGAAAGAGCCGTATCGCCCGTACCATCTTTGGCTTCGAGATCGATGGTTCCCGGCTGCAGAATGGTTTCGACAAGATCGCTTTTCCCTTCCCATGCGGCTGTATGGAGTGCATTACGACCGATGTTGTTTATCGCTGAGATGTCGGCCCCAATCTCCACCAGATACCGCCTACGAGAACAGAATTAGAACATTTTTCCGGTTCAGGAGAGAGGGTTTGCTAACACAATAGAGGGTCGGTTGGCGATGATAGCTCTGTGCAGAGGTGTGTAGTCATCTTCGTCAGCAGGACTGGGGCTCGCACCCCATTCTATCAGAAGCTTCGCGTTCTCGAGAGAACCTCGGATGGCGGCATGATGCAGAGCCGAGCGGCCCGTGTTGTCTTTAGCATCGATATTAGCACCCAGCTCGCGCAGAACTCCAAGCATCGCAGTCTGGACGGTTCGCGCCACCGCCAGGAAAGGCGTCCACCCATCAACATCGGGATACTCGATCGGAAATTTGAGTTCATTGACGAGCAGTCGCACAGCGGCTTCGCGACCATCTATCGCAGCATAGTGCAGGGCACTCTGTGCTGACGTGTTCCCTGCCTCCATGTCGACCCCGGCCTTGTGAAGCGCGAGAATGAGATCGCAGTCCCCAGACTCCGCGGCGAACATGAACGCAGTCTCATCCTTGTCGCCCTTGGAGTTGACATCGGCGCCTTCTCGGATGAGCAACTGCAGGAGCTCGAGATTGACTTGTTTCGCCGCCCATCTCAGAGCCTCCCCTTTGCTCAATTCCTTGCCAGTGTGAGTGAATCCTTCATCAAGCAGTCGCTGCGCCAAGGCCGAATCCGGCGAAAGTGTGTCGTCGGAGTCTGACATCGCAGCCGTATATGCTACCAGCGAGCTCTGTCATGGGGATGCCCAGGAGACGAGGCGCTGGAGGGGGTTGCGGCAACTGCCGACAGCGACGAAGGATGTTCGTGATATAGTTGGCAAGGTATATACAAGCAAGCACCGCAAGATAAGAAGCAGGCAGCAAAATAAAAGAGAGCAGAAGTTGAAAGAGTGAGAGCTGACATCGAAATATTCACGCCAATCTTACCCCGTATGCAAGGCGGCAAGCTGAGTGGGCCTCTGGGCAAGGCTACCCCTGCAAGCCACCTCATCGTGCAGCAAAGTGCGGTATCTCCGCAAACTCGCCGCAGGGGCCGCAGCGTCAGCACCGCCACAATCTTATGGGCTACCTCTAGCTGCCCAATGTGTCGCTGATATCAAGTCCAACCGAGTTAGCTGGTGGTTCCTGTGATGGAATCTGCTTCGAGAACCCCAATTTGGCATATAAGGACTTGGGACCCTGTTGCCTCCTACATGTCCAGATCTAGTTGAACAGCTGCTTAGTGGCAAAAGCTGACACGACCTCTTCAATCCAATGAGCATGTCAGCTTTGATCAGCTTCCCAACTCTTCGAGCCTGGGCATGCTGGGTTTGGTAGGATGCCTTGTGATGGATTTTATTTGATTCCTCGAAGTTGGCTCTGCCACTTTGAAGGTGTAGCGGAGCCATCTAAAGATTACCTATGCTTTGCTCAATCTTACGCCAGACCTTCGGAGGCAGGTAGCCTCGGACACAATAGCCACCTGCAGGACCCTCTACAAACGTGAAATAGTTCCTTGCAAAGACATCCTTCTCGCTGACTCCTTCGTCCTGACAGAAGACTGGTTTGCTCTCGAGAACCCCTGAAAGCAATGTTAGCTTCGTCTGCCTCTTCATATCCTATAGGATGTGTCGGTCATCTTCACATACCAGATCTTGTCCGAGAGTTTCGGAAGAGTACGGCCGGTCCAAAGTCCACAGTATGAAAGACTCCAACCTTGGTCCAGTTGGATAGATTGATCATAAAGATGCTTGTATCTCCAAAGATCGGAACCAGCCCATTGTCAACTATAGCGCGCCTGTTCAACCTGGCGAGCGCATGAACTTGGGCCTCCTGGCTGTCATTCCCGATCGTACGTCTAACCTCCAGGGCTGCGAGACCAAGACCTTCCCTTGAGCACAACACCCGTGCGGGAACGAGCGTGGTAATTGGGAATACAGCGTTTTGGATATAGCACCCATCCCCTTCTCTTGCAGGGAACAGAGATGGGGCACGTTTGCGCAGATCAAAAGCGTTCAAGATGCTAACTGTGCGGTCCGACGTCGGTGTCAGGACACTTGCTGCCATGGAACACGCCCAAGCTGAGATGACATCACCGTCAGAGATGAAAGGCTTTGGCTCAGGCAAATTCTCAGCTGCTGCCGCCTTCAGCTTCTGAACTGCCTCCTTTGAGATGAAAACGCCAGAGCTCTCCATCTTTGGCCACCACAGCATGTCTATCAGATAGCGTAGGAGACATACATACAGCCAGAAACCGGTCAGAAGTAAGTGTTCCTGCCAGTGCTTCTCCTGGAACCTCTGGTCACGTCCAGCAGTAGCCATCGGGTCATCGCGGAAAGACAACATGGGCTGAACCTCGGTTTCGCGTCCTGCAAGAACGAGACTCCAGGCCTTGGCGAGCTCCGTTAGACCTTTCGCGTCGGCAGCAACGTGTGGCCAGCACAATGATACGAGGGTAGCATCTGTGAAGCTTGTTATGTGCAGGGTGAGGAGCGGGCTGTCAGAGTTGAGGTAATCCTCAGTGCCTCGCGGCGTGGTCGAGGGGAGACCAAGGTCCCATATGTTGGCTCCCGGGATCATCATGGACGAAAGATCATGCTGGCCGAGGTTAGGATAGGACGCTGCAACTGCATGCTCGTCGATGGCGATATTGAACGATGTATGTGAGTAATTCACTGGCGGTCGCTCTTCGGAGAAGGCCTTCGGGATATGAACCTCAAGCTTTCCTTGGTCCTGGGCCAGTGTTAACCACGAGTTGCTCCAGTGATCCGGGTGATTCATTTTACGTTTTGTCGGAACCGCCCGCCTAGCTTTCGCCAGCCATCTTTCTCCAACAAGCACGCCAAGGCAGCATGTAATCTGTCCGGATCCAATACATCGTTGAAGCGCAGGGTCCAGATTCCAACCGCGTTCCGATAAAACGGCGTGTCGTCAAAGAAGAACAGAGGTATGACCTCATCCGTCGGATTGTTTGGGCGACGCGATCTCCGATGGCGACGGCCGTACACTATGCGTTGGAGCGCGTCCATGATTTTTGCAATTGTGCATGGCAGAGTGAGCCGTCCGATGGTAGATGTTGCTCTTCATTTGCGTCAAGTAGAGCGCCGAAGGAACGCGCTGCTTCGTGTCACCTTGCGTATAAAGTCAATCAACTACGCTAAGGCAGGTAGGTAGTAAATGAGGTCGCTAAGCCCCTGAGAGTGTGCTTACGCGAAATCGCGAGAAATCCTTCTACGCTGACAAATTTCGGAATGTCAGCTGGAACACTTTGTGTAATTATCCTCACGGATGCGGGGCATCAAGAACCAGCAGATGGCGTAAAAACGTCCTGTTCCCGCGAAGGTCAGCTGTGCACCCTTGACCATCCTCCATCAACTACTCCGTACATGGGACGAATCCTTTCCCACCATTGACCCTTAGCACATCCCCAGCAGCGCGACATGGATGATTTGCCGCTACAAGACACTAGCTTCTCGCCGCTCGCACACACAATCAACGGTATGAAGCGGACCAGTCATCATGAGTGGGGTTTCGTAATCTACCGATGCGCCTACGGCGACGATGCCGCTTGGCAGCGCTATTTAGACCTGCTCAAAGCGAGTGTGGCGGAGACCCTCGACATACTCGGTCGCGACGTTCTACTGGGCCCCATTCTCGTCTGGACCGTCGTCGAAGATCAAGGCCTCGACCAGGCGACGCCGGAAGATGTTCGTTCTCGCTTCCGCGTGTGGGCGAGCGAAAAGCTAGCGGTGTTAGAAAAAGACATTCAATTAGACCTCTCCCAGCTTCCGCCCGGAGCCAAGGTGCTGAGTCTGCCTCGGCATCTCCCAAGGTTTCAGTTCTGCGTCGGTGTCGATGCGGCCTGCTTGGAGCCTCTTGTCTCGAACACCAGCTCGTCAGGTGCCTTGAACATGCTTCTCGTCAATGGGCAAGATGAGAACTCGGACCCAGGTACAAGAGGCCCAGCGTCAACTACCGACTCAAACTACATGAAGCTGCCCGCCCGCTCTTTCTGCACAGCGTACGAAGAAGCCGCTCGAGACATGTCTTGGATTATGCTCTGCGATAACTTGCCGTTCATGTACAACAACTAGGCAATACCCCTCACAATACTTCAATCAGATACCAACGCAAACTGCATAGTTCAGCCAGAGATTTAGACAATCTGTCCCAACGGCAGGGTTCCACGCATAGAAATCATCCAAAGAAATGCCGTATTGATTGGCAATCGCCCAGCACCCGTCACCACTCACAACCACGTGCCACTGCTTACACGATTCGATGACGCCAGATTGTGTCGGGGCTGGCGGTCCACCACCCGAGGTAGAAGTGGTAGACGAGGCCGAGGTCTGCGTTGGCGCCGACGTCGACGACGGGCCGTCGGTTGTTGTCGTTTGCTGACTGCCGTCGTCGACGCAGTAGCTGAGGCCCTTGACCAGCTTGCAGCCCGAGCCTTCGGTCAGACTTGGATTCCATTGGAGGAAGAGCGTCATGTTGGCGGCGTATGCTCCCGTCACGTACAGGCAAGAGTTGAGCGACATGAGATTGTCGCCTCGTGATCCGTTGAAGTTGAACCAGACCGGGTCCAGGGTGTCGATATCCGAAAACATTGCATACTTGACACAGTCGGCCTTGGTGCCAGGGGCGAGGGGATCTTGAGTCTGCTCGGGTACAATCACCGGGGGTCTGGTTGTCGTTCCGGTCGGAGGCCGCGTGAAGGTTGTTTCTGCGGGGACATCGACGGGGTCGACTCCCTGCATACAATAGGCGGTATCGAGCCACAGGTTGGTGCAGTCCGCGTCAATGCTGGGGTTTAGGACGCGAAACTCCGCGAAGGTGATAGACGAGCCAAGAGGTAGGATAGTGAAGCAGGTGTCATTGGCCTTGACTGTATACCATTGCGCGCAGTTCTTGTTGGAGTCTGATTTGGCATTTGAGGGTACTGGCACGGCTGTGGGCTTGGGTGGCTGGGCTACAACATCGCCAGGCGAGCTATGGCGAACTGATTAGCCCCATGCGTGATCTCAACTCAGAGATAGAGTATTTACCTGACACAAACCGTCCAGAAAGCCCATCTATCGGCATTGCCACAGCCGGCATCAAAGATTGGGTTCCACGAGACAAGCAGATCCACCGAGACGTTGAACTTGGTGGCTACCGTATCACAAGTGTCTGCGACGTTCCACCTGTACGTTGTGCACTGGCTGGGGATGCACATGGTAGACGGCAGAACGCTGCATGAGAAGTCAATGTTGTTGAGGGCGATCAGCGAGTATGTTGACACGCTATGCGCTGCAGCAATACTCTCGCAGGTGTCATTCGCCCCAACAGAGTAGACATTACCACATGTCGCTACCGGTGGCTCGCTTGTCGAAGTCGGAGTCAACTCGAGCGGTGTTGGCGTTGTATAGCCATAGCCGCTTTTGCCACAACTCTGAGTGATCGACGCAAAGTCCTCTGCGTAGTCTTCGCTGTAGCCGAGTGGAGAGCTCAGCTGGAGCCGTTGCGGCCCTAGCATACAGTCCGAGCACTCGTCTACAGGCACGGAGCGGTTGCGCAGGTCGCCAGTGATCAAGTCACAAAACTCGCCGTTCGAGTTCTCCCGGTAACAGGCAACGTTGTCTAGAGACCGGGCAGATGTCAGATTGCCACTCGAGATGAAACAGCGCGATCTTTGCTATACTTACAGACATACAAGAACTTCTCAACCATATAGGTTGCTGTAGGAGGGCATCAGCTCATGATCTGGCGTACGTCAGCTTGCGAAAGAGCCGTACCTGGATACAAAAGTCCCCCGACCTCTAGGACGTCCTTAGTCGCGTCACAAGATGATCGCAGCTGACTTCCGAGGGCTGTCAAATCGGTCTTGCACTGATCTTTGCAGAGTAATTGGAGTTGATCTCCCAGTAAGGGATCGAAACTCAGGTCGCTACGGACAGGATTTGGTCAACCAAGGAAAATATAGTTAGTTGACAGGTATATACTCACGGGCCGGCGAACTCTCCCAGAACCGCATCGCAGGAGGTTATGTTGGAGTTGAGAACATTCAAGCAGGCACTTGAAAGGTGCAGTTCGCTATAATCAAAGGCATAGCCGTTTAGCTGCTGAGCGGAAGCATGGAAAATGACTGTCAGAACGATTAGAATAGGCAATGCCATGATGAGGGCCATCTTGAGTGTGCGTAGGGGGAGGCAGAAACAGTTCGAAGGGATAGCAATAACCACAGGCTTGAAAGACAGCCACGATATAGCTTTTGAACTGTGAGATAACACTGAACGATCGTGTCTCGAAGTGGACTAGTCGAAAGTTGAAAGGATGAATTCATCACATGTCGAATGTCTCCTATTTCCAGTCTCCCGCGCGAGCCTGCGTTGAACCATAATCTCCCAAGGTAAGACAATCTCGCAAATTAAGCTGACCGGTGATCTTTGATTACAGAGTCTAGGTTGCTATCACACGAAGACATTGTCTCTGAGGATGAAGGCGTTCGTGTGATAGCAATATTGGAGGGTTGCAAATGCAAGGGGTGCGGCGGGTGCCATTGGTTCCCGATGTATGCTTAGTACTCACTTCCTCGCCAATGCGTCGGCCCGCTATCTCAATGCTACGCTATGCACGTCAGAAGACCTTCAGCTCGATTGGGTCTTACTAAGTTATTGACAGATTGAGCCACCCCATACCCCGAATAGGCTATCCGTGGCGCTCTCAATAACCGCGTGGTTACATAGCACAGGAATGGTGGAAATTGCCATCGTGATCAATATTGAGAGACGGGTTGAGAGCCTTGTAAGCTGTATGGCTTTACCTGATGTGGAAATTTGGGCAGTCTGAGTTGAAAAGGAGAGAACGGCACGGTTCCATAGGAGACAGAAATGGTTTAAAGAGAATCAGGGTACTTTCACTGACGATATCGTCGTCGGTGTCCACTACTCTGCCTTTTTTTCACCTTTGAGACTTATTCCTTGTCCTTGACATGGCACTCAGCGGTAAAGTCTTTGCCGGGTGGCTTGCAGCTGTCCTAGGCACTGTCTATGTTGCGGTGCTTCTTTTGTCGCATGACCATTATTCTGACGCTTCGTCTGGGGCGTCAAGGATCTTGAAAGCGCGAACCTCGTTACCGATCGACGACGGCCTCTCATTGTCACCTAATGATAGCCCTGTGAGCGGCAATCTCTCACGTCGACAAGATGACTTCTCGTGTGGGCCTGGTCGCCCTTGTAGTAATAGTGCTTGTTGTGGCAAGGACGGCTTCTGCGGTTATGGTATAGAAATCCATCCTGATGCTCACCGTTCAACCTTAATTAACAGTCTCATAGGGCCCACATACTGCGGAGATGGATGTACATCCAACTGCAATGCTCATGCTGAATGCGGGAAGGACTCAAACCCTCCTGGGAAGACGTGCCCTTTGAACGTTTGGTAAATTTGCCACTTGCAAGATGGCCATCTGAGAACTGGGTACTGACTTTTATATAGTTGCAGCGAGTTCGGCTTCTGTGGCACGACAGAGGAGTTCTGTGGTGCCAAATGCCAGAGTAACTGTGCTCTAGAGCCCTCGCCGCCTTCTGGCTCCGCACAAGGCCAGGTTCTGTCTCGAGGTACGTCTGCTTCAGCACATCCTTGGAGAGGAGACTTGTTGACTGTTCCACAGTAGTTGGGTATTACGAGTCCTGGAACTATCGCTCATCCTGCCGCAAGACCAAGCCATCTGATCTTCCACGTAAGTGGCAACATAAGCACTTCTCGCCAAATCGCATTACTAAGGTCTGTCTCAGTTGATGCTCTCACGCACGTCAACTATGCTTTTGCTTTCTTAGACGCTGCAACATACCACATTACACCCATGGATAGTGGGACTACAGCCGACCTATTCACCGAGACGACAAATCTCAAGCAACTCAAGCCCGGACTGGAGGTTTGGCTCAGCCTCGGCGGGTGGACTTTCTCGGACAATGGAACATCTACACAGCCCCTCCTTTCTGATATTGCGAGGGATTCTTCGAAGCGCACGGCCTGGGCCAATCACGTGGTCTCTTTCCTGAACACATACGGATTTGATGGCATTGATATTGACTGGTAGGTACGTGTCCGATTTTCTCACGATGATCTTTCTGACTATCTCAGGGAGTACCCTGGTGCCCCAGACCGTGGCGGAAAGCCGGAAGACGTCCAGAACTTTGTGGAGTTGATGGCCTCTCTTCGCAATGCGTTCAACAGTGCAGGCCGTAAGCTTGGCATCAGCTTCACCATCCCTGCATCGTATTGGTATCTACGATGGTTCGATGTTCCTGGTCTTTTGCGATACGCAGACTTTACGAACATGGTAAGTCCAAGAAGATGAACTGAGAGGAAAGATGGTTCTCGGCAAGCAAGATAAAACGTTAATGAGACGTTAGATGAGCTATGACATCCACGGCACATGGGACAAGCAGAACGCAATGTGAGTCTGGAAACGCCTCCTATACTCCTCAAGCAGATATTAACTCTGTGATCTAGTGGCAATGTCCTTCACCCTCACACGAACTTGACGGAGATCAAGAAGGCCGCAGAGCTTCTCTGGCGTAACAACGTACCTCCAAACAAGGTGTCCTTGGGCTTTGGTTTCTACGGCCGCTCTTATACTCTCTCCGACCCAAGCTGTTCCACCCCCGGAACTTGTCGCTTCAGCGACGGTGGTGCTCCAGGCCCATGCACCGCTACAAGCGGCTACCTCTCCTACTACGAGATCCAGGACGTCCTTGCCAAAAACCCTGGTATCACCGTTAACTGGGATAAAGAGGCCTCTGTCAAGTATTTCAAATGGAATAATGACCAATGGATAGCCTACGATGACAAGGATACCTTCAAGCAAAAGGTCGACTGGGCTAACTCTGTTGGTTTCTCCGGCTCGCTGATCTGGGCATCCGATCTTGGTATGTCTTTGATCATTATTCTATTATGCCCGAGCTTTGTTTACTAAATAAGTGTAGATGATAACCAATTGAGCGCCCATGCCGCTCTGCTTGGGAGATCTGTCAAAACAAACAGCGATGTCAGGTCGACTACTCTCGCCGAACTCAACACCGTCAACCTTCTTAACGCCAATCTGGATCAACAATGTCATATAATCAGGTATTGCACATCAGTAGAAGGACCCTATGCAAGTGTAAACTTCTGCAATACTGGTGAGAGCTACTTTGGCTTTGATAGAGCGGGTTGTGGAAAGTTTAAGGTAAGCAAGAAGTCTCGAGTTTGGTTAAGAAAATGCTAATCCGAGCTGCTCGAAGGGGCATCCTATCTGTTGCAAGACAACCATGTAAGCCCGGACAAACAAGTTGGACCGTGATACAAGTAGTCTTTCGCTAACTCTACAGCCAGGGCACCACGGGAATGTACTTGGCGCGGAAACCCGAGTGAGTGCAATGGTCGATGTCATGATGGAGAAGCCACTCTCTGGCAGTCAAGCTGGGGAGGTTGGCCAAGCGAGTCGGGAGACAAGCGATGTGGACGCGGCAGCAAGGCCTTCTGTTGCACTATGCCGGACACTGTACCGGCCCTTCTAAAGCAATGCAGGTGGACCGGATGGTAAGTTCAAATTTGACCCTCTGTTGTCTCTCAGTACAGGGGAGCTGACAAGTTACCATTGACACAGTGGCAAAGGTTGCAACAGTGATGAACAGGACATGGGCAAAGTCGCAACCGACAAGGACGATTGGTGCGGTGTCGCCCGGGGAGGCAAGCACTTCTGCTGCCGCGCCTCAAACCCGGCATTCAAGCAGTGCACCTGGCGCGGGCACGGCGACTGTGTTGACAACACATGCAAGGGCAATGAGGTCACAGTCAGGACCGCAGTCGACGGAGATGATGCATGGCATGCCTGCAATTGTGAGTCCCCTTGAAGACCCAGGGAAGAGCTGGTGCGAAGTGCATTGCTGATATCACTTCAGGGGGCCGTCAAAAGAGCTTCTGCTGCGAGCCAAATAACCAGATGACACCCATCATGTGTGACAAAAACACCATCTGTACCGCAAGCCTCTGGGCATACCAAAGCCTGTGTCAGCCCGATCCCTGGGCGAACGACTCTCCTAATAGCAAGCGAGAGCTCGATGCCGGCACTTATGCCTCGATTTCCAAGGCAGACAAGATCAGGGATGGTCCTGAGAGCTCTGGTTTGGTGCCGGTGTCGAGGCAGTTGCACCAGCCACACCCTTTCTGGGAAGTCATCTCCAAGAGGTCGCCCAGCGGCAGGCCTATCAACTCATATATTCATGTCTTCCTTGGAGCACACTTGGTCGAGATGGTCGTTAGGCTTCTAGCTCAGACCTATCCTGGCCCGGCCACCCTCACGGCGACGCAAAACGGAGCCCAAAATGCGAGCCCATTGGCATTCAGGTTAGTCAAAGAAGCTCATTTTCTATGTTTATAGGATAAACCTTCTTAACGTCCTTGATTCATACAGACCAGCCGGGGGTCAATGTAGCACGACCGGTGTTGAGTCATTCCCGAGGGCACTGTTGGCTGTGAATGGCCCGGGGTCGATAAATACGCAAGGCCGAGGCTACGATACAGATCACCCTATTGAAGTAAGTCCAAAAGCCTGACAAGCACTGCTCGACCATAGCTAAATTGAACATCACAGCTCCAATATGTTGGACAGTTGCTCACTGCACTGGTTGACGGCCTGCTCCCATCCGGGACGAACATTAATCAGATCCTGCCCAATGTGCAGACCATTCCCTGGACCACGATACGCCCATACTGGGATGAAGATATGCCCTACAATCAAGCTATCGGGGCTCTCCCGGATCCAACTCCATTCACTGACGTGAATTGGGGCAACATTAACAATCGTCTGTTCGAGATCCTTGGTTCCAAGACCAACCGCGCGCCGTTCAGGACACTGGACCGCCCCATGAACAACATGAAGGGCAAGATCTTTGCGCGCCAGAACCCGTACGATTTGACTGAACTCAGAAACCATATTACTAATGCAATAACTACTGGCCAAGGCGAAGAGACTTTTCTCCAGCCGATGAGAATGGTATGCACACCTTTCACCCAGGCAACCTGACATGATCCTAATATGACTGTCTCAAAACCACTAGGTGGTAGCCATCTTCCGCTACCTCTTCGATCCCAATGTGAGCAACTCGATACAAACGCAGAGGAACCAGCTATTGGCACAAGCCACGGCCATCACCAACAACATACCGGCTCTTCAGCCCTTCCTGGCCATCTGGACCGAGTTCGACCGCGACTTCTTCGAGGCCACAGCCAACTTTGCAAGAACATGGGTCGCGGACCAGATCATTACCGTCATCGCCGCTTACCAGGCCGCGATCCGGGCCAACCCCAACAATCCGCCAGCCAACGCGGCGCAAGTGCTTAACGAGCTCAATGCTCTGTTCGACTCGCTCCAGTATATTCGCGCTCCGCCATGAGCTGATATGGTACGCTCATTAGGCATCTCAGACGCTGGATATTCCGTGGATGTCTTGTAGATATTTGTTTCTTAACAGATTTGAATGCGTGTCCAAAATGCAAGGGTTCAGATGTCTGTTCAGCTGAAACTGACGTATTCCGCCGGGACCCCCGGCGTCCTCGGCAAATACTGATACGGATCCGAGTATTGACGTAGCGCTACAATTTGGATAAAGCAAACGCCGTATTAGCCGACTTCTAGGAAGAGGCTTCCTGTTAGTTAATGTCACGGTGTTCGGCAAGTTTGATCATATTATGTCATGCCACTGGTGCATCTGATTGTTATTCCCGATGTCTCCGAAGGTTTCTGTCCAACATATCCAAACACCTTGGCATGACTAGCAATGGAGGTGTCGAAACCGTGTGTGTAAGAAATGTGGTCACGAACGCATCTCATAACAGTCATGGGCGCCTCAATGGGCTTGGCGACAGACGTCGCGGCAGCCATGCCGATCCGGCTTGGAAGCCTCGCACCGCGAGTGTCAACTTGCAGTGGCGCCATGTCGAACAGCTCGTTCCAGATTTCCAACATGGCCTACATGAGCTACCAGATCGAGCCGAATACCTTTGAGGAATGGCCCAACGGCACGCACATGAGCTTCGAAGTCGCGAACCAGGCCAACGGCGCGCAGGTCTTCTGCACATTCAGCGAGCTCGATGGCGAGGTTCAAGACCCATCGCATCCGCTCTGGCACGCGTGCGACGATGTCGGTGCCGTGCCGACAGCCGAACAAGACTCGACGACGGAGACCTATGCGTGGTTCGATAAGAACACCACGGTGCTCTCACTGAATCAGACATGGTCTTGCGGCCGGCATGGTGATGTGCCAAGGTACGTGAGGAGTGACCCTCGAGGATTTCCATCATATCCCTTCTCCTCAACTCAAACTGAGCATTGCCTGTGTCTAGTACCAAATTCACAGTTCTTGCCAGCGGAGAAGTCCATGCGGAGTGCGAAGATCACAGTGGTGAGACGGCCCGGACCAAGATGTTAGTCTGCTCTGCTGCGGACTTTGCCTTGCCAACAAAGATAGCTTAACTTCAACCATAGTCAACTCTGATTAGAGAGCAAGGAGATGAGGGCAGTATCTGTAATTGTATTGATCATGGCGAAGTGCTGCACGTCTCTGAAGTCGCCTATAAATACCAGTCCTGGATACATATCATCCGCCTTTTAAGTCCCTATTCGCTTCAACACCACTTTCATGCCTCAGGTTTGGGTGCATGCTCCATCGCGTACGCTATGAGCCTGGGCATGAAATCGTTCAGAACAACCAAGTCAACCCATTCGACGATCTCTTCGATCTCGGTGCCGTCCGCGCTCAGGAAGAAAGTAAAGATGTATTGGTTCTTGTACGCGCCGAGCGGAGTGTCGGCCGTCGAGGTCATGTGCAGTACACCCGTACGGGCCTCATCGTCGATGATGGGCTTCAAGCCGTCCGTGACCTTGAGGTGGAAGTTCTTCAGGAGCATGAATGTGGATGTCATGAATGTATTGTACTCGTCGTTGCTACGCATCGGCATATGCGGCGACTCAGGGATGGTGCGGTGCTTGCAGTTTGCGCCGCGGTAAGCGATGGCGCCCTCTGGGGTGTTGGTGTTGAAGCCATCGATGTAGCCCGTTAGGGTCTTGAGCATTTGTTCGCGAAGAGAAGACATCGAAGGCAAAAGGTGGTGGTCGAATGGTATGTGTGCGCCACTGCATTATTCACTTGTTGGCTGAAGTCTTCAGTCCTTTTATCTCACGCCGGAGCCATATCTATTAATTCTCCATCACCGCTAGATGTGACCCAAAGCCTGAACAGGGAACAAATCTTGCATTCTGAAGCGATGAACCGGCTGTATGATTGGATCTTTAATCGAGCTGGTGTGGTATCTTATGCAAACGCATCCTTCCATGCTTCTAAACTCCACCAGATTGTAATCTAAAGAGAGTTAGCTCCCATCACACACGCAACCTTGCCTTGAGAGTATGCGGATATCTTTGCTTCCTGATTTCTGCTCCTGAGCCTCCATTTCCCGTCTTTTATTTCTTTTCTTTATGCTCTTCACAGGTTTCTAGTAACGGAAACATTGAGTTCATGTAAGCGCATGCTCCAAGTGGACTCTCGCAGGAATGGTACAATCGGACATAGAATGATCGTTTATCATTGCACAACAAGTCTCCGTACTGAGAGCAAGCATCACAACTGCAGTCATTCATGACCATGAACCAGGAGTACGAAGTTGTCAAGCCTGAGATGTGGAGCTGGGGTTTCGAAATCCCAACCTTAATCGCACGGGGGAAGAGAATTGGGAGGCTCTGTAAATAAACGCCCCAACACGATGACGTCGGTTGAAAAGCCGCCCTTCAGCCCCGACACGTTTAGCGAAAACACCTGCGCGTCTCGCATTCCAGCTCGGACTGACAAGAGCCACAGGCAGGGTGGCGCAGGGGAACTACCCAGCGAGCCAGCCAATGATTCAATTGCTGATTGGTACCGGTGACACGCCAGGGCAAATCAACGGACACTAGACCAAGAACTGACACGCTTTCAGGGGCCAAGGTAACGACATCTCCACCCGGCTCAGCCCTAAGAGAAATCAGGACGAGCATTGGGCTCAGGAACTTCTCGGACAAGGAGGCGGACACTGTCAGGAATCTCACGAGGGAACCAGCTGGAGAAGAATCAGGGTGCTCGGACCGGATTTCTGGTACTTCCACGACGTCGCTGAAGGCTGAGAGGGCTCCTGCACACCCATGAGATCGATACAGACATCTTTCGGTTCCCGCGCGTTACGATGCACGTAACATCAGCACTAAGATTTAGCTTAATTCGTCTCAAACCCTGGTACAAGGACAACCCGGAAGATTGACTTTGCTGATAAAGCAAAAAAGTCCGACGTCCGTGAGAAGACCGTAACTGGAGCTCTCTCCTGGTATTCAGTCTGTTTTCGCGGCGGGTGCGAGGACTGGCGACATTGATCACTCGTCTTCCCGTGGCACGATACTGGCAAGAGTATCTGTCATACCGCAACGATGTTCGAAATTCTTGGCCTCTCGGGCGCCTCCAGCTTGGCCTTGGTCGGCCGGCTGGTACTGTACTCGCTGCTGCCGGCTCTGTGCTACGGCTTCTACAATTTATACATCAACCGAATGATGTTTCGCCGAATACAAAAGGAACACGGTACTGTGAGTCGTCTTGGAACCTAGCACTGCAGTTCGTGGAGTGTTCTTCCCTCTGGACTAACACTGCGCATTTGTTTAGGCAATGCTCCCACATTCGTTCCTGTTTGGCCACCTTTGGATCATCGCCAAAGTGGGCATCAAGTACAAGATGCCGCCGGACACGCACGGCCAATGCGTGCCTCTGCTCCTCGCTCTGGAGTACCCCGAGATCGCAGGCAAGGGCGCGGTGTATATGGACACCTGGCCCATGTATTCGCCCATGCTCGCGGTGTACCACCCCGATATGATGGCCCAGTTCACCCAGGACGCGAGCCAGGAGAAGCACTGGAGGATGCTGGAGGAGTTCAAGCCCTTCACCGACAACATGGATCTCGTCACGTCTGGGGGTCAGGTATGGAAGACTGACCGCAACATGTTCAATCCCGGATTCTCGACTCGAAATCTCATGTCTCTGATCCCGCACTTTGTGGAGGAGGTCGTCATCTTCCGCGATAAGCTTCTGGAGAAGGCCGATACGAACGAGAAGATCAGTCTTGAGGAGTACACGACCAATGCGACCGTTGACATCATTTGCCGCGCAGTCTTGTACGTTTCCATTCCTCCCCATTCCATTGATCTTCCAGGCAAGACACGCACTCACACCAGCGATCCAGCGGTCAACGAGTCCAGGCCCAAACCCGCGAGGTGCCATTCATCACTGCGATGCTGAAGCAGGTGCCGCATCTGACACCCCACCCCGGGACTAAGATGTTCAACCCCTTCCGGCCGTATCTGTCAGCGTACTGGAAGGCAAAGTTCCGCGAGGGTGTCATGCCCATCATCCAGGACGCCATCAAGAACTACGAGAAGCACGAGGGCCCCAAGACCATCCTCAACCTGGCCGTCAGGTCGTACGTCAACGAGGTGCAGGACTACTCGGCGCGCGGCAACATCCCCCCCGAGTTCGCCGAGATGGTGGTCAACCACACCAAGATGTTCCTCTTTGCGGGCCACGACACGACGGCCACGACGCTCTGCTACGCCTACATGTTCCTGCACCGCAACCCGGACAAGCTGGCCAAGCTGCGCGCCGAGCTGGACGAGGTGCTGGGCCCGGACCCGGCCGCGGCGCCGGCGCGCATCAGCGCCGACCCGTCGCTGCTGAACCAGCTACCCTACACGCTGGCCGTGGTCAAGGAGACGCTGCGCATCAACCCGCCCGTGGGCACCGTGCGCACGGGCGCGCCGGGCTTCTCCCTGACGCACCCGGAGACGGGCGAGCGGTTCCCCTGCGGCGGGCTCGCCATCTTCGGCTGCTCCAAGGCCGCGCACCTGCACCCGGACTACTGGCCGGAGCCGCAGCGGTTCCTGCCGGAGCGGTTCATGACGACGGCGGCGGCGACGGCGCGCGGGGGCGGGGAGGAGGAGGAGGCGGACCCGCTGCTGCACCCGCGGCGCAACGCGTTCCGGCCCTGGGAGATGGGCCCGCGCAACTGCATCGGGCAGGAGCTGGCGAGCCTGGAGCTGCGGCTCGTGCTGGCGCTGACGGCGCGCGAGGTGGACGTCGAGCTGGCGTACGCCCCCGGCGCGCCGACGTTCATGGGCGAGGTGGCGTACCAGGTCGAGACGCCGGAGCACGTCACGTCGCATCCCAAGGACGGGCTGCCCGTGAGGATCCGGTCGAGGAAGCACCACGCAACATCGTCCTGATGAAGGCGGATATGGGAGGTGTAGATTGATGTTATGGGTGTAGACTTCACCTAAGAGAATACAGATACGTACAATATGGCCATCCTCTGCTTGAAGCCTTACCTCATCGAGCAGTTCCCGGTCGTACATTGGAGCCAGGCCTGATTGCCGGGCCCAGGACACTAGGAGCTGTGTTCACGGCCGAGACCCATATGATTGGCTTTCGAGTCTTGGACTACAAGACCAAGCGCAGACGTCAGAAAACTGTCCGATCTCGAGACGCGGAGAGATGGACAAAAGTCACCGTGGATGAGCACACCTTATCCGGGGATTTGTCCGTAATAGGACTGACCTTCCCCCTGTGGCCCTGTGGGGAGCAAATTAGTGTGGGGTCGGTGCGGAGTAATCGCCTGAAATTGTCACTGAACTCTCAGGGGAAGCTGTAATCGTGTTCACTCGACCTCAAAAGCATTCTTTTGATTGCGCTCGTCAGCCAACATTATAAGTGCATATTGCTTCAAAATTCAAGTCCCGAGAAGTACGATCAGATCTGAAGAGCCTTATAATCAACACCTGCAAAGATACAAGTATGACGTGGTGTGGGTGGGCTACCGAGGTTTGCTGCTGGCGTGCGGGGTCCCAACATGTGAAGCTTCTCGGATCCATGTCGATCACAGATCCATTACTGGATTGACTGGCTGAGCCCCCTGTTCGTAAAGCACATGCGAAGAAAGACTCCTCAGGTCGGGCTGTTTCCTCAGCTGCTTATCTTTGTCCATTGCACGACGTAGGGCTACTCCGCATTTCGATGTCCAAGTGCAACCCTGCTGGGATCTCCTCGACTTCACACGACCATCTTCCATGAAGAACTAGGCCTGTCGAAATTCCTATTGATGTCGAGACTGCGTACGCGGCACCAGCCATCATGACCAGCAGCCGGCGAACCTTGACAATCGCGGGCCTCGCCCTCGTCCTGCTGCTCTGCTGGAGCTTCAGGACGATGCGCATGGACCCGGGCCTGGCGCCGCCCAAGTCCGGCTCGGGGCTCGCCCGCTCTTCGCAGAAACCCCTGTCGACGACGACTTCCTCATCCTCCAACTCGGGCTCGGGCCTCCTCCCGCACGTCGACAACTACTTTGAGCAGGTCTTCTCGGCCGGCCGCCCCAGGGACTACGACTACGCCGCCCTCAAGGACGCCTGCGACCGCGCGGCCTGGCCGGCGGAGCAGGACGAGGTCTACCTCAAGTGCGGCGGCATGGCGGCCGGGCTGACGTCCATCATCTCGCAGGTCAAGGTGTGCCTCAAGATGGCCGTCGAGACCGGGTCCAACATCGTGCTGCCCGCCATGCCGCTGCGCGACTCGACCAACCTGCGCGAGTTCAACTTCCTCAACGGCGAGGCCTACCTGACCTACGACAAGTGGTTCGACGCCGACCACCTGCGCGAGCAGCTGGCCCGCGCCTGCCCGCGCATCAAGGTCGTGCACCCGGACGAGCTCGGCCGGTCGGTGGCCGTCAAGCACGACTGGGAGGTGTCGTGCGCCAACGCCTTCGGCTACCGCAAGATCCACAGCTACTTCTGGGCCGGGCGGCCCTTCAGGACCTTCTTCTCCGGCGAGCTCACCAAGCTGCGGCAGCTCAACTTTCTCGACCCGGCGCGCGACGACGCCAAGGCGGGCATCACGGTCGTGGGCATCGACTCCGAGTTCCTGCTGTTCCGCGTCACCGACGACCCGACGCGGCGCGACCTGCGCCTGTGGAACGACCTGGGCCACCTCGTGCGCTTCCGCGAGGAGCCGCGGCAGATCATCGACCGGCTGCTGAGGGGCATGATGCGGCCCTTCTACGGCGTGCACTTCCGCGTCGAGAACGACACCATCTGGAGCTCGCTCGACAACCAGCTCAAGGTCGACCTCGACGCGCTCGACCGCGCCTGGGAGCTGTACGGGCCCCCCGACAAGTCTCCGACGCAGGAGAAGCCGCTGGTGTACCTGGCCTGCGGCGACCAGCAGCAGGTCGAGAAGTTCGTGGCGGCGGGCGCCGCGCGCGGCTGGGAGGTGACGCACAAGTGGCGGCTCGCCGACGCCGAGACGGCGCGCATGATCGACGAGCTGGCCTTCGACTTCCAGGGCGCCATCGACATGGGCGTCATGGTGCGCAGCGAGTTCTTCCTGGGCCTGACGGGCAGCGCCTTCTCGTCGACGGTGGCGAACCAGCGCGACGTGACGGGGCGGTACCGCGGCAGCTCGTTCGCGGACCCGGACGACGAGGGGGCGCGGACGCACCTGTTCAATGACCAGGATGCGGACGAGTATGCCTGCTGCTTGTAACTAAGTAGTCAGGTGGTTGGGTAGGGGGTTATGCGTCTGATGCAGGAGGGGGGAATCTCATGCAATGGTCTGCTTTTGTTGGGATAAACGGATGGCCGTGGAGTTCAAGGGTCGTTGTTTTGCATATATTAATCTTCACTGTCTACGAAGTCAGAGTACATGAATACGTCTGTATGATTATCTGAACGAGGGTGCAACCTAAAGCATCCATACACTTGCATGTGAGTGAACTTGGCGGTGGTGGTCACCGCCCTCCGTCTTGTCGTCAGACAGGTTTTAGTAGAATGCATTACCAGTTGGACAGATGCAGCCCTAGTGAATGAGTCCATTGGACAAAAGCCAGCCACTGCCCCCGACCAGAGATCATCCAGTGAAACGCAAGAGTAGAGGAGCATCCGATGGATCGGCAAAGGTTGGCACAATCCATGGATATGTGTTGGCCTGTCCCCGCTCCCCGTGCGCAAATTGTGGCCCAAATGCCACAGGAAAACAAGCCTTTGCCAAGAGTAGGGGATCTCTTGGCACACCGGTGGTGATCAGCAACGGGACCGCACATCCATGGACCCTTTTCAACACCCTTTCATGCTTCAGATGAAACCTCTGGATTGCAATTCCTTTCCAAGGATACGAATATCCCAATCAGGAGGGTATGTGGCCGCTTTTCAAGCATTTATGCTTGTCTATGTAGCGGGGAGCATTGACGAGGATGCACCGAGACGCTGCTCGGATTTGCGTCATTTGCTGGCTCGTAAGAGACCCTTCGAACAAGCTGAGACTGACCGCTTGAACAAGGAGCCCCCTCCTTCGTTCCCAGCCCGGCAATGACGAGAGAGGGGTAAAGTGCCCGTGTCGAGCTAAGCCCGCCAGGGCCACGCAATGGCGCGATCCGTGAGCCAACCCGAGCCCGTTGAAGTCCAAGGAAACGAAACGCTGGTCGACCAAGATTGACCTGGTGCATGAAGACAACCCTGACATTGCATCCCCCTTCCTCATGATTCAATGCTGTCAGAGGCCCTTCAGGGAAGCCAATTGGACACAGGACTGGTGATATCAGCGCCGTCATATGCATTCCTGCGAGGGAGGGCGGTCTGGAGCCCGGGTTGCCCGAGCCCTAGCAGTTAGAAGCTCGAGTGGACCCTGCATTGATGCATCCTGTTTCCACTACGTTAGTTAGGCAAGCCTTGGTGTTCACGACTGCGCCCTCTCCACACGTACTACTTCCGAGGGCGTGTCCTAGCCAAGCGTTCCTGGCCATTGGACTTGCCGGGCGGGAGAAAGCTTGGTTTTTTCAGCTCATCAAGGGACTCGAGGATTAAGGGGTTGAGACCCGGCCACTCGCTTTGGCGATGGGGTACCACTTCTGTGACGAGATGAGTAGACGCTTCCTCCTTTGGATGCTCGTGGATGACGCTATAGCCTATGAGGCATTGCCGACTGTCAATCCGTCTGTCCTGAAACGCCCCTCGAGCCATCCATTACGTCGACTTCCCAAGGGCGTGCTTCCTGCGAGGTGGGTTGGAGGGGTTGTGTGGCATGGTACGGAGTAGGTAGGGGGCTCTCTTGCACATGCGATGCCATCCATCCAGTCCTCCTCCACTTTACATAATGTTACTAAATTGGTCACTCCGGCTGGAATCTGGAGGGGAGTGGATGACGATGAGGTCGATGCCGGAAGAGGGAAGCTCGACTGGAACCCTGACCCTGAAACTGGGCTCCCTCCTGGATCTGTGCTATAAAGCTGCTTTTCCCTCTCCTCTTCCGCGTCAGACGTGTCTCCATATTCTGCATCCACAAGCTAAAGCTTCCAAGACTGTATTTACATCTCTTCAAACACTCACAAACTCATTCAAAATGTTCGGATTCGGTAAGCATGAACCCCCCCCCCCCAAGCCAGCAATGCCTCACACTTTCACAACACCCACCCAACACCTGTTCCTCCGTACTCTGCCTCCAAGCAAGCCGTACAGTGACCCTACCCTACCCTCTTCTGTCCCACCTGCTAACCGGCGCCCCCTTCCTCCCCGTCAAAACAGACGACGCCCGCGACAAGCGTGAGGAGATCTACAACGGCGAGCCGCACGAGTCGAAGTGGACGCACGAGGCCCTCGCCGGCGCCGCCTCGTTCGAGGCCATGCACCTGTGGGAGAAGAAGCAGCGCGAGGAGGGCAACCCGGTCTCGCACGGCTTCGCGCGCGAGGCCATCGCCGCCGTCGCCGGCGCCGAGGTCGACAAGCTCTTCGAGACCAAGGGCCTCGACTTCCTCGACCGCGAGCGCGCCAAGCGCCAGGCCCAGGACAACGCCGTCCACCTGTACGACCAGCAGTACGGCGGCCAGGCGCAGTACGACCCGTGAGTGGACCTGTCTATTCTCTTTTGCTTAATTCAGGATGGGGGACTTGGAAGGGCGACGGCTGACTTTCTTGCAGGAACAACTCTCAGCCCCACGAGTCCATGCGGTGGTAGAGATGGCGGTGTGGACATGTCTAGCTTGACCAGTTACCCAGTCAGATGAGACAGAATCAACAACGATCATAACAGCATCAGTCCAATATGCCTTTGTGATGTCCGATCCCATTTCTTGTGGCTCCGGGCCCGAGTGTATCATCTGCACATCGGCTCCGTCTTGCCAAGCCCGTGCCAAGCCCGGAGCTCCTGCTCTCAGAATGCCTCAGGAGTGCTCGGCTTCACTTGAATTTGAACCGACAACATCATGCACCTGGCTTCATCTCATAATATCATGGCCGGATGCCTTGGCATTTTCATTGAGGTTGACTAGCCATTCTGCCTTTATTGATGACAGAATTATCATTGACAGCTTTGTCCTGCTCATTTGAAATGGCTATCGCTGGCACTGATTGTAGGCACCGATGGCGGGCAGAATTCTCAGGGCACAAGATTAGGGCACTGGGCCAGCTGTGATGGCGGGGTACAGCAACCTGAGCGCCTAGAACATTACCATGTGACGCAGTACCCTTTTGTGTTTTTGGCCATCCATTAGTGGGCCATCCCAATTGCTGCCCCACCTGCTCGCAACTCAAGCTTGACTTTTTTTTGACAGAAAAATCACGACCTGCTGAGGGAAACGCGAGCCACCAAGCACAATCATCACGACCTCGCCCTCCGTCAGAGCAGCACCAGAAGTCGCCCAGTAGCGACTCCGAGCACTGCTCCATCGAGGCTCTTCCAATCATGGAGCCAAAGCGATCGCCCTTCCTGCACCCGGGCTCGAGAACCACCCCCGACTCCCTTGCCATCATCCTCCTCTCCCGCGACAACCTCCTCCCAGTCTACCCGAAAGAATTCACAGGCGAGCACGATGGCTACGCCGAGGGCGTCGTTCTGAATACCCGCTATGGCTCCTTCCCGCATAGCACCCTCCTCAATGTCCCCTGGGGCTCTCAGGTCCGAGCTTCGGCCGTCGACACCGGCTCGCGGGGTCGCAAGCGCAAGCGAAATGCAGAATCGCAGCAGCAGACGCCCGCAGACACCCCGAGGGACACCCCGAACGAGGACTCGCAGGCTGGCACCGGCACCGATGCAGCACCGAAGAAGGTCGACATCCCCACCTCCAGCAGCGGCTTCGTCCACATCCTGGCGCCGACCCCGGAGCTGTGGACTATGAGTCTGCCGCACCGGACGCAGGTCGTCTACACCCCCGACTACAGCTACATCCTGCAGAGGATCCGGGCGCGGCCGGGCACAAAGATCATCGAGGCGGGCGCCGGCAGCGGCAGCTTCACGCATGCCTCGGTCCGGGCGGTCTACAACGGATACCCCACGGCGGAGGAGAGCTCGGGCGGCCTCACCAGCAAGAGGGGCAAGGTATTCAGCTACGAGTTCAACCCCGACCGCTACGCGGCCATGAAGAAGGAGATTGGGATGCATGGCCTCGAAGGCCTGGTGCACCTCACGCACCGAGACGTCTACACAGAGGGCTTCTGCATCAATGGCCAGAGCCCCGAGGCCGAAGCCGTATTTCTCGATCTGCCTGCCCCGTGGGAGGCGATTCAGCATCTCACTCGACGCAAACCCGCACCTACAAATGGCAAAGACGGCCAAGACAAGGTGGTAGGAAGCAACGAGGACTCTCCCAAAGATTGGGTCTCCCCGCTCAACGGCAAACAATCGGTCTACATCTGCACGTTCTCCCCATGCGTCGAGCAGGTCACACGCACGGTCTCCGCCATGCGTCGCCTCGGTTGGGTCAACATCGAGGTTGTGGAGATTGCCAACAGGCGGCTCTACGTGTCGCGCGAGCGCATCAGCCTCCGGATGTCTCCCGACAAGCGCGGTGTCCAGCACGCACCCCGCGACGTCAATGAGGCATTGGGTCGGCTCAGGCACATACACGACAAGGCCTTTGGACGCAACAAGCGAGAGAGCAGCAGCATGGAGGTGGACGAGGACGGCGACGAGGAGATGGGCAGCGACAACAACAGGGGTGAGAACGGGGCAGCAGGCGGTGTAGAGAGCGGTAGTACATATGCGGACAAGCCCTGGATGGACGGGCAGCTAATCACGCGTACCGAGGGCGAGCTGAAGAGTCACACGTCGTACCTGGTCTTTGCCATCCTGCCGCGGGAGTGGACCGAGGAGGACGAGGCGGAGGCGTTGAAGAAGTGGCCCGTAGGCAAGGAGACGGGAGTCATTGGGGCCCTAGACAAGAAGGCGCGCAAGGAGGAGAAGCGCAAGATGCACGTGGGGAAGAAAAACAAGGCTGCGGCTATCGTCGCAGAGGAGGCGGCCAAGACGGCGGCGGGAGATGAGCAGACCGAGTCGCCAGCAACCGATGTCTAGACCATCGGCGACGACACGTCAATTGACGACGGGAAGGCCTCCCCCCCTGTGCCGCCCTGGCTGCCCCTGATCATCCGGGATCGGGAAGACCTTCCCCTGTCGGCAAAGCCAACCGCTTCTTTTTCCATTCCGCGCGTACAAAGTCTGCACGGAGTACTGTGTACAACAAAAGTCAGCGTTCAGATCAGATCAAAATATACCCCACAAGGTCCAGCCGAACCGTCTGGAGGCGGCTTTGGACCTTGGCGCCCTCGACAGCATGCAAATTGACCAGGTTTCCAAGACAATGTGACCAGCAAAGAAAAAGTGAAAAGGCGAAAAGGACCCAATGGCATCCAGACATGCCGGCACAGACGCTGGGCCAAAACGTAAAAACGCACTCTTACGGAGTGACGACAACTGCGTGTCATACCCACCAACGGACGCCCATGCATCGGTTTTACGTGATAGCGTGCAAGCCGAGTGGTGAGGCATGACAGCCCGTGCCCACTCGGCCCTCCACATCTCCACTCCCCAGTGTCGCCAGTGTGCTTTGTCGTGCCCCGTGAGCCTGCGTGAGCCTGCGTGTGCTCTCTCTCCCTGACTCCCGCCAAGACCGAGGATAACCTACCAGGGCGAAACAGCGCTGTCGGGCCTGGAACTCTGGCTCGTCTGGGGGGCACTGGGGGATTCCAGCGCCCAGCCTTGACTCAACTAAACGTAACAACAACCTCGAAATAGCCTTGGCGAGGCCACCGCGTGAGCATCAGGAACTGGGATCCCAGTGCTTAGTGGGAATTGCCCAATAGGTCACCTGGACTGTCGCCATACCGGTGCCCATTTTTGCGTTGCGTTTGATCATCTTTCTGTCACTCTTTCACCTCTGCAGGTACCTGTTACACTTGTCTTGGGTGTGTAAGTTACGTGGGTAATGTACCTGTCGTGAAAGTCATCCCCAGTCATCGATCCCTTTAGATCCCGCCCATCCATCTCTCCCCAATATAAGCTTCCCCGCAACCCGGCAGTGTCCTGTGTTCGTGAAGAGAGAAAGAGAGAGAGAGGGAGAAGATAGATTTACCTAGGTGATCCAATTTCAATATTGCCCAGACCTTTTTCTTCCCCTTTGCGCCGTGTGAGGATATACACTTCTTGCCTTACATGGACGGGATAATACCTAATTCGCCCTTCTACTTCTCGCATACGAGCTATTCCCCCTTATCACCAAGCTTGTAAGCCGTCTACCGCCTCAACCTCAGCCATGGCGATCGCAGCTCTCTCCTACCCCTCGAGGAGTCAACAGTGGCCGCCCTCGGCGGCCGGGAAATTCCCGAAACCCCCCTCCCGCCGCAACACCCGTGACGTAACGGAACAGCAGCGCCTGGCCCAGCAGTTCCGCGACCTCACCACCCCGCGAAGCGACGTCGAGGCCAGGGACCGCACCGTCGACGACAACCTGCCCGCCACGAGCCTGGCCGCCGAGATCGACTACTCGGAGCCCCGGCCCTCGTCCGCGGGCGTGGGCCACTTCAACACGCTGCCGCTCGAGATCCTGCACGACATCATGCACGAGCTCGACCTGCGCTCCCTCGAGAGCCTGCGCTCCGTCAACCGCTCCGCCCGGCAGCTCGTCGACTCCTTCCCGCAGTACACGGCCGTCGCGAGCCACGCGCCCGACGTGCTGGCCGCGCTGCTGGCCACGGGCGCCGCGGCGGGGACGACCTGCCGCGGCCTCTTCGCCAAGCTGCGCTCGCCGGCCTGCGAGGACTGCGGCGACGGCTTCGCGGGCCACATCTACCTGCCCACCTGCCGCCGCGTGTGCTTCCCCTGCCTCACGCAGCAGGAGGGGGACAAGTACCTGCCGCTGCCGCGGGAGCTCGCGGCGCGGCACTACGGCCTGAAGCCGCACGCGCTGGCCCGCCTGCCGGGCGTGCGGTGCGTGCCGGGGAGCTACGCGCCGCAGGCCAAGCCGCTGGGGCGGGAGGTCGCGCTCGTGGACCGCGAGGCGGCGCGCGCGGCGGGCGTGGCGCTGCAC